CGCCACACCGCTACAATCACTAAAAGGGACAGGGAAAAGCGTAAAGCATCAGAAATTCGAAATTATGCCATGGGGGGCTCGAATCTTTGACGGGGGGACACTTGTGTGGGGCGACCAGCCAAGACCTGGCGCACCACTAGCGCGATTCGCAGCCTCGAAAACGCGTGTTCCGCCGAAGCCAAGCGATGATACGGTGAACATGGAGCGTGTTTCAGATTTCAAGCTTGCATGGTTTTCTCCGTAGCTACCTTGCGGAAAGGTCCGACCGAATTCCAAAAAGAATAAAAGTAAAAACCCCACTACGACAAAAACTGCCATAGTTCGAAAATTAGAGCCTGACCTTGTTGTAAGTGGCTTAATTTGCTGGGTCGCGGCATCTTTCCATACTCCACACTCGTGGTATCGAAGGAATTCATCCAAGTTTTCCTTGCAAAAAATGAGCGTGCACGCGGGTCGGGTTTTATTGTGTAGAGATACTTTGGAGATAGGTGGACTGTCAAAAAGTCAATGGCTGTGCACTCCAACGCCATCTTGCCGAGACGAGAAGAGAATGAAGTGAACTTAGTCGGAACCAGTTTCTTCTCCGAGTTAGCCAGTGAGAAAGTTCAGTAAATCGGAAGTTTAGCCTCCATAGAATAACCTAATAAACAGATTGCTGAAGAACTTTAGTGAATAATTGTGATGGTAGAGCCGGTAGCCGTTCTGTTTCAGAGGCTGATGTATGCGAGTTTTGCGCTTGGGATGGCTGTATAGGGATGTCTTGGTTATCGGGCGATGGCATGAGTCGTCGCCTGTACTCCGCCAAACGAGTCTTTGGTACTCGGAGAAACGAGTGGATCTAGGATGATCATTTTCTATGGGTGATTGCATGATTCCTTCTACATGTTTCTCATGATTACTGTTGGATCACCATACTCTCCGTACTCCGTACAACTCCAAGACTCCACATGATTTGTACCTCACATTCTCCCCGGCGGCACCGCGAGATTAGTCGTCTAGCTCCATGTAATAAGCCTCGCCGCGAACTACGGCCGTTATTTCCCCTGCATTCGTACCAGGCCCGCGGCGGATTCGCCGGATGGCGTACGCACGAAAGTACACAACGGAGAACAGATGTATCGACTCGGTGGATTGATATGTAAGGATTTATCTCATTGGTGGGGATAATCACTCGAAGGCTTGATAATTCGTTATTACCAGCCACTCAGGGCTCCACTTGTCTCTTTTTTCGTTTGTCATTTTGGCAGTCTCAGACATTTCATATCGAAATAATGGAGACTTTTGATTCGAGCGTACGTAAAACAAAAATTTGCTGATAATGATTGGGGGCAATCATTTTCTCAACTCCGTCCAGTTCGACCAGTCGAGGCTATCAGTCCGGTGGCGTGCAATGCGCGCATAGGCAGACTCTAACGCTTCGATGTGCACCTCCCCGTGGACCCTTGCAGCAAGGCTGTTCTACACGTCAACCTCGAGGCCAATTGATTTACACATAACGGCCGTCATGTCCGCTTGGGTGTCTGGAAGCGACACGTCAAACCAATCTTCGTATGCACATCATCAATTGTTTATTTTCAAAGTTGCCTGATCATGATCATCATCTGTATCCATTTCTGATGGCGGAGTACTTTTCCATCTGTAATTTTTCCTGTCAACCGGATAAAAGCATGAAATGATCGCCAACGGTTTCTCACAGTACAGCAAAGCCCGAGAGCCCCATCCTTCGCCATGGAGATTTCGTTATGATTCGCCGGGGAAACAGGGATTATTGTCGCTCATCTCATCCTGGTCACCACCATTTCTAATTCCAATTGAGCGACTCCATTTTTCCCCAGTCACTAGTTCCGCTTTGGCTTGGCCTGGGTTATCAAATTATTTTTTTCTTTGTTCTGCGAATATATTTCATTTTTCGAGCTCGAGGATCAGGATTGACACTACTATTGACATCCCGTCCACTTTTGGGGTAACGCTTTGAAGCAACAGAGCCCTGAGCTTTGCCGTCCGTTTCCATCATCCACCACAGTGGACTTTATCCATCAATTGGAGCCACTCACATAACTGCTCGGCTGTGTTGAGCACTTCCGCGAAGAAATCCTTTAAGGCTAGCAGCCGCCCGTCCGGCGGCGCGGGTGCGCTATCTCCAGTTTTTACTCCACCGACGGGAGAATCCAGAGCTGTCGTGTTTCGGCTGTGAAGATTGCGCTCCGTACCTTGCCTCAAGCACCAGTTATGGCTCTTTATCTCTCGTTTTTCGCCTCTTATTTTACGCAGCCAAGGTGTCATATCCGTTTTGTCCCGTAGTATGGGGATCAAAACAGAATTGGACTAGTATGACCGGTGTGATTTCACTTCTTTTGTTTTGGGTGGGTCTATCAGGTACCATCTGTATGCTGCAGCTCAATAGCGTTCCTGTAGGGCAAATTTTGTCTCTTTTCTTTTTTTGTTTTGCCTTGTGGCAATTGGCTTGGCTTGGCCCCGTGGTCTCGAAGGCACCAATGTCTGTGCGATAACGGTGGGCGAGGCCTAGGCATGAGTATAATGAATGGCTAATCTCGCCAGGAACAATAGTAGCAAAGCCAAAATTGGCGGATTTTTGGGCAAACTTGGGACAAGGATTTCTGAATCATGTATAGGAATATTCCACAAATAATTGCGATGGGGGATACTTTAGGGAGAATATTGTAGATCAACATGTTGAGAATTGCAAATATTCAGAGAATAACCGTATTGCGCTTCCTTTCCACACCAGAATAGTGGGCATGAATCCTCATTTCCACTTGCTCCGTAGTTCATGTTCATGGGGGAATTGAGTTTCTCGTAGAAGGATTGACAGCCTTCTATGCATGGGCAAAGTCCTTGACCCGGGTATCTGGGAAAAGACATCCCGGTCCAGCTAACCCGACCAGGACACTTTTTTCCCTTTTCATGAGGGATTGTGGACCATACTAGAGAACTAAGAGGCAAATAATGTGGAGTGGGAAACAAAGCGACTAAGTCGATCAAGCTACTTACTCCGTCAGGAATGTTGTTTCTCATGCTTCTGTCCATCTCCGTCGTTACACCACCCTAATTTCCCAATTCCCCAATTTCCCAATTTCACGGCTCGACTTCCCACTTGGCCCCATGATATGCCGTGATTGGTGGCGGGAGTTAAGAGAATCCCGTCCGCGCAGACGCTTTGTCTATGCTGGGGATAGCGGCAGCCAAGAGGTGGAGTGCGCTATGTTGGTAGCAGCCAATCGCACTTGGTTGATGTGCGCTTTGGACGGTCCCCCGAGGGAAAGGATGGGCGATGATGGAATTTCGTGGGGACTCGATGTCTTTTTGGCTCTGGGCTTGAGAGAGGGAGAGGAACTTGGGGGTTCAATGATGCGTTATTGCGGAATTTCTTGAGTTTCGTCGCGTTATCGGGGGTTTTTCTTCTTCTTTCGTTTTCGTTTCTTTTCTTTTCTTTTGGTTTTTTTTCTTCTCTCGGATCGTCATTATTTTTCTTCTTTTCGAGACCGATAGTCTCAGTGCTTTCGTTTTCGCTTTTTGTTCTTAATCTTTGTTTAGATAGTTTATGTTTATGTTTATGTTCGATTTTGCCTTTAGTCAGGTACGAACTATGCGAACTATTGTGGATAAAAAACTGGGGAGCTGGTGTGGAAATACCCAAACTTCCGACCAAGTCCCATTTCACGACTCAAAAAGTAGAACAAGATTGTGAGGATTGAATTGTGCCACAAACTTCGCGTTACCCAAAGATTTACACCAGACCTTGCTTGCGTGGCGGTCGTCGGCGCGCAGGTGGCTGTGATGTGCGAGGGTAAAGAGGACCATAGAAAACACAAGAAGCAGAAAGCGCGAAGTGGATGTATCGGATTCCTGCACCAACAGCCTGATGGATCACAGTTGCTTGGGGCATTGGCGCGTTCCCCGGATCTACCGATCAGAAGTCAAAGCAGTGCCATCACACTATCCCATGCAATCGGAACACATCACTTGGCGACATGGCTGAACTCTTACCAACCAATAAGATGTATCACAAGCCATCCAGACAACCGAAAATTGGCAATCTGGGCAAGGCAGTCCAGCTGTAGTTGTTTCTGTAGGTACTTTGGTGTAGGCGCGATGTCATGGGCGAATGCATGGGGTCCATCCCACCCTCTTCTTCTCCAATCAGCGAGCATGATGCAATCGGAACTATCTGTCCGGAAGTCTGTAGTGACTGAATTGACTGAATCTGGCTGCTAACAAAGCCAACTGCATTTCGAGCCTTGCCTCTTTTCTTATGCGTATGCAGCCAATGACGATGGTAAGCCTCGTCGTGGTTCGGCTGTGCATCCACTGGCCTGTTCCTGCAGTAGGCCGCGCAACTTGAGAACATCGCAGCTGTGGACTGTTTTAGGTTTAATTCTGAATTTGTTTTCGTGCGATTATTTATTTTTTGCCTCTTAAGAGTCATACGTAATTGTATAAGAATACTATAGGAAAATGGTTATTTTAGTATATTGGCGACCCTTGCTCCCTACAGTACAGTAACAGCTGAGAAAAATCCCGCGATATCCATGTGGCAAATATGAAAGGCAACGATAATTCCCGCAATTGGGCGAGAGAAAATAAGCAAAATTAATAGGAAACTATAGAAGGCGAAAATATTGGGAGAAGAAAATAGAATTTAAAAAGCAATAAGAATATCGAATTGGTGATGCCGTTGGTTCATCAAGTCCATCACACACTCTATGTACAGTATGTACACCGAGGACTGGTCGTTGTACTTTTGGCCGGCGATATCATATGAAACTGACCAGGGTGTGATAAGAAAAAAAAAAGAATAAGAAAAGCAAAGAAATAAATAGAAACTATGCTCGGCCACCAGAACACGCCAACAAGCCAACAAGCCAATGCCGACCGTTTCACGATCTGGTCGCACATTTCGCAGACCCCCGGGCTGATAGTGTTGGATCGGCAGGCAAGTGATGAGCGATAACTCAGGGTTGACCTCATGCACGCCCGTGATGGCTGAAGCCGAATGGGGCATGGATAAGCCAGAATACGCAGAAGGTCCAAAGGGCAAAAAGAGTTTCCACATGATGATCGTATATGGGTCAAATTGTACCGGGGGGAAATGGGCCTCCGAGGTCGTTCAGATCCGTGTCGATCGCTGTGCTCTGTCTCGTCCATGCCCTGGCAGTAGAATGGAGACGGGACAGCCGTGGGGCGGGGAGCAAGCAGGCCCAAATTCCTTCGGGGCACGGCCATTGGAGAGAGAGTGTGTGTGAGCCTTTTCCCACTTATTTTTCTTCTACTTGCTGATAAGAGGTGCAAACTGATTGCCGCTGTCACTGTCTTGGGATCCAATCGTTGTGCACCTCGTGGCCACACCACGCCATCCTAGTTTTTATTTTACGTTTTTTTCATAATTTTTTTTCATTTTTCATGGGCGTTGCTGCAGCCTGAAGGATGGTTCTTTACAAGCCGTAACGTGATGGATCGTGTGTGGTGAGATGAGGGTTGCAAGCGGTTAAACATGTAATTATTATGTCTTATTATGCCTTTCTTTTTGGTTATTTCTTGCCGGGAGAGTCTATAGTGTTGTATCTGGTTATCGCAATGGAGATAATACCCCAGGCTATGTCCTACAGTACCCATATAATTACCCATATAAATATATTAATTTCCATAAAATAAAATAAAACAAAACACCAGCACAGCCTCTTTCTCTCTCTCTCCCAGACACATTCTGCTCTTCCTCTCCGCATTTCTAGCACGTAACACCACTCGTGCTCCGACCCCACCCTTCATTTGGGCACTGTGGCCGATGTGGACTTCCTCCCGATACAGGATGCGGGCCAGTGCCCGTACCCTTGGGTACTGCCCCACCGGTAAAGTAACTAACAGACTAACAGGCCACTAAGAAAGTCACCTAGTCTTAGGGCCAATCCCGCCCCAGAATGGGTAGCTTTCCTTACACAACAGTCCTTTTGAGACAGGCAATTCCCAAAAATCCATTTTTGAAAAATAAATAAATGTAAAATGTAAAAATAAATATTTTTAATATTAAATCCTATTAATTCTATTAATTCAATAAAATAATAATCCAAAAGTTCCTGACCCACCCTCCACTGTGCTTGCCCATACTAACTAGTGTACCCGGCAAAAGTAGAAAATAGCAGCAGATCACTCTCATTTAACCCACGCTGCTGCTACTCCCCTTCCCTTCCTCTCTTCCATATGCCCATATCGGCTCTGTCTCTCTTTATTTGATTTTTTTTTGAATTTCTTCTTTTTTCTTTTCTGATTTATCTATTTTTCTTCTATTTTCCATATTTCTATCCTTTCCCACTAGTCTTTTCTATCTTGACTGTTTTGGGTTTGGCAAGGTTTATAGCAACTTATTTGGACTTCACCTTTCCTTCCTTCTCTCTCTCTCTCTCCGGTTTCCTATCTATACAGAAACCTGTCCTTCCTTTGGCACTCAACAACTACACACCTATCCTAATTCGTCCTCGTCTGGGTCTCATTCATTCCCCATTCCAACGGACTCACAACACATCAATCTGATCTACATCATCCGCTCAAACTTACCCTAATATACTCGTGAATTCAACCACCACGTTGGATTCTATATACACAGGTAAGATTGGATTCCCCCAGAACCAAGCATGAAGAAGGGAAGAAGAGCGAGGAACACGAGAAAACCTATTCAGATATCAATTACACTCCATCTGCAATAGCATCATATGAATCACAAGCTAACTATCGGGCTCGGGATCTCCAGTCTTTCTACACAATGGACTCAACATACACAGTCGCACCTACTCCGGTGCATGGTCAGCCCTCATTCGCATACTACCCTGAGTCTACACAACAGCAAGGTCACTACACCAGCCAGCCATCAGACGTTTGGTATGGACCGTCACATTATCAGAGCAGGGGAGCAGAGCAACCAATCTATCAAACTCAGCCCATGATGAACATGCACCAGATGGCCACCACCAATGCCTTCCGCGGTGCCACCATGAACATGACTCCAATTGCTTCGCCCCAGCCCTCACAGATGAAGCCGGCTATCATGGTGCAGCAAGGTTCACCAGCCTTGATGCCCTTAGATACCCGCTTCGTGAGCCACGATATGTACGGCTTCCCATCTACGCCGCCTCTATCTTCTTCCGGAAGCACCATTAGCAGCCCACCTTCTGCCAATGGCACTCTGCACACCCCGATCAATGACAGCTTCTTTGCCTTCGAGAAGGTCGAGGGCGTCAAGGAAGGCTGTGAGACCGATGTTCACACTGAGCTTCTATCGCATCAGGATTGGTCCCGCACCGATTCGCCTCCAATGACACCTGGTAAGTGATCGACCGAAATCGAGATGTCAAAAATTTAAAGCTGCATATGCAGATGGCAAAATGTCAAATGTCATATGCAAGGGGGGAGGTTTTTCGATCAAGAATGTGACAAAGGCTAATTATGGAAACAGTGTTCATCCACCCTCCGTCACTTATTGCCAACCATACATCGGACTTGCTCTCCGCCCACTCTTGCCCCTCGCTTTCCCCCTCTCCCTCTCCAGTCCCCACCGATATCCTCTCCCAATCCCAGACCTTGACTGCTGAGCACCCTGGCGCGTCCTTCTGCGACCCACGTCAGCTCACGGTCGAGCCTTCAGTGAATGTGCACACCCCCCAGGACCTTCCTCCTCTGCCAACTCTCTCCTGTGAAGAGGAGGAGCCGCGCGCTGTTGTGGGAAGTGCGTCTGTGACGCTTCCCGTCAATGAGAACCCATCTCCTTCCTTCACCGCCTCGACCGTTGACCCTCTGAGCTCCCTGCCTACTTTCGACAGCTTCTCAGACCTCGACTCGGACGATGAGATTAACCGCTTGGTGGAGTTCCACCCCGCTACCAATGCCCACGCCCTCTACCTGGGTGACAAGCGCCAGCGGGTGAACCAATACATTGCTGAGGATGATGGCTTCCTTAGTGAGCACAGCATTGAGGATTCTGATGACTGCGAGACTTTCAGCATTCCCACCGGTCTTCCATCTTTCGATTGGAATGAGTCTACTGAGTCCGTTGAGGTTCAGCGTGAGACTGACGAGGCTGTCGAGGAGGAGCCCAAGACCAAGAAACGTAGCAACCGCAAATCTGTTCGCAAGAGTGTCACACTTGAGGAGGAGCCTCGCCGATCCGTATCCGCTCGTTCCGAATCTCCAGGTGATATGTCTGGTACTGATTCCGACCGCGCCCCTGTCTCCATCAACCGCCGGGGCCGCAAGCAGTCATTGACTGAAGATCCCTCCAAGACCTTTGTTTGCACTCTCTGCTCTCGTCGGTTCCGTCGCCAGGAGCACCTCAAGCGTCACTACCGCTCACTGCACACCCAGGATAAGCCCTTTGAGTGCAACGAGTGCGGCAAGAAATTCTCCCGCAGTGACAACCTTGCCCAGCACGCCCGTACTCACGGCGCTGGCTCAGTGGTCATGGGTGTCTTGGACGGAAGCGAGTCCTCGATATCCTTTGAGGAGCAACAAGACGCCGGCGCTCTTGGGGCCGTCATGTACGAGTCCCCACCCAGCGCCGACGCCAGCCCTGACCGTCGACCGGCCAAGAAGCGCAAGCGCGACTCGGCTTAAGTCTACAGACATTGGGCTTTGATGATTTATTACGAGACCAGGAGCTTCTTCCTACTGCATATATAATAAAATACATTCGGTCGTGGGTTTTTAAGGAAGCTCAACCGTGTCTTGATTGGTTTTGGCGTCCGCGGGCATTTACACTGGTGTGAGGAACATGGTCATCATCGGTGTACGGCAACATTGGTTTTCCCTTTCTGCAACATTTCATTGGGATCGGGGATCACAAAAATGCCTAAGGGACTTTTGGGAGAGGTTTTTACATTTTCATGGGCGTTTATCGGGGTCCATGGAAAGGAGGGCGGAAAGCTCAATACAAAAAAAAAGAAGCAAAATAGAGCGAATGGTGGCCGCCATCTTGTCTCTTCGATATAAAGGACAAGTGTCTGGTGTTTCGATTTCCTTTGTCACTCATCTCTTTTGTCCTTTCTCTTTTTTCATCTTTTTCATCTACCGGACCAACACGAAAAAAAACAACAAACTACAAAATCTTTGGGCAATCCGGCTCTCTACGTCTCTCTCTCTCAACCCTTGGGCCATTTTTAATCCTTGTTTTGAACACTGATTTGACCTCTTTTTTTTCTGACTTTCACATATTTCTTCTCTTCTTGCTTCTATTACTTATTTCGCTTCTTCCCTTTCGTTCATCTGGTTTTTGTCTTATTTTGATGTAATATTCTTTGACCTTCTTTTCGTTCCTGTCGTTTCATCCCACATCTTGTTTCTTGTGCTGGTCACATCTGTGTATAAGTTAATTTGGCCACTCTCCTTCTATTCTTGTCATCATCATCTACCACATTGTCACTCATACCCCCTTCTTGTACCTGCATTTATTGCCTGCCCTTTTACTGTTGGTCTCAGGTTATCTTGATCCATTTGGATCTAGCAGCATCAATTACAAGCTTAATTCTTTCTGCACTTTATTATTTCTAGTAATAAGTATTATATAACCTCGTACATGTGTAGTCTCGAGGTCTATATGTAGTTATCGAAGCATAGTTACAGGGCTAGATGTTGGCTTTTCCCAAGTATACTCCAAATATTGTGGCTCGTGTCTTTGGGCATGGGCATTGTGCCATCTAGTTTCGTTTTTTCTTCGTTTCTGTTCCTATACAATAATGAGTACATAAGCTCCAGTTTATTCATATAATTATTTATTAGCTCTATCATAGTATAGCGATCACAATGGGAAGGACCCAAAATACCAATGTGGGGAAAGCTGCTATCGATAAAGACCCAAGAAGCGGGGATACAAAAAAAAATCCCCCTCCCACCAACTCTACTTAGCATACTTTTCTCATGCAATACTATACCCAATAAATAGCCCGGAAGCAGGGATTATTTAATAAGCATTTAAATCTGAACGCCTACCCCCGCCATGCCGCCCAAATCAACACAACCCGGCCTAAACGTTATCGCTCTAATCTCCGGCGGAAAAGACTCCCTCTACTCCATCCTCCACTGTATCCGCAATGGTCACAAAGTCGTCGCCCTAGCAAACCTCCACCCAGAACCGAAACAAAATACGAAGTCTAAAGAAACAACAGGAACAGACCAAGACCAAGATGCCGAAGAAGAAGATATCGATAGCTTCATGTACCAAACAATCGGTCACAGTGTAATTCCTCTTTACGAATCCGCTCTCGAGATCCCACTTTATCGCGCCGCAATTACAGGTGGAGCGGTCGACACATCACGAATTTACAGACACGATGCTGCAGATCAGTCCGCAGAAAGCGAAGTCCAGATTAAAGAAGACGAAGACGAAACAGAGTCCCTAGTTCCACTTCTCCGTCGTATTAAGCAGGCACACCCGGAAGCAAACGCTGTTTCGGCTGGTGCGATCCTTTCCACATACCAACGGACTCGCATTGAGAATGTTGCGGGTCGATTAGGTCTTGTACCACTTGCTTGGCTGTGGATGTATCCATCTCTTCCAGCGCCGGTGGAACGCGATGCTGATCCTGCTGCTGTGCAGGAGGCGGGGTTGCTAGAGGATATGGCGGCTGTTGGGTGTGATGCGCGGATTATAAAGGTTGCGTCTGGTGGATTGGATGACGGGGTGCTGTGGGCGGATGTATCTGGGGCTGGGAACAGCGGGCGTGCATTGAGGAGACGGATTACGAAGACGATGGGGAGGTTTGCGGCTGCGGAGGATATTCGGGGTGCGGTTCTGGGAGAAGGGGGTGAATATGAGAGTTTAGCTTTGGATGGGCCTTCTTTTCTTTGGAAGAAGAGGATTGAGGTTGTTGGGAGGGATGTTGGAAGTGGGGAGGGAGGGGTAGCTTTTTTGAAGCTGAAAGAGGCAAGGTGTGTTGCTAAAGAGGGTGGAATGGAATATCAGCCTGATGACGTACGGAGGCCGGCGTTGTTGGATGCCCCATTTTTGAGTGCGTTGGAGGATGTGTCTACCTTGTCTTTGCCCGAGAAGGTTGATGAAGGGTTGGTTTCTGGCAGGGGTATCACATCGGTGCCTGCTTTGTCTGTTTATGAGTCGAAACACCACCAGTCTGCATCAACTGCTTCGTTGGTGAATCTGGTTGCACCGGAGGCTGGACTTGGTGCTGGACAACAGATGAGTGCTATTGCTGCGAAAGTACCTGGTCTGCTTCAAGGGTTCTTTAATTTTGATAAAGTTCCCCGATCAACAGAAGACATTGTATTTGCTACGGTGTTGCTACGCTCAATGACTGACTTCGCCTCGATGAATGATGTCTATGTCTCGCTATTTAAGAAGCCGAATCCACCAGCACGAGTTACAGTGGCATGTGGTGATACTCTTCCAGAGAATGTTAAAGTCATGGTCTCCTTTGTGGTTGACTTGGGAGACCGAAATCGGCGTCAAGGTCTTCATGTTCAATCACGCTCATACTGGGCGCCGGCAAACATCGGTCCTTACTCCCAAGCCATGTCCATCCCTTTACAGGAAGAGGGAGCTAGAATAGTCTTTATCGCAGGACAAATTCCCCTGGAGCCGGCTTCCATGGATTTGGCCACGCAAGAGGAGTCGTGGATTCGAGGTTATCGTCTACGTGCTGTACTTTCTCTGCAGCATTTGTGGCGAATTGGCGAAGCCATGCAAGTGGACTGGTGGTTAGGAGCCGTGGCTTTTATGACTGGGGGAGAACAGATTCAGGTTCAAGCTCAAATAGCTTGGAATCTCTGGAAGAAGATGCATTCCCGGCCAGATGAGAATGACGAAGATGACGATGAGGGCCCACAGCTTGATGCATGGGATATCAAATACGGACGAAGAGCAGAAGAGTTAACGCCTAAAGCTGTCTCTGCTACCCTGCCCAGATTTTCTGTTTTGGAAGATGAAGATGTTCTTTCGATTTCCCCTTTTCTTGCCGTTGAAGTTGATGAGCTTCCTCGTGGCAGTGATATCGAATGGCAAGGGTTGGGTAGTCGTTGTCAAAAAGCCAAACTGGAAAGCAGCGAGGATTCAGTGGCCGTCACAACTGACGACAAATATAGCTACCTGTGTGTGGAGATTAATGGAAGCAAACCTCACGAATCATTAGAGAATAAGCTCTGCTCTATTATGAACACTCATTGCATGAGTCCCGGTCGCTCGCAGGTGGCCTTATACACCACGCAACCCGTGGCTGAGGACCTTTGGTCACGCCAGGTGGTCCCATGTCGATCTATCTGGGGCCCTGAAGGGAGGTCATTGACAGCTGCGATAATTGTACAGATAGAACATTGATTTAGAGATTTCAGAAGCAAGGTTACAACCGAAATTCAAAATACGAATAAATGCATGAGATGCAACTCTATGTACTTCGAAGACTCGATGACATGATCGGATTGCGCCCGAGCATGTGATAGGCAAAATCCCTTTCCGCGTTCAGGAAAGATAACAACATCCACGTTCTAAACTCCACATTTTCTCCTCATCTTGATTTCATTCCTTTGTTGTCTTTTGTTGCGCCATCGTTGAATAGCGATTAAAGTGAAATCGTCATCTTAAATCCTTTGGAATCTCACATTCTCCAATCCACCCTCGTTCTTACCCTACTAAGAGATGACGTACCCGTCAACCTAGGAATGGCGCTATGAATTCATCGCGGGGCCAAGATGAACAGGAAGTGCTCACTCGTAGTAGCACACCTGCTACAGGCTCCGAACTAATTCCCGAAGACTTGCGACAATTCACTCGTTCTCCGCATCCCTACCACCGCAGCAGACGACTTGGCTCTCGCACCCCCTCCGAACAAGGCGACCGTCTCCACCCACTCACATCGTATTCTAAGTCATCGCGAACACCAAGTGACAGCGGCACTGAGGCGGATGATGAAAGCACAGGACTATTGAGGGGTCTCCCTGCTCCGCCGCCCCGACCGCGGAAAGGTCTACGCTTCGGCTCCGCCGACTCCGAAGCTTGGTTGCCTTCTTTGCAGCCGTGGCCACCGTTTGCGAGACAGCCTGGGCGTGGGTCGCGGAGGAGCTCTGAGCAGGAACAGGCCGAAGGAGATGAAATCAAAGCCCAGCAGTTGGGTGAAAAGAGGAGAGTTGAGATATTAAGGCGATTGCTGGAGGCCGCGCTACTCTTATCGGTCGGTGCCATGGTCTTAGTACAGAGAGAAGCACGTTCACTTGCTTGGGAATGGAGGAAAGGTATGACAGAGTTCAATAGATCGTGAAAAGCTTCAATGTGTAGCAATGATACTAACTATGGTGCAGAGCTTATTACTCACGGTCTCCTCCTTAGCGGACTTTACCTTTCGTATCCCGTCCTTCTCCGGATTTCGAGGAAACAAAGAGGGTCAACATGGCCACCGAAACGTCCTTTTTTCCATATCCCAGCGAGTTTCGACCCCGCCCCCCTTCTATACCCAATCCTCATTCCGATATTTATTTCTTTGTCGCTTTCAAATCACCGACCGGCGTTGGTCATACCGAATATAATACTCAGCCTCTCGTCCCTCCCTGCACCAGTCGTACCACTGGAGAAGTGGTCTAATGGGTTTAGCCTCCCGCACTGGCTGGTGACATTGGTCCCAATCCTCGTATCGGAACACTTGTCTCTTGACTTCAAGACGGTTCCTAAGCCATTATCGCTCCGGGGCCACGATGTTGAATCGCTGATTCTCCTTTTTCCTTTGCATCAAGCGTTGATACCCACTTTAGACTTTTTGTTGACATCGAGTATTCTCCCTGCCGAGCTGCAGCTTTTAGCAGCAGCATTATTGAATTTGTATTTATTTGCGAACTCACCTCAGGCGGAAATTCTGAAAGCATTGCTATGGCTTGGTGGCCTGTGTTTATTTGTTTCTTGTCGGGATGTTCTGCGCTGGGAGGTTGCCCTGGCTCGGATTCCAAGCTGGAAGTTCCGCCGCTCTCTTCGAGGCTCACGGTCTCCAAAAAGATACTTGAATATGATGGATCATCGCCTGTGTCAGAAATTAAGTGGCACAGGCGTCTCGGATGAGCCTACGTCAGATAGTGATGGTCCGGGAACAGTGCCTATACCGCGAAAAACGAGGACGATGCGCGATAGGAAGCCATCCCATGAACCGTCTTCTGCGACTGGCAATATTACCATCGAGGAGGCCTTTGAGAGGAGCCGTTTTTTCGGACAGCAGCAACGTCGACGACATACTATATCTACTGTTAACGAGGCTGTGCAAGAGGATAAACGGGTTCGGACTACGCCTGGTGGTCGTCGCAAGAAATTAATGGGACCGGGTCTTGCATCGTTTTTGTCACTTACCGCAGCTCAAGCGCAAGTCCGCAAATGGCTGTATGCATTATACGTCTATGTTATGTCGCTGTCCATTATTCTGGGACCCATCCGCAAATATATCGCAGATCGAGCCTTTCAAGGCCAAGATCCGTTTGGGTGGGCTATAGGATACATGTTTGGGAATATTTCGACGGTTCGGTTCTGGGTACTTATAACAAACCTGGAATATTGGATCCAGCTTCCGCCGCGACCGGATGCGACCTTGGAAGATCCGACCTGCTGGCTGGGATGGGTTGAACATCTTCGCCAAACAACCTTTGGACCTGCCAATACCCGTTTATTGCTGAGTGCATACTGTGTCGTGGTGATGGCGATGGGTTTGGCCGTGGTGTTCCAACTCAAATCGGTCGCTGAGGTCGATACTCGACGTAAAGTATTTCATGGGATGATGGTATTGATGTTTCTGCCTACGGTGTTTGTGGATCCCACATTCTGCGCTCTAGCACTGGGATTAGTACTTTCGATATTCTTGCTCCTCGACCTCTTTCGAGCATCCCAGCTACCTCCGATTTCCCGACCCTTGACGTATTTCTTGGCGCCCTATGTCGACGGGCGCGACCATCGTGGACCTGTAATTATCTCGCATATATTCCTGTTGATTGGATGCTCGATTCCACTTTGGCTCTCTTTATCAGACCTCGATCGTCTCGGCGACGGACCTTTGGCTGGCTGGGACGTGGCTGGACGAGATGCCAGTATGGTCAGCGGAGTGATCTGTGTTGGGATGGGCGATGCAGCCGCCTCGCTGGTTGGACGCCGTTACGGCCGACTGAAATGGTTTTGGGGCGGGGGAAAATCACTGGAGGGAAGTGTGGCTTTTGTGGTAGCGGTCTGCGCAGGATTGCTGGCAGTTCGTGCCTGGCTGGTGGTGGGAGGATGGACAGTGGCTGGCGTCGAATTGGCAGAAGCATCCACCTCGACTGTTCGGTTCTGGCTCTGGACGGCCTGCAAGGCCGGGTTAGCGGCAGGTGGAACGAGCGCCACTGAGGCGATCCTTACTGGCTGCAATGATAACGTCGTGGTGCCCGTCGTGCTGTGGCTATTGGTGCGGGGGCTTGGTGTATGATGCCTATTTGTATAGAAAGCGGGGGCAGATAACCTCTGTACATTTCCTGTATAGTACCATCACGATATGACTATTATTATAGTTTCATTTCTTGATGTTGAATAAACCTCTTATAGATGACATAAATGGCTTTTCCTCATTCTTCCGTTCTCCATTTCCCCTTCTCGTATACATGATAAGCTTTGAGGGGGGCGTTATCGCGCCGATCTCGGGCTTTATCTAATCGACTCATCGATAACAAACCCCATACATTTTTGACTTAGGGAGTGACTTGAGATCATGTACCCTTGGCTACTCAGTGGGCGCCTGCATGTGTTAGCTTCCCCCTATTTTTCTTCTTTGTAGTGAATGATTCGCTTAATCTTCTATCTCTACCCTCCCTTGGCCTCCTTTTTGTCTCTTCATTTCTTGTTTTTCCCTCTTTTCTATATATAATCAAAACCGTGAGATACCTCGTCCACGATCTAGTGACCCACCCCTCCTGACCGCCCGCGCCCTATCACACTCATTCCCGTTTGGCGGTCACACCCCTCACGGTCCTTGGGTCTAGCTTTCCCGCCTCAATCATCACATCATCCTTCTCTCTCATTAGACCTTGTATCTTCCAACTTTGGTTCGCCTTCTTCCCTTTATACTCGACCTGCAGCTTTTTTGAAAGCTACTATACATTACCGCTTTCATCACTTGGGACCATCAACCTCTCACCCTATACTCCGATCCATCCTCTAGATAGTTGAAAGCTAGGCTTCCTACCCGTTGCCTATCTAAGTCACGGAACCGCTTGAACCGGTCTCGTTCCACGGTGCCCTGCCAACCAACGCCCTCACCACATTCGTTATCCCGGTGGTTCCTTGCTGCTTCACTTCTCCCATCTCTCTCTCTCTCTCTCTCTCCATACCACCGCTAGCACTTTTACTTTTCTTGGCTCCCCTGATGGGCCTGTACTCGTGCCAACCGCCTTCAGTACTTTTGCGGTAGTCGTGGTTGACGGGGAGAAGTTGGTTTGAGATCTTTCCCCAGGGTTTCTCTGCGAGATCTAAGAGCGGCCCTGTCACTGCTCGAAAACAACCATGACATCTCAACACTCTAGGAGGCCCCGAGAGTCCTCTCGCCACGAGATGATCATCGGTGGATACACACGACTCGAAGAGATAGGTCGAGGAAGTTTTGCAACAGTTTATCAGGGTGTGCATACAGTGAGTTCTCGGATCCTTTAGTGCACGCTATTGCTGTTAGCTTTGGTTGCTAATGTTTGAGTCATCTCTTTTAGAAACAACGCTCTTTAGTCGCCATCAAATCTGTCAATCTATCGAAGTTGAACAAGAAGTTAAAAGACAACCTTTCCTCCGAAATCGATATCCTCAAGGGCCTACACCATCCTCATATCGTCGCACTTATCGACTGCCATGAGTCTACATCACATATCCATCTGGTCATGGAGTACTGTGCTCTGGGAGACTTGTCGCTCTTTATCAAACGTCGAGATACGCTTGGCAATCACCGTCATACCCGTGACATGATTGCGAAGTATCCGAACCCGCCCGGAGCTGGATTGAATGAAGTTGTGACACGGCATTTCTTGAAACAGCTTGCCAGTGCACTCCGGTTTCTTCGAGATCGAAACCTTATTCATCGAGATATCAAACCTCAGAACCTTCTCCTTTGCCCAGCCCCTACATCTTATCGAAATGGCTTGGCCCAAACCGTTCCGTTAAAAGGCAGCGTGGACTCATTTGAGCCGACAACAGGGGTGCAATCTTTTCCGATGCTGAAGATTGCAGATTTCGGCTTCGCCAGATCATTACCAGCTACTTCATTAGCAGAGACTCTGTGCGGCTCTCCACTTTATATGGCGCCAGAGATCCTGCGATACGAGAAATATGATGCAAAGGCTGATCTGTGGTCTGTTGGAACTGTGTTGTACGAGATGGTCGCTGGACGACCTCCGTTCCGAGCTACGAATCATGTCGAGCTCCTTCGCAGAATAGAAAAGGGCGAGGATCGAATCCGGTTCCCAGAAGATAATCCGGCTTCAGATGATATGAAAAAACTCATTCGAGGCCTCCTGAAGCGGAACCCCGTGGAACGATTGAACTTTCCGGAGTTTTTCGTAAACAATGTTATCACTGACCCGATTCCATGGTTGGTTGGTGATGATATTCCCCCTGAGCTACGACGTCCTTCGATGGAGGTCTCTCCCAACGAACCCGGTCCATACCAGGCGGATTCTCGATCAATCAGGAGATCTGATAGAGATTCACCTTACCTGGGCCAGCAGGAGGAGCCCATGAGTTATCCTCCACATAGACCACATGCTCATCGCCAGAAATCATCAGAAACGCCAACAGGTTCTTTGCCAATGCGTCGCCAGGGAAGTGCAGATCGGCCACCATCAGGGCTTACTAGAGAAAATGCACGCGGCACTCCGCCACAGCGACCAGCTCCGATCACTCATACAACGACCGCTCCTGGGCGCCAGGAGTTGACAGACCGGAATGCCATGGCAGCCGCGATGGACCGACAGCGAAACCGAAGTACCTACTCCGGACCTTCCAAGTCAGGGACAGATCGCTCACAGGAGGAGACTGATCGAGCGGCCCAAGAAGTGGCGTTTGAGCGAGACTATGTTCTTGTAGAGAAGCGCGCGGTCGAAGTTAATGCCTTTGCTGATGAGCTGGCCCATAGTCCTCGAATTCAGGGCGGCTTTTCTCGGGGACAAACAGGCTCTTCAAACCGCCGTGCTACGACACAAGGACTTCCAGCCGTAGCATCAACTTCGCCTCACGGAAACTCCAAAGCTATGCAAGTTGTCTCCAGCCGTGCTAGAGCTGATTCAACGCATCAGCGCCAGCACTCGTACGAGCGGCGATATGGCCAGAGTCCCACTTCAGCGACATCTGCCATCTCAAAGGCTCTGAATATGGCCAGTGGCCGTTTGTTTGGCATGGGATTTTCGCCTCCAATGGCTATCACTAAAGGGGGTCGATCGCCACCTTTAGCATACAACCCTTTCCCGGCTTATCCTGCTGCGCATGCAAGTTTGATGCTTATGGGAGATGGTCCAAAAGCCAATGCTGCTGTTGACGAAGACCATAAGACAGTCAAAGTAATTGAAGAATGTGCAACTCGCAGTGACGTAGTTTTTGGATTTGCCGAAGTAAAATACAAGCAATTGATTCCGCTTGCTCCTTCTGCACAAGAGCTGCCAAGCAGGCAACCCGAAACTGCGAATGGGGACGCCAATGATGGAGATGATGGGTTGACAATTGATGCGATTGTGACTCTTTCAGAGGAAGCACTGGTTTTATACGTGAAAGCACTAGCGCTACTTGCTAAGTCTATGGATATTGCAGGAGCATGGTGGTCACGAAAGGATCGAGAGGAGGCGTACAGTGATGCTTCCAGCAGGGGTGACGGTACCAGTGCGGCAGCTGGTACTCGAATTAATAATGTTGTACAATGGGTCCGCAGCCGATTCAACGAGGTTCTGGAAAAAGCTGAATTCGTTCGCTTGAAGCTCGTTGAATCACAAAAGCGATTACCCCCAGGTCACCCCAGTCATCCAGATAACCACTCAATCGGCAATACCACTGCTTCTTGGGGATCGGCTGATATTGTCGTTAGCCCTGGGGTCACAGCCGAGAAACTGATGTATGATCGTGCGTTGGAGATGAGCCGAGCCGCTGCCATCAACGAATTGACCAGTGAAGATCTTGCTGGATGTGAGATTGCCTATGTAACTGCCATTCGTATGTTGGAGGCTGTTCTTGAGGATGATGGATCGCAGTCTTCCTCGGGCGCTACTCATGGCTCGGGCGACAAGGTCATGCTGGATGACTTCCAAGTTGAGGACCGGCAGGTGGTAGTCAAAAGTAAGTCTTATCTTTCACCGATTTGAGTGATGTCAAAACCTAACTCTTTTACAGTGGTCGCTAGTATGCGCACTCGTTTGAACTCTCTCCGGAAGAAGCTCAACATGCTCTCTAGACGCTCGTCAGTACCTACCCCTGCCATGGGCACTGGTCGAATGCCATCTTCGAATTTGGTCCCCGTTTCACACGCCACCGGAGCCACACCACCTCGATGATTTCTTAACCTTCCGCTTTCTTCCTCAATATCCACCCAATGATCCATGCTGCAGTCGTTTTATCAAGCATGCCCTGGAACAATTTATATAATTAACACGGACCGAATTTCTCCGTGTGTCCTTGATATCCTTTTTGTGGGGTATCGATCTCTTTTTTTATTTATCTGAACTTAACCAGCTAGTTCAGTTGTCCATTATTTCGTCCGCCATATATCCCATGTACAGGGAAGAGGAGTTGCTATTTTATCAATTTATCTGCTTGTTATTTTCGCCTTGGGTTTGATTTTTCTGGTGTTTTATCTGGGTTGATGGTATACAGACTGGTCATTTCTTTCTTTGTTCTCTTGATACTTTCTTCAACCATTGTTTTTCTATTCAATCTCAATGCACTAGTTCTGGGAGTTTGGTGGGTTCGTTTGGTTATACGTGGGGATATCGGATTGGGAAGAAACCCAGGATTATTTGCATATGCGTGATGCCTTATTAGACGAGATATGGAAATTTCAATATGACACCGTTCATTCTTATGTACTATAAATTATCTTGTAGCGATTTCCAAACCAGAACCCCTGGAGCGAGCTCTAGAACCTTATATATGCATAGCCATGCACCCACCCATGCGCACCCGCCCATGGGTAATAAATATATGTGGCTCACAAGCTTGGAATCAAAATCAACATCATCTCCACCGGGGCAATTATTTTTAAGGCTCTTGCCTACGAAAATCTAATAAGAATGAGGCAATTTGATACAATACTACCTCAGTCAGGCTGCGAGATCTCAGCTCTTGCCACATCAAGCAGGCCGTATTGGATGTTATACCTGATGACGCGATTAAATTATTTTTTTTCGCTATACTAGCCTCCTTGGCTTCCCTTGGCTAGAACATGTAATTATCACAAGTTCAGTCGGGCACATGGTTGCGTTAAGAGCCAAGCTGAGTATCCACACCATCCGCCGACGCAGAATAGCTTGGACCCTGAATCTGCCCGTTCCGCAAATACCCACTTCGAGTCAGTTAACGATGCCTCGAAGTCTGTTGATTTTTGTTCTGGAATTTCTACTTATGGGCGAGTCTAGAGCGAGATTTGAATTTTGGCATGACTCAATCCTAGACCTATAGTAGAGTATTGAATGGTGAAAATCAAGATAGCCTTCGCAAGGCTCTGTCGTCTACGTAACCTTGAAATGAAATCATGATATACTTTGAACACTCAATTTTTACCTAAATATGATAAATCATATGATATGAAAGAAAGAACCACAGACCTCGTTAAGAGATGAAATGAATTGCTAAATAGAAGTTTGAAATCCTTTCAATTGCGCCTTATTTCAACATTCAAGCAGTTGAAGGTATAACTTGCCCAGGCGGGTCGCCATATTGCATCACATTTAGCGCTAGCACACCATACTATACACCGTGGTTAACCGGGATTCAGCTCTAAACTGCTGTTACATTGAAAATTTAGCAGTGTCATAACATCTCAATATGTAAATAAATATAATCCAGGTCTCGAGGTGGGACAGGTTCAAAATTTCCGAACAAAAATGACTAACTCTTCTGCTGGGCAGCCTGGCGAGGCTACGGACTCTAAAACCGCGTTTGTGAGCCATGATAGACAGACTGATGCTCCTCAACCAGCAGATGGTATTACTGGGCTATGTATGGATTCCTCTCGTGATTTGTGCTTTGAAGGGGTTGAAGATGTCAATGGTCGTTGAGGCTAATGATTATTCTGTTGGTAGACGAGGGAAATGTTTTCGAAGCGACACCAGATAATCGGCGACAGATCGGGGTGTTCAGTGCCACGCTGCTGATTTTTAATCGAGTTATTGGTACGGGTATCTTTGCGACTCCAAGTACCATTCTGCAGTTGTCTGGAAGTGTGGGGTTGTCTCTTTTTATGTGGGTTATTGGAACTGCGATCGCCATGGCCGGTACGGCTGTGTATCTTGAATGGGGTACTGCTATTCCCAGGTATGTGATAATATGAGTCCAAAGAAACATGTGCAGATCCAAAAGCACTGTATGAAGTAAAGCCAGCTGACACACCATAGGAATGGTGGAGAAAGAATTACCTCGAGTACGTTTACAAAAAGCCCAAGTTCCTGGCCACAGCCATGTATGCAGCCTACACTTTTCTGCTCGGCTGGGCAGCAAGCAACAGTGTCGTTTTCGGTCAATATATCCTCAACGCAGCGGACGTAGAGGTTGGACGTTGGAACCAGCGTGGTATTGGCTTAGCCTGTCTGACCACAGCGTTTCTTATCCACACCATTGCTCTGAAATGGGGACTTCGACTCATCAATCTCCTTGGTATTGTCAAGTTGATCATTGTTGTCTTTATTGCAATCACTGGCTGGGCTGCATTGGCAGGTCATACCAAAATTGACCCGCCGCATAACTTCCACAATGCCTTTGAAGGAACTAAGGGGAGTGGATATAGTATTGTCATGGCGTTGTATAACGTTATTTGGTCATTCATTGGCTATTCAAATGCCAACTATGCAAGTTTTAGGATCTGAGATCTCGATACCAACCATCTAATATTGAATATAGGTTCTCAGTGAGACGAAGAACCCGGTCCGAACGTTGAAAATCGCGGCTCCCATAGCTATCGGCTCTGTTGGCATTTTGTACATGCTTGTGAACATTGCTTATTTTGCTGCTGTTCCGAAAGAGCAAATGATGAATTCTGGAACTGTTGTTGCTGCCGCATTCTTTGGAAATGTCTTTGGTAAAGAGGCTGAGAAGGTGATATCTGTTTTCGTGGCATTGTCGGCATTTGGGAATGTTCTGTCTGTTATATTCTCTCAAGGTCGAAGTATGTATCCTTTATAAGCTCTCATCTAGCACCAAGGGCCATTTCTGTTCAAGTTGCCGCAGCGCCGCTAACCGTTTCTTGTAAATAGTTGTTCAAGAGCTAGGTCGTGAGGGAATTTTGCCTTTCGCCAGTTTCTTTGCCAGCAACTGGCCTTTCCATTCTCCGGGTGCTGGACTGTTTGAACATTATATTGTTTCAGCCATCATTTTATTGGCTCCGCCACCGGGTGATGCCTATAACTTTTTGTTGAAGTAAGTCCCATTCCAAGTTATGATTCTCGAGTCCTGGACAGGAAAGAAAAGCTCCACATGTCGAAGATGATCATGACGACTGACCACATCCTCAGCCTCATCTCTTACCCACTGTCGATCGTCAACGTATTCGTCTCTGGGGGTCTCATTTACATTTACCTGAAAAAAGAGAGCGAATTCCCGAACTGGAACCCAGGAATCCGTGCAACTCTCCCCGTGACTGGGTTCTTTCTCTTATCGAACATATATCTGGTTGTCACACCGTATATCCCACCAGACGCAGGCCAGAATGTCTATGAGAGCTTACCATACTACCTCCACTGTGTTGTGGCCTTGGGGATCTTTGCAGCAGGAGCTATTTACTATCTTGCGTGGGCAGTGGTGTTACCCCGGCTGGGCGGATACGTGCTTGTGAAGGAGTCCGTTGTGGATGCGGATGGTTGGTCTCGAAGTGTTTTTACAAAGCTGCCTAAGGCTTCCACGCGGCATTCTTGAACTATTTGAACTCAAGGTTGTCCGTGTGGCCGTGTCCAGATGTCTGTTGCGGAGCTCCGAGTCGGAGTTCGGAGTACCTAGTATCAGTACCTAGTATCGGTGGATATTCGTGTTTTCGTTGAGGAATTTGCTGGGTCTTATGGCTAGTGACTCGGAATCTTTGTCGGACTCCGACGGGGTACCGATTGAAGTTCCAGAGTTCCAAGGTTACCTAGGACATTGGAGGCTTGAGATAGGAAAAACGGAATAATTGGATATTGAGTATTCTTTTATCATTAGATGACTGTGAGTCACATCTCGAAGGATTCCATCTAGGCTAGATCCAATTACAATCAAAGTATGTCCCAATTCTTTTATGGATGCTCATTCAGGAAGTATCATGAGCCCCTCAAACCGACTGGATAAATGGTCTTGCAAGAAAGAACAGACTCTCAAAAGAAAGAACTGCTCTACAGTCGACTACCGTAGAGTAACATGGCATGCGCTGGTTGAGACTTGCGGTTAAAGAAGAAGAAACAAATCAAAAACGAAAAAAAAGAAGAAAAAGGCCGCGACACCACTAGTTATACCGCCTACCTATTCCATCCATTCTGCCGGCTGCAACCTTTTCTTATGATTGTTCTCCGAAGCGGCTTTGATTCTTCCCCTTTAGGCTTCGTTATTGTTCCATTATTATTGTACTATATAATTTTTTTTGTTCTGTATTATTATTGGGTTGTGACTCCCCACACTTTCTTTCTTTCTTTGTTAATTTTCCTCTTAATTGAGGGGTTTCGTGGCCAATGCGACGTTTCTCCACGCGTGCGCTGCTTCATTCAAAAGCAAAGCCACCGCTTCTATCCGCCAGGTCTCCCCTCCCCCTCTTTCTTTCCGCCCCTCGTTCGGCTCCGACTTCCAAACCAAATCGCCTGCGTTCCTCTCCTCTTTCACAAACCTCAAAGCGATACTGCTCCTACCGCAGAATGTGTCACGCTCGCCGCGACGAGGTCTCGGGCTCGACCAATGTCCAGGGACGAGAGGTCCTGCCCACCAATGTCAAGCCATTGCACTATGACTTGACCCTCGAGCCCAATTTCGAAAAGTTCACCTACAATGGTACTGTCACGATTGAGTATGTTATCATGATTCAAGTATATGGATAGACCCGATGTTGGAACAATGCTAACCACGCCCCACCTCGCCTGTATAGCTTGAACGTCAACGAGGACACCGATTTCATTTCCCTCAACTCCAACGAGATCAACATTCACAGCGCAACTGTTCTTTCCAAGGGATCTGTTGTAGAGTCCAAGCCCGAGATTTCCATGAACAAAGATGCCCAGACCGCAACAATCAAGTTCGGCCAGGCACTCTCTGCGGGGTCAGATGCCCAGCTGAAGCTCACCTTCACTGGTATCCTGAATGATAACATGGCTGGTTTCTACCGATCATCATACAAGGAGAATGGAAAGACCAAGTACATTGCTTCAACTCAAATGGAGCCCACAGATGCTCGCCGTGCTTTCCCTTGCTTCGACGAGCCTGCCCTCAAGGCCAAGTTCACCGTGACTCTTATCGCAGACAAGAGCATGACTTGCTTGAGCAACATGGATGTTGCCACCGAGACTGACGTTGATGGCGGTAAGAAGGCTGTTAAGTTCAACACATCGCCCGTTATGTCGACCTACTTGATTGCTTTCATTGTCGGCCACCTCAACTACGTTGAGACCAACCAGTTCCGAGTGCCTGTCCGTGTTTACGCTACCCCCGACCAGGACATTGAGCATGGCCGATTTTCCCTCGAGCTTGCTGCAAAGACTCTCGCTTTCTACGAGAAGGCCTTTGACAACGACTTCCCGCTGCCGAAGATGGACATGGTAGCAGTGCCCGACTTCAGCGCGGGAGCTATGGAGAACTGGGGTCTGATTACCTACCGCATTGTCGATGTCCTGCTGGATGAGAAGACTGCTGGTGCATCGCGCAAGGAGCGTATTGCCGAGACCGTCCAGCACGAATTGGCTCACCAATGGTTTGGTAACTTGGTTACCATGGACTTCTGGGATGGCCTGTGGTTGAATGAGGGTTTCGCAACCTGGATGTCGTGGTACTCGTGTAACGTCTTTTACCCGGAGTGGAAGGTGTGGCAGACTTATGTCATTGATAACCTCCAGGGTGCCCTGTCACTCGACTCGCTGCGTAGCAGCCACCCCATTGAGGTGCCTGTCAAACGTGCCGATGAGATTAACCAGATCTTTGATGCTATCTCCTACTCCAAGGGTTCTTCCGTGCTACGCATGATTTCCAAGTACCTCGGAGAAGACGTTTTCCTGCAGGGTGTTCGTGACTATATCCGTAAACATGCTTACGGAAATACCGAGACTGGTGACCTTTGGGCTGCCCTTGCCAAGGCTAGCGGCAAGCCAGTTCAGTCCGTCATGGAAATCTGGACCAAGAATGTCGGTTTCCCTGTTATCAGTGTGACTGAAAACCCTGAGTCATCGTCCATCAGCCTGAAGCAGAACCGTTTCCTGCGCACTGGTGATGTTCGACCTGAAGAGGACAAGGTCCTTTACCCTTGTATGTTGGGACTGCGTAGCAAGGACTCTATTGATGAGAACACCATGCTTACTGAGCGTGAGGGTGAATTCAAGGTTCCCGACCTGGATTTCTTCAAGCTTAATGCCGATCACTCCGCAATCTACCGCACCTCTTACAGCCCTGAGCGTCTCCGCAAGCTGGGACAGGCTGCTCGTGATGGCCTTCTTACTGTGGAGGATCGTGCTGGTATGATCGCCGACTCCGGCGCTCTGGCTGCTTCTGGTTTCCAGAAGACTTCGGGTTTGCTGTCTCTCCTCCAAGGCCTCGATACCGAGACCGAGTTTGTTGTCTGGACCGAGATGCTGTCTCGTATCGCTACCTTGCGCAGCGCCTGGTTGTTCGAGGATGACAAGACTAAGGATGCCCTCAAGGCCTTCCAGCGCTCCTTGGTTGCTAACAAGGCCCATGAGCTAGGCTGGGAGTTCTCTGAGAATGATGATCACATCCTGCAGCAATTCAAGGCTCTTATGTTTGGCTCTGCTGGTATGGCCGAGGACCCAGTTGTTATCAAGGCGGCCCAGGATATGTTCGCACGCTTCGCCGCTGGCGACGTCTCCGCCATTCACCCTAACATCCGAGGCAGCGTTTTCACCCTTGTCTTGAAGCATGGTGGTGTTAAGGAGTACGAAGTTGTCCTCGACCGCTTCCGTCACGCATCTACTTCCGATGAGAAGACCACCGCTTTGCGCTGTCTCGGTGCGGCTGAGGATCCAGCTCTCATCAAGCGCACTCTTGGCCTTGCTACGAGTGATGAGGTCAAGAACCAGGATATCTACATGCCCCTGGGTGGCTTGCGTAACTCCGCGGTCGGTATTCAGGCTCGCTGGGAATGGCTCCAGGAGAACTGGGATGGTGTTTACCGACGCCTTCCTCCGTCCCTTGGCATGCTTGGTACCGTTGTGCAGCTCACCACTGCAGCTTTCGGCACTGAGGCTCAGCTGAACGAGGTCAAGGCCTTCTTTGATTCCAAGGACACTAAGGTGAGTAATGAGGAAACCTTTAAATCAAACGTTTTGCTTTTTTGATCGGATGACTAACCTTCCCTCTTTTTACAGGGATACGACCGTGCTGTTGAGCAGAGTCTTGATGCTATCCGTGCTAAGGTCAACTGGGTCCAGCGTGATAACAAGGACGTCGAGTCTTGGCTTAGCAAGAACCAGTACCTTCAGAGCAAGCTGTAGGTTCTGATTAGCTACAAGGTTGTCAAACATTTTCGGGGTTTTCTTTCAATAATATCAGGCCAGAGCCCATAAAGAAACGGCATACGGGCTATGTCTAATCTGTCAAAGAAGGCTGGTTATTTTCACTCTCTTCTCCAGCGTACATCTGTCATCCAGCACTAGCTAGAGCGAAGTCAAAATACTCAAAAAAACAAACTTCGTTGAACTATGATTTCCAGTGTTGTCATCCTACCAGGGTGATAAATAATACTAAACTGCACATATAAGGTGTTACAAAACGTAGTTGCACTAAGAATTGACCATATAAAGACATAATTTAGATATTAGCTATCAAATGTTTATTTCGCTTTACATCTTTAAATGAAGAGCCTGGTGTTTGCCTAGAAACTTTTGCTTGACGTTTTATACTTGCGTACATGGTCAGTTTCGCCTCCCGTAGTATTTTGATATGCGATAAGCGCGATCTTAACGTTCATTCTACTGTACATATTTCTCATCACAGTGCTCTCACCGTTGGACCACAATGGATAGCATTGAGATGAACATGCAAAATGGGGGTCCTCCAGCTCCCCCGCCAGATCCTATCGAACGTCCTCCTACACCTCCACCACCACCTCCCGAGGATCTAGGTGCTCCGCCGCCTCCACCAGATGTCGCCGCACCTCCGCCGCCGCCGCCAGATGATGTGCCGCCGCCAGCACCTCCGGTAGACACGAAAAAGAAGAAACAGGGATGGGGCGCAAAACGCCCAGCTGCGGCTCCACTGAGTGTTGAAGATTTGCTTCGTAAGAAGAAGGAAGCAGATGCGGCAGCCGCTAAGGTAATCTTTCTTTGAATCACGCCTTTCCCAGCTTTCGCCTTTGGGTCTTCCCTCGCAACATTTTGCTAATTTTTCGTTGAACATTTAGCCAAAATTCTTATCCAAAGCTCAGCGGGAAAAATTGGCGTTGGAGAAGCGTGCGAAGGAAGTAGAGGCTGAAAAACAAGCCAGGGCGCAGGCGAATGGCTCTGCGGACAAAGGATTTTCGGCTCCAGCACCACCAAAACCCTCACAAGAGCCTAAATATGATCATAAGGAACCGAACTCGAGAGTACCCACTGGGCCTCGTTCAATGCGCGGAGATGGCTCGAAGGGACATGGGCCAAGGCCACGAAATCACGACATGGACCCTCCGCCTCCGCCTGGGCCGAAAGGAGGAAAGAACGCCAAAGCTGAAAAGCGCCTTGCAGAAGAAGACGAAGCCGAGGCACAAGCTGCTATCATCAAGCAGCGATATATGGGAGCAGAACAGGTCTCCAACTTCTCGGCGAAGAAGAAGCGAAAACGTACCACGGATCGCAAATTTAATTTCGAATGGAACCTCGAGGAAGATACCAGCCCTGACTATAACCCATTATACCAGCATAAACACGAGGCAAACTTCTTTGGACGAGGCCGCTTAGCTGGGTTTGGTGAGGATACTGCGGATGATATGGCTAAGAAGTATGCACAGGCGCTTGAATCTCAGGACCGAGATACGGGCAGCATGCGCGCAAAGGAAATCATGGAGATGGAAAGACGGCGCCGTGAGGAGGGCTCGCGCAACCAGATTGACAAGCATTGGAGTGAGAAGCGCTTGGATCATATGCGCGAGCGTGACTGGCGTATTTTCAAGGAGGATTTCAATATCTCTACCAAGGGTGGAACTGTGCCCAATCCCATGCGATCATGGACTGAAAGTCAGCTTCCTAAGCGTTTGCTGGAGCTTGTGGATCGTGTCGGCTATAAAGAGCCCACAGCCATTCAGCGCGCTTCTATTCCCATTGCCTTGCAATCCCGGGATCTTATTGGTGTTGCTGTGACAGGTTCCGGTAAAACAGCCGCGTTCTTGTTGCCGCTTCTTGTTTATATCTCAGAATTACCTCGGCTTGACGAGAATGAGTGGCGCAAGAACGATGGACCCTATGCAATTGTTCTAGCCCCAACTCGTGAATTGGCACAACAAATTGAGATTGAGGCTAGGAAATTCACACAACCTCTTGGCTTCAACGTCGTCAGTATTGTTGGTGGTCATGCATTGGAGGAGCAAGCCTACAGTCTACGTGATGGTGCAGAAATCATCATTGCAACTCCGGGTCGTTTGGTTGACTTTATCGACCGACGAATGCTAGTGCTTAGCCAGTGTTGCTACGTGGTCATGGATGAAGCAGATCGCATGATCGATCTTGGTTTCGAAGTTTCTGTCAACAAGATTCTTGATGCTCTCCCAGTCTCTAATGAAAAGCCCGACAGTGAAGAAGCTGAGAATTCACAAGTCATGACTCAACAGCTTGGAGGACGTGACCGATACCGCCAAACTATGATGTACACAGCTACTATGCCAGCGGCAGTTGAGCGTATAGCCCGCAAGTACCTACGAAGACCCGCCATTATCACCATTGGTGGTGTTGGTGAAGCTGTCGATACAGTCGAGCAGCGCGTGGAGATGATTCCTGGCGAAGACAAGCGAAAGAAGCGTCTACACGATATCCTGGCCTCTGGCGAGTTCCGGGCCCCTATTATTGTCTTCGTCAACATCAAGCGAAACTGTGATGCTGTTGCTCGTGAGATCAAACAAATGGGTTTTTCTTCGGTCACTTTGCATGGTTCGAAAACACAAGATCAACGTGAGGCTGCTCTTGCGTCTGTTCGTGGCGGCTCTACCGATGTCCTTGTTGCCACTGATCTTGCTGGACGTGGTATCGATGTTCCAGATGTGTCTCTCGTCGTCAACTTCAACATGGCTACCAGCATTGAAAGTTATACTCACCGTATTGGTCGTACTGGTCGTGCGGGTAAGAGTGGTGTGGCTATTACCTTCCTTGGAAATGAGGATACCGATGTCATGTATGTCTACTTTACCTTATTTCGACTCATTTTGATTCTCGTGGTGCTAACTTTTTTATCAGGTATGACCTCAAACAAATGCTTATTAAATCTCCGATCTCGCGTGTCCCCGAGGACCTGCGCAAGCATGAGGCTGCGCAGTCTAAACCCAATCGTGGCCAAGCAAAGAAGATTGAAGATAGCTCAGGATTCGGCGGCAAAGGAGGTTGGAGCTAAGGACCACAAAATTTCATGGCCCGTGTGGAGTTTTGTATTATAATGACTTTATGGAGTGAACTCTCCAATCCCAAGCAATGGAGATCATTCAGACCCCGGGCCTTTTCAGCTCCTCGAAGCGCCTTTCACAACCAACTGGTGGCCTTCTGGTGCCAAACCTTGGAAACCCCGCGGTCATCTATAACAAACAACTCTGTATTGTCTTCGTGGATTGAAGTTTTATCACTGGTAATACCCAGGCATTTGAAATTAAGTTTAATTGAGATATGTAACCTGATGCGAATGTGATGATAATCTCTCAACCCTCCCATTTATCCCAACATTTCAAATTCCCAAGCCCGACCAAGTACACAGAGAAAAGTGATCTGCCTGTCGGGATGCAATTATGACTGAATCAGACCTCAGCGATAGTTCTTACCCCTCAAATCCTTAAAGCCCGCAGCTTCAAGATCATTCTCAATGAGTCCAGGAAGAGTAATGTGATGCAGCACAACTTCCTTTGTGTTTTTCTTGATAGCATCCTCGGACGGAGGAGTCCATGTCCCCCGGAGAATCTGATTAACAGCTTGACTGAGATAAGACGCATTCTCGGTGTAGGTGATGAAGCCGGCGGCTACTGAGATGTAAAATATTCCAGGATAATCTTGATCGTAGAAACGGAGGTACAACGGACGTTCGATATCCGCCGCAGCCAAGGAGTCGTACTCGCCTGCTTCGCAACCCTCAGGAAGATACGAGGATTCGGTGGACCATCCTGTAGCTGCGACGAACATTTTAGGAGTCAAGATTGTGCCATTGGAAAGGATTACTTTGTCTCCGTCGATGTTTTTGATTCCGCAGCCGTTGTGGATTTTGAATTGGCCCTTTTTGTATGCGGGGACGAGATGGGATCGTAGAATGTAGCCGACCTTTGCTGAAGCACCCTCGTCTAGAACATGTTAGCTTCTATACTTGTGAAATGGCCAATGAACTCAGCTGGGGTGGGGGTGAGAGGGTTCTTACGGAAGGGAGGTCGCCATTCTGGTACGCCTTGGATGAGGGCCCAAATAAAGTGGATGAAGTATAGGATGGAGTCGACGACGAAGATAGGTAGGACACGATATAGAACTCGGCATAAGTGTAGGTCAGTCCATCCAAACTTCCACAGGGACGGCCACCACATGTCTGGAGCACCCCTAGACTTTTGTTAGCAGTTGGCTCTTAGGAGTTTAGTATCAACGAGCATACCAGTGAGGCGAGCGTGCAACGAGATGCACGTTCTCTGACTCGTTTGTCAAGCAGGCCTGTTGAATTATGTCCATAGCAGAAGGTCCAGCTCCGACAACCACGATATCGGAATTAGGAAGCTCTTTTGGATCACGAATGTTGTTGTTGTGGATTATGGGGAACGTTGCTGTTTCCTGGCCGGGAAACTTGGGCATGTATGGAACTTGGTTATGTCCACTAGATACTGTTAGCTAGGGTCCAAGGCTTGAAATCATCCTGGGAGGCTCAAGAGAGAGAGAGAGAGGGATTCAAGAGAGACGTACGTGCAAACGAGAACACTTCGAGTGTAGACGGTTCGAGAGACGGGCTTCTCCAATCCTTCAACGAAAGGACGCAAGTCCACCTTGTGAAGCATTGGCTTGACCATCTCCACGTGGGCTACATCATGCTGCCACAATACATGTTCATGTAGATGAAACTCCTTGAAGTATGCCTCACAAAACTCAGCGACTTGGTCTCTTGATGCTCGCCTTTGGGGTTCTCGTCGAGGAAACTTGACACCATGACATTCATATTCACAGACTAAGTCTTGTAGTGTTGAATACTCTGGAATATGACCTGTCCAGATACCTCCTGGTCCTTCTTGACGTTCTATAGCAAGTACAGAGAGTGGTGGCTCGTCTCTTAGAAGGTTCCGGAGAGAGACCATACCTAAACAGCGTCGTTAGTATATAATCCCCCATAGTTTTTTTTTTTTTTTTTTTTTGAGCTTTGTTATTGCTGCTTGAATTACCGGAAGGACCAGCCCCAATAATGAGAGCATCGATAGGGTTTTCGGCAGAGGTACCAGCATCACCAGAAACCACCTTGTCCACGGTATTGGGTGTGGATGATTTCATCTTGCGTATGGTTGCGGGGTTAAGGTTAAACAATTAAACGAAAACCGAATCTCCGAATGAATCTGAAATCTGAAAAATTGGCCCCAAAGATGTATCAACAAGTTAGTTCAGCGAACTCATCTAAGAAGTAAAAAAGAAAAGATTTCACCGTCTTTCGTGCATAGACATCAAGATCGTGGCTTTGAACCAATTCCCCACATCGGACCACAGAAGTACTTGCAGACTTTCCTGCTTGGGTCATGTATGCGACCTTCCCGTAGAAGAAAGGCGCGCTAACACGAAATTTGGTCGAATTAGCCTTCGCGGAACCATTACGCGGAGGGAATCTCGGAGCGACCATCGATAAGCTGTTCCAGGGGCTATTAACGTCCTTCCTCTTTCTATCATTTCGTTCCACATTACGGGTTTGATCCTTTTAACCATCTATATCGTGGTGTACGCGACATTTCGCAACTATGTGGGAGCGAGGTTGGTATTGATTTATTCCGTTATTTCCCTGTTTCCACTTTAAACCCTGGTTAGGGTGGGAATCGTCAAGAGGTCCGCTGCTAATGTGGCGTCGTCAGTCACCGGGAAGGATGATGCGACCGTGTTGGCGGCATTGGGTCACAAAGAGGAGCTCAATCGTCAGTTCACGCCTTTTTCTATGGCAGCTACTGGAGTAATTACTGCCAGCGCGTGGGTAAGAAGAAATCTTAGAGGCGGATTCCTTTCTGGGGCCGCGAGCCTTGAATCGTGGTTCGTAATATTAATTCGCGGCAGACGGCGATCATCGGGACCTTCATAACCTCCATCTATAATGGCGGTGCTGCTGGGTTACTCTATGCATGGTATGTATAACCCTGAATTTCCCCTTGAATTCACTGATTACTTACCAAGGAAATGATAGGATCGTGGATAATTTCTTTTTTCTCTTTATTGCCCTGTCCATGGCCGAGTTGACCTCGGCCATGCCGACTGCTGCAGGCGTGTATCACTGGTCCGCGGCATTGGCAGGACCTAAGTATTCTCGTCCAGTGGGCTTTCTCACCGGATACTTCAATATGCTTGGATGGACTCTTGGTCTGGCTTCTTTATACTCTGTTGCTGGCCTTGAAGTCACCGGATTGTATCAGCTCTACCATCCCGAGTACGTGCCTCAGCCATGGCATGTCTTCATTGTGTTCTTGGTCCTCAACTGGTCCTTTGCGGCTTTCATTCAATTTGGAAACAGAATTTTGACCTGGTACACTAAAGTTGGACGTATGGATTATGAAGCTCCTCCATTGAAAAGTTCTTTCTGCTAACGCATATATTATTAGTATTCGTTAATGTGGGCGCCTGGTTTACGATCATCGTCTGCCTTGCTGTTCTCCCCAAGTCTCACTCTACTAGTTCATTTGTATGGACAGACTATACCAATTCAACGGGTTGGCCAACAGGTATGAGCTTTATTCTTGGCATGGTTGCTCCAGCTTTCGCCATTGGTACGATCGACAGCTCGACACATATGGCCGAAGAAGTACCAAACCCATCAAAGAATATTCCCAAAACCATAATGGTTCAGTGGTTTGGATCCTTTATCATGTAAGTTATAAATCCTATAACGTGATTGTTTCTTCCATTTGCCTCTGTGTTACTTGAGATACATATACTGACATCAACATAGGGGCCTCTGCTTCCTCATCGCTCTTTTCTACGCAGCGGGCAACCTGGATACAATTCTCACTGCTTCAACTGCCAACAATTTCCCAGTTGTAGGCATCATGCAAATTGCGTTTGATGATACACGATCCGCCTTCGCATGCGGTCTAGTAATTTTCCTCGCTGCCATCCCAGGTTGTGTCGGTGCGCAAATCGCGACCGTAAGATGTGTGTGGGCATTTGCTCGTGACGGTGCTCTTCCATTCTCCAATTTCTTTTCCAAAGTCGACGAGCACAACGTTATGCCAGCAAGAGCAAACATTCTAATTAGTAAGTTGTATAGCCTGGACTTCTAACCCAGATCAAGCCTGACAATCTTTTAGCAACCATTAGTACTGCCTTGGGCGCTCTTTACGTTGCGTCGACAATTGCCTTCAACGCCCTTGTCGCTTCGTACGCCGTCATGTCGTCGACCTCATATGGCATTGCCATTGCTGTCCACTTCTTTACCGGGCGCAAGAGAGCTGCACCGGGTTGGTTCTACCTTGGTGATGGAATTGTAGGATATGGTGTGAATGCGATTGCATTGGTTTACATCTTTGTCACCAACGTCTTCTTCTGCTTGCCTTATGATCGGCCCCCGGTTACTGCCTCAACCATGAACTACACCTCCCTTGTGTCATATGGGATGGCTATTCTGGTGATTATCTGGTGGTTTGTTGGTGGCAACAGAATTTACAAGGGACCAAAGCTGTCTTCTGAGACTTACCAGGTCTTGGAAAGACTCGCGGATTCCAGAGATGGTCTCCAGGTTGAGAACGTCCAGTCGACAGGAAAAGCTGAAAACTGACGTTGACTCGAGCGATGTTGTGTTCATTTGAATCTGTATATTCATCGTCTGTCTTTCTAAGGCTCTATTGAATAGATATATAATATAGAAAATTTCATGTACTGTACTCAAAAAAGGACGATGTCTTGCCCGTAACTTTCTAAGAAAATATCCCATCGCTCCGTCGCACCAGACTCCCAGTACGCATGCATGGCCTGCCGTGCAGTTTCAACATTACCCATCCCAAATGCCTCCATCCTTGAGATTCTCTGTTCAATTATCTTCCTCTGCTCCGGATCATCCGTTTCACATCCGACCGTGAAAACCGGCCACAGAGTCAAGATGTTAGACGAAGACTCTCGGGGAATCATCTGGATAGTCTCAATAATCATATGAACCGCATAAACCGCCTTGGTATGATATTTAGGCAGGTCCTGTACACGGCGGTACAAATGTAAAAGAGCGGTATACAAGAACGCCCGGTGGATGCACTGCATCTCTTCTGCTCGTTTTCTTGTTTCAGGATTAGGGTTGTTCACCAGTTCTGGGTGGGCGGTCCGATTATAAAGTGAATAGATCAGGCTTTCCATTTGCCGGATTTCTTCCAGGCTTTCCTCACGAAGTTGATTATCAACGGTTTCGTCATCAGAATCGTCGTTGACGGCCATGACCTGGCTTCTTTTGCGCTGAACCCGGGCCATTTTTCCAATTCGTGATATTATTGGGATTAGATCTAGAGAGTAGCCTGTCCATTCATCGATGTATAGATCATCGTCATTAGATGACCAGTAGCGTCCATCGGGATTTGAATTTGAACTCTTGCGAAGACCGGAGACACCGGCGAAAATGTCCAACAGTGCATACCACTTGATGACGAAGGTTTCTAGAGGGTTTTTGCCGTCTGTTTCTGATTTCGACGGTGATGATGGATTCTTGTCATTTTGGAAGGCAGACATGATAAGCTTGTTTGCCCCTGATAAATGGATGCGCCAAGTACTCAGATCGCCCGAGATCACGTCCGATGTACACAATGCAAGAGCTGTGCTGACCGTCTCCAGTTTCCCTGCTTGCTTTGGATCTGTCATTGCCTTTCGCAGACCATTGAGTGATGCGTTGGTGAATTTCGTGATGTTATTTGCCAACTCTATGGGCATGCCTTCGTGTCGGCGGGCATAATGTGAACATGCACATGCGAGAAATGCATTAAGGAGATGCGGATTAGACATGGCGGACCGAAGAAGATCTTCTCGTAAAGGATTGCCAGTTAATGAAAGAGGAAAGATGACGTCCGCCGTTACATTGATGTAGTGGTGAAGGAAGAAGCGGCTTTCTGGAGAAGAGGAGAGTTGTGAAGGGTTGGTAGAAAGTGCGTATTGAATTTGCTGGAAAAAAGGTGACAACTCTTGATTATTTGATTGTTCGGAGGCGTCTTTCTCTATCTGTGCTCGTTTCTTATATGGGTATCTTCGGGCCAGAGACTTTTGAAGCGTTGTGGTATGGTTTGCGTGAGTCGGTGGTATCCTTTGGGCCAACGCAGCCTCTGCGGGATCAATGGAAGTTGAAGCGGAATGGTCATCGCTTAACCTATGTTGTTGATGGATATAATTTTCTGATTGAAAAGAGTACTGCCTGCCTTGGTCGGGAGCAGTTGGACCCGTCGTTGTCTCGAAAACCCATTCTCCTGAGCTTGCTGAGTTTCCCGAGCCGGTAGAAGCGGTAGAGGTAGTCGAAGCAGTTGAGACCGTGGAGAATTTGCGACTGGGATCAGTTTCTTGTGCTGGAAATGAAGTGCTGGCCGATGCATTTTGTGCTTCGGGTGGACTTTGCGAACTGCTCTGTGAATCGGTTTGCGGGCGGTTCTTAAAAGGCCTGCCGCCCGTCCACGAGAGCTTGAATTCGTATTTGCATTTTTCCGGACGGTGTTTACATCGCACACAGATCGGTTTACCCTCGTCGCACTATATCAACGGATTGTATTAGTTCGTCGTGATTCAAACTAAAAGTCGACTTCACCAAACCCCTCTTTGGGTATCCGAGCTTACCTTGATTCTCCTCCTTTTGCACTCCACGCAGCCCGTTCTCATCTTGGAGTGGGGTCTGATCGACCTCATTGTTTGGCCCTCGGGAGCGCCCGCGGAATCCATTCATGCCAGGTTTGCCAAAGCATTCAGCTCTGGCAGTATGTGTCAGATTGATTGGGGAGACAACGGAGTCCTCTCGATAGATGTCCGTTATCGTAGGTTGAGCATGACAAACCATCGCGGAAGTCGTGAGATTCAAAACGGCAACTCTGCGCCCAGAAGTTCGAGCTAGCAGTTAAAGTGGTAAGGATAATCGGAACACAGGCCAATCAGATCCGCATGTAGTGGAGACGATGCATTATTTTAGACACCAAGTTCATCCTTTGGGATTAATTGGTGCGGGTACTTGACCCAGCCCGAGTGACGTTAACACCATTGGCTTGCTGAGCCTGGATGCAAACTGAAAATCACAATGTAACCCTGGTTGATTGATAGATCAATATTTGGGATTTAGCCATGAGATTTCCTCCCATTTGAATGATGGAGGGAGTATCAAGTGGAGTGATAGTAAAAAAAATACCCTGATCCGAAAACAGGAAGTTTCCGGTGCCCGATAATGGGTTTTCTTTTTCTCGTACAAAAGGGTTTTGTGTAGCGATGCCCTGCCACGAACAAGCCAATCTTGCCGACCGTGGAAAAGCCAATAATTGGCACTCTGGTCTCAAAGACATGTGGAAGACAATCACTCATACATATTTGAGGGAGGCCCACCGTCTGAATGATCACTTGGCGATATCATTCATCAATAACTGATATTGAATGTCTTGCCCCAAGTGGTTCGATCCAAGGCAAACAAGTTTGTCGATCTGGATCTTCCGTTGTCTCCACATTGAATCAGTGGCGATGGCCGGGTCCCTTAAAGCGGTGCTTTAGAATCCACCCAAGTCCAAGATGCCTTAAATGCCTGAAAAGTAGACAGGGGGCCCAGTCCTAGCATGTGAGACATAGCATGTGGCCGCAGACATCGAAAATCGGGAGCTGTCGAGCATTGGACGAGTAGAAGCACCAGGAAGAAATGTGAATCCCATATTTCATGCCCACTCTCGTTTCGTTCCTGAGGATATGATGCGAATATTCATGTGGAAATATTCAATTTTCGGGTTGAGCCGCATCGATTCGAATAGTTATGGCGCGTTCCGTGCTGGAATAGGTATCTCGAGGCTGTTTTCGACGATCTGGCTGCCATCACTGACAACCCGTTCGGTCCGACCCGGTAGAATCATCTCTTGTAGATAGCAGCTTCGTTGTGCTAGTATGAAAACAGATGAGCAACAAAGCAACGGATCTGAGTGAAAGGTTGTGTGTGTTCGTTCGTAGGTGCAGTTGGGCTTAGAGACCTGGACAGAGATGGCGGGCATGAGGCGATTGATAACAAATTCCCCCTCCGCCACCTGGGCACCCTTGACTCCCATTTCCTCGCACATAGATAACCTCGCACTTCTCGCTCTTTGTTCTCATGCATTCATTCAGGGAGTCCACTCGTTTTCTCATTGGATTGAATACGTGGGGTCGCACTCAGATACCCGTTTAGGTTTAGTTCACAGCCACTATACGACTATCCTAGCAGCGGTGCTGCATAATGGCCGGGGTATAGAGTCATGCGTTCAAAAGTATCTACAGGGATGCAGCAGGGGTCCTGAAATTACAAATCACACACGAGAATCACATTGGCGAGAGAGAGGTCCTAAAACTTGGGCGTGGATCCTTCGATACCTATACCCCCACTAATCAATTGGAATTTTGCTAGCCTTGCAACGCCCCAGCACAGTTAGTTCCTATGGATCTACAGCAAGAATACCCTATAAGAAAGGTTGCATTGAGCGTTCATGATCTGTACTCATATTTGGATGTTTTCTTTTTACACCCTGGGAGTGATCCACAGGCGCGAATAGTAGAGAATACAATAAGCATATTCAACCGAGTTCATTGAAAAAGACAAGAGCGCAATTAAAATACACGGAATGAGATGGATGCCCATTCACAAAGGGACCACACTCAAGTAGGGGCCGGACATAGAGAGGCCAGGCTGAGCCAACTTGAATAATAAGTGCCTTTTCGGCTCAACAGAAATCGCTAACAAACCCGAAGGCGGAGAAACCAATGCCTGATATTGGCAACATGATGCTACATAGAAAGGAAGTCACCCACCCTGATAGAAAAGATAATCAATAGGACTCCTGATAACAGTGAACAAAAAAAGGAAGGAAGCGAGGGGAAGGGGAAGGGGAAAGGGAAAGCTTCCGAAACGAGTACTTTCATAACTAGACATGTCAGACAACTGCGTTCATTAACTGTGCAGCCATTAGGCAACGGGAGCGCCGTTCACAGGGGCCTGTTGGTAATAGGCATATGCCTGGGCTTGTTCTGCAGCTGTCTGGTCAGGAGTAGGCTGTTCTAGAACAGGTGCAGGGGTAGGTATCACATCCAGGGGAGTGGGGGGAACAGCGACGGGGAGAGAGACTGTGCCGCCAGTTCGAGGGGCGGCTACAGAGGGAGGGCCGTGGATCTCGCGATCCAAAGTCATATACTCCTTTGCGATATCTTGTGTACCGCGTTCGAGGAGATACGCCATATAAATTTGCACCAACTCCTTGACGATTTCAGGAACTAGAGTGCTCTTGGATCGCACATCAGAAATAACTTGCTTGATACGCTCGTATTGGGCAGACTCAGTCGAGGCACTAGTGGGCTGATCAATCTCAAACATGAGATAACTTGTCCAGAAGGGGCGACTATCAAGGTAGTACTGCTGGTTGTCTTGGAAGACCTTGCGGGCATCATCAGACGCACCTTTGATCTTCCAAAGCAGACGAGCCCATTCAGCCACAATAGTAGCCTTGGTAGCCATCTCCACGTCAGGAGAACCCAGCTGGGTCTTGTAAACCTCAATGGCTGCATCCAAGCCATCATGGCGCCGGCACATGTTAGCCAAAGAAACCAAGGTTTCAGTGTGGCTAGGAAGGCAGAACAGGATGGCATGGTGGATCTCCTTCGCAATTTCAGTGCGACCCGACATCTCCTCAAAGTAGGCATACTGCAACCGAATGGCTGGGTTCGCGATTGGTACATAGAGACAGCTGGCACGCTGGTAGATAATTCGTGCCTCCTCGTCCTTGCCGGATTGAGCAGTCATCCATCGGGCATAGCGAAGCCAGAACTCATCGTAATGAGCGCAAGTCACAAGGCAGCGCTCGTAAAGGAACTGGATACGAGAATATGACCCTTCAGACTCCTCAAAATCGAGGTATTTGTTCCAGTTCGCTAACTGACCCTCATCCAGCTCTGTTACATGAAAGTAAGGGCGCTTGATCTCAGACTCATACGTCCAGCGCTTGGTTGTTTCTGTTTGAGTTTTTGTGAATGACTCCAGATGGTAGTTGTCAATACGCAGTCGAAGATCCCGTTCAATCTCAGCTTCAGCCTTGGCCCCGGAGGGATCCTGAGATGAGGCAGCCTCCAATTCAGTACGATATTGGGACATGATCTCTGTAGGGGCCAGTTCAGCCAGAGGGCGGTTTTGTGCCAGTTGGCGGTAACGCTCAAAGTATCGTGCATACTGGTGCATGGGAATGTGAATGATGCGACCAAGCAAAGCGAAAATTTTGTCTTGCGCATCCATACGTTCTTCAAACTCGATGTATTTGTCCCAGAACGGATGTGCCAGGAAATCGAGGCCTACATTGATGGCGCCACGTTCAAACAGACTAGTTAGGGGCTTAAATTAGCAATGATGGTCGTCGAACTGGGAGGTGGGAGGAACGGGAGACAGGGGGGTAAAGGAAGAAATGTATGGCAAACATCATGGTCAACTCTGTCGATGAGGTGACAGGCCCAAGAGAAATCAACGAGGGTGAGTAATGGGGCAGATATGGTGTTTCGGAACACTGGTTCTTTGGCTTTGGTGTCCGGGCAAGAGGTAGAAGAGAAACAATCAAGTCTTGAGGTCCAAGAGAAGGAAAGCAGCCTGGATGAGCCATGGGTGAGAAGTGAACACCACTTGAATCCGGGTGGTCAGATGACGGTGTCTCACCCATGATCGTTGAAACTGCTTATCCAACACATATCCCATGCTTCAAATCACATCCCGAGCCAAGCTTTTGCGAGCTGCATTGGTAATGGTTACAGGGTAAAGGGAATGAAATCAGCTTCATGGTACTTACTCTCGAATGATGTCTGAATCGTGGGAAGTCTCGGCTTTGAAGCCGCAGTAGTTGGTCCATAGATCAACTGACGGCGAAATACTGGCAATGCCTCTCTCGTACACCTATTCAATGAGAGTTAGTGATACAGAAACCAAGTCTAGCATGAGTCGGTTTGTTGTTGGAACAGAAACACCCAGAGCCGAGAAACATGAAAGAACCACGTACCATCTCTGCAGCTTCTGTGCCTGTAATCGAGAACTCCATGTCGGCATACTTCTTCCAGTATCCGAAGAGGAGGGGGAATTTGGCAAGGAAGCGGTCATAGGCATGGCGCGCAGTAGTGATAGCTTGTGGGTTAGAGTTACGGTTGATGCCGCCCTCCAGAGCCTCTGCAGCGCGCACGAGCTTCTCCCACGTTTCGAAGTTGTCTGAATCATCAACCTAACAGAAGAATGTCAGTGAATGCTAGCGAAGATAGTAAAATCTGGTGCGCGGGCGCGGGGCCCTTTGAGATTCCTTACCAGCTCTACCTCGAGCTTTCGCAGCTCCGCATTCTCCTCCTCGGAGCCTCCAAAGTGATAGTCCGCCATAGTGGGCCTGAGTCGATATGCGCGCAAAAAAGTTGAGAGATCAAAGCATTCAAAGTAGCGCGAAAACTATGGATAGGTCGTGTGTGTTAATAAGAATGGCGCGGGTTGGTAAGGGATGCTGGGGGCTGAAAGCAGAGACCTTGAAAAAGCCGAAAGGAAAAAGACGGAAGTCCTGGTTGCCCGATTTTACAGGCATCAAGGTTGTTCAGGTGTCGAGGCATCAATCTCCGGCATTTCACTGATCCAACTTTTTGTCACCGCAAAACATCACCACCGGCTTCAACCCAATTCAATCGCCCACCATGTCGGTGAACACAGCTCATTTGAACCAGCTGCCTATACGGCTACGCAACTTCTTCGCCCGCTACCCTCCTCAGACTTACTCTTCCCTCGTTGCGTCCCGTCAAGCTCCTCCCGAGGGTGAGGCTTCCGCCGAAAAGACCCTTCCATCACCCTATACCCCCGATCGCGACGCCAAGGGCACCCACAAGCCTAGCCATGACGCCTACTCTGCTGCTCGCGCGCTTTTATACAGCGACCCTAAGTCCCCAAATCCCTTCCTGCCAAAGAAAATCTTCAGCACGGGGAAGTGGCTTGGACCAAAGTTTGGTCTCCGACAACAGGCCGACCTGGTGAAATTGGCCGCCAAATACAATGTGGAGGCGCTTTTACCTCCCGGTCCTAAATCAACAGAGTACAAGTCGGCAAGGTTGGCAGAGCGGGGTCTATCCGTCAAGGGTACTGGTATTGGCCAGAAGGTGAAGGGTCACAAGTGGGAGCGTACCATGGAGGCAAGACTCGAGGATCGTCGCAAGGCGATGGTGGAGATGCCCGAGATGGTTCGCTTGTGGAAGCAGGTAGGTTACATCGGGACTCGTACTCGTGCACTTGTTATCACACCGAAACTAACGTGTTTGTTTAGAGAGGTCATGGTCGTGGTTGGCGCCAATGGCCCAAGCGGTAAACAAGAGCGTTGGATTGGGTCTTTTTGGCTGCCATCTCTTGTTTATCTTCATGTCGAAAATTACTGTAGCTCAATTCTCCCGATGCGGACTTGCAGCCGGAAGTTTTTGGTCCTTTCCTGGCCGGGGTGTCTGTATGAACATTGCAGGGGTTTAGGATGGGAGTTAATTTTTTTGTTATCGTTGATTTTGCGTTATTTCACCCCATTTATTATACTTGTACTATATCATCTATCTGATTGGGCTTCATCAAGGCTCTTTCAATTCCATGTGCATAAGCCAACTGGGAAAATGCACTTCACACTGTGTTCCAAGCTGAGAACTAGTACTTCTTGCCAACTCTTGAGTTCGATTTTTTAGCAGAATGACGCGCACACAAGAAAAGCCATGGTACTTACGATCATAAGTGCTTACTGAAACTTTGAAGTGGCGATATTCCTGCCTACTAATAGTGTGATAGCCAACTTGAAGTACTACTAATGTGGTCAATAGTCACATCTTGCCTGCTGGATATACTCGGAAGGATTACTACTGAACTCCGGGAAAAAGGAAAGTTAATCTTCAGGTATCATGCATGGACATGTACTCTGACATCACAACAGAGGAGCGAAACCTAATAATCGCATTGTGATGCCCTCACGACCAACAGCGCTAACTGCCAACAGCGCTAACTTGAATCCTGCGTAGTTCCTGGCATAGACGGGATAGAGCGCTCTTGCATAGGCCCCACCACCAGATCCCGATCCCGTAGTCTGGGTGTGCCTGCAGCCAACATATTGCTTTTTGTGGTGACAATGGTCTTGTTGGGCCAACATGAGGGAACTCGATCACTCGATATTTTTAGGCGAACTCACTGAGCCTGACATGAGTGGGTAAGCTGACAGTGGCTAGTCTCCACCATCCAGCTCATGTAGATAGATACACTCAATAGCGCCGGTGGCTAAGTGGGGGTCGTCTATCTTTCTTCCAGCTGAGGCTCGTCCGATCACCAGCTAAGATGTGATATAGGGTGATAGACTCAGCTTTGGGGCCAATGTGCTTTCTGTCTGATGCATGAACGAGGCGCCACTAACCGTTTGGAGCAAAAGCAACCTCATTGCGCCTCGGGTCGGCTATAGAAACCGCTAGTTACAGTATAGTTCCAACCTACCATGACCCCTCTCAGCCTGACAATAGACTGGCGGTTTGAGAGTGTGCATGGACATACCATTGATTTGTAGTTGGGCGCGGCTCTCCGTAGCAGGGTTCATCATCACATGACCTCGTGTCATGTACATCAGTGGCGATCCCCATAATGAATGGATGTCTCGTCTCAAGAACATTCTTAGTTCCTTGATCTATTGCAAATGGGTTTTAATAGCATTTAGCGCATATTTACCCTATAAGAACAATGAAGTACCCCTACAAAATCTCTGTATCTTTTTCAACAATTTTTATACTTCGGTTGGACTTGCACAAGTCACTCATCAGCGGTGACGCCCCCATCGGCAACCCCCGGCCCTCTCATTACTAAAGGTACTATACTGGGCCATCCGCTTTATCTACAATCCCTCCACCTTCCCAACACCGTTTTTCCTTGTCTGCTTTGTTGTACAAAGGATGCCGTCTAAGTCTATTTTGGGATTCATTCCTCGAATTCCACACTTGATATTGGTTTCCATTTCGAGGCTAACTGCTCGCCTGGTCCGATAGACCTGTACATATATAGTGTCTTAGCGTATCATTGCGTGGCGCTTCGACATCATACTTGCGGATGAGTTACATGCAGTCACCCGCCTGCACCATTCACTTACCTGCAACTTGCCGAGAGGCTCAACGTTTAAAATGCCACGGAGATGTCGATTTTCTCTATCAACCAAAATGGCTGAGACCCACACCCCAGAACCACCCCAGATGGCGTATAGCCGGGGCTACTCCACAGACGTCGATACAATTCGAGAGCAAGAGTACCCATTACTGAACGGTAGGAACTCTTTTAACCCCACGTTTCATTTGATAGAGGTTACGTACATGTGCTAATTGTCCCATTCATTCAGAAACCACATACCTCGATCATGCGGGCACTACCCCATATGCCAAGTCCATGATTGAGGCTTTCTCGCGAGATATGACCTCGAATCTTTTTGGAAATCCACATTCCATGTCATTATCATCACAAATTTCAACGCAACGCACTGATAATATTCGACTTCGGGTTTTGCGCTTTTTTAATGCAGACCCAGACGAATTTGATCTTGTCTTTGTTGCAAATGCGACTGCTGCCATCAAGCTTGTTGCAGATTCCATCCGAGATTCAGACCACCGCGGCTTTTGGTATGGATATCATGTTGATGCTCATACCAGCTTGGTTGGGGTGCGAGAGGTAGCAGACCTAGGGCATCAATGCTTCCAAGGTGATGCTAAGGTAGATGAGTGGATTTCCGAGCTGGCTACAGCTCAGACCAAAGCCCCTTGGCTTTTTGCATACCCTGCACAGTCAAATTTGAACGGTCGCCGTTTGCCTCTCAGATGGAGCAAGCAGATCCGATCAGCTGCAGAGGCATCCGGAGGCAACGTATTCACGTTGCTTGACGCAGCATCTATGGTATCCACTGCTCCGCTGGACCTGAGCTCGTCAGCACCGGATTTCACAGCCCTTAGTTTCTACAAAATATTTGGCTTTCCAGATCTAGGTGCCTTGATTGTCCGCAAAAGTGCCGGTCGAGTTTTCGAAAGACGAAAATATTTTGGTGGCGGGACCGTTGACATGGTCGTGGCTGCAGGCGTACAATGGCACGCCAAGAAGGAAGCCTCTCTTCACGAGCGCCTCGAGGATGGTACTCTACCATTTCATAATATCATTGCATTGGATGCTGCCATGGATACCCATGAGCGTCTATATGGTTCAATGTCCAATATCTCTTCACACGCGGCATTCTTAGCCAAGAATTTGTACCAGCGCCTTTCAATGCTTTCACATTGGAATGACACTCGGGTCTGTCAAATATACCAAAATAACCAATCCCCATACGAGTGCCCGCTTACTCAAGGTCCGATCGTTGCCTTCAATTTACGCAACAGCCAGGGCGACTGGGTTCCTAAGACCGAAGTGGAGAAATTGGCGACCGTACAGAATATTCAAATTCGTACTGGCTCTGTTTGCAATCCTGGAGGCACTGCTGGCTCCCTCGGCTGGACGGGAGCGGAATTGCGTCGCAATTATACGACAGGATTGCGCTGCGGCGACGACAATGATGTCCTAGGAGGCCGCCCGACTGGTATTTTGCGTGCCAGTATCGGCGCCATGACCACTATGAAGGATATAGATGCCTTGGTCGATTTTATTGTTGAGTTCTATGTGGAGAGTATTCCTCCTGTTGTCTCCGTGAACCCACCTGGTGAAACTGATTCGGTCGGTCGGCATTTCTACATTGAAAGTCTTTCAGTCTTTCCTATCAAGAGCTGTGGAGCTTTCAAAATCCCGGAGGGTAAAAAATGGGAAGTTAAGAAAGAGGGTCTCGCTTGGGATCGAGAATGGTGTCTGATTCATCAAGGCACTGGTGCAGCCTTAAACCAGAAGCGCTATCCACGAATGGCTCTTATCAGACCATCTCTTGATTTGGATCGCGGCGTACTCCGTATTTCATGCGGTGTGATGAATGATGCCGTGAGCCTCGAAATTTCACTTGGGTGGGAGGACACTACACTAGTATCCACATCTTTGTGTTCAAGCACTACGAAGAGGACCATGGTGTGCGGCGACCGGATTTCTTTACATGCATACGCATCGCCAGTTGTATCTACATTCTTTTCCGATTTCCTCGGCGTCCCTTGTACCCTGGCTCGATTCCCTTCACAAACGACCAATCGGTTTTCACGACCGGCTAGGCTATCCAGTACTTGGAAGAGCAAATTTCGCAAACTGATCATGCCTGGCTCCTTCCCACCTGACTTTCCACCACCCGCACGTGAACACGGTCAGAATCCTCTTCTACTTTCAAACGAGATGCCCATCCTTGTTGTGTCTCGGTCATCCGTCAACCGTTTGAATGAAACAATCAAAGCGAATACAAAGCATGGCGCTGGCGCCAGCAAGGCTGTGGCTGCTGATGTATTCCGTGGCAATATCATTGTCGCCGAGCGGCTTGTGCAAATGGGCGATGCAGAGCAACCTTATATCGAGGATCATTGGTCATCGTTGATGATAGGACCAGACCAGCTTCGCATGGATGTGTTAGAGGGCTGCCAACGCTGTCAGATGGTCTGTATAGATCAATTCAGTGGACAGAGGCGTTCCGAGCCGTTTTCAACCCTTGCAAAGACGAGGAAAATGGACGGAAAGGTTGAGTTTGGTAAATATGCCGCTCTCTCTGGAGAAGAAGATGAGGTATTTGATTCGGATTCGCCTGATCGCCGGACGGTCATGGTGGGAGATGTTGTTGTGCCGAGCTTTCTCGACGACTAACTTGAAATTGGATGTATACGGACTCTCTTGGAGGTTACCTTGGAGGTATACACCTTTCGCTTTTATTGTATATGAAGTTATTCAAGTATATTGACTAAATTTGTACATATTTCGGTGGTATGAAAATTGGATTATACTCACCAGACGAGTCAATTGAACCTGAAGATTTTTAAGATTTGCCAATAGGTACTATAAACTAAGTGCTCATAGATAAATTTTGGTGGCTTCCAAGGTTCGCATCGTTGGTATGTTTATCTTCATTCTAAGGTGTTTTTTTCTCCCACCACGAAATTCAAGTTTTGAAATATTCAATGAGACCCACCTCAACAAATAGAAGCTATTCTTGGAGAAGACTTGCAACTGAACGCTCAAATACTTTAGTTTCACTGGCCTGCTATAGCCCGTCCGGTAACAGTTTGAGCCATACAAGTAAAGGGTGCCGCAAAGCCATAGGTCTTGTAACCAGCAGAATATCCCTTCCCTTCAATTCTTTCTGCACACAGGCTAGAAAGCCCTTGGTAATTAATAATGGATTCCACATAAAAAAACATCACTCACCATGTTCCGGGGGAAAGTTTTCCAATCGATGCTTGTAATACTTCTCCCGCAGATCTAATCCATCGCCCTTGGAGTGAAATGTTGCATAAAGACTAGAGCAGCTTTTAGCTGTCTTATTCTCTGCTGAGCGATGAGCAAGGTGCGAGCCGAATATAAGCATATCACCCGGCTCCATAGGGAGGGTAACCCATTCGTACTCATTCTCTCATTAATGCTTTATGCGTCCGCTTTGTTCAAATTCAATATCCACCTTGTGAGATCCTGGAACTCCCTCCAAACATCCGTTTGCAAGCGTTGCTGCATCAACGGCAATATTCACGGTGACATGCTCGATGCGGCCGATGTGGTCGTAGGCCGGCGCGTCGAGGTGCGCTTGGAAGCCATTGCCAAGGGCTGTTTGTAGTTGATCTTGGCTTTGAAGAGGAGCATGTTCTAGAAATTGTTAGATCGATTGAATATACAATGACTCTCAATATTAGCTACTTACATCATCCGAGACGTCTTTGAGGGTTTCTCCGAGGTTCAAGTTGGAAATGAGCTCGAGCAAGGAAATCCAAGGTTGGAGTCTAGTACGTAAATAGTACTATGCAGTAGTACTAGTAGTACTGTACTAGTGCTATCTGCCGGTACACCCACTATATAGACCTTTCAAGTTGCGGGGTCCTGGGAACCTTTGCCAAGTTCCGAGCTACATTTGACCAGTCGGTAGCTAATCCACTAGCTTACTCAGTCTCTGGTAATTTTCTGACCCCTAAGCATGTTTCCTCTACTTCAGTCTCCAGATATCGGTATGACGCCGGCAAGTAATGGCGGACAATGCTGATCCATGACCCCCGCACAGACCGCCGGGCTTCGTACCGACATATAAGCTGCAGATCAATCGCGGAGATCGACCCATGTTAAAATAGGGAGTGGATGAATCGTATGTTCTTCATTTGCACGTGTGTCAGTCTCGGCCTGAGGATTACGAAACCGGACTTCGTGCCTCTGAGGTCCAGGCCGTGCTATTATAATGCCCGAATACTGCACCAAGAACTACAACCACAGTTGAGGTATAGCGAATCCGCGCAAAAGGAAACATCAAAATGAATCTGAAAATGGGACATTCTCAAGCTTCGATAACCCTTGAGTCAGTCGAGCATCATGTCCAAGTAATAATCTCGAAGCTCTTTGCGTTTTATATGCGCAAGGACAGGGCGACTATCTGGGAGAATGAGTGACTCAGCTCGAACACTCGCTTCAATGCGCACATCTAGCAGCGACATCGCTGGAGTACAGAAACGACCCGGAAGTTATCCTTGCTGCTTTGCTACATGATATCGGGCGCTTTATCCCTGCCGCAGAGAAAATGAGCAAAATAATAGCGCCGGATGGGCATTATGTTGGCCGTATGAGCCATGGGGCCCTAGGGGAGTCTTATCTACGCGAAATCGGATTGAGTGAGCGAATATGTCAGCTCATTGGCGCTCATGTCATGGCTAAGCGCTATCTTGTTGCTACTGATAAAACGTACCATGATGGGCTGAGCGAGACGAGTAAGCAGACTTTACGATTTCAGGTAAGAATTTGCAACTTGAACCACTGAGTATAAACTTATTCTGTGAATAAGGTGGAGCCTTCAAGGAAAAAGAAATTCTAGAAGCAGAACAGGATCCATGGTTAAAGGTAAAACTTGCAGTCAAACGATGGGATGACTTGGCCAAAGACCCCGATTGCAAAGTACCTCCTCTAAAAGCATACGAAGCAATTGCACAACACTGTTTGTTGGGTAAGGGTTGACTCTCCCTCCATTTAGGAACATTGAAGCTGATTTGTGTTGTAGAATCACGATCTCGATTCACGCTCCACTCTGAAGAATATCACATTCCGACCCAGCCAACTGTGGTCATCTGTATTGATGGATTTGATCCGGAATACCTTGACTCTGGACTGAAGAGAGGCCTGTTACCTGGTTTTCAAAAACTCATAGATGCGGGATTCCATGCCACGGCGAAAAGCTGCATGCCGTCACTTACCAACCCCAACAATGTGCCTATCATTACAGGCGTGCCGCCCTCAATCCATGGAATCGCAGGTAATTTCTTTCTCGACCGAGAGTCCGACGAGACGAAAATGATCACTGACGATTCTTTGCTCCGAGGCTCCACGCTACTGGAGCAGATCTGTCTGCGTGGAGTGCGCGTAGCTGCTATTACCGCAAAGGATAAACTGCGCAAAATCCTAGGTCATGGCTTGAAGGGAGCAATTTCTTTCTCAGCTGAGAGATCATCAGATTGCAGCCTGGAGGATAATGGAATCGAGGAGGTCGAGAAATGGCTTGGCCAGCCAGCTCCAAGCCAATGTTCTGGGGAACTATCCATTTTTGCGCTAGACGCAGGCATTAAGCTCTTGGAAGAAAAGAGATCGGACTTTCTTTACTTGACGCTCTCCGAATATATTCAACATAAGCATGTCCCTGGAGATAAAGAGGCTGATAAGTTCATGCAAGCGATTGACCAGCGACTACAGAAGCTTGTTGATTTAGCTCCTATTGTTGGCGTCACTGGTGATCACGGAATGAGCTCGAAGACAAATGAATTGGGGATGCCAAATGTGTTGTTCCTTGAAGACGTGTTGAATGCAAACTTTGGGCCCGGGGCTACTCGAGTCATATGCCCTATCACTGATCCGTTCGTACGACACCATGGGGCACTTGGGTCATTTGTGCGTGTCTACTTGAAAGAGGTCAGCATGCTCGAATCAGTGTTATCTTCCTGTCAGTCTCTTATGAGTATCGGTCACCAATGTGTGGCGGTCAGGCCGACGGTGGGCATTCTGTCAGTGGCTCTCGTTTAGTATTCAAGTGATGGAAGGTTAAGCCTTCCATCACCACCATCACTACTACTAGCGTCAGGATACACACTTTTTACCAGCATTATTTGCCCTGCCATCGTTATTCAGTGCTACCAGTCACTATTCAGTGCTGCCATTAAACATCGGTCAACAAAGGCGTTCTTCACGCTCCATATCGATCTCAGTCTTTCATCAAAACCATTTCTTATGTCGCGAGACTGACAACCCGCTTGACATATTGTGCCTCAGAATAAACCTCACAATTCGTACCTCACTCTTTCAAGTGGGGCTTTGCACAATAATATTTCCGAGGTTTGACTGCAGAAGTGAGTATTAATTCCATGAAAGCCCATGGGTCGTACGATATATATGCCCTTGGAGAAGAAAGGAGAGCCTTCAGCTAATTTCTTTGTGCAGAACATTGAAACGTCGAATCTTTTTCAACCACAATCCACTTCACCAGAATGGTTTACATTATGAAGATCTACACCGATGGTGGCTGTAGAGACAATGGACAGCCATGGGCAACAGGAGCTGCCGTCGTAATTAGAGGCAGTCCTTGACGTCCATGCTAGTCATTTTGATTCTGAGTTATAATCTAGATTACTCGGGCTCTACGACTTCCCTCCATATTGTAGTGGTGGAAAGCACCTGCTCAGTGTCGCTAGCAAGGCAGGCTCTGCAGAAATTATGAGAGTATTTATCAAGAATATGGATATACTACATAAATTTCAGGTCAGAACTGAATGGATGATAAGAGGCATTTCTTGAATCTACGGCACGAGAAGAGAATTGGGAGGGATTGAAGACATGGATTGAAAGTTTGAAAAGTGCATCGAATAACTATGTGCTACGTTTCAGACCCGCGATTCGAAGTGCAGTGAAAGCCGAAAAAAAAATCTACATGGTGTACTTGATGGGAAAAGAACTTGACGGCAAATTGGATGTTGCAGGATGGAATTTCGATGGTTTGATGCTTTGCAGTATGCGCTTGGTAAAGAGATAGTTGATATTAATACCTAGCACAGCAATTATCATCACACCCCGCTATTTCATGCACTATTCGAATTCCCCGTTGACTCGAAACTGTCAATTCTGAAGCCACTCCTGGAAAAAGGTGCCGATGCTCACCAAATCCATTGGAAAACGAGGAAAACACCATTGGAAAGTGCTGCAGCCAAAGGGTATAGAAATGTAGTCAAGGCGTTTGTGCAATCCGAGGCGAAGGACTCGAAGCCTCAATCAGTCTTTTCATTCTCCCAAGGCCGCAAGACGACTTTGTTGCGAAATGCCGTTGGCAAAACGTGCGTTCATATTATTAAGAATATCTTGAAGCCCCAGCAATGCCGATCCTTTTTGGGAGGGGTAAAATGTACAGAGTAAGGAATAAGGGGGGCAAGATTGAGGACACCGAGAGAATCTGGGGGGAGGTAGGTGAAGGTCAAGATGTTCGTTATGTAGTCACAGTGCATCAACATCTGCCACCCAGGCTTTACTAAGAAGAATCACGAACAAACCGAATATACGGAAGCTCGCTTTTACTGCTAGTACTTATTGCGGCATGTTGCAGATCAATTCTCATGATATTGCTAAAATCTCGTTTTCACGTGGGGCATAGATATTCGTAGAAAGGTCCTAGTACCCGAACTGGCTCTCGTCGACATTTTCAATGTGCTGACGAGCGTGGTACTTGGCCTTCTCGGCATCAACGAAGTCTAGACCCTTGGTCTCAACCTCACGGTCAATGAAAGCACCGGCGAAACCAGCGAAGATCTCCTTGGCCTTGGCGTGGCTAGGGGGCTGGCCTAGAGTTTAACAGGGAAAGAATTAGTACTCTTGCTTTTCATCTTTGCAGCCTATTAAAGCTTTGAGCAGGCAGGTATGAGGGATAAGGGTGCGTACCGTTCGCGGCAACGTGGTCCTCGTAGGCCTTAGCGGCTTCGTAGCTGGCAGCACCGGCAAGCAGCTCGTGGATTTTGCTGGCCTCATGCTCCTGAGGCGGGGCGCTGTTGTACTCGTTGTAGGCCTGAGCCTGATCGGAGTCGTCTGTTTAAAGTAAGCGTAAGGTCTTGATGATAGCTTGGCGCTTATCAGGGTTGACAATATCTTTGGAAGACGTACCACTGAACCAACCCATGATGAGATGTTATTACGGAAAGTTTGGATGTTTGGAGATAGAAAGTTTGAGGGATGAAGAGAAGAAAGAAAAGAGATCAGGGGAGGAGGGAGAAGAGGGGTTCATATAGGAGGGGCATTGAGTGTAGCGTATAAACGGGCCAATCAATCCCAGGACTGAGGAGTGCCACATCACGGTTTCACTATCGTCATGATCGAAGCTCTTGATTGGTGACTGGTGTTTATTGGGTTCGGCCTCCCAATAACGTTAAGCGCTTGCGTTATAAACACCTGAAACTCGGCAGATCAATTCTGTCAGATGTCATTACCATCCGAAGCTTCATCGAAGCTGTGCTGTATGTTCACCACGTCAGCTCATGACATCAAGAGGCAAAATTCCTAGAAATTGTGGCTGTGGCGCCATCCAATCAAGGAAATTGGCGGCATTTTCTTTCTGTTTTGGGTGGGGCGAGGGAGCTACTAGCTAAGGGTCTGGAGGGGTATGGAGGGGCATTGGGGATAAACATTGGAAGGATCTTGCCACCTGAAAGCATTATGTATCTAGTTTATTCATTAGATGGCGAGCCTAGTATAAGGTTCAATCGGTATAGATTTACGAGCAGTCTTTCTAGTACATCTGAGAAATGACGCTATGTCGATCCGACTGCGCGTCAGATTGCGAGCAGGTAGCACATCATTGCATTATGCAAGCCAACGTGTATACGAAAGCATGCGAATTGAGCTTTATTTTGAATTTATGGACAATCCGATTTGCACGCAATCGTCGAACTCGGCCTAGTGAGCTGAACAGGGACTGTAAACTCAAGGCAAGAGCTACCGATCGGCTTCAAGTTCTCCTTGCCAAGATGGACAAGCTTTGATCACTCCGGAGAAAACACCCCACATGGCCCAAATTTGAATTGTGGCTGTGAAATTGACCTACAGTTATTTCTTCCCAAGTCTTGCAACGACGGAAGAGTAAAAGTGAGGGAAACTTGCTCTCAATTGAATGTTCCGGTGTAAATAAGGAATCCTTAACATCGATGCATCCATCCATTGACCTAGGAAAACGGAATTCTCCCGTCGCGTACCCGCGGGGCCAGGGGAAGAGCGCTGGTTTCCGGTTCTGCCACGCACTATTGTTTTAGGAGCTCAGATGTGGCGGACGCAGGTACGTGATTGGAAGATGCCGCATAATAGTGGGTCCGGATCAGCAGCATTGACTTTCCTAATGCGCTGTTCGTCTCGGTTGGCCAGATTGACACGTTGACTGCAACAATCAAAGATGAGCTCCGATTCGAGGCGGATCGTGGACTTGATTGGATGCATCTTTTGAAGGACGATTCAATGTTGCTACCCCTCTTCCCCACTCCCATCCCATCTCCCTTGACCTCTTTGTTTATGATATGGACCATTAGAATCGTGATTTGGATAAATATCCGTAAGTAGAGGTTAATTCCTTGATCCGCTTTCCAATTACCAAATTAGTAACCTTGGAACCTCATGATCCTTAAGTTACAGGTTTAAAGTTGGCAAACTTCGAAACCCTGAGACTAGCCCCGTGTACCTACAGAACCGTAGATCCCCACGTCTTATATTGCAATTCAGCAAAGAGCCAAATTCTAGATACCAACAACTAGCTTAATTTGTTGACCACTAGCATTGTTTTTTATCAGTACTTCAATTTAAAGCTAGGTAGGTAATAAGATGAATGGACATTCATCCATACGATGAGTCATGACTAGTCATTTCATCAGTTCAAACTAACAATTATAGAACTGCCAAGCCATATTTTTGAAACCAATGGGAAGTATAACTTGGATTTCTGCACCGCCGTACCAGTCCATATTCCCTTTTTTGCTCAATGGCCAGTAAAGTTATTGTTAGAGTCATATCGAGTCCCCCATTTCAGGACTGTCTCGTTATGTAGAGCCAGAGACGACCAAGAACTTTTTCAGCGGAGGAAGCTGGCCATAGCGGGGCAAACGAGTGGCTGAGAACTGTAAATTAGGAACATGATCCATGGAGCAGAAAAATCCGCTCCAAAGAATCGTGGTTTCGTTGACGGTGCTGAAGTTTAAATGTGAGACATCTCCGACAAGAAGCAAAAAATTGACGGAATTCACGGCCAGCAGTTGGTGCAGTGCCAGTAGGGGTCGTTTCGCGTCGGCGTAATTGTGGTTCATGAACATCATGAAGACAATCAAATCAGATCCGTAATCATGGACTCGTGTGGAAGTTGCCATCGATGGACGTCAGATCCATACCCCTAGAAATTATACACCAGGAGATGGAAGAACTTCAAGTTAAAAACGAAGATTCCTCCGGAATAAGACTACCTCAATCACCTCCAGCCTAGCCATTGAAAAGTCACACGACATCTTTACATATATTAAAGAAAATTTGTGGCCATCGCATATAAATCCCAAGCCGCCTATGCATGTTGGACACCGTTTATGAGATTCAATTGAGAGGCATCGAGTAGTATGTGAAGGCGCAGATTTCAACCTCAAGGATTCGAGTACCGCTCGGCGTAGTCAATGTCACACATCTAAACAGTCAACACTGGAGTTTCTCTGGATGCCTAAGTATGGGGAAACAGTGAGCTTGGTCTTATGTTCAGAAGGAAAAATGAAGAGATCACCTATTCGCACGTATCCGTGCGAATAGGTAAGTTAACATGTTCTGTGGAGAGTCTAGAACCGGAAGTTGTGATAGTCGTAAGGCGATGATTTTTCAACAGTGGGGCTATTCCAAACAAATCACCGAGCATTGCCATGACCCTTGTTGTCTTGTTGCACTGCTGTCATCAAATTTTCGGAGCTTAATGAGCACAACCCCTGGCTCAAGCGAGTTTTCATTCGAACTGATAGATGCGGGCAGGTTCAAGGAGGGCTCGGCCTGGTATTCAAGTTGGCCAATATGGTGCTCATATTCGCTGAATGAACGAATAGCCCGATGGGTAGTAGGGTGACTTGACCAAGAGCTACAGAAGCTAATCCTGCCAAGGCGCCAATGGCGCCGAACAATGTCGCATTTCCATTTCAAACTCGAATATGAGAATAATAGGCAGAGTCTTAGAAGGATGTAATAGATAGTATTCTACTAACCACGATTGAGAGTCATTTTTATCAAACAGCCATGACTCTAGCCAAATTATTTTTACTTACTCAATCATTCCTAGTGGATATCTCCAATTCCAAGGTGATGGAATTCGAGTCGAACATTGCTTCGGAATTGCGTAGCCTAACCCACATCCGTTGATCCGCCGGGAGAAAGATCAGAAATAGGTGCATGCCCGTCTTCAACTCCACTCATACCTATCAAACTATGTTTGATAAAAGATCATTTGATGAGTGCCGCCTTAATGCCCGGGACTCGAGTAGAATAAACAGATCTACATTAGATATTACCCCATTAGGAATAATCTCCGCAAAGCATCAATATGAGTCCCAAGGAATGTAGTTCACATCTCTTCTCTAGCCCTGATTGATATGGGTCGACTCATGGTCTGACGCAGGTACATACGTACTTTCTCTTCCCATTCCAACAGGAAATGAGCCCGAGAAAGCCCCTGAACCCCCTTAAAATATGCACTTCTTCACGAATACAGCCCCGCATCAAGTTACGCTATACGTAGTTTATTTGATAATGTTCTAACAGCGAACGCGCGTTCAGAATGAAACTCAGAGTGTTCCGTTTAAAGCTACGGTCAAAATTTGTTCTAGAAAGCAGGGTTGGATGACAGGAAGAAGTAACCCCCGGCCCTTGGGGAATTTGCTTATAAGCGGGTGCAATTGCACACTCAGACTTTTCTTCATAACAGTCAACTGTCAGCGGATTTTATTCGGGCCCAATCAAATTGGTGACTTTATATCACTCAGCCAAAAAATGAAGTGGTATACCTTGCCTCTTGCCGGATTGGTCGCCGGCACCTACGCAGCAAAGAACTGCTCCGTGGCCCGCTTGACTGACTTTCTCCTCAAAAACTCAACAGTCTACTTTGCCAAAGAATACCCGGCTCACTACAATTTCACCCTACCAATCAGTTTGAATTATGGTTTAACCTCCGACACAATGGGCATAAGCGCCTACGAGCTTCCTGTCGCTGCATGTATTGCCCAAGCTAATATCACTCTACTCAATAACACCCAGCATAGTGTTGGCTTCGTTTTGCCGGATTACTGGAACGGTCGTTTCCTCGCCAACGGTAACAGCGAGTTGACTGGCTCAGTTGGCTGGGACTCTATCATCTTTGTCTCCTGGTACGGCTTCGCTGTCGTGTCTTCTGATCTTGGTCACGAAGGAAACAACGGTAGCTTCGGTTATCACAATGAGCAGGCTCTCCAGAACTGGGGCCATCTTGCACTCCATGACGCCGTTGTGAATGGAAAGGCTTTGACTGAAGGCTACTACGGGAAGGAGATCTCTTACTCTTACTACTGCGGCTGCTCAGCTGGTCAAAAGCAAGGTCTGAAGGGAAGTTGAAGAATTCCCTGATGACTTCAATGGTGTCATTGCTGGAGCTCCAGCATGGTGGACCTCTCACCAACAGCTCTGGAATATTCTCACTGCTGTCTGGAACTTACCCGAAACTGCAGACTACCACGTCACCGATGATCAGATGTCCGCCGTTGCCACCGAAATCCTGAAGCAATGCGATCCCCAAGACGGTGTGAAGGATGGTATCCTTCAGAATCCGTTTGACTGCGTCTTCGATATCACTTCTTTGGTCTGTAACTAGACCTCTAGCAATGATACATGCCTTACATCCCCATAAATGAGCACCGTCAACAAGCTCTTCAATTTCTGGGTTGAGACAAACGATGTTTTGATTTCCCCAGGCTACACTTTGGGCACGGAAGTCAGTGCCCTTACTCTCAACGCCGTCTTCGTGACATATATCCAATATATGCTCCAGATCGGTGGAGAATGGACCTGGAAAGACTGGAACAGCCAGGAGCTTATCGCACTCTCCGACAAGTTAAATCCTGGTAATGCGACAGCCGACAACTTCGACATCTCGCCCTTCTACAAAAAGGGTGGAAAACTGATTCATTATCACGGCTACTCGGATCCAAGTATTGCAACTGGCTCCTCCTTCTACTTCTTTAATCACGTTTCCGAAGCCCTAAAGCCGATGGGTATCCCAGTTAATTCGTTCTATCGCTTCTTTGATGACCAAAGTGACTCCCTGGCTGGCAACTACTGGGGTGTTCCTGGGTTCAACGATTACAAGCATGATATCGTTCTGGCTATCATGGACTGGGTGGAGAATGGGACTGCGCCGGATTATCTTATCCCTACTAGGTGGTGGAAGGATGACCCTGCCGATGGCGTGGAGATCCAAAGGCCCATCTGTCCTCATCCCCAGCTCGCGCTATACAACGGCAGTGGTAACGCCAGCCTTTCTGAAAACTGATACTGCGGGACCTTGTATTAGGCTCTGAGTGCTACTGTCCAATGGATTATTCCAGTGGGCCAGATTTTAAAGGATTACAAAATGATCGTAAAGACTGTCACTGGCACTCGGCTATCACTTTGGTTCCCATAATTTGTCATTGTATATTTTGTGTATCATGATGATCCATTATCTCAGGCGAATATTGATTGTATGTATATACTAAAGAAAGCTCAGAACACTTCAAGTTGGGATTTCAAGTTGTCAGGTCAGACAATCAATAACTGCCTTAAAAAAGTTATATCATTTTTAAATTATTATCTTTACTTAGCGAGATCATCGATTTTTTGCCTGTGATATCTGCTTTGAATTAGTAATTTTAGTGCTGTGTGAGTAGGCTTTGGTATCATTTACTCACCTGGATACCTCGTATATCAGAAAAAGAGAGCATAATAGGTTAGGGTCAGTGGCAACTATATTTTTCAAGCCTGAACAGCACGCGCGCATATAACTGAAAGGGTCGCACAATAGACTAAGCCGTTTCTGTACCCCAATAGTCATTGTTTTGTTTAATTTTACTAGCTTCAGTTTAAAAATACTGGCCATTGAAGAGGATGAGCGTGGGCCGAGCCATCGGCTCAATGAAATACAATCGGGGAGAGGTATCCCACAAAGCCTATTGAGCACTGTTTACAGACTTGCCGACTCTATTGAGACCCTTGTTAGGGATAGCCGACGATCACAACTGCATAATGAGGCGACAGAACAAAGGCTAAAGACACGAGGCACCTGCAATGTATTCTTTGTTTGTACCTGGAAAGAATAATAATTATCCTTTGATAGTAATGCGCATTGCACTGAACCAACTACGCGGCAGCCTTTGTTTCGTCCCTGGATGAAAAACATGCCCTGGCAACACATTTACGCCGCCTATTATTTAATACCCAAGATTCCCTAGCACTGAAAGATTTTGAGCCCGCAGGCTCAATCGACTGGAATATGCCGTTCACACAAAGATCAGCGAATATCAGCACACATATTTAAACACCAACTGTCTTTTGTAAAGAAATATTGAAATCGGATTGTGAATTCGTGATAGGAAATTGAAAAATCCCCGATATGCAATCTTTTATAACTTTCGGCAGCCTACTTGTCGCAACTGCTGCTTCCTACTTTCCGGGCGGTTCCCTCTTCCCGTATAACAAGCCTATTGACAAGCGCACCGCACCGGCGGAAGGGAGCGATGGGATATGTTACAGTTATGTCCTTGCAGCATCAGATACTTGCTCCAGCCTTGCTGCAGCATATGACATTACAGAGGCAAATATTGAGAGCTACAATACAAACACGTGGGACTGGTATGGTTGCAGCGACTTGTACCAGGGTGCATTTATCTGCTTAAGCCCTGGTGCTCCTCCTATGCCGGTTGCACTTCCCCAAGCTACATGTGGTCCTCAGGTGCCCGGTACAACGCGCCCGAGCGATATGTCTAATCTAGCTTCTCTTAACCCTTGCCCATCTAATGAATGCGTAAGTTTGATCTTTAGCAGTACAATTTGGAACTCCAGAGCTAACAATTAGTCCCTTATTTAGTGTTCAACTTGGGGTCACTGCGGCACAATTTCTGGTTTCTGTGACACTGCTAATTGTATATGGAACTGTGGAGTGAAATCTGCTAGTAGCGCAGATAGTTCAACAAATAAAGCATCCAGTACCAGCACAACCAAAAAGGAAAGCTCCACTTTAACCAGCACTACAAGCTCAACAAGTACAACCAAGAAGTCGACCAGTACAACCAAGAAGTCGACCAGTACAACCAAGAAGTCGACCAGTACAACTTCTTCGGAAACATCGACGAAAAACTCAGATACCACGACCTCGGCGTCGACAAAAACTGTGACATCCACTTCATCGGCTGCCCCTTCTACCGAGACCTGGCAGATCGTAATTTACGCAGAAAGCAAATGCGAAGCGGTTGACGAGGGCTACTATGTTGTAGTTGGATTTAACTCCATGGGAGGTGAATGCCTTCGGCTTGCTGGAGGAGATATTGCTACCTATAGTGATGGCCCTGACCCGTATTGTCGCTGGTACCCTGATGCCGGCAAGGAACCTTTCACAAGCTGTGCATCGGCCACGCTCACCAAGCCCAAGTCATATTATATCTATTCTGGAGATTGTGTTGTTTATTCTGATGCAGACTGCAAGGATGAGTCGGGCTCGATATATAACCCTGATCTCGGCTGCCAGCGACCCGGTTTTAGGGCATGGAGTCCCCAGTCGACGTTTGGGTCTATGATTTGTTCGTACCTTTGAGACTACATTGCAGGATATCATTCGAGTTCAAATTTCGTTTCACGTCATGAAATTATTTGCAGTTTTATTACTTTCATTCTGATTTCTGGTATTTTTCTGGGTCATTAAGCAGGACAATTTGAAAAGACAATTTGAGGTTCCGTTTCTTAAAAAAATTGTATATCATTGCTTTGCTGTCACTTTTATGAATTCAACATTTGAACGTAGTCCCATGATTCAATTTCTGGGTTGGTCAATTCTGTAGACTGTGGAAGCGGGGTGTAGATACGCTTCGTATTCTACTTCTTCGCCGTCAAGATCATAATGATAATGCCCCCCTTTGCGTGAACCATCAGGGTCAAAGCAATGCGTATGCTCCATCCGCAGCCCCAAATTCTCAGGATCGGCACTATGCATGACAGTTAGACATACAACAGGAGCATTGAATGTATGATACGTCAGCCATTCGTTTTCCAGCTCATCCCTGTCTTGAAAGGGCAACTTCTTTGGAAAATCAGGCATGACATGAAATTTAGCCTTGCCAGACTTAAGCAAAAACACCCCACCCAAACTGACAGGATTCGAGTCACCGTAATCATCTCGTATACCAAGGCGAATGCAATTTGTGAAGTTTTGATCCCCAATCCGGCCCTTAGCTGTGACTTTAAGTACTGGACCAGGTTCGCCAGCCGACCCGTACAAATTCATCATCAGCGCACAATTCGTACTCGAGATATGTTGACATGAAGATAATCCATTTGGATCGACCTCAATAAATCGAGTATTATTAATAACTTTTAACGAACTCAAATCTTTGAAATCCGAGGTCTCGTTCTCTGACTGCCAGGAAACGTTCGGTGCTAGTTCGGCATTGTGGCCGAGATCTTGAAATGGAGCCGCCCCCGCCCCGATAAGAGATCCCCCGATGGGCGACATTTCCATCTGCTCAGCAAGGGATAATAAGGAGTATTTGGCATCGAAGTTTGGGCTAGGAAACAGATTTGGCTGTCCGCCTATATCGGCGATGCAGGGGTTTCCTGATAGCCCTGGTGCGGCGAGGTTGAATGGATGGTCGCGAAGGTCTGGACACTGTGCGACGTGGACGGTTACAGCGGCGAAATTCAATTCTAGGGCCTTTTTCATAATAGTTGCCAGCTCACCTAAAGGTGGAGCATCCCGTGGATGAACTGTGACAGTCATTATAGGATTGGAGTGTGGTTTGTCTATCAAGGTATGGGTTAGAAGGAGAGAAAAGCGATGAGCAAGCAGAAAATTGATGCGGGGAATGGGCAGATCGCGCGTTCGTCATAGTCAAGTCAAAAATCAAATTAAACTCAACATGGCGTTTGGCTAGTCGTGTACAAGACGGTGTCTACAATATGGATACGGGAATATGATTCAAATATTTACATGAACATGAACTCGAATTCTTTCCCCATTACTGCAAGACGACCTTGTAGTAAAAAGCCGTAGAAATCATTGGTCGCAGATCTAAAAACGTACTAGTAATAAAGGAATAAATATTACATATACTCAATGATAAGCTTAAGAGAGAGCCTAGAGCCGCTTACCTTAGTACACGATGTATGTATTTGTTACTAAACCCTTGAATACTGGAATGTTAGCTTGTGAAAGGCCAAGTAGGGTGCTTTATAGGATACCATAATAAAGCCAATAGATATGTTTCCATTCTGGTCTCTGTTAAGCGAAAGTTCTGCTTTCAAAGATTCATGAGAGAGTATTTCTCTTGTTTTTCAAGTTCAAGGCGACCTGTGCTACTGTGAACATGGAGCTTGAGCCTCCTTCGGCATACTACATTGAAGTCGCAAGAACCTCGCTGTGCCTAGGAGCCTATACTTTGGAGAACATCATTTAAAAATGCAAAGAGGCTGTAATTATAAGTTATCTCTGTTTTATAAAACTATTATGAGGCCCAAGGATGCCGCAAAAAGACAGACAAAGCAATCTGAACCTATTTTGATTGTCATCGGCGCTGCCCACCAGAGCGCCCACCATGCAGCATGACATCAGCCAAAACAAGAAGAAAAAAAGAGACTTCGAGGGGCCAATGGCCGGGCCGGTAAAAAGCGTCAGCCGATTGGCGATTTCTATCTGAGCCCAGTCATCTATTGGAGAAAGAGTGGGAAATAGGGTGCACGCTCGTGTATTCCTGCGCTTAGGGAACAACATGGGTGGAGGGATGGACAGACTCGCGACAACCTGCACTTAGGAGACAACCACTTGCACTTAGGGGAATAGCGGCGGATCTGTACGCCACAATCAATTCCACGGTCGAAAAAAGTACATATTTGGCCGGTTTGGCCTCTTTTTGATTTTCTCTCTTTTACAATTTCTCTTCTACAACTCGAATAATCCTTGGAGATCCTTGAATTCATCCCGAGGTTTGGCATTGTCTCTCTGTCTCCTTCTATCCTCTATCTTATCGCGGATCGACCTTCCCTCTTTCATCTTCCCCGCAATCCACTCCAATTTCCATCATGGCTACCAACGGCTCTTTCTCGCACTACCACGCTGCCTCTACGGAGGAGGCCATTCAGGCCGAGAAGAATTATGCTGCTCACAATTATCACCCATTGCCTGTCGTGTTTGCCCGCGCTCAGGGCACTTCCGTATGGGACCCTGAGGGGCGCCACTATCTCGACTTCCTCTCCGCCTACTCTGCTGTGAATCAGGGCCATTGTCACCCTAAGTTAGTCGCTGCTCTTGTTGATCAAGCTTCGCGAGTTACGCTCAGCTCGCGCGCGTTCTACAATGATGTTTTCCCTCGCTTTGCTCAGTTCGTCACTGAGTACTTCGGCTTCGACATGGTCCTGCCCATGAACACAGGTGCCGAGGCCGTTGAGACAGGTATTAAGATTGCTCGCAAATGGGGCTACAAAGTCAAGGGCATCCCGGAGAACCAGGCGGTGATTTTGAGCGCCGAGAACAACTTTCACGGTCGGACAGTAAGCTACCCCTTGCGCATTCCCTTTCCTCGTGAGCTATGACGTATGCAGAATCAGATGGGCTGACTCTCGTTTGCTTCGTGTATTAGTTCGCTGCCATCTCGCTGTCCTCTGACCCCGAATCGCGGGAGCACTATGGCCCTTACCTTCCCGGCATTGGATGCACCATCCCCGGTACTGAGAAGCCCATCGCATACAATGACAAGGCTGCTCTGCGCGAGGCCTTTGAGAAAGCTGGATCCAACCTGGCTGCCTTCTTAGTTGAGCCTATCCAGGGTGAGGCTGGCATTGTCGTCCCTGATGTGGAGTACTTGCAAGAGGCTCGCGCTTTGTGTGACAAGCACAATGTCCTTTTGATTTGCGATGAGATCCAGACTGGTATCGCCCGTACTGGCAAGCTACTTTGCCACGAGTGGAGCGGAATTAAGCCCGACCTCGTCCTGCTGGGCAAGGCCATCTCGGGCGGTATGTACCCCGTCTCATGCGTGCTTGGCAGCAAGGACGTCATGCTCACGATCGAGGCCGGAACCCATGGTTCGACCTATGGCGGTAACCCCCTGGGCTGTGCCGTCGCAATCCGTGCCCTGGAGGTTGTTCGTGAGGAGAACATGGTGGAGCGAGCTGAGACGCTCGGCCATCTCTTCCGCAAGGGCCTGGAGGATATTAAGAGTCCTCTTATTCAGACAGTCCGCGGAAAGGGTCTGCTGAATGCTATTGTTATTGACGAATCTAAAACAAATGGACACTCTGCTTGGGATCTTTGCATGCTGATGAAGGAGAAGGGCTTGCTGGTAAGTGATGAGTGATTATCGTCCTTGTTTCAAGACGGGGCAAAGAGAGAAAGATAGCTAACTTGTATATTCCAATAGGCCAAGCCAACTCACCAGAACATCATACGTCTGGCTCCCCCGTTGGTCATCACCGAAGAGGAGATCCAGCAGTCGCTCAACATTATCAGCCAAGCTGTGGCCGAGCTCCCAACACTCAAAGGCGCGGCCGAGGAGCACGTCATTCCTCCTCCAGAGAAGAAGGTCAAGATCGGCCTCGAGAACTAAAGAACCTATCGGCTCACGATGAATACAAGTCGGACCAGTCGATCGCGGATTTCTAGACCATAGGACCCGCCGTGATCTACAATGGTCAGCGTGGCCAGGTGATAGACGCGCATGGGTCTAGAGCTGCACAGGCCAAACATAAAAAACTGATAGACAGTGTCTCGGATGGTAGATACATGCCTCCCTACGATGTAACGATGGAATAGACCCGACAGGGATTGTATGCACGGTCTGGCATAAGGCCGATATATATATTTTTTGGCTTAAATAGCTTATCCACAACAAGTTCAGAAGTTCACGAACCCGAATCCGTATCCGTATCACTGTAGCTCCATACTTAAATAGGAAATATGTCCAGGTGGAATATAAGGCAGTATTTGCCGCAGTATTTGCGCTCGGTTGCGCCTGCGGAATTCATGGATTGAATTCCGTGGAGCATAGGAGTTGCCCCCTTTAATGCTTCTGCCAAACGTGCGGCTTCGGCTCCACCAGTCAGTCACTCGGACAATTCGCCTATCTCGGGGGGCTTTTTTAGTAGTATTTGATTGGCCAGTTTCTTTCATTATTAATCACGGGCACGGAGCAAATTGATCCCGATCTCCGTTATTTCTGGATAGCGAATGCGAATACGAATACGAACAGCTAAACTGGTTTAACTGGTTTAAACTGGTTTAAATGGGACACCGTCTTTTCCACTCTTCTACTGCATTTGCTTATGAATTCTGATATGTAATCCCTTTAAGCCTTATGATTCCCCCACTTGACGATTTGACAAGCCGGGGGTGGAGAGCTATGCACAAACACAAAGTTTGTACAGTTTGATCAGTTTACTTCCTGTGGATGTTGAACTATTGTGAAAAAGATAAGGAGGTTCCGGTCACCAATAGAAAATAGTATCAATCAGAGATTAGTTTCAAATGGTGGCTATTGGGCCCGGAGTGGTGTATAGGTGTAGCGTACAATTGTTGGCCACTGCATAAATGGTAGATACAGCTCTCGGGCCTTCACAGACCCGGGGAATTCACCACGGGCATTTCTATTGCCCGAGAAACATAGAACTGGAATATCACGGACAATTCAAGAAATTCTTTCAGCGGTTTTTCTCTACTCAACACGAACTCGACTGAGTTAAATTATACGTCACCGACAAAAACCTTTGACTTAAATACATGCATTCCCACTGTGTATGACTTCCACAGTTGAGTCATACCCATCCATACATAAGCGCATTGATTGCCGGTTTCAGTATCGTCGGAACTCCGCTCAATCGCCCCACCATTCATTTTTCTTGCAGCCACTAAATCCGATATGCAATCCTAATGGATCAATGAGATGGAACCTGGCTTAACCCCGACCTAAAATACAAAATTATTAAAATATCCACCCGTCCGACCTCGAATTTGCTTGTTTTCTCTTTTCTCTTTCCAGTCCGATCCGTGACTTTTTTCTTTCTTCTTCGACTCAGTCACCGGTTCGGTGTCACCTATTATGGCTGCGCCATTGCCGGATACCACGCCGCCGCAGGTTGTGGTCGTGGCAAATGCAGACCTTCCGGAGGCTTCAAGCGGTAGATCTGCATCCGTTGAGAATCCCAAGGCGCCGCAGCTGGATGTGATGAGCTTCGAGTCGCCAAAGAAGAAGCAGAAGTGGTATAATCGACTCAATCCCGTAAGATGGCAGACTCCACCACCTGTTCCGGAGGAACGGTCCGTGTCGAGGGAATACGGCGCTGGGTTTTTCAGTATCATTACTTTCCAGTGGATGTCGCCTTTGATGAATGTAAGTTTTACGACAGCGATACAGGGCAATTAATATGCGCAATGAAGCTATTTTATTATTATTATTTTGTTTATTTTGCCCTCTTACTAACAGGTGTATAGGTCGGGTACCTGCGTTCGCTGGACTTACAAGATATCTGGACTGTGAACCCTGATCGCAGTGTAGATGTTCTATCAGAGCGGCTAACCGCAGCATTAGAGCGTCGCACAGCAGCCAAGAGCAAGCGTATTTTGACAGGCGCCCTTTACGACACATTTCGCTTCGAATTTCTCCTCGGTGGCTTTTGTCAATTCTGGAGTTCCCTTTTGCTGGTCTTTGCGCCCTACTTAACTCGTTACTTGATCCAATATGCTACCGATGCCTACGAAGCAAAAGAACTGGGCGTCCCAGAGCCAAATGTCGGTCGCGGCATGGGGTTTGTCATCGGTATTACTTTGATGCAGGCCATGCAGAGTATATGCACCAACCAATTCTTGTACCGAGGCCAGATGGTCGGTGGTCAAATCCGCGCTGTTCTAATCTCCCTGGTGTTTAACAAGGCCATGAGACTTTCAGCTCGAGCAAAGGCAGGAGGAAAAGCGACCGACGAAGAGGTGGCGGCCCTTGAGACTGCTAGAGACGCTGCCCTCAACAAGGAAATTGGCGAAAAGCCCGAAGAAAAGCCCGAGGAGAAGAAATCTGATAAGAAGGACTCGAAAGACGCAACTGATGTCAATGGAGTCGCCGGTGACGGTCGCGGATGGAGCAACGGCCGTATTGTGGCATTAATGAGTATCGATGTCGACCGAATCAACCTCGCCATGGGGATGTTCCACATGTTGTGGACAGCGCCTATTTCCATCATCGTCACTTTGGTTCTTCTTTTGGTCAATCTTGGTGTCAGTTGTCTTGCTGGATACGGACTCTTGATTCTGAGTATGCCATTTCTTATCTACGCCATGCGGTCTCTTGTCGTGCGCCGAAAAGCTATCAACAAAATTACCGACGAACGTGTGTCGCTCACTCAGGAAATTATTCAGGCCGTGCGATTTGTTAAGTTCTTTGGATGGGAAAGCAGTTTCCTTGGTCGGTTGAAGGCCATTCGCGCCCGAGAGATCCGTGCCATTCAAACGATTATGGCAATTCGCAACGGTATTCTCTGCATTTCGATGTCTATTCCTGTCTTCTCTTCCATGCTGGCATTCGTCACATTCTCCCTCACACACCACAGCATGAATGCAGCTGATATTTTCTCTTCGCTTGCATTGTTCAACTCTCTGCGTATGCCCCTGAACATGTTGCCTTTGGTGCTCGGTCAACTTGGTGACGCCATTACTGCTGTGCAACGAATTCAAGAATTCCTACTTGCTGAAGAGCAGAAGGAAGAGATTGAACACCTTGAAGATATGAAAAATGCGATCGAAATTGAGCGTGCTTCATTTACCTGGGAGCGCCTACCAAGCCAGGAAGATTCTGCGAACGCTGGTAAGCTGGACAAGAAAGCAGCTAAGATGTTTGAAGCTTCCAAAGAGAACGAAAAGACTGTGAAGGAGCAGCCCACAGAACCATTCAAGCTTCGACACGTGGACCTTGAGGTCGGACGCAATGAGCTGCTGGCAGTCATTGGAACAGTTGGCTGTGGTAAGAGTTCTCTCCTCTCTGCACTTGCCGGTGACATGCGTGTCACTGATGGTAAGGTTCGAATGAGTACTACTCGTGCTTTTTGCCCTCAATATGCCTGGATTCAGAATACATCCGTTCGCAAGAACATTCTGTTTGGTAAGGACTATGATGAAGCCTGGTACAATGAAGTCGTCGATGCCTGCGCCCTCACTCCAGATCTCGAGATTCTTCCCAACGGCGATGCGACGGAGATTGGTGAGCGTGGTATCACAGTGTCTGGAGGACAGAAGCAGCGTCTGAACATTGCGCGCGCCATCTATTTCAATGCGGAGCTTGTTCTCATGGATGATCCTCTCTCTGCGGTCGATGCTCACGTCGGCCGTCACATTATGGACAAGGCCATCTGCGGCTTACTGAAGGACCGATGCAGAATCTTGGCAACCCATCAACTTCATGTCCTCAATCGATGCGACCGAATTGTCGTTATGGACGAAGGTCGGATCCACGCAGTCGACACATTCGATAATCTCATGCGCGACAATCAACTCTTCCAACGCCTCATGTCAACATCAGGACAGGACGATGCGGAGGATGACGACGAAAAACACGAAGAAGACATCGATGAGGTTGATGAAAAGGGCAAGGGTAACAAGGGCGCTGAACCTGGCAAGCCTGCCAACGTGTTAATGACCCAAGAAGAGATGGCCACTTCTTCTGTTAGTTGGAGCGTGTGGAAAGCATACATCAAAGCATCTGGTAGCTACTTCAATGCTTTTGGTTGTATTTTCTTCCTGGTTCTTGCGAACGTTGCCAACATTTGGACCAGTCTCTGGCTTTCTTATTGGACTTCCAACAAATACCCCCAGCTTTCCACTGGTGCTTACATCGGCATTTACGCTGGATTGGCTACTAGTGTCACCATCATTATGTTCACCTTCTCGACTTATATGACTACCTGCGGAACCAACTCAAGTCGAACAATGCTTCAGCGTGCGATGACTCGTGTGCTTCGTGCTCCGATGTCATTCTTCGACACGACACCTTTGGGCCGTATAACCAACCGCTTCTCGAAAGATATTCAAGTTATGGATAACGAACTTTCCGACGCCATGCGAATCTATGCATTCACGATGACTATTATCATTTCAGTTATGATTTTGATTGTCGTCTTCTATTACTACGTGAGTCACTCATATTGTATTCGATCCCATCAAAAATTATGTACTAACTATTCTCAGTTCGTCATTGCGCTTGTACCACTTCTCGTCCTATTCCTGCTCGCCTCAAACTATTATCGTGCATCTGCCCGCGAGATGAAACGTCACGAATCCGTTTTGCGATCAATGGTCTACGCCAAATTTGGCGAGGCGATTACTGGTGTCGCATCTATTCGAGCCTATGGAGTGGAAAAGCAATTCGAGCGAAGCATCAGCAACTCCATCGATACAATGAACGGCGCTTACTTCCTGACATTCTCTAACCAACGCTGGCTGAGTGTGCGACTTGATGTTGTAGCCGTTTGCCTTGTCTTTGTCATCGGTGTCTTGGTTGTCACATCTCGATTCAACGTCTCACCAAGTATCTCGGGTCTTATTCTTTCTTACATTCTCGCTATCGCGCAAATGTTGCAATTCACCGTCCGCCAACTCGCTGAGGTAGAGAATAACATGAATGCCACAGAGCGTGTCAACTACTACGGTACCGAGCTAGAGGAGGAGGCCCCATTGACACTAGGCGTGGTCCCTGAGAGCTGGCCTGAAAAGGGTCACATTGAGTTCAAAGACACCAAGATGCGATACAGAGCGGAGTTGCCCCTTGTCCTCAAGGGCCTCAGCATGGACATTCGCGGAGGTGAGCGTATTGGAATTGTCGGTCGCACTGGTGCAGGCAAGTCCAGTATTATGTCTGCGCTGTTCCGCCTTACAGAATTATCTGAAGGTACCATCGAAATCGACGGTGTTGACATTTCGAAAATCGGTCTTTTCGATCTCCGTTCCCGACTAGCCATCATTCCACAAGACCCAGCTCTTTTCAAAGGCACAATCCGAACCAACCTCGATCCATTCGATGAGCACAGTGATCTAGAGCTATGGTCCGCACTCCGCAAGGCCTATCTGATTGGCGACGAAACCCTCGGTCCAGACACAGACGTGGTGCCTAGCGACCCTCCCACTGGCATCTCAACGCCCATCACAGGTAGCGACTCCAAGCCTCGACCTGGTAAACGCCTAACACTCGAGACCCCCGTCGACGAAGAGGGTCTGAACTTCTCCCTTGGTCAGCGCCAGCTTATGGCTCTCGCTCGAGCTCTGGTCCGCGATGCACGTATCATCGTCTGTGATGAAGCGACTTCCTCTGTGGACTTTGAGACGGATCAGAAGATTCAATATACCATGGCGCAGGGCTTCGAGGGTAAGACTTTGTTGTGTATTGCCCATCGTCTTCGTACCATCATTCACTATGATCGCATTTGTGTGATGGATCAGGGTCAGATTGCTGAGATGGATAGCCCCATTGCGCTATATGATAAGCCAGATGGTATCTTCCGTGCTATGTGTGAGCGCAGCAGTATCTCTCGACAAGATATTCTGGATGAGAACTGAAAAGACTTGGAATAATAAGTAAAAGTATATAATGGTTGGAATTTTTTCATGGATGTTAATAATTTTTCACGCATATTCTCCGACGCACATACGGATTAGATTTAAAATGCAAATAATTTTTTTACCTCAAATATCACTTCTTCTTTATAAATCAAAATATCCATACAAATCATAAAATAAATAACAGTAGCAGATGAAATCTCCAACCCTACAAATTCTTATCCAACTCACAAACAAGCTCCATCCCCATATTTCTCAACATCCCTTCAACACCAGCATCCTTCCACCCCTTCAAATCCCTCTCATCAATCTCAACTTCCTCCCTCTCCCCCTCTCCGACCGGCAACCCCGTAAACTTAATCGGCAATCCAACCGTCGTCCCAACAACCCTCATCCTCAATCCACTCAACACACCCTTCAAATGATCCGCCGCCTTAGCCCCACCACGAGACCCATAAGTAACAATCGCAGCAGGCTTTCCCTTCCACTCATAAAAGAGGTAATCAAGCGCATTCTTCAAGCTAGCTGGTATACTCCAGTTATATTGCGGAGTGACGAAGATAAAGGCGTCATATTCGCGGACAACAGCGGACCACGCCCTTGTATGAGGCTTTGAGTAGTGTGGTGTTGGGTCTGAGGGGGGCAGGCTGGCGGGTATGACGGATTCATCGTAGAGGGGTAGAGATTGGGCTTGAAGGTCGATAATCGAGAGGGTTATGTGGCGCGGGTCTGTGTCTGGAGTTTGATGGCCCGAGGAAGTTGCTTTGCGGGTGGGTATTGTTGGATCTGTGTCGAGGGCGTCATGGACGTATTTGGTTATTGTTGGGTTGAGGCGCGGAGTGCGGGTGCTGCTTGTTACAATTGCAACTCGTTTTGGGGGCATATTGCTGATTTGAGGTAGAGCATGAGTGTAACGTGGTGCGATATTGGAATAAATCTTCAAAATTTTGCAAGTGCAAGACGAAATGAAATGACAATGTAGCTGGGATGTTCAGAAAGTCTGGAAGAACGTTTTGATTTATAGTTTGGGAGCTCCGCGGATCCGCGGAGGAAAAAGCTTATTTAGGAATCTGTAGAATGTGGCGACCGAGGTGTCACTTTTCAATCAATTCTGTGCCCTGGTGTATGGACGGATTGTTGACTTAAAATATATAAATAAAAATTTCATTAGAAGAAATACCTGGTTATCTTGGAACTCATAAAAGTATACTGCTACAGAATGCGAAATCGATTATGGAATTCCAAATTATTGGTATTGTATTCCATAGATGGCCATGACCGCCGATAATCTGAACTTGTAGCCTTTGTATTCACACAAGAGTACTGGGAAAACCGATAAAGGATACCAAAAACCAATACTAAGGCAAATTATATATAGCATCTGTCCATGAGGTTGCCCTTGCGTTTGGAATCCATTTCGTGTTCAATTCCTTGGATCCCACTGCGTGGATCAACTTGAATGCTTGAAGAATGTGTCGCTTACTGCTCAACAATAATTCATCAGCAACAGGGCCCATCAATATTTGTTAGAACCCCAAAATCTGGCATTTATTACTCACAGCCTATGTGAATAGTCCACCGTAAGTCAATCCTATCAAAGTAGCTATGCTTCTATCATTTCAATTTACACTTACGCACTGTTGAATCCATATCACCATTAGTATCGATAAAATTCAAGTGCATTCATCCCGATACAAGTAAAATAACTTACTTGCTTTTTAAAGTTTTCATAACCGTCAGACCTGAAATTAATAGATTCATAGTTGCTCGAATAGTTTTCACTTACAACCTGTTGAATTCACCATGAGTGTTAGTGAAGTTCTGACTATATGGACATGCTTTATGGATATGGTAATGACTTACATCCTATAATTTTTGTAAATCAGCGCAAGTTACTGCAGAGTGGTCAATCTCTTCCGAGTTGTCGCACGGATCTAAGACTTACGACCTATTTCCGATGCAGATTGATTAGTACTGTGGATCAAGACAGCCATCCAATTCTCAAATGGATTCTCAGACTTACACACTGTTTGTGTATTATTAGTCATCTGCAGGTCATATGTAAGAAAGGACAGCATGGCTTTGATCACTTACGCCGGTACAGCCACATTGCGATGCGCAGCTGTCAGTTGAGCAACTGACGTCACACTGGTTGTTTGTTCCAAATGTTAGAGTACTATACGGAGATGATAGACGTTGTAAGTTTCCAAGACATACGTCACTTCCATTGGGATTGTCAACGCATGAGCACTCATTCAAGCAGTCAGCAGCGGATGCACTCATTGATATGCCAAGGATGGCTGCAAGAAAGATGAATGGGCGCATATTGAAGATTTGGTAAAGAAAATAAGATAAAGATGCCGAGAGAAATTATTTCTAGCGGGAAGGGTAGTGATGTGTTTCTTTTATACTCTAAGAAGGGTCAAGGAAAACAAGTCTTATGCTCGGCAACACAAGCTCATGCGGAGATTTGGTGAATTGTTGACCTCCACTTCGCACTCGAATATCGTCTCCGTTCTCCAGTCTACTGCTTTTACGTAACATAACGTAACAGAATCACTTCTAAATTGAATGAAAAAGTACCACATAAATTATTGTGGACTTTTAATTGGCACGTATGTCCGGAATATCCTGTTCAGCTACATGCCATCTTATCCGGGGTCCATTTCTCGGGGCCGCCCCATACACAATCCACTACTATGTAATCGGGTCCGCTCAAGCCCTACGCTCCACCTAAATGCATATTCAAGGTTCATGGCCAATCGGCAACCTCTCCAAAACCCTGCACCAGGGTTACATATCAGTCTACCGGCCCTAAAACTTGTCACCGTCTTTCTCCCCACCTCAATCCTTCCGGCAGTATCGGCTCCTAACGTGGGGCTTTGTGATGAGGTAGATTGGATCCAATGCCAGAGATGCCGTGGCTGGAGTGCAGATCCCCTTCCTCCTGGCACTGGCTCGGGCAAGCTCTTTGCCATCGGTGAGGTGAGCATGATATTTGCGACGAAATGATCTTCTTGGTGGAATTTGTAATACCATTGCAGTTCTCTTGATTATTGGATTAGCTCTCTTTGATCCTCGCCTGCATTTCTGGTAATCAATGCATTTTGCCTGATTGCAATGGTCAAGTGAGTAAGTAAATCGGCTAATTCTACAGCTAGGAACCACTTCTGAAGATCTCCAGCTTTGAACCCCGCCTCGTCTTGTCTCCTTTCAAGTTTTTTTTCCTTAACTTTGCAATTGAAGAATTTGCACAAGGATTAAGACTTTTCGAGCCTCTTTGGAAAGGATTTATCAATAAGATCATATTTTCTCAGTACGTGTTAGATCTATAACCAAGAAAATTAATAGTTTTCAAGCTAGTTTAACTAGTATAGGCCCAAGAACATATACGGCTTCTGCCCAGACAGCTTCAAGGGTGAAAAAGCAAGTTCAATTATTGAATACCATTATCCACTAAAGGACCGGTTGTGTGGCGCAATGAATCACTCCTCCAGTCAATGGAAGGGCATTGACATAAAATTGCCTGACCACTCGATCTGGGTGAAGATGTTGCATAGTTCGCAGTGCAGCTCCATCTGCATTCTCGTCTCCAAACATGGGCAGAATCAAACCGCCATTGACATAGTAAAAATTCACATAATTGGTAGCAGGGTCACCTTCATGATAGCCGTTGCCAGGAGATAAGATCAGTTTAGGATCGGGCTCATCAATAACATGAACTTCGAATTGACGACCCTTCGCGTCAATTTCGGAGCTAAGGACCTTCGTTGTTTGACGGTATACATCGTGCCATTTCTCTTGAGCACTCGCGTGGGGTTTCGAAACAACAACAACACCCGGGCGCACAAACTGAATCTCGGCATCGGCGTGTACATCTGTGATATCTAGGTTGTGAAAACCCGGAAACCAAATAATCTTGTCCACGCCCAGGAGTTGTCTCAATTGATCTTCAATCTCGCCCTTGGCCATTCCAGCATTACGCCCCTCGCTGATTATGCTGCTTTCACTGACGATCAACGTTCCATCCCCGTCGCTGACTAGAGCGCCCCCCTCCAAACAAATTCCTGCATTGATTTCGACCAATCCGGCATCGTGCTCAGATTGGATTACTTCCTTCGCAAAGCTATGATTTTCTTGAATTTGCTCCGCTGTGAATTCAGGCCACCCATCCGCACCTACACCTCCATTCCCTCCCCATTCGTTAAATCCAAAGCTAATAGCAGCACGATATTTCTCTGATGGGGACTTGATGCCCTGCACATAAACTGGACCTGTATCGCGCACCCAAAGGTGATTGGTAGCGAATGGGATTATGTCAATCGCGTAGGACCCGCGACCAGTGCTCGAAAGCATGGATTGGGCGCGTGGGATATCAGCCGGTCTTGTGTATAGGCGCACAGGCTCAAAATGAGAAATTGCCCCCGCGAGCTCGATGATCTCGCTACATGCTGCTTCATACAAAGTTGAAGGGAGGGAACATTCAGAAGGAAATCCGAGAATTGTTGCGATGTGCGAAGCCCACTCTGCCGGGTACTTGGCAGATTTGAGGCCGCCAGGTACGTCTTCAAGTTGTTTTAGCATGATGCGCAAAAGAGGAAAAGTAATGATTGAAAATAGAAAATTCACAAGACACACTGAATCTGAGGAGTAAAATATAGTGAGATCTTGAATGAAGCATAATTTTCCTGCGCTATATACATTTATTTCTGTCGTTAGAAAAACCGCAATGTTTGCACTCGGAGCCCGCGGGCCCCTGCCGCCTCCATAATGGAGCCCCCGAGGTCGCTACTTCGAAGACCCCAATTTTCTCGCATATACCTCCCCTTGAAGAAAGTTCTTCGGAGGAGCTTCAAGAGTATTATGACTAATGGTCATTATTGAAAGTCAAAATAAAACCCCGTGGAATTAAATATTCACGTCACAAACTTGAAGTGCTAAGGCAGTCATGAAAATTGATTCATATTATTTATCCATATTGAACGAGATACTATTTCAAGTTGAAAGATTTGAAATAGAGCATGAGTGTATTGTAATGGAAAAGGAATTAGTATTGAGTGCTATTTTACGAATGGATTGTTTTATCTTCTAAAATATGACCAATTCGCCAGCAGAGAGGCCAGCCGGTGAGCGATATACAACAACAATAACAGTCTGAACCAACGCCGGGCTTGTCCACTGGGGCCAAGGTAAGTCTCGATCCGATAGTAAGGGACGAGCGAGATGAACTTCCCAGACATTACCGGAAATTTTGACCTGATGAGGCTTTCCATCGATATAGCAGGTAAAATCCGTGGGACTCAAACCGTGAGAAGAATTTGTCAAAGTTCCCTGGATCGTAATACGAACGATCGAATCATCAACCTTTTTAGCCTTAGAGGTGATATTTATCTGAGGCAATGCATGGTTCTCCAAATTTCCTGCACTTCTAGCCTCAGAGGCTGTAACCGCGATGCTGACCATGTCGGACTCAAGGGCTGGCACTAGTGGTGGCATTCGGCGGTAGTTAGTAGCAGCCTCAAAAGAACACGCAATCTCGAGAAGAGCTGCATCACCGTATGCCTTCCCGGCGAATGTAATATTGACGGGCATCTCGATATCCTCCATGATCCCCATGGGCAACGATACGGTAGGCACCCCAAGATGACGGATTGCAAGGTTGCCGTTGGAGTACAAAACACCATTACGCCAAGCCTTTTTCGATGCTTCACTGTCAATATCTGCATCTGAAGGCCCGACATCTCCATTGGCAGGGAACACCACCGCATCCAGACCCAACCTTTCCATCCAATCTTCCATCGTGGACTTTCTAGCACTTTCTAAAGACTTTAGTCCAGCTTCCATTCCCGGAAGATCAAACATGGACGAGGGTTTCCTCTTCGGATAATCGACTAGGCCGTTCCAGTCTAGTTGATTATCGGCTTCCGATTCACCGGGGAGTGAGCCAGGAGCAAGTGGAAAAATCGATCCTGGCTCCACATAACTGAGAGAATTGCAGTTGTTTTGACCATTTATTTGAAGAAAGTCATCCCAGACATGGGCAATTAACTCATGTCTCTCAGTATGGAGCCAGTTTTCCGGCATGTCTTTGATTTTCGCCCATTTGTCTAAAGAAGCATCGCAATCTTCGTATTCTGTGACAAGTGGGAAATCAACCTCAATGACAACAGCCCCGTGGGATTCTAATACATGTTTGGCTCTTTCCCACAGTCTGAGAACGGACGGTCTGATTGATATTGGCACAGGGGTATTGCCTCCAATATACATTGATGGAACACCGAAGCGCTTCCCTTGCAATTCTTGTTTGTGTTGGAGCTCTTTGAACGGTCGGTGGCAAAGCTGATTTAGAATGGGCAACTGAATAAAGGGCTGCTGTCTCCAAAAATCTCCCTTGACATCATCATAGTTGCTTTGAGCAAAGACGTCCAGAATGAGGAGAAGGTCCTTCATACTCCTTGCGTAGGGCACAAGAACATCGCACGTCGGGTAAAGTGGCCACACACCTGACAAAGGTAGAAGTCCCCTCGACGGCGTATATGTAACAAGTGCATTGTTGGAGGCTGGAGATCGCCCGGATGACACTGTCTCGGTTCCCAGGCTGAATGCCGCAAAATTGGCAGTTATTGCAGTGGCAGACCCATTTGAGGAGCCAGACCCGTAGGCAGCCGTCAAGAAATCAGAGTTGTATGGACTTTCCGCCCTACCATACACACCTCGTTGCATACCACCATTTGCCATAGCTGGCATATTTGTTCTTCCAAGGATAACTGCCCCCGACGCCTTGAGAATTTTCACGCATGTGGCATCCTCCGTAGCAACAAGATGCTCAAATGCAGGGGAGCCAGCTGCGACAGTCATTCCTCGGACTTTGATGTTGTCCTTGACCAGAATGGGAATACCTTCGAGTGGCCTTGGTGGTATACCAGAGGTACGTCTGGAGTCTGAAGCGCAAGCCTCTTCCATTGCGTGTGGATTAAGAATCGGGATAGCACTCAGCTTCGGGCCAGAAGCATCGTATATGCTTATTCGACAAAGATATCGGGCCACCAACTCAACACATGTCAAGGATCCTTCGGACATCGCATCAAGCAGCTCTTCAATGCATGCATCTAAAATGCACCAATCTTGATGCTTCTCATGGGGTTTAGGCTAAATGTTGTCAGTCAATCGATACTTCACTGTATCCAGTTCGCACTTGAAAACTTACAGGCTGCATTTTGATTATCAATCGCAAGACAAACCGATAAAAATATAACAGACAAAGATACAGAGCCCTTGAGACTTTTCCTTGATCATGAACAGTGTTTATCATAAGCTTTCACACGCCTTTTGTATACATCATCATTTGTCAATTGTTTTAGTTCCATTGTTCGGGGTCCGCGGGACCCGACAGCCCACTACCATGGCCGCAGATAAGCCAGCAAGCATCAACTTGCCGTGTCAATTCTAGCTTCCCTGAAATTGGGTTTGGTGGAGACTTTCCCCGCATTCGATACGAATTGGATTTGTTTCGTTATCTTTATCGTTGCTTTCATCGTGTTTTCCTTCTCCTTTCGTCCTAGTGAACCCAAACCCGCGTGTCGGTCGACTTGTTATCTATACGAATCCACCTTACTAGGTAGCGCTCAAGCTCCAACTCTCCCCGCAAAATGATGATATATAAGTTCTGGTCCGCAATTGTGAGCCAAGCAATCACTTCAATTGACAAGAAAGACTTGAAGATCCTTGGGCCATCGACCATTCTTTTCAATCAAATATTACTGTCTCATTTCCAAGCCCCCTGGGGCAATCTTAAATGGAACGTGACAGTGAAATTGCCGACACGAAGTCCATCGATCAAGATGCACTGGACATCCTTGCTTTAGGCTACGAGCAGGCATTTTCACGGAAGTTTAATATTTACAGCCTCTTGGCGCTTGCATTCTGCGTTCTAGGGTCATGGGGGGCCATATCCAGCGATCTCGCGACCGGGTTCAGCAGTGGAGGTCCTGTCATAATTCTCTGGGGACTGGCGTTGGTTGCACTATGCAACCTTTGCGTGGTGTTGTCCCTAGGGGAGCTTTGCAGTAGCATGCCAACGTCTCTAGGGCAGGCATACTATATTTTCAATCTCTGCGACAGTTCAACCGGAAGGTTCTTCTCCTATATGTGTGCCTGGATTAATGTCTTCGGGTGGTGGACTGCAACTGCAACACTAGTTGCTTTTAATACCAACTTCCTCCTGGGGATGAAGCTTATGTTTGACCCAGATTGGAATGGAATCAATCAAGGGTGGGTTAGCTTCGTCGTTTATGTCGGCTTATCCTTGATGATAACCGTCGTGAATGTTGTTGCTTGTCGGAGGGACCCCATCCTTCCCTGGCTGAATAACATAATGGGCGTCGGCTTTGTTGCGCTCTTTGCAGTATTTTGCATTACTTTCTTGGTGTCTGTCTCGTCAAATCCTAACCTATCCTTTCAGGCACCAAGTTTTGTGTTCGGTAATTGGACAAACGAAACTGGATGGAATAATGGCGTCACTTGGTTCTTGGGTCTTTTACAATCTGCATATGGTCTCACAGCATTCGATTCCGTCATTCATATGGCTGAAGAGATTCCTGATCCTCGTCGGAACGTCCCAAAAGCGATGTACCTTGCAATTATCTCTGGGGCAGGAACCGGTTTCGTATTCATGGTGATCTGTCTCTTTTGTCTCCAAAATGAGGCCGCTATCGCCGATTCGCCCTCCGGTTTACCTTTTATTGGACTCGCGCAACAAATAGTTGGTCTCAATGGAGCAGCAGCTCTCGTTGCACTCTTCACCATCATCTGCATCGGACAGAATGTTAGCGTTGCCACAACAGCATCTCGCATGACATGGGGGTTTGCACGGGAAGGTGGTTTCCCATACAGCAGATACCTCGCTCATGTAGATCCATACTGGAAATCGCCGGTTCGGGCAACATGGGCACAGGGTATAATCACTGCCGCGATCGGGGTTTTATACTTGTTCTCTACGACTGTTCTACAGGCGATCGTCAGTGTCAGTAGCATTGCTTTGATGATATCCTATGGTATGCCGATAGCTACACTTCTTCTTGTTGGAAGAGAAAAATTATCTCCTGGCCCATTCAGACTAGGAAAATGGGGGAAGGTACTCAATTATATCAGTGTCGTGACTTGCACGGTTGTTTCAGTCTTTTTCTTTTTTCCAGGCACCCCGAAGCCTACTGGAGGTGATATGAACTATGCTATTGCAGTTTTCGGGGTAATGTTGGTTATTTCGCTGATGTTTTGGTTCATAAAGGGCCGTCAGACATTTTTCAAGATTGAGATTGAATGAACCATGTGCTTACACCCTTGTATTTGACTTGAGCCTCATAAAATTCCACGTACTTATGGTTAAATGTTGAATATGACAATATTGTTGAGCCAATAGAGTGTGGTATCCGAGACCCACTTGTGAGACTCGGCACATCCAGCAACTCAAGGTCCTTTTTTCCCTTTAGACTTTCTATAAATTATAATCTGACACTGGCACGCTGAAAGGTCTTGACCTTCAAGTGATTTCAAATGTCTGCTAGGGTTGCTTCAACACAGCCGAGGGCGAAAGGCCGACCTTGCAAATCATCGGCCGACAGTCCAGGCGCGGTAGGCAAACCCCCTTTTACGGTCGCAATTTTGACACTCATTCAAATAGACTAGAAGAAAGCAAATTCGTGACGCCCAGCGAGCCTATAGATCCAGACAACAAGATCTAGTGGAATCTTTAAAGGAAAGAAACTCTTATCTGGAAGATGCTATAAATCAAATGTCCCACATTGCGGATGCTCTCCAGCTCGTCACTAAGGCAAACCCGTCTGTGCCGCGGCCGAGACTCTCCGAGGCAGTTGACCTCATAGAAAAACAAATTCGCCTTCAAATACGACTTGTTCAAGGCTCTTCCCCGAGTGAAAAATCGTGCGACTTGCAAAAGTCTACACTTAAGGAGCATGTAGGCCAACTGCTTGTTCATGATCATCCTTCAGAACAGCCAAACACTGCGCGGACAACTCTCCCTTCTCCAGCACAATCTCGTTCTGAGTTCTGGACATCGTTCCTTCAAACTTCACATCTGCTTGTGCCTAGTGTTGTCCAGGAGTCTGATTCTCATTCCTCGGGGCTAGAAATGTCGATCATCAGAAACCGACCAATTCCATATGCAACGACATCATTTACGCAACGTCTGTTCCGTGCCTGTGCAGAAAATGGATATAAATACTTGATGAACGACAAGGTGTCTGACCAAGCCATTTGGCCGGAATTCGGACTCATGCTGCAAAATTTGCCACGATCCGAGATCGCATTATATTTCAGACGAGTTGTGACGACAGTCCCTTGCAATCCCCTTGAAGATCCCCGATTCCCCTTTATAAGCTTTGGCGGGGCGGGGACGCATTTCCAAGCCCCAGACACGAGAACAGAAGCGACAAGTACCCAGCCATCACATCGTATTCAAAACGCAAATGGAATAATTAGGATTCCTTGCGACGAGGAGTGGTTTGATGTTCATGACGTGGAAGGATTTCTAATACACTGTGGTTTTCAATTGGAGAATACGCCTTCACCCCCTTCAAATAGAGACTTTCGGGGCTTATACTCGTCGCAAAATATTTCATCAGCTACGGTCAGCCCAACAGCGTCGCCCCATCTTCTCATCGCAAATCAGGCCAATACTATTGAACCACCAAGCGCCTCTATAAACGAACATGCGCTTATTGAAGGTGAGTATTATCAGGTCAAGGCAAATAAAGGTCATTAAATCTAACAAGCTGCTTTATTTTCAGCCCTCAGTCATGAGTGCATTGGTATAGGATGTGCTGCTGCATTTCGCCGACGTGATGTTGAGACTTTGATCTTTCAAAACACTCAATGGATGCCAACGACTAAACTTGCCCCATCATCAAACATTGGATACGTACCATGAGAATCGCATTTTCAAGGTTCGGTAATATGCCTCCTTACTCTCGACTCATCATTTTCTCGCGCCATAACCAGACAGTTGCAGCGGTGGCGCCAGGGCCAATAACCACATCCCCAACAACCAATGCGCCCAGAGCAATTCGCAAATCTATTTCGGAGAGCCCAGATCGATTCATATCCCAGATACTTAGCAGACACCACAAGACACAAGCTGCTGTGACGAGAAGAAAATCATTTCGAAAGAAGATGAAAACTCCATCCGCCAGTGTGCCCACGGGTGCGAATGAACTTTCAGGGACAAAGAGGCGCGTCAGAGATAACTCTGCCGAGAGCAAGCACCCTATTATCAGGCTCAGATGAAGACAGGCCGAAACAACCCCTGTTACTTGATAAATCATTCTTAAATGTGGAAGATCGTTGTTCGGCTTCCTAGGGCAGTATTTGTTCCATCCAAGGGCGCTCGAAACTATAGTTTCTGCAGTGGAGAAAATCATTGTAAGACAGGAAACAAGTAACGGCGCTGGCTGCCAGAACGCGATTACGCCTTGCTGGATGATTGGATCCTTGAAGGGAAAAAAGATAAGGCTAGTTGGCACAATGAACCCAATTACGAGTGCAGGGAGAATAAATTTGGCTGCCGGGACATATCTTCCAGGTTGAACGAAGAAGTTGGCTCGACGCGATGCGAAGAGGCTCATTGCGAAGTACACCGGTGCAATGAACCCGATCCCACGTAACTGATACAGTATGCCCCAGAAGCCAGCACTGAGGTTTTGATTAGCAACGCGCACTCTATACGGGAAGAATCTACTCACCTGGCAATCGGTGTCCATCTGTTCCGTCGTCGATACCCTTCAATTGTGAAAATACCGATCAATGGTAACATTGACGATAGGAAGTACAGTAGTTGCAGTGGCTGCTCTGGATTGGATGGGTGCATAATTGCTGGCATGAAAATAGCCACTAGAGTCTTGAGAAGCTTGTCAATTGAAGGGACACCAGTATACACCTGTCGCAGTTCCACATCAATCTCTTTGATTGAACGGCTCAGGACAGCCTGACCAAGGAGTGACCATGTACCGTTAGCTTTTCCAGCAGTGAACAACAACTTATAGCCAATGAGGGCCATGATTGCAAAAATGGCATAAGCCATATAGCCGAGCAGCCCACGAGGGGACGGGCTTCGGAGCAACTCGTCGTAATATGGCATCTCATGATCCTTTTTGGGCTTCGGAAACATGTTCAATGAAACGGCCGGGGAATAAGTTTGAATCCAGTTGTTAACAAGCAATTGCTTTGGGATATAAGGTATGACATTTTTGGCCACAAATTTCAGGAGTGGCGTCTCCATGCATTCCATACGTTGTCGTGAGTGTGATGCTTTCACGAGATTCCATGTCCGCTCCTCTCGCTGGCGTTGAGTTTGTTCAAAAATTGAGTTGATTTCATCGTTTGAAAGCTGGCACAATCTTGACGGATGGTCCTTCAAGGCTGAGACAATGTTGTTTGTGAGAGCTGCTGCAGTTTCAATTGCTGAATTTCCACCTTGTCCAGTAATCGGTTCGAGCTAGATTGATCTAGTATTAGTGAAATCTCCAGTGATTCTAAATGTCTCTAATTTGAACATACCTTGTGGGCCGCATCGCCAATGGTCATGATTCTTCCAAAGTACCATTTCTTGTATACATACTCTGGTAAAGACGTATATACTGAGCTCAACTTTTTTTTATACAAGTCTGAGAATCGTAGTGTTGGTGTAATATAGTCATCCCAATGCTCCTTTGCGAGAGCTTCTTCTTCGTCTTTTGTGAACCGAGGAATGTCAGAACCATACATGGTCTTGTCCATTGTCTTCACCAAGAACCAGTAAGTTCTATCACCTGGCCCACTAGGGACTAGATAGGAATAGTGCTCGTTGAACACGGAGGTGAGCGTGCCTTTTTCAACACCACAGACGCCTTGGGATATGCCGAAGATGCATGCGTACGTGGCTGGAAGTACTGCAAGTTTTCCGTCAGCACAAATTCCGGGGCCATATGGTTTCACAAAACTGTACATTGCGCCTCATTTTGATCAAACCAAGTTGGATCCATCTTCTGTGCTTGGTCCCACATTTGCCGTCGTACAGTGGAATGAATTCCATCTCCTCCAACAACAAAAGTTCCAGAATATTCTTTGCCTTCCTTTGTGGTAACAGATGCGTGTGAGGGGTGAGTCGTTACTGAAACGATGCGCTCTGAGACCAAAATTTTGTCTTTTTGCCGAATGTTGTCGTAAAGAATTTGGATCAGCATGCGCCGATCGAGAAAAACGGCTGGGTAGCCATGTCTATCCCGCATTTCAAGAGTTAAATATTTGATAAAGATTCATGGGATGGCTGACATGTCACTAACCTTGCTGTCATTTGCTGGTTGAAGTCCTCAAACTGCCAGAAAGGCCGACCGTGTGAATCACGGAAAAGTACTGTTTCAACTGGAAATTCAGCTGCTTTCACTACTTCCTCGCAGCACCCTAGTTGATCAAGGATGCGTAACCCATTGGCTAAAACGCCAATACTCGCTCCAACCTGAGGAGCAATACTGGGATAGCCTTCCAGAACGAGAAAGTCGATTCCATTCTTCTCAAGCATCAAAGCTAGAGACAGACCGGCAATACTCCCTCCGACTATAATGACTCTATCGTCAGTTGACCCCATACTCGGCGGTAAATTAAATTGCGCGGTGTGCGAGTCTTATTGAGCGGGTAACCTTGGATACACAACTTCAAGTTGAAATTATTCACATCCCAGTTTCAAGAGAGTAGGAACCCGTATTATACTATATTTTGCTGCCTAATTTCCGGTGTTCAATTGTAGATCCTATCTTAGACTCGGACGTGACATCGTCCGCCGATCCATACTCGTAGCTGTGAAACCCCCCAACAATCACCACTTAATATTCCTTTCGTGATCAAATTCTACACTTTGATGATGTGAACATTCACCCGAGTCTTAGCATGATCATTAATCAAACCAATCGGAATGCCAAACGGGACGGGGTCGGGGAAATGGGACCGCCCAATCACTACTCCGCTAGCTAACGTGGATGCAGCGCTTGAGAAGTTAGTCATCTTCAAGTTCCCAATGTATGGAGCCGCTGTCGCATGATCGAGAAAAAACAACTTCTGCCACAACAAATCGCACCTTTGTGGCTGATGAGTTTGTATAACCACGGCAATAAAGCATCCTTGAACTAATCTCAAAGGAACACTTACAGGGAACTGAGTACCTATTCAGTATATGACATCTTATCCGCCCAGCTGCTCGGAACCCTGTGATTCTTTGTCCTCACATGTGCACCATTGAGCTTAGCTTTCGATTAGGTACTGTGGCCACGCTCAGAATACCCCGAAGGCCAAATTACACGTGTGCACACTTACATATGAGAACAATTCGGCAATAATCAGGGGCACGGAAACAGATAACAAACTCCAAAAAGTGCATGTCATTTCCACAAAGAAATTCAAAATAAGATGAGACTGAATCATGGGACCCCTGTGGCGGAATTAGCCAAATTCAATTCGGCAAATAATCCATTAGAAAGCACTAGGTGAGTTTAGTACTGCAACAGGCCCTTAAATTAGGCAAAAGTGGGTCACGCCTGGAACGTTTGTCCCTGATTCTGTAAAAGCGCAGAGCCTCGTCAAAGCTTGATCAAAAATTGATGGTGCTTTTTGCCGACCGGTCGAACCTATTTATGGCTTCCAACGCCATCAACTCCTTGGTGAAGAATCACTGCAACACGCGTCAAATCTTTGAATCACCTTGACAAACGTGAAATCGACATGTACGTCAACGCACTTGCTGCTCTGGTCCTCCTCACTCCGGCCCTGGCCAACCCGGTCGGCTCTGATTCAACCGACAATTGGAGCGATTCCACCGATTCCGATCTCTCTGCTCTCTCCGACTATGCGGATAACCTCATTGTACCCACTGTATCTGTCCCAGATTCGATCTTGAGTGTCCTGGAGACAGCTGTCCCTGTCTCATGGTATGAAGAATTAATGGACCCCTCCTCCTATGCTTCTATCATGAGCGATATCGAAGCTGGCACCTTTCCAGCCTGGTATATTGCTCTTCCTAGCAGTGTAAAGGCGTGGGCAATTTCTGAGGCCGAGCTTGACTTTCTCAGCATCACCGATGCAGGCTCAATCTCAAGCGAAGCGACGGTTGCGCCTCAAGCCACCGCGAAAACCACCCCTCTGAATGTTGCGGTCACGAACACCGCTGCAGCCATCGTGAGCTCAGTGGCACCTACGTCGGATGTTGCCTCCAGCTCTAGCGCTAAATCGACCTCTCACCTGTCATCCGAAGCGTCATCTCAAGCATCCTCTTCTTCTGCACCTGCCTCATCTGCGACTTCAAGTGGCGGTGCTCCCGTGCCTACTACTGGTGTTGCTATGGGTCTCGCAGGTATTGCCGGTCTGTTGGGTCTTGCCATTGCCCTTTAATTATGTTTCAATGGTCCGTTGGAGATAGCGGGTTTCAGAGAATAATCTGAGAATCTGCTTGGAAACTTGGTCTTGTTCACTATCTGAATAGAGCCATTCCAGGCCAAATGTGCCTATATACATGTACTTTTATTAATAATACCAATCTTGTCTACCACTGAAGCGTCCGAGTATACCGAAGTTGGCAAAAGAGCAGAAGAGAAAACAAAAAATAAAATGAAGTGAAGTTGATTATACTTTTTCTCCAAGTGGTTCTATGTCCTTTGAAATTTGAACCAAAATATCTATCACTTAGGACCCCGTCGTGCGTCAACCATCTCCTAGTACTCAGTAAGCTGAGCAGCAGCTGGAGGATATCTATGGCCGGCGACGGGGAAGTTATCCAAAATTGACCTGATCTCCTTGAGATCATGATCTGACAAGTCGATATCCACTGCATTTTCCAAGGCTCTGCTTTCCGACCTTGCACCGGGAACGGGAACAAATACGGGCATATTAGGCTGACGACTTTGAGCCTTGATCCAAGACAGTGATAATTGAGGAGCCGTGCACCCCTTATCATCTGCCATCTCTTTGATCTTATCAACTAGCTTCAAGTTCGTATCAAAATTCCCGGGCTGGAAACGTGGAAAGAATCGATGATGGTCATTAGCTGGCATATCATCAAGGCTCCTGATTTGGCCTGTGAGCATACCCGCGCCGAGAGGCGTGTGGGCAACCATAGTGATCCCCAGCTCAGCGCATGTTTCCGCAACACCATTCTCAAGTACATCAGTCGCCCACAGACTAATCTCCGCCTCGACCATATCGATCTTGGCCACTTTTGCCGCGCGCCGAATGGTATCAGAGCCGACCTCGCTCAACTGAATACCGCCAATCTTTCCTTCTCTGACTAAGTCTGCCAGAGCACCCACAGTATCCTCAATAGGTACATTTTTATCCACCCGACCGCAACCAAAGATGTCGATATTCTTTTTACCGTCGAGGATTTCGTTGGCGCGGTCCACAAAGTTCCGTACACTGACCGGCGAGCAATCGAGTCGAAAAGTTCGCATATCCACTATGCCGCTCTTAATGGTCAAGACAACCTTTTCTGCGTCTTCGGGGTACGCGGTGAAGTAGCGATTCATCAAATGAAGCGTGTTTTGGTCCGGGGTTCCGTAGAAATCAGCCCCGTTCCAGACATTGACACCAGCTGCCAAAGCGGCTTTGAGGATTTTGAATGCCTTTTCATCTGGTGTTACATCATCTTTCCAGGTCAGCCCTATCGAGTCAATGTTAGTGGTTTGAGATGTAAACGTGAATCTTGATATGACTTACGCATTAGACCGAGGCCGTTCTGGCTGATGGGCTTTCCTGCTAGCATCGGCATTTTAAAATTGGTGCAAGAGGATACTTAATTTTCCAATTGGCCGACTAAAGACCCAAAAATGAACAAGATGAATACTTATACTTGTATTCAAGTTTTCTTGAGAGGTGATTGACATCTGGCGGACATTGTAACCAAGCGAGTGCCGAGTCGGCGAGGTTAGGTCCGCTATTAGGTCCGCTAACTCCGGCATGAGCTCATGCACCCCACAATTTTGTGAAGCAACGAAGCTCTCGACTTTTTAGCTGCAAACATTTGCATGGGAAATATCCATAAGGTTATTTAGCGGAATTACGGGCTACAGGATTTTCTGAAAGATTTGGACATTTCTGTGAATCGTAGTGCTCGCAATTAGGTATTGACATGGGGAACAAGACTATAAATCCTGGGTGAAAACAAAATTTTGAACTTTTCCATTTGATGCATGACACCTGGCAAAGCATGTGCACTATGATATGTTCAAACTTTACAATGCAATTGCTATCAGCCCTACTGCCAACCCACCAAACAAAATTTCCAATGACATGGACATTGGGGGGGTGTTTCCAGAGCTTGAAGCGCTTCCAGCAGAAGGATTTGCACCGGCAGTCGCTGCAACACTACTTTCAGTAGCGCTAGCAGTAGAGTTGATACCGGTTCCGTTTGGACCAGCAGTTATCGTAACTGCCAGTAAAGAAATTTGGTCACTGCTCAGGGTTGTTGTCTCGCTAGCTTGAGCGGCTGAGCCATTGGTAGGTGTCACCTCCGTGCAGACGGCGGTCGTGGTGCCTCCTGTTGAGCAAATAACATGACCAAACTTATCACTATCACAATTCAAGGATAATAATCAACTTTAAATTATTCCTTTAACCAGTCAATTTGATGAACTTACGCGTCATAGGGCGTTTGCAAATGCCATTGTACAGTTGTTGGTCCCTCAGTATAAAGCAGGCCTGGCTCAAACCCACAATCGGATGATTTAGTCCCAGAAGGGCAATTTATGCTGTATGTTGCTTCGTCTGTTTTCTTGTTTAATTATCTTGTCAGTATGTATAGTCGACGGTCGTGGGGGATATCACCAACCGTCTCGACTACAGAAGCGACCAATGACTGCTGATCAGCCCCGTATATGAAAAGAGAAACCACAGACGTGCCGTCGGCGACTGCCAGTCCCATGGCTGCCAGTGCCGCCAATTTCTTGATAAACATCAGGACTTTTTGAGGTGCGCCGGGGGGGTAGACGCTAAACGGTGAAGTCTAGTCAAATTAGAAAGATGCGTGCAACAAGTGCGGCGGGCGCAGTGAAACAACCTTATAAGGAATGATAGTGACACTTGACGGAACAGAAAACTGGATATAATATGAGTTCAAGATAAATGTACAATATTGAGGTTTATCGTGGGATTTCAATACCGGTTGACGTCAAATATAGGTCAAACTCTGAGACTCAAACGTTGATGCAGCACAGTGCGGAATTGATCCCCCATTATGACTTTGCCTCCTCTCGGAAAAGATAGCCATTGGGTCAATAAGAAGTTTACCTATTGTAGCTCATACAACAATTTTCTTGACAAAGGTTCACGGGCAGATGCATTGATTTATTCTGCTATGACATTATAATGACGAACTACTCTAACTCAAATAATCAAACTGCGAACGAGGGAAAAGCTGGCGAATATAGTGCCAGTGGTTGCTTCTTACATGTATTGAAAGGGCGATAAAACAAGTTTTAGGTTGTAAGATCAAGAGCCCTCGGATTGGAATTATACTACTAGAAACTACTACGTAAGACTAGTTGAGCCAGGCTACACCTATTGAACTAGCTATTACAGCCTTGGAAAATGCATTATCACTTATACAGGCAAGAACAAAATTTGAGTTACCTGATCTAGGCATCGCAAATCAAGAGATTATTTTTGATCGAGAAGATGTAAAATGGCTAGAGTCCAGGACATTAGAATGTTCGGTTATTTGACTGCAGCGTGTCAAGCATCGTTGGGGAACTCTCAGCTCGAGCCAACTTTAAGTTTAGAATTTTCTGGATGAGAACCCATTTATCGCCATGCCTTTGAATATCACACATGTCAGAAATCAACCATGGTATCCTGGAAGCGTATCAAATATTGTGATGGCTACCTTGGTTGGTACCAATTTTTGTCATTATAACTACATTCCGATGGGTGGCGGACCTTGAGTAAACATCTCCGAGAGAGAGAAAAGCTTTGAGTGCCAGCGAGAAAGGGCAATTCCACGCGGTCGCTATAAATAAAGAACAGCTACTGAAATTGGGACATGGAAAGCCGATGGATCCGGCCTAGACATAGCCATATTCGCATTAGCTCTTTGGGCGGAGATACGGCCCCTAAGACACCAACAAAGATATTGTGGAGATAACTTGAAGTAGGTACGACAAGTTTTTGGTCTAGGCAAAGTTTACCTAGCAGAGGAACTGGGCCCTGCTTGTAACCGATACAAATATATTAATTCGAAATTGCCAGTGGTGGCTTCTACCTATGACCCAAGTGGGAACGGCGGATGGATCTATGCGACGCAAGCTCGTTCTTCCAGACCCATTGTGGCGCCGGGCAATGCATTCCATTTTCATGTGCAGTTACATATACGGTTCCTGGAACTGATTATGCACAGTTTATGGTACTGACGGTCTTTGAAAATTCGGAAATTGTGCACCGAACGCGCGAGTTCGTTCCGGCTGGGTGGCTCGAAGACCTTGGCAGCAAGATGGTCACTTCTCAAGTGTTTGGGAATCATACATACACGTGCATTGGAGGGTACACTACTATGGCTGAACTCTTAATTCCTTTTTGCTCTTTCCCTGGACAAGTCTATTTGGTAATATTTTGCCCAAATTAGTACATTACTCCTAAGTATGTTATCCGGTTGGGTGTGCCGGTCTATATCAAGAGGGGATCATGAGACTTTACCGGGGCAAAGATGAATAAACAACAGATCCTTTGATCTTAGATTCTTTATTATTAGTCTGTGCGCGGAAAATAATTCTATTCCTGTTCGTTCCTCCCATAGCCCCCCTCTTTTCTGTGAAGTGCCTTGCAAGTCAGCCTCCCTGCATGCCTCGGAGCTATGACCATCCTCCCATCCTGCCGATCGGCATTTATTGTTCCAGGGAGTTTCGAGAAAGACTCGGGGCAATTGCGGTTAAAGCCTCTAGAAGTTATTAGATCCATGGAATCTAGAAACCCAAATATAAGGAGGTGGTGTACATAGATCGGGAGAACTATACAAACCGTGGAACATCACTTCTCGGGGGGTGACCGACCAGGCTTAATAAAAGGGGGTTTCTTAAAGAAATACAAGCTACTATGTATTATACGAAGTCATGAGAGAGTGTCCAGGCATCCTCCTGCGTTGACAGTGTCAGACGTTGAATCGGATCCAACCCAATGCCACATGGGAGTAACATGCGATAGAGACGGACCCGCTGCGGGACGATCTCTGAGCCAGCCATTCCAGCACGTTCAACTCTGCGGATCCACACTAGTATTTGATGTTTCCCCCCTCAAGCGGTTATCACGGTGTTCATATATTCATTGTTCCTTTGATCAAATCATGTCATGTCTCTTGCCGGTTCGCCTAATATGGGACCTGCTCTATCGATAGATGCAAAATTGCCTTGAAGTACTCCACCATTAAAATATCGTCTTCGAAGGCCGTCGAGGCGATCGGCCATGAGCCAGCTTTCTTCCTCAGATATCCAGGAGTGGGCAAGCACATCCTCACGCCGTCAAAGCACGGTGTCAACCTCCACAGTGTCGTCCGCATCCACCAGTATCCTCTTCCAGAGCCCCGCGTCCTCCCCCGGCTCAAGAAAACAATCATGGCAGTACTACGATGAAGTGATTCGATTGGAGTTAAACCCCCATATGACGATGTGCGAATATTTCTCAATTGGGCTCTGTTTTGATCTCGAATTAATCGGTCCTATAGTTCTTTTGTGAAAAACGGTCAGCTGTTCAAGTTACGATACTCCTTTATTGATGTCTGCAAAGACTCGACGGGAGTTTTGAAGTGTCTGGAGCTCGGGGGAGGACTCGGTCAACAAACGCCGTTCATTCATGCCTGTGAGTTTGAAGCCCAGATTAACCATTCCAACTCAGGGAAATTTGAATCTAACGATGGATTACTTGCAGTTCACAACACCAAACTACCAGTTCCACATCTCGAACATCCCAAAGAATCCGCCGACTACCCCCTTCGAGTATCTTTTCTTGAACACCAAACCGTACAAACGGCACAAATTGTGTTCATGACACAATTATCCTATAAGTTTGAAAATTGGGAAGGTATGACAACCTTCGGGTGTACTCTGGGCAACTTATGATACTTATTGTGGTATAGACTGTGTTCAATTCCAAGAGCTTCTGCTTTGCTCTAAAATGATGTTTATCGGGGGCATGGCCGAAGCAAAGTCCAAAGGCCGCGGTGAAGAATGCATCAGCCAAAATCTCCGGATCCTCCGAGGTCAGAACGGCAAACGAGTCATGTTATTTTTTGCCAACTCGCAACGAAAAGAGCTTAAACGATACGTTTCTATTCCTTGTATGTGATCAAATCCCAGCTCCGGATTTCCCGGGAGGAGAGCCCATACTGATATTCCACATTTTATATTATAGTGAACTGCGTTGCGAGTTTCAAACCACCCAAAAAGGCAGGGCGACCGGTCGTTGTGGAATTAAATCCTAATTTCGACATTCTTACACAAATGCGCAATCTGACGATTCATTTCCTGGATGACGACGGTGAGTTTGACCCTACTATGGTATATTGGTACCTAGTTCCTATAGATCCGAGCGATCGCTTATATCTCGTTCCTAGATTGCCACAGCTTCTGCCAGCTGCTGACGACCGACCTAATGATTGGATGAATAATTTCTTTTTTTCACATTGATTAATTATTATGTGACTTGTATAAATGTGCATGGCGGGGTTCTTCGGCGTCCGTGATTACCGGGTGATTCTATGATACCATTTCGAGGAATTTGATTTGCCTAGACCGACGGTCCTTTTCTTTCATTTAATTCTTTTCTGCTCCGTACTCGGTAAAAAGTGCTCAAAAGTTAAAGTATCAATGAGGTACACCGTCATCTGTATGATTCTCTAGTGCTGTGATGTACCAAAGTTAAATAAACAGCAAATGTTGAAGGCGCAATTGTTCTTTTTCCTTGTGGGGCTCATTACAGCGTCTTAATAGCCTGGAGTCCCGCACGTGGAGGCATTGATCGCTGGGTTTGGCTGGAGCCGGGGCGAAGTGGGGCGGATGTGCATTGATTGTCAATGAGCATCATTTGTCAATGAACGATTATCACTGGTGGGCACTCGTAGACGAAGATGGACACTGCACATGTGGTTAGCACGAGTGGGATCGAGCAGGGGTTCATTGTACCAGTCCCGCTCTAAGCTAACAAAGTCCGATTGGCCCCGCTTAGGTGGTGTGAGCCTGTATATCACTGATCCTTCCTGCGGCTCTCGTTTTTTCTTTACTGTCCTCCTGCACGAGCTTCGAATTTCGAATTTGCTGCAGCTTGCGATAATGGGCAAATTTCACGCCCGTCTATACAAGACCGACCGGGCGCGGGATTTCGATCATGAACAGGTGAGGATTTCTATGTTCTTCTCTTTTTTTTGGAACTTCCAAATTAGAAATGCTACTTAAAGAGAATTAAAGACCATTCTAACGGCTTCATATAATACAGGATCGATATGTGCGCATGCGACAGATTTATGAGACTATAGACCGGCAAGGTTATCAATGGATCGTGGTATTGGTTGCCGGTCTGGGTTTCTTCTTAGATGGTTATACTGTGAGTGACTTTTTTGTGAAAATTGCAAGCTGGAGATTATCTAACAATTTTCCAAGCTATTTGCTACAAATATGGCCCTACCGATGATATCTTACGTCTACTGGAGAGATGATACCTCCTCAATACGATTAACCTGCATTAATATGGCAACTCTGGCCGGCACCCTCCTCGGTATGGTGCTTTTCGGATTTCTTGCAGACAAACATGGGCGAAAGAAGATGTATGGTGTTGAGCTGGTGCTTTTGATTACTGCGACACTGGGTGTGGTCATGTCTTCAGAGGGTCAAAATGGCAGTATGAATGTCTTCGCGTGGCTGATTTGGTGGAGAGTCTGTGTCGGTATCGGTGTTGGTGCGGACTACCCTCTGAGTGCCGTCATCACCTCAGAGTGAGTATACATCTGTCTTTTCCACTGTTTTTCAGTTAGCTAACTCGTATCGCGTGTCTTCAGATTTGCCCCAACAAAACATCGCGCCCGCATGATGGCTAGCGTTTTCTTTATGCAACCTTTGGGCCAGATTGCCGGTAATGTCGTCTCACTGATTGTTATTGCAGTCAGCAGAAACAACGACAGTACCGACATTGTTCGAAATGTCGATAGCATGTGGCGATGGGTTCTTGGGATTGGAGTTGTGCCTGGGGCTATTGCGACTCTCTTTCGATTTGCGATTCCGGAAAGTCCCCGCTATTTAGTTGAGATCGATGATGATCCGGTTACGGCTGAATTCGATGCGACAACACTCTTCAGTGAGCCAGTCAGCCCTGGATTCGACTCACAAGCTTTCGGAACTATGACTACTATCACTGGTGTTGGCAGTTCGATCCAACTTCCAACGATTTCCTCACTTGCCAGCGCTTCTAGTCAGGCCGACGACGAAGAGTTCACGAACTTACCTCCTGCGACTCTCAACTCACACTGGCGACTCGCAAAGTCCGACATCATTCGTTACTTCTGGATCGAAGGGAACTGGCGTAGTCTCTTCGGTACGGCTGTCGCCTGGCTTCTGATGGATTTTGGATTCTATGGGATCAGTCTTGCAAGTCCCCAGTTCCTGGCGAAAACTTGGGGCCAGCTCCATATCACTCAATCAGAACCGTACTGGATGACCGATTCCCGCCAGGGCGCCAATGTTTACGACATGTTCTTTCAGACATCTTTTCGTGCTCTGGTGATTTTAAACATCGGCAGTTTCGTCGGCGGTCTTCTTCTCATCATCTTCGCCCATCGTATCGAACGAGTTGCCTTACAAAAATATACCTTCCTGGGACTTTCAGTATTGTTTATTGCAATGGGCAGCCTGTTCGTCAGCCTCGTCAATAGCCCGCCCACTTTGGTTGCTCTTTACATCATTGGTCAGATCCTATTCAACTTCGGTAAGTCTTCTACTAACATGCAGGCTTGGAAGCATTCAACTGACCCAACATAGGCCCCAACGCAACTACCTACATGATTCCAGCTGAGATATTTCCCACTCGTTACAGAGCAACCTGTTACGGTCTCAGTGCCGGTGCCGGCAAGCTAGGCTCCATTCTAGTCCAGATCTTTTCAACCTACTATCGTTTCGGTGGGGGTCTTGGGGACACATCCATTCGCCACCACGGCATCGTTCTTTTTGTTTTCAGTGCATGCATGATCATCGGTGCAGCTGTCACGCACTTTTACATTCCTCCTCTCCAGCAGAAGAAAGGTCGAAACATCATGTGGGGTGGAAAGCCTTATACCCTCGAAACTATGGCGCTGGGCCGAATGGGTCGCAAGAGCCGCGAGGCAGGACTTCGGAAGAGATCAAAAAGGCAGCGTGCTATGTCTTTCTCTGGCTGAACGCTTTTCATTTCATTTAATTCTGGGTTATGTACATATTTGGCGTTCAGGGTGTATACGGCTGTGATAGCGGCTGGGGTGGGTGTTTGGACATAACAAGACTCGCATGAAATTAGTGGATAGATACCCTTGTCATTAAACCTTCAAATAAATTTCCATTCAATATGAAAACCTAAAGATACGCACTATATCTATATTACATCCTTGTCAAATGCCAGTCTTATCATGATAGTCAACGCATTACTCATGATCAGGAGGCGAATTCACCGACAATTCCCCGAGTTCCCCGGAATTCCCCGGAATTCCGCGACCAAGACGCTAACCACCGACAAGGCTATGAGAAACTTCAACAGCCTAAATCGCGACGACTACGCGTGTAGATCTGTTCATAATGAACTTAAACGAAGAGATGCAATCCAATCCACGAAAGCGCAGAAGACCCGCGCTATCATGCGAACAATGCCGTCGCCGCAAAGTGCGCTGCGACCGAGAAATGCCGTGTGGGCCCTGCAGCAATGCCCACCCCTCGCTGGAATGTTCATATGTCTACGAAGGCAAAGCTGTGGTAGAAGCTAGACTTGAATCTTTTGAGCCGAATGAGAACGGCTTCTCCTCATCTCTGCAGAATTCTCAGAACGCGTCCAATGGCCAGGCTGCTGGCGAGAGTGCTCGGATAGCGCAGCTGGAGCGCGGCATTTTGGCATTGCAGGGACGCGTGAAGGATTTGGAGGAATGTCTGCAGGCAAAGGGTGGAGATCAGCGAAACACTTCTGTGGATCACCGGCTCGACGGGAAGAGTGATCGTAGTGTTCATTCGGGGGATCGGCGCTCTGGAGTGTCAGAGCAGCCACAAACATTTATTTCACCTATCGCTCCTCGCCTCAAAAGCGACAATGGAAGAGTCAAACTGTTTGGGACAACACATTGGGCAATCGTGTTTCAGCAGGTATGTTTTCTTCGATAAGACGACGGCTTCATTAGCTGACCATTGCCAGTTTCGAATGTTGCGCCATGTGCGTAGCACGGCTGGTTATGCAAATGCAGAGCACAATGACATCAGCGGATCGCTTGGAGAAATTCGCAAATTGAGACACCACATTAAGAATTGTCAAAGTGCACGTTTGTTGGATCCAGCACCTAATCTTTTGAATGACTTGCCGTCACGGGAGGTCTGCAATGAGCTTGTTCAACACTATCTACGCACACTCGGACTCATATACCGAGTTCTACATGCTCCAACATTTTATCAGGAGTATGATGCATTCTGGGAGAACCCACAAGCAGCATCCAGGGGCTTTCTTCTGAAGCTTCTGCTGATTATCGCGATTGGATCCATTTTTCATTGCCAGTCAGGGCCATTGAATGAGTTAGGTTTACCCATCCAGCGCTGGGCATATGCAGCACAATGGTGGGTGTCTGGTCCCTTTTCAAAGGAGGTTGGATGTATGGAAGGCTTACAGGTGTATTGTCTTCTCCTCCTCTGCCGCCAGGCCTATTCAATGGATAAGGAAACCAATTGGATGTTAGTCGGTACGCTACTACGGTTAGGAGTCAGTCAGGGACTTCATCGTGATCCTGTTCATTTTCCAACGGTGTCGGCGTTTGATGCTGAAATGCGACGACGTGTATGGGCTACCATTCTTGAACTCAATATTCAGCTTTCCATCGACGTGGCTATGCCCCCGTTGATTAACGAGCGCGATTTTGATACCAGACCCCCGGCGAATGTCGATGATGACGACATTGATCCCACAATGCCGGTCCTGCCGCCAGTTCAACTCGAAGACCTTTATACGGACTCTTCACTTCAGATTGTGCTTTTAAAATCTTTTTCAATCCGCCTACAAATTGCAAAGATGATCAATGAGTGCGGTGAACTGCTTTATGAGAAAGCACTGCAGTTGGGTAGCAAATTAACTGCAGCTTGTAAAGAGATGGAAGCTCTCGTTCAAACCCATATATCACGAGCAAGGTCTAGAGTCCGTCCTACGTCTTTCCACCACAAACTGATGGATACCTTGCTGCGCCGTTTTTTGTTAAACCTATATCGACCATTCACAATCCAAGCCTCAAAGGACCCTCGCTTCTACCTCTCCAGAAAATTGAGTCTCGACTCAGCTCTTGTCATGGCCTCGTATGGCGACCCACCGACAACCTCCCCCGATGCAGATCTCCAGCCTTATCAAGATTTCCAACGTTTAGCATTCTCGGGATGTGGACTTTTCAAATCACACCTCTCCCTAGACGTTATAATAGTCATTTCACTCGAACTCATCACACAGCTGGAAGAAGAATATACCGTCCAGCCACCAGGGTCGACTCCCATAGGTCCAAGTGCCGTGGATAAAATCGCACAGGCTGCTCGCGTACCGTTATTTCAGGCGCTAGAAGCTATCAAAAGTCAACTGTACGATAGTATTGCTGCGGGTATCCCGAGTATGAAACGATACTGTCTTTTATCTGGTGTCCTGGCTCAATTACAGTCTGCTCCCATTGGAGAGCCATATGGATGGACTCCTATTCGTGAAGCTTTTATGGATAGCATGAATACTTGTCGAACACTACTTGATCAATATATTACGCAGAAGCGGACCACTGATGGCGATAGAATACAGCAAGGAGCTTTGGATTCATCGGCTATTTGGACGCCTGAGAGTGGCTTTGGCTCGAGCTTGGATTCGGACTTCGTGGTATGAGATTATTCCCCTCCCATTGTCTTTCATACACTCACTTGTTCTTAGTTTCCCGGGCTGGGTCTTGAAGACTTGGATTTCTGGGATCTCCCTTCCTTTGTCGATGCAAGCGCATTTGATCCTCCTTTATCAGGCTAAACGGAGCCTTGTTTTGAATTCCATGTTTCTTTCAATTGGAATCTACTTTCCGAATCCGAATCCCACCGGCCCACCCTACCCATCCCGTCTCAGCCGGACCACGGATCAAGCAAAAAATAAATCCGACAACGACAAATATTACACTGACGGTTCCACTCATGACCCAACCCCGCTCTCCGTATACTCTATTTCCAACAGCTGTTCCCATCAGCTGCCCACAAAACACCCCGATCATGTAGGCAGTATTCACTCGACTGCGCGCCTTCGGCGCAACACTATAAATCGCAGTGCGATTGGCAATTTGCGCCATTTGCAGCCCGAAATCCTGCAATGCAGGCTGAATAATAGGGCCCGCGACCGAGAATTTGCCCGTGTACGCACCAATACAGATACCAGCGAGCATGATTGTGAGACTCAGAAGAACTGACACATGTGTAACGAATTTGTCGATGATATACCGCGAGTAAAACGGACCAATCAACATTGGGGTTAGACCAGCCAGTGAAAATAAACCGATTGTTACCGTTGAATAGTAGTACGGCGATCCGGACAATAGGAAGCTGAGTGTTGTCCAGAAGCTGGTAAACGTCGCAGACAAAAAGAAGCCCATGAAGGTAGCGTATACCAGCACAGGTGATGAGATGAATAGTTTCACAATGGAAACCAGAATTTGGATATATGATATATCATCGTTTGTCCTTGGGTAATCCGGCATGAATGCCCAGAGCAAGATGAAGATTAAAAATTGCAGTGCTAGAGATAGCCAGTATATGTTGCGCCAGGAGGAATATGAAGCGATGATTCCGGCCAGGAGACGCGCAAGTAAGAGGCCTAGTACCAGTCCTGAAGTGACGATTGATAATGCTGTTGCGCGTCGCGCTGGTGGAGCAAGATCTCCTACTAATGGAAGCATAATTTGCTAAAGAAATTATTAGTAATTTTGTTTCAATATATTGAAATGTTTCTCTTCACTTTACTTACGGGAGTGACCGTGGTTACTGAAGATAAAAAGCTTATGGCTAGGAAAACATTGAATGACTCAGTAACACACAACCCAATCCATAGTGTGGCCGTCAATAATGTTAATAAAAGGACAAAAGGCCTTCTCCTTACCAAGTCTCCCATCGGACAAAGAAGGATAAGTCCAACAGCATAGCCCGCCTGGCTACATGTAGGAATCAAGGATGCTCGCTCATGGGAGACATCAAAATGTTGGGCAAGGGTGTCAAGTATAGGCTGCGCATAATATAAGTTGGCAACCTAAAGAGCTTTGTCAGTTTTTCGCCAATAGCACAGCGTCGGGCTTCGCAGTATGAAATCAGCCATTTCCTAGACATACCGTGAAAGTGCCGGCAAATGCAAATAAAAAATTCAATGGTAGCCCAAATGAAGGTGGATTCTCTTTATTCCATCGACACCACGAAGGGGCCCAAAGAAGAGCATCGACTATCAACTTCCCACTGGTTTGTGCAGTCGACGGCTTTTTGGAAATCACATCATCCGTTTCGGAGTTCTCGCCGATCTCCGCAGGGCTCTCGTCGTTATTGGGAATTTGCCTGGGACCCGCCTCTTCATCAGGCACATTTGTACTCTCCAACTTTATTGTCCCCGGGTCACGTCTCTCGTCGCCCATTGTTATTCAAAAAAAATCATGATGATTAAAGAAATTTTTAAGAAAAAAAAACAAGCGGGGAAGATGACCGGTGCAGATCTCTTCTCCGGTAAGTTACGCGGGATAAGGGCCTCGGGCCGCATGCGGATACTATCTTGTATCTAGAGTCAGGCGCGCCCAATTGCCGATATTCTAGCGGTATTTCAAGATATGGAATTCACTCATCACATTAGCTAGATTGAAGCTCTGCAGCAGTGATTATTTATTCCGTTGCTTGCTCAATTAAGCTTTGAGCGTCATTGGAAAGAAATACAAAAGTCGAGAGATCATTCCTTATCTCGGCTAATGGGCAAGTTAAAATTCCACATCGGAAATTATTACCCACTAGGTGCATTTGAAGACTTTCCACTACTATTCAGCCCTCTCGACTAACAGTAGTAACATCCTCAATTGTATCAACCGCCTCTTCCTCTTCTTTCTTTTCGGACATCGCTGCCGACTCTAAGCTTTCAAAAGGGTGAACCACCGTAGAGGAAAACTTCCGAGCAGAGACTCTTTGCTCAAAAAGAATATCCAACTCTGCAAAAGTGCGCCCTTTGGGCTCAGGGAGTCTGAAGTATGTCCACGTCAAACAAACAAAGCAGCTTACGCACCAAAAGAAACCAGCCTTGGCGCCCCAATCCCACGCGGACGGGTTCAGCATGCGCGGCGTGAGGATATTTGTCACAATACCGACAACATTATACACATTGCGCGCGATAACAATGGTCTTCGTTCGTAGACGCGAAGAACTAAGTTCCGAAACAAGAGAATAACAGACTGGGCCAACGGTAGCATCATAGCAAAACGCATATACCAGAATGACACCTCCGATAGCCCAGTGTACGGCAGGTCCACTGTTAGGAACACACCCCAGCGCTCCAACAATAGCCAGAAGCACAACTTGAATAGCTTGGCCACTCAAATATAGTGTCCGACGGCCAAACCAGTTGATCAGGAACCAAGAAAAGATTGTTCCGAGAGCACCCAGTGCGTACTGGACCAGAGACATGGTAAATGCATTGCTGGAGTCCAACCCGGCTTGTTCGAAAAAATATGTGGAGTATCCCATGAAGGTACTTCCACATAGAGTCTGGATAGACCATACCATACATATTATTTCAGTGCGACGTAGATTTGACCCCATGAAGCAGTCACGGTATGAAATACCCTCGGTAAGTTGCTTTTCGAGCTCATTCGTTCGTTCAATCATCGATATTGTTTCTTCTATATCAAATGGCTGATCATTTTGTGAGGTGAGGCGATAGAGTGCATGCTTTGCGTCACCCACTCGTCCTTTTCGAATTAACCACCATGGCGACTCAGGGGCCAGAAGTACACCTAGCATGATCGGGAGAGGCCAAATCCACTGGCAAGCAAATGGGATTTTGTATGCCCACTTATTGTCCAGCGGGCTGACCCCTTTCATAACACCCTATACGTAATTGTTTCGTCAGTTATGTTTTTGAGGGCTTATTTGAAAAGACAATATAGGATTCACAATACTTACGGAGGAAATAAATTGGCCAATCGTCCAGCACAGATTGACATAGATTGTGAGGTACGGGCGCAGAACGACAGGGCAGACTTCAGATGCATAGGCAGTGGTGAGCGTCTGGAATACACCCCAAGGTATACCGAGCAAGATCTCCCCTAAAAGCAGCACAGGCAAGCTCGTAGCGAAAAACACAATGAAAACAAAGCAGACAACAAGAGCAAGAGCTCCAGTAATGGTTTTTCGATAACCATATCGGTCGCAGATAATTCCATTCAAGAACAAACCAAGAATCTCACCAATGAGCGCCCCATTGGAAAGACCAGATTGCCAAGCCGCAGTCAACTGATATGATCCATCTGACATTTTCTGACCGAATTGACGTTGAAAAGGGTTTAGGGCATAAAGGTTTCCAATTAAGATCGCGTCGAACCCCTCCATGATAATGGAAGTCGAGAAGAGAATTGACCAGCCAACAGCATGGGGATATATTTTCAGCCCCTGTAACAGAGTCATGCTATGCTCTGTGTTGACTGCTCTATTTGCTTCATGACTTGCTAGAGCATCTTGAACTTCCTTGGTTGTCGATCTTTCAACATGGACATCCTCGATAATTCGAAGTTCCGCCATATTGGTGATGGATTTGATGAGCGTGAGAATGTCGGAATTTCCCACTTACTGTAACTGTTTTCGAGGTCTATATCAAAATCAGCAGATTTCACCTCATTTATATAGATGATCATGCTATGATATTCCAACATCTCCAGGTTTGGAAAATCCTCCAGTTTCTCCAGCTTTGTTCCGGGGGCGACCCGTTGGTGACCAGTTAGAAAGCTATGCCACTTTTTACAGTTGGGTTCCATTCAGCGCCCCATTTCAACCATAAGACCAATTAGGATTGGGTGAGAGATATTCTCGGCTTTCTTTATCAAAATGGCGCCAGCTAGGGATAGCATAAGCTGTGCCTAGCATAGAATAGACGCACAAATAAGCCTTCAATTCACAAATCCGAGAAACTAATTGCAAAACTTCGGCCAAATACCCCAGTCTATTTCCCCAGATGTGAACCTAGTACGCAAAATCCGAGGAACCAAGTGTGTCCGTTAGCTTTATTGAAGCTTGAAACTCACCTCTCCGCGCGTTCGGGCCCCGGGAATTTGACCAGTTTCTCCGAAATCTCAGCGAAATGGTCTGATCGACCCAATTATCCCGAATGGACAGGTCTGGAGAAATTTCGGTGATTTACATTGCATCTTCTACGGGTAGTCCTAAGCTAGACTGCAAATAGACCAGTATGGACGCACTTCATCGTCCTTTCGGACCGACATCCCCCCCCGCATTATCTCGGACCGGTATAGAGCCAATTGTATATGCCGTTCAGTGGGATTTTGTGGGTTTGTGGGTAGGATAAACAGGCAATTCTCCAGTTATGTCTAGATATCACGTATTAACAACATTTGTGAGGATCAGACTGCGGTGGGTTGTAGGGTGCTACCATGGGGATGAAGGGTATAATAAGGACTACCAAACCAACAGAGAGTCTATCAACTATTCATCTGTTTTGCTCTTCGCCGTTTTGCTTAAGTCAGTCTACTGGGTATTTACCGCACTCTAAAGATGACGGTCTCCCATGAACCATGGTGGAAAAATGCAACTGTCTACCAGATCTATCCTGCGAGTTATAAAGACTCCAATGGCGACGGAGTCGGCGATATTCCGGGAATAATTTCACAGTTGGACTATATCAAGTCTTTGGGGGTAGACGCTATCTGGCTCTCTCCATTCTACGACAGCCCCCAGCACGACATGGGATACGATGTTGCCAACTATGAATCTGTCTATGCTCCCTACGGCACAGTAGCCGATATTGAAGACTTCATTTCTGAGTCCCATAAAAGAGGCCTACGCGTTCTTTTTGATCTTGTTATCAATCATACATCGTATCAGCACGCTTGGTTTAAAGAGTCTCGTACCTCAAAGCATAGTCCAAAGCGTGATTGGTATATCTGGCGACCAGCAAAAAACGACAAGGATGGGAATCGTCAACCACCAAACAACTGGCGTAGCTGCTTCGGTGGCAGTGCATGGGAGTGGGATGAGGCTACAGAAGAGTACTTCCTTCATCTGTTCTGTCCCGAGCAACCAGACCTCAATTGGGAGAATTCGGAGACCCGCGCTGCTATCTACGAATCAGCTATGGAATTCTGGCTCCGTAAAGGTGTGGATGGCTTTAGAATTGATACTGTCAATATGTACAGCAAGGCGCCAGGGCTCCCTGATGCACCTATCACAAACAGTCAAACTCCCTGGCAAGAGGCTTCAAGTCTATTCTGCAACGGACCCCGAATGCACGAGTTTCTGAGGGAAATGAACGAGATCTTGGAAAAGTACGATGCCATGACTGTTGGTGAGCTTCCTAACACTAAAAGTGTCCAGGATGTACTGCGTTATGTCTCTGCCAAATCGAAGGAGCTTAGTATGGTGTTTCAGTTCGACATTGTGGATGTGGGTGGTGGATCTGATCTTCGCTACGATACTGTGCCCTGTAACTGGAAGCTCAATGATCTTCGACTAGCAGTGGAGCAAACTCAGCTTGTTACGAACGGAACTGACGGATGGGGGACTGCATTTATGGAGAACCATGACCAAGCGCGAGTTATCTCTCGCTTTGGCTGCGACGAGACGCCAGAGTTTTGGGACCGGAGTGGTAAGATGCTTGCTATGTTTGTGGCAGGCCTATCTGGTACTCTCTATCTGTATCAGGGACAAGAAATTGGCATGGTGAATGCCCCTAAGTCGTGGCATATCTCGGATTACAAGGACGTTGAGAGCATAAACTATTACAAGCACGTCGAAATCATGACTGGCGGTGATATCGAAGCTTTGGAAAAGGCTAAAGCTGCTCTTCAACATATGGCTCGAGACCATGGTCGACTTCCTATGCAGTGGGATAACACGCCGAATGCAGGATTCTCCAGAGCCGGGGTTGAGACTTGGATGCGCGTTCATGATGATTATGAGAGCATCAATGTCAAGAAACAGGAAGGTGATACCCGCTCAATTCTGTCCTTTTGGAAGACTGTTTTGAGTCATCGCAGGCAGAATCCACGGGTATTCGCCCATGGCTTTTTCTCTCTTCTCGAATCTGAGCACGAGTCAGTGTTAGCGTACGAAAAAACTTCAATAGATCAGAGACTTGTTGGCGTTTTCAACTTCACCCAGGAAAACCAAGCTATCGACTTGGTATCTCGCCTAGGGTTAAAAGGATCAACTTGTCTGGCGAGTAATTATACCGATGAACATTCAGATCTGCTTCATCCGTTTGAGGGTCGGTTGTATCTCATGAACCAGCGTTAATAAAAGGATTGGGTTTCTATCCACCACCAGCATTTGGCAGTTCTCGGGCTGCCGAACACAAATAGCACACTCTGTCATTAGACGTTAACTTACAACTTCCAGAATCTAGATTTCGCAGTTCCAGATTCAGTCTACTTAAGGAAATTGAAACTTCGGATCGTTTTCCAAATAAAAGAAATTCTAAGTGACAACCGAGGCCTAAAGCTCCACCCAAAATGCTCGCTCCGACACCCGCGCTATGTACATAAAGTAAGGCAATAGAAATGATGCAAGGGGTATAAAATAAAAATTAAAGAAATACAATTTTTCAAAGCGTCGATTCCTCTTTTGGTCGCTTGAGAGGATGTCCTGCGGAGTTGAAAACGTACTCATCCAGATCTATGTAGCCCGGGTCACTAAATAGAAGGTAGAAGTACTTCAGAGTTTGAGACATCCAAGAACTGTCCATCCTGTCAATATGAACCGGTTGTTCGTCAAGAACCGTCACATCGGCAATAACAGCATTTCCATTGATGATTTCGGTGGCATTTTGAATCGATTCGAATATGTCCCAAGCGGTATCGAGTAAATCCTCTCGGCCGCTCACTCTATATAGAGTGAAAATGCTTTCGATAACTTCCGATCGCAGATTATATCCTTTGTCAGGGATATCAACGAACCCCTTGGGCAGGCGATGTTGACTAATGTATCTGTCGGTATCCATATCAGGATCCGGCTCTGGGCCAGTATTCACTTTCTTCCAAACTTGTTGCTTCCAGATGGGCTCATTCCATGGACACTCGGTTTGTGAAGAGCACGGTACCATTTCAACTACCTCGGGCATGATCTCAAGGGGCATTTTTTGCGAAACCCAGGTACAGCCATCGACCAGCTTATTTGCGATCTTTCTATGAGTCTGTATGTTGAAGAGCGCACCGCCCAGTGCAAACATGCCTCCTGAGAAACACGCACGGTGATGGACCTTGCTTTCCAGTTGTGTACGTGATTTTCCATTCTGAGTCATTTGCACATGGATAGATCCTGGAAGAAGAATATCTCTGCCCTGCGAGTTCATCGGACGAAAGAGATTATGCCCAGCAATGGTCCGCGTGGACTTTTCGTACATCTTGCGATATACCGACATATGACCTCCAAGTAGCATATACGCTTTTGGCAATATTTGGTACAATGAATCCTCGAATCCCATTGTAAAGAAGTCCCCATCAAAATTCTCACTTCGAGCATTCACAATCAAGGGCCACATTCCTGGCAGCCTAGTCACATCTTGCAGTCGGTTGAATTTTTCCATGACCATTTGCGCCGCGTCAAAGTATTTCGGATCACCGGTTAATTGCGATAATCTAGTGAATTCCAGTATAAATGCACCGAGCTCCGAAGCAGACGCCATTTCTTCGGCGATCTGCTCTTCTTGTCGTATGGCTCTGTGCGGATCCCAGTGGATGATCGGCATTCGATTAGGCGTGTCAAATGCTGCATAAAGCATGTCGCCAACCTCGATTGCTTTTTTCAGTAATCTGCGATCGCTACTTAGGTCAAATGCCCCCAGGAGACCTCCGAGAATTCGAATGTTGATTTCGTGGGTGTTGATTTCTGGGGCCTGTATATTTTCGAAGCTTATTTTGACAACGGTCGCAACAGCTTCCTTAAACTCCGCTCCCATTCCCATGATCCATAATGTGTCCAGGTTATCCACTATCGTCAAGCCCCAGCCTCCAATATCATTGCGAGGCAGACCGCTCATGGGCACAAGCTCGTCCGCCTCCCACGCTAACGACTTGTATGAATCCCAACATCTTGTAAATGCGTCCTTGACAGCAGCCTGTCTACTTTTCTGGAACCAAGTTGTAACTGGTGAGAACTCGGATCCTTGGATCCTTGGGATGCCTTGTGTCGACTCGATCGGTGGAAAAAGATTGGATGTAGCGGGGAATCGTAAGGGCAAGGAGCGCCAAATGAATTCGAGGCTTTGATCATTCCCAGGCTGCAATTGATCACTTGGTGGGGTCAAAAGGTCGGGATTGGGTGGTTTGGGATTGAGTGAATCTGAGGTGTCGGTATCGTCATTGGCAATTGGGGTTGGCGTTTCCGACTCGGTATTTTGACCATTTGACGAAGGTCGGCTGTGTTGATAAATCAGAAGCACTGCGATCAGTGCCAGGAAATAGCCTAGCCATTGACGTCTAGTCCGACTCATGTCAAATACGGACTGGTAGTAAATTTCAGAAGCCCGAGTTTCGCTTGAGCATTTCTAGGTATGATAGCCAATGCTTGCTATGGCACATGGGAGAGTTGAATTCAAGGAGGTGGGATAGGAGAGATGCCTCCGGGGACCTGAATTTTGAGCACAAGTCTAGACAAACTAGTTTATGGGACTTCAGCTTCTAGATCAACGTTGCCAAGCCAATTCATGGCGAGGGCCAATGAAGCGCTCGGTATGGGCAGGTGGCTCCGCGGACGCGTCGTTCCGTCCGCGACAATCCAATACGACAGCCCTGGAGGCGGGCTGACGACGACTTCTTAGTGGATTTGGGGCGGTCCCTCCCCATTTATATTTAGCCGTGAAAACTATATTCTTGGCGTAGGAGGTCTTGCCTATAGAGCAGAGGCGTTCAAGTTGGTTTGAAAGGAGGTTTAGGTTGGTCGAATAGTCGTTATGGATAAGAGTGAGGTGTTGCAAAAGAGAGACTGATAAAAAGTGAATTTCAACTCAAATAAATAAAATGAGAAAAAGGATAGTAAAATTGACTGCTTAAAAATAAAGAAATAGCCTTGGTAAGGAAAATTCCAAACAAAAAAAGAAATGCATCATCCGTGAATCGAACACGGGCCTCGTCGATGGCAACGACGAATTCTACCACTAGACCAATGATGCTAGTTGATGTAAGAGACTGCGAGTTTTACATATATTAAGACATTTTTAATTTCTTATCCTCTGCTTGCATAGCCAACTCTAGTAACGAGATTAAGATGCCACTGGCATTAATTTTCCATGTGATATTTGGTTACCGTATTCTTCCCACATTAATAATTTATCTTGTCACATTATCTCGGGCTCATGGGATACATTTTACGGCTGCTAGGTGGTAAATATGAAAACTGCGCAGGTGAAGATATATCTAGCTAGCAACTCTCAAGGTCTTCATAGAGACTTGCTACATCATCATCATGATCCATCCATGGTGCGAAAATATTTTACTCTAACCTTGGAATTACTAGCCCTCGACGATTATTCATATAACTCCGCGACTACGATTGTGAGCAACTCGTGGACATTTTCAAGTTTGACCTAGATGCGCCCGCGGATGCTTCCATTTCAGTGCCCGCGCCGCAACCAACTTCAAGGTTAAAAAGCGGCTCCTTCAACAATGAAGGTTGAAAAAATTAAAATTCTTTTGGAACAGGGGCTAAGCTGTTTTCGTGGCGTTTGTGAGAGGCAGCTCTGGAGACTACATCAAAGTATTTATGATACAAGCAGCGACTGGCCTAGTCGCTCGCTCAAGCTAGGTCCACTGCAGCTTCGGCGTGAGCATAGCTGGTATCAATGATCGGAACAGTGCAGTCCGCCTACTTGACTAGCATTCCGAACTCGGTACAGCCCAGGACTACTATCTCAGCACCACGCGCAACCAAAGCTTCCATGGCAGCCTTGAATTTTGTCCTCGTCTCAGGGAGAAATATGTTCTTCGCAAGCTCTTGGTACAGCGCATTGTGAACATTTCTCGCATGCACACCATCAGCCACTAAAACCTTTAGATTGTTTTTCTTCTTCAAGCGATCGGCAAAGTAAGCTCCGGTTATCGTGTATCGACTTCCGAGTAGACCAACGGTCTTGTAACCACGCTGTACGACTTTATTCGCCGTTGCATCGACAATGTGCAACATGGGTAGCTCGGAGTGCTTAATGATGTACTCATCGGCTGTATAAAGAGTATTACAGGCAAGAAGGAACAGATCGGCTCCAGCAGCCTTCAAATTTGCAGCCTCGCCTGCAAGAAGTCGACCTACATCATCCCAGTTGCCTTCCGATTGAGCTTCTTCAATGAGAGCGAAGTTCGTTTGGGCAAGAATGAGGTTCGGGGTATGTAGGCCATTGCTCTGGGTACGATCCTTGAAGTACTCGTTGATGGCCTTGTAGAAAAAAAGTGAGCTAGGCCAAGCGATACCACCAACGATACCGATAGTCTTCATCGTGTCTTGTATTGTCTTTGTGACAAATAGTATGTAAGAGTGATCGCGAAGAGACCTTGAGAGAGGAGAAGTAGATTTTGATTGGATTGGATTGAAAAAAGAAAATAGCAAAATTTTTATGCTAGAATTGGCTCTCTTATATTTGTAATTCAATTTGTCTAAGTGAGGGTTGAAGCTCGGTCAACGACATTCCAACATCCGAGCTCTTATCTTCTACCATACATGTTAAACTCACAGAACAAGACGAATTGAACTAGGTCTTACGAGTATTTTCAAGTTTAGTCTCGATGAGAATTTCAAGATACCTTTCCTATATGTGATGCTCAAGCCTTCAGTCTCATTCATGGTTGGACCTCGTTAACAATCTCTCCGCCATACCATTTTTCAATGGCAGCTTTCATTCCAATCCGGTAGTTCAACAAAGTACGCTCTGCGTACCATGCCAAATGTGGCGTCAGGATCAAATTTAGGCCTTCTGTCTCGGGGCCGAGCAATGGTGAATCCGCCTTGCCAGCCGGCTCGGTATTGAAGACATCCGTGGCAGCTCCGGAAATCCGACCCTCCTTCAGAGCAGCTAATAAAGCTGCTTCATCGACAATACCACCTCGGGCCACGTTGACAAGCAAAGCTTCGGGACGCATGATACCAAATTCAGTTGAAGAGATGAGGTTCTCTGTCTCAGGGTTTCTAGGCAGACACATGACAAGGACAGTGCATTTTCGCAAGACTTCATCGAAAGCTATTCGGTTCTCTCGAGGCGGGTGGCCCTTTCGCTCCGCAACTAAAACAGTCATGCCGAGCGCCCCGGCCATTTGAGCAATCCGTTTCCCTAAACCTCCATACCCAAATATGCCCATAGTCTCCTCGTGACATAATAATGGAGGCTTTCCATCCGACATATGGAGCCGAGTCCGCAAAGAGCCATTGGCCTTCCACTCGGTTTCGGAAACTGGAGCGGGAAGTACCCTGGTAGTTGCCTGGTGCAGAGAAACCAATTTTCGGCGCGCAGAAAAGTACAGACCGATCGCATGTTCGCTGACACTCTCAAGGTTAGACGCGGGGCAATTGCACACTGGAATCCCGCGTTCCCTAGCCGCGACCTTGTCGATGTGATTTGTGCCGACAGCCATCGCGACAATAAGCTTAAGCTTAGGTGTGACTTCTGGGCTTAAATCTCGCGCAGAGAGATGAATAGTAGTGGTGATGATAACCGTGGCATCTTTTATCCGCTCTTGCAGCTGGGATTCCTGCGTCCATTCATATATTGCGCGCGTGTGGGGAATATCAAAGGTCGGAATTGGGCAATGTATAGCCTCGATCGCAACAATATGAGGGACTGTATCTTCCGAAGCCATGATACCTCGTGAATTATGGTTGATTTTGAATGGTTCAAGATATTAGTGAGCAGTTGGGATTGTTGAAGATTGTTGGATGGGATTGAGACTCTTATCATATGTCAAAGTCTCAATTCTTTAGTCGTAAGTCATCGGCAGGATGGCTGCTTGCAGGAGTGTCAAGTGGCTCTTTATCTAGATTTGCACTGGTACCGACTCAAATTATTTGATCAACTTATAATTATTATGTTACGAGAAATGAATCCTGGAAGAACGGATATGCAGATTGTGATGTGACGTGCTTTCTTCTAAGTGGGCGACCGGAAAAATGTGGGGATGTCATTTACAGGGCGCGGTTGAATATGATAAGCCTTCCACGTAGCTGAAAATTGTCGGAATATTATTACCCATCAAATTTTTTGAATATATAGAGTCTAGGAGAGTTCTCACTGTTTTTTGAGCTTCAATTCTTTTTTAGCAATATCTGAATAGTGGTTTCCATGAATTTTGACGAAAGCATATGGCGGGGGCATTGGAATGAGAGATGTTTAGTTACCTACTTTTGCTCGATCGCCGTTCTGATCTATCCAATCAGAAGGCGAAGCTTCTTAGCTGGCCTACAGATGTCCAGATGTACAAGCTATGATAATTCTCAGGTCAGGTAGCCCACATTCTCTCATTCCCTGCCCCTTAGCATTGATAGTGTTCTCGCGAAGCGCCTTTTTTGCTTCCCTGATGGAGATGGTAAGACTTTCATTTCTTTATACTGATATTTCCCCATTCTACGCCCCCCTCCGTCTCATTCTTTATTCTGTCTTTGGGTCATGAAAATTATTTATATAAATCCACTTCCAAGCTTGGGGTATATTTCAATTGGAAGGCAATTTCAGATGACTCCGCTATGGTAATTTCTTGGGGTGGGGATTGTTGAACTTTCTGTCTTCTTCTCTCGAATCTATTCCAACTAATTAATAATGAAGTCCAAAGAAGCTGTATAAACTGACATCTTCTATAGATCCACATTGCGGAAACTGGGCCTCGGGGTTCTAATTTCTGGGGTTCCTTCCGGCTATTGTCCCCACTTTTCGGTTACACAAAGCTACTAAACCTCCGCGAGTGTTTTTCATTCCGGAACTCTCATTTCCGAAAATATTATCGAAGGTCAAAATTTTCTACATACCATAAGGTCTTCTTTCACATGACTGAGTTCTATCATAATATCTGGCTTCTTGCATTGATATCCCATAAATGACGCTTGTTGCAGTGTGATTTCCACAACTCTTCCAGAAATGAACCCCAGATGTGAGAAGAATGAGCGGAGAGAGATCCACCCTCCAACAGACAATGGGGTTCAACAATATTCTGTTACCAATGATTGGAATGGGCCAGATGATCCGGAGAACCCTCGAAACTTTTCCTTTGCGACACGGGCGTGGGGCCAACTATCCGTCACCTGTCTGGCCCTTGCGAGCGCATTCGCTGGTGCCATCTATGCCCCAGCGACGCAGGACATAATACGAGCCTTCCATTGCAGTTATGAGGTTTCAATTCTGCCTCTTGCCTTATATAACCTTGGCATGGCCTTTGGCCCTCTTGCTGGGGCACCCCTGTCTGAAGCATACGGAAGAAAAGCCGTGTTTCTCATCACAACTCCCGTCTCTATTCTCTTCATGGTGGGCGCAGGTGCGGCCAATGACTTGGGAGGTATAATAATTTGCCGATTCTTTGCCGGAGTTCTTGCATCACCAAATATAAGTAACGCCTCTGCTACTATCCTCGACTACATGCCCGAGCTATACCGTGGAGTGTGCCTTGGGGTTTACTATTCCTTTCCATCTCTCGGTGCGACATTGGGACCACTCGCTGGGGGCTTCATTGTTCAAAAAGAATCATGGCGCTGGACACAGTGGGTGGGCATTTTTGTCTCCGTTGCGACATATGTGCCTGTTCTCTTCACGAAGGAGACTTATAAAGGTGTCATAATCAAGCGCAGAGCAAGAAAACTGGGTCTTAATGATACATCCTCACAGAAGAGCTCGTTAAAAAAGACTTTAAGACACTTCTTTCTCACTTTAGTCCAGCGCCCTCTCCACATGCTTTTTACAGAACCTATCGTCACCCTGGTCAGTTTGTACAATGGTCTCATTTTCGGTGTGCTATATGCGTATATTGTCTCCATTCCTTGGACCTTCGAAAAGTACTATGGATTTACTCTGAACGGTCAATCACTATCATACCTTGGTGTGAGCCTGGGTACTCTCGCTGCCTGTATCCCATTCTCTCTTATTGATATATTCTACTATCAAAAAAGGTTCAATGCTTGGAAACCAACTCAAGACCAAAATGAACGATTCCCACCAGAGAACCGTCTGGTTTCAGCAATGATAGCAAGTCCTTTCCTTCCAGCTTTTCTCCTTGTTGCTGGATGGACGGCTGAGCACCGAATTCACTGGATAGTGCCAATAATATTTCAGGGAATGACAATGATGGCGTGTCTCCTTGTCTATGCCGGGGCGAATTTGTTTATGCTGGATTCTTATGGTCCACTCTATGGGGCGTCTGCATCTGGTGCAATGATGTTTAGCAGGTACCTCATGAGCTTTTTCTTCCCACTATTTACGCTACGTATGTTTCAAAAACTTGGCGTCGGCTGGGCAACCTCGCTTTTAGCCCTCTTGATGCTACTTATGGCACCGATTCCCTGGGGATTTTGGGTATTCGGCTCGCGTCTGCGAAGGAAAAGCAAATATGAAACTAGCAGTTAAAATGTCCCGGGATATGTCCCAGCACAATCATCAGTCATCAGTCACGTCTATACAGTATACATAGAAGCCCATAAAATCAAGATTATAATCATAATTAGCTATCTCGTATCTTTATGTGATGCCGGAGTAGGTCGGGTTCTTATCAGTTCAGCTTTCGGACTTTGGATATCCGGATGTCCGAGCAGTGGGGCACGTATGAGTCTGTAGTTGGACTCCTCTGATAACCATGTACATACAGCTCCGAGTCGTTCTTTTATATTTCTACTATTCTGCATATTTCCAGATCACTATTACTTGAAAAGTCATCACTTCAAAAGGACCAGAGCCTTTCAGTCAAGATCCGCCCACTGAAAACATCATAGTTTCATTCCAACGGGCTTCTTTTATCACCATGGCAGTTCCTCAGGATGAGATCAGAGCTAAGTTCGCTTCAGCCCTTTCTGAAATGTACCAACGTGAAGTACCGCAATACGGAACCCTTCTGGAGCTTGTCGCGGAAATCAACCAACGCCACAATGGAGATTATCTCAACGGCAGCATCCCGCCACGAATTGAAGTTGAACGTCACGGTGCAATTCGACTTGGGAAGCCCGAAGAGCTAGCGACTATTCGGCGACTATTCCAAATTCTAGGAATGTATCCTGTTGGATATTACGATCTCTCTGTGGCTGGGCTCCCAGTACACGCGACATGTTTCCGGCCCTTGACAAAGGAAAGCCTATCCAAGAACCCGTTTCGCGTGTTTACGTCCTTGCTGCGCCCTGAAATGATCGAGGATAAAAAGCTAAGAGCTCAAGCCGAAGGGATTCTAAAGAAGAGACAAATATTCTCTCTGCGATGTATCCAGCTGATTGCAGAATGGGAGCAATGTTCATCTTTCTCGCAACCTCAGGTCGATGAGTTCATCAAGGAATCCTTGGAGACGTTCCGCTGGCACAGAACAACAACAGTGAGCAAGGAGACATATCAGGCTTTGCAGAATGCACATCCTTTAATAGCAGATGTGGTATGCTTCCGCGGACCACATATCAACCATCTTACACCGCGTGTGGTTGATATTGAGGTGGCACAAATTGAGATGTTGAAGCGAGGTCTTCATGCAAAAGAGAGCATTGAAGGTCCTCTTTTTATGAAATGTCCAATTCTCCTGCGACAGACCAGCTTTTTAGCTTTAGAAGAGAAAGTCGCCTTCTCTGATGGTGCTGAGGCAGATGGGAAACACAAAGCACGCTTTGGAGAAATCGAACAGCGAGGGATGGCTTTAACGCCAAAGGGCAGACTGCTATACGACAAAACTATTCAATCTAAGGCCTCTCCTGATCCGGCAGGATCCGCAAACTTCCCCGATGATTATGAAACCATTCGCAAAGAAAAATTGGGATACTTCACTTACTTTGTCATCAAGGCCCCATCGGGTCCGCTTCCAAGACGTGATATCGATTCTCTTGTTGAGGATGGTATTGTTTCGTGTGAGCCTATCACGTACGAAGATTTTTTACCTGTCAGTGCCGCTGGTATCTTCCAGTCTAACCTCGGCACGGGGAGTATTAATAGCGTGAAGGCTCACTCAGATGAAGCTCTCTTTGAGGATGCCCTCGGTGCCCCTATCCTGGATGGATTTGAGCTATACCGAAATATGGAGGAATCGTCTCTCATTCAGGTGTACGATACGCTCGGTCTATCCCAGCTCGTTGGAAAAGATCCCATTGCATCCAATATATGAGAGTAGGATAACTTGTCTTTTCTTCACCTGGAATTTTATATAATGTACTAAAAGCTGGCATTATACATAGAGCTTTAGAGGCTAAATCTCAAGATGGTGATAAAACAATCCCAAGATATATTAGCACTCCAATCAATAGTTTAGAATTATCCAAAGCGTTTTTTCCTTCGATATATTAATTGGTACCATGTCAGTTAATATACTCTGAATCATCGTTATTGTATTGCCTTCCGTGGTACTTGGTGCGGTTAAGCAAAAAAGCCGAATACGAGATCACCAGGCATTGATCCGTCATCAGTGAGAGAGTTAAGCCAGGAGTTGTCCCAATTCCCTGGGTCTAAGTAACCCTGAGCATCAGTGAAAGACATATTTGTCTCATCTTCTCCTTGAAAACGACAATGGTCAGCTAATGTGGAAATAAACCACTTTGTTATTCAAGGGGTCTTACCCGTTGAGCTCAGTTGATGTACCGTGTCCCCTTCTTCGGTATCCAGATCTTCCATCGTTCTTTTGAGCCTTTGCATCAAAGACTTTAAGAGAAACAATGGTTTTTTCAGCCCATGATTGCACCCCCTTTGGTACTCCCAAAGAGCGGTCCAAAAGAACCGGATGCACCCATTGTATTCGTGGTTATCGTGCCGGGTGTGCTGAAGCATAACAAGGACAGCACAGTAGGTGGCGTAAGAAATTCCATACTGCGCTCTTCGAAGTGTGAATGTTTTCCTGTATACATCGACCAATTTCCAAATTTTCTGAGCTGCCTGTATGGATCTTTTTCTCGCTATCTCTTCCATTTCTAGGTCCAGTGTGAAGCTAAAATGGCCTCGGCTGAGGAAAGCTTGCTCTGTTAAAATGATTAAAGTCCAATGTAGAGTACTAAATGAAATTATAATCTGAAATTTTACATTGAAGTTCAAGTATTTACTTACTGTGGCGTCAATTGGTGCGGCGCAAGTATTGATTCCGCAGTAGGATCGAATTGTAGCCAAGGCGAAAGCGTTTGATGCCATTGATTGAGTTGTTCAAGAATGGTATCCCTAGTCTGCAAAAGCGTTCTTTGTGATATTCTCGTGCTGTTTGCCGAATAGAATGTATTGACAATATTGGCTGCGATTTTACAGAGTCGCAATAGAGATTGGAATGTGCTTATAGCATATGATGGTGTACCGCGATAATAGTAGGCCGGAGTGGAATGATCGATGGACTGGGAGACGGGATCATGGTAGGGTCGCCATTCTTCCATTTCCTCGAATGAATCCATGTAATTGCTTTTTACATTGGCTGTATCTTCATTCATCATTGGAGGGCGACCGAGAAACAGTGACTGAAATTTGTCACTGACATAGGCTCCCCAATACACTCTTTTTTTCATCTCTTGTTCGATCATCATCGGTGTGCTGTTTCTTTCGCCACCATAGGAAGGAAATTCCAAATGACACCCAAGCTCGATTATCATCTGGTACGCCATACCGGATAGTGCCCATCCTGCACTTTGTCTACCGTATGGCACGAGACAGGCCCCGCATGTTAACAAAGCTACTACCGTCGGGAGGACAGGTGCATCGAGATATTGGGGCAAAAGACGCTTGAATCGCTCATAGAAGACCAATCCTTTATTATTTGGGCCATGAAGTTCGGGCGGCAGGAGCCGATCATTGTACAGGCTGCTCTGTAGATAAATGGCATTCAACAGCAATTTATTGATATGAGGTCCGTTATTGAACAGACTATCCATAACTGCCGGTCGGTATGTCAACAAATAGGACAAATGCGAGCGATTCCAATGCAAGCTCAATAAATGTAGCCCCAAATCCATAGACACGCCGTCGAAGTCAATGTTCGCTCCTATGCTGGGATTGTAAATCAATTTGAGCTCTTCTTGTCGGCGCAGGGCAGCATTCGAGATGAGTTGGGCCTTTACTAATTCGGCTGCTAATTCCTGTTGATCCCCTCGGGGGTGTAATTGATTTGCTAATGGCGTTCTTGATGATTGATCATGGAGCAAACTTGTGGCGCCATATACCTGAATCCCCCCCTCGGCCGTGCTTGGGTCAGGCGATTGTTCATGTTCATGCTCAGCAGGGTCTTGTAGCCGTGACCACTCAGCTACCATGGGTAAATTGACACGGTCCTCATCCATAAGAGTAGAGACTCTAGGTGTGAGCTGGTTATGCAATCTTGAATTGCATGGTCTACTCTCAAATCGTGGCTCGTCTGGTGAAAGAGACTCGCCTCCCTGCGGTGACAGCAAGTCGCTATACTGGGGCTCTGTAGCACCACGCAGGGTGTCTTCGCTAAATGGATAAACTGTAGTGGACTGGCTGGTTGTTTCTTGTATTTGATTTTTGAGCTCTTCGATTTGTTTTTCCAGGGCTCTTACATCGACCCTTTTAGTTCGGACGGCAGAGCGCCTTGCATCCCGAGGGTACGTGCACTCCACCTCCCTCGAGGTACAAGTGCTGCATTGAGGGTGGCGCCCATCACATTTTACCTAGAGTATACTTGTCAGCCACGTGATCCCATGCGGGCAAGTTCTCTCGTGTGACGAAAGGTCAGCTTCACCTTTTTTCGACGGCAACTTCGACACGTTCGACATGTCGGGAACGCGCGAGGTGCTTTCTCTGGATGTTCTTTTTCGCAAGGTTGATCTAGCACATTCGAGTTTGACATTATGCAGCATATAATGTTCGTATCGGTAGATGAAGATCAATGAATTCAGGCACGGACTTCCGGATGTCAATGTCGGACTTGCGATGTTGCAGTTCCGAGAGTATCCGCCAATCAGCTTATTTTCCAATCCCGATTTGGACTAGCGTTTCATTATGATATTTTATAGAGTTGTAAATAAATCCTACAGAATATGGCCAGAATATGGCAACGGCTGAGATTGCGTATATTTGAATTGTATTATCGGACAATACGATATGCATAGTCTAATGAGAAGTTTCAAGTTAGAAAAGTGTAGCCTCAAAGACTGCAGGCTGCATTTCCGATGCATCTTCAGGTTTCCAGAAACCAGCAAGCTGTAGCCCAGCTTGGTTGAAGAGAGACTCGTATTCTTTTTTGGTCCGTTCTGCCGCTGCAAAAGAAACCATCATACTCATATCACCTACAGCGGCCATCAACGGAACATTCATTTCTGGCATGGCCCTTTCCTCAACTAGTAAGAGAGACTGGGAGTTCATTGCTTCGCGGATCCTGGAAAGAATTTCCACAACTTGCTTATCTGGCCAATCGTGAAGGACATTGCGAAGATAGTATGCCCTAGCCTCCTTAACGGGCTGTTCATCGAAGAAATTGTATCCCTGGCCCTCAATTCCAATGGGAATATTGCCTGCTTCAATGACGTGGGGAAGGTCCTGGAGAACAAGTCGCCCTGGTAGATCGGGGAATCTCTCTTTGAAGGTATGGAGGTCTTCGCCTTGGCAACCACCAACATCGACAAGAAGAACATCAGAAAGATTTTCAATTTTGAGCTTCTTCTCCACTGGAAAGAAGTCAAACCAGCTCTTTTCACTACGTCGATATGATGAGGCCATGACTGTGTTGAAAGCAGCCTGGTAGTAAGGTTTCGAAGACAGATAGTCAAAATAACGAGACTGAGTACCAAGCGCGAAGCTAAATGGAGAATCTTCGATATTTTCCGGGTTTTCCCAGCCTCTAGTTCCAAAGTACTCAGGGAGTCGGGAAATGAAAGTCAAAAAATGAGTACTGCATTACTGCATTAGTTACGTTTTCTTTCTGGATAATGGTCGTACTCACAAGTGAATTACTGCAGCTGACAATGGAGAAGTCGAGACATATGCCGAGGCAAAAGCAGTGGACCTAAAGGTATCAGCAGAGGGCTGCTCGAGTATTCCCATTGATACCAGGAATTTCATTATCCGCACTAAAATTCATTAACATTTGATTTATAGTCCATGATTTGCCTGGCACACGCACAAATAAGCTTCTGGTCTGCCTTGACATCTGCCAAAACTTGCTGCAAAGTAAAAATACCATTGCATGCCTCTGAAGAACGACTAGCAATAATGTCGAAGAGTTTTAAGTCTATAGCTAGACGAATCGCCATCGCTTGGTGACCCTATAGAGCACATTAGCATTGCCCAGCGTTGTTACTATGATCGAAAGAAAGGGGAAAAGTCAAGGGTAAATATCAGGAGTAAAGCAAGACTTACTGCAAAAAGTAATTGGATTGTCTTCTCCAGAGGTGACTCACAGAGACCCTTCAACTGATCGCATGCTCGTGATAGTTGCGCCCGTTGATGTGGATCTGCAGTTGCCAATTGGCCAGAGGAAGTGATCGCGTTGATCGACAACAAAAGCTGAGAGACATCCATTGATGAAGATTTGGATGAATATTTAGTAAATTGACTTGGTTTTCCTGATATTCATGTTCAACAGATGAAGGACTCTGATTTTTATATGTCTACAAAATTCGCCGAAATGGATGGCTGTAATAAGCCGAGTCCGATGACCGAGTCCGAGTTTTATCAACCATTATTGGTCCCATACTTCATTATCAACTATAACAAAACCTTACTCTTACTTGAATGGAGTTGGTTGAATATAAGACATCAGTTATCCTGTTTCTTACCAAACCCCAGTAGCTTAATTGGTGTTGCTAGGCAGTTGAGCTAGCCCGGAGTTACTCCGGGCTTGGCTGTCACAGCCTTCTTAGTTAGTCTGCGTTCATGTGAACCATTCAGCTTCAAGTTCCTATATCAAAGATAAATTTGACACAAATGTGTTTCTCCGAGTAAAACATTCTTTGATGTTATTTATCGTGTAGATGTAATCTCGAATTATAATAATCGTTCCCGAAGTCCTAGATGTGTTGAAAATTGAAGGGCCAAGGTTGGCCCTTTCCCCGCCTGACCAAGCTCCAGGCTAAACCCACTCAGTGAAGATCCCGGGGAAAACAGCGATGTCAACCACCACATTCAGTCGCCTCATTCTCAATGGTTCAAAGGCTCTCGAGCCAATAAAACGCTCCCTCATAGCGCATAATTTAACCCATCTGGTCTGGAATATTCCCTTTCTATAGCTTGGCAAGCCCCTCGTTCAAGTTGAGTAACGCTCTTCGTTACACAAGCCCCACCTACCCACCTCCCCTCAGCTAAACTGCAAGTCAACCCCATTGTAGGAGGTGCGGGGTCTAATCCTTAAATACTCGCTTATTTTGCTCAATTTCCACTTTCACTTTCAATTCCAACACATCAAGCTCCTCCAATTAATATCATAACCTCATTAATCATACAAAAAATGGCGGCCGCTGTCGACACACAACCTAACCTTCCATCGCGATACAGAGTTGAACCAGGCTCGTGCGATATTCCTATCGGTGTTCTCCCCGCAACCACCACCTCGACCCCCGAAAACCCGGACCCCATTGCGAGCGATTTGATCGCAAAATTAAATGATAGCATCGCCAGGCAGGATAGCGCAGCTCTAGCCTCCCTCTTCATTGAAAATAGTTACTGGAGAGACCACCTTTGTCTCTCGTGGGAATTCAGAACCCTTAAGGGCTCATCGGCCCTTTCAGAATTCGCCGCGAAGAGCCCTTCGTCGATTAAGCTCGAGGTTGATCGGACTTCTGCACTCCGCGCGCCGCATAATGGCCCCATTGATGCATTTGGCGAGGTTAATGGGATTGAATTTTTCGTTACAGTGACTACCATGTTTGGCAAGGGCAATGGTATTGTCCGTCTAGCGCAACAAGGCAATGAATGGAAGATTTTCACCGTTTATACCTCGCTCGTCGAAATTATTAAGCACGAGGAAGCGACCTTTCACCACCGTCCCGCTGGCGTGCAGCATGGAGCGCATCAAGGACGCACAAACTGGCAGGATCGACGTAATGCAGACGAAAACCTTGAAGGAAAAGATCCCACAGTTCTTATCGTTGGTGCGTCTCACGCAAAGCTGGCATACAACAGGATATTCTGAATAAACAAAGTTGACTAATTATTTCCATCCAGGTGCGGGCCAGGGAGGTCTTACAGCTGCGGCTCGTCTCAAGATGCTTGATGTAGATGCCCTTGTTATCGATAAAGAGGAACGCGTAGGCGATAATTGGCGCGAACGTTACCACCAGCTGGTTCTGCACGACCCAGTCTGGATGGATCATTTGCCTTACATCCCCTTCCCGGCCAACTGGCCCATTTTCACGCCAAAGGATAAGTTGGCTGAGTTCTTCGAGTCTTACGTGAGACTTATGGAGCTTAATGTCTGGGTCCGCACGGAGCTTAAATCATCATCTTGGGACGAAAGTAAGAGGCAGTGGACCGTTGTTCTGCAGCGCACTAAGGCCGATGGATCCACCGAGACCCGTACTGTGCATCCCCACCATGTTATCCAGGCCACAGGACACTCTGGAAAGAAAAATATGCCTCATTTTAAGGGGGTAGAGAACTTCAGGGGTGATCGCATCTGCCACAGCTCCGAATTCACGGGCGCAAAAGAGAATTCCAAGGGGAAGAAGGCTATTGTCGTTGGATCATGCAATTCAGGTCATGATATTTGCCAGGATTTCTATGAAAAGGGATACGAGGTCACCATGGTGCAGCGCAGCTCCACCTGTGTTGTCTCTTCAAACTCGATCACTAATATTGCCCTTAAGGGCTTATATGAAGAGGGTGGACCACCAACAGAGGACGCGGATTGGTTCCTTTCTAGTATTCCAGGTGAATTGTTCAAGCTACAGCAATCAAAGGTGACAGATCTTTGTAGCAAAAACGACGAAAAGACTATCGAGGGCCTAGAGAAAGCTGGTTTCAAAGTTGATCGAGGACCCATGGATGCTGGACTGATGATCAAATATTTCCAGCGCGGTGGTGGTTATTACATTGACGTAGGCGGAAGTCAGCTGATTGTTGATGGAAAGGTGAAGGTGAAGCACGGCCAGGAGATCAGCGAGATTCTGGCCAATGGAATTCGATTTTCGGATGGCTCGGAGCTGGAAGCCGATGAGATTATTCTTGCCACGGGGTATCAGAACATGAGGACGCAAGCGCAAACAATCTTCGGGGATGACGTTGTTGATCGCGTGGGGAATGTTTGGGGGCTAAACGAAGAGGGCGAGTTCCGCACTATCTGGCAGCGCAGTGGCCACCCCGGATTTTGGTTTATGGGTGGCAACCTTCTTTTGTGTAGATACTATTCTCGTCTTCTTGCGTTGCAGATCAAGGCTTTGGAGACAGGGATCGCGAAATACTAGAAATTGGTGGCAAGGCGAAAAGGAGAGTGTGGCCAATAGTTTATTCCGAATATCAATCTATTTACTAAGAGAAACAAGGATCCGGCCTCGAACTTGAAATTGGGAATCATATGCGCCAGTTAAATGCAAAATGTATGCCCAGGAAACGTCATCAATCACCATGCCTGCATGGGAATTCATTCAATGTTGACTTAATCCGTTCCATCCTTCTTGTTGGGCAACCCATACCCCGAAAGTAAGAACCTGTGTATACAACCATGTCTCCAAAGCATAGTGTTCCTCCCCGTCGTTTCCCGAGCCAGCCAGCTGGCCCGTTAACTCCATGCAAATATCCAAGCTATCCAGAATAGAGCTCTTCCGCACCAGAATTTCCAATCCCCCAGGCGACATGGTAGCAATGCGGCTCTTCTTTCTAGCTGTCCGATCGATCAAAAACAACATAAATTCCTCTTCATCTGTACCGGCATCCTTTCCGGATTCTCGCTTTTCACATTGGAAAATCATCCTTGAATCCGATTTACCCTCTTCATCTCGTAATGTAAAGCGATAGCATGCCTTGTCTGTTTTCATAGCTCCTTTGCTGGCCCGCCAGCTAGATCGCGCATCGCGAAAGTGTATAGTACTTGATGACGTTGAAGGAGTCTCGTCTGAACATGGACTGGAACTTGACGAGGACTGACACATGGCCGCGACGATATCTTTATGTGGAGCATTTGCATCTCCAACTTCGGATTTCGTAGATTGTTTGGACATGGCTGATTGGTTGATGATATAGTTTTCATTGCTGGTCGCATAGATATCACCCGTGCGGAGCTTTGGGCGTTGAACAAAATCTCGCGTCAACTTTGATTTCCGGAAGGGAGGTTGCCATATTTCTAAAACTGGAACTGGGCGAAAGTTTGGGGCGAGTTGTTGGATTTGTAGAAGGAGTTTAGGAGCAAGGCGAAGAGATGATTTAGGTGGCGGGTGGGCAATTTGGAAATTGGCTTGAATCTTTGTTCGACTGGGTCGAGATGATGGTCTGGCTTTTTATTAGTGTATCGTTATATTGTACACAAATCGACACAATTGAATGCACGGGTAGAGGGGCAGACGGATATTTTATCCACGGAGGTGGGTACATACCGTTCATCAGTTGCAGTGTCGCTGTCATATGTGTCTGAGGAGCTCATACTTGCGTCTGCCAGTGACGATCAGACCCGCTGATTAGGATCTGCTATGTATGATATATGATATACTCTGTCAAAGAGGCAAAAAGAAAAAGAAAGAATCGAACAGGGTGTTTAAATCTTAAATCCCACACGGTGATCAGGATGAAAATAAAATTTAAGCGGTTTTTTTCTGGCCCTCTCACCGACCTGAGGCATTCTGTGAATAAATAAGTAAACTAGCTCCATTCTAGTCTTGGCTACGATTTCGCCCCCGTACTCGTATCCATATTATGTCTCTGCCACGCACGAACCAGCATGTGGGGGCACACCCCTCGGGGCCATCTGTTTGGCCCGACCGTAGGCACGTACGTTAGAGATCCTTAAAACAAGGATGATCATTCTTAATCCATGCAGTTCGGATGACTAGCCCACATTAAGGAAGCAGTATGCCGGCGGAGTTGAAGTGCGACGGGGTGATTATTGGTCCATTTGGAAAGTTGTGAATCCCCGCGGCTCGGCTTTTGGTCGATTTGCTCGCAAGTTGCTCAGGCACCAACGAGGACCATACCCTTTGGAGCAATAAGAGCGATCCCGAACCTGGGGTGTTTGTGCGTCATTCCTGCACGGGAAATTGGGGCTACAGGCTACAATAAAAAAACCATGGGATGAGACTCATTCAGCCCTGGAAGCCCCTGTCACTGGTGTGTTTTATTGTTTTATCATTCCTTTACACTATCCTAAAGTTTATGCCATGATCGTCGTGATCCAATCTCAATCTCGCAGTTGGTCCGGAGTTTCTGCCGGGCCAGCGTGGCCTGCGCCTTGTGGTGTTGTGGAGCCGTCCGACTCGGCTGTGTCCTTTAAGAATGACCAATTGCGAACAGATATCCCGATTAGGCCATATGAATACGACGATCAGCTGAGAGCCTGGCCTTAAGGCTATAGAAACAAACAGAACCAGGGTTCACGATAAAATAGACAAAGATATGAGAGGTTTCAAATCTTCTTGGCAGGCTAGCAGCGGAGTAAGTCAAAACGCCCGTGTCCGGACGGAGCCGGACTGACTAGAAGGGGATTTTTTTAACGGATACGGACTCAGCTAGACACCTTTGTTCTCCGCTAGGTCCCTAGCCCTAGCGGTGTGAAAAGCGCCTTTTCTTCTCCGGCCTTGTTCTAAACCGAGCATGCGACCGGTGATAATCCCCCTGAGAGTCAGAATTTGGTTGACTAGCCACATCACTAGGAGGATCAACAGGTGAGCAGTTGAGATCACGTAAAAAGCGGGTGAATCCATAATCCTTCCGAATACCACAGCCGCATTTGTGAAGACGCCCTGTGAAGAAGAAAATCAGCCTTACCACAATTTCAAACGCATGCACCCCGTGTATAATTGTATACATAGATGGATCGTCTCCACGAGAGCAAAAGAAATTGTGTTGTTGGCCAGTAACCCACCCATGGAAAAATCAGCGACCATGCCGCCAAGCTAGGTTAAACTGTGGTTTTCGGCCCCAGGCCACCAAAGTATGACATATGCTAAGAATAGCGAAGCTCCACCAGAAAATTCCATAGCCCCAGGTTAGAAGACCGAGAAATTGGCTCGTGAACCCAATCGTATCTGCAGCCTTGTCTGTTAAGAACGTGCCTCGCTTATACGCCCCAAAACTGCCCTGAGCCGCCTCTCCAAGGACTTGTAGGGCAAACGCGCCCTGCCCCAATGGGCCACAGATGATCATATCCTGAAAGACTTTATCGGCGGCGGAGTGGACCTGGTTGAAATGCTGAAACATAATGATGACATTGAATCCTGTCGTAACTGCGAGCCCGATTCCGACTTCGAGATAGCTCACTATAATAACCGGGACTTGTAAGCGCGCACTGACGTGGTTTTGCCGACATATTGCTCCTCCGCCGGCAGCGGATGTCAATACGGCGACGAAAGGGAGAAGCACAACGGGCGGTAGCTTCTGGACCCCTGGCGCTTGAATTTTGAGTTGGATGTAAGGTATTCCGAGGGAAACGATGATTGCCATTGCGGTATCGGTCCACCAGAGGATATAGATCGCTAGTCCTGCGCGGTCGCCATACTGAAGAATGGCTAACTGAAGGATAGAGGTATAGGCGATGGGAGTGCATGAGAGGCAGGATGTCTCGATCAAGTTCGTACGGAGCTGATGTCGCACATCTTTTGGGTATAGGAGTATGCGCAGCAGGTAAAAGAATAGACACAACCCGAAAAGTACGATTGTGTAGATCCAGACAATCTTGGCCAGAGTCTGTAATCCATTAAATTGGTAGTGTAGCCGAGCGATAATGACACATATGATGCCAGTTCCTTGCGGAATGAGAAGCCATTGCGAGGTGAAGTTCCATATTGCAAGGGACAGCGGTCTGTCGGGAGGTTGCAGAGGTTGACGATCGGGGCGTGTCGACATCACAATGGAAAGGTAGTCATCTGTGGAGATGTGAGCGGGGAATTTCTTCCTCGTATTGCTTATTGTCTTTTTTGGCTTCTGAGTTTATTTAACTCCTGGGCTCGATCGTCCTTTTGACGTCATTCCATTGTATAAGTCCGAATTATGGATGGGTTGAACTGATCCATGGAAATCAAGCTGTACACGGTATAGAAGATATAGCCATATCAATTCAATGGAATAAATGGAGAAAGCTGCATCTAGGCCAAGTTCCGACCTGGTTGAACATCCTGATCGTGAAGACCATGATTTAGCGTGATTAGCGAACTTGGCAATGTCTCCGAGGGAGGACATAGGGAAAATTCTGCGATAGAAACACAAAAGAAGCTGCACGGGCATTGTCAATGATAAAATATATGAATTTTCAGGGTTTAGAGATGAGATGTTGCATCAACCTGCGTATTTCAATACATGTTCTGTAAACCAGGAATCCTGGGTAGATATGCAAAAACTCGCTTAAATGAAGAAAAAGAAATCGAACGCATTTGTCAGTAGAGGACTCATCGATTCAACATCATGATATGTTGATTTGGGCCCAGCCAAACAAATAGTGTCCTTTGCAAATCCAACGCCATTCCAAGGATAGGCTAACCGGCCCATCCTATCGTAAAACAATACTCCGATTTCATCACGGTCGTTTTGATAGTTTTTTTTCTCCTTTTTTCCATCAATGATTTGTAGAGGGGGTCACAGGTTCTTGAGCGTATGGGTAATGGTTGCTCGCAGTTTCTTCCATTTGATCTAATCGCGTTATCAGTTAGCGGGGAAACTAATCGAGTATGGAGTATCCACCATCTCAGCGCGATCGCAACATACATCGTGATTCCAGATCTCTTGCAGCACCCAGTGATTCTCGTTTCAGATGACCGTAGTTTCTCAAGCGTACCCCACGCATGTATGTACTTTGTTCGTATGTGGCATCGTAATTCCGAGGATCGTCACCCAGTGGGTTGTAGTGGCGGAAGAGAGCGGCACCGAGAGCTGTGATAGCGAGGCAGCCGACCAGGACAATCACAATGATTGCTGCTCGAGTAAGAGCCATGATGATATTGGGGAGTAAGACGACTGAGAACGAAATGCGGATTTGCCGGGAAAGGGCAGAGTTATCGTTCGTTGATGTCTCAGACGGACGACGGAGACTGAGTGGATCGTGCAATGTATGGGCAGATTATAGCGAGAGCATCTGGTCAGTGCATGATTTCGGGCCGTGCGTCGATCAAGCTGTAATGCTTTGTGTGAAAGATGACTCGAGAAAAAAGACGAAAGAGAAGAAGGGGAAAGAAAAGAAGAGCGAGATGAAAAAAAGCAAGAAGGTAGTAAGAAGTAATCGGGATTTGCGACAGATATGAAAAGAAAAAAAAATAGAAAAAGGAAAGGGCTTACGCCAGCAAAGAGGGGGCGATGGCTCATATTTTCAATCTGATCAGTTGTTTTATGTTTCATGCGCAGATCACATCATTGGTTGATCCGGATTTCTGGGCTCGTCGGTCCGACAGGCACAATCGCTTTGATTTGACCGGATTGATATGCTCGGTTGATTCCCCTCACTCCCTGCGCCACTGCGGATCAAGACGGATGTGACTAGATGCATGCTAAAAGATAATGCCCAACTACCCGGCGTGTGCGATATAACCACGCAGACATAAGTACACCATGTTCGTACTGCGAGAAGAGATAGGTACGGCTGCGGCATAAGTTTCAATCCGGTCTACATATTAAAAATAGCCATGCCGACGGAGAAAGTCCAGTCGGATTGAAGGTTTTCCGGTCGCTAGTCAAAGCTTGACATGGAGACAATCGCTGATTGGTCAAGTTTGAGTCAAAATGCGTATAATTGGGTTGCCTACAGTGGGGCATCCACACATTGCCCGGGAGATTCATCGAATTCGTCCATATATCGCTCTGACCAGATGCTCCACTCTTCTAAAAATACGAACATTACTTTTATGCAGCTTCCCTTTGATAGCGAGAGGCTGAAATATGTACTATAGAAAACTGGGGACATATAGGATATGAATTTACCCCCATTAACATCAGTTAAAATGTAGGGTTGAACTATTCCGGTCCTTCCTTGGCTAAGGGAAGCTGCGCATAATAGGCTAACAGTTTTTCAACCAATGCCTTCAGCGCCTTGATATCGTTGTCAGTCATCGCGCTCAAACAAGTACCGGTCCAGGATGTTCCTTTATCAAGCACCAATTCCCAAACCTCTTTTGTCTCAGAAGCCTGGGTCTCCAGAAATCGACCCACAAGCGCAGTAGCAAGTATCTGTGTCCAGGATGAACGGCTCCATAGGTCTTCTTTCTCGCAGGATAGTGATGTATACTCATATTCCATCTTAGCATGAATATCATTGATTTCTAGGCGCAAAAGGTGAAGGAGCTCCTCATTCCACTTCCAGTATCCCTCGAATTCCTGCAAATCTACGATCTGCCGCCACTGTTCGACTTTCAGACTTTTGTCCTCCTTTTGTTTCTTCACATTCAAATCATCATCATCATCATCAAAAAATGCAAATCCCATGTCTTGGTCGGATTCTAATTCTTCGGATTCAGAGCCATCTATACACGGAATAATATCCCAGTTAGAGGGTTGTTCACCCCCCGATGATGACTTTTCGTTGTTACATGTCGGTACTGCGACGAATGAACAAAACTTTCCTGAAACTTGAAAGCGTTCTCCAAGGTATTCGCATTCAGTCTGTATCAACTCCGGAACTCGGCTTTCGTGCTTTTCTTTGATCAATGTACCATCGAGGTCTTCAGCATAATGAACCCAACCATGACCTTCTTCAAGATCAACAATTACTTTCTTAGCTGCCAGCTGATGTATCGTTTTTCCACGTCCTACATTCTGGAGAGGAATCTTCTGTATCAGTGGGCCGTTTCGACTGTCTGCCTTGAGAGTAACATGATTGGGAAGGGAGCTCCCTTCGCTGGAAATCAGAACATATACAGAGGTGCGAAAAGATCGAAACAATGCAGGTAATTTAACAGGTGTGCAAAGCATAGATGGACGGGCGATCTTTGGCAGTGGCTGGCGCATATCCTCCACTGCGTCCTCTTCGTTGTAGGTCGGATCGAACAGGGGCATTGGCTCGATTGATGGCTGAGCAGAGGAGATTGAATCATCTTTGGGTACGTTCGCAATAGCAATATCATCGTTTGTCGCAAAATTGACGTCAAAATCCAGAGAGATATTTTCCATGCGTGGGGTTAAAGTGCCCCTCAGCATTCGGATGACCTTCTCATCTAGCGCCTCTGTATTCAGGACATGTTGAGAGAACCCATTGCCGGCTCGAGCGATACCATTAATGAGATGATGCGAGACGCCGCTATTTCCAATTCCAAGCGTGAAGAACCTTGCAGAAATGTTTTGTGTTGTCTTCCGAACGAGTTCGAATATATCGTAGTGATTATAGACCTCTCCATCGGTCAAGAGAAGAACCTCTAGAACTTTGTCTTTGTATCCGTTCTTCACTGCCAATTGAAGGGCGCTCAAGATTTCGGTCCCACCCATGTCAGCACCGATAGTTTTCACAAATTCAAGGGCTTCATGAGAACTCTCTTTATCATAAATTTTACTCTGGGTCCAGAGAGCACTCGGATTAAACCCGAATGAGACGATGTTGAAGGGTACCCCAAATGGAAGTGATTTGATGAATAGCTTGAGAGTCGATTTGAGAGTCGGGATTTGGTGCTCCATACTGCCGCTTCGATCAATGACAAACACAATCTCGGATGGGTCGGGCTGCAGTTTCATCTGAGGAATCAAAGATATCATCAATGCCTGTTGGTTTGGCAACGTCGGATGGGTTTCCAGCATGGCATAAGGCAATTTTTCATCATTCGAGGTAACTGTCAGAACAAAGTCTTCCTGAATGACAATGTTCTCACGTAGGTTCACAGACGCGTAATGCGGCTCAAAGGTTGATTCGTTCATGCCAGAAGTTCGACCCAGATCTACCTGGATTGGATGACTTGGCGATCGAACGCTGCGAATCTGATACCCCTCTGCCATCATAATGTCGACCGTAATGGTAGTTTTGACAAGGTCGCTTCCAGGCTCAATGTCAACAGTTCCATCCTTATGATAGCGTGGAGCGATCGTGAAAGGGACTGTGTATCGTGGCTCCATGTTGTTGAGATCATGCTTCAATTCCTCCATGAGAGAAATTTCGATAAGAACATTACCACCCGCTGGGACATTGCCGATGCGAGTCTTGAACATGTCTCTCACAGGCCAGGACTGCTCGAAAATCGCACCAGTGTGACCCTTCGCTTTAGCTTCCTGGTAGACCTTTTCGGCCTGTCGCTTTGGCTTGACCTCGCCATGAATGACATTGTCGCCAACCCGGCAAGAGAACCCGACAATGCTGGCATCCTCATAGAGAGGGAAATTATAAAATACTTCCGTGATCGGGTCAGTCTTAGACGGGTTGATGAATGTTTGGGTGAGGGTGGTCCGAGCAGTGGATAAAAGCACGGTCGCATGAACATCCAACCCGACTTGAGGGAGATGTTCCTTGGATGCACGGCTTGCGCCGGGGACGTGGTGAAAACAACCGTAGATAGACATTCTGTCTCTTCGTGATCACATTTGGACTTGTGATTTGACAAATGGATGGCATATCGACCGTCTTAAGTTCTCTGGGAGGCTGGGATAAATTTGCGGAGCCTCAAGACCCCTCAAGACCCCGCAGATCCCTGTCTGTGTCACCAGCCAATAAGCTGGGGCCAAGAGTGACCTCAAAACAAAACTTGAGCTTGGAGATAACGCACACACTTCTCGGGGCTATTTTTATTGGTCGAAATGGACCCAGTTTTTTGACGTGCATTCAATCTAATCCGAAATAGTTGCCCGCGATACCGGCCCCCGGCCCCGAATTCGAGTCATAACCGTTGCCAAGAGCTTTTGTGACAACAAGCGTTCCTTTTTGACTCATCGTGGCGTAAAACCGACCAATATATCCGTGGATAGGATCCAGAGACAGCAATTCAATACGAAATCAACTTGATTGTATGGTGTCCCCAGGTCTGGAACCGGGAAGAAATCCAACGGTAGTCCAGTGTGTGAACATCATATCAAATGATGTTATTGTCCATTAATTTTTGCAAGATGAGGAGGGACTTACATCGCCAGATTTCAAAATGAATGTTAGATGAGTTTACTGGGTAGGTACTAGATCGGTACAGCTCTGCTCCCCAATGGATTTTACGAATCAAGTCGCAAGAATGTGCAAGTCAAAATAATTCAAAAATATAATAAGAAGACCGGCGCAAAGCTAGTATTGTCAGGATTCCTTGCTATGTAGTATGCTTTGTTCAATTTCCCATTTCCCCTTACACGCGCGTTAGTAAAATGAAACGATATAATCATGCAAATTCGTTAATATTCGTTCAGGCTTTGAGTTTGGGCTTGCGGATCATGCAATAGAGCTGAATTGGTTCTAGTCAGTCGCCAAAAGCCGTTTGGGATCACGGAAAACTTACCTTGCAAATATCCTCGCCGTCTGCACATTTGATTTCCCCGGTAAGTTCGAATCCCATCCTTTCATAGATAGCAATATTAGGAGCTCCTTTGGAGCTTTCAAGATAGCAAGGGATCACTTCCTCGTCTGCTTTCTGAATAACAACATCCATCAGTCGCTTCCCCACGCCCATGCCTTGAGCCTGCGGACTGACGCCAAGCATGTTACAGAAGTAGTATCCATGGGGGTTGGTCCATTGCATCTTCTGCGCTTCGGTTTGCATGCTTTTCCAGATCCAGTACCGGCGGACATTCAAACCTCCGCGGCCTGCGAAACGGATATTATACATGAGCTGCCGGAAAGATAGGAGCCATTCCTGGGCCCAGACAGACCACGTTTGGTGGACAGGGTGGACCTCTGGGGAGGACCACCAACAGATACCAACGACAGATCCTGGTGGCAATGTGATTGGACGCTCAGTTTTACGTTCGCTTGCTGCACGGGTGACTTTTGCCACGTAAATCGGATAGCCGCAGCCAAGGCCAAACCTGAAATGGGCACCAAGGGAGGCTGCATTCCGCTGTACATTGAACTATTGGAGCCAATTGTTTAGTTTCTTTTCCTGGGCAGGTACATATAATGGAAGCGGTACCCCCAATGAACTATTGGGCGCTGTCGTTTTTGGAAGGTATGACTCGTACCTTGGATGGATCGTCAAATGCCCAACAAAAATAGGGATCGTCTGCGAAGGCTTTCTGAAGGCAGTCTACAGCACTGGGTATATCGGCCTCGGCCAATGGAATGACCTCGATTGACATCTTTCCACTGCTACTACGGTCTCGTAAATCAGGATCTTCGCTGATTTACAGTTCCGGTTTAGGTTTCCGCGTACTGGATCTACTGTCTCTGCCGATTGGGTGTGAAAGCGATATGGTATAAACGTGCGAATGAAGTAGTAGTGGATAGAAAGATAAAACCGCCATCTAAAGAGAATTGGAGTGGTGTGTTCACCAAACGCTGTGACTTTGAAGATAGTAGAGAGGAAGAGTGGATGTCTCTTATGACTGCCAAATGGCCCAGTAGTAGAATTGAATTGAGGTTGATATTTCGTAAATTGAAAGTGGAATCTGGTTTGAAAGAGAATCACCGGGAGAGGAAAGGAGGAGGGATCATATACCCTCTATGGTACTCCGCACACGCCTCTATCGCCCGTTCTTATCTTCAAACGCATCTAAATTGGAGCCGGACTAACCTATTTGGGCAGCTCCAACCGGCAGAAGTACGGGCAACATGCTAGAGAGAGAGAGTTACACAGATTACTGCCTGCACCCACGCTCAGTCCACATCCCAAGCGTAAGCAGCAGATCCCTGGCGAATCTAGTAGATCTGTATCGACAGGGATATGTACTATAGTATCCCATGATCATAACCTATAGATCAAAGGGTCTTGTAAACACGGCTCTCGCGCAAAACGCGGGGCGTTGTTACATCGAAGGTCTTGGATTGGTTGAAGTGGGGCTCACCTAATCGAGATCAGGCAGGTTGTTGCGGATACGAGCGGGCATTGGCTGTTAAAAGCGGAGAAAGTGGATACCGACATTGGGCTTATCATCCGTAATTGATGAATTTGTTTGTGAATCTCTCGGGATTCGGAAGCCAACCCTTAGGATCTTGATCATGGATCTTGATAGAGGGAACTTCCTGGTTCCTGACAAGTAGCGTATACCTTATTTAGACCTTTATTGAAAGTGGGACATTATCAGATCGCTAGTCGAGGGATGTGTAAGCCCCGCAGGACAGCCAGCAATGGTTGTATGGAGGACGCTCAGGCCGGACGGCCCCATCGGTGATAAGCCAAGCGCGTGACCAAGCACGGTCATTCACCCAACGCTTCACGCAGATGATATCCAAAGAATGCATCCAACCATACATTATGAGTTGTCACGAAAGCACTTAGGAGGATATTTGGGAGGGAGTGCCCGAAGTCTGGTCATAAAATGCAATAAGTGTGCCAAATGCAACGCAGCCTGATTAACGTGCCAAAATCGAAACAACTGCTTGAATTAGGCATGAGTCGCATGACCGCTTGTGAGTTTCCACTTTGTAAAGGAAGTTTCTTGTACTTACAGACTACTCATTTGTCAGTGAAACTGAAGCCTCTTGGTGTTCATGCTAAATGTCCATGCAGCGATATGACGAGAGATTCATGTTGGTTTGATTGATTGCTTTGAATTAGGATTAAGCTTACCTTCCATGTCCTCCTTTTCAATTTGGAAGCTTTCAGAAGCGGACAGTCAAATTGTGTACTATATTCTTAGGATGGTTATATGCCCAGGAGAACTCTACAATGTGCGTGATACCAAAGAGCATAAAGCTGAGCGTAGAGGGCTTTGTGTACTTGAGGCTATACGTATGGCCCTTGTGTAAGGATCAACTACCTATGAGAAATCTCTTCCCCGTTGGGAGTTTATGGGAGGAAAAATTCAGACTCGGAGGAGTCGAGATCTGGTATTTCATTCGTCTGACTGCGGTGCCTGGAAACACTTGACTTGAAGAATTTGAATACCTAGTACTCCTATTGCGCATGAATCTGAACTTGAATCATAATAAAGAAGCAAAAGGATTGGAAGCATTGGAGGTTGACTAATGGATAGTGACATGGCCATACTTGAGAGACTGCATGCATTCTGAATCTATATTTGCGAGAGAACTTGAAACTATTGCGATGAGTCTGCTTAAAGTCATGACTGAAAAGGCCACGGTGAATATACTATGAGTTCCTCTTTTACTCATGACTAAGGAAACAGACTTGAGGGCTCATCCATGGTGAAAAGTTAAGAGCTTGAAAATCTTGACAATAACTCTCGTCCAAGTAAGTTGTGGAGTATGTCTCATGTCCTGTTTCAGCTTATTCGAATATTCGAATACCAGAGAAGCACCAAGTATTGTAGCTTCTGCCTCGGGGCTTGAAATGTGCATTGAAGATCAATCCACCTCCGATTTAGCTTAGAATACCCGGTTCAATCCACTTAACAAGTCCACTTTACCCCGCCCCTACCATGCTAGGAAGACATAGTATCGAGACAATAAGTGATGTGGCTTGTACCTGTGGCGTTTGTTGGACAGCTTCACATGGGAACCTCATAATTTCGATAATTGACTCCAGATCGACATTCTCAAGAATGCTGCAGAACCTTACTCTACCCCCGCAACTCAAACTCGTGACCCCCTGAATCCCCCTGATTTCGCCATATGCCACGTTAATGAGCAAGGGGTTCTAACGCTCTGAACTATACGCTCGGTACTATGTATAAATCGATCGTGAATCTAAACCATATTTATGTTTTCCTTCATTGTGGCCCGGCTACGTTGTATACTATGCAGCAAATAGTGGGGGATATCATCGTAGTCAAATTGGAATCATATGTCGCATAAGCGATGTACATGAAATGGAGTCCGCCCGGCGGAATTAACTATTCTTCCTCCTCATATTATGAACGTAGGGTTTCGCGGGAGGTGCTTAGCAGCAGCACTCGCAGCACTCGAAGCAGCAGAGACCAGCACAGCTAAAGAAAACGGTCAAGTCAGTAATGAGGTCGATTGAAATATAATAGTCTTTCATCAAGTCGATCAAAGGTCTACTCACACTCCGCAGCAAACATCCTCACCCTCACCACCTCCACGCACGTGAACATCCATGGCCTCGGGGGTCTATAATTTTCAGTTTAGCAATGTGATCGACTAGTTTCCATGTATTTCTGATGTGAATCCTAATATTCGAAGGGGAAACATACAGGCTGCTGGGTAACAGTCTCGTTCATGCCAGCGGGGCTGTTGGGCTGCTGCATCTGGACGGTGTTGGCATCCCACTTGTTCTCAGTGGCCTCAGCACCGGAGAACCAGCTCTTAATAGCGTCGAACATGATGAATATTGTAAATTGGGGAGGGTATAAAACGAGAGAAGTCGAGAAGTATAAGTTTGAGATATAATCTTGGCAGCCAAGAGAAAATGGAGAAACCCCCTTTTTAAGTAGAATCTTGTTTCTGGGCCCGTGCTCTGCCCTGGGCCAGTGGAGCTTATCACCTGATTCTCCACCACGTGTGCCGAACCCCGGAGGGATTGGTTCAACTTTTTTCCCTCGCTTGCCAGCCTTTCTGCTGTTTCGTGTGGCTGAGTTCGTTCTATATAAAGCACAGCCTGGCTGGCTGGCTGAATCTGACTGAATGGGGATCCTTTCACAGCCTCATTGTTTGGAATGGAACTCAGCCTTTCAGTTTTGGCTTGTCGTACCGACTCGCTAATTTTCTTCACGGCCTGACTGCCCGGACTTAGGGATACGTCAATGGTGTTCTACACTCTACGCAGTACTGTGCCAAACAAGTTTATAGCGCTGCCTAAATTAAAAGCCATCGCAATCCTACCTCGGAATCGGGCTGGATATCTCATTACCGAGCCCGGAATCTGATCTTAGTGGTTCTGCGACACGTCATGTGGCGCCACGACAAAACCCTTGGCAGTGCTTAGCGTACCCCTCGGGTAGGGCTGTAAGATTGGAGCTTCTAGATTCGCTTGGCTAATCCACCAGCTGAGGTCATACGGAAATTTCCGATCGTTTGAGTACACAAAGACCTACTGGTAGATTGCATTGAATACCCGAAGAATTTCCTGATCTTCTTGTCTTCTTGAAAAATCGATGTCTTTATTCACCCGGACGGTACAGGTCTCAATGTATGGTAGTGCGACGATCCTAATGAAAAGATAGCGGCGGTGAGAAATCAAAGAATTTTCACGCTCGTGCTGGAAACTGGGTCATTCTATTTTCCTATTCAGGTGAAAGACAACTTGGCGACCATTTTTGTTACTCAAAAACCTTGGAATCAAAACTATGGATTAAGCATTTTCAAATTGCTAACCTGTGAGGTCATCTTCCGAGGCCATGTAAGCCTACGTTCAATGGGTATATCTTCCTATCTTCCTATCTTCCTATCTGGCTAGCGTTGTCCCTTTGGGTAAAAACCATCGCCTCACGATTACAAGACCAATCGGGCGAGACAGAAGAAAGGCCTATGTCATGCCAATCAATACTCAACACATATCTAATCGTCACCGCCAAATCCCCTTGAAATATACGTGATATCGGTTTTTTCTCCACTCAACTGTCGCTCGGGTTCCAGCTTCTCTGAAGTTGACCATTTCTGGTCAATGAGTAAGATGTCGCACATTTCCCTAGAAGATCCACATTCTTCCTTTCTGATTCTTGAAAGAAAGGAAATGAATAGAGTACAACTTGCTAACATCATTGACGAATACTTCTTCCATCTGAGTCAGTCGCCAATGATTTACTATAGCGTGCCGACAGTCTCTAATAAACCACTTGCTGGTTAGTTTATAAAAATGACATTCCAGATGAATAGGCTAATTTTTAAGAACTTGAAGAGATCCATAGATCAGTCTCAGAATAGGTTTGGAGATGGGATACTATGTGGAAGCCTAGTGGCTGAGTAGCAATCTGGAAAGCTGGAAACCATGTCCAATTTGATCGTCGTTGACTTGAATCCTAAATCGGGCATATTTTGGTGCTAGTCTAGCCCCAGTGGCCTAGCCTGGCAGCATTAAAGATGACACATCCCAAAGAATGTTGTACATAAGAAAGAAACCTCACGCTTAAATCTTTCCTAGCTACAACTATCTTACACAAAAGAGCTTGCCCCTTTTCACCCCCGATTTTGCCTATCCAGTTTTGTGCGATGCACACAAATTGTAAAATGTCTTGGCGAATATTACGTCAGAAATCTCGGGGCGGAGGAACGGAGGGTCGGAGGATCGAGAATGTTTTAAACCCCGTGTTAACCTTTTGACCTTGACAAACCACGATGTATCTCTCACAATAATCAAATGAAAGAATGCGACGAGTTTAACGATAGTATTCATTTGCAAAATATCGTTTTAATTGCTGCCTAATGACGGAGCCAAGAAATCTTCCGCCGAGTCGGCGACGAGATAAACCACAGCTGTCATGCAATTTATGCCGGAGAAGAAAGTATGGACCTGCTTTTCACTGATTTAGCAAGCTGTTCTTGTGAACTAAATCCTCAATAGACTAAAATGCGACCGAAACCAACCATGTGGATCCTGTCGTCACAGAGGACTGTCCCTCTCTTGCACATATCCTCAGTCTACTACGAGTGAGACGAGACACATTGCCAAGCATTCTCGGCAAATATCCAGCTCAGGCCTAACAGAACGAATTGGGCAACTTGAGAAGCTTATTTCGTCCCTCGTGGGCGATGATGCTCGCCGGAAGGCGCCCAGCCAAGTTGATATTTCCTACCCATCTGGGCCTGGACCAACCAAGGACCCACAGCCAGTCAAACCGGAGAATGCGAATGACCCGTCGGATTCATTCGGCCATATATCCCTTCGTGATAGCAAAACCACCTATGTCCAAGACACGCATTGGACTGCAATCTTAGATGGGGTAGGTCAACCAGAATTGATGGTCTTGTAGTCTCTAACTTCGTTCGCTTATAGATCACAGAACTCAGAAATTCAGTACAAAATGAGACAACAAGCGCGCAATGCCAGCCTGTATCATCTTCACGCTCCCCGAGTATGATGTTCCCTAGCTGCAAGTCAGCAACTCGTGAAGAGATTCTAAGCGGACTCCCTCCACGAGAACTTTGTGACAGGCTTGTTGCCGACTATTTCACTAACTCGTCACTTCCCTGTATGTCTTTACTGCTCTATATAAATCTTTGGGGCTTGTTCTGAGTTTCAATTCTGACTAAATTTTCTAGTAATACACGGGCCATCATTCCTGAGACGGGTAAGAAACATCCATTTATACGCTTCAAATCCCAGCACATGGGTATTAACTTGACATACAGTATGAAGCATTCTGGGAAAACCCACACGAGACACATATGATGTGGATTGGAAAGTTATATGGCGTACTCTCCGTGCCTTTGATTTTTCAGCGACATGACGATCCCACATTTCAAAGCAAGATCGAGGAATTCGACCACAAGATAAATCAATGTTTGATCGCTGGCAGATACCAAGATTGCCCACCCGATACAATCGAGACTCTCTGTTGCACTCTCAACACACAGTTCTTCCAATCGGGTGATGGGGAGATGAGCAGTATGGTAATTATGGGTGTTCTTGCGCGCATGGCTCAACGAATGGGATACCATCGTGATGCGTCTCACTTCCCCCATATCTCGCCTTTTCATGGCGAAATGAGAAGAAGGGTTTGGACAGTGATCACCGATCTCGATACACTGCTTTCAACATCAGCCGGGCTTCCACGTTTATTGCGTGAATTCCAGTCAGATACAGCATCTCCTAGGAACCTTTTAGATGAAGACTTTGACGAGGACTCACCAGAGCTACCCCCAGCACGCCCGGATTCATTCCAAACACCCTGTCAATGGCTTGTAGCCAAGAACAAAGTCACGTCGATACTAGGCATCGTGACAGACTTCGCAACATCCATCCGGCGGCCGACTTACGTAGAAGTCATGCGCCTAGACAAAATACTTCATGAAACATACTTGGCTAGCCCAAGCAATCTACTCGAGAGACCTTTGAGTAAATCTCTTCTGGACAACTCGGAAACGATTCTTCATCGGTACCAGCTTCTCCTCTTGGTCGCAAAGGCGAGATGCGTTTTGCATTACCGGTATCTGGCACCCGCGAGAAACGATGAACGATATGCGTACTCGCGCAGCAGCTGCATTGAAGCATCTTTAAAAATCTTGGAGTCTTATCATCTAATACATCGAGAATCGAGATCTGGTGGACGTCTCTATCGCGAGAGATGGAAATGCAAATCTCCCTTGCTGATTGGGATGACTATGCTAGGAACGACCTTGCTCTGTCTGGAGTTGAATTATGAGCTTTCAATCAATCCAGCGACCAATCAAAAACACCAAACACTTCCAGAATCTTTGAAATATCAGCTGATTGAAGCGCTTAAAATATCCTACGCTATTTGGACCGAAGATAAAGGTTCATTCCCAAAATCTCTACAAACAATGCAAGCCGTCGAGCTGGTCTTCAAAAAACTTGCAATACAGCACCATGATATCTCTTCAAGCTTATCTCCTGGGAGGACTCACTCATCAAATGACTGCTCTACTGATGATCTAACCATTGGTACGTTTGGTGTACTCTTGATGCTTTTAAAAGAAGCTGTTACCAGTGGCAAGTAAATATCAACTAATAACTAAGATCTTATAGACTTCTTTCCTGGTGCGCCTCCATCCTCATGGCCTGCACTCGATGGCGCAATGTTCTTAGACCAAGCGATGAACTTGCCCCATGCCCAGGCGCTTGATTTGAATTCGCCGGCACCATCATTTCATATTGCGCCCGAACTATTGGACCTGGTAAGTGGAGTTGATTCAGCCGTGAGGGAATCTTCACTAATAATATTCTAGACGAATACTATGGACGAGATGCTGGGAATATCAATGAATTATCCTCGAATGCCCGACTTTTAATAAAGCGAACATTCTATCACCCCTCAATTCCTACCCAGTCGTTTAGTTCCAAATGCACATAATGCAAGTAATGTAACTTATGAATACAATCTTTAGTAATTGATGATCATTTCTATTCTAAAGATATTTTATACCACCGACCAAGTCTTTAACGCCGTTAACATGCCACATCTAGTTCATCGTCCCATGAAGCTCAGAAATTCTAAGCCGAAGCACAGTGACCGCCGTCCACACGAAGATCAGCACCAGTCATCCACGCACTAGCTTCCGTAAGCATGTAGATGGTAGGGCCCTTAAAGTCCTCTGGGGCACCCAGGCGACCAAGAAGAGCACCACGCATCCAAGTCTCCTCAACTTCAGGCTTCTCCCGAAGCAAAGCATCTGTCATGGCAGTGCGAATGTACTATTTCCAACTGTCAGCCATAGCCATTTAGTTTTGAAGAGATTCATCTATACGTACCCCAGCTGAAAGTGTGTTAACACGAATGTTGTGCTGGCCCCATTCTTGGGCAACGGATCGGCACATCTGATGAACAGCAGCCTTAGATGAGTTATAAGCAGTGCAAGTCAAGCCCTGCAAATAGTCATATTAGCATTTTCTCTTACAAGAGTGATTCGGTGAGACAAACCCGGTTGGCAATCTGGCCAGACATCGAGGCAATCATCACAATACTTCCAGGGGTCTTCTGGTCAACTATGATCCGCGAGAAGTGCTTAGCAGGAATAAACGTTCCAAGAACATTGACATCCAGCATCTTACGATACCCATCAACAGGGTAGTCAAGGGCCGGGACCATTTGCTGGATTCCGGCACAGGTAATAAGTCCACGAAGGGGCATGTTGCGGGCCTTGCTGTCCTTGGCGATTTTCTCTAGAAGTTTCTCGGTAGCTTCCTCGTCGGTGATATCACACTTGTTGTAGGTTGCTTGCAGGCCCTTTGACTTAGCCAGTCTCTGAACGGTGATCCACTCCTCTGCGCTGGGTTCAGGCAGGAGATCCATGCATGCGACGTCGCCACCGGCTTCGAGAACGGCGATTGTCAGGGTCATTCCTAGACCACGGCCGCCGCCGGTGATTGCGATTGTGCGACCTGCGAGAGAGAAGAGTTCATTGGTAGGGGCGAATGCGGCTGGTGTTTGGTTTGATTCAGGGACGACTGGAGGCAAGGTGTGGTCGAGGGTAACTGAAGGAGCCATTTTGAAGATTATCTTATGTTTTTATTGGGAGGAGAAGAAACGGATTTTGGAGCTCTTAGGAAATTTGTTAGAATTGGGAGAATATTATTATGTGGGTGTACGCTTCATATAAGAGGAATTCCTGGATTGCGTTAGGCCTCGCAGTCAGCTCTGGGATTTAGCAATTAGATAGAACCCAGTAGGGAAATTTCGAGCACATGGGAACCACAGTGGAACATAGAAGACAAATAATGTTTCGCAGCTACTTTTTGGCTGCATTTCCCGCGGCTCTTTTTCCGGTCCCAACTAATCAGGCCGATAAACAGAGGCACCGGACCGAGCGAGCTTGTTCAATGATGCGTCTGACCTGCAGTAGACGGTGCAAATGGCTACTATATTTGGTAAGTGTGTGACGTGGAGTTGAAAACCGCGGGGAGTTGGGGTAGCAAGACTGGGGAATGAAATTGTTGCTGTCATGACGCGTGGGTAAGGCGGGTAGATGTGTACCTGAGCAAAGTCACTAAAGCCAAAGAGATGTGGACGTGGCGGCGCTTAGAATTTACCGGTTAGGTAATATTCCTAATGTGGTATGGTTTGCCGCTTCGCCATGAGGCTTTCATCATTTAGCCGATGGCTACTCGGTGTTGACGGACTTGGCATGACCCACCACCTTCTCTTCGGCCCAGGCACGCGTGTCTTATATCCTAGGCTCTACGGGAGATGAGGAATTCCTCAAAAAAACATCAGTAGCGTAGCCTAATCAGATGTAGGACTATATGTGAAAATGGACACTTAGGCTTAGCTCAAGGGTCTTCATGCAGTCTAACTTGATTGAATCAATACCGGTTGGTCTATATTAACGTAGAACACGTTTGTTTGCTGTGTTTTTGTGTTCATCCCCGCAATACGGAACTGGGTCGTAATCGAGACACGATATCGTTTCTGGGGCATTTAACATTCCCCGGGTCCTTCCTTACGCCATGGTTTGTGGCGCCACCGATTTGCGGAGGTTAGCCTGGTCCGAAACATCAATCACTTATATAAAGGATAGATCCCATTTCCATGGAAGTTACTCCTGTTTGGTATTTACTACATTATATGAAATAATTTTTTGGCACATTTGTTACTTGGTGACTTGTTAAGGGCTGCTTTCTCTGAACTCGCCATGTCCTTCCTCACAGGGTGGCATTTGCAATGGGCTATCACAGCCACTGCCGGCAGTGGCTTCCTACTGTGAGTGAAGACTAATATGTCTACATATAGCCATTATGCTAACTTATCGCTTCCTGATAGTTTCGGTTATGACCAAGGTGTTATGTCTGGTCTGCTGACAGGCGATGCCTTCACTGCGAGATTCCCTGAGATTGACACCACGTCAAAGGGCCATGGAAGTTCATCCCTTCAAGGAACAGTGTAAGTACTTCTTTCACGCATATAATTGAATAAATCTAACTTCTTTCCCTTTCACAATAGAGTCGCTATCTACGAAATCGTACGTTGCAGCCAGCCATTTTTGAACTTAAATCAAACTAACACCAGCAGGGTTGTTTCTTGGGTGCCATCATCTCATTATTTTCTGGTGAAAAACTTGGTCGACGAAAATGCATATTGGCAGGATGCGTTATCCTGGGCATCGGTGCTGCTCTTCAATGCAGCGCTTACGGAATTCCTCAATTGATTGTCGGACGTATCATTGCTGGCGTTGGCAACGGTCTCAACACAAGTGCGATTCGTATGACATCCCTCATAAATCTCCTCTTTGTGATTCTACTGACTAGTCAAATAGCTGTCTGGCATTCGGAGTTGAGCAAAGCTGCGAGCCGTGGTAAAGGGGTACGTCAAGCTCATAATAACTTATGTCTAGTCCAAACACTGAATTTTGTATAGTTAGCTATTGAACTGGGAATCAATATCTTTGGTGTGATGATGTCCTACTGGATCGGTATTTTCCATTGTCATTACTCACCTGGGATACGTGTTAACTTCACAACTCATAGACTACGGCTTTTCATTTGTTGAGAGCGAGGTTCAATTTCGCTTCCCAATTGCCTTACAGATTCTTTTTGCGATAGTCACCTTTTTTGGTGCTCTCTTCCTTCCCGAGTCTCCTCGTTGGGTATGATACCTTGTTGATTTTCGCCATTTCCCGGACCTATACTAATACTACGGCAGCTCATCAAACACGGTGAAGAAGATAAGGCTCGTCATATCATTTGGAGACTTCAAGATAACGCCGAGGAAATCGATACCAGCGATTCTGTTGTTGCCATTGATGTGCGCGAAATATCGCAAGCTATTAGAGAAGAGACGGAGGCTTCAGCTGAAGGATCCTTCAAGCTCATCTTCCAAAATGGCGACCAGAAATTCCTGTATCGGACACTTCTCGGTATGGGTGGACAAATGATGCAACAAATCTCAGGCATTAACTTAATTACCTACGTCAGTCAACACTGCCATTATAGAGGGATCGCTAGCTAACGTTCAATTAGTATGCTACTGAGATCTTCGAAGAGTCCGTGGGAATGGACCATAACCTGGCTTTACTTATGTCGGGATTTAATGGAATCGCTTACTTTTTCTCTGCCTTGGTTCCCATCTGGGTTATCGACCGGTATGAATATTTTGATCAATTTTATTGATGAGATTGGACTAACGGGAAGTAGGCTTGGTCGGCGCAAACTTATGATGTTCGCCGTAGTCGGACAGGGCTGTTGTATGGCTATCCTGGCAGGCACTGTCTGGAATGGTGGCCACGCTGCAGGTGTTGTCGCGACAATGATGTTGTTTTTGTTCAATTTCTTTTTTGGAGTTGGTCTCCTTGCTATTCCTTGGCTTTGTAGGTGATCCCATGAGAATCGTTTTGCGGGTTGAGAAGCTATAGTACTGACTGGGATATACTAGTACCTGCTGAATACGCGCCCCTGGCTATCCGAACTCAAGCCGCTGCTCTTGCGACCGCTACCAACTGTATGTTGAAACCTACTCTGCCAGATATAGCCATATTGATTTACCATTCCTAGGGATCTGCACCTTCTTGGTCGTTGAGATCACCCCCGTCAGCATTGCGAATATTGGATATCGCACTTACATCTATTTTGCTAGTAAGCTCATCCTCACATTCAAGCTTCGATTTGACGCTGGTAGTGTATTCACTGACATCGCCTTGCAGTTTTCAACTTCTGCTTTCTCCCTCTCATTTATTTCTTCTACCCCGAGACGCGCAATCTCACTCTGGAACAGATCGACAAACTCTTCACTGGAGGAAAAGTCAACCTCTACTGGCAATCTTCTATGGGTATGGCTGGAGATGTGGATTCTCGAATTACCCAAGGAAAGGAAGTGGAAGCAGCAGCTTCTGATGCTCAACATGTTGAGTAATTTGTATATATTGATGAATTGGTTTTGGAGGATACCCGTAACAAGTTTTGTGAAATATTATTTTGAATATACTTTTGAAGTTTTCCTCTATACAATCTCAAATGAATCCATTCATGTATCTCAGAGATACTTTGAAGGTTCCTGCCGTGTTTCTGCACCCTTTTTGCCGGAGGGCCTCTTGGCCTCTCGGGCAGTCCCCGCGATGATCGATCCCCACAGAAACCCGGTTCGGCACCTTAACCAATAGCATGCACCAGGTGGAGTACGGGCCGAGCGAGCGCTTAAACGCTCCCATTTAAGTAATTTCGTCAACCATGCCACCCTTTCTCCCCGTCGTTTTACAACTACCAACATCCAAAAAGATTCCGGGGTAATTGTTTCTATAGGCAACGCAATGGCCAACATAATTATTGACAGGTCACCGGTCCTTGATCATAAGGACGAAGGTAATCCGCACCTAGGCGCAGAAATGTCGCACGGTCCAAAATTGGCAGATCGCAAAAGGCGCACCCGAAATGGTTGTCTTAACTGCAGTCGCAGGCGGCGAAAATGTGACGAAACAAAGCCTGCCTGTACAGGCTGCAAACGACGGGGAGAGGACTGCCAGTGGCGTGTGGTAGGCTCATTTCGAGATTCGAATATCAAAACACTTGAATCAGATCATCCCTCCATGAGCCAGGGGGGTGCTGCCAGCAAAGGAAAACGCCAAAGTAAAATCAAGATCTTGAATACTCTTCCAAGCACTCCCCGCACAAAGGAATTGCCTAAAAGGCAAATTGATACCCAAGTAGACCTTGATTATCCAGGTACGCCGGATGTTCCTGGGTTGTCTCCTCCGCCGTCTACTGCCAATAACGGGCCTGTCTCACTGGTTAATTCGACCACTGAAAGGCACCCAAGCCATGTGGCTGCCACTACTAGTTATATTTCCAGCCCCAATGCCGATCAAGCCCAGGGATTGTCACCGCCGTTATCCGGGGATGCCCCCTCACATGGATCTCACGGCACTAGCCACAGGTCTTCTTCCCAGCGTGGCGGTAACCAAGACGATCCCAGCCAAAGTGGCCCACATGATAGCACTAGCCAGGGCCAATATTCAGCAAATTTCAGGTGTAACTTTGAGCCGCCTCTAGCCGATGACGCTTCCCCCCATGTCTATCTCAACTCCAGTCCCCAATATTCGATCAATGGCCTCACTGCGCTAGGCAATATCACGCAAAATTCTCAAACCCAGGCTTCTGTTACGAAGACCTATCAGTCCCATCCTTCCCCAATCTTTACTCACGATATATTCTCTGATCCAGTAGATCTTACGAATGATGTTTTTCTCCCTGGCTCCACATATGAGGCTCTGCATACCACACTCCGGAATCGCCAGCTTTGGACTGCGAGACCTGATATACCGACTCATTATGGCTGCCGATGGAAACAAGGCCACACCCCAACCCCATTCAGCGATTCAGGTTCATGTAATAGGCTTGAGAGGGAACCTCGCCGTTCAAGGCCAGGGAGGTTCATTGACCTCTCTCCTGAAAGGGAACTTGTACTGTGGCAAAACTACCTAGACGAAATCTGTTCCTGGGTTAGTTGATCAAATGATAAATCAAAATTATCAACCTTTACTAATTATCATGACAGCTTGACATGTTCGATAACAATCGGCACTTTGCTTCCACGTTTCCCCAAATGTCAAAGACGGCCCCCCATTTGCGCTATTCCATTCTGGCACTGTCTGCGCGGCAACTGGAAAGGCTACAAAATGAGAAGTCACAATCAGAAAGTCTGTCCTTATATCAAGAGGCCATTCACCTTCTTTTACCCGAGCTGGAAACCAAATCAACCCCTGTCATTGCATCTTGCGTAATTTTGTGTGTTTTGGAAATGCTAAGCTGTAAGTACTCCAGGAATTATCATCATCCATTTCTAACAATTCCCAGGTAATCCGAAAGAGTGGCGTCGTCACCTCGATGGATGCGCATACCTCATTCAAGCGGCAGGCATTAATGGTTTTTCCGGTAATGAAGAGCAGGCACTTTTTTGGTGCTTTGCGCGAATGGGTAGGTCAATCCATACAAGAGATTCCGCTCCGTTACTAATAATCTCTAGACCTCTGTGGTGGACTTATTTCAGAAGAGGAAACCATTATCCCCATTCATCGATGGAGACCTCAAGACATGAGCTGTGTGGAAGCTTCTGGATTGTTCCTCTCATCCGCGAAAAATAATTTTGACACATACGCAAATTACACCGTCTACCTTTGCGCAGAAACACTCGGCGTTCTTTTTGGGGATGTAACAAAAGCGCCTCATCCCTGTACTTCATGCCAGTCTTTTGCGGAAGAAGATGGAAACTCATACATTCACCGTTGGAAAGAGGTTTTTAGCCATGCAGAGTTATGGTATGAGAATCGGCCAAGTCAGATGAAACCTATCTTTACTGTTGCAGTTGTTACTCCGGACTACAATGGAAAAAATAGACCATTTCCAACTGTCTTATATGGGAATGGTGATGCCAGTATGTGCCAGGTTCGAAAATTGTATACTAGTATTTTTTTTACTAACACATTCCAGTCTCCGGTAATCAGCTCTACCATGTTTGCGCTCACCTACTACTCCAGCAGAAACCGAAGACATTGGCGCTCTCCAAAAAGCCTGTTTGTAAACCACTACCAGCAATTATGTTCCTATCACTAAAACGAGGCCTAGAAATCGGTTTTATGGCACGCCCGACAGATATGTGCTATTTCTGCATCGAACGCACATCAGTGAGTATATTCGCTTTTCGATGAATTGAAGCGCTCTATTTTTTTAAAAGTAAATTCCAAGGCTCTCATGCTAACCATATCTATAGTGGCTGTTGGACAAATGCTCTTCAACCTCTCTGGATAGCTGGGAAGGTGATGTCCCACTATTCCGAGCATGCAGCCATTGTGGAGACACTCATTCGAATTGAGCGTGAGACAGGCTGGGCAACCGTATGGCGAGTGGAAGACTTGAAGGATTTCTGGGGTGACTATGATAACGACGACTGCGACGTTGATATGAACTGAATACTATGACGATCGAGAATACAATGATTTCATATGGAAGGAAATTTATTTTGCGCACAATTTTTTATAAGGACCTAACTTATCTCGATGATACAACTCATTCAAGTTTTCTCTGCGCTTTGAAGATAAAAATGAATTGGTTTTTGGTCTAAATTCTTGGCGATGGCACTGCAGTAATGCCGTCATTACTTGAGATTATCTTCGAGTGGGGCAGATGTAGTACTCGAGTCGAGGATATTGTGCTCCATATGAATCCCAAATGGCTCCAATCAGCGTTTCAATCCACAAAGAAATTACTATAGCAATTTTTCATCGAGGCGAGGTTGCGTTACACCCCGCATCCTAGAATAAACAGCTCGGAGTAGCTTTAAAAAAGTAAGATGGTCGCACCAGTTTCACACTCGAAATTTAACAGTTTTGATAACCTTCTAGATCGATTATTTTCATCATGTATTCTTCTGTCCCCCCCCCCCCCCCCCCCCAGTCAGCTCCTTCAGAGCCTCAGACCAAGATTGCCCTCGAATCAAAGGTCATTGCTAGTCAGTCATACCCCTAACCTTCGGCATTTCAGTCGAGCAAACAGCATTTACATGTTATTTTCTATTAGTTACACCGGTGCTAATCGTGGAATCGGTCTCGGCATAGCAGAATGCTGTTTAGTTAATGGCGCCGCAAAGATCTACTCAATCGATATTGGGGAAGCAGGCGATGACTTCCAGAATCTATCTAACCAGTACCCCGGTCAACTTTTTGCAATCCAGGCCGATGTAACAAAGGAAGCCAGCATTTCAACAGCAGTGGACAAGATTGTTGAAGAGGCTGGGGCACTACACGGAATGGTCGTGAATGCAGGGCGGACAAATCATAAATCGGCATTGGACTTCACAACAGAAGAGATCGAAGCGCTTTTCTCTGTTAATGCAGGTCATCTGAACATCGATCCTTAAAATTTACTGTGGCCTGGCTAATTCGGAATGTATCAGTTGTTCGGAGCATTCTACACTGCCAGGTGCGCTGCTCGAGCATTCATTAGACTGGGTATCAAGGGGGGATCGTCTTCACAGCTTCCATGGCCGCCTACCGCCCTAACAAGATTTGTCCCTTCCTATTTGCCCCTTCGGAACTTGAGAAATGTCCACTTTTTGTTTTATTAATTTTGTGCACTGGCAACTAACGCTTACTAGCGCGTTCCATCTACCCCCTACGGCGCGTCGAAGGCTGGCATCCGTAACATGACGCATACACTTGCTATGGAGTGGGCTCAGCATGGCATCCGTGTAAACAGTGTTTCTCCAGGCTTAGTGAACACTGCTATGACATACTGGGTCCCACAACAGCCCGACTGGGAGCAGCAGCTTAAGTATTATGGAGGCTTCCCACGACTGGCCGAAGTGCAAGAATTGGGTGGTGCGTATGTTTACTTGCTGAGTGATGCCGCTTCGTATACAACATCGATTGACATCCCTGTGAATGGTGTCATTGGAAGTAAGTCTCATCATCAATCTTGAATTGCCCAGATTCTAACCTTCATCCAGTCTGTTAAATTTCCCATCCATCGTACTGTTGAAATATGGAACATAGGCATTTTCTAACTGATCACTTCGCCGAAATGTCAAAATAGAAAAATATTTTGCAGTCAATGTTTTCAGTCAGCCTGATAGTAACTTGAAACCTGTTCTTAGTGGGCAGAAATCACATGCCGTATAAAATCATGGCCATTTTTTTCAATACATCTGGAGTATGAACTTGTTTATACTCCTCCGATAATGGGATTCCTGCCTGTAGAAAGCAAAGAGAAAAAAAAAAAAAAGAAATTAGTTAGGCCTTACTAGTCATCATTTCAAATGTTCGATATTTAAAACGCGAGGAGTAACACATACATAGTTCAAATGTTATATAGTATATGCATACTGGCAATAATTATATACTAAACCTCAACTTGAACTTGAACTTGAACCTGGGCCCTACTACAGTAGTACTAGTAGTAGCGGGTGAGGTCGAGTCGAAGGCTGGGGTCCCAGCTTAACGTGTTGAATATAAACGTCTAACTTGAAGGTTGGAAATGACATTGCCCGAATGGCTCCACGGTCGGCATACTTTATAGTACTAAACTTGAAACTTGAAGCCTTGGTAAATGCAGTAGTATTACTAGGTATTATCAGCTAGAAGATTAATATAAAATACATTGAGGAAATGAACAGTCGTGAATGAATTTCAACTGTATATATATCTTGAGCTCCAGGGATCCGGGTGTATCAATTCCATAATACTATGATGATACTTGAAGCTTTATCCGTTACCAGAGGAGTGAGAGATTAATGGGGAGGAACATAAAAAGCAAATAATTTCGTAGAGACAATCTTCTATATCAAAATAAAGACCAGTTTCTCGAAACGTTAATTTGTTTATTCGTTGCCACTTCTACGGTTACGTGGGCCTGGAGCGAACCAAGCCTCGAAACAATCGAAAACGAACAAGACTTCAAGTACCAAGGGGACCTGCATTGTCGATCAATTTCGTCCGTGTCGCATGCATAATAAATATGACATCGGAAAGATTTAAGTATTTAGGAAATATGTATCTCTAAAGTTGAGCTCGGCTAGCTGGAACAAGTAGTGAGCAATAGTCTCTTACATTTGGACTTTTAGCAATTTGGGAAAGGTAAATAGAGAATATTGACTAAGAAGGTCAATGCAGTGAGAAAAGGGAAAGTCCACAGGTCCACAGTGTTCCACGGAATTGACTAGCTGAGATTCGAGAGAAGATGAAACCCCCGCATTGTCTGAAGCCGAATGCAGGTTGATGTTCTGGAAAAGGGTAACGCGACCGATCAGTGTGAACGGTTCACTAACATTCCAGATGTCAGTAAGCCAATGACAGAGCTTGGTCTCCACAGGGATAGCTGATCCCTGCCTGAGAAGGAGAAGAGAATGCGCATCAAGGTGGCGGAATAGTCTGCATCTAGGGATGAAAACAAATCTGCCAAACCACCTAGGCGTGGAAAACTGAAAGATTAGATTGCCACACCGTTCATAGATGGGCTTAAAGTAACAGTGAAAAGAGTAGTGAGAGCCCAATAGAATTATTTTATTTGGTGAGACGTCCCAGGATTAAGGATGGATTCCGGGAAGTCACCACTGCCAGTACTTTCCAACACCTTGACCGCACAGGCCCATTTTCACTAATCAATATTATTATTTGTCTGTTTTCGTCATTCGAGTGACCACTCCGCTCGGGTTGGAGCGCATTCCAGGTCCATACTGGATTGTTTATGAATGACCGTTGCCCATCCAAACCCACATCCCCAGATTATTCATTAAACGATACCCCCAGCCCACAACCTGCTGCAACATAGTGTAGGTGCTCGCCCTCGAGGTCGCTACTCTTCTCGAAATCAAAGAGGTCGCCGTCATTGCTCATCCGACGTGACCGACCTAGCTGCGCCTCGCCTACACGACATACGAGGACAGCGAGATGAGTCTGCATGGGCTTGGGGTGATTGGGGCTCAGGTGGCCGCGTCCATCAAGAGCAACGACGATAAGAATTCATCAACGCCGAGGTTTCAGTCACCACCTACTTCCATTCAATCTACTCCCGTCCTGGAGCACAACCGAATACCGGAATTTGACCCCACGATCGGCGCCAAGCCGTACTCGCCCTTCTACTCCCATGGCTCGCCTACAATCTCCTACGAGCAGTTGACATTCGAAACCAAGACAGCCAATCGCGATCGAAGTCAGTTGCGGGACATCGAGAATGCAGGACCATACATGTGTCGCAATGATAGCCCCCAGCGCTCAAAGTTATGGGAAGGCGCCAATCCACCAAGATCATGTATGCACTCGCTGAGTACTCGGCAGCGAATGACACTAAAGATTATCATCGCTGTTGTGACTGTTGGAAGCATGATTGCCATTGCACTTGGGATTACGGCTGCCGTTGGAGGTGCAGCTTGGAGAGCTAGCAGTTCAAAGACAACTCTTGGAGGTTAATTGATTGATAGGTGAGTCCACCGTGACGAATTTTTGCTGCAGACGAAGCGAGGCTGATGATCAAAGAGAAAGAGCATGATCCCAGCAACATAGACTTCGGATTGATTGGATCGCTGGATCATCTTTCGGGGCCCGGAGCTTTATCATAGGAAGTTGTCGTCCCTCATTGTCTATCCTTATATTTGTGCTCCAGACATGGAGTTTTGTGTTATCCCTATGATGGTGAATTCCTGTTCGTCGACCCGTCCCCCTTGTGGTAGGCAACTTGGCGATTGCACACTCTCATTGTACATTTTGCCGATGCAGTGGGTAAATCAACTGCATGATTATCAAAATATCCTGGTTCCTTTTGTAAAAAATGGTTCGAAATGAATCTAAAGTGTTCTAAACGTAATGAAGGTATCCACACTTGAGTCCACAACGGGAGAAACAACGGGCCGGGCACGTGATCCACCACACCTACAAAAAGGCGCGAAAAATTCTCAGACTCAGATTTCTTTTCTTCATCGAAAAAAAGCAACAGAGCCTGCCACGACCATTGTCCTGTCTTCAAGACGCCTTTCACGGCAATGTGTTGCCTTCGGTCCTTCGGGACTGATCGGCTCTGGAGATTAATTATCCTCGATAGGAAGTTCGTTTCCCGTTAGTGTCCTCTTCAGTGAGGGCGATGGGATTGGAATGTCGAAGACGGGATACATCCCTTTTCACTCAATTAGCATATGTGTTGGTAGTTAGTACCACACATTACAAGTGATCGTAGCATGTCAGCATTTGCTGTCGTAGTTCTGTAAACCGCAAGGTTTATAGGCCTTGGCTGTTGTAGGGATCAACTGTTGAGCCGTAAAATTTGCAAATTGATTACGGCTCACCGCATGATTTTCGCACCATGGGATTTCCTGACCATAAACATGGGTACCAACAAGCTTAAAATTAAGCTGAGGTTCTTGACCTCATGCGGAATGTCTTGTCACGACTGTTGCCAAAACGTGAGGTTTCAGCGCGGAATCTCCTTCATGTAATGCGGCGGGTTCCACCTCAAATGATCTTCGAGGCCCCTGCAGCAGCAATAATAGTCAGCTCCGTAACGTCATGCTACTACATGTTGTTCGACTATTCACGGGCAAGGGCTGCAATATTCCTTGAATAGTCAATAAAATTTGAGCAGGAGAGCTAATGGTTGGCCCGAGTTTCCCCTCGTGAATACCGATCCCCTGATGATCCATCCCTCCGAGGAGGTTTTGGAATGTCCGGCACTACCCTCCTAACACCCACATCACAGGCTTGTTTACTGCGATGAACCGAGAAGATGACGTTTGTCCATTCTCGCCAACATTCTGATCCAGGATGGTTTCTTGGTCAACATCTCCCGCCCGGTCACTGCCAGAGGATACACATTCCTGCCATGCAGGAGATGCCTGGTGACCATGCCAGTCAAGGAATACTAAAGAGCTATTCAGCACCTCACCCGGGCGATTGAATTGTTCCAGCTTGCCTCAAGGGAATCAATTAATCGTGCCACTCTTTTCATCTCTCGTAACTTTTGATCCCAGTCACTCTTTTTTTCACGAGTTTGGAGTTCTCGAATACAATTACCCTTCACAGTAATATTCTATCAAATACACTATCAAGATGAAGGGTTTCGTTGGTGGTATTCCTCTTGCCCTGCTTGTGGCTGCTGTGCAGGTGCAGGCAATGGAGCCTGGCATGGTAAGTGTCAACCAACCATATAAACAAACCCCGATGCTGACAATGGCTACAGGAGATGGGCCAGAACAACTTCCATCAACGCCGCACTGCTGGCCTTGAGCCCCATTTCGGAGGCACTGCTATGGGTGGACCCTCTGGCAACGATGGTGATGGTTCTTTCAAGACACCTTACGCCGCTGATGTGAACACACATTCCAACGTGAATGAGTTCAGCAAGGACGACCACTCCGTCAACATCAAGAACAAGGACATCCACCCCCCTCCCCCACCTCCCCATGGCTCTGCTTTTGGCCCAGGTGCCGGTCCCTTCGGACCTGCTTTGGGACCTGGAGCTGGTCCTTTCCCCAAGCGTCACTGGCCTTCCGGTGGTACAGCGGGTGGCGGTCCTTCTGGTAACGATGAGGGCCAGAGCTTCAACATGCCTATCACTGGCAACTTCCACACTGATGTCAACGAGTACAACAAGGACGACCACTCAATTGCCATCAAGAACAAGAACATTCACCCACCTCCTATCATCGAGGCTCCTGTACACCCCCCTTTCGCTGGACCTCCCGGTGGTTTCCGTGAGAGCCATGGTGCATCTCCTGACCATTTCCATGTCCCTGCCACTGCTTTTACCAAGCGCTTCTCTCCCGGTGGGACTGCCATGGGAGGTCCAGGTGGCGGTGGTCACTCTCACGGCTTCCCTGGTCCTGTCATCAGCGGTGGTACGGCAATGGGTGGTCCTTCTGGTGACGATGATGACGGAAACTTGAACTTTGGCAAGACGGCGAATATCCACAGCAGTGTGAACGAGCACAGCAAGGATGACCACTCCGTTGATATTAAGCACAAGGACATCTACCCCCCTCCTCCCCCATTCGTTCACCCGCCATTTGGTCACCCCTTCAAGCGTAGTTTACGCCCTCACGAGGGCGGCGGCACCGCAATGGGTGGACCATCCGGTGATGATGGCGGTCAGGAATTCAACATGCCCATCACCATCGATACTGACACCGCGGTCAATGAATCGTACGATGATGACCACTCTGTCGATCTGAAGCACACCGATGTCTACCCACCTGCCCCCGTTGCTCCCTTCGGAGGTCCTGGTCCGGTCATCCCCGAGGGCGATGCTCCTTTCCGTCGTGCGTACTCCCCTGACTCTTCTGACCGCGATGCCGAGAGCGACGGTGACGATGAGGACCCACCTGTCATTGCTGGCGGTACTGCTATGGGTGGTCCTTCTGGTGATGATTCTGGCGGCGACTTCGATGCCAGCACCAATGTGGGTGTTGACAGCAACGTCAACGAAGACCACCAGGACAACCATGCTATCAAGCTCGACACCACAACCGTGCACCCTCCCGCATGGCCTATCCACGAAGTCCATGAGGTCCCCGTCCATGAGGTTCCAGTTGAGACTGCTCACGAAGAGGTCCCTCAGATGCCTTGGATGACCTACCAGGCCCAACAGCACGCTGCTGGAAACCCCATCATCGTTGCTGAGACCAACCACCAGGAGTCTGCTCCCGCTCCTCCCACTCACCGTGATGAGCAGGAGGCGGCTCCCCACTGCTCCGCTGAGGTCCACGAGGTCGTCCGCACCGTGACCAAGACTCAGTACAAGCAGGTCCAGGCTACCGAGACTGTCTACAAGCAGGCCCCTGTTGTCTCTCAAGTTGTTCAGACCAGCGCCATTCCCATGTCTGCTGTCCCCATGGAGTCCGGTGCTGCCCCCAAGATCCTGTCGTCTGCTGTCTATGGATCCCAGGTTGCCTATGCTTCCGCCCCAGCTTCTTCCTCATACGCTCCTTACGAGAGCTACAACTACAAGTACCAGGCTCCTGCTAGCTCCTCTGCCGCAGCGTACTCCATGATCCCTGTTCACGTTCCCATGGCCACCCCTTCATCCAGCGCCATGTACTCTATGGCCACCCCATCTGCCAGCCACGGCGTTAATGTTCCCAGCGGTGTCTCCCCAGACCGTAGCAACATGCCCGGCGCATCCGCTTCTCCTTCCTCCAACAGCCCCATGTTCACTGGTGCCGCCACCCGCGTCTCCGGTGGCTTGGTTTCCGCTGCCGCTGCCGTTGTTGGTGTTCTTGCCTTCGTCCTGTAAGCCTCTTGGCACGATCAACGCCATGTCAATCTTTAATTTTTTCTTACTATACTTTATCATTCTACCTTTCCTATAACATGTATCTCTGCCTCAATTCATTCTTGCCTAATGTCGAAAACTGTTGCATAACAAGAAATTTCCACCTCGTATCTGCAAACCTAGATCGTTGTTCCTTGACCTCTCGTACCATAAAATTCTACCTCTTGGCAAAACCTACGCCTTTAACTTAGCAACTTAGCCGAAGGCTAGACAAGGTTTATTTCTTCTATCCCTGTCTAGCCACTGGTGTTGACAAACAAGTCAGGTTATAAAAAATGACCCGAGCAACTGGATTAAGTTGCGTTTCCCCCACAAGGATCGGCCACTTAGCGATCGTCGCTGCAAACTGGTTTCGTCATACCCACTTTGAACTTGTTCGTTTCGGATGATGTCTGGGTTTCCACCAATTAGAACCCCAAATGCACTGCCACGATCTCGCTCGTATTTCCTTGATAGATCTTTACACGTATTCTAACGGGCGGCTGAGCTTCCAGAAGTTTGCTATGGGCCACCGAACGACCGGGCGGTGATATCATCGATTCATCATCTATACTAGGCGGCCAAGACCCGTGACATCAACTACCTACCTATTTAGTGTATACATTAGGATTACATAGCATATGGGCATAAACATATAAACCACCTCCCCTGATTACTGTCTTGCTCTGGATTTTAACTCTTTCACAATATCTTCGTCTTATTCTCTCATAACCTGTCATTTTGATTGACCACTATCAACACATACACTTAACTTTCTACACTATCACAACATCTTCCTCTTTCTCATAAATAAACAAAGATACACAAAATGGGCCCCCATCAATCACATCCCCACGCGGGAGGCTCTATTGCCCAGATGCCTCCTAACGGAACCACCATTCCCAATGACACCAGCAAACAGAATGCCATACCATCTGTTCCACGCCCTGAACAACGTAACGACTACTTTGGCTTCAACATTGGACAGTCTAATTCCGCCTCAACGGATAGTAAAAGAGCTGAGATTCCTCGATCAACGTATGACCGAGGGAAGTCAGACGAGGCCATCACTCCAACCGGCGAGTCCATACCTGCCTCTGTTGAATCTAAGCACAATTATTTGGGGACCGATCTCCTTGGTGGATCGACAGACACTCGGAATACGAAGAATAGAAGGATGAGCCGGAGTGAATTCGACCAATTCGTTGGTGACAATGAGCTTGATAAAACAGCGAAGGATGGAAAAATTGGTGTCAACCAGGTACGAGAGATTGATTTATTCCCACCTTTCTTCCAAGGTTCTCGTGCATTCTACAGATTGTCTGCGTGGAGAAAACTTCTGGATTATACTAACTTCGTCATGATATACAGTTTTTTGGGCTCGAGTCTTCCTATTAATGGCCCTTCTCATAAAATTCAGTGCGAGTTGATTATCGAGGCGTTTGGGTGCGAATTTGACCGGAGTTACTGGCATGTAATAGGAGGGATTCAAGGTTGATGGTTTTTGGAAGCTTTCAGCCCTGGTGGCTGTACATGTATATGTCTATTTAACATGAGATATGATATGATTGATTATGATTTATATGTCGTCATTCAAGTGGCTCGAGTCTCATTCGTAGCGTCAGTCCAATACTGCATTCGCATTGGGGTGTGGAGAATCAAGTGAACACATTCGTTGATTCAGACCCAATAAATCCCTGATAGATTTCATCCAAAACATCTCGCTTTCTCTTGCGATCTATAAGCGCCGTCTCCTCGGCTTCTGTGGGTTCTCCATCAGGTTCACGAGATACCCAAGTGCGAATGGTTCCATCTCCATGCGCAGAGAATAATTCCAAGCCTTCTCCAGATGCTCCATTCCCACGCCACACTAAATCATTGATGCGAGCAGCACTCAGCGCACTAGATCTAACACGACCTTGATAACCAGTCGCCAGACCCGGGACTTTCATTCGTTTGACAAATGTACCCTCGCGAAGCTCAAACATGAATATCTCGCCGCGGTCATCTTGCTCGTGGAAGTTCGGCCACAAAAGAGTCTCGTGACCCGGCGTCATTGTTCCTTTCGGAATAACAAGCGGAGCGCGCTCCGATAAATGCGATGAGGTTGAGTTTCGGACACGAGGACCAAAATGAGCTAAAGTGTTTGCACCAGTCCCTGCATCCCAAACCCTGATTCGCGAATCTTGGCCTGCTGTGACTAGATGTGAACCATTGGAGGTCCACCGAACACCGGTAACAGCTCCATTGTGAGCACGAGCGTTCCGTGAGAAAGCTGGCCTGGCCTCGTGAGGCGTTGAAGGCGAGTCTGTTGAGCCTGGATCAACCAAGCCCGTGGGATCATCCATATCCAAGCTCGCAATGGCCGAGTTATGACCGCCACGGCGAACGTCAAAGATAATCACTTTGTTATCTACTGACCCCGAGGCGAGAAGATACGGTCGGTGCGGGGCCCAATCCACCGATAACACAGCACCAGTGTGTCCTGGAAGTCCGTGGGCTGCGAGACCCGATCGCAGATCAACTAGTCGTACAGCTCGTTCGGACGTAGCGACAGCAACCAACAGAGTGGAGCCGGGTTGAGAGGAGAACGAGTGTGCATAAGGTGTGCAATCGAGCTTGAAGGTATGTACCGGTGTAATGGCTGGGGACTGTAGTGCTGAGAGCTTCAATGAACCATCGTGGGCCGTGGAGAAGATCGTCGACGGTTCGGGATCGAAGGGATATATGGATAGAGAAGTAATCGCATGGGTATGCGCATCCGGATGGGACGACTTGCTAATCGATGCGCATGACCGGTGAATGTGGTCAAGTTCTGATCCTCTGCTTTCTAGGTCCCAGAGGTGTATCGAGGGATCGGCACCTCCAGATACCATACTGCCATCTTTTGTCAATTTGAGCGTAATGTGCAAGTCGTGGGACGGATTGCATACTATCGGCCTTCAAACTGATCTATCGCAAGACACTTTACTCCAGCTTTATGTGCAAACGTCTCATCTTCTGTAGGTTCCGATTCCTCGTCCAAATCTGCATCATTTCGAAGTTGGGGCCGTAGGGCGGTTTTGCGATTTGAGAATCGAATCCCCGGCGCGGGCTCAAGATTGTGCACTAGTCGGGTAGTCTGGGCGACATGGAATGTGTTGGGAGCAATAGAACCGAGGGCTCTGTTGAGAAGATAGGAATTCATTCATTCATCTGCGTTGTTGCCCACCCATAGAGAGTATAAAGAGCAAAGAGGAAACATCCGGGGAAGACGATAAGCGCAGTGACCTCATCGGACTAAGGTTGTGCCGGCGCATTTAGTTTTGGTGAAATCGAACCGTCACAAGTCACTGCTCACCTTCGCGAGGCGGGGACTTTGGCACCATGTCTTTCTATGGCGATAGTGAAGGATATATGTCCAGAGATCCTTCAAGGGACCCTCGTGAATTTACCAATGAAAATTCAAAATCCCCAGGCCCCCGAGTGAGATTTGATCTCCCAGACTCCCAGGAAACCAAAACCTCGGTACCTACAAGACGTATGGCCAGTGTATACGATGTTGTTGCCGGTATGTTTGCGTGAGCCAAGTGACTCTGACCCTTTCAGAGGCGTTACTGTGAACATCTCTCTGACAATCGCAGGTCGCGTCAATAATAGGGGACTGCATTCAGGAAACACATTTACGTCGAAGTACCGCGATACAGAATCCTCAGGCGCCCGCGCTCTCCACCCGGAGGAAGTTCTTCATCGGGTGAACCGAGAATACGTCAGGAAACTGAACGGTTTAGAAACCAATTCATACTTCGCTCACGAGAAACTCCCTGCCGATCGTCCACTCCCGAACTCAGAGCTTTTAACTGCCATCCACTCCTACGCATCCGAGTTTTACACACAATTGCCCGAAAATTCAAAACATAACTTCCACAGTATGGATGAGTCGGCCTTACTTGCGGTTGGGATTTTAATGGAGGAATTGGCGACCGAGGGGCTCGGAGAAACTGGAGACCTGGTCCTTACGGAAGAACAATGGATCGATGAGGAAGAGAGCATCCAACAGGATGCACTTGCCGGCTTGAGAAAAAAAGCGAAGCAAAGATTCAAACCGAGGGTCAACGGAGGTCCTACCGACTTGCATCACCACGAGGAGGTCATGCGCCAGACGTCTAAACGACACAGAAGGTCGATTTCGGAGTCTGTATCTACGAGAGAAGGTGGTACGCAGGAAGCAGAATCTCCAAAGAAAAAGAAGAAGTATAAATGATTCACCTGGTTATCGTATGGAACCTAAAGACCACGCAGCTGTCCTACTTTGCGACCTTGGCTTTATTGCATACCATGTTGATATCTACGACTCCACTCGCGCCATGAAGGATGAGATGAGGCCATGGGCGCTCGGACTTTTGGGTGCTTTCTACACGGCGACAGTTTTTTCAAGAGAAAATATTGACCGTGTTGTCGAGCCCAGTCTCAGCTCATGGGCGTGGAATAGCCAATGTCTACCCTGTCTACTACTGCCTCCGATGCCACTCTTCTTCTCTGGCAATGACTGGCCCGCCACCACTGTCCCCTGCCGAGAACATTCTCCTCTAATAGAGATTCGACCACATAATGGCCATTCTTGATAAGGAACGCTTTGGCAGGCTTTAATCGAGGCGCTGCATTCAGCTAGCTCAAGTGAAAGAGCGGCGATACTGCCTACAGACATCTGAAGACTATGGGCCATATTTATTCCAAGGTTGTGTAGTGTTAGCATGATCTAGGTGCTCATCAAAAACACCTGCAATGTGAGATGTATTATCTGACATTAGATTTGTTTGAGGAGACACAAAAAATCAGACCCGGGAAGGAAATCAATCTGATACAATTATCAATGAGGGGGCGTTTTAACTGCAAGTAAACTAAATTAGTCTTTATTAGGAAGTAAAATGTCCAAGTGAGCTTCAAGAGTAATTAAAGTAAACAAGCTTTTAAACGTGATAGTTTGTAACGTTTGCCTTATTCCCCAAAGAAGACAAACCTTCACTTCACTTCAATACCACAAGAAACTTGGCTTTCCTCCACCACGTGTGAATCTATCCTGAAAGGGCAAGGCTTCTCTTGCGGCTAATCTCCATTGATCCTGACCCAGGCCAACCCGCTATCAAAGAGGTTTGAGTGGGCCGCTGGGCCCCATCCTACGGCATCATGGTACGTGGCCCACGTCCTTTAATACATTGTGCAGAAATTACTTGGTATGGTTTACTATGGGACGACGTATAACTGACGCGTCATCTGGACATTTTTTGTCTACTATTGAAATTGCCAGCCCCCCAAGCTTTCGAAAGCAGATAAGCAAACACTTATTGTGACTCACCTCCAAACAACGGGGACCTGTTACACGCTCAAGGATCTAGAGAAGATTCTCCCTAGTGTGGCCTCGATTAATAGTATTCAGGTCAAAGAATTTATCCAAGCCCTCACAGATGAGAACCTTATTCGGGTTGAGAAGATCGGCAGTGGGAACTGGTACTGGAGCTTCGGAAGTGACGCAAAGCTTGAACGGGAACACCAGTTGAATCGGGTGCAGACGGAAGTGGAGAAAGCGCGGAAATCACATACCGAGCTAGTAGCGGCGTTGGCCGCTGAGACTACGCGACGAAAAGAAGACGAGGCTGAAGCGATGGGGACTGCTACAATGGCTACAAGTACTACGAATCTCGAAGGTAGCATCGAGACCGCTCAGACTGGGATTGATGCACTGCGGAAGAATCTATTGGATGTTAGAAACGGTCTTGAAGCGGAGGTGCATCGGCTTCGGGTAGCAGAGACGGGGTTGGGCGACTCGGTGTGCCAGAAGAGTGGGATGCAGCTTCGGAGGGAGCTAGCGGAGTTTAGGCAGCAAGCATTACAATGGACGGATAACCTGTATGTCCTCGAGCAGCATCTGCGTGAATTGGCTGGTGGCGATAAGGAAATTGTCGCAGCGGTACTGCGTGAATGTTATGGGGACGAGTATGTGGATGGAAGTTTACGAGAACTGTGATTGAACTGGATTGAAAAAGGGCTGATCTTTCTCTCTTGTTCCTGTTGCAGGGTCCCATCTTTTTCATGATTTCCTGCGTGTCTTACATATTATTAACCTTATTATAACCAGAACAAGATGGGTACATCCACTTTTATGGATAAAATCTACCCCAATTTACAACCGAACGTTACGTATAACAAACCCGACTGGCGTTTCAAGGTATCCATTCGCATACGAAGGCCCTATGTAGAACCGGATCGAACCCCATCCCGCGCCATATCACGGCGAGAAAAAAGCTTGGCCTGGGGGTTGTATGTGGTTTTCCCAGCAGATCCTAACACAAGCTTCACTAGTGCCAGGGTGAAACATGATAACCCGTCAATATTGGTGGATTAAATAAAGATAAAATAGCTGTATCATTTCTAATATGCATAAAAAAAGAAAAGTAAAATGAGATAGGGGAAAAAAAAGAAAAGAAAAAAAGAAGAGAAAAAGAAGAAAAAGCCGACAGACATTTGACTAAACTAGTGTCCATGGAGGTCCCCTACACTAGTCGCGATGCCGCGAAGCTTGACTTGTTCCCCAATCCCTGGCACCAACTTGAACTTCTTGACCTTCTCCGCCTTATCATTGAAACTCCTCTCCCTTTTCCCACTCCTCCTCCGGTCCTTCTCTTCTTTAATCATCTATTCAACCCAGTGCTTGTACATTCAAGTTTGATGCCATAGATTTTGCGCCGTTGTTCCGCACTGCCTCTCGTGTCGCATCCCTTTTGGCCCCCTCTCCTGCCCCCAGAGTCAGAAGTTAGCCGCAACCACCACGCCCTCTTCACTTGAACTTCCACCGACAACAAGCGAGATTACCAAGCACCTTAATCCAGCTCGAACCCCTACAACATTACAAACGACTCAAACTTCCAATAATCTTGCCCCCCCCCCCCCCCCCCCGCGTCATTTGCGCCTCTGTTAGCCGAGAAACAATGTTGTTCGGTGGTTCTCGATCATAACTCCCCCCATTCCTGCCCTCTGGACCTCGGGGATCTCTCTTGGGCGTGTGTACGCTTGGATACATACCGTGACGTTTGGAATCGGACCGCGTCTATTGACTACGCCCTGGTCAATTTACCGTTCGACGTGTCGCCTCACATCGGTGTGGCCTAACGTAGGCCTTAACGGGTTTACTCGAATCGCCCCAACTTCCTCGACCCCCAATCTTCCTTTAGCGTTATAAATTATAATAGGCCCGCCACTCTTCTCGACGATCCCTGTCTCTCCTCGCGTGGCCCACTGGGTCTTCCTCCCCGACATATTTCCTCTCTCCAATTCGCCAGCCCCGCCATCTTGTATGGAGGCAGAAAGTCGCGGCTGCGTGTCATGTCCTCCAACCCTCCTACTCCCCAGACCTCCACCCCGCCGGTCAGTCGGAATCGCAACTCGTTCTTCTCCAAGTTCCGTTCCCCTCTCGGCCAAAGGAATCGAAGCATAACCGACTTCTACATCGACCCTGATGACCCTTGGCGCTCGTACTTCCCGGGGGACACCATCAAAGGTACTGTCCTTGTGACCGTTGTACGACCCATTCGCATCACCCATATCGTCATCTGTCTCCATGGCTACGTCAAGGTCTTTAAGAACGCAATGCCAGCGGGGGAAACGAATGCGGATATTGGATTTATTGGCCCCGGGCGGGGTAGAAGAGGCGCCGAGTACATGGGTAATGGCTTGTCGACCTTGTTCGAGGACGAGATCGTTCTCTGTGGTGAGGGGCGTCTCAAGGAGGGCATCTATAAATTCCGATTTGAGATGACCCTCCCTCCATATGCTCTACCCAGTAGCCTCAATGTGAGTAGTGGTTTTAAACTCCGGCGTTACGCAACTTCGTCTCGAGTCATCCGCTAATGATTATCTTCCCTACTAGTTTGAACGAGGCACTATTTCCTATGCGCTCACATCTACATTAACCCGACCGACCACCATCAATCCTACACTCACCTGCCGAAGGCGCATCAACCTCCTCGAAAACATCGATATTGCTCCGTTCCCTGCCCCCAAAGCCCGAATTGTCACGCTTGAGCCGGTCTCCAAACGTTCAAAAGGCAAATCGAAATCGAAATCATCAGCCTCAGATGCCACTGCTTGCCCCGATACATCCTCTATAGATACCCCCACCAGCGGTGTCGCCGCATCCGTGGAAAACAGACCTCCACTGAGTCCTTCTCCGAGTAATGTCAGCACCTCGAGTCGACCCAGTAATAGCAGCCAAAGTTTCCAGATCGTGAGTGACCCCAGCTCATCGACAAGTACGGGAGGAAGAAATAGCGAAGGTCGCAGCGCGACCCCTTCTATCGCCGATAAAACAATTGTGGCCAAGACGGAGGTCCTACGCGCAGGTGTGCTGCCAGGCGATACATTACCAATCAAGGTCACCATCAACCATTGCAAACAGGTGCGCAGTGCGCACGGCATCATCATTACTTTCTATCGGCAGGGCCGCATCGATCTTCATCCTTCTATCCCCATTGGAACTCAGTCCAATGGAAAAAAGCCAATCTATGAGGATGTCTATCCACGTTCTCGCACAGGACTTGGCGGGCTGACTCTTGGTACTACTCGTACGACCAGCACCTTTCGGAAGGATTTATCACAATCATTTGCTCCGTTGATTGTAGACCCTACGACCTTGACTGCTGTCATTAAAACCTCCATTCGAGTCCCGGAAGATGCATTCCCCACCATCACCCATGTGCCTGGTGCCATGATCAATTTTCGTTACCACGTAGAGGTCGTGGTCGATCTACGTGGCAAAATTACTTCACCCGATCGATTCCTTCCTCGATTCAATATGGTCTCAGGTGGCAGTACGTTTTCGCCTAGTGGACAAATTTTGAATCCGGCCGACGCCAATGGCAGCGCCATCACAGCCAACTGGGGCGGAAACATACTTGATACTGATAAAGTGCGCAGAGAGAAAGGCGTCATCTCAGTGGCCTTTGAAGTCGTTGTTGGAACCCGGGACTCTAAGCGCGGCCAGGCTTCTACAGATGACCACGCGGCATCTATAACTGCCGTGTCAACATCATCTCAGGCCCCTGTAACATCTTCGCATATTGTCAATAATGGCGATGGAGAAGAATGGCCCGAACCAAGCCCTGTTGAATATAATCAAGAGGAATATGGCTTCCACGATGAGCATTGGGCGGATTACCCTGAAGATTACTCACATCAATTCCCAATGCCCGCTCATCTAGAAGAAGAAGAGCCAATTGACGAGAAGACTCGAGTTCGTCGCCATGAAGAAACCCTTCTACCTAGCCAACCACCAAACGAGGATGAAGCAGGACCATCAACTGAGATGGAAGCGCCAAGCGCACCATTCATACCAGAGGATCACCTTCTACAAGACTACCAACACGTATCATCACAAAATACAGAACCAGTACCGCATGCCGTTAGGTCTGCAGAATCCTTACAGACAGTGGTGGTGAATGGCACTGCTCCTGAATCGAGTGAACCTTCTGCTCCAGGTGAAGACAAAGAGGAGCAAGAGCGCCAATGGCTGATGCAGCAGGCTAGCGCGCCCAGTGCACCCCCCGTCGAGGATACCAACGGCGGCGAGGGCCCTAGTGCTCCAGTCTTTGATGAGGACGATCAATTGGTCGGTGGCACGGCACATGCAGACGAGTCCTTGCCCCGATACCAACGTTGATAGGATCATTATTGTTATTATTGTCATGACAGCGATACTTCTACGCATTTTTTCGACATTTCTACATCATGTACATTTCTTTCCTTTGCATTTTGGGGGCTAGGCTTTTGTCCGGGAGATACCACTACTCGCATACTGTTTACCTTTTTACTTTTGATCTTTTATGAACAACCAGGCGCTGGGGAACTAATAGGCGCTTCAACACAACTGTATCATAATCACAAATTCAGTGTATGAAACAATTAACACTTGAACACTGTGTCCTTATCCTTCGTAAACTCCTTCGTACGTAAAAACCTAAAATCGCTCGCCTATCAGACCCAATCTGTTTCGAAGGCTGACATTCAGCTTAGCGTATCTTTATCTCCGCGCCTTCGCCTTGGCACCCGCTACCCGATAAACCTCATTTCCCCCTGTTCCTGTTTCTTCCTCTCCCTCCCTCTCTATCCCAGATCTCCAGCCAAAAGACCATCTTCAAAATGGCCTTCAAAAGCGGGTCCTTCGCGACCTTCCTCATCGTCTGCCGTGAGTAACTCTCCTCGAGGCGCAACCGCCCAAATAACCACATTCCACCCTCATACCCACCAAGCTCCCAAACCCGTTGAAACCTCTGAGACCTCGGAAAACTAACAACCACCAGCAACATGTTTCTTCCTGGGAATCATCTTCTCCATGTTCCCATACGACTACCCAATTCTCTGGTCTACAATTACCACTCCCGCCTCCCACTATGATTACCTCGAGGCCCATCTCCGCTTCCTCCACGCCAGCCCACCGCTCATCCCCCGCATCCTCCACATCGTGATCTTCCTCGGTCTCGCAGGCCTAATCACAAAACTCTACAAGCCCTCCGAATCTAACATGCTCTTTGATGGTGCCTCGCTCGTTCTCTACATGTGCGGTGTAACAGTCTACATCGCCAATATCGTGAAGGGTCTTCGTCTTGCATCGGCAGGCCAATACGGCTCCCAGCTTGCTTCTACCCCCGAGGAACGGGATCAGATCCTTGGTCGCGAGGACTCGCTCAAGGTGCTCTCGGCTAGTAATACTATTTTGGCACTTGTGCTTGTTGGTATCTTGGTTTTGCAGGCTGGACAGTGGTATGCTGAGCGCAAGGATGCGCAGGAGATCGAGAACTTGAATAAGGGTGAGGAGAGCTCGAAGAAGAGTGCTAGTCAGAAGAAGAAGAACTAGGTTATCTGCTCTTTGTTTGATTTTTGCTTAGCTTTTATTCTTGGGTATGAGCCGGCGATTGATATTCGCGGATTATAGCCATGTGAGGGGATGGATTGGTGAATGGAAATGGGCTGGGTGGCTGATCTTGTTTCGGGTTTTGTCTTCTATCTGTCATTTGCTGGATAGCGTCTTGCATTAGTAGGATGTGTACGCTTCTAGGATATAATTCCTTAGCGGGAATTGCTTCATGATTGACATGATCTCTATATTGATTTACTCCCGCGGACACTGAGGATATACCTAATGAGATGGACTGCACGGTTACACAGACACAGAAGGGAAAATTCAAGAATGATCATGATGTTGATAGGTAAAAAAGGTTACCAATTCAGACGGACGTTAGTCCCGACTTCGTCTATGTACACAAGGTTTCCTATGGCTCACTATGTCAGTATTTTTTGTACTAAGAATGATATGAAATTGAACATCAAAGACAGGATGAAAAGAAAGTGAAATGCGTATGTAGATGTAGATGTGGTTTGTATGCAAAATTCAAGTCTCGTGGATTGTGGCTGTGGCGTATGTAAAATGATGCAATATGTCGTCACATCGCAGAAGGGGAATCATAAGGCAAATCGTCAAATAAATGAGGCGTGGTTAAGAGATATGTGATATATCTCGCATATAGAGTAGATGAAAGATCAAGCGAATGAGAATGGGCTCCGGGGCAAATCTGGTGAACGAGGGCTCAATGCCTTTGCGAAGAGATCTTCGCCAGATTCCGCGCTGGAAGTACGGACGAGAGGGCCCATCGAGTTCATAGAAGCGAAGCCGCCAGAGTCGCTGGCTTGTTGGAATTCCTGCAGAGATTCCGGAGGAAACTGCGCCACTGCCTTGAGGGGCCGGGCTTCAGCAGGGTTGAATTGGGTGTTAGGAGTCGGGGTTGCGTTTGTATCAGGCGTGGGCATTGAGTGCAGAGGCCTATTCGTAACATTTCTGAACGAGCTGAATGAAGAAACAGCCACGTCAGGAGACTGAGGCGACAAAGGATTTGCCGAGCTCGGGGCTAATAATTCACAGTTAGCTGTCGTGTGTATTTGATATTGTGAACAGATAAACACACCACTGTTTGCAGACAAGTCCCTCTCGCTTGTCTGTAGCTTCAGACCTTTTAGTTTGTCGGTCAATTTTCTCCCACTGATAGGAGATACCGGGGTTGCTGGGTACATGGTAGACGAGGCCGCAGAGTCATGACTACTGGCAACGCTGTCAATGGCACGGGCTCCAACACCAAAGTTTTCTTCGATCCATTCCTTTTCCTGGACAGCCATGTGGAGTGCAACTCCCTCGGCATTGTTCTCAGCTTCATCCTGAATCTCGGCGTCTAACACGCGCAGGCGCTTCTTTGCCCAAATTGTATGGAGTACACCCTTTTTACCAGCCGCACGACCGGTGGCACCCAGCTCAGGAGGGAAGATGGCCGGTAGAGGGTTCAATTGCAAAGCATCACGAGCCTTTGATGATCGTGTGGCAACAGGGTCCTTGTTTGTCGAGGGCTCATAGGATAGTTTAATAACCGGAGGAATGGTGACATTTGGCGGCAATAAGAAGTAGAAGCGACGGGTGCTGTCATTCGGCCGCTCATCCGCAGGTAGGACAGTGGTCTTCCCTTCCCATGAAACGTGCCATGAACCGTCAGCGGTGGATCGGGTCAGGTCATCGTCCTCCCACTCCACCATCAAAATCTTAGTGCCCTCATTTCCCCTGCCAGCTTCGAATTCGAACCGCGCTAAGGCAGTAATTGATAGACTTCCACCCCTTGGGCCGCGAGGAGTCTCAAGCTCGGCAAATTCGCTATCCGGCGTAAAGGTGGGCGGGGCTTGGGCCATGTTGATGTAGACCGGGCGGGATGATAAAAAAAGAATCTCGGACGGTTTGGGGGCGCACGGATTGCCGAAAGTTGGGTACTTGAAGCCTGATTCGGATGACGCACCGATTTACGGATCTCAGGATGATGCACTGAAAGACCACGTAGAGACGGCTAAGGAGGCTAAGTGGTATGAGAGGAGGGAATGCACAGCGTTTGCTGAGAGGGGAGATTCGAGGGACACGGGCCGATCACGGGATTGTGTGCCTCCGTGTGCATTATTCTAATTATTCCTCTTACGCTTAGGTTGAAAGACTAGGCAATTTCCACCAAGTTCCAGTGCTTTTACTACGGCTAATTTGTTGGCTGAAGCCAACAGGGATCCTAGAAAAGGGACGATCAGTCAGTCCCATCGCCAACGTATTGTGTATAAACCCCGCCTCTAAATATAGAACATCAAAAATGAGTGCCCCTCCCGTCTTGCATGCACATTGGCCTCCTTTCTGCGTCCTTCAACCTGGGAAGCTTCAAGGTGTTTGCTCGATTCCTATGGATCACTTTCATCGGCCTTCAGGCGTTTCAAATAATTCTTGGTCAAAGGCTCACATATGATCGAATATTTTAAAATAGTCCAGGGGCACATTCAAGTTCTTTCGGCTATCCCCGTTCACACATGGCTTGGAGCGCAAATGTGATAGACCCCGCACCTCATGCATGAGTCACTGCTATTTATAAAGTCTACTGACCAATGTTAGCTCTTAGGCCCTGGGTGGCAATATGTATAATGATGACATTCTCAATGACCTTCCGTAGGCATATCAAAAAGTTGAATGCAAAATATAGGGTCTTGCTTCGAAGACAGTTTGTACAGTCAAGAAGAAATGTAGATGGACGTCAAGCCGATTGAAGCTTTCAGATGAAGAGCAGAATAAATTGCAATCAAGCATCGAATAGAGCGGTCGCGGTCCACCTTTGTAGAAGAGTTGACCATATATGAAGCGAAGCGTTCAGAGCGAGCCGACATGTCAGTGCCGGAGGTAGCACCTCAGTCCACTGTTTCAGGAACTCATCAAAACTGGAGTTGTCGATTGCATTGCGTCTCATGGAAGTGAAATAGTAAATGATATTGCAGATCGTACTCTTAATTTAGATCAGTATCTTCAAAATATTCTCATACAGACAAGTTGTTTGGTTTGAAAAGGCAGAGTATTGTACTGTATCATACCGAAATCATGAAGATGCCCTTCAGTTGACGAGACAGACGTATCGAAGATAAATTTAGAATAGAAAACAATGTAGACTTGAATAGCTTCAAAAGAGATTGGCCGAGAGTTGTGGAGTGATCACACGGTTTAGGTACAGGGAAGGTTAGAATTACAATCTTGAGGGAGAAAAAGATGCGGCAAGCTGATCATTTTCTCTAAGGGTACCACGATGAAATGTCTATCGAGCTTACAATTGGTCAATTGAGAAGCGCGGTGATCTGATATTGGAAGCTAAAGCATGTACCGGGTCTAAGGCGGCGGCATTGTTGTTGTTATGAATAGCATCTTCATTCGAAAGTTGCTAATCTTAGCAACATCGGCCCTGAATGTCGAGTAATGAATATGTTCTGGCCAATGACATTTGGAAAGGGAGGCCATTGCACGGGGTTATAATAAAGCTGCGTATCTTCATGTAGATGTTTGGTCCACATAGATCCATACCCTCGGCGCGTGCGACAAAAATAGCTCATTTAATGATAGAAACACCCCCACTTTGAAGCTCATGGTACCGACAGTATAGCTTCACTTATACTTTGATGTTATTATTGGAACTATAGTGGACCTCATCCTTGCACAGATCGACAATCAAGCCGTACCGCCCGTGCTCATGGACAACCAGGGATAATTAAGATACTGTGTACAGTATATTCAATATTCAAGCTTGCCATTGTGTTGTCACACGCAAACAAATTGGCGAAGAAAGCTGCCAGACAAAAAGTACCTGGACCCAGGAAACCTTAATCAAAAGATTTTGCTACTATTACAGCATAGACTGCATAGAGACTAATTTTCAAGATCCTTAGTAAATTCCGAGAAAAAGAAATGTTTGTTTTAGCGTGTCCTCATCCATGCAACCCACGCGAGAGCGGGCAGTAAATTTAGAACCTCTCCTCTCTACCGACGAATACCGAGAGCATGGAACTCCGTATGCAAAGGATCATTCTTTCCTGCACCCCATTCACAAGGGGGGCAATATGCATGATCCCTGCCGTCGAACGATGTTGGCGGTTAATCACCTATGTTCATTGGCTAGAGTTACTCCACTCCCCCCTCGGAGGAGGCAGGTGTAATTGAAATCTAATTAAAGAGTCTTCAGGCTACTGCGCGTTCGGAGCAGGGATTCTACCCCCTAAACTGGCATAAATCAAGTAGAAAAAAAAATTAGAAGCATTTGCATATCCAGCGACCGACTAAAACACGTTCGATAGTTCACCATGTATTTTACGGAGCACTAATACCAAAAAGCCACACATCCTTCTGTTCAAGCCATTCAGCTGGAATCTACCCGGTGAGAGATCCAATGTCCACGAATCAGGTCTGCTGATCTGGCCCTGTAGTAGTCTGCATATAGGAGTGCAGGAGACCTCGAATCACATTGGATGCAGGGTGACCAGGTGCCACGTTACACCAAACAGAATCACATTGACAGTTTAACTTCAAACTCCGCAGTGGGGCACTTGATCACAAGAAGCCAACCACAATCCCGCTACGGGAAGTATGTGGATAACTAGCTCGATTCAAGTATAGCGCCGGCGCTTAAGGATGTCGGGGTTTTGATTCGGGACCCACGTCATACATACCCGGCACACAGGATCCTCATGAGTTATTGTTCTGGAGCTAGTTTAATGTATGCTGAGTGGTCAGTTGAGGTTGAGCTCGTCACCCCCTACACCAAGGTGATAACTATGTAAGTTTGTGATTGCAGAATAACCGTAGAAAGTCTGATCTGATGAGCCGTGTGATAAGTACTTGAATAGTGGGCTATAGGGCTGTTAGATTCGTATTATACAACAAGACGGTTACGTGGAGGGGATCACTCGAACATCAAAAACTGGAACCTTGTAATGATCATCTAAATTTACAGTCTTTTCATTCTCCAACTAGCTCATTTGAGATTGCCCAAAATATCCTCCAGACTGTAGGACTTTGTCTTCACTATGTATAGTATCTTGCGCTAAGACGCCCAAAATCCTTTGAAGGAGTTCGATCGCGGCTTTTAACCCGTTTGCAATGTGGCACCGCAAGTTGTGGCCGGCTTGTATTTTAAATACATACCACGTAACAACTTGTGTCGGGCGTAATTTATGTATGTAATTTGCCATCCACTAGAACAGCACCACTTTTCAAGATTCCAAAGGCCAAGACTGTATACGGCTTTTCAACATACATGGCAATCCATTGTATGAATGTGAATCGTAAAGTGGGGTTTACCTATAGCCCGATGTATACTTTGCCAACAAGATGAACAGTACTACAATGATTCGCTCAGGTAATTCCCAGGATTATACCATCCGACTGAGGATCCAGAACAGGCCAATACATATATGTACGGAAGAATATGTAGATAGAATTGGATTGGTCTTGACTATCCCAAAAGTTGGAAGATGTTTGTAGACCCCTGCTCCTGTATGAGCCTCACTGCAATGTAAATCCTTCCGGTACTAGTTTCGCACCTCTGGGCCTTTACAGCGGAGTTTTTGGGGGAAGAAATACGCACAGAAAGCCTGTCTAGGCGGAATGTGGCGTTTTGGGGCTAAAAAAAGTGGTATGGATAGCGGAGCTAGCATCTTAGCGCAGCAACTCTTGTAAATGAGTCTGCCTTGGAAAGGCATCGGGACCATATAGCACTCGCAATTAGCGTTGGCTCTACACTCGAACAGAATGGCGGCTGCCTCCCAGCCCCAATTTGTAACTTTTCTGGCGCCAGGATTTGGGGCGGACGGCGAGGGCATTCAGCATTGACCATGAGCCTGGGTCGACGTGGCCCGAGTGGCTTAAGGGAAATACCAAATTATTTTACTGAATGAAAAACATGAGATACGCTCATAAATCTATTACATTACGATATGAGTGGCAATAACTTCTTAGTAAAATCGATTTTAGTAGCTTCTTGTCAGTTCATTGCTCATATTGCGGGTGTTAATTTTGAAGTGTTTAGAGGTATTCTCAAAGTGCGATTTTAAATCTCCGGGGTTCAAAGAAGCGGCTCTGCCTTACTTAGATCGATCCCAGAATCAGAGTTGCACTAGTTAACGGGTTCTTTCATCCGGAGGGGGCTCTAATAAAGTCTTGAATAGTTGTTGGTTTTTCTGCGCTTCGTCATTTGCTACCGCGATGCAGCCGACACGTGGTGGTAGCCCCCATATTCGCCATGCACAAAACATCCGATAGAGCAGGGATCTAAACGATTACATTGATCAATGTTTTTAGGCGGATTGCAAGGCTTTCTGGTACCAATCTAGCCACGTCCTAGCATGGCTTGGACCGTGGTAAAGAGATGCGGGTGTACTAAAACAGAGCGAACAGATCCAATTCCAGAGTTGAGGTAAGGAGATCAACTAATCAAATTATCTCCTCGGTGTTGGTTTTCATTACGCGTATGAGCCCGCTTGACAAGGCTGAGATGAAAATATGCATGGAAAAAAAATTGTATTCGCTGCCTATGCCACCAACCTGCTCTGCTGCCCGATGCTCAACGCCCAAGAACAAAGAAATCCAAGAGGGACCAATAATCTTTCCCAAGTACCCCAACAAAAGAAATTATACCAAAGTCAAAGCCCCGAGTCAAAAGCTCGGAGTACACAGGTTTTTCCGACAAAGAAAACACAGGAATAACGCCATACGTGCAAATGTAATAACCAATAAACTCCAAGTCCCCGGCTTCCTGCGACCCCGCATCCTGCCAAAATAACCCCATGGGACTCATAGCCAATAGCCAGAAGAAAGTATATTATCTCCTGTAATTATGCAATAGAGCTCATCGTATTGTCGAGAGGCGTAGAGATTTGAAAGAAAATCGTCAATCAAAGAAAAAACTCGCCAAAAACCAATTAATGAAGAACGTTAAAATCATGACTTGTGAATCAAAATGATTCAAGCTTCTTTGCAAATGGGTTGCAAAGTTTCTTTGTATGGCTCCTTACAAAGCTCTTTGCAATGATCCTTGCAGTCTTGAGTCTTGCGTCGCTTTCCTTTGGGAGGAGGATCGAGCGGCGTTCGCTTATATGTAATTGTGCGTGTAACCACTTGTCGAACGCTCACAGACTTGGCTGTTGTCGCACTCCTAGGCGTCTCAAAATAGCGAATTTTCCAGTCTGATGGTGAAAATGGCGAATATAGAGTGGCAGCACTGCGCGGCGTGGCACTCAATGGGGTCGTGGTCAGTGGGGTTGCAGCGCGCGGGGAGCTGATGCCAAATGTTTTAATCGACTGTGGAATACGCAATCTCCTGAGCGCGGGAGTTGGCTTGGATGATTTGACACTACAGGGTGATTGCGGTGGAAGAGAGATAGCCGGTGATTTTAAGGATGGCGCCGAAGAGAAAGCGGGACTTATCGCAGATGAAGGCTGCGATGTGGGGGAAGGGCCACATGTTTCGAACTTGAACTTGGGAAAACTCCCTCCAGCGCTCGTGGGACTATTGTAAACGGGTGTGAGGGCATTGAGAAAGTCGGTATAGGCCGATGGTGTTGGGATAGAGGATGTCGCGCTGTCGCTACCATCTTCGCGTTTGATCTCAACATCGACAACACTGAGAACTTTGGGGTCATCTTGAATTTCGGAAGGAAAGGAAAATGACTTGGGAGTCTTCAAAGGGGGAAGATCTGGTTTTTGGGAAGGCATCTTGGTCGTTGTCGCACCCAGTGAGGTGGATGAAAGAGGTAAAGAATTCGAGGTGGATTTGTTGTAAAGGAGATGGTAGTCTGACGCAATCCCGGCCTCAGGGACCAAGGAGCAAGCAAGTAGCACAACAGGACCAAACCCTTGGGAAGAGGGAAGGAAGCAAGCCAAATAAAGTCTGTTGGCAAGCGCAAGAAGAAGAGTATTAGAGGAGACTTGGGAATAAAATAAAGGAGGGGAAGCTCGTGTCTTACCAAGAATCAGGAGAGGATCTGCTTTGCTTTTCTATAAGAGCGGAGCCGGACCCAGTGGTGAAACAAAGTGGTAATATACAGTCTTGTATGTGCAATACCGTACCAGACGGTATGGGTCGATACAAGGCTTTTGGCTGAATTCCCAAAACGGTTAGCGTTGGTGCTTTACCGCTACTCCCACTTTTTGGCCCTTTGACCCTTGGGCCCCCGAGGATTTTGTGGACTTACCCGTTCTTTAGCTAGCACAGAACACCGAGCGAGAGAACAAGATAAAAATAAACGGGGGCTATGCAACTTCAAGCAACAAATAGAAGGATCCAGCCTTCAAAACTAGTGTGAAGTTGATGTCGCAAAGAGAGTGTAGATAAATAAAATGAGGCGTAAAGCAACCAGTGCTTGATACTCCTTCACAGTTCAAAAATGAATGAAGAGAATAGTAGGTAGGGTGGGATAACAACAAAAATAAGAATGCAACGAAAATGAAACAACCAAATTAGAAGAATAAAACCAGATGAGCCGAAGAAAAGATCGGGATATTACTCCAGGGCTCCCTATTATATATGCAATCCTTGTCCTCGACTCTAACCACCTTGGCTTGCAGATGTCTTCACGTACGCATAATTCATATTGTCGCGCGCCTTCTGAAGCAGAAGGAAGGGCGCCAGGCCCCTGTTCCTACGGGGTACGTTGTCTTAATCCGGTGGAGGCGTTAGAAAGCGGCTTGGTTCCTTCAGCAACCGAACCCTTGCAACTGTTTTTATCCTTCCCATTCGCTGGCTCCAGAGCGCGCGGTACCCATGATATTTGGCGGCTCATTCTTGGATCATTATTAAGATTTCTGAAACCACGATTGATCTCCTGAAACTTGAGAGAGGTCTTGGCAACGCTGATCTTTTCCAGCTTGGACGACCGCATACATGTGCACAACATCGAACTACCATGGCTACAACACAAAGGAATTCAAAAAAGTTTCACTAAACGCTTAACCTGGTATCTTCCTCAATAGCCCAATGAAATATCGACAAAACTCGATAGTTGAGGAGTTAGTTCTTCAGAGTGAAATCTGTGAGGCCCGATGGTGGAGAATCCTCATGCAGGTTTCCCATAGTTCTTCAAGTATATTTGGAACATAGCGAGTATTCAGATCCTAAAAAAAAGCCCAAGCCGCTTCTGTTCACTCTGAACAATTGAATTTCAAGGTCGGATGTTTCATATTTGGAGAAATTTGGTCCCTTGCAGCTTCAGAGCTTGAATCGCAAGATCAAGCTTGCCGCTGAAGTAGCCGAAGAGCTCGATACCGCAATCTAACTGGTCATGAGCCTGAGCCAGAATCACCTGCATGCTTGGTGGAACTACTAGATTTAAATTTGCTATGTGTATCAATGCATTGTTTGTTGGAATCCTACATTCTATATCGAGCAAAGCGAAGATATCAGTGGCTATGCATGTCTGAATATGTGCCAGGCGCGAAGCTAAGAGCTTTGGAAAAATCCATAAACTATATATAACTCAAAAAGCGCCTCTGTAGCGCGCATATACAGCCACATAGTAGTACTACTAGTACTAGGATATGCCGAGCCCTGGAATGTACATAATTCGAGATCACTACTATGATACTGTGGTTGCTGCCGAAAGTAGTATCCAGTCGGAAGCCTTGTAGGAAAGTCATTCAATTCCAAATATCAATCTATTTCGATACTTGGCAGTTAATCTTGGTAACCCTCGACCTGAATATGTTCATTCGACCGCCGTGAACACCCTAAACATAGATTATGTCAACTTGAACTCAGTAGCAAAAGGTCATCAGCAGGGATATTGGGAAGATGTAGTAATGAATAAACGTGCGTTGATAATAGCCAGCTCACCGCTATTTCTTTCTTTGCATAGAACCAATTAGGAGAATCTCGTTCAAAGTTTAGAAGAAATTGCTGCTATGGAGATCTATACATGGAAAGTACAGGTATTACCCTCTAAATGATCATGATTTTAATAATAAAGAGTTAGTGAGCTATTAGCAAAGTTAAATTCAAATGCTTAAAAATAATGGGTAAGTAGTTGAATTCTTGAAAACAGATATAATAGTCCCAGGACCATTCAATTAAAGAGGGAGGAGCCTTAACAGATCATGAATATCGCATGGGGTGCGCAGAGGTTAGTCGGAGTCGAATTGTTTCACCATCTCGGGAGGTATTTCAATCGGCGCCTAAAAGTAATGGAATCGAATTTTATTCAGGTTCATGAGCACATGCGTGCTCGAATGAGATTTAAGAATTCAGTTACTATTATTTACGAAAGGACTAAACAATCAACAAGGTGTTCTGAAAGCCCACTGTGAGGTAGGATGTAGATTTGAAAAGATTAAGCAAGTGGTATATTAAATGCAACCAAAAATCACCTAAGCGCCTATAACGAGTGCATGTGGGAACAGCATCATAAAGTATGCGGACCAGGCCCAAAACAGAATGAAAGCAAATGGGTATGAGTTTAGCGCTCGCCCAGAATATGAGAATGGAATCAAAAAAGTCTGCCACCCAAAAACTTTTAACGCCAGAATATCAATAAATAAATCGTTGACCCCGGTGGACTTTTCATATCGTCAAATCCATCGCATTGCGGCATACAGTGAGAGGAATATTCCCTTTAAATCAGCAAGTAATGCCAGCCATTGCGGTTCATCACATCTCGCCAGTGGAACTGCTGCTTCTTGATTTCCCTCATTCCAGAAGATTGCAAAGGAACCGAAGGTAGTTCCTCGGTGATTTGGGTGCTGGTATGGAAAATGTTGTTTTGTACGGCAGGCGGTGTGTCCATGGGGTCATCAGTGAGGCGCCAGTACTCTGTCAGTAGTTGGTACATGCGACCAAAGCTACCGAGATCTGATGTTTCTCCCATGGTGTACATGCGGTCGTTCAAAATATGACGGAAGGCGCTGCTGGGGGTTGAGAAGACGCCTGCCATGAGCAGTGGCCAAACAATTGATTTGTCATAGCCGTAAGCACCGGCTGGGATGTACGACAGGGTGGTGACGAACGCATCGACGAGGTTCATGATGTTTGCATCGGTGCGGTCTGATCCGGGGATTAGACTGCATAGGTAGATTCGCGCAGCGAGGCGGAACAGAGCAGTCATGTTCTTTGTCAAGATCTCGGGACGAACCGCACCAGTGTCAGAGTAGGGGCTCTCCAGAGTGGGGTCTGCTGGCTCGGTGTATTCCAATTGAGTTCCCAGTGAAGAAACATGGTTGCAGAGTGTGATGTGGTCAATGCGATTCTCGTTCTTCAGTGAGTCAAGGCATGCAATTTCTGAAATGAGATACATTACGCGGTCGTCACATCCCATAAGCTCCCTAAGACCAGTTGGGGTTCCACTGAGGTGCTTGGTACGGTAGGAATGGGCAAACTGTGGTGTCTTTCCGAGCATGGTGGCACCCAAGATATCGATCCAGCTTGTTAGTGACATGCTGAATGGAGGCACAGAGTATGCACCGCATGGGATCATTTTGTTTGCAAGGTCCAGTTTGTTTACTAAGTTAGAAACTGCCTGGAAGTGATCATTCCAGTGGATGTCGGGAAGGTAGTCAGTTGGAGCTCCGACCGAGCAATGAAAGAAAATCATCGCAAGTGTCGCATCCAAGATTTGTTCATGGTCGGTGTCCTTCTTGAGCGACTCGCAGAGCTCGGAAATGGCCTCATAACGGTGGCGCATGATATCATTATCGATTTGCTCGCCACTGAATCCGTTGGTTGTCTTGAGATGAATAGCTGAAACGCTCAGGCAGCAATGGAAGTAAGACTTGTTAGTCTCTAGGGATTGAAGAACCGATCGGGCGCGTGCAGAGCCCTGCTGGTGAACTTCGAGAATTGGGAAAATCATTCGGAGTACGTTTTCCACGAAATGGTCAAGAAGAGGGCGATCATAGTCATCGACAGGAATATTGGCATTGAGAGACGAATAGGAATGTCCAGTGCTCTGAGCGACGAGAGTCGGATCGACCGGGTTGAAAGTTTGAGCTGGATCAAAGCAGTCTTCTTGGAAGAACTCTTCCTGTGGGAATGTTGGAAGAGTAGCGTGAAGTTGAGGAGGTCCCATCGCACTGAATGTTGAAGTAGAAGAATCGTGGCGAAGTGGGATATCATTAACAAACGTTTGACGTTCAGTCTTGACATCAACCTCATATGGTGTATAATGGCTGTATGTGATTGGAACATATCCTGGCTGTGAGAAGTGTGGACCGAAAGAGTCCCAGTTCTCAATAGGGCGGCTGAAGTCGCGAGTGAAGTCGCTCTCATCGTCGCTTGGTGGAGATGATTCTGTTGTGTGGATACCAGCTAATGTATTCAAAGGTTAGCATAAAGTGCCGTAGGTGGTGAACTTTATAAAATCCAAACAATGCTTACGTTGACCACCATGTCGCTCCAGTGACTTTGTTTGCTTGATTTTGTTCTTGATTCGCTCCTTTTGCATTCTTCGCTGATCAGGACTTCCCCACCAGATTGGTCGCTTGTATTCGCATTTGACATTTAGGTTTGTGCAGGATTTGCATGCTGGGTGAGTTTCATCGCACTTCTTCCTTCGAAGTCGGCAAGTGAAGCAACCTAATAAATTAGTACCAGTTTGTATTTTGATGTTAAAAGTTCGTCTTATTGGGTACTAACCTAAGCGGGATCGCTTGTGCGATCTTGCCCCTGACCTATCAGCTTGTCCGCTAGTTGGCATATTGGAAGGTCCCGCAGACGATGAGGGACCAGCCGCAGCGGCCTTGGTAGTGCTAGTAGTCCTGCTATAAGGCATCTTTGTTGTATCGGGTATTCACAGAATTCAATAGTAACCACGACAATTCAAGTCAATCAATGACCGAAAAAATAAATAAATGATTGAAAATATCGAGGGCGGCACTGCCAGCAGTAGAAGACCAACACAGTTGTCGAGGGGGACCAGCCACCTATTTCTTTTGTTAAGAAGAATAAGGGATAGTAAAGCTGGACCGGCAGCTTCACAATCTATTAATGTATAATAAGAAGGGAAACGAAGGTTGGAAAGAGACGTTGCTTCGAGACGATTTCGAGAGAGAACTTTTCATCTGGAGATCTTGGAGGCGACTAGTTATAAGTCTGAGCTACGATCAGCGTCCGTGCTTGCCCATGCTTCTATTTTTTGTTGGCACGGGAAACAAGGCTAGTTCCAACCGGAAGAATATGCGAACATAGAGTGGGGGGACCCTGAATCGACAAATCAGCATGCAGGAATGAAGTGTTGGTCAATAATCCAGGCTAATTTTGGGACATGACCGGGGTGGGGAGCACGCAGTGTGATGAGCAACAGGCCAAGAGTGTAGATCCCCTCATGCAGATTATGCAGCTAATGGGGGAGGATCGATGGTAGGCCACACATGTTGTCCCATGATGCATGATGTTGCAGTGGGTCTTCTTGCATCCCTGCTATGGCCTAACTCTGTCGGGCCATCACATACTGATTGAGTAGCTTCATTACTACCTAGTGGAACTCTCAAAACGGCCTCTACTCATTCTGATAGGTAGATATAATTGTACCTTAGCTTGACTTTGCTTTAATTAACTTCTATTATCGGAACCAATCATATCGCTGCAATCAAATGAAGCTGTATCTCACTAGAAGATACTCATAATAAGCGGAATAAAGCTCGGGAGTCTTTATCTATGGAGACGTTCCAATTCAACTTGCCGCCGTTGGCTTGCTGCGCGGAATTAGCTTAATCTTGGATGAGGGGTTGTTGGTAGAGAGGTTGGGTTGTTGGAAACAGCAGAGTAATCGCGATTAGTGATAGGATTCTAGTGCGTCTTTTTTTCGAGTCAGACCACCCGTCTCCTAGCCAAACTAGGTCAGATCTCCACCAAAGGCAGGCTTACATTGGTTCAAAAGTTAACTGTTGGTGGAAATTCATGCACAATTAGAGCGTGATGAACTGAAAGGTAGTGCATGCCAAGCTTCTCTTTCGGGCTTTCCATTCGTCCATTTAAAAATCCACTAGCGAAACTAAATTTTAGCGTCACCGTGGTGCAGACTAGAGAGCTCCCAGCCAACCGTGGGGCCCGGTCCGTGCAGAGACCGGGGAAGCTGATACAGGAAGATGAACGCTCGGACGGTGATAGAGGATTTCGGTCAATGTTCCTTAATTTGCTGCAATTAAGCGCCGATATGCAAACTAATTTTATCTATTTTGGGGAACAGATTGAGCCATTTGACTCCTTCGTCTGATTAATCGGGACTGTATAGCGCCTAATTAGTTTCTATTAATACCTTTTGCACGGGTTGTTATCAGCAATTGGGTAACTTTGTTCCATAATTAGTAGCAATTACTGCGGGGTATTATCTGATCCGAGTCGAGGCTTGCATAGAATCTCCGCGCCATTTTGCCCTGGTCCCGCATGCGTTCGGGACTTCGGACATAATTCCAATTGAAATGAGCATGAAGCTGTTTTTGCTATTTGCTATTTGCTACTGGATATATTTGGAAATATTGTTCCTTAATTTAGATACAATCATGCCGGCTCGAACAGGAACGGGGTTGGATCCTGTCTCCCTGGAAATCCTTTCTCGGTAAAGGAATGCCCACCCTCCAGCCACGGCTGATTTCTACAACTGGACGAGTCAAATGTGGATCCAGAACAATTTGAAGCCCTTCAAGTTGGACTGACCGGTTATCTGTGCCCCAGCCCAGGTACCAGCCCATTGAGCTACGAGGGAATGCAGAGCTACGATACACACTCAACGAAGCAGTCAATTCGGACCGCACAGTCCCAATATAAATAGTATACCAGTTCCTGTGTGCATTTGTTCATTCTAGACTTGACTTCGGAGAGGAATCCCATCTAAAATCAAATTCAATATTAGAAACTTGACGGTACTATAGGGGACGTTCTGGCCGCGGCCAAGAGAATTTAATAAGTCTTCTAGAGATATTTCCTTCCTTGACTATACCGAAACCATTATTCATACTATAGGCCCTTGGAACCTAGATAAGGGAGCCCGGACTGCCAATAGTACTAAGTACATTTACATTTTTGGTCCGGATATATTGCAGGTTTCAGTACGGAGTAATCATATAGCTGGCATGATGCGTGGCTCAATCTACTACTATTAGTATGCACGAACTTGGAAGTAATTTACTATTTAGTGACCGTACCTAGTAGTACTAAATCGATGTTTTTGAGCCTTGGAAATATCCAACTTTTGCGGGTTGGCAATATACTATATTACTACTACTTAAAGGAATTTTATGCGAACCACATGTTGAGATGAATGGCCGTACTTCGTAAAACCTAACGTGCGTGTGATGAAGCGAGAGGTGAACTCAGAAGGAGATTCGACTTTCACATCACTTCGACCGATAATCCAGAAAGTAAATAGTCAGGGGGTTGGTTGGCTTCGGGCACGGGCACTCACGGGTTCCCACAGCACGCGTATCTCACTAGAAAGCCATGATTGTTATCCCAGCCACCTTCCTTCCCAATGGACGGCACGATGTTACTCTCTAAAATCCTCGGGTCGATTCATCATATTTGCTGGAAGCACCAAGGTTCCTGGATTTGTACAACTGGATTTCGGATCGAAAGGTATCGGGCAAAGTAACATTTCTGCCTAGCGCAAAAGCAAAGCAGACAAGAAATCGGGCTAATGGACAATATGTGCATTTTTGAAGCTGTATCTCGGTCGTATATAATTCTGTAGGATTTTAGTAAAAGATGCCGAATGACCCCCAGAAATATCGAGTCTCTTAAGGGCACTGAGCCAACTCCAAGCCTTCATATTGTACTTCCTAGAAGCAAGTAAGGCATTCTTACGCCCATGCGCTTTAAGAAACGTGGTGTGATCTGAACATGCACGCGGTGATTTCAATCACAGTCACATAGGCTTTCGAAAGCAGACAGAAATCCTGCCTCTCAATTTTTTTTCCTTTTCCTTGGTTACAAGATTTAAGTCATAGTATTTAGAGCAAGTTCCCAGTCGCAAATTCCAGCCCACATATGATCGAACTACCACATGGGAATCATACGAAACAAATGGCGTTGAGAATAAGACTTTTCAAGCGAAATGGTTGTATGGTGTATTATGGACTTTTGTGGGTCTACTTAAAAAGGCCGGAGTGTGAAGTGATTCGGTGAGAAACCCCACTTGTTGTTTATCCCCAGCCGTTGATTTAAATCGTATTCATTGGCCAATCATTTGATTAGTTGAGGATTCAAAGAGGGGTTTGATCTGCAGTGTGATGAGTTGGGCGAGGTGCGGGTGATAAGTGATGAGCTGTGTGACGGTTGGCTGGAGAGCGGGTTGTCCTCCACAGTTAGACCGACTTATGCTTCCGGTCCATGTCACACTTAATGCCAAATGGCAGAATCCTTCCAGTTTCCAAAATTATGCACATCTTTTTTTATTTTTGCTAAAATTAACAGCATTTATTATCTAGTGTTGAGAGGTCCGAGTACCAAGGGCCCAAAACCTTGCAGCTCTTGTAGACCCTCACTAACATGCTCTTGCTGCGGGCTACCGAAATGAATTGCCAATTAAAGCCGTCGAGATTCAGAACCACTGCCATAGCCTCCTTCTATGACAGAATGAGATCTATTCATTTATAGAAGAAGGATTTGAAACCTGTGTACGCGCCCTCGTTAGGCTCTAAAATCCCGCTGAGAGAACCTAGCCCTGTCGATGCGTGCCAAGGGAATTGTCACGGCATTAGCGTAGTGATCAGCCGCCTATCAAAGGACGCAATCACCCGCTTTGCTCGACTCCTCCTGCATGATAGAACCCAAATGCACGTTCGCCATCCAACGAGAACGCAAGGCTATGGCTAAACTTGGCATCCCTCTGAACTAGTGTCGCAAGTTGGCGTGCCGACCACCCAGGCACATCGTGGTTGGAGCATCGAAATGTGCTTACCGCTGGCCCCTAGCCACCTGTTGCCGTCCAAGCTGCAATTGCCATTCGTCTAACACATGGGAATCGCCCGAATCCTTGAATCTTGGGCGCTTTCATTTGTAGACCCACAAACGAACTCCCTCGTGTCCCCAAAAGGGTGGACTCCGTACATAAACGCTTCCACTGCCCGATCTACCCATTTCGAGTGATCTTCCCCAGAGTTATCGTATGGTGGAAGTATTCTCCCTACACGGTCTCCATTTCCAACAGTATCAAAGACCAACAGTGTTGGCTTTTCTTTCTTTTTGGGTGGTTTGACATCACCTTTGATCCATCGAATATACCTAAAGGCTGGTCTGGCTACCGGGCCTTTGGATTGACAAGATGGTGCGGTCATTCATGCGAACGTATCTTATTGTCCTCAATTGACCTCGATTATAGGACCCTCAATATGCATATGATATGAGTTATCATATGGTTCCGTACAAGGAGGAGCCCCTGCCGCTGTTTCCTCCAAGGACGGCAATCTCACGACCATTCTCGGCGGCAACAGAAATATTCGAAGATGAGTACGGTTATGCTCACTCGCCCATGAGAAGTGTTGCTTCTGTAAGTAAATTTTGGAAATCACTAGTTCCTCAAATAGTCTAACGGATATGACTTGACAGTTCGGAGCTGGAAGTACCTCCACTCTCTCTACGCCTGACAATGTCACAACACCCAACTCTACAGGCCTCACTTCGTTCGATTTTCATATCGATGAGAAAAATCTCCGGGGTCCAGGTGGCGGATATGTGAGGGGCCCATCTGGCCCACACCTGTTCAGATCATCGATTGGCTCAGATATTCAGGAAAATTTGGACGTTGATATGATGATTCAGGATACCCCTGTGGCTACCACCGGTCCCTATCACCATAGGGCTTCGAAGTTTGATCCATGGCGAAGAGATACTCCGGTTCCAAATCAAGAGAGTAGCACGACTCCTCAGCCACAATACGTCTCCAACGTCGAGCGGGTCCCGGCGTTTCACAGACTGTCCACAACTGACTGGTCCCCTGAAGAAGTTGTCCAGTGGATGCAGAGCCTGAGCTTCGAGGATGACATTGTGCAAAAGTTTTTCCAAAATGACATTTCTGGTTCGATATTACTCGAACTCCAAGCCGATGATCTGAAAGAACTTGATATATTGTCATTTGGAAAAAGACATCGAGTACTGAACTCCATTCAAGCTCTAAAGAATGGAGTTTCGGTAACTTCGGCCCCCAGTACTGCCCCAAGCTCATCGCGGAATTCTAGTGTGACCGCCGATAGACCTTCCACAGCAAGGACATCGACAATGATGTCGAATCATAGCCATCAATCGAGCAATAGTCACTCAAGCAACAGCTATCAGTCTTGCTCTGCGACCGACGATGATTCTGCCTCCTTCCAAAGACCTCGACGTGGCCGCCAGCATTCGAGCCCAGATGTCTGCAAGACGAGCGATATCCGTCCGGGAGACTCTGTTTCTATTGTTGCAATCGAGCAGGTGCTGCCGAAAGCCCATCATTGCTCCAAAGGTGAAGATTGTCGGAAATGGCAGAAGCAGCAAGCCAAAATCGCCCGCTTGGCGAAGGACCTACCCATCGAGTCTTTCGGAGGAAGGGCCATTGTTGCTGGTGACCCCGGAAACCCCAAAACTGCGCCCAACTTACTGAAACCGTCAACCAAGTCCGAAGTCCCCTCTCTTGTTGCATCGTCTGATGCCTTGGGACGAACGCCCAGACAAGCTTCATTTCAGTTATCTCAGGAAACACTGAAAGAAGTCAAACCTAGAGATCCACAAGAGAATGTTCGCAACTTCTTGAATTTCCAGAGTTTGGGTAAGTTGAAAACTACGAATGACCCTCCAACTCCACCAAGGGAGCTCCTACCGTCCCCTGAAAGCGATTCTCCAGACTCTGCCAAAATCACGCCCACTTTAGCTGAGAATCTGAGACATCTGCCGAGACTTCAGATACCTAGCATCTACAGCTCTGAGGCCTCCGATGTGACGGGTTTCACGTCTGCCTTGAAAACGGTCACACCATCCGTGCTTTCCAAGCACAACCAATTGTACGCAAATGATCTTACTGCAATTCCCGGGCGTCTACAGCATCGCTTTGGGGAATCCGCGGCCTCACCAGCCGACTACTACCGTGTCGATCCATGTTATAGACAAGAAACCCCTGTTTCCGAAACAGATGCTCCAGTCACTGCTGTTCCCATCGGCCCTGTTGCAAGAGAAGAGTCCCAGTCGGTACCTCCAAACATGCGATTTGGAAACAAATTTCTAGTGACAGCGGACCCAATCATTCGGTCATCATCTACGAAGCCGATGGAGGATCATCGTCGCTACCCGGCAAACCATGGGGGCCCAGCCCTCAACACGCTGAAGGAAGATCGAGTCCTTAGTCCCATCGAAACTCCAGAAGATTTGCGCAACACGGTTCGAGCACCTCACTGCCGAAGTGAAAAAATCTTCGACCCTGACAATTATGGTATAGATGGTGTCAGTCACACTGGATGGATGAAGAAGCGCAAAACTACTAGACTTCTGCGCCACGAATGGGAAAACCATCACTTTGTGCTCAAGGGTACCCAGCTTGCCATGCACAATGATGAGGAAGCACATCGCCGACACTCTCGCGCTCTGGAATACGTTGACGTCGATGACTACGCAGTGGCATGCTCCTCTGTTGCTTCGAGCTCGAAGTTATCAGCAGCCTTCAAGAAAACAATTCTCAAGCGCCGAGACAGCGCACCCGATGACTCCGCTTTTGCATTTTCTCTCATTCCTGCTTCCAACAACAATAACAACAACAACGGTGGTGCGGTTGACCGAAAGGCTCTGTTCTTGAACAGTGGGAAGTCTCACCACTTTGCTGTCAAGTCCCGCGATGAGCGTATCGACTGGATGCGAGAGCTGATGCTGGCCAAGGCTCTCAAACGTGGTCGAGAAGCTGGTGCGGCCTTAAACATGAATGGAAACATGATTTAGAGCCCTGACACTGTTGAAAATCCTTTGTATTCGTGCAACGAATATTGGCCTACGAGACCTCTCAACTTTCCTATTTTCATTTTGGCATTTGGCATTTCAGATACCCGTGGTTGATCCATTTGGAAGAAATTAGTCTACTTTTTCTTTTTTTTTGCTTTTGCGCGATCTGCTGGACTTTCCTTGTTGTTTTGCTATGATCTCATGGCGTTGTTTTACATACAGGGACTCCCCTTGACACGAATTTCCTTATTATGATGACTTCTTTTTTTATCCTTCAAATTTTCTTTTCACTTTGCCCTTCATTCATTTCTTCAGTCTTTTCTATAAATTGCCCCCTTTTCAATTTTCTTTGTGTTCTTTCATCTAGAATGGAAGAATCGCCAGGTCTTGGACAAGATGGCTCGCGCCATCTTAACCGGCGTATGTAGTAGGTAGCTCTATCGTTAGGCAGAATCAAGCATAGTCAAATTGCGTGAACATCTCTCCTATCTCAAACATCTATCGTCTCCATTAAATATTAAACACGGCGGACGATTATGAAGTAATAAATTAAGATAGCTCAGCTGAGAGTATACAGTAACCCTGAAATAGATAGGCAAATTGGTGAACACGCGAAATACGCCCCAAATATTTTTTTTTACTTTTGTGTTGGCTTGGTCGCATCTTACTTTACCCTGCGGACCATGATTTGGCACATGTGTGTCTGTGTTTGCGCTTCACTAGTCCACCCTTTCCTGCATACTAACCGGCCCCACAATTTTTCTTTCACAAAAATAATGAACCCTCGCTTACGAGGGTCCGCCACCCATATGGAACAGATCACCCATATGGAACATTTTTGCTAAATCGTACTACAACTACTATTTACCACACCACCATATAGTTAATTAATTAACTAAAAATAATAAACAAATCAATCAGCCATTTTAATATTAGAATACAAAATCAAGTTAATTTCCCCGGCGTTTTTTGGCTCTTCCATGCTTCCTAATTTCAACCAATATCTTCTTCCACTTCCGCTTCGTCTTTTCTTGATCGGCTTTTTCAGTCAATTTATATTCTTTTAGCTTCATTTCTTTGATCTGGCTTGAATTGATAATACCAGTGATTTGCGTATAACGGCGAGAAGCATCATATCTAGCGTGACGTGCTCCCATAATAGCTTGTGTAGAATCGAATTCCCGTTGCAGTTGGACAGCCAACATTGCCTGAGTCTCAGCACCCTTTACAAGCTTTGCTAGCCCTTCTTTAAAACGTTGAGTAGTAGGATCATATTGATTAATACGATCGCTAATTCTTCGAACTCTCTCAGCGGTTTTTGGGGTGCTAAACTCAGTATTTTGTGAGTTAACTGATGGTGTATCTTCCCGGGATATATTATCATAATATGGATCGTACGAATCCAATTCATCGGTAATAAGCTTAGAATTAATTGGCCAAAGGCCAGTTAATCTAAACCCAAGCTTGATTGTATGTGGCCGGAAGGTTTTGCGTCTGATTTCACTGATTGAATGTAGGAATTCATCCTTTGAAAATTTACGGCATCCAGTCATTGTAGCCGCCTCAACTGCCTCACTATGCCAGTGTTTATATACACTAAACACTCCAACATCGAGAGGTTGTAGTATATGGCTAGTATGTGAGAGTAAGAAGAATAGAATGATATCATTCTTCTCACAAAATTCAACAAATTGACGCGTTAAATGTGATCCAAAACGATCGCATAAAACTAGCCTCTTTTTCCCAATGGTACGAGAAATTGTCCATTTATGAAACAGCTGAATCCATTGATATGCTAATGTATCATTGATATAGCCAGTATCAGTTATAGCAAGATGCTCGTCGTCTTCAATTTTATCAAACCAACGTAGTAATGCTTGTTTAGCGCTTAGAATAATCAGCGGTGGGCATGTAAAGCCATCAGCCGAAACAGCCTCTAAAACAGTGACAGACTCGCGATTGGTAACTGAGCCATTAAATAGCTTCTTTTTTGGATGTCTTGTGATAATAAATTGATCGCGACCGACGCCAATTTGGAAGCCAGTTTCGTCAAAATTGTAGATATCTTGTTGACAGATGCCATATTTAGCCACTATACGTTGATAGTCTTGAAACCATCTCTCTATAACGGATTTATCCAGTGCAGTAGCTCTTTCAACATCAAGAGCTCGCCGACGTCGTATATAGTACTCAGGATACCGTTTAAGAAAACGCTTTAGCCAATGGTCGCCAATTTGTGGGGGATCTGTGGTGGTGTCGGTATGATCTTCTTCCAGAATTGAATCGGCAGCAATAGCAATTTGACGGCGATTTATTGATGCTCCGACCGCATCAAAATAATCAATATATTCACATAAAGCCTTCTCCTGTGCAATACTAAGCTTCCGGCCATTAGGTTGTCGTTGGAAAAGCGATTTTCCACCTTGCCAGCGCCGACGAAGACGGCCTTCAGGAACCGCGAATTCTCGCGCAGTCTTCCTAATATTAGGCTTAGATTGCTCAGAGAGAGACTCTATTGCCAGCTGAATCTGGTTCTCTATATCTTTATTGGTTTTAGGCATTGTTGGTGGTGTGGTAGATGATAATAGTGGTTGTGGTAAGATTTAGAAAAAATGTTCCATATGGGTGATCTGTTCCATATGGGTGGCGGACCCTCGTAAGCGAGGGTTCATTATTTTTGTGAAAGAAAAATTGTGGGGCCGGTTAAGGGCTGGATATCACATCCCGGGCGGGTATACGGTCGCTGTGAGTGGGTGATCACTAGGGGCCGAGACAAATCCCAGCGCTTACCCCTCATTTCCAGCCTATGAAATCCCAGAGTTTTCTTGTTCATCGTCCAACTCGACCATTTGCGGGTCTTTTGGTATCATTCTGTCTTCGTGCCCTTCGGCGCTGAATATCCAATTTCTGGGTGCTTCTCGCGGTTTCACATAGCGCTTTGGTTCGGGATAGGCTTTAATGAATCCCCACATTGACACGTAAAGCGTCATTTAGTTGGATATCCCACCCTCGCGTATGCAGGGGAACCTTACACGTCCCCTCCAGACACCAAGTATGTGTCTTCTGGGCTTTGTAAATGCGGGATGGCGCAAACCCAAGCGCTGATCAGAATCCCCCAGCGTTGGTCAGCGGCTGTCGAAACCAACACCGTGTGCTTTGCCAAGGTCGATCTACACCGATTCTCCTAGTGCAAACCTTTTGTCTCCAGGTATTATCTTTTCCTTGAAGTCTTATAACTCTGAGATATTGATTGCACCGCCAAGTCGACCATATCTTACTAGAAATGGCGACCAGTCCAGCAATCCGGGGACGCCTGACAAGAGTGTCTCGGTCAATTCGAACGGTTTTGCGCTCTCTTGGTACAAATAAAGAGTCACCAGAAAACATCCAACGAGCGCTCCTTCTTCTCTGCGAGATCCTCGACCTGCTATGTCGACTTCAAGACCAGTTGACTTGGGCAGAGGAGAAATGGGTTGTAGACCCATCCCGTCTACACAACCTCAATGAAATCCTACGTGCCTTCGAGTCAACTATCGAATCGATTGAAGTATATTTTCAGCCAGGCGGTATCAATGCGCGCTCGTTCAGAAAACGCCTGTTGGAGAACACTTTTGTGCCCAGGCTGGAACAATTCAAAATCATGTTGATTTTAGCCATGCAACCTCAATCAAAGTAAGAAACTACCGGTGTTGTATTGTTCGATCAAATACTAAATCAATAACTTCGGTCGCAGAGAGAAAATTCGTCTTGAGGAGAAGCTCCGAGCCAAACTTCGACAGTTCCAAGATATGGATTCTGGTAAGGAATATGTCCCTGACCCTGAAGAGCACAGACTGACTGAAGGCTTTCGAAGAATCCATCCGTGCGACCACCCCAAACTGTGACGATTACCACCAAGTTACGAGTCGATTTACCACAAAAGGCTTTATGAAGCTAGCAGACCTGTGCAATCGACGACAAAAAGGGACATGCGAATGGATATTTGATAATGAGTTCTACTTGAACTGGATTTTTGGCTGTTGTCGAGCACTCTATCTTGTTGCTCCAGGTATTTGTCCCTTGGTAAAAGAAAATTTATACCATGGCATGATACTGATAGAACTTTCACTCGAATAGCCGGTGCCGGCAAGACATTCTTATCGTGAGTCCGACATATAATACTAGTATTAAACAGGGCTGGTCTAACGTCCTTCGTACAGGTCGACTATTATTGACAATTTACAAAGAACGTTTACGTCTTCCGATGTGGCAGTCGTCTTCGTCTTCGGGCAGGATGAGGCAGATGACTTGTCCAGCCCACTCGGGTTTTTGGATAAAATGCTAGCACAGTTAGTTTATCGGAAACGAACACCATCTCATGCTACCGAAGCTCTATACAAATCGGAATCATTCCAACAAGGACGGGCTTCTGCAAAGGCATATCAAGATGCAATTCGTGCGGAGGTCAATCGTTTTGCGCGCGTTTTCTTCGTGGTCGACGGCATTGACTTGCAATCGGACAAAGAACGCATTTTAAACCGCCTTCACAAGCTACCTGAGCATGCTCAGCTTCTCGTTACCATGCGAGAGGCAAGATACGCTTCAAAGGACGAGCACTTATCTGTATTTGCCGCCCGCGAAGATCTTGAAACATACGTGAGAGCCCAAATCGACCAAGACGGAGACCTAAGCTCCCTTTTAAAAAGTTACCCACCAGAACTAAGAACAGCTGTGATTCAGCAAGTTGTTCAAAAGTCACACGGCCTGTGCGTGACCCTTTCCTCTTCTGTTCATTTGGATCTTACTAATGGCCTTTTTGGGACTTTAGGTTTCTACTGGCTCGGTTGCACATGGACTTGCTTGTCCGATGCAAAGATGGCAATCTACTACAAAAGGCTCTTCTACATCTCCCTGAAAGTCTCAACGATGCATATGGCGAGTCGATGACTCGGATCGTTAGTGAGAGTCCTTATATCAGCCGATGTCTATACTGGACTCTCTATGCCTGTCGCCCATTGACAGTTTCGGAATTAAACTTTGCTGCCAACTTTGAGCCCCTCAAAAAGACCAACTCCACAGACATCTCATCTCCCGAGCACGCGATGCTACACGAGGCCGCAGGTTTGTTAACTATTGACCATACGACTGGAACAGTTCGTCTTGTTCATAAGACTGCCAAAGAATATCTCAGTGGACCAGCAGCTAGGGTCTTCTTCCCTACTGCCAAGAAGAATATTGCCGACACCTGTCTCACTATAATTACAACGGATGACATGGTAGATGAATGTTATGTCAACCAAGGTACAACACCTCGTAAGCCTCGCGGAGGCTTGCTCGATTATTCAGCGACATACTGGGGTCATCATGCTCGTGAAGTTGGAGATGATGAGCAGACCACCCAGGTTCTCATCCGTGCATTCCTGAACAAATTGTGCTGGAGGCGGCCGCCTATTGAGGTGATCACAACTCCAATCGGGGGTATTCCCAAGAACCTCGGGTTTGGATCTTACTTCACAGACTGGTCCGGGTTGCATTTCCTCGCTTATTTTGGTATCACCGGAAAAGCAAAGCGACTTATTGAACAAGGTGCCAATATAAATGACAGCGAGAATGACCTAGGGGTTACCCCTTTGCACTGTGCCGTTCACCAAGGCCACGAGGAAATGATTGAATTGCTTCTTGATCACAAAGCCAACTTCAACTTGACTTGTAAACAAGGAAACACTGTGTTACATGTGGCAGCAGATCAAGGTCATCGGAAAATTATAAGGACATTGCTGCATAGTCGAATGAACTCTCGAACAGCTAATGAGCAAGGTCTCACTGCTCTGCAACTTGCTATTGGAACCTGCCATGATGAAGCAACAGTTCCACTTCTGATTAAAAGTCGTTTCGATATGGATGTTCAAAATACAATCTCTGGCAATACTGCTCTTCATCTTGCAGTAGGGCTCAAAAGACCTCGTATTCTCCAATTTTTGCTTGAAAAGGGGGCTAGTACAACTATTCTCAACCGAGAAGGCATGACTGCACTTCAGTTGGCTTGCAAAATCGACAACTGCGAAGCAGTCTCGATGTTACTTGACCGAGGCACCAAACCGGAAAGCCGCTCTGCACAAGGAGAGACTGCATTACATATCGCTGCAGCGGAGAGCAACTGGATTGCATTTGACTTACTCATTACTGGTAGTGCTGATATCAACGCTTGGGGCTGTGGGGGTGAATCCTTGCTGCATAGGCAAGCCCGAATTGGTCGGTCAATTTCTATCGCTGCACATTTGTTGGAAAGGGGGGCCAACATTGAAGGCTGCAACTCCCAAGGATATACACCACTTCAGTGTGCCGCACTCGCAGGAAACAAAACAATGTTCCTTTTTTTGGTGGATGAGGGCGCCAATGTCGTGGCGCACACAGCCAAAGGAGAAAGTCTTCTCCACGTTGTTCCTCCATTGAACCAGGACTGCCTCGATATTCTTGGTGCTCTCTTAGAACTCAATTTCGATGTCAATGCAGTGACACCTGCTGGCTTAACTCCTCTACATCGTCTTGTTATTAGCCAGGCTGGATTTCCTGATACACCTTCGGATAAGACAATACCTTATATTTCCTTGCTACTTTCTCATGGAGCTGACATCGATGCACCGCTCTATTCAAAGAAGGGTGAGACAGCTCTTCATTTAGCTGTCATGTCCAAAATGCCCCAGGAATCTATAGTATCTTTCCTCGTACAAAGCGGCGCTTCGGTTGATGCCAGGACCACAGAGGGCAAAACCCCTCTGCACCTAGCTGCTGAACGTGGTCGCCACAATATTTTCAAAATATTATTGAGTGCTGGTGCCGATCCTTATGTTAAAGCATCAATTGGAACACCAAACAACGATAGTGAGGTGGATGAAGGTGAAACAGCCTTGGACCTTGCACAAAAGAACCCTGTTGGCCAACTTTGGTTTAACAACCTTGGTAAACTTGACAGTCCCTCCCCAGATATCGGACTCGGAAGTATTGCAACCACAATCGATGAAGTTGAAATCACTTCTGAAATTGACGAGATGGGTGGTTCGACTTTGATTGGAGATGAGGGCTCTGGTTGGGGGTCTAGAGCATCTACAACATCTATGGAAGTAACATCGATCCGTTCAAACTCTTTGCGTTAAGCTAAGATACCCTATTTTTCTTTTCTTTTTTTTATATTCGTCCTCTTTCGTTCATTTAGCCTCACTTCTCTTTATTCATCCTTTTCCATTGTCGTCCGGTTCGTGTTTATTTTTGACTACGCTTTTTGCGACCGGGTTTGGTGTACATAGGACGAGTTACATACTACATGCTCAAATGATTTAAACTATGACCATGGGGATATCTAGCTTCATATTGCCTTTCCCTGTCTGTATCTGTCGAAACTTTAGCCCATCATCCGTACAACCACATAAGCCCATCCATCGCCATACGCAGAAGTCCTAATCACCTCTTCAATGGGGGCAGACATAGGAAGTACTGCACCATGTAACACAGGCTTAGCAAGTACCGGAGTTCGTCGACTAGGAAATAGATTTGGAAGCAACGCATGTAAAACACCGCCCACAGTCTGCGGCTGCACACTCGGACTCGACCTGGGGCTAATGGATTGACTAGCTTGAACACTGGGTGTGGATACTGAGGGAGGAAATGGCGATTGTACGACCTTCAATGACGGGGAGTCTCCGTCTGGTGGTAAGGGCAGAAAAACACGAATGGGTACATTGCGAAACGGCTGCGATGGCGCTGGGAGAAGGATGCTGGATATGCGCTGAAAGGCTGGTAGGTCCACTGAGCGCAGAAAGCCAAGTTAGTATCGAGGTACAATTATCTGACATGAGTATCATCTTACCATCCTCAACAGCTTTCCATAGCCCCGACGAATCCTCTTTTGAAAGACTCATGATGCCTTTGGCGGTTCCATTGCGCAGGAAGTCTGCTTCTTTGACGCTGTTGATAAATGCGTCATTCATGACCATGCCATTTGCATCGAGGCGGACGAGGTCCTCAACAGGCCAGTCTCTGAAATGCACGGTCAGGCGCCATGGGACCGGTGATTCGTCCTCTTGTGAATCTGCACTGGGGGTGCTACCCCTGGTGGCAGGGTCTACGCCAGCGTAGAGGTCGAATAATAGGCCAATAGGGTAGTGCCATTTCAGAGGTACACCTTCGAAGGCAAACCAACCTTCGTGAGACTTAGAGTCGGGTTCGATCAACGAGGTCGAGAAGAATGCTCGAAGCTTGGGGAGCAGTGCTGGTAGATATGAGATGCGTGGGAACGATATCTGCCGAACACGGATTAATATACCCCACGTGTATTTTCTTTGGCAGGATTGATGCTCTTTACAAGATAAGGGTCGGTTTTATCATAAGTTCGGCTCTCTGATGGTGCGAGGACGATCTCTAGTGGTATCCGACCATCCCAAATGCTCCTCTGAATAGCCACGGGAGAAACGCGGGTCTCCATCACGGGCTGACTGGGCTCACGCACTACTCGCCTGTCAGTCAGAGGTCAAAATTCAAGGAATCCGCCCACGACGAACACTTATCAGGCCCAGTGTTGGTGTGGTGGTTTTACTGATCCACCAGTACGAAGTTCATTGATCAAATGATAAAAGGTTCTGTGGTGGTGAAGATGCTACCAAAATGTCATTCATGATCTGAATAAACTAGTCATCACATAAGTCATCACAGCCGATTCAACGACAATTTTAACACTTTATCGAAGAGTGTAGTTGACAACGCGAACGTTGTCGTTGCGGCGGCAGGTCGCACGTGATCAATCGTGGGGGTTTCCGATGTTCCAACGTGCAACTCCAAGACGTCAACAGTCAGACCCCTGTCACAGCGCCCACAACAATCCCTATCGAAATGCGGTATATCTAGTATACTGATTATATGCAATTTGATCGGTCGCATTCCATTTTCTTCTCGTAAACACTTGCTTTAAGGCCGGCATGTCCACGACGATCGTCACATTCAAGACTAGCTTCTCGATCACATCCTCCTAACATCGTCCACAATGTCCTTGATTAACGCTCCGACAATCCTCCGTTATATGCATCCAGAGCAGTTTATTTACCCACGGTCGGCGATCTCATAAGCCCATCGATTATTGGAGGCGGTGTATGGCCACTTGTCCATAACGTTCTCTTGGGTCCGAGGCATGGAAACGCTCGGTGTTGTCAACCAGGTGCACGCACTAGGTTTCTATAATGAGCATGATGACGCGCCTCATATGACAAGCATTGCTTCGGGGCAGCTAGAGTTCTCTGATGTACCCACATGGACATTTGACCATTGGTTATCGAGGGTGACATGTCGCCCTTGGGATCTACGAGGCTCTTCACCTTGACGATAATCAACGGATATCCAGACACTCCCAGTTTGGGCCATGGAATCTGGGGAAATCACATAAAAGGACGTGCGCAATTCCCAATCGTTGGACACTGCATCCAGACCAGCTGCCCTCCGTCCACGAGTCTATCTATGCGATGTCCGAAGTATCTTCGACGAGGTGCTTGAGTGGGCTGAAAAGCCTCCTGGTCAGTGATGTAGAGATGAACTTACCATATAATGTCGATATCGACGTAACCCGCCTTAAAGGTTCAGTTTGCCCCTGTAGCCGGTCACATTAGATGAGTAGAAGCTGTATACCACCAAATACCATACTTCCTTATGCTTTGTTAGCTATTTTTGACCAACAACGCGGAACAAATGAAATATAAGCCTGCCTCTAATATATTTGGAGAAATATATCTCCCGAGGTCCGTGCTATTTGTTACTATATCACGATGATCTATCCAGCGCCCTGCCAGGTCTGCCCTGGTGTGCTTCCAACTTGAAGCTTCAAGTTGGCATCTAAACAATCCGATCAGATTTACATACCAATCTATAGTGCTACAGCCCTCAATTCAGCTGGGTTAGCATATGAATTCATCATGTTATACATGCAAGACTGTGTTATCGTTATTTCCAAGTTCTAAGTGCACATCTGAACAAGAATTTGTCAACCGGGACCTCGGGAGGTACAGGTACAAAATATATATGGTACGTACTAAATTGTGTTAAAATATATACTATGAATCTAGCAGTACTACTAGTACATAGTACCTACTAACTACCTACCCAGGTGACCAGGTATTCAAGATCCATTACAGACGTGTTCCATCTCTTACAATAATATTTAATGCAAAGGCTTTCCATTGTCTATGGGTTGAACCACCTTGGTTGATTTGGGTATTGAACTATGTCGCAGATACCTAACATCTGCATTGTTGTATGCATACCTCCCCGAGGTCGGCGGGTCCCCTGTGGATCTCAGGTATAGATTAATTACAAATGAAAAATTAGAAAACAACCTCAGGAATTGACATCAGCCCAACGAAACCCATGGATCGTTTCTACCAGGTTGGTTGCTGAGTTATGGAACACTTGTGGATGGCTGCCAGTTCGGCATTCCGATCTCGGGAGTGGCTAGGGGACTAATAGCGTCTACCTTCAGCGGCCCGAGGATTCCATATAAGCTTACTCCGTGGTTAGAGGTGGGCTTTCCGCTTCACCGGCCGCAACATGCATCGCTTCGAGGTTTGAAGACGGATCAAAGATCCAGTCTGGCCAACAAAAAAGTCTGCAGTTCATCTGACCTTCTGCTTAGCCTAGCCCAGTCTCTTCACCGGTGACAACAGGAGAGGAGCTCGGCATTCTCGGGTCCACTTGGTGATCTGTGCGGTGTGCAAGTTCGAATCCCGCAAAGCCGAGAAGGAACGGAGAAAGAAAAATAATTCTGTGGTTGACCGGGCTGAGAAATATATGGATCTGGCTCTATATTTTTCCAGAGTTTCTACCCTTGGGCATCCCGGGGTGTTTAAGGTTCGAGGAAGTGGCCACTGCGATTTCAACGGCCCTATGACGATAAGATGAACGAAAGTATAAGCCGATCTCAAACGTATGCCGTCCGGAGACCACTTTTATGCCCCGTTGCCCTTTTACATATGTCCACAATGAATTCATTCTAGAGAAAAAGGTGGGATCGCTGTCCCCATCGAACCAATGACAGACGTGGAAATACGTTTCTCCAGTGAGAGGAATGATGTCACGTGATGCCCCATGCATAATAGGCTTTAGGCAATTTATCCGTTCTCCCGCACATCACTTCTACTTTGTTACTGCCCCTAGGTGCTACGTAGCCCCTGCTCGGCCATCCTCCGGGGGTTAAGGGTTCATCCCGAACACAGACCAACTTTCTCATGCACCCCAAACACCTTCCTCATTCTACCCCGTTGGTACTCCGGAGTACAGATTAGGGGACCTTTGATTACACATCTAGCGGGACAGAGTAGTCCCATATCTTCTGCCCAGGTGGTTCTTGCCTTTCCCCCCCCAAACCTTCATGCTCTCCACAATTTCCATTCCGCCTGATCCGGGGACAAAGGATATGCCCGCATGCATCATTACGCATAGTGTGGCGAAACATATTCGCTCGTGGATGTCCGCTCAACTCCACGCCCCTCCCCTCCCATCATGGAGAACGGCTAAACACAAGCAGGGCACAGAATGCGTAGATCTACCATCAAGGTTAAGAAAATTCAGTGTCTTACCAACAATTCCCACTCAAAACCAGTCCAAACTGGCATGTAGAACAGCAGGGCCAAGGCTGATTGACATAATACTTGCCTTAAATCATTTGAAACCATGGAAGTCGGGTTCCGGGTTAGATATATACTGGCAACGATTCGTTGGCCCCGGCTGAATGTTTCCTCCGGGGAAAACACTACCCCGGGGTCAGAGTTCCACCCCGTGGGAATTTAGCACGCCTGCAAGGTCTCTATGGAGTCGTAGCCTCAATTGTAATCCCCATACTGCCCCAGAGGATGGGGTTCTACGCGACATAGCTTGTGGGGATCCACGAGAGGATTTCCACACACCCACAACGCATCGGGGGGAACGAGACATTACTTAGGCTGCTTCCCGTCCCGTTTGTCTCTCTTCTCCTTCCTCTTCATCACTTAAAAATTTTTTCGCCCTTCCCACCACTCGAAAAAATTCCCTTAGCTGTTCAATTCAACAGCCATGGGTCTCCTCACACTTCACGAAGACAGGCCAACGCCGTCTTGCGTCTACAACTGGCGTGTCTACTGTCTCGCCTTAGTGGCGTCATGCGGTTCCAACATGATCGGTTATACTAGTGCCTTTATTGGTACTACTATCGATCTTGACTCCTTCCTGTCTGAGTTCGGCATCACGGAAGCCCAAGAAGATTTGATTAGTGAGAACATTGTCTCGCTCTTCATTGCTGGTGCCTTTTTTGGTGCTCTTCTCACATACGGCCTGAGCCACTGGATCGGTCGTAAATGGTGTCTTGCCATTGCTTCTGCTGTCTTCATCATTGGTGCTGCCCTCCAATGTGCTGCTTCTAGCAGCACTGGCTTAGGAATCTTATACGCTGGTCGTGTCTTGTGCGGTCTGGGTACTGGTGTCGCCTCCAACATTGTCCCCATCTATCTTTCGGAGCTGGCTCCCCCTGCTATTCGTGGCCGTCTTGTTGGTCTCTACGAACTTGGTTGGCAAATTGGTGGTATGCTGGGTTTCTGGATTAACGTGAGTCACTACCCCGGAAATCCCCCAAAGCTCCCTGCAAATTTTTTTTTTTAATATGACCAAAGTTGCTAACTATTATGCTTTCTATCTAGTATGGTGTTGAACAGCATATTGCGGAATCCAAAGAGCAATGGGTCATTCCTTTTGCCATCCAGCTTATTCCCTCTGGTATGCTGCTACTTGGTACTCTTTGGATGCGGGAATCCCCCCGCTGGCTTTTCCTCCACGACCAGCGTGCTCAGGCCATGAAAAATCTTTGCTGGATTCGTCAATTGACTGCTAGCGATATCTACATCACTGAGGAGGTGGCTGCTATTGATCAAGCTATCGAGGCCCAGAAGAATTCTGTTGGTCTTGGTTTCTGGCAGCCTTTCAAGGCTCTTCGCAGCCGTCCTCTCCTGTGCTACCGTCTCTTCCTGGGATGTATGCTCTTCTTCTGGCAGAATGGATCTGGTATTAACGCCATCAACTACTATTCTCCTACCATCTTCAAGAGTCTAGGTGTCCAAACTAACACTGTTGATATCATGACTGGTATTTTCGGTGTCGTGAAGGCTGTCATGACTATTATCTGGTTGCTCTTCCTTGTTGATCAATTCGGTCGCCGAAAGCTTCTACTTGTTGGTGCTGTCACTGGCTCCGTCTGTATGTGGATCATCGGTGCTTACGTCTACATCGTCGAGCCTACCAAGCACAACATCACTTCTCTCAACGGCAGCGGTATTGCTGCTATCTTTTTCTTCTACCTCTGGACTGCCGTCTACACTCCCACATGGAACGGTACCCCTTGGGTTATCAACTCGGTATGTTACCCGCCCTTCTGATTCTCTGCAAAACTTAATACTAATCTATTCGCCTACAGGAATTCTTCGACCCCAACTTCCGTTCCCTCGCCCAGGCCTGCACAACTGCCAGCAACTGGCTTTTCAACTTCCTCATCTCTCGTTTCACCGAGCAGATGTTCACTGCCATGGGATACGGAGTCTACATGTTCTTCGCTTCCCTCTCCTTCCTCGCCTTCTTCTTCGCCTTCTTCCTCATCCCCGAGACCAGTGGTATCCCTCTGGAGAAGGTCGACCGCCTGTTCCAGTGCAAGCCTGTCTGGCGCGCCAACAAGCAGCTCAAGGCTATCCTGGCCGAAGAAGAAGAGCAATTCCGCTTCGATATTAAGGACCAGGCTGTTCACCAAGAGAACCGTGACGAGTCTGATGGCCCTGCCCAGGTCTAAGGATCTGGTTTCTTGATTTTTTTGATTCCCATTATAAACTTCTGTATAAATACATTAGAACCGTACATAGATTTGACGCGATTTTTGGTTACGACTAAGCTTGACATGAGTCAACGCCGAATGAACATATGCATAGAACCCTCTAGCATTGATTTTTTGATTTCAAATTCTTTCTTCTTCCATCAATATCTATAATGTACTTGGTGATCTCGTATTCTATGGAAGATCTTTAAGCTAATTTACACATACGGTGGTGATGCTTGTAATCGAACGCTAACGAAATCCCCACGAACTGAGTGATAGTGGCAAGTACGACCAAAACATGAAATATCTGGTGAGATGAACCAAAAATGTCGAACTTTCCAGGATTTAGAGATTCCGGTACTCGCATCTTGCGATAAGTTAGCATCTTAAGTCCCTGGAGCAGACAAACAAACAAACAAACCGTATAGATAGCAGCACCAATAATTAAAATCAAGCCTTCAACCAAGTAGAATGTCATACCGAATTGCCTCATCTGCATAAAGCCGAAGACTCTAACCCCATGGACCAGGGGCGCAATACCTGAAAGCCCTGTAGCTATGAACGCCCCAACACGAAAGGTACGCCATCTATGCCCCTGAAATTTTGGGTTCACTAGAATCATGACTGATATCAGACTAAGGATAGAAATCTAAAGAACATCGCAACTCAGTACATATAGATGTTGACAAGCTTCATACATTAAGCCAGTCTCGTTAATGCCGGGACACTTACCATGCCCCAATAGACCAGTTTCAAATCCGGTTCACAATAGAATATCATGTGGATACCTGAAATGAAATCACCCAGTGTCAAGACGATGATTCCGATAAAGTCGAGCTGAAGCCATCTATTGCACGCATCATGGGAGTGATTCGCCAGTGTATGATACATTGCTGACAGGCCCAGACACGTGGATGCTGTCAACAAGAAGAATGCAAAGATGATCTGATCGCTCATCATTGTGTTTGGATACCACATTTGGAGATATTGGTAGAGACACCATTGGGCTATCAGAAACGCTATTGCTGGAATAAGATGAGAGTAGATGTGGACTGATTCATTGTGGAGATAAAGTAAGCTAGCGAAGCATTTGCGAACGGAGTTTGAGACAGGGCGATAGCCCGAGTGAATGAATGGATTATCTTGATACCATTCTGGAAGTTCATGATATGATAGTAGATCCTGATATTGTTGAAAGTGAAGTCTGTGCGGCACAGCTGGCTGGGTTGAAGATTCGACTGATTGGGGCGAGGCGTGTTTTCTCTGACGTGGTGATTTCTTCATGGTGGATTGACGATCGAGACGGAGTTATAAATGAGACTGCATTTGCTTCCATGTATTGATTTTAGACGAGGGGCTTCGTAGCATGTGTGTTCTGGGTGTGAAGTGGCGGTGGGGTGTTGCACATGTCGATCACCTCCGCGTCCCCCTTCTTTCATGCATTTCTTTTTTTTTTCATTTCCCATACAGAACGAAGACCAAGTAGCACCGACGGGCGAATCGAAGATAATGATAAGTTCTCTTTATTCGACCCGGACGAGGACCGGACTAAGCCACAATGGATGGAATCTTGGGTGACTGGCAGCCATAGCACTAATACGGGCCATAGCCGAATGGTACCACTGGCAGGACTCCATAGGTAGGGATCGAAATCTGAGACCAGTGGCAAAGATTGTCATGACTCTATGTAAGCGGGACTTTCAAAGTTGCTAACAAATTGAGTTGCACATTCCGTACGTCAATCTTTAGCCTAGCAGGTCTCTATGCCGCAAGGGAGGCACGGGAGAGCGATCCGACGCCCACTCACCCCTATGTAGACATTAACTGAATAAGTTAACATGCCATGTCAATCACCTTCACACGTGGGCTTCGATCTATAAGATTTTGAAAATCGAGGAAAGTTTTAAGCCCCAAGCTATACATCATACTACTTTGTATACGGCAAATTGGCATGGTTATCTCATAGTTGCCAAAGAAGTCTGATATACTTCATGGAACTGAAAAATGATAATTATTGACTTAAATGTAGAGGAAAATGTGGGACAAAGACTGAAACGCTTGATTTGTACTCTATCAGGGGGTATATGGTATGCACATGAAGATATCTTGTAAAGTATACAGGCAAAAGAGAATTTCGAAATGATCACAGAAAATAAAAGACTATTAAGAATTAGTATCTGTTGATTGAAAAAGCGAAAAACTTCCAGAACTTACCAACAAAGAGTTGCATCACCAGGGCAAGCATAGTCGGACAGGAAAATTGCGATGAAGCAGCACTCGTATCTGTAGGCTGAGCAGGCGCTGTGTATGAAGGCAAATGAGGGTTGCTGGTGCTGTTATCCAACGACTTTTCAAGCACACTTGTCATGGTATAGTTGAAGTTTTGGATCTTGTTCTCCTGAAACGCCACCTCGATCGCTGCCCACCAAACAGATGCCATTTGTTTATATCCAGCATCATCTGGATGGGTGGCATCAACCAGTTCGTCTGCCTTGATGAAAGTGCTCATCTCAGCCAAGACTAATCGGTCGCCATCCTCACGGCGTTTGGCAGCTAGCCTTCGATATTGCCCATTGATATTTTCGACTAATGTGGGCTGATCTTTGTTTGGCAAAAGCGTTGACAAAATGATAGTGGTTCCTGGGATTTGGTCGAATAGGAGATCAAGTAAAGAACTCATTTGACTTCCCACAGAGCGGATTTTATACTTTTGTAAGGCGTCATTTGTGCCAGCGCTATTGGCAGTTATTAGTTTTTTTGATATCACTGGTTCAGAAAAGGAAGGAGACGCACTTGATAAGGATTAAGTTAGGTTGTTTGGGAATAGTCAACTCGGCTTTTTTGGGTAGTTGATCTACCCTGTATCCAAAGTGACCTTCATTATACTGCGATCGAAGCCAAATGTGTTAGATAGTAATTTCTCACGAGAATTGCGGGTCACTGACGTTATCAATCATGGTGCCATTTCGCAAACTTCCTACCATCTCCACGTCCCACCCCTTATAGCGCAGTTGTTGTCGAATCCAATCTCGGTAGCCATTATGTTGTGTTGATCGATATCCGCTGGTTATGGATGCGCCCAATGGCATAATTCGGAGAGTGTATTGTTCCTCAACAGTTCGGGGTCCAAGGTGTAATGAACTGATGTCATTATTATTGATTGCGCTCGGCGGATTGGGGACAGGATCGGCGGGCAACGCTAATGCGGATGTAAATGACGCTAATAAGCCAACACAAAACAGAGAGGCGACCGAGTCGACCGATATTGACGGTCGCATTATGACTGCAGATATTGTAGATACTGGAGAGAAAACGAGGAGAAAATAAAAACAAGTCTTGGAAAATCAGGGACTTGGGATCCTCTTTAAAATCAGGGCACGCTGTTCTCCGGCCCCACCGGGCATCGTCCGGTTTAAAGGAGATTTTCATCTACAATAACTTGTTTGAGTCTAGTTTCCATCTGTAATATCAGGGGCTTAGCAAGGCTTGGCTTATAAATGGATTAGCCTTAGAGATGGTAGCATTAGGCTGTCGAATAGACATTGAGTTTGTTGGGGGCTGGTCGTTTCTAATTGGTGCTAATTGCTGTGCCGTGGCGTGATAACACACTAGCGAGCATCAGCGCTATATTCCCAGCCTTCCGAGATAACACTAGCGCTAGCCTAATTTGGCCTAATTTTGGCCAAAAATCTGGAACGTAGTCCATTCAGAGCCTCGATATTTGCTTTAAAAAGTGTAACCCAAGCCAGCAGGCAGTCTCGTGGCTATAACTCCGGAGTAACACCGCCAAAATTCGCTTGAAAGTTAATTAGCTTGAAGCCGTGCGAGGATTAATCGTGGAAACATAAGCATAAGGTTCAGGGCCCGACAAACTTTTCTAGGCTCCCGTTTTTGTTTACCTCTTTGACTTCAAGTTGGGGTACTTGCCCGCAGTAGAAAATGGACAAAAGAGAGGGTCTTTTTGCCCGGCCGTTGATCAAGTATCTATTTTTACCTTGAGCTACTCAATAACAGCAGCCTAATATAGATTTCGAGCACAGTTTTCAGGAAGAGCAAAACTTAATCTCTTTTTGTCTTTCAAGGTATGTATGTCACAATCGTTTCTTGCAGCTATCTAGGAAGTGTGCGAACATCTTAGCTTTGGAATGAAACGGGATAAATTCTAAGGCTTTAGCCCTGAACACCAAAAAGAATACGGTCTCAACAAATGAATTGCATTCTTCTATACACGTGGGGATATCTCTTGCCTTTGCGTAAATAAGCCTCACTTGGAATTAAGCCCCGCTGCAGACCATGTGGGCCCAAGGACCCACGATCGATATTGAAATGACCCAACGCCTGGAAAAATATCTAGACTCTTGAGCATGTGTAGCCTACCACTTGAACAGCTTCGTTCTTACCTTCAATTAGCTCATTTTGAATGTTTTAATATCAAAAACTCACCAACACAGATATCCGTACATTTGAGGCAATCTCCTATGGAAATAAGCGGCTCTCAACTGGATATAGTTCATAAAGGCTCATGCGGTATAGTATATCATAAAATCCAAAACGAAAATCCACAAATGCTTCAAAACAACTCCAGCAAATAGTTATGCACATAAGACGAACCCCAAGAGGATAATGAATCCCCAAAACCAAAATAATATACCCCAAGCCTTTATTTGAACTCCTAGTCGGTCTTTCAGGTGTATCTATCGGTAGGGAGGTGCCTGGCCCGGGGGAGGACCTGCAGGTGGAGGGCCTGGACGAGGTGCCGTGGGGTATTGGCCACCCATGGCAGGATTTTGAGGCCCATTTGAAGGTCGAGGCCCATTGGCAGGGTTGCGACCGTAAGAATTGTCCTCGTCCTTGTCCTTGTTGAACAGGAATCCGAGAGCTCCAAGCAAGCACATTGTGTTGATGATAAAAGAATGCTGAATGGGAAACAGGAAAGGTGTTCGAGGGAGGATTGTCAAGCTGATAATAGACAAGTAAGCACATGAAACTCCAGTGGGAAAAAATGTAGATTTCATCATCGATATCGGCACATATCTTGAGAATCCAGAACATACAACAGCAAGAATCACATCAGAACCGAAATACTTACCAGATGGTTCAATCAACAAACTGAGTATTAAGTGCAAAATAGGCTACCACTTCGGAGCGATGCAGGATCTGAGATTCAAGTTGTAAATATATAGAATGAAAAGAGAAATTGATTTATTTAGATCAGGAGCATTTGCGTTCTTTCGCATCCTATTTAACTGTCGCTGTTGCGTTGGGTCCTTCGGGCGGAAATAAGCGGAAAACCACATACGGCCGATCAACTTTACTACTGACACTACCAGCCGATATACATTTTTCGGTGATCATTTCCTTATTCGAAATGCGTTCAAGTCAGTAATTCATTGTGGACTGTGCGTGGGGTACATTCATAATAATAACTACCAATGACAGGTTATTTCCCATCAATTTGCTATCGAAGAAGCTCATGAGGCCTGGAAACCTTATGCACACAGCCTGATCGATTTCCCATATGATTGGATCGTCGCAACTTTCTTACAGCCGCGCAACAATTACCTCATTTGTGTACTCGTTGCGAGGAGTCCAGATTACCAGTTTCATTCATGAGATTGTCTATTTGGAGCCCTTCAGCTACGAAATATGAACATTAAGTGCGGAATAGTGGTGTGCAATGCTTAGGGGTCAATGATCAATCGATGGGTGGGAAAAATCCTATCAAAAGCTAGTTCATGATTGGGAATCAAAACCGCTGATACCCTAGAGCTCTTCTTGATTTGCACGGGAGAAAAAGCTTAGCACAAATGTAAAAACAGCCAAGAATGGAACCAGATGAGATTTGTCTCCATACGCAGAAAAGAAAGACCAAATACGATAAAAATCTGCAATACGCTCAATTGATAATTCATTCACATTAAAATTATTCTGCTCTTTACACTTTGTAAAGCCACCTTTTCCTTCTTAAACGTGAAACTGCTAATTGCGCGCTTACACCATGTGGATTGCGCACTCGCCTTGAATGAGGATTGGGGGCTGAAATAGTGCCAAGACCACGAAAGGGGATACCAAATGGGGCTACGAATTCGTCGGCTGTACTTAGAGCAGAATTCACACGTTAAGTATACAATAGTCTGTTTTTCTTATTTATCAGCGTAAATGCTACAAAAAGATCATAAACGGGTGATAGCGCCTACTATTTGGACCTTACGGCCGATTGATTTGTTGCGGGGATAGATATGCCCCATACGGCCGTAAGCCGTGGAGTAGATCTATCAACAAAGCAGGAAGTCAGAGGAGGAGAAAAGTGTAGTAAAGCACGGCCAGAATCAACTAGTCTAACATTACTGACAAATAAGGTGTTTATTTAGTGTGTATTAAATAGTATGTGGACATAAATAATTCAAGTTCGCCCGATCCCTCGCGCAATTATCATGAAAACGTCAATCATGAAACATCATGATTCTGAGGTGGGAGCTTCGTGTCTTATACTAATCCCTTCTAAGGTTGACGGTTTCATTTGGCTTTATTGTCGATACTCAACACGCCCGTCGATATTCAATTCCCAATTTATGTTGTCTATGGATTCTCCATGCGATCGGACCAAATCTTGCATCTCATCAGTTACGGGGGATAGGGGATTGGATTAAGTTAGGTACCACGAAGAAGCAATGATCTCGGATTGACCAAACAATGCCTGTCTTATTGTCTACGATGAGACCATTCCGGAAGATGATATCAAGCCCGACTTCGCCAATAATGCGAAATCATCTTGGTAATTTTATCTCTGAAAAATTGTGAAAAGAATGTGGCTCAGGTAGGTCATATCTTGTTTCCTTCTTTTTGCACCGCGTAATGGATACTCTAGCTTCCACAGTCTTTGAAATCCACACCGAGAACTTGAAGTAAACCACAAGATTCAAGTAGGAAACTTGGAAATTGTGCATACATAGCTAGGTTGGTTGGTTGTCTTCGATATTATTGTGAGAAATGCATTGGAAAGTTGGGGATTTGTTTAGACATCGATATTGAAAGATGACATTATGCCCGCCAAATGCCAAATCCGAGATAGCTGATTTGATTAACGAAAATGAGATTATGGGTATTGATTGAATACAAAGCTGAAAAGCTCCGAGAAACCTCACAACATCCGATCGGCTCGGAGATAAGGGGAGATAGCCCCTTTTTGGCCAAATCAAGTAAGTCCGAGGGGATTCATCTTTAACCGGAAAATTCTATACATCCAGGAGGTTGAATTCCCCGTTCATGAAAACCCATAGGTACGATGAATACATTATTTAAAGGTGGATGATTCCTTTTTGAACTACTATTTTACAATTATGGTCTCAACCCAATAGCTTCCGGCCATTCAACTCTACAATCCATTGACTCTTTACACCAACACCACTTAGAAACCAATTCTATTCTCCCATCGGCAACAATGCCCCAATCCATTTATCAAGACATTGAAAAGGAATTCAATCAGCACCTCTCGCCAATACCACAAGGTGATGTCGTCTCTGCAGTCACTTCAAATACCCAAGAAGACGTGGCCCCAGCAGTACAAGGCCCGCCACCACCACCCAATGGAGGACTGATTGCATGGCTACAAGTTCTTGGTGGCTTTATGCTTTTCTTCAACACCTGGGGTATATTGAACGCATTTGGAGTTTACCAGACCTACTATGAGCAAGGCACTCTATTCAAAGAATCATCTTCAAATATCTCCTGGATCGGTGCCATCCAGGCTACCATGCTACTCATGGTTGGCTTCATCACTGGCCCAATCTATGACCGCGGTAACCTTCGATGGCTTTTGATCACTGGAAGCTTTTGCATTGTTTTCGGCCATATGATGCTCAGCCTCTGTAAAACTTTTGGTGAGGTGCTTTGCGCCCAGGGGTTTCTTGTGGGCATCGGTGCTGGCTGCCTATTCGTACCCTGTGTTTCGATCTTACCTACTTACTTTACCACCAAACTCGGAGCAGCCCTCGGAATTGCTGTCTCCGGTTCATCCGTTGGTGGTATAATATACCCAATTGTGCTTGACCGACTCATTGGACCCCTTGGTTTTGACTGGGCTACCCGTATCATTGGGTTCATTGCACTGGGCACACTCCTGATTCCTATAACAGTGATGCGCCAGCGTGTCACACCTCCGAAGGCTCGTAGCCTGATTGACTGGACTGCCCTCACCGACCCTTCTTACATGTTCTTTGTTTTCACGACATTGATCGCTTTTATGGGTCTCTTTGTGTTACTTTTCTACATTTCTTACTTTGCTGCGGCCGCCCGTATCACCGACTCAACAATGGCGATGTATATCGTCCCCATTCTGAACGCCGGTTCAGTATTTGGTCGAACTATTCCGAATGCCTTGGCTGATAAAGTCGGGCCTTTCAACCTTATCGCTCCTTGCTGCATTGCCGTCGGTGTACTCATGCTGTGCATGATTGCGGTAACCTCACAGGCTAGCTTAATTGCCATCGCCGTTCTGTCAGGATTCTTCAGTGGCGCACTCATTGGTTTGCCTCCCCTTTGTTTTGTTGCTCTTACTCAAGATAAGTCAATCATTGGTACTCGCATTGGCATGGGCTTCGGAATAATTGGCTTTGGTGTCCTATGTGGGGGACCTGCTGGAGGTGCTATTATTGCCAACTCAGCCGATTTCGACTGGACTGGGCTATGGGCATTTGGTGGCGCGACTGCCGTCTTCGCTGGTCTCATGTATAGCGCTCTGCGGGTCGCGAAATGGGGACTGAAGTTGCATATAAAGGCATGAGCTAAAATTGTTGTCCATGCAAAAGATTTCTTCGGGCTAGTCTTTAAAAGAAGTGATAATCTGGGAAGTGTAAATAATTCGTACAAAATACAGTTTTGATACTGCTCCAAAAATTGGAATCGCGCTTGAAAGTAGTAGTGGCGTATTCAAACCCGACTTTATTAGGTTGCTATCTTCACATGATCTCATGACGTATACAAGAATTAACGATCCTGAGTACTTCAAGAAACGTATAAACATGGGAACAGGAATTATTCTTTGAACGGAAAGCAGAACCGAAATCTATTCATGGGTATCAAATTAGGCCTGTGCCTCTCTTGCTTTGATCAGATCATTTCCCCCTCTCTGTAAAGATCCCACTGCCAATGCATATGCTTCTTCCTTTGCTTTGCACTGAGAAGTACCCCGTATAGCCTCCTTGTCCCATCCATGAGCACATCCTTCCATCCTGCGACACAAAGAGACCTTTCCATCTGCAGTAGAAATCTTCTTAGATAGATTCTCTGCCTCAACAGCAAAGGCACACTGGTCTGCAGTGATAAACAGAGTATTGTCTGGGAAGCTGCGAGGATCAGCAAACCCAGGCGAAAGGCGAGTATCATGGGGATCGACCTCCTGTGGGTTCAACAGCTTATGGCACGTATGAGAAAACTTGGGGAAAATTATCCTCATGATCCAATTAGAGTCATCGATCAGGGGCTTCTCAGGAGTTGTTAGAGCGAGATCGGTCGGACCGTAAATAGAAACCAGGGTGTTGAAGAGAGTCTGCCCTTCCTTTCCACCGAAGAGGTTTGACGAGGTCGCGACAGCAAGCGCGATATTAGCACCGGCGCTGAAGCCTGACAGTGAGATACAAGATGCATCGAAGCGTTGTGGCTGTGACTGAACCCATCTCACGACATCTTCAGCGTCGTTGAATGCTGCGGGGAATGGGTTCTCAGGGGCAAGTCGATACTGCACATCAATTACGATGTAATCAGTCTTATCGGCGACGAAACGGCAATATTCGTCGTCATTGCCGTAGGTAGGAAGGACGAAACCACTGCCGCAAAAATTTAGAAGGACAGGGCTAGGTCTTCCTTCAGTGGTTATTCCATAAACATTGGTCCTGATTGTTCGGTCGGAGTCGCGTGAGGGAACGAAAATGGTCTCATCTGGTTTTGGATGAATATGAAGTCTGGGTCGAACAAGGGCGCGAAGGAAAGTGGCGACGGACTTGTTGTAAATGTACTTCAATCCCATTATCTGGGTGGCACACGCGACATGAAGGTCGCCTTAAAAAAATGATGGTTATGCGAAGCCCCACAGGTAAAACCGGAATTTGGTTCTAGAACTGTGCAAGTGGTGAAAGTTAGACTAAAATTCCACCGCTCAATATCAAGGGGATGTTGCCTGGTTTTGGTCGCATGCCGATCACCCTTCATGGCCTACGTCATGGGTCGAAGGTTGGTAAATGACATGCCGTCCCCGCTAGGCATGCGATCAGCAGTGACCAGGTACTTGAAGGCCATATAATGTACATGATCTGTCGGTATCGTCTGCAAATGGGGTAGATTATGGGTTAATACTCACTGACAGTTGGGTGAAGGTAACTTAAAATACTTACTTCGATCTTGGTGGGGCTCTATCAGGCTGATTCAGGCATACAGTAAATGGCAGTATATTCCATCACAATCATCCCCCTAGATACTCAGAATACTCTGTTTACTGACAAGCACCGGTAATAAAAAAAACCAGAATCAATTTGAAGTCATTCAAAATAGCTAAATGCTCATTGAAGTCCGTCCAGTCATCTTTAAGGAGACGGAGAGCATCGAACCCCTCGCTACTACTAATCCCATCGATCATGAAGCAGAACAATTCTCGCGCCAGACGGTGCTGTCGGTGATACGCAAAGCGGGCGTAGACTGTCCCTGCCGCCTTATCAAATATCTGCTTCAGCTCCTCCTCTTCTGGCCTAGTAGGAAGCTTTTGTGAAAAATTCTCCACAGAATCCATGGCGCTTTTGCCTCCCCAAAGCCACGCTGGTGAGATACAGGACATCCATAACGGCGCAAAAAAAGCGTAATTCCAACCAGGGATGCCGCTGATGGCCGGTTCCTCTAGCCCTTCGGCCATAATGTACTCTGGAAACAAACCTAGATGACAGAGACAGTAGATTGTGTCCTCCCAGATGCCCCACGGGATCATCTCCTCGAAAATCTGCATGAAATCCTCCAGACACCATATTTGGACCTTGTCACACCGGTCACCTTTCTTCCGTCAGGCCTGCAGTTGATTGGGTAGAATGGCTGCAAATCGGTCCAGGGTGGATTTGGGGTTCTTTGTGGGCTTCCCATCTAGTATCTCATATGGGACTACTTGACTCTCATCGTCAATCTGCTTAACCATCACACGTTTCCCTTCAGGACACAACACTAGCCTGCCTGACCAGCCGCTGCGAACGGTATGCATCGTCGCCACGATCTCACCTAACTGCTGCGCTACCACACATTTCGAATCGTGGGGCAAATCGAAATAAAACTCGCTCAAGGGCTGCCCGTCCATTTTCTTCTCAATCACATACGGCCATCTCAGCGGGTTATTGTCCGTCGGATCAAAAGCCACGCCCTCTGGGCTTGGGATTTTCGGAACGGTGCGTAGAAGCATTAGTGGTGCAACACTAGATGTGTGATCTGGGCGCAACGATCCATTCCGCAGATCCATCCATGGGCACCCGAGAGAGCCTACCACCCCAGTGCACGGGACTCGCAGAACGTAATCATCGCGCTTGTGATCCTTGATCGAGATGATGCCAAAGTCGTGGTTGCAGCCTTCTACCTCCGAGGGCTCCACCCAGACGTTGTTATCCCCCAGTTTAACTGCGCAAAGCTGCCACACCAGAGGTTGCAGGATGTTGAATGACTTTTCGGGAAAAAAAGGATCTTCCAGTTCCTCTTCCAGTTCCTCCGGTTGCTCCTCCAATTGCTTTGACATGGCGACGTGTTGGTAGATCGTGACAGTCAAACACAGCAGAATTCTTCGACTGAGACCAGTCAGTCAGGGTATCGAGATGAGGATAAAGAAATCAGTAAGGTTCACTTACTAACACGACTACAACAAGAAAGATAAGGAGAGTAACCGTTCTTCCAAATCTTTTAAACGTCTGTGGCGTCTGGCATCAAAGCGTGAAGTTTTGTGACAGTCGATATCGAAGCGAAGCGGATGTCGAAGGGTAGATGGCTGTCGAAGTGATGTGGATGTCGAAGGGTAGTGTCAACAGTGAAGGGTGAAAGTCGAACTTGAAGTGAGGTGGGCATCGGCTTATTTACTCACTTCGCCCATTCCCCAACCTTCATCCCACTCATATTCTCAGGCATCATAATTACATACCCAAGGCCTCTTCATACCTCATAGCCTTCCTCTTTCTGTGTGTCATCTGCTATCTGATTCTGGGAGCTCTTAACATCCGGTGCTTTGACGTCATTATTGATGTAGCCTCACAGTTTGTATTATCTCTGCGCTTGGGCATGAAGGTATATAGTATTATAAAACTGCCATGACATCCCCTTTATTTCGTACTACCAATCTTGTGATTATGTCTTCAGTCGTTGAGGTCATTTAAAAATAAAGTAAGTCGAGCTTTACAGCTTTGTGAATCGTTAGGACACTGATTTAACCGAATGCAACCCCCAACTCAACTCGAGACAGTTCTTATGATAAAAGTTGATCTCTGAGCTGAAACTTTGCATGACCTACAGCCCTACAAAGGAATCCCTGGGCGAGTATGGTCGTCTACATCCCGAGATGTTCATAGAAGCATGTTTAATAGTACTGAAAGCAGCTTCAAGGGTATGCTTTGCACCACTGAGAACCAGATGGCAAATTTCCAGATATCTCAAAGGCTCAAGATAGCTCCTCAAATGTTGAACATAGCTCTGATCTTAAAAATGAGTCTTCTGGTATATTTCTCGGTTATATGGGACAGTCAGAGCCCCGGAAGCCGCACTCTCAATAGAGATCGTCCCAAACTTCCAATATAGACTCCATACCTTCTATCAGGAATATTTCGCCCTTAACTATAGTGATCTGCGTTTGATATAAACCCTAGCCTTGCGGAGGTAGGAAGATTGAAACATTCTCCGTTCCAGAGCCGAGATTGTCTCAATCTCTCCAGGGGTTCAGATTCTTGGGCCATTTCCATTTTATCAGTTCAGATTAGGATTCGAGTTCAGTCAGAAAATACCTACACGCATGAAAATAGACGGTGTAGCGGACACCGCTACTTCAACTATCGGCAATGATACTTCTGGGTATGCGTCGATGCTCTACACGACAGCAGCCTTTCTCAACGTAGCCAAGAAGGCTCGTCTATACAGTACATTGAAACAAGTTTCCCTCCCATCAAAATCGCCATTACATGCATTACATGCTAAATCTAAAGATATTCTGGACGAAACTCATGGGAATAGCTAGTGGGACTTCTGGGGAATAGGAGAAGTATCAAGGATTCCGAACTGTCGGCCTCGCTTCATTGGACGCCGGTCTGATTAATTCTATACTGTGAATTTGTCCTCGGAATTCAGAGGCTGGCTCGCTTGAAAGAAAAATCCCTCAATAGTATGTGTTGTAGATTGGGCACTCAGGAATGACTAGGACGGGCTGAGGGATTTGATCGGAATTAGTAACTAAGACCGATAACTTCATATTATTGTGACGAATGAAGACACCGACAAAGTTGTATTCTCACCAAAAAGCCACGTCCAGTCACCGAGCTACGGGGCAGGTAAGCCTTGCTAGCTATTTGAGTCTTTGTGCTTTTACCTGAGGATATCTGATATCACATTCCAACAATCGGAGACTTATGCCATTCACATTTCTCCGAGGAAGCATCCCATGACCTTATCACACTATGGACATTAAACTAAAATTAATTATGTTCGAGACCAAGTCAAAATTCCCAAGGGCTCTTGTCACCACCAAATGAAGGAAATCACGACTTGAAATTTTCTAGATTCTCTCATAATACTCTGCATAATTTCTTCAATGTTATAAGTTGCCTTAACTTACCAATCCGTTTCGAGACCAGGAGCTTAGTAGCACAGCCCCAAAAGGCAAGAGACTAGCACGAGCTACAGCTATGTTTAATTTCATTTGATATGTAGTATGTCAATCTCTTCCCAAATCAAGCTAATATTTTAGCTTATCAAGCACATGAACTTCATAACCCCTCACCCATCCCCGGCAATTCGGCGTACCTGCATGGGGGCTAGCCTCGCTGCCTGCAGGCCTGAAGTTGACAAGACCCACCTGGGCACACGACGGACGCCAAAAAACGAATGGCTGGAATGATCTAGCAAAAGAAAACATATTGGCAACACGAGGTTAGTGACCTAACTTGTGGTGAACTACATCAGGTAGCCAGTGTGTCATCCCTTGACTCGTATTACTAGAAACTAGTTTCTGGAATCAGTATCCGGATCTATGAGAGGGGGATCGGGCAGTCCGAACCTCATCGATATTACGATCCACGCTTTTTTTCCTACTTTCTTTTTTCTATCTCGCGATTTGGACCCGGTTGAATTTTCGTAAGCACCTACCATTCCAAATTTTTCGCAAGGAGTCGCTTAGTATGGCCGAATCGAGGTATCATGGCCTCGGACAACAGGGATGATTTATCCCTAGTCGTTGATAGAATTGAAGCTCGGAGGGATTGCCGTTTCAAGTGATGAGCATATCCTGAAACGGCGCTTCACAACCTTGTACAAGGCATACAGGCTGCATCGCATGGCACTGATGTGTGGAGACTAGCCCTAGGGTTTACACTATAGTAATCTACGTCTAGTTTTTTTTTAGTTTCGGGGAAAGATGCACTGGATCGGCGGCCTTGCATCAAAACGTTGCGAGGGCAACAGCTTGCAGCGGCTCGTCGGAATCTATGCCGATGTGCGTCGTTGGGTAGAGTTAAAATGATATTTTCGTTTCAGACTGGTGAAGTGTTGAGCAAACGATTCTGCCAAGGGATGATGGCGATCTTTGCTGTATTGATCGACGCCCTGTGAACTATTATTGACCAAACTATCCCTTGGAAGGATCCAATTCATTGTTCCGTGCAGCGTGATACAAAAAATAAAATCGAGCAATCAGATTTTTTCTCTCTTGAAAAAAAAAAAAAAAATATCCCCAGGGGCTCCTCCTCATTTGATCTGCACTAAACAGATTTTTTGTCTATCGCCTGATCACGGTGGAAATAGCGCGGGTTTAGGGCTGCCCGGGCGCTGTTAGCATGTCCCGACAATTTGGTATTGAGTAACCCACTGCAGTCAGCTTGAACCCGTGAACCACCAGGTCGGCTCTGGTGATCGGCTTGAGTACCCTGATTACTCTATAATGAGGGGGTAAGCAGGATCAACAGGTCCCATTCGCATACGAAAAGTAAATGAGCCACCTTGGGATCGCCGCCGGGCGCAGTTAGCTCACCCTATGGGGAGATAAGGTTGGTCGAGCTTGGACCAGGCGTGCCTTGCATGGTGGACCCGCAACGTCGTCAAACATTGCTCACTAAGGAACGGCTGGAATGTCCACTCTCCTGAGCGGAAAAAAAAGAAATAAAAAAACGGATGGGAAAAGCAACCCATTCATCTGAAACACCGGCTTCCATATGGCTTTTGTGGCTTTGCTCCCGCACTAGGCATGCTCAGGGCCACGACGCTCCGTGCACATCCTAACCAGTCTCATGCTGCATATTTGCGAGCAATTCACGCAGATCAAACGATCGAGTCGAACCCAACACAGTTCATTCGCTTACTATTTCTACTGGGAATGGAGGAAGTTCAATTTCTGGCCCCCATACTTGTCAGGCCTTCAATCATCATGTTATAGTCATCTTGGCATATGGACCTATGAAACCGGCGTATGATGCTCAGCCACTCGGCTACCTCCACTTGATTCATGTATTAGGTCTCGTAAACAAGTAGGTGCTTAAGCCTCTCACGCAGAAGTACGGAGTACAGTAACCGAATCGATCCGAACGCCACTAAGTGGCGCTTTGCGTGAACCCCCTCCACACCCTATCCCGATCTTGTTGATGCCTTCCCCATCCGGAAGCTCCCACACCATAAAATTGACACATCATACAACGGAGTTTCTAAAACTTCATGAAGCACAAGTCCACGTGCTTCCCCTTTTTCTCCAAACCCTTGATTCACCTTGAAACAAAGCGCTCGCGTGTTCGAACCGATCTTCTTTTACCTAATCCGGACAGGGTCCAAGCATTCCAACAGCTGGTATTATGGCTGTGCAGATTGAAATGTAGGTACATAATGGGCCATGAGTAAAATAATACGTGGCTGGTATGGAGAATGCGGCTTTAATTACCCCGAGAAGGATCCATTCCCCACGTATTCCATTTATTCTTGCAAGGAATCCGTAATCTGTATCGAGGGAGAACAGAAGCATAACTTCGCGCGTGGCCGGGAGAATGTCGCAAATCTCAGAGGAAGCTGTTCTATTTTCTTATTGGCTAGTTAAATTAATATTCTTTATTTTATTCTCGTTCTCGTCATCCCCATGTGATCGGCCACGTTTGGTCCCACATGTTTCAGCGATCCGAATAACATAATACGTCGATATAAAATGAATAAATACAGAATAAAAAGTATAATCATAATTTAAATCAAAAAATTGAAGCTTCATTTAACTAACCACCCACGCGAGAATCCACGCTTTCCTAAAGGCGCACTTACCGCCGAGGAAGGGACGGATCAACCCTGCGCAGACCGTCTAGAACCCCAATGACGTTCCCAGCCCTTGAGGACCCTTGTTCGATCTCTCACTGAAGATCCCCGTTGAACCAGCCAAAAGAGCACGTAACCACTCTCATCCCTTCCCCCATTCCCCGGCCAATATACCAATTTGCGTATACTTCCGCTCTGAAACATGTGGCCGAGCCATGTGTGAATAGCTCGCAAATTATTCGTATTCAATTCCAACCCTAGCAACTATTTTTAATTAACCGCTTTGAGGCACTTGCATAATCATCTCGCACCCCCACCCTGCTGATCCTCCTGCTTGGTACCTGCCTATGCCCCAGTCTTATGCACCACTCGGACCAATCGAATTCGCCTCGTCGCCTGTCTCGCATGCATGGGCGGGTATGTTTTTCCCGCTATTATGCTTCTGGTTAAGTGGCCGCTCAAATGAAATCCAGGCCTGACGCGGTTCAAGTTCATGCGGACAACCCGGCCGCCTCGACTGACGGCGGAATGGTGTCACAGGGGCTCATGGCTTGTGGATCCTGCTGTCGTGGGCTTTCGATGCGAGATGATGATCCTTTCTTCATTCTTCTCTGTTTAACTCGTTTAGTTCTTGCTTTTTTATTTTATTTTATTTTATTTTCGTGTCCATGTGGGCCATGCTTCAAGTTCCCCAGTAGCTCGCGTGTCAAGGCATGCCTTGATCTAGTGCATAGTCTCTTACTTCTTCGTTCATATAAAGAGTAAGCTTGCTCCTGCTGGAATGCTTTCATTATCCAAAAGTGTTTCAATCATCCTCATCAATATCGTCGAGAGCTCTCTCAACCTATCAACGCCTTTAGCTCCCGAACGTGCTTCATATCTATCTTAAAGTTCTCCGCTTCGAGTCATTTTTCAGTCGACACGAGCCAGTTCAAATCATCATCTACATAAAAGTTTCTACAAAAGCTTGATCGTTGAAGCAATTCATATACCAGTCATGTCCGGACCAAAGTCAACCACAGCAACGTGAGTATAATCTATAAGCACATAATCCTCACGATAGAAACTAACATCCTCTCTGCAGTGCTCGCAATGGCACCACAAGCTCATCTCTCAGCCAAAACAACGTCAGTCAAGTTCCACGCGCCAGCCGTAACAGCATCGATCGGTTTACCGGAGCACCTGCGTCAGAAGGGCCGTACTACGTCGGTGCCCGGACAGAGGAACGATCGACCCACCTCACAGGATTATCAAATCAAGTGAATGCCATGGATGATATCCTAAAGAGTCGAAGCTAGGAGGGGGAACATGGGAGATTGAAGAAAGGGCCTGTCCAAATTATGTTGTCTATCTGTAAAAACAAAGTTTCCTATGTCTATGTATGTACCAATATGTCTATCCGGCGAGATAGAAAATACCACTGAAAATATTTGCACTCTTCGAAAATATATTCCATATAAACCCCTTCAAAGAAGCTTCGAGATGTACGAGGCAACCTCTTCATATTTGGTGCTGGGAAATTCATGTCCAGCATCATAGAACTTGAACACCGCGTTCCCACCAAGAGCGGCCGTCGCATCTGTGACAAGGTCGTCTTTCATGATGACTGCGTCACTATTTCCACACAGGATATGAACCTTGTGGCTCAATAAGCCCTGTCTTTTAAGGCCATCTGAAGGTTCACTGTTCTGTGTACTCAGGTATTCCCCAAGACGCGCCCAGTTCTTCCATTGAGTTCTGCGGAATATTGGGCCATATCGCATGGTCGACATGAATGCATGAACGAAGCCCGAGTGGTTATCCACCTGCCACACAATTGCAGATGGGACATTAAGATGTGGATACTCCCGAGATAACACCTCGGCATCTGCAGTAACTTCGGTTGGGATCTCCTCAGTGAGCGCATCTCTCATGTGGAGCTTTTCGTTCTTGGGCTTAGGCTTTGCGGCAATAAGAGGTCCAGCCCGTAGCCGTTTTCCGACAAAATACTCGAGAACGTTGTCCGGGATCAAGTTTGTAGCGTATAAGAGACGGGCCTGGAAACTGACGTGGGATTCGTGCAGCAAGCCAGCCGGAGCGAGGAGAACTAGGGACGAGAGAAGGTTTGGGAAATATGAGGCAAATGCAGCAGCGATTCCACCGCCAAGAGAGTAACCGACAAGAGAGAATTTACCGGAGTCGGCGCCAGTCCATGAGACAGGGGATGATGTCAAAGCAAGCATTATTTGTGTAGTGTAGAGCCGCATGTCTTGAGGCAGATCAGATGGGGTGTCAGAGAATCCTCGGCCAAACCTAACATTCAACAATCAGTATTTCACTTCGACGCTACAAGAAGAGGACCGGAGCGTATTTCATCTCTAGGGACATACAGGTCAAAAAGTATCACACGACAACCGCGATCAACCAGCGCATGGGCCAACCCACCGAGCGCGATACAAGGTGTAGTAATTCCATGCACCATTAAGACCTTCGGGCCCTCCTCGCGACCCCATTCATAAACTCGAATCGAACCATAGGGACTATCCACGTCGCGCGCTCCGGGAAGGACGTCATTGGGGAGAGGGAGTTGTCTGTTCTCTTCCTCAGACAGACTAGTCAAGATTTTTGTTCGCGGGGAGGGAAGGACGGAGTTGAGTGGCTTTTCGGGCTCGCGATTTAAAAACGACCTTAAAAGCAGGCCTAGTGTGAACGATGCCCCGGTGACTGCGAGTAGGGGTAGTTGTGTTTGCCGGTTGGCCCAGGAGTCGGAGAGGAAATCCACGGTTTGGTGGTACAGAGCCATGGTTGCGTCCAGATGGTCCCTGAAGCGAGCGTATATTGATGCGGAAATCTATTAGCGAATGGTAATAATCAAATGAATGTGTCTATTGCGAGGCTGGCACAACACGCTGTACAGGAGTGAAGTGAGGGATGGAAAAGTCCGGTGAGACCGAGGCTTATCCCGGTGTCCATGTGGCCGATAAGAGATAAGACGTCATCACCCCAACGCGTACCTGACGATTCCGTCTCCAAACTCTCTCCACCTTATACTTCCCAAGTTGGAATTTGGATGGTTTTATTATAGGTGCTAACCTCAAAGCTGCAGGATTATTATGTATGTGGTCTTGTAGATGTCACCATCTCTCATGCTTACCTTACTTTCCCCTTCTAAGTATGGTCAAAGCAACCTCGACAAGAATTATACTCGCACGTTGATCTCCGATGACCTCATGTGTACTGCCGGCCAGGAACTTGTTCGAGTTTGTAAACCCAATGTGGGTGCTGGACGCCGTTTTGAACAAGGAGACGCAGTGACAGCCAAACGAGAACTGCAATATAGATAGACTGGCGGGGACTGTAGATTCTTCAATTTAAGGGAAAGAAATTCTGAGTAGGATAAACAGAGAAATCGGTAGGGCAGCAGCAAAATGATTGGTCTTACGGTAGCAGACAAATATGTCTGAAGATAGGAGAGTTGCTGTTGTGCGGCTCATTAAGATAATTATAGATCGAGAAATAGGTAGTGTTATCATAGGAATAATAAACGAAGCTATAGATTAGGAGATAGAGTAAGGCACTGCAGTGAGTCAAGTGATGATAAAGGTACATATGTACTATCTGTGTAGAATCGCGGTATTTCCATATCATCATTATGCTTCAGCTTCAAATTCAGCTTGAACTTGAAGTGGGAATGTTTTATTGTATAGTACAAATTTACATACATGTCGTAGGGTAGTCATAAATAGCCCACGCCGCGACTTCAAATGAAGGAAAGACTTCTTTACTGAAGAACAATAATTTCAAATGATTAAAATGAATTTAGTTCAAAAAGTCACCCACTTCAAATTATTCAAGTTATGGTCCGTCGAAGCCTGCCTCTTTGGCTTCCTCAACTAATATATTGGAAACCTATGCATAGTATAACAGAGTTGTGTAGGAAATTCGTTTACTAGTACTCATAGAAAGAAGCAAGGGAACAGTCCTGTTTTCAAAGTTGAAACCGAAAATACTTGACGCAACTAAAACTGGCAATATTTAGATCCTGCAAGACAGAATTCGCATTAGCTCACGATTCACCCTTGCGGGGTTGAAGTAACCATAAACCGGTCGTGGCGGTTAATAACAGGTTGCTGACGAGTTAACTCAGATCTTGGAAAGGAAAGTTTTCCTTATTACCCGGCCCTATTCTTCCGGAAGGTATCATTGCATAAGAGTCCGATCACCTTGGAAGAACCATAAACATTAGACGAGGTAGCACTACCTCCAAAGAAGCACACGGAGTATATGCCTTGCTCAGAATAAAGATACTCACATGGTCCCAATTTTCTTGGTAACTCCCAGAGCAGTACTAGATGTGTCAATAACAATGCCCCACAGTAAGATCGACAGGGTAGCCAAGACCTTATTTAACCCCTTCATACACTTTCATAACCGTGGATGCTGCAGATTAAGGCTTTTCACCAATTAGCACATGGCGGCTCCACATAATACGCCCTGAATTCCTTTGATCCATTTGAAGGCTGACGGTTCACGGACTAAAGGGACGGATACAACGCTTTGTCACATGACTACTAGTACCTGCTACTATCATGATGTAGATATACTTGCTACTACTAGTATTTCCCGATTATACGATTGCCAGCAGAACTATACTTCATGAGGATTAAGAAAAATAAATCAAATATGGTGCATTTTATGTGATCCTTAAATTTGAAACTTCTCTTATAATCTCATGATGCGTGACAGAGCAGAGTGTTAATGTATTACATACGTGGCGGGATCACTCCTATTGTGAATCCTTTTGTTTCGCATTAAGCAATATGCGAATATTGTTGTTACGGATGTTGTCAAGTAGTTTTAGTTTTAGCCGTAGTCTCATTGAAGGAAAATCCCCGCGATTCATCCGTTGGGCCTAGTCAATCTTAATTAAGAGGGGTCTGATCGACCCTGAAACGCCCTATACCGAAATCGTCAGGTAGACCACTTTTCTCTGCCTCGGCATTCAACAACCCTTAGCTGGGTTGTGCAGTACTTACTATCCACGCCATCCACGCCACCCGGCATTCATCCGATCTAGCAGTGTTCTTCGTAGATTCGGCCATCTTTGCAGGCGCCTCATGACGATGGTGAACACGCCACTCGATATACGACATCTTCACAATCCCGTGAAAGAAAGAAACCAGTCTCTAGAGGCCTTTAAGATTCCTGTTTAGTATTCTGCAGTGAGCAATTTCAAATACAAAGCTACGGAAGCGCTAGGATCAATGTAGTCTGCCAATCTTCCCTGAATAAAACCCGGCCCTGATACGAACAGATCGGGCGACCCTCCGCACTGGTGGATATTGAAGCCACTAGTTCTGACATAGCCGCCATGTTTCCAGGCTAGATCCTGAAGAGACATCTATCCAGTTTAGTGATGATCTTTTCCGTCCTGATCATGGAGCAGGGTCCACATCCAAATAAATTCTTGACACGGATGCTGCCCAATCCGGAAGTCACCGATTCTTTAATGAAGGGTCTTCTTTTGAGTGTCCCATACCAAATTGGCGACGGCTTCATGCTCCGTTTTGTTAGATTCAATGTGTCAGGAGAGCCTAGTTAGACATGATATGCCGATGGGGACAGCTTTGGCGTTGGCCAGAGGCAAGTACTATAAAAAGCTGTATCTCCCTCGCATTCTGTAAATTGTTCTTCAACTGCCGGTCAGGGATTCAATTGACGCAAATATTCTTTTTTTCGACTTCAGCTCAAGATGCATCAACGCGCACTCCTTTTCTCTGCCTTGATGGCAGCTACTCGTGCCCAGCAGGCTGGCACTCTCACCACTGAGACGCACCCGTCTCTTACGTGGGAAGAGTGTACCTCTAGTGGTAGCTGTTCCGAGCAATCCGGATCTGTTGTTATTGACGCCAACTGGCGTTGGGTTCACTCAACAGACGGCTCCACCAACTGCTACACTGGAAACACGGTAAGCAGCCTTATCATATAAAACAATGGCTGAGATCTGACAATCAATTGCAGTGGGATGCGACTCTTTGCCCTGATGACGAGACTTGTGCCACCAACTGCGCCGTGGATGGCGCAGACTACGAGTCAACATACGGCGTGACAACCAGCGGAGGTGACCTCACTCTGGGCTTCGTCACCGGTTCTAATGTTGGATCGCGTCTGTATCTGATGGAGGACGAGACCACCTATCAGAAGTTCAATCTGCTAAACAGGGAGTTCACCTTTGACGTGGATGTTTCCAACCTCCCATGTGGACTCAATGGAGCTTTGTACTTTGTTGACATGGATGCAGACGGTGGATTGTCTGAATATGACGGTAACAAGGCTGGTGCCAAGTACGGAACTGGTTACTGCGATTCTCAATGTCCTCGCGACTTGAAGTTCATCAACGGCGAGGTATTGTTTTTTCAGGCGTGTGCAAGATCAAATACCGGGTTTGCTAACATGACATAGGGCAATGTCGATGGATGGGAGCCATCCAGTAACGATGTCAACTCTGGCATCGGCAACCATGGCTCCTGCTGTGCAGAGCTGGACATCTGGGAAGCCAACAAGATTTCCACTGCGCTCACACCCCACCCTTGCTCCAGCACTGGACAGACAATGTGTACAGGCGACGATTGTGGTGGCACATACTCCAGTGACCGCTACGGCGGAACCTGCGACCCAGATGGATGCGACTTCAACCCATACCGCTTGGGCAACACGACCTTCTACGGTCCCGGCATGGATGTGGATACTAGCTCAGTGATGACTGTCGTCACCCAATTCGTCACTAGCGATGGAACTGACACCGGCACCCTCAGTGAAATCAAGCGTATCTACGTTCAAGATGGCAAGGTGATTTCCAACTCGGCCTCGGACGTTAGCGGCGTATCTGGTAACTCAATCACCTCCGACTTCTGCACGGCTCAGAAGACCGCCTTCGGCGATGAGGATGTTTTCACCAAGCAGGGCGGTTTGTCTGGCATGGGTGAAGCTATGGCAGACGGAATGGTCCTGGTCATGAGTCTCTGGGATGACCACTACTCCGATATGCTCTGGCTGGACAGCGATTACCCGACCAACGCGACTGCTACCAATCCCGGCGTTGCTCGTGGATCTTGTGCAACTGACTCTGGTGCACCTACCGACGTGGAGTCTGCATCTGCATCAGCCAACGTAATTTACTCGAACATCAAGTTTGGTCCCATTGGATCGACCTATTCCTCCTAAACGTGAGAAGGCGACTTGATTGCAGGGGCGGGCTTTGATAAGAAGACATCGCAAGGGAGGGGGATCTGGAAGATGTTGGATTTAAATTGATTTTTTTTTTCTCTTGTATTTATTGATTTCACTTCTTTTCGAGAGGGCAAGCCTCTCATTTTTTGTCCATTTGTTGTTGATGTTGAGTTAAGAGTTTATCGAGCAAAATAAACGGTTGAACTGTGCTGATGTCATTGACCAATAAAACCCTCCACACGGAAGATCCTCGGCCCGCAGAAAAAAACCGAGAGCTTTAAGCTTCACCCTGCAGAGTTCATTAAAGACATTCTCTCAATTCTCTTAGTCGGTGATCCGATAATTCTCCGACGCACCATATATCGCGAGCGCAATCATGTTCGACTCAGTCTGCTTGCTCCCGCTGTTGTCCGACCTCTTTTCTCAGGCCATCCACCCCAATGAGCCCGTTGTGTCTGCAGGTCTTGCCTCAGGGCATGTCCAGACATTCCGGTTGCCCTCGGAAGATGCTGGCAGTGAAGACGATACCGCATCCAATGCTTCTGCTAATGGAAAGGGACATATCGATACCATGTGGCAGACAAGACGACACAAGGGGAGCTGTCGGACCTTGGGATTTGGCGTTGATGGAGAAATGCTATACTCGGCAGGCACAGATGGCCTTCTGAAGGCCGCAAACTCCGAGACTGGAAGAGTGACAAATAAAATTGCTATCCCTCTCGAGAAGAAAGGGTAAGTTTTTCCGGGAGCAGTTGAGATATTATGTATCGTCTGAAGGCCAAGCTGACCGATCGGGTTTTTGTCTTATTTAGTGCTATTGATGCACCCACTATCGTTCATGCACTTTCCCCTCAAACTCTCCTACTCGCAACCGACTCTAGCGCTCTTCACCTCTATGATCTGCGGATTCCTTACGCTAGAAACTCGGCTCGACCAGAACAGTCGCACCACCCGCACGATGACTACATTTCTTCCTTGACCCCTCTACCCGCCTCCGATACCAGTACTTCTGGGTTCAGCAAGCAATGGGTGACGACAGGCGGTACCTCCTTGGCTATCACCGATCTGCGAAGGGGTGTCCTTGTACGCAGTGAGGATCAAGAGGAAGAATTGATCAGCTCCGCGTACATGGGTGGCCTAACTAGCAGTGGAACTAGCCGTGGAGAAAAAGTGCTTGTTGGTGGATCAAATGGTATTCTGACACTATGGGAGAAGGGCGTATGGGATGACCAAGACGAGCGAATCTACGTTGAAAAGGGCAATGACGGCGGCGAGTCAATTGATATTCTGAGTGTCTTCCCAGATGAGTTAGGTCATGGCAAGGTTGTCGCAGCTGGTTTGGCGAACGGATTGGTGAAGTTCGTACGCATTGGCTCGAATAAGGTTGTGTCGGAGGTTCAGCACGATGAGACTGAGGGTGTTGTTGGGCTCGGGTTTGACGTCGAAGGACGTATGGTTTCCGGCGGAGGTCAAATTATAAAGGTCTGGCATGAGGGTGTCGATACTGAAGGTGCTGGTGATGAGATGGGCGGGGGCAAGCATATGATGGACAGTGATGACAGTGACGATTCCGATGATAGCGACCGTGAGAACAAACAGACTGCGCAGGACCGCAAGAAGCGAAAGAAGGGCAAGGGCAAGGACCGCAGTGGAGGACAACATGTCATGGCCTTCCACGATATGGACTGATCATGATGCAGTAATTCGTTATATCTGATACCCATCTGCAGAGCACATAGATATACAATGCAGTAACTTACAAAAGTAATTGATCCATAGCGCTGGTGTTCGGACCAATTATATTAACAATGATGCAATGCCCAAAGCTACCTCTACATTGTACTATTACATGGTTAACGTGGAATCGGCCCTGAACCTGAAGGATATATCCATATCCGATAATTAAAGTTAGCCTAATTTATATCCGATGTCTAAGAGCTTATTAATGCTGAGCTAGTGAGCCGGGGGTTTTCCGCGAATCTTCACCCGTGAGTTCTTCGAGGACATAAAAAGAATTATATGAGGCTATATACACATTCTGGGAATGCAAGATGCTTATACAGATCTCTTGTACATGACTGTTGAGTCTTAATTCAAAATATCATCAACTTGTGTAAATAAGACACGCAAAACCTTGAGCTTCGGAACCAAGTACAGCTCGAACTGCCGACGCTTGTCTCCATAGCCCCACGGAAGTGCATGACGTTCATCGGGTCGAGGTGGGGTGTGGGGTGGATGCTCAATTATAAAACAGCATTGGCTCGCCCGAAATCAGTCCAAATAAACTATACACAAAATCAGACATCAATAATGGATTCTTTCGAATATAATTCCAACCCTAGCCGCGTTGTCTTCGGCAGCGGCACACTGCAGAAACTACCGGATGAGATCGCCCGTCTACAAGTGAATTCCCCACTGGTGCTTTCTACACCCCATCAAATCAACCAGGCCAATAGTGTCAAGGATGTGCTTCAGGGCCAGGTGGCTGGAATTTTCACCGAGGCGACGATGCATACCCCAACACATATCACGGACAAGGCACTCGAATATGCAAAGGCGCAGGGTGCTGACGCGGTGATCTCCATTGGGGGTGGATCGACGATCGGGCTGGGCAAGGCGATCAGCATTCGCACAGGGCTGCCTCATATTTGCATTCCGACTACTTATGCAGGCAGTGAAATGACTCCTATCTTGGGAGAGACTGAAAATGGACTGAAGAAGACGCGTTCCGATCCGAAGATCTTGCCTGGAACGGTGATTTATGATGTTGACTTGACGATGACCCTTCCGGCAGCTATGAGTGCTACCAGTGGAGTAAATGCCATTGCTCATGCGGGTAAGTGGTGCACTCAGCCTAATGTGTGGCGCGATTTGTAACTTTCAATGACTGACCATTTTGAAATTCTAGTTGAGGCACTCTATGCCCGCAACACTAATCCTATCATCAATATGATGGCTATTGAAGGTACTCGGGCTCTTGCAGCTGCTCTGCCAGAAATTGTCGAGGACCCAACTTCCCAATCTGCCCGCTCCAAGGCTCTATACGGTGCTTGGCTGTGCGGTACCTGTCTTGGTAGTGTAGGCATGTCCATCCATCACAAACTGTGCCACACTCTTGGTGGTAGCTTCAATCTCCCTCATGCTGAGACTCACACCGCCGTTCTGCCTCATGCCATCTCTTACAATGCCCCCAATATCCCGGAGGCTATGAAGCAACTCGCAGATGCACTGCCAGACAGCGATGGCGATGCGATCCGTGGTTTGAATGTTTTGTTGGCCAAGTTGAAGGTGGAACGGGGACTGAAAGCCTTTGGTATGAAGGAAGAAGACGTTGACAAGGCGGCTGATATTGCTGTTTCTAACCCGTACTGGAATCCCCGTGCGGTTGAGAGGACCCCGATCCGTGAGTTGATTCGAAGGGTCTGGGCAGGTGAACAGGCAAGCGCAAACCTGTAAATTCACCTAAAGCTTTACGATGGAATGTATCTAGATATTGGAAATTAATTTGCTTTCAACCAAGTACCAAATAGATTCACCAAATAGATTCGCACATTTAGAAGAGGCTACTGAACAATCAGAGCATTCGAGCCTCTCATCACCATTTCTAGCTAAAATGGATAAAGGGGTCCAGTTGTAAATAATACCTTTGGTATTCTGAAGGAACAACTAGGATAAAGTTACCTCAAGCTCAGTAATTGAGAGCAGTGAATCACCTACAGCTTGCCTCTTGATTCCCTGAAGAATTTCTCGGAGTGCCAAAAGATACGTATTTGTGCATAGCTGGGATTCATTCTGTTCGAAGCGATCGGTATCAGATTCAAGAATGAAAAAGCCACCTTTTTGCAGCATATCGGGTAACCCAGATACCCATCTATATTGAATGGGTTAGTATGACTTCGTTATCGCATACAAAAGTCTTGCTTCCTTACCTATAGTCAAGGTCAAATTTCTGGAAGACCGCATTGATACTTTTCTTCCCATGCTTGCGCTTCGGATCCTTTGATATTTTGGTGCATTAAATCGGCATCCTCCCATTGAATGTAACCTCCAGGTTCTATTCAACAAGATCAGTCCGTGCAAAGTAATTGTCCATTGTAAAGTCACATACTAAGAATGGACTTCACCCGTTGAATGAGTTGTGGTACTTGATTTCGACGGAAATTGCTCGCCCACATCCGAAGGTGTACCACATCATACTGACCCACTAATGAAGCAGGGGGCTCATCAAATGCGTCTAGCAGGCCCAAAGAAACATTTTCAGGCCACAGATCTGGTGAGGGATATTGATTATTAGATACGTCGAAGCCATGTAACTGGACAGATGACGGGAGCTGCTTTGCAAGGTCAAAACTCCAGATACTGCACGACATGTTATTCAAATTGATACTGTAAAGATTTTTAGTCGCAAAAAGAAAGTGTTCTTACGCCGTTCCTGTTCCAATCTCGGCTATCTTCATGTCTTGCGTCAGGGGAATCTTAGGGTGCAGCTCGTAGCCTTGATGCATTTTCCATAGGAGGTGCTCTGGGCTTATTTTATCTTCGAAGAATGGAAAGATCACCACTGAACCGTTAGGTGGGACTCGGTCCTGCAAAGGAGCGGCTGAAGAAGTTGCACGGTTGAGACGCGAACTGCTTGATGACCCGAAAAAAATCGCGGAACATATGATATCAGTAAAGGAGGCAATTAGGGAGCTCACCCAAGTTTGCTCGCGGGATACCATAGCTGCTGAAGAGCTCATGTCAGTAAGGGAGCGTGGTCCTGTTCAACATTTAGGATCCACGATTTCTGGATTGCTTTCCCCCGATAAAGACATTTGGGACGCATTCGGTGTGCTCTTTCCTTCCATAACTGCCTCGGGTGCCGCAAAAAGTTCTGCGATTGAAGCTATTCGGCGTTTAGAGTCCACTCCTAGAGAACTGTACTCCGGCGCGGTGCTTTTTATCGAGGGACCAGAAAACTTAGAAGCGGCGCTTGTTTTGCGGACTGTATTCCAAGACTCAAGTCGTCAGTGGATTCAAACTGGGGCTGGGGTCATCTTACAATCAAACCCTCAATGAGAGCTGACTGAGAAAGAGGAAAAGTTGGCAAGCATTGCCCCATTTGTGGTTGCTGACCTCGGATAATTGCTTGTAAATGGGCTTTTTTCATTGTGTGTGCGTGTGTGTGGAAAAGTTTAGTTGTAACTTTGTTTTACTGCAACCTCTTCCTTAAGCTATATTGAAATTTGAAGAATCTGAATTCTGCGTAAATATATAGCCTATATGTTTCTTTTGTGTAGTTGTTCACTATACATACATACATACATACATACATACATAGTGGGATGTCGGGCATCCACCAATGGGCGGATCCATAATTTTTGTTATCGGCGGCGGGGGGAACATTTGAAGTGGGGGAATTCACTCTTTTTTTTTTCTCCGATTTTAGTTTTTTCCCTTCGATCGTGCCATTTACCCCTCCAAAACACCACACCAATTTATGAAAGCTCCCGATGGGCTCTGAAATGGAAGCAGCCCCGGTGCTGTCCACTCCGGACGATCGAATTTTCGAATCTGCAGACCCTGTTGTCTCAACCCGCACGACTCAGCCATGTTCCGATGACGAACTTTCAATCACCTACGACATTGAACGTACGCTGAAGGACATCCGCCAAGCTCGATACAAGCGCATCGCTCTTCAATTCCCAGATGATATGCTCCCTGATGCCCCGCGGGTATTCCAACTACTCAGCCGCGGCTTGAATTCAAAGGAAATTACCGGCGCGAATGGAACAGATGGCGGCCAAACGAACGGGGGGCCCAATACCGTGGAGGACGTGTCCCAGTCAGTATCTGAGCTGTCTGTGAATGAGGACAAGGAGAAATGGTCACCACGACTATACATTCTGGCGGATACCTCCTATGGCACGTGTTGTGTGGATGAAGTAGCGGCGGAACATGTGGATGCCGATGTGGTGGTACATTATGGGAGGTCTTGTCTGTCACCAACCGCGAGGTTGCCGGTGATCTACGTCTTCACCAACAAACCCTTGTCTATAGACCCCGTGGTGGAGGCTTTTAAGACGACTTATCCTGACCCAGCGACCAATGTCATCATCGCAGCCGATGTCACCTACTCTCGTCATGTCCCGACAGTGTATCAGCGTCTTGCCGATAGTGGCTATACAAAACTGTTTGCGACTGAGGTGGTCCATGACCCTTCATCTGCCATTCCTAACCGCACCGTTCCTGGTTACGTTAAACAAGCACCGGAGACCCTAGCGGATTGGCAATTATTCCATATCTCTGACCCGCCCACTACGCTTCTTCTAACCCTTGCTTCTCGCGTTGCCGCAATTCATATCTACCCCACTGGCGACCCGAGCAACGACAATGTCAAACCATTGCAAGCATCGACTGCCGCTGTATTGCGAAGGCGCTACGCACTGACCACGCGACTCACCACTGTACCAATTTGGGGCATCCTGATCAACACACTGAGTGTGAAGAATTACATGGGAATCGTGGATCATGTCAAAGAGAAGATTGCCGCTGCTGGAAAGAAAAGCTACATGTTTGTGATGGGCAAACTCAATGCAGCCAAAGTCGCTAACTTCAGTGAGATTGGTGGCTGGGTGGTGATTGGCTGCTGGGAAAGCTCATTGGTTGACAGCAAGGATTTCTGGAAGCCGGTGATCACACCATTTGAATTGGAACTGGCCCTGAAAGGCGACTCCGAGCGGGTGTGGACAGGATCATGGCAAAGCAACTTTCAAGATCTTCTCGACCACCCAAATGGGGATATGGATGAAGAAGACCTGGCAAACGGTACAACCATGGATGATCAAGAAGATGACATGTCGGAACCCGAGTCAGCGCCGCCCGAGTTTGATCTCCGTACTGGGCGCTACGTTTCGCATTCGAGACCGATGCGGGATCCCGCACCCCGCGCTTCCGCTATTGATGGGTCGTCTGGGCCATCCGCTGCTAGGGCGTTGGCTCGACGGGCTAAGGGTGATCTAGCGATGATCGGCGACACCGTCTCCCCTGGAGCCGAGTTTTTACGGTCACAGCGGACCTGGAAAGGGTTAGGGAGTGACTTTGACATCCGATATGATGAGGAGGAAGATCCATCGGATAGTACGCTTGTCAAGGAAGGGCGCAAGGGTATTGCCAGGGGCTACACTGTCGGCGAATCAGGCCAGAAGCATTAAACGGATGCTTTGACACATAGAGGGGATCATCACACTTCCCTTTCCACTGGTCGAGTATCTGATAAGTCTCTTTGTTTGGTTCTACTGGTGTCTACGAGTCTCTCCGGGCATTGTATATAGCATAAAAAATCTACCACAAACTAGAATTTTTCCAAGCAAACCACTGGCATTTAAAAAACTATCGAAATTCCCATGCCTGCTATCTATCAATTAATATCCCCCCTAAAAATACAACACTTCACCAGCAGAAGTTGATTGTTAACAACACCCTAAGCTTATCAATGCGGATCCATCACATGACACCACGGGCGCATCCGGATTAAGCTGAATATCTTGATCAGTTTGAAGTTGAATTTCTTCAATTTTTTTTTCCACATTGATTATCGTGTTAGACTGCTCCATCTCCCGTCGAGGTGGTGTATCTTCCCCTCTTTCTTCGGCATTCGTGACTTGATCCTTTTCCCCTCACAATCGTGGTGTCCTTCCCCTTCCCCTCCCTCGCTCCCCCTTCGGATTCGGGGAATCCGCCCTTGCGATCTCACCTTATCGATTATGCTTCACTTTCAATAGCCTTGCATGGTGGCTTTTCTTGAGATGTGAATTTTTTTTCTCCGTTTCTCAACTTTCGATATCATAATATCATGTGCTGCGCCTTTATCCTACTCTCTCGCGATTCCGCGTCTCTGGACTTCTCGACTTAGAAAGCCGAGGAGCAACCCGAGGTTTAAACTTCACTCCGCAAATCCTAATGGACCACCACGACATCATGGCGACAGGCCTGGTTGACCCCAAGCCAGAGCCTCAGCGGCTAATGGAAACAGCCCTACAGAACTCAGTCCTCCCAGTTGAACGTCCCATTTCACTGTTCGAACGAGTGATCACGACCAATTCCCCCATCCTAGAGTCTTTGTTACTCCAAATTCCGACCGATACCATCATCAAACTTTATCATACCTCGCACTACCTTCGCACATTTCTTCGCTCATATCCGACCGCATGGAGGGCTCTTTCATTTCGTCTGCTCTACCCATCAGGTACATTACCAACCACCCGGATCATCGTTCCGGGCATGTCAGATCATGAATCCCAACGCCAGTCTCGCCCTTATGCCTTGGACCAACTGTTGATGAATGTGGTGATACCCTTCAGCTCCTGTCTCAAGAGCTTGGAATTGGATAATACTGCTGTTTCAGGACAGATCTTGATTTCGACGGTACTGCATGCGCGCAGGGAAACATTAGAGCACCTCTCAGTTCGAGGCTGCAAGAATGTGTCCCTCAAGTATCACGTCATCCCATATTTGACAATGTTCGGATTACAATACGATGTGGACATGGAGAAGAATATCGGGAGTTCTCCAGCGACCAAGCGCTTGGTTCTCAAGAGCCTTTACGTGTATCGATGCCGCCATCATCGCCGCCGGCCTTATCTCTCGGCCTCGCTGTTGCGCAAGGACTCGGATTCTGAACCGACTCATGAACTAGTCATCCTTTGTCATAAACTGGGCATATGGACCGATACCGCGTGGTGCACAACGCCTGCTGGCAGGTGCTTTCGCCGGCGTGGATATGTTTCCATGCGTGTCCCACAGGGATCCCCTGAAGTGTGGGTGGTATTTGATCGACTCTGGAGATGTAAGAACTGGATTGGGCCAGTGAATACCGCACAGTCGTCTCGCATGCATGATGGTAAGCTATGGGAGAACGGTGACTCCGGGACCTATGGTGAGGCCGTGGGCACTGGCGAGGGTCCTGATATGGGCGAGGGTAAGATGACTCCTGCGCATCTTCGCCGCAGTCATACCCAGTTTGTACAGGCTGTGAAATGCGACGGCTGCATGGAGGACATTTCAGAAAGATGTGAGCAATGCAGTATCTTGATGCATTGTGTCGGATGTCGGAGGACTCTATGTGCCAGTTGCGCTTACGAGCGGCCTTATCTTCGTCATGCAAATTCTGGTGAAGCTACCGAAAATCACACAAGCAATCCCGACTCTCTATGGTGGGCCCCCGGCGCTACGTTCTCACCTAGCTCGATGCATGATCCCGTTCCCAATCCCCTTGACAACAACTCCTTGTTCAACGGATCAGCGCCTCCATCACATCCTGCTCTAAAGTTTCATTGGTGTTGCACAGAGCCCATCTTCTCTGGAGGTGGGGGCATCAGCATCGGCACTCCCAGTCGGGACGTGGACCAAGTACGAGCGGTGCCTTTGCCTCGCGGCCGGGGCTGGGAAGACCTCGAGTATACTGTCAGCGAGTGGAGCAAAACTTTCCCAAAGTACGCTTACGGCGACCCTAGCAAACCGGATTATTCCCTCGAGACCGGGCACCTTGCCATGATGAAATGGTTGCTAGGGCCTCCTAATCGGCAAGTCTCACCATGCCCCCGGAATCTATGCCAGGAGTGCTACGACTCGCCACAGTGGAAGGTCCACTGTAAAAGTTGCTCCAAACCTCTTTGCATTGAGCATGACCTACGTGGTCTCCGTTTGCGCATCTGTGGCTACAGAGACCTTGCTTTTGAAAAAATGACTATTCAAAATCGATCGGCGGTCAATCCTCCGTCTCCTAGTGCATCAATAGGTCACCTTCCGGCATATGACCTTCCTTTCCGGACCCAACGACTTGTCGACTCCACCAACAGCAGTTTCATCGATGACCCACCGGGAGATGAGGTCGTAGAGGACAACTCCGAACCTCTGGGTGGAAATTCGTCTCTTTTCCCTCGCCATCCAAACCGGTCTTTCTCCGCCCCACCCTCCAATCATTCGGGGTCATCGTCCCCCTCCTCTTCTTGCTTTGAGCCCACATTTGAGGCACAGCGGTGGCAAGGGTGTCAATCGTTCTTTTGTCCTCAATATCGTGCCGTCGGTGATCAACGCCAACGATGCCCAAGCCATCTAAGAGAGTGCAAGGCCTGTGCGGTCTATGTCTGCCAAGATTGCGTACAATCCAATCCCCCATGCAAGTGCTCCTACTGCGAGGAAAACTATCTGTGCCCAAACTGCATGAAAGACCGTGCTCGTGATGGCACCTGCCGCCGTCGTGAGGAGGAAAAAGCGCGGAGAGAGCGCAAGTGGAAAAAAGACATGCGAGTCCTTGAGGGGATTTTGGAACTCAAAGTCGCTAACGAGATGGCTGAGTTTGCTGGTGAATTCTTTGGTCTGGTCGAACATGACCCGGATGATTCAGTTCCCACCGGTGTACTCATTGACATTCACGAGGCCGAGGATCCTTTGCCAGGCAGTCCTCAAAGGCCACATGTTGAGCTTTCTACAGACATGGGATCCACTCTATTCGCTGGCAATAATTACCTTGATTCCCTCTACGAATTCGAATAGTTTGCCCCCTCATTTGCTGCATCTTTCTATCGGCCGCAATTCATACCGGGATCGTTCAGCAATTCTTTCCTTCCCCCTTTCATCATGCCTTTTATTCATCTGATATTCCTTTGATCTCGGTTTCTTTAGCGAACTACCACATACCACGGCGCCAGCGAGGATTTCCCCCTGACATTCATCTTTGTTTTCTATTTTCTTCTCGTTTTCCCCTCTTTGTCTTTTCTACTCATGCTTCCGATCTCCCTCAATTTCCCTTTATGGCATGTTTTCCGATGGCGTGTTTCCGAATGGACCTATGCATCGAGGTAGCAAACGATCACCACGGTGGATCAACCAGGCGTTGAAACATAGCGGGCGCATTTCTGGCCGTTCTTCAATTTCCATTCTCTTTGTCTTGACCCCTCCTTTCCATTTGGACCAAGACTGCAGACGGAAAGCCCTGAGCGCTCTATCCTCAGTGATATACGGATTTGCAGGAACAACAACCGGTCTGACGACGTGGCTGGCCAAGGATGCAGGCACCAAGCTGGTCTTACGATCTATTTTCCCCTTTCTTTTCCTCTCTTTTTATTATATTTTATTCATATCCTTTGTCTATCGACCAGTCTTTTCATCCTGCCTGGGGCTGGTTAACCTCAGTCAGGTGCATGATCTAGAGTGGGTATGGTATGGGCATATGCTGGTTGATATCCTTATGGTCACATCACTAGTGCAGTGGAATGAATTTCCGCCCGGTCACATATCTTACTCCATTATATTTATCTATCGGTGAAGCAATCAATGGTCCTAGTCTTCAAGATAGGACCAAATTTAGTCTTGCCATTTCTCCGAACTTAATCCAACCCGCAATTTAAGTCCTTCCAATATAGATCCTAGAATCCGAATGGCTACAGCCCGAGCTTACCTCGAGGACTAAACCGTTTGACTTTCCCTGCAGCGGTGAGGTGATCGGACCCATCGTCAACCATCAAGTGATTGGCAAATATTCACCTCATGATGCAACCTTGGATGAAATAAAATGTCCACCCCCTTTCCTCCGATAATTTCCTCGCTTCCAAGTTTTTTTGTCTCCATTTCCGAGATTGACGTATAGATTCCAGTATCCTCTGATAGAAGAACAAGGGCACTACTGTACAGCCTAACCCCCACTCGCCCCCGCTAACCCATATCGAGACACCTCCACGGTCCTCCGATGCCACAGATATGCGACGGATGTACTTCTGCCTGCCGGATGGATGTTGGATTCCGGACGATCGTACTTTTGTCACTCGATCAGGGATATTTGTCAATGATATGACAAATGGCTCTATACTGATCGGCTACCTGCTGGCTCCAACGAGGCTTCGGTAATATCCGTTGTGAATGCGATGAGTCTTGTGATAACAGATTTGCGTCGTTCTAGTTGAGTAGGTTGTTGACGTGGCGTGGCGATTTGAAGTGTAGGAAGGAGAGGTCTGCTCCGAATGATGACTCTTATTTCTTTACTTTGAGGCTCTCCAGCCATGCCAAGTACAGCCATAAAATTCCCTCTCTAAACCTCATACTACTTATTCGTAATACCTAAGTACATATTCCCAAATTCTAAGGGTATTTTTGTTTAGGTGCTTTGAAGATTCAGCAGCAAAAGCAGTAGTGCTTCATACTTCCAAGTATTCCCCCCATCGTGAAATCGTGATCTACAAACATACCCTCATTGGCTTTCGGGAATGAAGGATGGTATCATATGTGTCAAAAGTACCATTTCCAAGGTATCTTTGCACTGGGGCCTCCGCCCCATCCGGCTCGAATCAGGACTCTTCCCCCGACACTAAGCAGCGCTCTGACACGGCCCCTTAACTTTTTCCGGTGTTGGCCGTCTCTCTTCCCAGGCGGTCGGGCCCGTAGGGTGATGCCGTGATTTTTTCTTGGGCTCCAAATGTTTATTTGTCTATTTACCCGATGAACTGGGTGAACGTGTACAAATGCCGCTAAGTACGTAGTACGAAGTATAGTCTTGTGGATTAACGTCAGCCTGAGCCTATATGTGGCTCTTTTATGTGCCGGATGCCACTGTTGCTCGAACAATGTTGCCTGTATTATAGCTAGATATCCCTGCTAGTCTGTTTTACATTCCTTGCTAGTTCGGGTTCTTCATAGCCCTGTGGTCGTCACTTGTACATCCATCATGTTGTCATCGAATCAACGCGGGGTCGAGTAGTGTAGCCGCCTGAGCCTGAGAATAATGACCAAATTTTGGATGATGTGAATATGTCGTTGCTGTACTTTTGTCTACTGATTATTTTATTCACTTCAGACGGTCAGTGCAGCGTCGTCTGTCGGAAGTTGTTGCCCTCAAAAACAGGAATCCGAGGATGAAAAGCACAATGAAACTGTCCCACAAACCTTAATTTCCTTCACCTCCAGAGTACGTGTTCTGATATTCCTCCGAGTGTCGCGCTGAAGGTCTAACGCATGTTGACAGGCTTCCGGGGCACCAGCCAGGGATGTCCAACACAGCCACGATGCAGCTAATTAACTGGCGACTATCGGAGCGGAGCAGGTGATGTTGCTGTCACGACCCAGCAGTAGGGTTATGATCGGCCGTCAGAAGAAAAGGCAAAGTAGCATGAAGCATGAAGCAAGCACGTCGGCTCGATATTGGGGGTGTTACTAGATGGTGTCATCTGATAGCAGGGGTTAACCCGGTTGAGAAGGGGAGATGATGACTGGTGAGTGGTGAGTGGATGGGGTAAGTACAGGAGGATGTTCGTAGGTCCGTGCAGAAGAAAGCGCATTCAATAGTGGCTCGCGTATCGGTAGTTTCAAAGGAGGTCAGTGTTGGATTTACTACATACGTGGAGGGGTGTATCTGGGTCGAGGATGCGGTCAAGGAGGAAAACAACGGCCCTGCGCGCAACCACGTGGGGTTTTTTATGTATTAGCATGGGATAATATGAAATGACTTCCGAAACGGGTAGTATAGGCAGCAGAAGATATTCCAAAAATAATAATGATGATGAATATAATTATAATCATAATGAAAAACAAGATGCAACGGCCCTGCGACGGAACCGTCTTATCGGCGGTGAAGTGCAGTGGAGATAGCCAATAGATGTTTGTCCGGCTGGGGCTGCCCGAGATCCGTGCCACATGTGTAATGGGTTATTGAGTCTTAGTTTGCTGCACTATTGCAGGGTTTGACACCGTATCGAAGGAATAGAAGGGGAAAAATGCAAGAACGAAGGGTGAGAGAGATCGGGTGGATCGGGTGCTGATCGCTGAGATCAACCCAACCCGCTTCCCCGGGTACACTTACATAGAGGTGGTGGACACTGACAGAGTACAGCTGTACAGCTGCACCTATCATGTGTTTGGAGATGACTGTAATGCATTGTGTTTCTTGTTTCGAATTTGTTTAATTAATAAAAAATATAAAAATAAAAATAAAAAAGTGGATCCCCTTCCAAGGTTGTTTGCTATCATCATCTTTTCTTTTGCTGCCTTGTCTACTGCATTCCTTTCTACTATTATTATTTAGTCAACCATATACATCCATGACCCATACTAGTAACCCACTCTACCAAGGCTCCAGATATCAGATCGCCTGGCGCGGAAGTATAGATAAATCCCCCCGATTGGTACGGGGCGACCTCGGGCGGTTCTGAGGAAGCTATCCTATAGGCGCTCCGGGTAAAATTAGTGGACGCAGCGGGCGGCCCTAAGACTCGGAATGGGGCCGGGAAAGAAACCTAGCATCGTTCAAAGTTGATGGGAACCTCAGCTGGTGGTACGGAGTACGGGTTATGGATACTGCAGCTTTTTGAGTAGGAATCACCCACAGTCACTAGTTCACCGTACTCTGACATCATCAGTAATCTTATAGGTTTGTCTTTGACCCAGGGGTGTAGTGGAGAGGAGAGAGGGTATGCGTGTGTGTGTGGAGAACACTACTCCGTACCTATTAACAGTGTCTTCTTTGTTTTATTTCGTTTTTTTCTTCTTTATTTCCTTTCTTTACCTATTACCTATTACCTATTTTTTTATTGTTTTATTATTAGTATTCTTTTTCCTTCTTTCCTGCGTCTCTGTAAAAGGAAACACCCTCAAGATTCTAATGACTATCATTTTGATATTGTAATTTCGTCCAATACTATGCTAACTATGATGGTTATTTCCGTTTCCATTTGTTTTTTCTCTTTCTTTTTCTTTGTTCCTGTGCTTCAAAGGAGCTCGCTCAGCTTTGACCCTGGCCCAGTTCTCAATCAGCCACCACTCGATCTCCCCAGTAAGCCACTCCCGATCGCGCAGCTTCTTATTTCCATCCCTTGCTAGAACCAATCAACTCGGACAAAAATCATACCCAATCGTTCACATAGCGCGGAATTTACCCGGGCTGATTTAAGTGGATTGGCTAAGCGGCCCGTCCTGCCGTAGACGAATCCAGGGACAAGCCAGATAGTCGGTGAACACTTCCAACAATCCCCCAGCTTACCACCCCCTACCTAACCGGACTTTGCTTGGTGCAATCGTGTCATTCTGCCTAATAGCATCATGTAAGCATTGATTAAATCCATGAAAATAATTCAAATAATTCAAATCAAAAATTCCCGGTTTTTCGGTCTGCGGCTGTGGCTCGTGACCGGTTTCTGTCCCGGGGCAAACATTTTGAAGAATTTTGCTTTTTGGATTAATGGATTAAATGGATTTATTGATTTTGAATTATGGATCTGATTTTGGGGGGTGGGATTCCATTATTCCAGATTTGATTTTTAATCAAAACATTATTTTTTGGAGGGGCATTTTTTGAGAAATTTCCAAGCTTGATAGGACCCGAATTCCACATCTCAGTATGCATATAAAGGGGCCATCCGCCTTGCGACACAATGATACTACTAGCTGCCAAGAGACAGATGATTACATTTCCTACAATCAAAAACTACGAGAGATCAGAAACTACTTCAACTCAGTTCTTTCACTCTTCTACTCTTCTGCTCTTCTCTTCTCTGTGAATATTATTTCGCACATACATACTTGCAAGCTTCGATCTATACTTCCGCATTTCATCTATACCTACTACGTCATCGCCACAATGGACCAAGTCAAATCACAAAACCCTCAACAAGAGAAGAAGGATGCCAAGCCTACTCAAAGTGGGCACGAAAGTGTCGAGTCATACCAAAGACGCTGGGCGCAGTTGATGGAAGACACAAACAAGCAGCTTCAAAAAATTCGAGGTATGATCGCGAACTCCTAAATCTTGACATATGACACATCATATGCAGGGAGGATGAAAAACATTGAGATCTGACATCTTATAATGTAGAGGAAGAAGCCAGAAAGTCAAACCAGACATCCGGTCGATAACTTTCTCCTTTAGCGCTCTATACCACTCTGTGACGGTCGCCACGCAATACAAATGGAGTTCATCGGTGTTTTTACATGGGGTCAATATACCCTTTTCATTTTCATTGTTTTTTTTTTGTTCTGTTTCTCCTCTCTTTATTTCAATTCTTGTCTATATGTTTCATGATGATGTCTTGCATATTGCACAAGGGGTCAGTGCAATGCATGGGGGACTCCCAGATTGAGGACTACATTCGCTTCATGGTGGAGTTGGGCCGTCGTTGAGATATGGAATCTTCAATTTGAAGATTGACATGGACATGCTGGCATTTGATGACCGTCCGGAACTGGATCTCCCATATTTCTTTTTGTTATTTATTCAGATTTTTTACTCAACTTCCATTGTTTCTTTGTCATTTCTGGGAATTCAATTCCCGCCCTCGTATGAGGATCTTCTAGAAAGTGGGAATCCCGCAGCGAGGCTTACATATCCAAAGGAATATCCCTGGTTGATCGTTGCCTCTTAGTCAAGATTGAAATCGTGGCTTATACAGTCCACGCAACACGCAACATAAGTGGTCATGAACTACCTACATTGTCATTCTCCAATCATGACTTGAAAATTGCTCTATTGTATGTACAAGGTAGCAATTTAACCAGCCCGAGGACCTTGACATTCTTTCAAGATATACCGACATGGTAGTTGCATGGCGCGCCTGCATCCGAGGACGAAGTCGGTCAATGGCGCATGCATGTACAGTTCAACAACACCCGTAGCATATCAATGGCCCGGTAATTGTATCCCCATTCGCGGGCCGCTCTGTCGGTGCCCAACCCTAGACGCAGTTTTCAGCTACGCCGTTTTTTCCAACAACAACGTCTAGACTGTTGGGGCTGAGCGGTGTGTAGCGTATCAAGTTCACTATACATACCCAGGTGAAACGAGGCCACCAACTAGGATCTGTAGGCGGATGTGCTCCATTTGGGTGCATATACTAGTAGTATATGCAAGAAGAATCCTTCGCCGTCAAACCATCTGTAAAGAATCTCGGCTAGAGAGGACTATGGCGCAAAAAGAAAAAAGTAAAATTAAAATATGCTTCGCCCTAAAAAAGGAACAAAAGAGAACTTCTTCCATACGTGTTTTGAGTTCGCGTCCTGTTCCACTTCGATCGACTCATCTTTCACCCCCTGCAGGCCATTTCTTTTTGACAGCATTCCGCACCGTTTGTCGATCAGTCGAATTGGGGAGATGGTCTATTTTGGCCTCCTTTGGAAAGGCGTTGAAGTGGGCCCATCAAGCCGTTCATTCTAGGATCTGTCATAACTGACCCTGCCCTTGACGTTTACGGCCATGGGTTCCCATGCAAGGGGCTAGTTGAAAGTGGGGAAATACGGGACGCGTATAGCGCGGCTATGTATTGTCGTTGACCGATGCTTTGGATGGCCACAACAGAGGGTGAGAGTGAGGGGGTGAGGAGTCTGACCGGAGTTTCCCAATAATATTCCATGTAAATTTTAGAATTTTATGACAGGTTTCCTGGTTTCTAGTCTGACTGGATACAATCTAGATCCCAAGGTACATTTTAAGATCTATTAATGCTTGTCTTTTGTATAGAGAATGAGATTGGATCCATCGACGATGAACCAGCCAATCATAATAAGGTTGAGGCTCCAGCGGCTTCACCCCACCAAGTTCTAAGAGCTTCCACCTTCACCCATTTTCAACCCCCGCCAATACCTATAATCTCAAAATGTCGTCTGCCGAACCTGAGAAAGAATTGTCGCCTGCTGAGATCGCCGTTCGCGACCGCGAAGAGCAGGAGCGAAAGGCCCTTGAAGCTGCGGAGCAGGCTAAGCTCCCTTACAAATGGACCCAGTCGATCCGCGACGTCGATGTGACCGCACCAATCCCTACCAATATCAAGGGCCGTGATATGGAGGTAGTCTTAACCAAGACAAAGATCCGTATCGCAATTAAAGGACAGGAGCCTATCATTGAGGTGCGTCTATCTAGGACCTAGACTTATTGCCCCACCTTCAAGGATTCATTAACCAGATAATCATGTGCTGACTACCATCCTTCTATGGCTACAGGGCGACTTCCCCCACCCTATTATCGTCGACGAATCATCATGGACTCTCGAGACAACCACAAAGCCACCCGGCAAGGAAGTTAATGTTCATCTCGACAAGGTAAACAAGGTTGAATGGTGGCCGCATGTTGTGAAGGGCGCACCAAAGATCGACGTCACAAAAATCACACCCGAGAATTCAAGCCTGAGCGACCTTGACGGCGAAACTCGTGCTATGGTCGAAAAAATGATGTACGATCAGCGACAGAAGGAGGCTGGTGGTATGACCAGTGACGAGCAGAAGAAGATGGACCTTCTCAACAAATTCAAGGCGGAGCATCCTGGTAAGTGGAATAACCTTCATGGTTTTCACCATGTCGATCCTCGATCTTTATTTTCGTCTGATCATAAGCTAATGGTGATACAGAGATGGATTTCTCCAATGCTCAGATTGGTTAAAATACTTTTTGGATGTGTTTCCATTCCCTATACGATTATATTGAGCGTATGAATCATGAATTATGCATTTGGCATGGTTGTCGGTGTTCAATAAGAGTGTCATTGTATCCACCTTTCAATCTATATTTATTAGTAGAATCATGAATCCTTTTATACTCGAGTTGTGTATTATTTCCAATACAAGAAGAAAGGATACCAGGATCAAAGACGAGCAAAAGGAAGAACAAAGAAGAAAAGGAAAAGATCATTTCGTAACTTCAGATTGACAGCCATTCCCTCCCTGGGCAGGACCACCATCACCAAACTTGAATTCAACAGAAGAAAGAAGATCATCTTGATCGCAGACAACCACCTTGATTTTCTTTGACTCTGCTTTTATCTCATTCATGTGGCGCAGTCGCATGATCTTGTTCTCGGGTCTTAGTTCCAATTGACCAAGTAAGAACGGAAATATAGATGATTTCTATAGAATAGACTGGTCGCGGTTGATAAAAATGGCGATGATCAACTTCCGACTTGCTAACAAGACTAGAAGGACCGACCAAGGCCAACGGACCTGTATGTCTCTGTCTCATAAGCCATTCCCTGAAGATGGGTGCTACCGACACACGTTCGGATCATATCCGTCAAAGAACCTCCAAAGCGTCCCATAGGTCTCTACTGGCTTTCTCAAGCAAATCAAAGTGGTAAAGATGGATGGGTGTCTGTTCCTGGCTAATCCTCTGTTTCCACCTGAATTGGCTCAGAGATATGGAGATAGGGACCAATATTCCAGCTTTCGCAAAGGCCGTTAGGATCGAGACCACTGTGTTGGGCGAGATCGAGTATTGCCAACGAGAGTAGGCCATGCCGTTAATTTAGGCTAGAAAGCTTACCAGCAAGCAGATACAGACCACTCTCAGTATAGTACTTACTATTTCCCAGCACCAAGTGTGAAATTAATCTCGTCAGGGACAACTCCTCGCTGATGGCAGAGATTAGTACTGGCTGAACAGAAGTCTTCTTCTGCCGACACATAATATATGGATGGGTCGGGTCTTCAGCTGGTACTGAGATGGTATATTTCGAACCGCTTTTAGTCTTCTACGGACCTTGTGTTCCATTGAGCTATCCTCTGTATGTAAGTAAATAGCTCTGGAGGTACTGTTCGACATGCAAGTATCTAAAATTGCCTTAAATATACTACTAGTAATGCCAATTAAGAGTTCCGCTGTCTATTCCCACTTTAATGTGTTCAGTATTGCGAATTCGTAATAGTATACTGCGTTGGTCACATCTCCAGATTTCTGTAATTGAAGTTGCACCTGGCTCTCGAGAGTTGTGACTTCAAAGTGACGAGCAGGGTCTTTGGCGGTCATCCATTTTTTAAAATCCTCATTATCTTTGATGATAGATAGAATCTAGCAGGATCTACAGGTCGAATATTTCATCTCCAAGTAAATATTGGTACTGTGTCTTGATCTCCAAGACCAAACATCTTGGCCAGCGCATACTCCACATCCATTTCCGACGCCACCGCCAGAATTAAGTGCCTAAGTAGACCCATATCCCGGAAATTCCGAAACAGTTACTGCCTAAGCAGTGTTCTAGAACAATCGAAATCACAAATGAACTAGATCTATTCCCTTGCAGTTATGAATGTGATGGGTCTATCCGGGACCCGCTTAGGTCGAAAATTACATTTACCGATGCAGATGCAGGGGCGCCGGAGATCCTTCCGGACCCAGTGATGCAGTGATCTTCAGCCGGAACTGAAAAGCTTCCGTATTCTTGGAAATCACATCAGAAGTCCCAGTGGATTTGCAGTCTGCAAGGAGGAAGGGTCAAGATTGGTGGAGTCCGGGCATAAGGCAACAGGGCATGCGACAATCTAGACCTGATGTAACGGAAACACAATTCCGGAGCTTATAAAGGCGATGCCTGTCCTCCTATTTGGTAATGGGAAAGTGGGGATATCCTACCATTCGTCTGGGACAGGGCCTGAGACTTGACACTTCTGCCCAGGCGTTGATCAAGAGTGGCTGAAGGCGTACCTTGGAGGTTCCACTGGCCGACTCCAGTGATATTTTCCAGGGTTCACAGCATGCTGTCGGAAATTGGCTCTCAGGCGGCTAGACGCTATAGCTGTTGGTTCATGTATCAACGTTGGACAAATAAAGCCTACATTAGTATAGGGGAAGATTCAAGTGGATTCAAATTTGTGATAAAGAGGTTTTTTGTATTAATGTGCTCTGTGCCCAGACAGATTTCCTCTTATAAAATATGTCCAATGCCGCCATATATATCATTATTAAGTATCCAAAAATATCCGGAGATCCCATGTCATGAGGGAAACAAATGTGCAGGTCGTCGCGTCATAGCAATATAAATGATCAATGAGCAGAAGTAAAAGAAGATGCCTGGCCAACATGGCACAGGAAATGTAGGGTAATAAATCCCAGGAATAACATGGGTACCGAGGCCCGCTCGAGTATCACATGTGGATTTGTTCAATGTGAACATCATAGGCAAGGTAGACACAAGGATGGGTAATGCAGATAGCGAGATATATCAGTAATCTAGTCAACGGCTCTCCCAGGAGACTCTTCGATGACGACGAATAGACATATCATCCGCCTCCGAAGAGGGAGCCGTGATTCGACCACTCACCCTCGCCATGGGAGGAGGATTGAGGGTAACAGCCATAGCCGACGTGACAGAGATAGATCTTGATCTAGAAAGAACAACCGAATGACGAGGAGAGTAAGCCGGCGGTGGGGTTTCCCGGGTCGCAGTCGATGTGTTTCCATAGCTGCTGGGGTACGAGAAGGTAGAGGCTGTGTCAGAAGTTGTATCCTCGTCGGCGAAGCCCCGGCTCTTTTCATCGGCATGATAGCCATACGAGTCCGAGGAGATAGGCGGGTCACGTAGATGTGCCTCGAGAGTCTTTTCGTGAATGCTTCTCGGACGCGGTGTGTATTGTGGGAGCGGGTCCACGCTTGCATAGCCTCTCTCAGAGTCAGCGGGCGGGGGAGGTCCGTGACCGTGACCATCTTGTCCGCTGGCACCGGCTGCACGAATGAACTCGCCCTCGCCGGAGAGAGTAAAGCGGCCAGTTTGAACACCATGGCGGGCGGTGTTTTGGCGTGTAGTATCTTGCATCTCAGGTTGAGATGATGGGCGCGGGGAAACATCGCTGCGGCTGAAGCAGCCGCATAGGCTGCTGAGAAATGTCATGTTCGGAATGGCAGATGGATGGTGGTGTGGTATATTTTGGAAGTATGAGAGGGGGTTTAGAGAAAAGAGTCTAAAGCAGACAAATCTCGACAAAATTCTCTAGAATCAAATCAAATAAAAGAAGTACTGGGGGCTTTATTGCATGTCGTTCAAGACGACACGGCAAAGATCGGATAGTTGAGCCTCAATGGAGGATGGAATAGAAGTCGGAGGTAGGAGCTTTCCCACGCTCAAGTCTACCAGATCACCGAGCTGGACAAAAACCCACAATTCGTCCAAAGTTGAAGTGTTTTGATCAGAAAGACATGTCGAAGAGAGAGAGATGAGAACAAGAGATTAATCGTTAGTCTGTTGAAAGGTGCCGCAGGCATCCAGATTCCTGGTCAGTGCTGATTGGTGGTTAATGTCAGCATTCATGCCTGAGGCGGAGAGGGGCTGAACCTAGATCTGGAGTGGATAAAGGACAGATATGATGGACGTCATAAACAATGCATACGAGAATAAAAAGATAAAGAGGAAGATCTGGATCTATAACTCAAAGAAAACCATATAGCAACCATCCTACATATGTAGTGTTCCACACATGTGCAGCCAACATTAGAACATTGAAGCGTAGATTGTCCCTCAACGACACGATAAGAGATAAGACGATAAGAAGATAAACCCCGATAATCAGCCGATAGATGACATAATCAGATACCACTGCTTGAATATGATTGGTTGAGCCTTTGATCTTTTTTTTAATTTTAGTTTTTTTGTTTTCCCCGCGGTTCATTGTCCTGTGGATTTTTTTTTCTGTCTCCCTCCACGCTCCAAAACAAAACCTTACAGAAATAACGCCGTTCAAAATGCCGGCAATCAACAGCAACGAATACCATGACTTCATCCAGAAGGTCCAGCCGCCTGTAATGCCGTCTACACGTTCCCATGACCCCGAAAACAACCAGAAGCGCGCCGATCCGTTCCAATTCGGCTCTCGATTCCTAGAAGAAGGAGATAATGTCTACGAGTTCAATGCATGGGACCACGTCGAACCAGATGACGAGTTCAAAGCCTTCGCCGAACAACAATACGAGAAGCAGCGCGCCTCACGAGTATCCGATTTCGACCGCAACCGTTTCAACAATGACCCCGCCAAGTGGTGGAATCTCTTCTACAAAAATAACACCGACAATTTCTTCAAGGATCGCAAGTGGCTGCAACAGGAGTTCCCCATTTTGGCGGAGGTGATAAAGAAGGACGCTGGACCCCAGGTTGTGTTGGAAGTTGGTGCTGGTGCCGGTAACACGGCATTTCCTCTGGTTCGCAACAATGAGAACGAGGAGTTGAAGGTGCATGCGTGCGATTTCTCCAAGTATGCTGTGCAGGTTATGCGCGAGAGCGATCAGTACAATGAGAAGCACATGGTTGCTGATGTGTGGGATGCAGCCGCTGAAGCTACCGAGGAGGCTGACTCGCTCCCACCCGGATTGACTGAGGGTTCTGTCGATGTTGTTATTTTGATTTTCATTTTCTCAGCCCTTAACCCCAACCAGTGGGATAAGGCGCTGCGCAATATCTACCGTCTTTTGAAGCCCGGTGGTACAGTTTTGTTCCGTGATTATGGCCGCGGAGACCTTGCGCAGGTGCGATTCAAGAAGGGTCGCTACATGGAGGAGAACTTCTATGTTCGTGGTGATGGAACCCGAGTGTACTTCTTTGATCATGATGAGTTGATCCAGATGTGGGGTGGGTGGACACCAGAGAAGGGAATGCAGATTGATTTGGAGAACCCCGTTTCTGAGGCGCAGCTTGCCGAGTCCGGGAACCCATTCAAGGTTATGCATATGGGAGCTGATAGGCGTCTTATTGTGAACCGCTCCTCCAAATTGAAAATGTACCGCTGCTGGATGCAAGGTCTTTTCCGGAAACATGGTGGCCCTGAGCCCGAGCCCAAGGCCGAGATCGAGACCGAGAATACCGAGTGAGGACTTCTCCTGTTACTTTCGAAATACATTGCCAGCCGAGCAAACACAATAGAGGCTTAGCTGCCCAATCTGAGCCGTATCTCTCCTACCACAGATGACTCTCCAGTATACACCTGAGGACTGCCTCTGATATCATATGCACACACGGAGACAAGAGACTATTCCAGCTACCCAAGGTCAGAGGTTCATTTTAGCTTGGTTGGATTTGCTTGGAACTGAAGGATACGAGTCATGGATTTATGAATTCGATGATCAAGATATTTGCATAGAATAAACATTTATAGACCTTTACGCCGATGAACTACATTTTGAATGAGATTAATGGAAACTTTATACGGATTTCAAGAAAAAAAGCAAACATCTCTAAATTGAGAAAAGTTCGTATGTTCTAGCAAATAATCGAAGACCACGGGAGGCAAAGTCCGTCCGAAATGTAGCCTGAGCGGCGAAAGTAGATACAAGTAATGAAAGAAAATGTGCTTGTGGCCACGGCTGATGCATTTGAAGAGGTCAGTGGAAACCGAGTCTTAAGGGTCAAGTCGTGTAGCAATAAAAAAAATAAAGACAAGAAAGTAGTCAAGTAAAGTCACAATCAGGAAACACCATCCATGCGAACAAAAAAGCAAATGGCCAGGCTTAGATGGAGGAAATTCTATAGAATATTGACAGGAACTCGCGTATATCGTCAGATACGTCCAAGTCTAAAGATCAGCGTTGAGATCGTTCGTGTATTTCCGTTTTTTAATCGCTCTTGTCGTGGTTGATCATGTGTAAATGACAATTAAGAAACGCTATGTGGTTTCGATGGTGACCAGATAGTTCAAGAGGTCAAGTTGGGGCATTCTCCCTCGGCGCGAATAAAAGCGCCAGCAAATAGATCTTGCATGGCGTGGTAGTGGAACAAGATGCCACCAAGAACAGCAAGGTGCCAGATGTTGTGGCTACCGCCACAGTAGTCAAAAAGACCGGGCTTCCAGCGCTCGGGGACCTTAGAAGCATAAACACAGGCACCGACAAAGTAAACGAGAATGCTCTTCACGACAGGTGCATAGAAGTACAGACACCACTGGATGCCACGGGTGTAGGAGAGTTGGGCGATGGGTGCGAACCCAGTCAGAGCTAGTGTGACGAAGAAAGCCACACGGGCCCAAGCCATGTCGTGACGGTTGAATGTCGGGTGCCAGGGGAGAATGACACCACCGATTCCCAGAGACATGGTGAGAATTATGTAGGTCCATCGTGAAATTGGCTCGCAGTAGAAGGCGGTGTATTCGGTGGTCACGATCGAAGCAGCTACAAGCATGGAAATGCCCGTGTAGTCCACACAAGCAAAGCGCTCCATAAGGGTCTGGGAGGCAATGCTATTCATGGTGTGCCAAATGGTGCTGCAGACCAGGCACTTGCATGCTGCAAAGAAAAAAGCAGCCGCAATGAGCACATCGGCTTTAGTGCTGACATGGAAATTGGTGTGAAGCGGATAGAAGTAGAAGGCGATTGCGAGAACGATGACAAGTCCGATAACGTGAGACCAAATATTCACCAACTCGTTGGAAGGGGAGAAAACCGAAGACACGCACTCGATCTTCGATGTGGTGAACCGATATCCTTTCACAATATGTGGGTTGACTCGCCATGGGTCGGGCAGATCGGCGTAGGTGATCAGTCGCTTCTCTTGTGCTAAAGTGAGGGCTGTCTCGATGTTCTCCCGGAGCGCATGCCGTGCCCGACGAGCGCGCTCCATTCCTTCATCCACCACCTCGCGAGCGTGTACCAGCTTGGAGTCCATGGCTTTCCATCCATCGTCAATAGTGCCGTAGATGCCCCGATCCCGGACAGCATGAGCCCGCGACTCGAGTTCAGATAAAAAGCTTTCCATAAGTCGTACACTAGCCTGTGCCTTTTGCTCCAGGGTCTCCTTCGTCGCTAAGGCTTCATTATATCGGCCCTCCAGTGTCTCCACTAGAATCTTCGCACGCTTCTTTCCACTGCCCATCAGTTCTCCGGATGTGATCGAACATTGATCACGTACGGCTTCCAATGTTGCATAGCCCCGCTTGAGGCTTGCATCTATATGATCCATATGCGACTTTCGGTATTGCTCGATCCAGTGCATGCGGCGTTCGAGTTCGGCGAGGAAAAGTTCGACCTGCATGACGGATTAGAGGGATGGTCCAAGGAGAGATACATCCTCGTTGGGAGTTAACTCACCCTAATAAAGACGGTGTCCGCATCTTGGTAGTCGCAGGAGAGCCTTCTTGGGGCATGATAAGAGTGTCTCCGGCGCCGATCCCGAATGAGCCCAGTCTCATCCGTCGGGGTTGCAGTGGAGGACGCGATCGCGTCGGCCTCCGGATACGATTCCACAGTCATAGAAGACGCTGTACATGTCATTCTTATTGTTATCACAGGGATATTCACCCTTCGTCGTCGTGAATCCGAGGACCACCTGGATTGCGGGATTTCTTGTATTCAGGAACTGGGGGCCGAGATACCCGAGGGGGCTGAATACAGTTGAGGGGGTGAAGGATTGACGATGACGCAGGCGATAAGAGAGGATTTCAAGAAAGGAGTGAACGTTGAAAAAGAAGATGTTGGGAAATTCAAAAGGAAAGAAACCCCTATGTACACCACATATCTGCAAGGTGGGGGGGAAGAAGGAGAAATAGACGAAGATTGAACGGGATAAAGTCCTTCCCCAACCACACTCGGCCCAGCATTCACATGTGGTGAGCGACCCCCGTAATCTGATTGCTCAGATTCAACCTTCTCCACTTAATCTTTTTCCAACTTTCAATCTTTTTTCTACGTTTGACGGTTAAGGTTATAATTCCCCCCCTCACTATCGCCACTCATGTCTATCAGTGAAATCGTCACCGACCAGTCATTGCTGCCCGTGCTGAGCACCAGCGCTGAGACCCTGGCTCAATGCCAACAACTTTTGGCTTTGTTGAATCCCGATTCTCTCCCGACCGGAACCTCCGTCCATGACTTATCACTAGCGGCCTCCAAACAACAAAAGGTGCTCTTCGCCTTGCTCGCTCAACTTCGCGGGCAAAACAGAGATGCTATTTTCCGAGTGCGCGACACCAAACATGCGACCGCCGAAGCCCGCCAGGAGATCGATCGCTTGCATCTCCAACTGCAGAACCTGTACTACGAACAAAAACACCTGACAGGCGAGATCGCTGCCTGCGAATCTTATGAGTAGGTGTATCCGATGTATCTATTTTGCTTTTCTTAGTCAACACGTCTAATCCCCAATGTTCGCCACAGCCACCAATATCTCTCCTTGCCGTTGATCCCCGTCGAAGACTTCCTCGAACTCTTTCCAGAACACAGCGGCTCCAGTGAACATGAACTGATGATTGCGCGCATCAACCATGAACATGCGGAACGGGAAAAGCTCGAGCAGGCGCGACAGGAACTGTTGAAGCGCAAACAGGCCTTGATCGCAGAAAATAAGAAGCGCAAAGATGATCTAGCCAACTTGGATCAGGATCTCGAGAAGTTTGTTGATGCAGCCAAACCAATCCAGAAGATTTTCGAAAAGGAATACTAGATCTGCGGATATGAGGCGTGCATATACTGCAAGGTCAATTGTTTATGGATTCGACCGCTATAAGGAAATGGCGTTATTGATCAAGATACCCTGTTTGATTTGAAGGATTCAACCTTCTATTTATTTACTTACCATACTTTACTCCAATTTAATCATTATTATATGATGATATACCGAATGTATCTCCGTGCACAACTAATACTATGCGGCACCTAGACATCTTTCAACCAAACCCAGAGCCAAAAAACTATAGAGAACTTAGAGGCACATTTTTAAGGATGTGGCCCTGCTAGTACATATATAGCGGCGATTTCCAAGATACAAATGTATGAGCAAGACATTCATCTGATTTAGTATATAGTGGAAACCACTTGGTATTTGAAATAAAAATAATAAAAATATCATATTCTAAAGATTCAGGGAAATCATGAGAAAATGCAACAATATAGATGCTCCAGAAGAAGATTCGGATTTGAATTGAATGAATTCAGTAGCGTATTCAACGATTTGTAGCGTTGGAAGATAGTAATAAGAATCAGAGTATGGACGTGTAGATGGTAGGGTATGTACGAGAGGGGCAGAATCTCTGCCATACGTAGCAATCGAAGCTATTCCGTTTTAGGCCTAGTATCACTTTTGAAATGGACTCCGTATTTGGCTCCCTTCTCCGCCTTCCTGGGTAGCTTCGTCCCCCAAGTACATACAATACTTCGCCATTCCTTTACTACACGAGTTATAGTTCAGGGTGAAAAGTATGTCCCGAATATGACCAATAAAAAGGGAGACCACGAGTCTCCGAAGGCCTTGGCCAATTCGGCTTCTCAATCCACAACCCAGCGCGTCCCTCCCCCCGAAACCTCCGAGGCCATCCACACGCGATTCCGTGTAATTGCGGCTTTCTGGGCTGTTATTATATTCTTAGGATTCCCAATATGGTGGAAGACAACATCTATCTATCGGGCGCATTTGCCTATTCAAGAAATGGTTGACTGGGACGATGGCAAGGTACGTGGCGCTTTTCGACCAGGTGGCAGGACAGGCAACAAACAAGTAGATGGCTAACAGTCGCTTCTATAGATTTGCCGCCCTGTATTTCCTTTAGAAATTCATGTTGCCACTCCTCATATGCAACTCTCTGAATCTCAGCATCTTCTCCGCACAACTCAGCATACTCTTGACGATCTCAACGAATTCGCCGCTCATCATTTGCGACTCAAGCCAGTTAACGATACCAGTCCATCCACCGCAGATGAGGAACTCAACGTTGATGCAGCTGGCAATGTCGCTGAAGAAGGGGCAGATATTGCTCTCACCGTCCGTGTACTCTCTCAAGAGGACTTGTTCAGTCCCCGCTCCGAGCTACATGCAGACACTACTCAGCTAGATATATTCTACCCACCGAACCATGTGCCTCTACCTTCATCATCCAACCCACCTCTGTCCGCTTTTATTGCGCAAGAGCTTCAAGGCTTATACAGCGAGGAGAAGGCCACGATTGCACATATTCTTTCGGGCGAGACGGCTGGCTTTGATTCGGAGAGTATCAGTAGACGCCTGCGTCGGTCTATGAAGTACGCCGACACATACCACTTGTCCTTTTCATTGTTCACGCCAGGCCCAGCACCATCTTCCTGGGATATCGAAACTGCCGTCAAAGAATACCTGTCACCTCTGCTTCATGCCTTTTCTCCCATTAGCAACTTCACAATCGATACTCAAGTTCAGCTATATGCCACATTTTCACCTATGGCACCTCCACCGATCTACGAGGAGGCCGAGGCAGCTTGGACACTGAGGAAGGAAGACTTGAGTGCATTCATCAATGCAGCCGAGTGGCCCCTTAACCCTAGCATTGGCAGCGGTCCCACCCTCAACTTTATCCTATATGTCCCTGCCCCATCACAATCCCCACTCGTCGTTAAGGAGAACCGCGCATCTAGCTGGATCGTGCCGCAATGGGGAGGTGTATACCTTCTCAACCCAACCCTCTTGACAGACAAGAATGGTCAATCTAACCCACCGTACCTCACACATAAATCATTGCGGCCGGCATTCATGACATTCTCCCACCAACTCTTGACTCTGCTTGGTACTCCCACCACGCCCTCATCTCTACCACTGCGCCTCCAAACCCTCATCCGCGTACGAGCAGCTACTCTCCTTCTTTCCGCTTCTTCCACTATGGGCTCCCTAGCTCGTCTCACTGAGTCTCTCCCATCTATCCCAATTCCGGCTACTGTGGCGTCTTCGGTCTCAACTACTCTTTCTCACCTCTCCGCTACTTGTTCCTATCTCCGTGACGGGCGGTTCGCTGCTGCTCTTGCGAGCGCTCGTGTGGCCGAGACCGAGGCAGAGCGTAGCTTCTTCGAGAAGAGTATGGTAGGTCAAGTCTATTTCCCAGATGAGCACAAGGTTGCTGTCTACCTGCCTCTTTTGGGGCCTATTGGAGTCCCTCTTCTTGTCAGCCTGTTGAAAGAAGTGAAGCGGTTGATCGCCAGGCGGAAAGCGAAAAAGGCGTCAGCGGCTTCGAACTAGGCCCCAGCCATCATTTGCATCTTAGAAGCGAATGTATACATCTTTTAAATTTATTATTATTTTTTTACGTTCATATTTCCTCTTCAAGGTGCCTGAGTGCCCTCTCAGGCAGAAACTGGCTTAACGTATTTCCCAAGCGAGCGGCCACCCCAAGCGAGCGGCCACCTGACCGCCTACTTTATAGTTTTAGTTATAATTTTAGAACAACAACGCCAATATATTAAAATATTCAACTAACTATCGCAATGGTCTGATCTATGTCCTTCTTTTCCACACTTGCGGCATGTTGGTAATTTCCTCCTAGCTGGCTGAGCTGGCAAAACGCGTGCTACTGGCTGTGCTACGGGAGGGGGAATTGGTGCTTCAATCACTTGTGTAGCGCGCTGTATAGTATCCTGGGCCTCTTGAACAGTCATTCCACCCTTATTAGGCATCTGCCTAGTAGACCGCTGGCGCTTTTGCTTTTGTTTCTCATGTGCGGCGCGTAATTTGTGTGTTTCAACCTTAAGTAAAGCAGTCGAATGCATCTGAATTTCACAAGCCTTTAGAACTTGATTGATCTGTTGATTCAGGGGACTTGGAGGGCTGTTTGAGCGCTGTTTTAATAGTGCTTTAATAGAACTAGCCTGTCGCTGAAGTTGTTTAAAATTCTGGGGTGTTTTTGGTGAGAATTGGCTTGATCGACTAGTTGGACGACTCCCGGGAGGAGTAGGTGTTCGAAGAATAATATTTAACTTCGATAGCATATGCTTTGGATCAAATGGTATTAATCCGGCTGCTGCAAAGCTATTTTGAATAGTTTTAGCCTGGAAGACTTCCTCACGAGCAATTAGATAAGCTGAAAGGAAGTCGAACTTGTCGATATGGTTAAAACCAAGCCGCATCTGATTTTCAACAAGCCGCCCATACGCACGTTTTAACAGCGCAAAACATCCAACATCAAGTAGTTAATGAAGATGGGAAGAATGTGCTGGCATACAGATCGGAATAATATTATTCTCTTTGCAAATTTAATCGAATTGAGGAGTTAAATGACTCCCATGACCATCTAGAATTAGAAGTCGATATTTCCCAACCGTACGATTAGTTGTTGCTGGAATAAAGTGTTTTTGAAGCCATCGAAGTCTAATCTCATCTGTTGTCCATCCATTTGGACTTGTTTTAAAACGCCAATTAGGTAGAAGGTTATCGAACCAGCCTTGAATTAGCACTTTGCCTTTAAAAATAATCACAGGAGCAAGTGCATATCCAGATCCACAGATAGTTTCAATAACTGTTACCCATTCACGATTTCCAGGCTGTAAAAGTGATCGCCGACCATAGAATTCAGAGCGAGTAACAACTTTAGCAGTTGCTGTTAATCCCATTGCAAAGCCAGTTTCATCAAAATTATAGATATCCTCTGAAAGAATACCATTCTCTTGAATTGTCTGAAAAACAAGATTAAACCATTCTTTAACAACCTTTGGATCCTCCATCTTTGCACGCTCATAATTATATCGTCTAGAGAACCGAGTAGTCAGTTCTGGATGGCGTTTAACGAAGTTTGTAACCCAATTCTTGCCGACAGTATAAGAAGGGGTCTCGCCACGTGCTATGAGTAGAATATTGGCCATTTCTTGAACAGTAGCTGGGCGGGGGGCAGCTCCACGTATATCCATAGAGATTATCCACTGGACAAGCGAGTTCTCTTCATTCTGATTCAGTTTGTGACTATTGGCACGAGTTTCAGAGCGATAAGGATGACCGGTAAGACGACGCCGTAATGTAGAGCGGGGTATATCGAATAGACGTGCTGCTGTGGCGACCGCTGTAATTTCTTGTTTTTTTATAGCCTCAATAGCAAGTAGGGTTCTACCTTCCTGTTCTAGAGAACTTTGGCTTGATTGAGTGCGTTTTGGTGGCATGGTGGGTGTTTGAAGATGGTAGGACGCGTTCGCGACGCGATTTTTTGGTTGGGTGGCCGCTCGCTTGGGGTGGCCGCTCGCTTGGGAAATACGTTATCTTCCCCCATAATTGCAGGCATCAGTGGCCACTCTACATTTCATATGAATGTTGTTTTGAATATTAAAGTTTTGCTGTATTAAGATCGCGAAAAGTACCAGGTATTTTTTAAAAAAAAAAGGGCATAGAATAAAGAAATATAGCGATCGCAAATGTGTTGTACACCGTCCCGCAATGCTCAACGGACAAATGAAAGGTTCACCTCGACCGATAAAAATAAAGCCACCGCAAAAAAACCTCTATTCAAGTAATTTTTCGCACCTGATGCACCTTGAAATACTTATTGGCCTTTTCCTCCTTCTCATTAAATCCCACAGCCTGTACCAAATCCTCGAACGTAGTTGATGGCCTCGCGATACGGCTAGGATAAGGCTCAGGCCCTAAGAATCGCCGTGACTGCGCAAACGCACCAGGGGGCGAAAACACTTTGATACTCTCCGTGCTCGGCTCGCGTTGTCTTGGCGGAGTAACGGGATCTGCTGCAGGTTCAGGCTCCGTGGGAAGTTCCGATGCGTTTTGCGTAGGGAGGGGTGGGGCATCTTTGTCTAGTTGGGGAGGTCCGTTTGAGAAGAGACTACGCACCCGGGTGCCAGAGCGGTTTAGCATTGAACGCATGGATCGGCTACCCATTGAAGCATGTTTGTCTCGTAGAAGGAAATCTGTTCTGTATGATGCGTCTTCTGAAGCTATCGGACTTGAGATTGACCAGGTGCGGCCTACTTTGGGGGGATCTTGAGGATCTGGGGCTGCTGCGCGTTTCTTTTCACCGCGGTGGCGGAGGCAGGTTGAAATCAATAGGGCGAGGATCGCGCCGAAGAGGACCCCCGGGAAGAAACCAACTGCTATTGCTTTGCTGGGGTATTCGGAGGATGTTGTGGACTTTGCGGATGGTGCAAGTGTGCTTTCAGTCGCTTCAGAAACTGATGATGGTATTGGGGTGACGTTTGTGCCGGTGGCTGAACTGCTGCTTGAAGGAGAGATGGTGCTTGATGACGCCGTATTTGTGTTCGTACTTGTGCTTGAGCTGGTACTGGTACTGGAACTTGAGGTCGATGTTGCATTTGCAGCTGTAGTTTCGTTCTTGTTCAGGTAGCAATATCCGTCTGAGCAGCTGTAGCCAAATGGGCAACATGAGTCACCGCATTTGGGGAGAGATTCGTCAAGGAGAGTAGTCATGATGGCGGCTTTGGGATGAGCAGTAGAGTTCTGCTGCTGGATATCACACGTAATAGGGTTGATGGATTCACAGCTGCTTCCAGATGGGCAGCAGATGATCGTGGTGGCGTCCTCGACAACAAGACATGATGTTGATGAGGAGCAGCAGAAGTCCGATGGGACATCAGTTCCGCATGAATTGTATGAAGTAGGACATGAATCGCTTCTTGTAAATATTCCTATCCCAGAGGCATGACTTATTGTCATCAACGATAGGAGCGTCAAGAGTAGAAGAGTAGACCCTTTGTTAATGATGCCCATAGTCGACATCGCCATGTTGGCGGAAAAGAGATAGGTTTGGCGCTTCTAGTTCTCGAGAGATATGAAACAATTCAAATGCAGAGAGTATTTCGATATAACGTATAAAGTATTGATGCCTAGCCAGTGTCTCGTTGCAATGCAGGCCAAAAAGCAATAGGCAGCTATGAGGACGTATATTCACTGAGGATGGAAAAAAAGCCCAACAGTGAAGGGGATGGACGATAGGCTGAAACGAAACAAAACAAAAAGAGAGTAGAATAGTCTGAATAGAGCGAGACCTGACAAAGAAGAGGCCTTGCCAGAGCCATTCATTTCCTTGTTCATGGTTCACATCCAAAGCGATCTATTCTGGGCACGCGCCGAATACCCAAGCTAAGGGTCGACCGGGGTTTCATGATGGACTGCATGATGCTAAATATGAAGCTGAGCGGGCGCTAAGCCAGTTCCTCTTGCAGAAATTCATTAAGATCCACCAAGAGTGAATGAGCAGGATGGTGGGCGCTTAGAGAAACACTGGGAGAGACAGATGTAGTTGCCTGGATGGTGATTGGTGGTGCCCAATTTGGCTTGACTAAGCCACGCTAGTCCCGATATGGCACTGCGTCGGGAGGGAAATTCTTCGTGATTTGGGAAAGCTCAAATGGTCGTCAATCTCGTGCCTGCCTAACATCATGTTTAGCCGACTTGTCCGGCCGGGCGCTTTGCGCGCGGCTTCTATTCAGGTAAGTCTCTTCATGCAGAATTATTGCTTTTTGGCCCCGTTGAGTGGACACCAATCCTAATCGCGTTTTACTCTCTAGACACCTACCTCCGCTCTTGCACGCTTCCAGATTCGTGGTATCCATCGCATCCCTCAATTGCAGCATGACGCGCAGTACAAGCAGAATGGTATTTCGGAATTCATGTCGCCTGAGGCTTTTGACTTCTCCTGGACCCAATACCAGTCCCTGCTCGTGGATAAGCTCAACCTGTTGACACAAGGTCAGTCCGGCTCACCCTTTCGACAATTGCACGATATTGCGGTTTCTTTTTGTACAGAAAAGCTTGGGACATAAATCTGATTTAGCTTTTACTATAGACACTGCTGATGCGGACGCCAAACCCGGAGAGCTGCTGGTCAAGTACTCCCGGCGCCCGGAGATGGCCTCGGTCTTCAACTATGCCTCAATGGCTCACAACAACCACTTTTTCTTCAACTGCCTGGTCAGTCCGGAATGCTAATGATCCATACCATGTTATCCACTTCTAATAGTGTACAGTCTCCCGAATCCACCACCATCCCCGAAAAGTTCTCCCGGGACATTGTCGACACCTGTTCCTCCGTCGAATCCCTGAAGCTCGACTTCCTCGCTACCGCCAACTCCATGTTCGGCCCTGGCTTTGTCTGGCTCGCCAAGAACCTCGAGCGTGAGGGTCTGATGCAGATCTTCTGTACCTACAACGCCGGCTCCCCCTACCCGGCCGCTCACTCCCGCCGCCAAGGCGTTGATATGGCCACTCACACACCCGAGACCGCCCTGGGAAACCAGTTCGCCGGCTCAATGGGCGCCCATTCCGCGAACTCGAAGCACTTGGCACCTGGTGCCATTGACGTGCAGCCTATTCTGTGTGTTAACACTTGGGAGCATGTGTGGATGATGGACTACGGCATCGCTGGCAAGGAAGAGTACCTTGAGCGCTGGTGGAACCGAATCAACTGGGACGTCGTCTTCGACAACTACAATGCCATTGGCTCCGCGAAGAGCGCACGAACTGCCGCCCCCGGCACTCGGAGTCTGAGCGGTTAAAATCATTCTGGTGTTCAAATAATCTGTATTATAAACTAACATGTTTCCATTTTCTTTTGATCCTTGATTCTTACTTCCAAATCATTGTTTTAAAATTGTACAGCGGATCTTATTCCATAGAAATGACACATTGTACCCATGTTTTCCACATGTGCAAGCAATATCTCCCGATCTTCTATAAATTCAAAGCTTCAAATATTGTACTCCATGTATATATCGTACATGCAAATATGTATCAGGCCAAAAGAACACCATAATATACAAACAAATATATGCCAAACAGGATCCATGCCCATTGACGACACAGCTTTACTGGCCCTCGACATGCATCTCTTTCATCCGCTTCTCAAATGCCTCAATCATGACGCCAGCCATCTGACCCTCCACCGCACCCATAAGGGTAGCATGTAGCGGATTTTTGAATTCAAACCGCACCTCTAAATGGACCTTTGTCTGCGGCCCTTGCTTACTATCCAGCGGCGCCAACTCCCACCGCGTAGCGAGGTACTCGAAGATTCCTTCATTCGCACCAGGAAGAAACCCACTCAGTCCTGGTGAAGCACCGCTAACTTCCTCCTTTTTCTCGGCTTTTTCGCCGCTGTGCGCCTCCACAATCCACTTCGACCGATCACAGTCCACGCGCGACGTAAATGTCTCGCTGAGAGGCCCATAGCCGACCGTTAAGAACGCCTGAGTGGGATAACCGGTTGCCGGGTCGCGGGCTGTGACGGTCGAGGCATTGAGGAAAGGTAGGAACTCTGAGTATGACTCGACGGAGGAGATTACTTTGAAGAGGAGCTCTGGTGAGTACGGGAGGATGCGGGAGGCTTTCAGGACGCGCTTAGGCGAGTTGTTGTCATTGTTGTTGCCGGATGGTAGGAAGGACGAGAGGGAGGAGAGATTGAATGATCTTATTTGTCTTTTAGGTGTACATGGTGTTTGTGTGTTGTTTGAGGGGCGTGTGGTTGACTTTATTGTGTTGGTTGAGAGCGCTACTTGGTGTGCCCGCAATTCGGAGCGTTGAACCCGGGGTAGTGAGGTCAATGTGCGACTTTGAGGTCGCAGGGTTCGGATTGAGCGCATTGAAGGAAGGAGGAGAGTGCCTTGGTGTTTTGTTGGCTGTGGTGTTGGCGCCGAACTTGAATGAATTGAAGAAAATCATGTTCCCCGAGTGCGCACGGATCGGGATCTGCAAGCCGAGGCCGAAGACCTAGCCCTGGAGTTAATAATGGATGGGAACTTGAACTTATGAGGTGGTCCCCTGTTAAACTTCACAAAAAAAACAAGTCTATTACATAGTAGGTAATATTTATATATGTAGCTGCATAGACATTAAAGCTCTAATTTCTGGATTTGTCCGGGTGTACCAGTTTATATGATGGGAGAGCTTTCCAGTTATATTATTTATATCAAAATTCCCAAGGTTCAACTTGAACTTGAGGTATATACCTACAGTTGCGCTATCAACGAGGCGAGGCTTGGATGCACTGGGTATTTCAAATGCTACTATCTGACTACTGAGGCTGATACCCATCCATTTGGAAATCGAGAGGCATTGAAAAATCCAGAATTGGAGTAGGCTCTGATGGCTCTGGAGTCCACATATTGTCCTGTGCTGTGGAAAATCCGTACATTCTGCTGTCATACATCCGCTAAAGAAGATGTTAGCTTCTATCTGCTATGCTAATGATCATCGAGGACAACTTACCCAGTCCAATTCAGAAGGCATGCTAAGCATTTCATTGATCACATCGAGAGATGAATAGGAAGGCGTTTGAGAAGTGTCTGTAAGCATGGCGGCGGCCTGCATATTATCCGGTGATAGCGTTGGCTGTTGCGGTTCGCCTGTCGCTGGGTTCGGTAATAAATGGTATGGATCGTCTGGTTCGTGCAATTAGTTTAGTTCCCGAGGCTTTCTAGTTAGAAAGAATCATGACTATACGTACCTTCTAGCTCTTCTAAATTTGATGTCAGGCTCTCAACACTACAGCCTTTGACTCGACTAAGCATAATGCTTAAAGCAATAAATGCCCGCTGAGTATCTGGAGAGCGCCGTGTCCGCTTGAAAATCTTGTGAGTACTTTCCAAAAGACAGAGTAGCTGTCTCTGCTCTTTAATTTGAGCCGGGGTAGTGTTCGCATCGTTCTTGTTTTGTAATGGTGCTAGACAAAGAATCATAGCGGAAAGCATAAAATCAGTGTTCTGAAGAGAGTTCAGAAGGAATCGCTCTTTATAAAGTTGGCCACCGGGTAAGCTCTCGCTCCAAAGATCTTTGTGATGCCGCAATGATGCACTGGCAGCACTAATGCAGATATTTCGCGAATTGGCATATGTACCCTGCCTTTCAGTGATGTAACGGCGATGCAGAACTATGCGTGATTTCTGGTAAATCAAATCGAGAGTATACCTGGCCAGTATTATGTTGGTTTGCTCTCCCATAGATTCGGCCATCGTTCGAACTTGAAGGAAAGCAGGTAGCTGACCGTGCGCTACTTCAAGTCGATTATTCATCGCCATAATTTCTTCATATGAGACTGGGTCTCGTCTGTAGGCCGAGTCGCATATTTGTCCAAACACATCCATCAGACGCCCTTTGGCTCGGGTATAGGAACAGGGAGTTCTGTCTTCGGCTGGTCGACATGGTGGTAGCTGAACAGTATTCTCATCAAAATCAGTGTCCAGCAAGTTAGACGGCAACTGAGCATCTTGGTAATAAGGCTGAATAGTTCGAGGAAGACCATTTTGAAACGAAACCAGGACGTCGAGTTGACATAGCAAGGCCCACATTCGCCGACGCATTTCTCCATCAAACGGAGATAGGCTGGGGTAATGACTTGGGTCGCGGTGATAGCCCATGCGCATTGCAAGTCGAATGGCAATACTTAATATGTGGGATACGCCTATTTGTCCATCCTGACTGCGATATAACTCGGTGATTGCGTAGACAAAGAGCGCATTGACCTTATACTTGCCAGGGGTCAAGTAGTTCGATTGCACCAGGCACTGAGCTGTTCGCCGCCTGAAAACATCCCAAATGCTGATTGTGTCCACTGATTTCATTGGAAGAGGCTCCTCGCTGCGATGGTGCGAGGAAACTGCAAGGGCCATGATGGCATATAACAATGCAATCCATGTGAATGACATTTCATGCGGATTGATCCAAAAGCGCTCATATTCCTTCAGAAATGTTGGCACATGGATAACGACTAAAGCCGACGTCAGCATTCCATAGAATGACCATTACATTCCCGTATACACACTTAATGAGGGCTCAGATGATTTCAGGAAACGCGAAACGAGACGGTCAGCGACCATTCGCGACGGGATATCCCCAAGGATTTCTTGTTTTGTTACTGGTTTGGAAATACCAAGTAGAAGAACTGGAGAACAATTTTCGAAAGGCGCCTTTACGATTCCATCACTATCGGAGTTCTCTTCCTGTTCATCCAAGTATTCCCTGACTCCATTGATCTAAAGAATAGAGTTAGCCTTTTCACTTTATCCTTCTTTAAGCACTAGAATTCAAAAAATACAAACCTCTTCTAGGATAGCGCGCCAGTTTGCACTATCAATATAATTAGTACCCTCATCATCAACGACCAAAGTACCTGTATCATGGGGCGATGACTTCGTGACACGGTCGTTCATGGATGGGGGAGTATCGTAGCCAACGAGAGTCTCATGTGGCTCAGTATTGAAATTAAAACTTTCACTCTCAGGTTTCTGTTGTTGCGCTAATGACATGACTAAATTCTCCAAGTGCTGGAGGCGATCTTGCACAAGTGTTGGACTTGCTCGCCCATGCTGGGCTTTGGCTCGCGGTCCGCGACCGACGAAAGTACATGATCCAGCCTCACCACGCTTCTTACAGTTGATGCAGGGATAGGTACGGCAACATTTCAATCTGTGGGCTATTAGCACCCAGGTGCACGGAAGCCATATGTATGACAGCTTACTTTCTGAAGCGACATGCTGTGCATGAGAACTGTACGCGAGTTCGCTTCTTCCCTGTCCCCGCGGACTCCGCAGCGAGCGGGTCCGGGTCAGTGACTGAGTCGGACATGGGGATGTTGCTGGGAAGATTAGGTTAATGCTAATTATAGCACCTGAAGTTATTCCCTATTGAGGTGGTAACTAGAGATTACCGGTTCTATTGCTGAGGATGTAATTCCAGTTGTCCGCTTTGTGAATGCGAAAATGTGGTAAAGGAATAGAGGGGCGGAGAACAAACGAGGCTTTGGCGTCGGACTTCAGAGCTTATCTCCATTACCTGTGCAAAATGGTGTTCCCTATTTATGCCAATATCCCCAACTATTCGATGGGGCCTTTTTTATATGTTCTAAGTTTTTTCTAAGTTGGGTCTAGGTTTATTTTCCAATTTTTGTATTGGTCACCAATCGGTGCAAGATGATGGTGAAAACACCTCCGTTTTTTGGTCGTTTGTTGCATTTGCTCTGATGAGATAGGCGATAAGATATCGATCGTGTGATTGGCTGGTGCTTCCTTGAATAAGTTTGGCAGAATACATGCATGTGTACTCTTGGGTATTGAGATGGAAGAAAATGTAGATGAGTCTCAAATGTAAATGAGACTTCTATGCCGTGTGATATACATTGAAAGCCACTTGGGCACAAAGTAGCGAAAATGAGCATGATATCTAAGGATTTTTTTACTACAGGTATCGTGCAGCAGAGGGTTTTGCCTCATGATAACACAAATTTGGATCACCTTTACCGATTGGGTTCCATAGCTCAGTTGGTTAGAGCGCCATGCTAATAACGTGGATGTCGAGGGTTCGACCCCCTCTGGGACCACTTTTTTTTCGATCTTCTCCAAAATGGATCCTTTTCTACACTGTTGGGACAGAGTGGACGTAGAGGTAAAACCTCACACCGCCTTCACCGCTTGGGTTCCATAGCTCAGTTGGTTAGAGCGCCATGCTAATAACGTGGATGTCGAGGGTTCGACCCCCTCTGGGACCAACTTTTTTTGATCTGCTCCAAACCAAAAATTTTGTCTGCTGTGTTGACTTGATATTGTACAAGAGCCCTGCTTCTAATTTTTCACTGCCTTTACCGGCTGGCACACAGGGTCAGATTGAATACTGGTACTGTAGAGATGAGACTATGAGTGTTCCACAGTGTAAGGATATTGACTAGTTAGTATTCGGTTGAGTTCTAAACTAATCGCTGATCTACTGTCGATCAGCAACACCTCTCCCTACTATATATGATATATGATGCTCTGCAGTCTCTGCCAGAGAGTTCTACCTGCTGACGCAGTGCCACTACAAACAGTGTTGTACAAAGTCAGGGTACGGCGCATGCAAGGCGAGCAAGTGTAGTTGTTGACACCGGAGGAGGCATCTATATTGGATATCTGAGGATCTTCACTGTAAGGGCTCTCACAGAATACATATAGCTGTACTGCTTTATTGTTATATGATTGGCTGGTCAATGGCAGATCGACCCTTACCTGTTTGGGAAGGGGTATCAACATTTGAAGGGGTACTGTAGAGCAGTTGGAAGAGTATAAAGGAAGTTTACTGAGATTAAAAAAATCAAAAATGTTGGTCCCAGAGGGGGTCGAACCCTCGACATCCACGTTATTAGCATGGCGCTCTAACCAACTGAGCTATGGAACCCACTTGATAAAGAGGATTTAAATTTGTGTCATTATGAAGTATGCATTGTTCCTATGCAGCTAAAAACCTAAAGCATACATCTTGTGACGAGGAAGCCCCTTACCAATCATTGCCTTCCGCTTGTATATAATAAATCCCCAGGCCAGCACCCCTTAATTTTCCACGTTATATAGTATTATCACTCTCGAGATAGATTCATACCCTACAGAATACACTTCTTTCTTGCTTGTCGACCTTCTCTTTGTATTAGATGATATTATTGCAGGCACTTTGGTGTGGGTTTTGGTGAGGTGAATCCGACCGAGGCGCTTTGTACCAAGATAGGCAGAACCCCAGCATAACATTTAAATATGTAGTACTAGTGGCCGACAAATCCCCGCCTACCAGCTTGCAATCGAGGCTTGAATTTCATAAATCAGTGCAGGAGCTCTATAGTACTGTGAAACTGTCACATGGCCATTGTGTGACTTTTTTTGTCAAAGAAGGTCAATTTCAAACAGTGGATGAATCAATGCTTAAAAATTATTACATTTTTATGTATATTTCAAAACGAAAATGTTTCGAAGCTGTGTTCAATGTGTGTTGAGGGTGAGTTGAATACTATATTTTGAGCGTTTTTGGAGTGTTTTCAAAATGCTCTAAAAAACGGTTTGGCATAAAAAAATGGTTCATTCGTACAATTTTTTTTTTGAATTCGTCCAACAATTTTTTTTAAAAAGATAAATTATTTCTTAATCAAAATGGTGTTAGAACTGTGATAAATATGAAAATGTACACAATACCATAATAACATGTAAATGCATTGCTTGACTGTGTCTCAGCTGTTTCTTTTCTTATTACTACCGAGCTTCCGTGCTGATATCTGAGTATCTGTACTTAGTCTGTGTATCTTGTTTGGCGCTGACCTGTCTCCGAATGATTTACCATCCAACCGTGACGTAATAAGCAGGTCTCATTGAAGGGATTACCCTCTAGCAGATCAACTGACTGTTCATACGCATGACAACTTTTCCCCCAGGGTTTTTAAGCCATGTATTGACGTTATCTCCGGAGGCATTCAGGCCCTCAATTGATATTGCAAGTCGGCTCGCTGGATCTTAATTTCTCGCCTTGAGCGCAAAGCAATAACTAACAGGCGTTTGGGAGAGGTGGAATTGCACGATAACCTTGCTGCCGGGTGAGACACTCAGCGAGCTGGGCACAGAGATGAGGAATTTTCCGCATTCAATATAGCCACGGTCGCGGTCTGGTGCACAATTCACAGTGCCTTCTCTGCCTTTGAGGTATTCCTTCATCCTGTCAATGTTGCTCTGTTTCTTGGCGCTCAAAGCCTGCTGGAGCCCAATAATTGCGCAGCTCTGGGTCAAGGGAGTCTCGCAGATCATTGTATGAGTCTCGAGCTTTCTGCGCCCATGATCGAATATCTGGGTCCTCTGAGTGTAGAAGTGCCTTGAAGCTTTGTCGATCGAAGACTTCTTTTATTTCTGGCATATTTTCATCTTGGAATCTTTGCCATATCGGCGGCACAACATTGAGATGGCGGCCAGCGGACGACCGACTAATAGATGGACAGAGATATCTATCGAGATTTCTTGCACTGAGTGTCTGGAACAAACATGCTATCCACATTTCGAAAAGGTCAAGCAAACATTGCTCAGATATAGGGAGAGTTTGTCCCTTGGTATCCATGTCAATTGTTGCAAGGATAACAAATTTCGAGCACATATCCTCCCTCGAATCCCAATTGTGGTAATGGAGGCTAGGGTGTCCCCTGCGGTAGATCTTGTTTTTGTGATCCGCTATCCTTCTTGCCAAGTCCATTGCTTGGCCAACGTACAGCCAGAAATGTTTGGGCTCTTTTGGGGACCAGAGAATATGCAAGTAGACTCCAGCGGCAGTGCTTTCGGTATCTCCCCCGATCAATTGTAATCTAGCCAGGCTTATAAGAAGCTGATATATTCCGTAGACATGACTGCACTTACTCTTCCACGGAGCATAACCCATCTTCACTAACTCGTCTCAGGCTATCTGTCAGGATATCCTCAAGCTTCGCACATAGGTCCACAGTAGAATACTGCTGTAAAAAATCCCCGTAACGATCGGAATAGGGTCTCCAACCTTTTGGATTAGATAGGTCAAAACATTGGTTCGGTCCACTGATGTAAGATCTAGCGGAATTGGAAGTAACACTCCTGTAACAGTATCAAATCCTCCAATATCTCCTTCCAAGGCCATATCTTTCTCTTGTGTCAGGTTCTCCGACTCTGGGGATCTTTCGGATCTTGAGAAGTATTCAGATTGCTCAGGTTGCTCAGGTTGGAGGCTTGGTTCGATGGCTGCTGTATTGCTGGCGTGACTCTATCTTTTATCTGCTCGAGAGTTATCAATCTGTGTTTGCCAGAGATTGCGTCGCTCCTCAAATTCTGCATCCCACTTTATGTTTTGAGTCTGCCTCTTTTCTTAGCTGATCTGCGTGGCTGTTTTGATAGCAGGGCTTCGGGCCAAGTTGGATGGTTGCCGCTCGGTCCGTTTTAAGCAGAAGTAACATACATCCACGACATTCATGCACTGTACCTTTTTCAACTCTTTAAGTTGTTCTGCTGTGTCGGGATCAGGGTCATCAAGGTCTTTGAATTGTTCGCTGAAGTCTTCAAGCAGTCGATTAACAATTTTCACACGGATGTTTTTCTCGGAAACCGCCTCTTCATCAACAGCAGTTGGTAGTGCATTCGGGTCAATTTGGATGTCAAATTTATTGACCAGGAAGTGAATCATACCCTTCAGAAGCAAAACATGGCGACAAGCATACTGGTCTTTCCGGAAATATTCATTGTAAGCCTGGACGGCTTCATCACTGGCAAAATCCATGGGCTGTCGTTACCTCTAGAAGATACAACTAGGCATAAGTCACAGGGAGGGAAAGGATCAAATGAGGCTGATAAACGCATAAAAGCAAGTGTTTAGCCTTATTCGGGATGTGAAATTGGGCATGGAGGAGGAAGATAGCCCGAGAGAGATGAGGAGGAAAGATAGGGTAAGGAGCGAGTCCCTTGAGCTTTAGAGTGATGCTAATGCGACCCCCCCTCCCTCTCCCTCCTAAAAGGCAATATTTGTTACTTGTATCATTTGCATCCCTCACTAAGAATTCTGCCGGTTTTTATGCTAGATTATGTACACAATACCTGCAATCTTCTATCTGCCCAGCAATTGCAAAAATCAACTGCCCCTACTGTCCCGCTGTCCTATTGTTTGGCTGGTGCCAGTATTTGCTGCTACTGCTAAGGTAAGTATCCCTAATAATTGTAAAGACTAGAGTTGAAGCTTATTATTATTACTGTTGTAAATCTGCTGCTACTGCTGCTATAATACCTGGCAAAATTATAGCCAACTGTCTGCCTATCTTCTCCTTTGAGGCCTTCTTTACCCTTATCTTCAGTAATGTCTTTATCAAGACTATCGTAGGATAAGATCTCTATATGGCTACCTATCCATTCTCCAGCGGAAAGTTATCGTCTAGCCTTTCATGATCTAGAGCCCAAGCGCTCCCCAAGGAATACAACAAGGCAAAACCCCTCATATTCTTAGCCTAACCTGCAATGCGAGGCAGTGCTTTCTTTTATTGTCCTATTTACAAGTGGGCATGTGCCCCACTATTTCTAAACAATTTTTTCCCCAGATCTGCTCCAAAACGAATCTCTTTTTATCGAAACATAGTAGTTTTGCTTTATAATGGCAGAAATTTCAGCCGATTTAACCAACTGGTTCCATAGCTCAGTTGGTTAGAGCGCCATGCTAATAACGTGGATGTCGAGGGTTCGACCCCCTCTGGGACCATTTTTTTAATTTCCATTTTTTTTAGCCTTTCAACGCCTGCACTGTTTGGTTGAGCCTCGGGCCCTATAATTCCATAGTCCAAATGCCTACAAAGGCACATCTGTACTATTGCGGGGTCTCTTGTTTACCATGTCTAGCCTTGAGGTGATGGTGAGGTTGACTCATCCAGTAGCTAGATAGGTGCCGAGGCCTCAAACGAGTCATCTCTATCATCTACTAGTGAGGGAACCCTCCTCTGCTCTCTCTATCTCTCTATCTCTCTGTCTCTCTGTCTCTCTGTCTCTCTGTCCTTCATATCTGTTAACTTAGCTGAACGCGAAATCTCTATGCTCGACGCTCCTCTATGTCTCATCAATAGGCCTTCGTTCTTTCTTCCTCAACATCCTCCAAGATAACATCCCACTGCCCTTTGGTATATCTCCTCATTCTCTACCAGCTTTGTCTCTATCTTCTGTCGGCTTCACCCCTGACTTTTTTCAAGAATGCAAAGCTTGAAGGGTCAAGCTATTGCAGCTTTCAAAAACAGTCTACCTTCCCTTTACCAACGGTGCAGACCTCTGGTCGATCTTTTGATATCACTATTTGTGGAGGATACCTATTTGAATCTTGACGACAATGATCTTCCTTCCTGGCGGGTTGAAAAGACATCCACAGAGCAGTGCCAGTTTCGAGATAAGATTGTTTGGTACCTCAAGAGCCGGCTGCGGGACAAACATAATGGCATTATCCAGTTGAACGATGATTATAATCTCCAGTTTGATGACGCTTACGAGGATGATGTCTTCGTTATTGTTTTATACTGGTATCTAAACGACGATTTAGCCAAATTTCTTCGCCAGAGAAAGGCTCCTACTACCTGCAGTATGTTGTGCACGGAATTCTCCATTCATTGGAGCAGTGTTTGGAGTATTATCTTCCAGATTCTCCTTCCCCCCCCCACCCCCACCCCAAATGAGATTCGAGAGTGTATGAGCCGAACTCTTTCTATGGAGAACGAAATGTAAGTAACATATGAGCCCTATCCCACCCAAAATGCCAACTAAAGCTTTCTTTTAGCCACAAACGGGATTCTTGTTGATACAGCCCGATAACATTTCTTCTGACGAATATGAGCATACAGTTGGAAGGGAAAAAAAGAAGCGCGGCGATATTATACAGAAGGAAATTTTCCAGAAAATAATCCTCATTTCTTCCGGTGGGAGAAGCCCTCGATGACTGCGACGATAACTCCCGGATTGATTACCATGAAGATGGAAAACAGCTCAGATCAAAGACCCAAAAAACAGAAGCCGTTAAGGAGCCACAAGAGAAGCTTTCGGAAAGGTACCTTAGCCGCATCGAAAGGAGAAATGAATGCAGCGAGCGTGCTGTGTCATACATTGGTCCCAGGGTATAAGAAGAGAATCTCAAACCGCTCGAAAATATACCTAGCAAGGAAATACTTGCCAGTGTCCTTGAAATGACAAAAGAAGACTTTCATGAGCGATATGGAGCTTTCATTGTCAATTATGGGGGTATATTCAGTGGAGGAACAACTACTAGAGCTCCCCGCACCAAAGACACGCTCTACTTTGACAGTCTTGATATCCGGTTCTCTTAGGATCCATGAGTAAGTCTAATGCTAGTATTCACAAGCTACGGCCTAACATATTTTAGATTACGGGCGATCAGTGGGCAGCGAGAGAATGAAGATTGCCCAGGAATCTACCTTCATATCTTATGGGACCAACATGAAAGGTTCTGGCTGTATATTGGCCAATGCATCAACCTAAAGGACCGGATTCACGATCACTGTGACAAAGAATACTGTAAGCTGCATCCATCACTCCTTTACAGCGTCTGAGACTCCGGTGATATTGTCGGCGGCGCCTGAGCTACTCTATCCTTATTCCCTGAATCAAACCTTCTCGAGGATAAAATTATGAGCCATCCTATGCTGAATGAGCAGTAAATTCTCCTCAACCTCGAGGAGATGTTTCTTTCATGCGTATTTCAAACCTTCAGGCCCCATCAGCTAGAACGCTACGTACCACAAGGCACACCAATGCCATGGGCAGGTTCAAATCTCAACTTAGCACTTCCACTATGGAAGAGCTTCTCTCTTCAGTCTGGAGAGGTTGTAACGCGCCAAACACTCGTTGACGCTTTCCAAAGCCTTGATTCAGCAGTTTGAGAATGGGCAAAGTTTTGGAAAGACGCGTACAACTCCCTTCGGGATTTGCCCGACCCTCGACTTCGTGAATATTGGGTTCAAAATCTGGCTAAGGCCCAAGACGCAAGTTTAAGAAGCGAAAAAGGGCAGATACCATGATTTTCTATGCTCTCGACGCATCTGCAAATCTAACCAATGGCCAGGAGGGCAGCCTTTCATTGTCCTGGGATACAGATCTTGGGTTTTCCCCGTTTCAGAATCCTTGAAAGTTCCCTGGCAAGCCGGAGATAAAGTCTTTATCCTGCCTTTGCTTTTTGACAGCCCCCAGGAATTTTCTTTCGCGCGTAAGGCGCGTGACACGGATCCTGCTAGAAGGCTAGTTATTGGCATGAAAAAGAGGATGAGGATGAGTGGGTCTGGCCTTTCACTTACGGGGAGAATGCAGTTCTTGGTATGAACAGCCTTGTTGATTGTTTTGACGGGCTATCCTTCGCTGAGTCCCGGTTATTGCCTCGCCGACTGATATGTACTTTTTCAAAGGATGCTGGCAAATATGTGCCCACTGAAAGTAGTCCCGAAGGTTTTCTCGAACTTGAACATGCTGCAGCTATTTTGGAACCTGTTCAGCGAAAGATGGACTCGGAGAATACTACCTCTTCAAGTTCCAGGGTCTATTCACAGGAGCTCAGATTGTATCTTAGCTTTCACTCTCTACTTTTTAATTTATCTTTTATCCTTTGAGAGTTCTCAAGTCGTAAAAATATGGCTGCTGCTTGTAGGACACACTTGTAATCTTTCTAATTCGAAGAATCTTATCCTATACATGTAATATAGCATCAGTCGGTCAGTCCTATACCTTGCCACAGCCCATGAGCTGCCCATCATGGGTATGTCTGGGTGGATTTTGGGCTTGTAGAAGTAGTTTCTTTTGACTAGCTACGATAGAATAAATTGAAATAGGCAAACTAAGATACATTATAGTGTACACTAATGAAGGCCTCAGGCTTCTTTTCCAACTTAGAAATGCCGTAATTTTATGTATCAGCAATCTAAAGGACTAATATCTGTTTATACCTGAAAGTAATTAAGAAGATAGAATTTGGGTTTTCAATAGTACTTCTACTTACTCCAAGTTTGCAGATTTGGATGTGGACGTTTTGGATATCTGCAGATGTTGGCACAGTTTGATATAGTATATGGACTGCCTTCGTTTGTCTGTCCCACGGTACATTACCGGGGGATATTACAAATGCAGCAGAATCAGTTCAATTTCCAAAAAAAGGAAGGGAGTCTCCCTGCGGATACCTCATGTGAGTGCTCTCACAATATCTTATTTGGAGATACCTTACGCAGTATATCCCCTGCATCCTTCTACTTGGGATTGGTAGACGGCTCTATTGCCTTCATTTGGCAGAACCTGAGACAAGGTACATTGGTCAGTTGATATAAACTTGCTGTGAGCTTTCAATGATACCCCAACCTCCTCCGGGTCCAATTTTCTTTTTTCGATCTGCTCCAAAGCAAATATTTTTCTATTCTGTTGGAAGATAGTGGCTATGAGTGTAAAAACCTACACCGCCTTTACCACATGGGTTCCATAGCTCAGTTGGTTAGAGCGCCATGCTAATAACGTGGATGTCGAGGGTTCGACCCCCTCTGGGACCATTTTTTTTTCGATCTTCTCCAAAATGGATCCTTTTCTAAACTGTGGGAACAGGGTGCACGTAGAGGTAAACGCTCACACCGCCTTCACCGCTTGGGTTCCATAGCTCAGTTGGTTAGAGCGCCATGCTAATAACGTGGATGTCGAGGGTTCGACCCCCTCTGGGACCACTTTTTTTTCGAAGTCCAGAATAAATTCCCTCCTAATCTCTGCGAGGAAAAAGGTGGTTGTTATCAGTCATATCCTCAATCTGATAAGTTATGTATGATACTTCTGTGCACAGGAAGTATAAAGTACAAAAGGCGTTTTTTTGTCAATACAGTTTCCGACTACTCAGTGAGCAAAAGCGACGAGTCACTGAGTACCAATCCGGAAAGGGGAACCAAAAATCGGCAGGAGAAATCCAGTACGTAGGTAGTTGTATAATCCCAAATCAGGGCTACTTTGTAAAGTCTAGGAGGAGTCTGAGAAAGAATAATAGTGAGTAACCATTTGGATAGAACTGACGTATAATTTGTGATCGGAAATGATGACAGGACTCGTATACTACAAATACAAGTATAGATACAGGAGGGGCATATTTGCCATGCAAAGAACGGACATGTTAAACATAGAAAGAGAAATCAAACTAGGATCATCCTGCAGTATAGTCCATCCAATCATTGAAAAGTAAATCAAGTGGCATGCTCCCAGTAAAATCCTGTGATGCTTGATTGAGAAGCATGCGAAGATTCGGATCCGTCGTGCCGTCGTCAGTCATCGCAAGTTGGTTGTCATCGGGAAATACAAAGTCATTCTCACTCGGTAGGCTAATGAAATTTTGGTCTGTATGAGGGATACTGTTTGTGAAGTCTCCAAACCCATTTTCAACCGGCATATCCGAAAGACTATTTGGATGCTGATCTATCTCCAAGTTGGGCAGCGGAGACTGAAATTGACTGCATATCCGATCAATTATTTCCAGATAGCGGGCTGCAGACTTATTCCTAGCAGCTAGCATTCTCAGGCAGTTTCGGGACTGGAACACAGAGTAATATAACTCTGATGATTGGACTTGGGCTTGGTCACTTCTGTCAAAGAAGCCAGCAACAAGCACTAATGTGGCCTGTAGCAAATGATAGGTGGCATACCATGTTACGCTTTGGCATAGACTGCTTTCGTATGTCGTACAGAAATTAGCAATATCATGGATACTATCCATTGCAGCATCGAGGCACTTTTGTTCAGCCGTGGCTTTTGTAGGGAGAAAGCTATGATTCATTTGACTTCCGCGCCAAAGTAATATTCGTAAGTTTTGTTCTTTCCAGAGGACAATCGACCGCGGCCCACGAAACCACGAGGGAACATCAACTGATGTGAAAAAAGCAGGCAAGGCATTATACCAGCGCTGCAGATCTCGCTCCATTGATTCGGCTAGTCTGTATTCTATTTTAGAGCCAGCGGTCTTGGCTAGGAGGAACTCGTGGTAGATCATATCAGCAAGCTTTGCTAGCTGCGCCTGAGCAATTATTGCAGTGTATGTTGTGGGATAATCCACTTCTGGTGGGATTTCCGATGTCAAGGATAGCGTCTATCAACTCAGAATTAGATAAGGTATATTTGACAGAGAACTAAGGGAGGGTTTGTACCTTATCATCGATATTTTTGGGCAGTCGGATATCAATGAATCCATCCACAATTGTTGGCGGGCGACCGGTTGTGATATTGAATCCGCTTTCAAAGCAGTATATAACCCAAAATATATGCCTTCGTCGTTCATGACCGAGAGTGTTATCTGAACCAGACGGCTCTCGGTGCAATCCCAAACCAATTGCCATTCGATAGGCAAGACCAATGAAGTTATACCCGGTATTTGTTCGATCTCTTTTTTGGAGGTAATTCCCCATAAGCAGGAATGCTTGCACAGTCTCTACTGTGCCAGATTCAAGCATCTGAAGAGAAAGGTTCGACCTAGCGGCACCGTAGTAGTTCGATCGGCTGTGGTCTGCTTCTTTGTTTAATGCCCAGTGACCAATAGCAAGAACCATGTAGTATATCACTTGCCATGGCGAGAATGGTGGGGTATTCTGCCGGCCTGCGCTGACCCGACTCTTGAATGTTTTCTCATGTAGAACAGGGAAGTGACTATTATAAAGTAGAAAATACGCGTCTATTAGTTGGCTCTCCTTTTGTGAAAGCGCTAGACTTGAGTGATCCGGTGATGGAATTTTTGGTCGGTGAACTCTTCGATGCGATCTTCGTCGTCCCCTTTGGCCCACGGGATTGGTAATAGTAGGATCGATCTCCTCGAGAATCTGTGAGCCCGAACTGCATCCTAATGTAATACATTAGCGAGAAAAACACCGTGGTCATTAATTACGCCTCGACCTACCTAAATAGCCTGAATCGTTTGTTGGAAGAGTCGCCATCCCGTCAGTGGTTACGGCTTTTTTTTCATCGAGCACTGTGTCTTCAGGCGAAAGAGATCCTTCGTGCCACTCGTAGCTATCAGGAGTGGGCTCCGAATTTTCGTCTACAATAGGCGATTCTGTATCATCCTGTTCAGGACTTAGTTGCTCCAAAGCAGCTTCGATGTCCACCTCGGGGTTAAGTGAGCGCAAAAGCGATCGGAGCTTAGTGCACCGATTTTCAGCTGCATCTAAATTCCTTCTGGTTAAGGGCGTCCGATCGGGTGGGCTTTCGAAGCTGCACGTCTTTCCTTTTCTAGCGCAATAGGAACATGGCCCCGAGTCAGAGCCCGTTCGGTAGCAACGCGTTTTTCTCTTCTGACAATTAATGCACGCGCGTAACGTTGAGGAGCTTGGAGGTTTCCTCGCATTCCTTGGCATGTTGGAATACTCAATTCTGAGAGATTCTCATGCATAAAATGTCGGGTATTTCGCGGGCCATTGAAGAATGCTGGGATAGTGGCGGGTCGGAGCAAAATCGACCGACGGGAAGAAGTACGGGCGTGAGGCCGGCGTGAGGCCGGGTGTTCGGCGGGTGAACCATGAACTACAAACCATGATTTATTCAGAAATACCTACTAGGTATATTCAGATTTTATGTCGTGGAATTATTCAATAAAAGTGCTGTGTATTCATATATCCATGGCTTTAAAAGAATTCAACCATTAACTACTATCTCTACCAGAGTGTATAGTCTATAATACAATTCCGCCTCCATCGACAACAATATCTGAACCATTTATGTAAGATCCTGCACTGCTCGAAAGAAGTACAATGGTTCCTGTTAACTCTGAAGGACTTCCCATTCTTCCACTGGGGTTTCGCTCTGCCCAAATGCGCCGATGCTCGGCAATGCCGTCGCCTTCATTCAGGATAGTATCCATATAGCCAGGGCTGACGGTGTTAGTGCGAATACCATAACGAGCCCATTCCGCTGCCAGGCAACTCTTAAGCATGAGAAGAGCCGACTTGCTGACGTTGTAGGCTATTTGAGGCTGGGGATAGTTGACGCGGTGAGCAGAAATTGATGCCACAAATGTGATAGCGCCACCCTTTCCTTGCTTGACCATTTGTCGTGCTGCAGCCTGTGCACAGATGAAAGAGCCCGTAGTGTTGATGTCGAGGATTCTGCGCCACTGTGCGATGGGCATTTCAAGGCTTTCCACGCAGCCTACAACTCCAACGAAGCAAACCAGTATGTCAATAGAGCCCAATGTCTTGACTGTCTCCTCCATTGCCACTCGAACGGCTTCTTCATCGGTAACATCAACCTTTTGGGTGCTGATTTTGACTTTGGGAAACTTGGCTTGCATTTGTGCAATTTCCCTTTGAGAGTTGGCTGGGTTGACATCGAAAATCATAAGGCCTTCGAGGCCATGTTCTAGGAGGGCATCACAGGATTGGAGTCCAAGGGTACCAGCACCTCCTGTAACAACTGCATTTCCCCTCACGGTGAAACGTTTCTGGGCTCCGACGGCTGGGTCGTTCTCGATCGAAGCCTTAGGGGCAGGTGTCATAGAGGACGCGCTGCCATCGCTAAATACCATAGAAGGTACGACACGAGATGTCAACGCCTCGCGGTCTGTCACTTCATTTGAGGGCGCCATCTTGAATATCGGCGATGTGAGGGGGAGGTGTAAGAGAAAATCAGACCCAAATGCGGGGAAATCTTGTAGAGGACTGGAAGCCGAAAAGGTTGTTGTAGTACTCGGGACCAAGGAAAGTTGATCTACTTATTTTGAATTGCGGCCAGGTCATAAAGCTTTCGAACTGCCCTCCATTGAGAATATAAACTCTTTCCCATTCACTTCTAATCTCGGATAGCCTCAGTCCGATCAATTTCTTTGAAAACAACTCGTCGATCATCTACAGCATCATATTACGCTAGATACATCATTGCCATCCTAGCTACGAAGACTCCACTTTCGTCGGTGCACTGCGGCCCGACATTATAGTTCATGGCGCGTGAGATTGCAAGAAGCCATTGCAGTTCCATGATCGTATGATCCTTCGCCTTCTCATAGTGTCGAGCAGCTTTTATCGGTGATCTCTGCTCCGACCCATGTTTCCAGTTTGACGTATGCACTAACCCCATATACTTTCCCCGGATTTCATGCCGGAGAAGTGCCGAAGCACTCCATCCCTATAATTAAATCGATTAGCCCTCGTGGTATTGCCTAAATCGTCGCCTGAAAATAAATTCAGTCTTTTACATTTTTGGTTTCCGTGAAAGAGACCAAATGCCAATATGGTTTCTTCAATAGCAAATGCTGCTGACACAATGACCATCTCCTATGGGGAAACTGGTAAATAATTACCTCTCTTGTTACATCCATCATTCTGATGTATTCAGCTCACAACCATTACTATAGGGGCCAAGGGGTTATTTCAACAGCCATACATCCTCTTTTTATCAGTTTTCGCTAGTATGGGTGGCATGTTATTTGGGTAAGTAATGCCAAAGACCCATACATAGTACTGAATTGGGTAGAATTGATATTTTGTCAGATATGATCAGGGGGTTATCAGTGGCGTGCTAGTGATGAATAACTTTGTCAGTGCAATCAAAAACCTTGGAGAATTCTAAAACTAACTCTGATGCTTCTCCTACAGGGCAAACAATTCCCCATGCTCGCTTCCAATTCTACTCTCCAGGGATGGATGGTGGCCGTCCTCACATTAGGGGCCATGGTGGGCGCACTCGTCAACGGTCCGATTGCCGATCGTATATCACGGCGCTGGTCTATACTTCTCGCAAACATCGTGTTTTTGATTGGCTCCATAATTCAAGCTGCGGCTCAAAACATCGTCATGATCTTTATCGGACGATTTATTGCCGGTCTTGCCATCGGTGGATTATCTATGGTAATTCCTTTGTATATCAGTGAAATGGCTCCGTCAAACCTTCGGGGGAGTTTGGTTTCATTACAGCAGCTCAGTATTACTTTTGGTATTGCGGTCGCATTCTGGATTGATTACGGAACCCAGAATATTGGAGGAACTGGGGATTCCCAGTCTCCAGTTGCGTGGAGACTCCCACTTGCTTTGCAATGCGCTCCTTCATTGATACTTTCCATTGGCACATTTTTCTTGCCATATAGCCCTCGTTGGCTTCTTTTGAAAGGTCCGTTTTTTTTCGTTCAAGGAAGTATCCAAATTTTCTAGCTAGTTTATACAGCTGATATGAAAATATATAGATCGTGAGGAGGAAGCAGAAGCGACGTTGCTCCAAATTCGCCGCGTCCCAGAAACAGATCCTCGTGTTAGGCTTGAGATTTTGGAAATAAAAGCGGCAGTACTGTTCGATCGCGAGACCACGGCTGTGCTTTATCCGACAGCAGCAACTAGCTGGCAGATCACGCTGGAGAGATACAAGTCTCTACTAACAATTCGTCATTTAAACAGGCGTCTGGTCATTGCGTGCTTGCTGCAGTTCATTCAGCAATTCACGGGTATCAATGCTATTATCTACTATGCACCTCAGATCTTCCAGAGTATCGGCATGACGGGCGAATCAGTGGACTTGCTTGCAACAGGTGTGGTGGGAATTATTGATTTTGTATTCACAATTCCGGCTATCTTATTTATGGACGGCTGGGGCCGCAAAAAGGTGTTGATAATCGGAGGAATTGGAATGACGATCTCTCAACTGATCGTGGGTACGATTTATGCCGTGTATAAAGATTCTTGGGCTACACATCCGGCAGCAGGTTGGGCTTGTGCTGCCTTTGTTTGGATCTACATTGCAAACTTTGCCTACAGCATTGGTTGTGTCAATTGGATAATTCCCTCTGAGATTTTCCCACCAGGTGTCCGCTCACAGGCTGTTGGATTAGCTATTGGAACTAACTGGCTGAGTAATGTAAGTGTCGCACACATCGATCAACTATTAAAATACTAATTGAAATGGCTCAAAGTTCATCGTCGCTTTAATCTGTCCTAGGATGCTCAATTCCATCAAATTTGGGACCTTCTACTTTTTCCTCGGTATGTGCACCTTATCATAATATGAAAAAGCATGGAGTTCTGACAAAAGCAGCTTTTTGCATATTTTTAATTGTCTGGGTATATTTCTTTGTCCCAGAAACACGAGGCGTCAGCATAGAAGAGATGGACAAGTTGTTTGGGGGAAATCAAGGAGAGGCCGATGTGATCAGAATGGCAAATATTCGGCAAAGACTGGGGCTTGTATATGATGATTTCGATAACCTCAAGGCGAAAGATTGCGACATTGGCGTTTCGCAAGTTGAAAACGCCTAACTGGTAGATTTTCGTCACTTCCAGTGTCTCTTGGAGATAAATAGTTCCATTGGCTTTGATATTTCCAGTACCTACTACCTAGTATATCTGCTATATCATTTGCATTTTCTTTGCTTATGTACTTCAACTTTCTGAGATTTTATCCGACATTTAGAGGCGATTTGTTTCATGGTAGACCCAGTAAAAATAGATATTACAAACAAGGATAAGTACATGCAAAACATTTGGTGCAAAGAAATTTTGGTTTCGTATAATTGTTCCAAGGTTGTTATGTATGGATCTGAGGGAGTCGCAAGGTACAAAGAAGTAAAACCCAAAGTAAATAATTCAAACATTATTTATATGCAAATGTAGTGATTGGAACCAGTTTTGAATTTGAATGATAGTCTCTATCGTCAGGTGGACATTAAAACCTTCGAAGTGGTATATTGAAGCCTCTGGTATTTATTTAACCGGGGCTTTTGATGGTGTAGTAGCTGAGCGAATCATCAGATCCAAGGTGTGCTTCAAGGATTCAGTCTGGGCAAGATAGCTCATAAACCCCGTGATCACCTCTTCACGGTATCTTTGTCTGTCTCTTGGTGATGTTGCATCTTCAAATGAGTTCAGATCATTCAAGAATTTTCGCTTAGACGGGGGCTCATCCCCATATTCTGGAGCCCTGTCCCGTTTTCCGGCTGTCCCAGATGCGGAGCTTGATCGGAAAAAGGCTTCCTCAATTGGTAGTATGGTGGGCTGTGGGGAGTATTCGGGTGAATGTATATTCGGGGAAGGCTCGAAATCCGGAGTAGATAACTGTGTGTCCGGAGGTGAGGGTGTTTCGGTCCTCGCAGGTGAAGCTAAGGTCCTTGACCCCCGGGTGGCGTTATGAGACGGGGTATCTGGTATCTGAGTACCCCGTAGTAACCGGTGAAGAGCCCTCCTATTTGGCGGAACAACACAGCTTTTTGTCCAAGCGCCACGATATTCCGTTTCTCGATCCGAAGACAGCTCTTCCTGAATTGAACTCAAGAATTCTTTCATGTTCAGCTGAACATGAGTTTCTTTGCGGATTCTGAATTGTCTTCTGAATTCATCTGCCCAGGATTTACCGACAGCATCAAGGACAGTGCTATATAGGGGGCTTATAATCCGGGCCGACTTTCGCGGGAAAGATAGACAGAGAATTTTCATGGAGAAGCAAAGCATTTCCATTTCGGTGTAGCTATCAAGATGGTGGCCATCAACGAACAACACACGCCAAGGATGCTCATCGTCGAGTTCGACTTTTCCTCTTGTCGATGGATCAAAAATTCTTTTGACCCATTCTAGAAGATGAATCTCATCTGCCCATCCCTTTTTGTGATTTAAAACCACATGAGCTCCTTGCAAATACTTTTTGGACACCTTCTGGTACCCTTTTGTAATAATGAGAGGTTCGAGAAATTTGCCTTCGTATGTCAGGCAATGTACCACGGAGTGAAAGTCTCGAGTTTCTCTGTCTGAACGTACAGCTCCGTCTGGCCTCGAAATTGTTAAAGACTGTCCCTCGGATCTTATTAAAGGGATAAACCCAAGTTCACCAAGTGTATACACATTTTCATTAGAAAATGGATAATTCTCCCTCGCGTTATCAATCACGTCAAGAAATCCAAGCACTGTATCAGAATCTGGTCTGAAACTAGAAAGACTGGTTGCCCTGTGCTGATCCCGAGATTCCAAAAACTTGTTCTCTAAATCTGGGTGGCGTTGGAGGAATCTTTGTACCCAATTTGTGGTGACTGTCTTAGGAAATTTCTCGTTGTTCCTTTTGGCGAGTTCCTTCAAAGATAGAAGTGCAATTTCAACAACTTGTGCCTCTTTTTTCATGGGAAACCCGTGGTTGATGTATCTTTCGACATTTCTTACGATGAAATTCTCTTCATCGGTTGCAAGCTTCGGCTTGTTTTTCTTGGATTGCGGTTTCTGTCGTTCATGCCCCGTGTTATCTATATCCATGACGTTGTGCTTCCTCCGCAAATAATTTCCAGCAATGTTGGTGTTCAACTCTGATCTAATAATATGCGAAGGGGGGGCATTGATAACCTCCAGAGACGGCGGCATTCATAGCAAGCTTCAACGTGTGTATCGGGGATAGGATAGGTTTTGTTCGAACGGTTCTTGAATAGGGTACGCGGAGACAGTATCGAATCTGTTCATACGTTTTTCGAATGCGAACATTAGATTTGAGAATGAAGAAAGCGAGAAGAAGAGTTTGAATTCAAATTGTGGTCAAAAAGGAATGCTTCCTCCAGTTGGCTTCGAAATTCTCGCTGTTTAGCGACATCCGAGTGGATAGGTCCAAAAAGCCCAAAAAGCAAATAAAGGTTCCCTCCCGATGCCTAGAATATTTTGAAATTCAGGAAAAGTCTGCTTCTCAACAATCTCAGCCCCTGGAAAGGCAAGCAAATTTCACTTAATAGTTAATCGTGCCCACTGGCTTCAAGTCCCTGTCCGAAGTCTTTCAAGAGAGGAACGTTAGACATATCCAACCTTTTAACATTATACCAAAAGACGCGTCACTCATCAATTTTTTTGTTCAAACAAAAGAAATTCATTTCAATATTGTTCTATCTATGATTTTTGACGAATTAATCGAGTCATATCTGATCATATTCCCAGATCAAGGCAGGACATAACCACCATCAATGAGCACATCACTGCCAGTCATGTAAGTGGAGGCATCACTGGCGAGATACAGGTATAAACCCTTGATCTCCTTAGTGTGTCCCTGTCGTCCGACAGCAGCCATACGGTAAGCCTCATTAATAGCGAAGGGGCTAGCGCCCATCTTGGTGTCGAAGAAACCTGGCGAAACGATATTCACTCGAGCAAATTCACGCCACTCGCGAGCAAGAGACTTGCCAAAGTGAGTGACATATGCCTTGGTGGCATTATAAACAGGCTGATCGGTTGGTACGTTTACAATGTGTCCACTCATACTGGATGTGATAATCAAATTGCCAAAGCCCTGTCGGTGGAAGACCTCACCAATATACTTTGAGCAGTATACGATACCATCGACTAGATGCAATTAGATTGAGTATATCTTTAACTTGGAAAGAAAACTTACCATTCACAGACATTTGCTTGCGGTACTCGTCAAGAGTTTGTTCCAGGATAGGCTTAGAGATGGCCATTCCGGCATTGGCGATGAAAACATCGATCTTGCCAAAGTCTTGAACAACCTTTGCGATGGTTTCTTGCACTTGGGTGGAAACAGAGACGTCAACTTTGTAGGCAGATGTCTTCACATTGTGAGTCACAGCTAAGTCCTTAGAATGTTGCACCGCAGCATCATTTCTATCGTTGCCCTCATGTATTAGGCTAGGTCTTTCAAAACCGGGAAGTGTAACTCACGAATTATACCAGAAAGCCACATTGCCACCAGCTTCGGCAATGGCTTCCGCGACGGCCAGACCAATCCCATCCGCTGCACCAGTGACAATGACCACCTTTCCGTTCATACGCAATTGGTCCAGAACATTGGATGGTGTGTTAGGGAATGGGCGGGGGAATCCCTCGCGGGTAACGGCACAGTCATCGAAGTTCATAGACATATTTGCGTGTTTTGTTTGAAATTAAAGATGCTACTAAAGGTTTAGTTTTGCGATGCCTGGGTGGTCTTTAAAAGTTGTCCTCTTGTTCTGAGTTCGGGACACAGCACCCCGCGCCAACGGCGGGCGCACTACATGGGTTGATGTCGGTGCGCTCTCGCCCGATTTGCGCCACGGTCGGAGTTGTGCCGGGGTGGGGACCCCGGGGAAATGCCTGGAGCTATACGGAGTATTGGTTCATACCCCACTTTGTCGAAGGAGGAATTGATCACTCCTCTCCTTGCCCGGGCTGTCTGAAACATGGAATCTTCATAAACACCGAGGTATTAAGCTCAAAATCAATCTCAATCAGTTATATCCGTTGTAGACCAGTTCGATATAACAATTTCAGCGAGACCAGCCGCCGCTTGTTTGAATTTAAATCCAAAAGTTCATGATGTTCCTTCCAGCTCTTTACGGAGAATGAAGGATATCTAAACATATCTACCTAATAAATGGGCGAAATAGTACAGTTCGAACGCTTGAGAGATATATAGAAGTTGAAAAAGAGACAAGAACGACAGACATGACTCGTGTCGGGCATGGCTTTGAAGCCAATATATGTACACTCACAGACGGACCTGGCCACCATTGAGTCTGTCCCAGTCTCGGTGCTCAAAAGGGACATAGGTGCTGCCTTGAAGCCAATAAATACGGTGGTCCTTGGAGATCTGCTCAGGGTCTACGCCCTGAGTACGCAAGTCCTGTTTCTGCTGCTTCATGTTACCGGTGGCTGGCATTTCGGGCATGACGCGGAGGAATATCGGGGCGGCATATCGTGGTAAATTCTTAAGCGTATGGGCAGCAATATCATCAAGTGTGGTACGGCTAGGCTCCAGTGCCAACCCTGTCAATTGGCCGCTAGCAAGCTGGTCACTTGTGATCAATGCCGCACATCCAGCCCGGCCATCATGGTTGGGCAGAGCCACGCCGTAAACGTTGGCTTCGTGTACGGCTGGGTGAGCCCCCATTACCTCAGATACCTCGCTAGTTGAGACATTCTCGCTCTTCCAGCGGAATGTATCACCCAGACGATCAGAAAAATACCATCTCCCCTCCTTATCCCATCGAACCATATCACCTGTACGGAAGTAAGCGTCGCCCTTTACAAGAACATTTCGCAAAATCTTCTTCTCAGTAGCCTCTGGGTTCTTGAAGTATCCTTGGAAAGAGGCATTTGGGTCTGAAGAGTCGAGAACAAGAAGAAGTTCACCGGGATCGCCACGAGGGGTCTTTCTGCAGAGACCGGTCTTTGGATGGCGCCATGGTTCCTGGGTCTCCCAGTCCACGTCTACGACGGTAACATGCCGATTGAGAATGAGGTTTCCAATAGTACCATTTCGTCCGATCGCGCCGGCGGAGAAATCATTGGACGAGAGATTCCACGACCCATTAGTACCTTCAGTGGCAGCATAGAATTCGGCAATGGTAGGAATGTTGAAACGCTGCTTAAAGCGATTCCAAATATCCGGACGTAGGCCATTGCCAAAAGCGAGGCGAATATTATGCTTTTTGTCCAAATCCTCTCCGGTTGCCGGGTCGATGTTGGGAGGTGTGGCCAAGATATACCGCAAAGTCTCGCCGACGTATTGTATGATTGTTGCATTGGTATCGCGAGCCTCACTCATGAAATTCCGCGCAGAAAACCTGCGGCCGATAACTAGTGTCGAGGCGCATTGAATACAATTCACGAATGCGAGCATCGCTGCCGATGAGTGATATAGAGGCATACACTAAAGAGGAGCAGGAATTAGCGACGGTTTGTTCTGTTTTGAAGGCTCCGATTCAGAGACATACCGTATAAAAGCGGTCTTGGGAGGTGAGGCCCATCCAGTGACCCACAAAAATAACACTAATCCAACACTTTTGCCAACTGACAATCGCAGGTTTAGGAAGGCCAGTTGTACCACTTGTGTAGATCAGGAAGGCCATGTCACGCTGAAGAGCACCAGCACGCTCCTTATCATCTTGCCGCACGGGCTCCTCTTTAATTATTTGTGCTTCTAGATCAACAGTCAAATATTCCACTTGCAATGGGCCCTTCCCATCGCGAAATTCTGAAGACGCGAATGTCTCGAGCAATTCAGGCGTGAAGTGTTCGCGGATTTCATCGTCAACAATGACCAGTCTTGCGGTAGATACCTTAAGGGAGTGAGCGAGGGGTTTGTTGGTCAAGTTGAAATTAATCAACGCCGGACTCGCTCCAATACTCCACAAGCCAAGTATCATGAAGACAAAACTTGATGAATTCATGCAGTCCAGAGCGACAATTTCTCTGGATTTCACATTGTGTACGTTCTTGAACCAGTTACCGAAACGAAGAACAGTGATGTAAGCTTCGTGAAATGTCCATGATTGCCCATTGTACACAATGAATTCATGATTAGCGGTTTTTGGTGAGAGGGCGTTCTGTTCGAGGACATAAAATATATTCAAATGGTCCTTTCGCTCTGCTACTCTTGTCCTCACGCTCATCTTGGCCGCAGCCGCAATAAATTTCGCATCGTAGAAGACGGAGTGTTTGGCGTTGAGGTAAGCTAAGGCCGTTGCCGCTGCGGGGAGAGCAAGGCTCAGTGGTATATCTGTAAGAACAAAACAAGGATTAGAAGAGTATCTGTAATCGCATCGCATGCAGACTTACCAGGCAAGAAAGGCAGAGGCATTTTGACTGTATCCCCGGATTCACAATGGGCGCCCGTAAGGTGGAAAGGTTCTGGAAGCCCAGGATGGCAGCAATCCGACTTTCTTTAATCGGGAATCAACCCGGGGCCGATTAAGTGCAGGATGGGTCCGCTTGGGGGCAGTAACGGATTTCAGGTGGGGGCTGGGATAGGTATCCACCAAAATGAAGATCCCAAAAGCGAAATAGCAGTCTATAATGAGACTTCACAGAGCCGGAGGAAATAAAAAGTAACCAAGTAAAAAGACAATGGGGTTATGAAGATACCTCGGCACCGATGCGGTCCGGTTTGATCGACTTTCTAGGCTGCACCTGACAACTTCAAAGGAGCAGCTCCCACCCTTACTCTATCCGGTTAGAGGTTCAATAGCTGACATTTCTGTTATTTATACTACGTCATATTTAGTTTCCACAGTGAGAAAAAAAAATATTTATTTATTTCCTATCTTAGGGTACAGTGGTCTAAAGGGGAAATTCCTGACCCTTTGGCAATCCATTGATCTATATTGGTGCTTGAGGCGAAGAAAATGTCACTTCCTGACCAAGATTCTCCAGACCAAGACTTCCAAAAGTGCTTAGCTCAGATTACACCTGGGCAATATTAAGAGGGCTCTCTGAAGGTCGATAATGACGATGATGAAGATATCCATGGGTATTCATATTGTTCAAGTTCAACATCATTGCTGAGACACAGCCTCCTTCTTTTCCTTCTTCTTTTTCTTGATCACAGGAATATCATCATAGTCTTCTTCCATAAACTCACGCAGGGCCTCAAGACCCTTCTCAAGCACTTCCGTTTCACAGACATATCCAATCCGAACATACCCATGGAAGTCCTCCCGACCTCCGAAGCATAGACTTCCCGGTACAAACATCACCCCAGTCTCCTCCAGTAACTTTTCGCAAAAAGCAACATCATCGACTGGCTTTCCCATTTTGGCGAATCGAACGAATGCAGTAGTCCCAGCTCGTGGTTTAACCCACTCACAAGCCCATCGGTGAGACTCGATGAATTTTTCTAGAATTTCAAGATTTGTCCGACCGAGTTCTATATTGCGTTGAAGCAGATTGTGGATGCACTCTGGTGCTAGGGCAAAGCTAGCGATTGCGTCATCGATTTGCCCAACAGAGATGATAGTATAATCTCGAGAGCTGGCGCATGTTTCAATGATGGATCGGTTGCGCGATGCTATCCAACCCACACGTATCCCAGCTAAGCTGTATGCTTTCGATGTCGAGCCCGTGACGATGGTGTTTTCGTAACCAAGAGATAGGAGGGAAGGTGGAAACTGTGAGTCCATAAAGTTGAAATTATGGAAAAGAGGCCGGTACACCTCGTCGGAAAGAATGGTGATAGAGGACTCGCGGGCAATGTCGACCAGGTCTTCAAGGGTGTCGCGTGGTATAACGGCCCCGGTGGGATTCTGAGGATTACTTCGAGGACCATTGTTAGTTTACATCCTCAACCCATAATTCCACGTGGTGTTCAGATCAATTATGCGGCTCACTTTATAATGATCAGCTTGGTGTTGGGCTGGATGAGTGCTTTCAATTCTTCGATATCGAGCTTCCACCCATCCTCTTCCTTGGATTTCCACAAGCTTACTTCAGCGCCTAGGGATGCAGGTACTGAATAAAGCTGTTGATATGTCGGGTAATGGCAGATAACATGGTCTCCTGGTCCAACTAGGCTGTACAGGGTAAGGAAATTGGCTTGAATAGCACCATTTGTGACCAGAATATTGTCTTTCGGAAGGGCAGTAGGTGTTTTGACCGAGTATAGATTGGCAAGTGTCTGTCGGAGCTTGTCAGAGCCTCTTATCGCTCCATAAGTAAGCTTAGTGGATTGTAGCTGAGTCAATGGATTTGTATCCTTGTCCTCGGAAAGTTCGCGGAGGTCGTCAATCGAAAGGGATGCGCAGCAGGTCTCGGCGGTATTGTATTTTGCTGTAAGTTCATATTTGTCCATCCACTTGGAATTGTCAGCATTAATGCTTTCAGTAAAGGGGGGGGTCTATAAACAAAATAGAAAAGCCGAGTCATACGGGAATGCGGGGAGTGTACCTGCTCAACTGCGAACTCCTCGATTTTCACCATGATGCTGTTCTTTGTCTTCGGGCTGGATAGAGATCTTTTGTATGGGAGTCCGCCCTGTCAGTCCTACAGCAGAGTGTCCGATGCCGCTCAAATATGAACACGTTGTCAAGGAAGATACTCGATTCTCGGGCTTGAGACCGATCCCCGCGTCACGTGTGCCCCGCATTATATTGACCAGTTGACAAAAAGTAGGCCAACGACGCATAGTATAGAGATGAACCAATTAGTGGACAACTTATTTATTAAACTTCATTTACCACGTTCCTACGGAGTCTTTCCTAGTGAGGCTAGGTATGCATGATAAAAAAATGAATATGCTATCTGTCCTAGATATCATTTTGTTTAATCGAGTTGACTCTGGTCCATCGCATCATGATCCATATAAATTATGTAAGTTTATTGATTCTGACTTCTCCTCCCCATTTAAAACTCTTATTGCTCAGGAATCAAATCGGTCAGTTTCAATTCCAACGTGATCCTCTACTCATCTGCTTATAAAAAGAGATATCAGGGCCTAGATCCTTTTTTCATCGCACAGTAGTTCCCATAACCGCGTAAGCAAAGGCAATTTAATGCTTCCTTACAATCAACTTGAATCTGATTGTAGGCTTCAGGGGTGAGGCATTGTTGGTAAGAAATACACCTATCAGGGCGCAGTCTAAACCTAGGGGCGTGCCCGCTGGGTGATCCCGGCTGAACACAAAGTGAAACATGGTGGATTCAGGAACCTGGAAACATGCGTAACATCACCTAAAATGATTGACAGCCTACTCGTCTTGCATGCGAGCATATTGATCTCAATTTATCATATATAGTCAAGGAGTAATCTATTTAAACAATCGAAGCCTTCTACTCACCAAGACTCATCCATCATTGAAGTCGGAATCCAAGCAAACCCAATTTCAAATATCGTGAAGATCCAGTATCCATATATCCGGAAACACCTCTTTGTCAAGTCTCATGATGCTTCTGAGTACTGCTGCTACTTTTTAGTGCTATCTATGCCGTGGCAATGGCAGCACCACAGAATACTACGGCGACAGGTATTAACGTCTCTGCGCAATTTTGGAGCGGTGATCTATGCAACGGACAACTTGACTCCGTTGACCTGTTTGGAAGTGGCGCCTATCGCTGTGTGCCTGTCACGAATCAACGTTCCATCTTTGTGCCTTCGAATGAGTAAGTATTTGTGTACTACTAGTATTAATACAGATTGAACTTCGTCTCCGGAACGGCTTCTGCCCATGCTCTAATGGAGCCAGCCCCTCGCACAATCCCTACCCTCGCGAGATTCAAATCCACATTTTTATCTGCAGTGGCTAGATTTTTGTTCTCATATCTGTAATCCTTGTCCCCATGCTTTGATATTCCCAAACAGAAGGTAAGATATGCCTGAGTAACCAATATTTGGTCCTCGTATGATGTCATTCTTCTAGTCAAAAGGCAAACAGCTTGCAGTTGAATGGGCGTATATCCCCCGGACTCTTGGAATTTACCGGCGAGGATCAGCCAGTACTTCATGGGCCTATTGGGGTCATTCTTAGTGTATGCAGGACCCTCGGCGGGAGCATCAATGTAGAATTTCAGAGCTGCAGAGTCAAAATCTGCGACGGGGTACTCTGGGACCCAGGTATCTGTACTTTTGTAAAAATAAACAGGAAGAACTCTTGCAGTCGATTGCAGAAGAGCCATAAAGGTCGGGCCGTATCGATTAGATGTTAAACCCATTCCCCATACTTGAGTATCCAGTCCGAGCAGAGGCTGCACTGACACGCTATGGAAATCCGGACCCGCATATTCGGATAATGCAACTGGAAGGTCTGCGCTACTGGACTTGAAAAAGGCGACTGGGCCGGAAATGCATGGCCACGCCCAAGAAGGGGCGTATGGCTGGGGGAGTCTTTGAGGAGCAGGACAAGCGCTGCGAGATATATCGCTGTACCATAGCAACTGACTGTCCAAATCGTCTCTCCATAATCCAATGCAGTAGGAAGAATCAGTGGTATCATGAATCCAGCTAGCTAAGCCGGCTAGGGCATAAATTCGGTCAGAGGTGCGAGTAAGGTTACGACGGGTCATTTCCATTACTATGCGTGGCCATTCTGCCTTAATCGTCTTTCTAAGTTGAGTTCGTATGGGAGTGTCGACTTTTGATATCGGTGCTCGAAACAGAGTGGGTATGGAGACACTGTCTGGTCGAAGGCGGCACTCACAGCGGGTGCAAGTAGAGCAAACCCAGCTCATTTCCTCGGCGTCGAACCGAAGTATGCGCGGAGATAGCAACTCTTCCTGTAGGACCCAGCCCCTTGTAGATAAATGGTTTGTAAATCGAGGCAATTGAGAGTGTTTGGAGGAGATTCCATATGGATCACCGTAACGCGCACGTATATAGATAAACTGAGTGCAACCATCTGGACCTTTGGATGAAAGAACATGGACTATATTTGTTGATCGTCTTGAGGATCTACTGGGGAACAAACCCTCAGACGTATTTTTGGATGACGTTGCAGATATAGTCAGGGCCGCATTGTTATAAACATCGCCCATCTTGCCAGACTCTTCCGCCCAATCATTGTGAGAATCTTGGATTATACACAAACTATCGACCCACAGGTACCTGATACCCAACTGTTGTGTTACAGTAACAGCGTCTCGAAATGTCCGGGATGAATCAGAGAATTTGATTGAATGCGTGAGCCCCTGAATTGTATCCGTAGTTGTTTGTAAAGGGACACCTCCTCCCCAAGAGTGGCTGAGAGCCACATACTGACCTCTCTCATGGCCATTGGTTATGACGAGTTTCGATGGATCTCCAAGTTCATTGCCCACGTCTATCACACGAGCTGGGAGATTGGGAGAAAGAGCCTTTTTGCATGCTGCATGAGATTCCAAACAATCTTTCAGCCAGTGTCTTGCTAACGCGATACAATCGATGCTTGACGAATTTTCTGACACATGTCGCCCAGGTCCAATAGCTGGCCATATGACTGACTTTCCTGTTCAACAATCATTAGGATATTAGAGGGCAATGATAGGGACCTTGGGAGTTGATCTTACTATTATCAGTATAAAATTCAATAACCTTTCTGATTTTCATCTTTTGATCAAGGATATAAACGTATAGCGAAAAATCCACGAGTAATTCCAGCATGTGAATATGCTCAAAGGAAACATTGAATTTTTTTATGCCATCGCATAAAATCGAACACGAATCACATCCTGCCGCTGCACTCTTGTATAGATTATCTGCAGTAATGGACTTCTGTAGCAGCTCCAGATTTTCACACACAAGACATAAAGAATCTGACATCGTACTATATGGTTCAATGAAAAGGCTCCTTAGATGCTATAGTTCGTCGGAGGTCGCTACCCTCAATTAAATATCAAAGCTACTGCGAGCTTAGGGTGAATAACTATGACATTTATACGATATGCGTTGGGCCTTAGCGCTAGCTTCATAGCGGGGGTCTAACATTTGATTTGTCCGTTTATTTTCTAATTGCCTGCAATACGATTGTCGCCAAGCACACAGCCCCGTTTTCTGAACTGGGGCTGAGAGGGGTTTCTGTAGACATACTTACGCTTGGGCCAGCACTTTAGTGTTAATTGGAGTAACGCCACGGTGGTCTCAAACTTAACCCTCGTCTCCCAGGTGTAAATTGCCGAGGTGTAATCCTGTAGTCAAATAGATATTGCAGCCGGGTGGAAAGCACCCATTTCGAAATCCCAGATTACATCTATCAAACGAACTTCATGGATATCCAAACGTTTCTAGCCTATTCAAAACGTCAACATCTAGCCAGTGAAGCCCTCAGAGTTGACCCCCCGCAACGACTCACGCGTCCCCAAGTGAGAGCTCTCGCCCACCAAGTTCATTTTGGGGCTCCGGGATGCCCCCCTCCCACGCGCATTCGAGCCTCAGACAGTTCCACCACGCCATTCTCCGAACCTGTTTCTGTCCCCTGGGATCTTGATATCCCCACTCACTATTTACCAAGGCTTCTAAACGGATTCTGCCCTCGAGACCAGCAGGATATTTACTTTATCTATGCAGCCGGTCCAGACAGTACCGGACACGCTACAGTTTACTTTTACCGTAAACGACGTGAAAACGTGCGCGTTGAAGTCGAAATGATATGGGATGACAGTATAGCCAATTTTTTGAAAGCTGGGGTTACTAGTATCACTTGGGAGGGGGATGCAATCGCCTCACCCCATGCAGCCGAGGATTATGCAAAATTCCTGTTCCTAGAGGCTTCAAATTGGGTTCTTGGCATCAAGCTGGAAACCGAAATTCAGGAGCCATTGTGGTGGAAAAGTTTGCCCCTAGACGCTCTAAAGACGGTGAACCAGCCAACGTATTCTGCGGTGCATTTTTCTGAAGAGAGTCTCGCACTGTTAAAGCCAGGAACCATAATAACCACTTAGTTTGTTAACAGCCCTCTACTGAGATATGAAACATCTACAAGCTTGATCAAAACGCTAAGACAAATTGTGTTTAATATTGCTACCTATAGCATAGCCATGGATATGTAAATGACAGTTTTGAAAGTTGTATATCAGATGTCTCTATACTCAATACCTCCACGTTTCTTTCCAAGCGAGGTAGTAATTGATATACGAAGTTACCCGAAAAATTGTTTATATTATGCGTGTTAAGCGGTAATACGATTTCAAATGTTCTGTGCCAAGCCTCTTACCTAGGTACATCTAGCGCTGGAGGCCAACAAGGCGTCGTCGTCAGCAACAGCTACTACATAGATGGAACAAATTCGCTTGAAAGTTATCTGTTCGATGAAAAAAAGATGAAAAAAAAACACATGAAAGAGTCGTAGATTTAAAAACAATTTCAGTGCTTTGACATGTTCATTTGAGAATTTATGCGGGGAAAGTTAATGTATAGTAGGTAGCACTGATCAATTCCTAATTGCCAGGCGGCTCCATATTGCATTGCAGCTCGGGTGCTGGTTCCTGGCGAACAAGGCAATCCACCCTTCTCCGCCCGCGTCATCGCTTGGGGCCGTCTGACAACTCCACTCCGCAGTCCATCCTACCTCCTCCAACCGCCCTATGTTCAAAGAATCGATTCGTCAGTAGATCCTTACCGGCGACACTAGCACGCTGAATCAAATTGTCGGTGCTGTCGTGCTTACGAACGGGGCCAAGCCCATCATTTGCTTACCATGCGGTCGGCATCGACATTCCTACTTGGGATCACGCTGGCCTCCGGTGTAATCCCCATAGCAGCTTGGGAAGACCTCTCTGACCCCAATCTCTTCTACCGATCCGTGTCTCTCTTCGACGATCGACCCTCCGACTGCCCTCCGTGCTTCAACTGTCAATTAGATTCCTATAACTGCACCCAGTTCTCAGCTTGCAATGGATACAACGGCAAATGTTCCTGTCCCGCTGGCTTCGGGGGAGACGACTGCTCGGTGCCTACCTGTGGGTCTCTAGCTGATGGCGAAAACCGTCCACCGCGGACTGGCGATAAATGTGACTGCAAGGAGGGCTGGGGTGGCATCAACTGCAATGTTTGCCAAGAAGACAGCGCTTGCGATGCCATGATGCCCGAAGGCAAAGATGGAGTGTGTTATAAGGAAGGTGTTACCGTTAAGGAGAACTTTCAAATGTGCGATGTGACGAATAAGAAGATCATGGATCAACTCGGTAACAAGAAGCCGCAAGTGACTTTCTCTTGCGAAGCTGAGGATCATACGTGTAACTTCCAGTTCTGGGTGGATAACAAGGAATCCTTTTACTGTGCCCTTGATACCTGCACCTGGGATATGGAGTCTGAGGTTGATGCGAACACAACCAGTTACAGATGTGAGAGTCTCCAGTGCAAATGTGTTCCAGGTCGTTTTCTCTGTGGCGAGAATGGATCTATCGACCTTGGCGCATTCCTTGATCAAGAGATCAAAGGTCCGGCTTCTTTTGAAACCAAATCGACTACTCAAGGGAGCAAGAGTATCTTCTCCGAGCCCAATATGAACAATCTTATCAGTTCAGTCTTCGGCGATCCAAGCATCAGTCTGACTTGCAATTCGGGTGAGTGTTTGTATAGGACCGATTTGCCAGGTTATAAACGCCCCATCAAGAAAATCAACACACCGCTTATTGCTAGTGTCATTGCTGGCTGTGCTTTGTTTGTTGTCGCTGTCATCTTGGGTATATGGTACCTGTCACGCCGGGCGGCAAGCCGTGGTTATCTTCGCTTGGCCCTTTCCGATGACTCGGATGATGACTCGGCAAGACTACTGGCGGAACACCGACCCGCAGCTATGTACTGGGATAATGTATCTTACTATCTAAACGGAAGACAGATTCTTTCGGGGATTCAAGGTGCATCGTCCCCCGGACAAATCACGGCAATCATGGGTGCCTCCGGTGCTGGAAAAACAACCTTCCTAGATATTCTAGCTCGGAAGAATAAGCGCGGTGCAGTTCAAGGCAACTTCTATATCAACGGAGAGAAAATAAGCGATAATGACTTCAAGAGCATGGTTGGTTTTGTTGATCAGGAAGACACTATGCTGCCTACCTTGACCGTCCACGAGACTATCCAAACCAGTGCCCTTCTGAGATTGCCTCGGGATATGAGTCGAGCGGCTAAAGAGCAGAGGGTTTTGGAAGTCGAGAAGCAGCTTGGAATTTACCATATCAAAGACCAGCTGATCGGATCGGAAGAAGGCAAGGGTCGCGGAATCTCTGGTGGCGAGAAACGCCGAGTTGGAATTGCTTGTGAGCTGGTCACCAGCCCAAGCATTTTGTTTTTGGACGAGCCCACAAGTGGACTGGATGCTTACAATGCCTACAATGTCGTTGAGTGTCTGGTTACTCTAGCTAAAACTTACAACCGAACCGTCATTTTCACCATTCACCAACCGCGCTCGAATATCGTTGCACTTTTTGATCGGCTTATTTTGCTTGCGGGTGGTCGCACCGTTTACTCCGGGCTGTTCTCGACATGTCAGCGGTATTTCGATCAAATTGGGTACTCTTGTCCTCCAGGCTTCAACATTGCGGATTACCTCGTTGATCTGACCATGCATGCGGGCTCGTCGAGCTCATTCACGGATGAAGTTGAGTCCACTGGACGTCCGCCTAAGACCGCCTCAAGTAGTCTGAGAGCCATCAAGTCCGTTGCTAGCGTGTCCAATGTCAGTATTGAGGAGTCTTCTAGCAGTGTGGCAGAGTCAGGGAAACGACCTAAGAACAAGCGCCGTGTTTCTGTGAAGCAACAGCAAGAACGTCAACTCTTCTCGCGACGCAAGGATGCAAAGGACTCCGAACGCCCAACCACCCCGAAGACTGATGAAGAAGATGCTACTCTTGACGTGGCCGAGAACACCCAGCAATGGCTTCGCCTTTCTCGCCAACAGGGCAACGTTCCAGCGCAAATTCTTGATGATCCTGATCAGCTTCCACCCCCGGCACCTGGTCAAACTGATCTGGATATTCTTGTTGCGAGCTACGAGGATTCTGATGTCTACCACTCCGTCCACGATGAGATTGTGAAGGCAACGCGAAGTGCGGAAGCTGCCAATGGTTCGCAAAACTCTCACCTGGAAGGCTCAGTCCAACCCAAGAGCTTTGCCCGTGTCAGCCTACCTCGTCAATTCCTCATTCTGTCTCAACGCACCTGGCGCAATCTTTACCGTAACCCAATGCTGATGCTCACCCATTACGCAATCTCTATTCTTCTCGCTGTGCTCTCGGGCTACCTCTTCTACGGCCTAACCGACGATATCAAGGGTTTCCAGAACCGACTGGGTCTTTTTTTCTTTATCCTTGCCCTGTTTGGCTTCAGTACCTTGACAAGTCTAACTGTGTTTTCAACTGAACGTTTGTTGTTCGTCCGCGAGCGAGCCAATGGCTACTACCACCCGATTACCTATTTTGCGTCCAAGGTCATCTTCGACATTGTGCCTCTGCGCCTCATTCCGCCCATCATAATGGGCATCATTGTTTATCCTATGACTGGTTTGATTCCCGCATGGCCCGAGTTCCTTCGATTCATGCTAGTCTTGGTGCTTTTCAACCTTGCGGCTGCCAATATTTGTCTCTTTATTGGCATTATCTTCCGCGATGGTGGAGTTGCCAACTTGATTGGTAGCTTGGTAATGCTCTTCAGCTTGCTATTTGCCGGTCTCCTACTGAACCACGATGCAATCCCCGAGTCTGCTTTGTGGTTGCAAAGCGTAAGTTTGCTATCCATCCCTTCCCTACGTTCACTGTTACTAACACACGAGACAGCTTTCCATCTTCCATTATGGTTTCGAGGCTCTTATCGTAAACGAGGTCACTTTCCTCACCTTGATCGACCATAAATACGGCTTGGATATTGAAGTCCCTGGTGCCTCGATCTTGAGTGCCTTTGGTTTTAATACGCTTGCCTATTGGCAGGATGTCATCGGCCTAGCTGTCATCGCAGGGGCTTTTATCATCATTGCATACGCAGCGATGCATTTCCTTCTTGTCGAGAAGCGTTAGGCACGGCCTCCTTTCTGATCCCCTAGCCATGACCACGACACTTTGCCTACCATCACGTCTGATTTCATACTATATTACCTTCATATTCTCGGGCGCTTGCATGTAATTTTTATTTTCTTGGGACGTTTTGCTTTGAGAGCCGAGCTATCACCCACTGACTTATGAGAAGTTGTTGTCTCGGGCAGGCTCTAATTTCCAAGAGCCCTGAATGTTTGTAAATAGACCGGCCTGTACGCTCACTATACATTCTATTATTCACATAACGATCATATCTCCGCAAGGATATCGAAGTATATTTTCTCCGATCGCATTCCACTGTAAAAGCAGCCACAAGAAAAAGAGTCGGCATGTTTGCACTGGCGACACGTGTGCGACGTCATGCTTCGCACCTCACATGGACCCGAGCTTTGCGCTGTTCTACCTTAACTTCCTTCTCCTCGTCCTCATCCAACTAAATCTTTTCTATCTTTTACTGTAGCTACAGCTTCTAATCTAGCTCTTGATTCCCCCATACTCCATAATGTACTTATGCTTAACCTACCCCCAGCCCCTCCATTTTATCCAATGACGCTAATGCCCGCGCCAGCTCTTGCCCACCGCCGACCCGTTCTGGTTGGCTCGAACTTCGCTAACCCACGAACCCAATAACTTACAATAATCACGGCTTCGATCCACCTCCTCACTTCTCCTGCACAGTCTTGTCTGCGTCTCCACCCATCCGAGCTTCAATACGCAGGTCCCCCATTACCAAGATTGTGAGTGCGCCTCCCCCTCCCGAATATCTCTTCGTGTTTCCTCCCTGTTCCCTCGGCCTCGGACCCCACAAAATCTATCTCCAATTCCGGCTTCCGCTCGACCTAAGCCCAACCTCAAAACACTCACACCTACCCTATTGTCGGTCTGGTATTAACCACTTCGAAAAGCTTCTCCCTAGCCATTGAATCTCTCTCCCCTAGTCTTGACTCGATCATATACCCATCATGTCTGGTGAAGCATGGCTCTATCTTTTGTCGGTGTTGATCAACGCCGTCAACCTGTTCCTGCAGGTTTTCTTCACGATCATGTACAGCGACTTGGAGTGGTAAGTTCCCTGTTCACACCACCTGATATCTGATGAGATAGTATTTTTTGGGCCCTTCATTGCTGGATGTAACTGACCCGTGCTCTCCTTTTCCCGCGCAGCGACTACATCAACCCTATTGACCTCTGCAACCGTCTTAACGCCTACATTATCCCCGAAGCCGCTGTCCACGCTTTCCTGACCTTCCTATTCATTATCAACGGCTACTGGCTGGCTATTGTCCTTAACTTGCCTCTCCTGGCCTTCAACGCCAAGAAGTATGTACTATCGCCGTTCTCGGAGCTTTAGTCCCCTAGCACGTGTCGCAAGAGACTAATATATAACTTTCAACCTCCAGGATTTACGAGAACCAGCACCTTCTGGATGCGACTGAGATTTTCCGCAAGCTCAATGTGCACAAGAAGGTTAGTTTCAAACATTTATCTGCAATCTTCAATATCTCGTATCTAACCGAACCTTTTACCATAGGAATCATTCATCAAGCTGGGCTTCCACCTCCTGATGTTCTTCTTCTACCTCTACAGCATGATTGTCGCTCTGATCCACGACGAGGGACACTGATTTCGCCAACAAACCGAATATGCCATGCGCCATGGTCGTCCCCGCTAGCTCAAGTGATTATATGCCGGTTGCGGATTTCAATGGTTATCAACACCAACAATCCCCGCCGGTGTCCTACCTTATTATTGAGAGCTACATTAGACACTACGACCATGTTGCCTTGGCGGCCACGATATCATGATTAGTTTTGGTTTCCCTGGCTATCTAGAGGGAGTGGAATAATGCCGGATGCGAGGGGATTTGTCTTTCAGTCTTCAGATAGAGAGGTTCTGATATTTTGGTGTAGACTGTCACCTGCTGGAAGGTGATGTAGGTGCCGTTTACTTTGAGCGGGCGTTTGTCAGAGGTTTATGTACTCTCCTTCCAGCGTGTCGCTCATTGTATGTTCATTTTTCTTTTCATCTTCTCTCTTTTTGTTTGTATCTTGTCATTCTGTGTTGATCTTATCATGTCTTTCGGCCTGTGAGCTGTATATATACCTCCTGAGCGGTTTGATAATGAAAGCGTACGATACCCAGTTTGGTCTATATAAAATTTCCATTTGCTAGCTTTATCTTTGCAGCTTCATTGCTCGGTAATACAGTAATGTGACTAATGTAAAAACCTTGCAATCAGTTTTCGACAGCTGACCAGAGGGACGTGGAATTCAAGTTCTCGTCGAAACACTCTTGTAACCTTGCGTAATGACGATCCATGGATGCTGCGGTCTTCCCAGGTTCGCTCAAGGTTCGCTTGGTGGTTCTGCCGACGCCCGTAAAATTCCACCGCCAACCGCAACCGCAACCGCCTCCGCCTCCGCTCAGGATCTAGTTCCTGTCGCGCTTGAAACTCTCGCCCCAGCATTGCTCAATCATATCTCGCAATGTCAGGCTTGCTAGGTGCCGGATATGATTCCAGCGACGATGACTCTACCGGCGTCCCCAAGGCGTCCGTGACGACCGCAACCAAGGTCGTTGCTGCACCAGAAGTCAATACAGAGGTTTGGTTCCCTACGTTTCATTACTTGCTCTAAATTTTCGATATGGCTCTAAAATACATACTGTTGATGCGCAGATAATGCTAACAAACCCACAGGATCAAGCACACATGCAGCTGACCCTCGCCAATACCTCTTCGCAAGCTCTCACATACAACGCCACTTACGATGATTTGACACGACCTTCGCAAGGTCCCGAAAACCCGTTCAAATCAGCTGGTCCGGGCAATGGCATCAAACGCAAGAACGTTCCAACAGGTTTTGCTGAGGAGGGCGCTATCAGCGAGTCCACCTTCAATGTGCAACATCGGACCTTCCAGAGTCTGGGATACACCCGCAACCCGACTCTACCGGATCAATTCGTGGGAAATATGGAGAATGTTGCGCAATATGGCGGCAAGGATGTTATACAAATGAAGCCTTCGAAGGAAGTGTCTGCTGCTTGGCGCGGCAAGCGCCAAAAGAAGGGCGACTCGAGCATCATTGAAGGTGACGGCTCGTACCTGGGTCCGTGGGCGAAATACCAAAATGCACAACAATATGAACAGATCGAGGTTGGCTCGGATGAGGACCGTGAGCTTGCTAGTGATGAGGAATATGTGGTGGCGGGAGAGGAGCCTTCTGCTCCTACAGCCCTGATGCCGGCTATGAGCAAAGAAGCTACAGACTACGGGGCCGATTCCTCCAAAGAAGAGACCACCGAGTTCCACGGCTCAGAGGAGTTCGATTATCAGGGCCGTACATATATGCATGTCCCTCAAGATCTGGATATCGACTTACGCAAAGAGCCCGGTACTACCAAGAACTATGTGCCCAAGAAACTCATCCACACCTGGAAGTCACACACAAAGCCTATTACCTCGCTTCGTTTCTTCCCTGGATCAGGTCATCTGCTGCTCTCCTCTGCGGCCGATGGCAAAGCCAAGATCTGGGATGTGTACCACTCTCGGGAGCTCTTGCGTACATTCTCAGGCCACTCTAAGGCCATCTCAGATACAGATTTCGATCCCACAGGCAAAACCTTCCTCACTGCTTCGTACGACCGACAGATCAAGCTTTGGGATACAGAGTACGGTAAATGTATCGGTCGGTACTCGACGGGCAAGACGCCGCATGTTGTACGCTTCAACCCTAGCCCAGAACATTCACATGAGTTCCTGGCTGGTATGTCAGACAAGAAGATCGTGCAGTTCGACACCCGATCCGGTGAACTGGTCCAAGAATATGACCACCACTTGGCTGCCGTCAACACCATTACCTTCGTCGATGACAACCGCCGCTTCATCACTACCTCAGACGATAAGTCGCTGCGTGCTTGGGAATACGGAATTCCCGTACCAATCAAGTTCATCGCCGAGCCTTACATGTTTGCCCTTACTCGTGCAACACCCCATCCCAATGGGAAATACGTTGCCTTCCAGTCTGGTGACAATCAAATCGTCGTATACGGAGCGACTGATAAGTTCCGACAGAACCGCAAGAAGAGCTTCCGCGGTCACAATAATGCTGGATATGGTATTGATATCAAGATCTCTCCTGATGGGCAGTTCATTGCTTCTGGTGATAGCGGTGGTTATGCTTGTTTCTGGGATTGGAAAACTGGGAAGATGTATCATAAAATTCTTGCTGGGGGTAAGGAAGGCGGTGCTATTACCTCTCTGGAATGGCACCCACAGGAAACCAGCAAGGTTGTCACTGGCGGTTTGGAAGGCGTTATCAAATACTGGGATTAAGGCATGTTTTATACCAACCTGCTGGCGTTGAGAGAATATTCAATACATCTATTTGTGGTATCATCTTCTGGTTTATCAATGCTCTCATAATTTATGGACAAACGCTTGAAAGTGCCAATAAAATGTCTCATTTTGGCAACCCAAAGGTATCAAAAGTAAAAGTCTATCATGACAAGCAGGAACTGAAACGATGTGAACCTCCGCTTCTCTTTTTTGTAACGCTCGTAGTCATCCTTGAAGTACTTATATTCATCAGACTCCATGATCACCTATGCGCAATGCCTCTCCACACCTTTGCCAACTGTTTCAACCCACATTGAAAAAATCCCGAAGGCGAAGCATGCCGTGGGTACTTCCAGAGCAAAATCGACAAAGCCCCGACACCAATGACCAAAGCCGAGCTAAGACCCAGCCCTAGCATTTGGCTCTGGTCCTGGACAGCACGAATAACATCCGAGTATCGTTGGTTACTAAAGCTGATACGTGCATATTGAGTCTTCCATCCCAAGAAAGGTAGACGCTGGTCGATAGTCTCTTCAATGGCCTTGCGTAACTTGTACAGCGGCGATTTGACGCCCCATCGCATTTCGACGTAATTCTGCTTCGATAGATCATTGATAGCATGTGTGTCGTCGCAGCGTTGGTTGGTGTATGCTTGGAATGCGGCTTGGCGGCGTACACTACGAGTGTAAACGCTTGTCTCGGGATCGTACACACCATGCTCATCCAGCTTCTCAAAAAGAACACGGACATCTTCTAATCCTGCATTCAAGCCCTGTCCATAAAATGGGAGGACTGCGTGTGCCGCGTCTCCGATAATGACAACGCTGGAGCTGTGGTGGTGCGGCTTGCATTTGATACTGATGAGAGGTAAATGTGGGTTGATGGCGAATTGCTCTGCCAGGGCCTCTGGGTCAATCAACTCGGGGCAAACACCGGGGAAGTGCTCATCGAAGGACTTCTGGAGAGCCTGTTGGGAGTTTTCGAGGGTAGCGTAGTGTGCTGCTGGGGCGAAGAGGGTGCATGTAAATGATTTGTCGAAGGAAGGAATGGCTATGAACATGAATTCGCGGCCGGGCCAGATGTGTAGGTGGTTAGGTGAGATGGCGAAGTTGCCTTCTTTTGTAGGTGGAATGCGGAATTCGCACCATAGGGTATCAATGTATTCCTGTTGGTAGTCGACGCGAGCGAACTTCATCATGTGGAATCGACTGGCGGAGTGTGCACCATCTGCGCCAAGAAGGTAGTCGAATGAGACCTCGATCTCGGGAACTCTGCCTGCGATACCTTCATCGTCGGCTTGGGGTGTGTCACCTGGAATACGGCGTTCGAACCAGGCCTTGTTTGTACGGAAGTCGGCACCCGTTAGCTTATGATTGAAGAAGAGCTTGACATTTGGTGTACGCTCTAATTCGTCCAGCAAGGCATTGTTTAATGAGCCTCTGTCGACGGCGTTGATCGCCTATGAATATCAAGTTAGCCTTCGGTTTTATATTATTGTTTGTGTAACCTCGTGGCTGCTGCTATGCATGACATGGTTTCGTGCATATGTACATACCCGGCCATGAACGTCATAGGCCTGAGCGGCGTCCCACAGGGCACCGTTGTCTCGGCCGTGGATCATCCGTCCATACATCGGGATCGTCTCGCGGAGGACATTGTCGATCAGTCCGCTTCGGTGCGCTTCTTGGATTGAATGAATTCCTCGCTCTGAAAGAGCAAGGTTGATCGACTTGGTGAAGTTCAAAGGTACAGTGGTCGGATCACGGAGATCTACGGAGACGCGGAAGGATAAAACGTTATTTGACTTTTCTTCGGGAATTTTCGCCACAAGGTTGAAGGAACGAAGAGCATGGCCAAAACTGAGGATAGGCGATCAGTTGCCGTGTAATTCTGTTTCCGCATAATTGATTTCCTCAGTAGCCGGGATCTCGTAGCGAGAGTGGGCTATTGTAAATTTTACAAATGCGGACGGCAGGCGGGCGTGAAGCGACACCACCAACGATGTCTTTTTTGATCTCAGATGCCTTTTTCTTTGATCCTTCTTCTCGTCGCAATGGGCAATGGGCAATAGGCAATAGAAAATGACTCCAACGATTGAAATTGGTACATACCTCCGCGCAATTCGTATACTTCGACCTCGTCGCCTCGGGAAGCCGCATATAACGCCGCTAGGGACCCCACCGGCCCCGCGCCTACCACGACCACTTTTTGCTTGGGAGTCACACCTGCCATGATGCAGCGGTATATGAATTCTAGCACAAGAAGGAAAGGAACCTGGAGACTGGAGAACCCCGGAATACACTCACCCAGGTCACGTGCCAGGACGCCGCACTTTGCCTATTTGGGCGTTCTTTCCAAATTGATCGACCGAGAAATTAGTCATCTTAATTAACCGATGGCGTGATGCCGCGAACGTTAAGTATGTAGTGCGATTGATTGTTTTCCGATTAATAAACTATAGTCAACCCGATAAATAATCCCACTCCTTGTAAAATGGACGGCAGAATCAATTGTATTGCTCATGTGAAACTACAAAATAGCTATAGTATGTCAACTCAACCCCGCCACATCAGAACCCACCACTTCTAGCAAGGAATGGGATTATTTATCAGGTTGACTGTAGTACTTCATGATGCTTACTAGCAGTAGATATCATTATTCTTGTGCAAAGCCTGCTCTCTAATAGCCTGCTAATGATTACTCTACTATATGCGGTGGTTGGCCCTATCCTTCTATGATACTCTATTGATTTATTGACTCAATCATAATGGATTGTTCCCATATTAAGCGACGGGTTTCCCTTCCACCAGATCAGGACTCACTGCTTAAAAATAGCCTTTCCAAAGCGCCTTTCTGTATTTTCCAAGCGGGTTCAGCAAGAAAAATCAACGATTCTCCAAAGGAGTCCAAAATCGTACTCATATCCTTCACATAGTCTCCAGTCGCCAGTTCTTCAACAGCATCCTGCCAAAACTCGAATCCAAAAGCTTCCGCTGTACATGCACCCCAGGAAGTCTTCAGATCCCGAAGCAAGCGGCATGCTCTTTCGTGTTGAGGATCAATATCCTTTGCCACAAGATAAAAGGAATTCCATTTTGCATGGTAAGTGTAAGGTTTAAAAATGTTCACTTTAGAAAAGAAGCTGAATGCTTCGATCAGTCGTACAACTTGAGGACGATAGGTTTGATGCAGCAGAACGACAAAAGTCCCGCCTGGTTTGATTCGGTGCAATGCTAGAACAATTTGTGCGCATATTAGCCGATTGGCTGCATGCTTTTTCTCTTGTCCTTGGTCTTCGGAGCAGATCACTTGTCCATCACAGAATGTTAGGTCAAATGAACGTCCCAGATAAGGAAAGATATTTGAGAACTTGGATGCGGAAGAGTGATCTTGCGAAGTAAACCCTGGGAATCATAGCTCCGCAGAAAGCATGGTTATATCCATGAATTCAATGCCGAGTCGGGTATTCGCTTGCCATTCTGGAAGAAGCACGGCATTTCCACCTTCGCTTCCTGCTAAAGATATACCACATACTTTGGCCAGAGAATTATGCTTCAAAATAGTTGCTGAGAATGCCCCCGGTGCCATACAGAGATCTAGGACTTCAAAATCCGTTCGTTGCGAAACTGGAGGGATGAGTTTCATCTTCTTTTGAAGCTGATCTCCGATATTTTTCATCATCTTGAAGAAATAAATCTTTGGCTTATGGGGATTGGATATCGCATTTCTTTTTTGCGTTTTGTAATGATCATCCGCTTCAGTGCTGTTCCATACCTGGATATAACTGTTTATCAGCAAATTTTTCAACCTTTTCAGTAGTTATTCACATCATTCGACTTGCTTCTTTATGAATCTTTGAGCTCAGTGAAAACCTGCGACCACGATTCCAAGAAATCTATGGTCTTGCCGTACTCCTCCCCAATGTCCTCTTGAGTAGGCAAACTCATTTCTGATATTTTACTCTCCATTGAGCTAGGGTAGAATTAAAAGGAAAGGAAATGTTCATGCTAGGGGAAAGATGGATTCAGAAGAAGCTTTAATATAATTTTAGTACCCGTGAAATCTAGGAGAATCCCAGATTGCAAACAGATTTGTGAAAGAAGGTTGATAGTTGACTAACACATGAAACGGTCATACAAGCGGCTACGATTGTGATTGCGGTTGGGAATTGAGAAAGTGACGAAGAGACTTGTTGAAAGTCATATAATATAAGCTAGGCTTAATTTTCTGATTTATATATCAGGATTATAAAACTTGAAATTTGTTGGGAAGCTCGTAGTATTCATTCTCAAATAGGCATCTTATTAATGACAAGACTGGACTTGTCCGCTGAGTTTTATGCTATCTATTAAGTATCTAACAAGAATCAACCATAACGCCGTTTATGTCAAGACCCTCATGTCCTCGGTGAGACGTGGACAATGATTTTGCCTGCAGTAGAACCTTTCTTCAGGTGCTCGTAGGCCTCAACCGCCTCCTCAAATTCAAAGGTAGAGTCGATAACCGAGGATACAGTTCCATCAGCCAGCCACTCTGCTAGTTGCTCATAGTCCTCGTGTATATTCTTGGTGACAAGGGGCACGAATTTACGCGGCGTGCCACCCAGTAACGTAGGCAACATCAGCCCCTTGATCATATTCTTGGCCGTTGTCATCGAGACAGAGCCCCCAATAGCAATGAAGTGACCATCCGGCTTCAGAAATCCTGGAGTTTTGGAAAAGAAGTCTTCAGGCGAGTCACCAATGTTGTCTACCACTAAATCGTAGACTTGGCCCTCAGCTTTGAGCTTAGACACAACATCATCGACTCGGTAGTCAATAATCGTATCTGCACCCAACCTCTTGACCAACTCAATCTTGCCTGTAGAGCAAGATGTCGTAACGTGGCATCCAAGGGCCTTCGCAATTTGAATACCGAATGTTCCAGTTCCTCCAGAGCCGCCGTTGATGAATACACGAGAGCCGGCTTTAACGAAGGGCTTGATGCTCTGGTACTGCGTCGCCCCCGCAGTGGGTATACCGGCAGCATGATCGAGGTCCACAGTCTTAGGTACGACGGCGTACGCATCTCGTGGTAATACGACGTACTGTGAGAGGGAACCGGAGGAGCTGACGGGCTCAACTCGACCAAGGATATTATCGCCGACTTCGCCGTCCGTTGATCCCGGGGAAATATCCACGATTGTTCCGCTGACGTCCATGCCAGGCGACTTGGGGAACTTGATTGCAGCACGCGACATTAACCCCATCCCTGTCATCTTGTAGTCGGCCGGGTTTAGAGCGGCGCTGACGACGCGGACGAGAATTTCGCCTTTCTTAAGATCTGCATTGGGGCGGGGGACGTTCTCGATAAGCTTAAGCTTCTCTTCAATGGGACCAGGGGCTGGAAGCTGCCATGCTTTCATATGTTCAGCCATACTGATTGATCGATTGATGATGTGGGGCTTTCCGATGTAAGTTTGCTGAGGTGAAAAATAGCTGAAGAAGGTGACGCGATGACGTAGTCCGGAAGTAAACTTGCCCACGCGAGCGGAGGATATAGCTAGTGAATGCGCGAGTGATGCCATAGGCAAATAATTGAAGCGTTTTCCTTCCTGTTACAGCTAGAGATGCTGTAGAATGAAATAAAGAGTAAAGGTTTCGAAATATGAACAGTTTCCGTTCGCAGGGAATGTTGTATGGAGAAAATAACAGCCTTATTGATGAGTCTTATATAGTTTCCAGTTATCATATTTTATAGTTAAAAAAAGTGATTATGAACTCTGTAGCTGTATCCCGGTCGGCTCTCTCTTTCCGGTCGGCCCCTTCCTTCTCCGTCCGGAATCGACGATCCGACTCCAGGTCTCACAGGCTGTGGCATTTACCTCCCTCAGAGCCCGCTGAATGTGTAGGTAGATGGGTGTTGTCTACAGTATAGCATGATCTAACCTTGGAACTCAATGAGCATAATATTGGGTGTCCACTTCGAACATGAAAGCGATGACCGAAGAGGGTCAGCCCCACCAGAGCAAATATCCCACGTACAGCGTAGCAGTCAGGAGTCGTAGGCACACTAACTTTGGAAACAGACTGCTCGATAGTAATCGCAACGTCGAACTGCCGACGGAAGGTCTGAGCACGCAAGGAACGGGGAGAAATGCGAGTCGTTATCTTCGTTGATTGGTCCGATTGTCGATTTCTGCATCTATCAGAGCGGGGGAATCCGTTTATCTCCACGTGAATTCTCGAGCGATTCAGAGAGACTGATTAATATTCTCTGCTCTTGACTCACGCAATTTTCCACTCAGGTGGTAATCTCGGGGATTCGAAAATAGACGCGTTCACTTGTCTCGATGGCTGAGCGAACAACCTCCGAGACCTCCCCGTTGCTGGGTAATACAAACGGCACGGCGTCGACTGGGGCAATTGACATCCCCCGTGAAGAGGCCGCTGAACAAATACAAAATGGCGAAAATGGAGCAAAAGAATCCATTCGCGATGCCCAAAATAGCCTCAAATATATTATACCTGCGGTCTCCCTAGGTGTAAGCCAATCTTCTCCGTTGATCTTATTTTAATCACTCCCCGCACCGACTCTTGCAGCCCTCGGCTAATCTATTATGTAGATTTTCCTTGCTGCTGCAGACCAGACAATTATTATGGCAAGTTATGGCCAGATTGGAAGTGATTTGAAAGCCCTGAACTTGACCAGCTGGATTGCTACATCATATTTCTTGACCTTGACCTCATTCCAACCACTTTATGGCAAGCTGAGCGATATATTTGGCCGAAAGGAGTGTCTCCTTTTCGCCTATGCCATTTTTGGAATTGGATGTTTGTTCTGTGGGCTTGCGCGAAATATTAATGAGTTAATTGCGGCACGAGTATGTTGAGTTCAATCTGAAATCTCTGAAAATGCGACACTAACGAATAAATAGGTCTTTCAAGGTATTGGAGGCGGTGGTATGACCACTGTTGTCAATATCATGATGAGCGATATTATCCCTTTGCGAGATAGAGGGCTCTGGCAAGGTATTATTAATATCATCTGGGCCACTGGATCAGGCATGGGCGCGCCAATGGGCGGCATTCTAGCTGATTACATTGGCTGGCGCTGGTAGGTTCAAGCAAACTCTTTCTTCTATATAGCCATATTCTCTAACAAAATCCAGGGCTTTCATTGGGCAATTCCCCTTGTGCGTTGTTGCATTTATTGCCGTTTCATTCGTTCTCAAACTCCCAGCCCGCGAGAACTCGAACTGGAAGGCTAAACTCCGCCGCGTTGACGTCCTCGGCGCTGTTGTCCTAGTCGGCGCTGTGCTTGGCCTCCTGGTTGGCTTGGATCGCGGCAGCAATGTGTCATGGAGCATGCCATTGACGATCATTTCGCTGATCGTTTCACTTGTCCTCTTTGTTGTATTTGTTCTGGTCGAGGCCTACCTCGCCACTGAGCCATTCGCACCCGGACACATCATCTTCAACCGTACTTTCTTCGCCTGTTACTGTTGTAACTTCTTTAGCTTTGGAGGATGGCTCGCAGCATCATTCTATATTCCTCTTTACTTTCAAGCCGTTGATGGCGTTTCTGCCACGATTGCTGGATTACGCATATTGCCAAGTGTTTTGACAGGCGTGTCAGGGTCTCTTTTCGCTGGCGCCTTCATGAAGTGGACGGGAAAATATTATTGGTTGACTATTGTAGCATATACGTTGTTGACTAGCGGTTGCTTTCTGATCTTCCTCTCCTCGGGTGGTGCTACGACCAACCTTGTTACAATGATACTCGGAATGTGCATGTCATCCTTTGGCAATGGCATTGGTGTTACCACAACTTTGATCGGATTAAGTAGGTTCTTTTCAACGAGCATAATTTTGAAGTGTACTGACCATTTTTCCAGTCTCGAACTCAACTGCTGAAGATCAAGCCGTCGTAACTGCCTGCTCATACCTCTTCCGATCATTGGGATCTGTAGTTGGGCTTTCACTATCTTCGACCATTGTCCAGCAACTTCTACGCGATCGGCTTCAATCTTCCCTGCACGATAACAAGAACATCGATGAAATTGTCAATGGCGTACGTGAAAGTCTTGACTTTATTAGGCGGTTAGACCCGCAAGTCGCCGCCATCGTCCGTAGCTGCTACGGCTGGTCGACTAACAAGGGCTTTGGCTTTTTGACTACGGTCGTATTCTTTGCCCTCTTCAGTGCTTATTTTATCAGAGAGGCCAAGCTCAATCGCTGACGAAGCACTCACGGTAACTCCTTTAAGAAAAAGCCGATCCCTTTTAACTTTGTCTCCCAATCTTTTTTTCTTTTTTTTTTTTTTTTTTTTCAAATTGCATAAATCACATTGCATTGTTGAGTGGGCAAAAGTTGCATGATACCGATGCTTGCATGAGTTCTTTTTAAACAAAGGAAATAGCGATGGAAATAGTTCATTATCGGGCTTAACCAGCTGATGTTATTATAAATTGTTTTCCATAATACAGATAGGCCAGAACCCAAATGTCATATGAGCGTACAAAAATGAGGAAGAGGAGTAGATTTAGATAGTGCAGATCAGCGGTTATCGTGGACAATCAGTGTTGTGACACCTAATTTATGGGGCTCCGCCCCCGTGACGTCTCACCTTCCATCAAGTTCGAATTTCATGACACATCAACCCCGACCTCAACACCTGGCAATGAGGCATTGAGTCTTCTAGACCTTTCAAATCGCAAGTTTCTACCTGAAGCCAAATTATGACCGTCCCCTCAGCGTGACAGCCCCCCGTCAAGCTTTCACTAGCTCAGCCGTCGCCATGTCCGAGTCGCGCCCGGGGCCAGTGTCGCTGGCGCGATATCGACCTATTCTCTACCTTTTCACAGGTGTCGCAGCCGCCTACGCCCTTCTTTACATTCACAATAACGTCGTTTCCTCGAATACCTCCCAAACCTCCATCCACCGCCGAGGTGCCGTGCGCCGCAGCAGACGAACCGAGGTAGAAGAGCCCAGGCTCATAGACTCGCCCTCACACCGAGCCATCTTGCACTTGGAACAACTGGAACGCCAAAATGGAGTATACGGTACATTTCGTATCGAAACAGAGGATGGTAGGCGTGTGGAGAGCGGTTTACTTCCATCGCTGCTAGCAACTCGCGACCAATTAATGGAAAATGTAGGGGTGCCCGAAGCTCATGCTGATCGCATGCGCGAAATGATGGAAGACACTTTCCTGGAATCTTTTTTTGCTCTTGATTTCCCTCCGGATCATATTATCTCTGAAGGAACAGCCGAGCGGGCATATTTGTCGCAGCAACTGCACCAACGAGGAATCTCTCAGGCTGGCATCGATCGGGTACTGCTCCGTTACAATGCCGACAACAACTACGGTGATGAGCTACGAATGCGAAGACAAAATGGCGAGCGTGTCACCCTTTCTACATCCACCTTCCCCGAGGTAGATCCATCGCCTCAGAATCAAGATGGCGCAGAGACCGTTGTAGACGATCAAAGTGTGTTTTCATGGCGTGATGGAAATAACGATGCATCGCCTACGCGAGAAGGTCAGAATCTGCTCAACTTGCTTTATCATATTGCCGAAGACCAAGCGCGAAGAGATGGATATATCCATCGAGGAGTCACTTGCAACAGCTGCGGGGCCATGCCTATTCAAGGTATCCGTTATCGTTGTGCAAACTGTATTGACTACGATCTCTGTGAGACGTGTGAAGCAATGCAAGTGCACATAAAGACACACCTGTTTTATAAAGTGCGAATCCCAGCTCCTTTCTTGGGCAATCCACGCCAGTCACAGCCGGTGTGGTATCCTGGTAAGCCGGCAATGCTCCCACGAAGCCTTCCACGGCCACTCGCAAAGCGCCTGACACGCGAGACCAACTTTGAGAATACGGAACTTGATGCTCTCTGGGATCAATTCCGTTGCCTTGCGAGCTATGAATGGGCAGATGATCCAAACAAATTGTACATGGCCATAGATCGCAAGACATTTGACCGATGCTTCGTTCCCAACACATCGATTCGCCCGCCTCCACCAAGTTTGATCTATGATCGTATGTTTGCATTTTATGATACCAATGGCGACAACCTCATTGGTTTTGAGGAATTCCTGAAGGGCTTGGCTAGTCTGAACAATAAAAGCAACGACGAGCGAATGCGACGTGTGTTTCGTGGGTATGATATTGACAGTGATGGCTATATCGAGCGGAAAGACTTCCTTCGCATATTCCGAGCGTACTATGCTCTCAGCCGAGAACTTACTAGAGACATGGTTGCGGGAATGGAGGATGACTTTCTCGAGGGAGGCGCCCGTGACGTTGTTTTTGGTGGCCAGCCCATCAGTTCTGCGTTTCCTGGCAGCGTTCCTTCCGGCGAACTATCACGAATTGGCGAAGGTAAACGTGTCAACATTGACGGAGACATGGAAATCTTTGATAATGAAGGTATTCTACGACAAGATGGCCTGGATACCGGTGACCGTCACTTGATCACCGGGGAAGCTGCTGTCCGTGAGCAGTTTGGTCGAACGAGGCCATTGTTTCCATCTACCTTGCAACTTCCAGGTACTCGGATTGTGGGCCGCCCTACTCAGTCCAATCTACGGCAAAGGGAAGCTGACGGTGGGGACAATGATGACGACGACGACGACGACGAAAGCGAGCATGATGGATCGAGCTCGTCAGTTGCTAGTAGCGCTTGGCCACCGCCAGAGCATATCCATGAAGAGGATATCATTGAAGCCCTCGGAACGTATGTACCCCCTCAGGAAATCACAGATCCGATCGATAGGGCCCGTATCGTGACAACCCTCTTCAACAGAATGCGTGACGAAGACCAAAGAAGAATCGACGAAACTCGCCGAAGTGGAATCGACGAGCGCTGGCGCCGCCGTGCTTTCTATACCGACGAAGAAGATGGTGGAACAATCCCGGAAGGTTATGAAAGAGATCCGGCGTTTGATGACATGAGCGATGAGGACTCTGTCGAGGAATCGCCAGCTCCTGAGTCACGCCCACCATCGCCACGCTCACGGTCTTCCTCCAAGGTTCGATTTGAGGACGAAATTCCCGAAGATTATGATGATGTTCGCTCTAACCCATCAACTTCCTCTCGAAGCATCCCCGTTGGTGAACGCTGGGGGGGTTTTGAGATTCCAGAAGTTGAGAGAGATGTCGGCAAAGAGATTCTCTACCAGGTCACGCAGCAAGGATTCAATGAGCTACTTGATATCTTGTTCAAACAAAAGGAGGATATACTCATGGAGGCTTACCGGACCCGTTCTGAGCGCAAGAAATGGGCCCATGAGATTGACCAAGTTCGCAATGCATCTCCACCGCCCAAGCCATCATCCAAAGAGCCCATACAGGCGAGAGACGAGGAAGAGCTAGAAGCTATTACAAGTGACAGGTCTCTTGAAGATCTTTTGGAACGCACCGGCTACGCCATTCAAAGCCCAATTCTAGAATCTGTTGATGCAGGTCTAGTGCTAGCACCGCCGTCTACAGAGGCCATGGCGTCAGATGACGACGTTCGACCCACGCATCTTCCCAACCCCGACGATGAAATCAATATGGGCTTAGATCATTCTTTCGAGGACGTGGATGATGACAACCACGATGACGATGACGACGATGCCGATGCTGCATCAATTAACACGTATTCCAATCCTGAAGACCAAGTCCAAGGCTCTGAAGCTGCCTCCGAAGATTCATACGTCGAAGAATATAACAGGATCTCTGAAGAGCCCCTCGACTATGACCCAACCCTTCCTCAATTCCGTCCAGACGCTGTGACGACTAGACCTCGTCTTTCTTTCCGTGCCGAGCCAGAGATTATGACCGAACGCCACGACATCGGATACTCACCCGGTACATCAAGCTCTGATCTACCGGGTCGGCTGAGCCTTGAGCCAAATGGCACAACATCCCTACCTGCCCCATCATCACCCCACGCCTCTTCCCCAGAAGCTGAAGCAACAGCACCTAAACTTCCCCCTTCACCCATGCAGCCACTGCCCCCTCCGAAAATGTCCTCTGCTCCAACTTCAACTACCAGCGCCCCTCGCCGGCCTACTTCTCGAACACTCGCGAGATGGGCATATCTCAACCAGGTTGAGCGTGAAGCCAAAGAACGTGGTGGCAATGGAGCGAAATTGAACTTTGAAGAGTTTTCTCGCCGAATGGCCGCCGATAAAGGGCGTCGACTTGCCTTTGTTGCCAGCTGGATTGAAATGGCCAGCTTTTGAGATTTCTTTCTTCGGTGATATCAATCATCCTTGTACATTATCTTCCCTTGAAGCCCAGAATCAATAAGAATTGTATCTCTACCTCTTAGTGACGAGAACATAACCATATTACAATAATGCCGAAATTCAGACAGCAGTGTTAAAACTTTGAGCCCTCTTTACTCCCGAAAGGACCGAAGGGGGCCTTTAGATTTTTGGTAACTACAGGAACCTGAGATCTATTGAATGCCGCCTTGATACGAGCAACAAACTTTCTACCTGGGCAGTACTACGTGAAATGTGTATTCTCGAAACTGGAAGTAAAGAAAAGCAAAAAAAAAAATTGTGGTTTGTTCAATCATCCTTCAGCCCCGCACAGTAGCAAACAGAAAGGATATGAATGTCCGCCTCAGCCATAAAAAGCATGATGATCCTAAAAATGACTAGATCACAACAGGCACTGGCATTAATGGGCACTTTTCAAGCGATATCATGCACGGTGAGAAATAGTATTACAACATTGAGGGTCAGTTTGTTACGTACATAGGCAGCTGCTCGGTCGATCTCGGCCTAGTGAGATCACAGGTACAGAAAACATGGTCGACAGCCTGAAGCTCAGATCGGGTTCTTTACTACTAGTAGTAGGTAAAACCATATATAGTGAGAGAGCATCATGATGGGGTTGAATATGTCAGTCTTTCAAGATTTCCAAGGTTGGAGTGATGGGCATTGATCTTCAAATGGAAAGTTCAACCCGTGGACCGTGGCACCTGAGCAACTTGAACGTTTCAAGTTGAAGCCCTGGCTGTACTGGTACTACTTTGCTAGTGGATGCATGATGGACTCGGATGCCACGATAGTATATTCCGACAAGCGAGTACTGCCAGTAATTAATTCAATGGATGGATTTTTGGTAACCTTGGAAGCACCAGGTTCAGCCGGCTGAACATTGGGAAGAATTTATTTAACAATTAGTAGTTAACTGACAACTCGTAAATAATTGAGAACGATCATTTAATCGAATTTCTTTGCTCCTACAACTGCGCACCAGAGCCATAGGCCAGCGTTGTTTGCTTTTATGTACCATAATTTCAAACATTATACCATCAAGTAACGGCCGAATGGTGTAGTTGGTTATCACGTATCGTTAACAGTCGCATGACTTCCTTACCGATAAGGTCCTCGGATCGAGCCCGGGTTTGGTCACTTTCTTTTTTGCCATTTCTTTTTCTGTTTTTATCCTGTCCGATTCCCCAGATGATAGTTCTTCAAAGGAATTATAGGAGGGAAGCATCGCGTCGCTTTTCAGCAGCCCGCAAAGGCCGGAGAGTTGTATTCCAAGTGTATGCACATCGTCCATAGCAAAATGGAGTGTCTAGGAGTGTTATTTGACTCGAGATGAGGTGTATTTAGTAACAAAGCTGAGAGATAGGAAAGAATTATGCTCTTGGGGACCTTTTGATGATGGAGACTGAAAGGAAGTAAGTTGTCAGGAGGGAAGTTCTGAAAGATACGAGAAACATCTCGTGGCTCAGCCCCCTTCCTTTCGCTTACTCACCCTTGCGCCGATGTCAGCACCTGAGAATTCCAGGGCCATGCATGCATGAACTACTGGCAATTAAAATTCTCCGTTCCAGACTTTTTTTTATCGTCGGCTGTATGAGATAAGTTGCCTTACTCTCAATGTAGGATAGGTCATGATGTACTGTCCCCTTTTTTCTTCCAAAGGCGACTCTTGATACAACCGAGAACGCTTGCCCAGTTTACGATGGTACTTCCACTAACTACCCTTGGTGCAGTTTCACTCAAGCAAGGCGTTGCTTTAGCCATTTGGCCGGTTACTTAATTTTGTTTTTATTTACTAGGATTTGAGATGGTCCAATTTGAGCGATTTGCCCGCCCGGAACTTGATTTCTGCTTCTTTTGACGATTGTATTGCATTCGAAAGTTCAGTATCTCAAGTAAGAAAGGACATATGCTTTCTCTCAAGATATTCTTCGTTTCGTGAACCTTCGTCATGGCTCTGCGTGATGATCATCTCCAGACTAGATGACGCATAAGAATCTTCTGCTCCGGATTGTTCCTGGTGAGCCCATGTATCTCTCGCCAATTCCGCAAGACGAGCAGCATATTCAAACCCACGCCTTGCAGAATAATTGAAGATCTGTTGCAGCCAGTCGAATTTATCACGATCCCGAAAGTCACTGAAGGTTGTTGATATCACACTCAATATAAACGCCATCATGTGCATTATGGAGGATCTCATACTCTGCTGTATGCAGTAGGGTATACCTCGTGCTACCATGTCCGCATATTGTGCCGAGAGGAGAAGGTCCTCGCCTTCTAGGAGATCCACAGAGGGTGAGCCATCTTCGTTTGTATGTAACGTCACAAGGGAGTGTGCATGGTGGATCAGCTTGTGGACTATAACTAACTGCGCCCATAATGTCAAATGCAGCACTGCGTCATCCTGTGATGCAAATAGATACGGCTGCCCAAACAATGCATCTGTGGGTGGAATATCCTTATCCCCAAATTCAGCTGAAGCACATTCCAACAGAAGACTGCTTCCAAGATGTCTTTCGTTAGACCAATTGAGTAACCTTCCCTTCGCCCCCCAGCATCTGAGTAATAAAAGTTGGCAAGCCTCAGGATTAGAGTGGTCGATTGACCGCATGGTAGAGAATATCGGCCCAACATCAGCGAATATCTGCATGAGTTCAAGCAATGGGTTCCCATTGGTGGGCTCCATTACATGATCATATTCCACCTTTGAGAGGCTTGTTCCTGTCGACGGTAATACCTATATTAAATAAGTCAGAAAAATCGTTTACAAGGAGGCAAACTGTCCTGGTACTTACAATAGCCACTTTTTCAAAATGATTGTAGATCGCATCCATAAGAGGATTCCACGGTGCCTTATCTCGATACCTTCTTATAACTGCATTTGCTCCTGCGACATGAGCAGCCCATTTGTCCAAGCCGTAAGGACAATAAAATGGCTGAATTATCATTCATTCGTCAGTTTCTTCTTGGCTAAACGACATTATAGATGGGGCGGAAAGAAGGATGCTTGAATCATACTAGAATCTCCTGGAAGATGACAGAAGTATATATGAGGTCATCACTGTAAGAATTTCTGGATATCATGCGACACATAGTTTGTATTGCACTGTTATATAGGTTAAGGCCATGATGGAAGATCCGGTCGTCATGATTAACCTTTCCCACAAATACACAGGACATGGCAAAAATGGCTTTCTCAAGCATTCGAGTCTTTCGAGGAAGAGCCTCAATCCCAGTGACTAAAAATTGCCATGGATCAAGATAAGATGTTGGGGTCTCAGTAGGGAATGAAATATGTATGAAAGATGCAAAGAGCTGAGCACGCGTGGCCACCCCGGGGTGAACTTCAACTATAAGATCGTCCGACCGTGGCGGTCGTTTTAAAACGGGACCCCCAATGAACTGGTGGCTTCCCACATATCCAAAGCATTTGTCTTTGCGTTTGATACATCGCTCACATTCGGGTTTTTTCTCGTCGCACTTGAATTATTATCAGCGATATCCCGGGGGCGGAGGGAATTGAGATGCACAGACCTTAACCTTGCGCTTTTTACAGTTCCAGCAGCCCTTTGATGTCCACGGTCTGCCCCCCATACTTGATCAGCAACGATTCGCTCATAGAATTTGCGGCTGGTGATTCAAATGGAGTCGAAGGATCTTCAGGTCGATATGCTAGGGGATAGAGTGGCGTAATGATCTGGCAATAAGTTTTTGGCCCCCAACCTAACCTCATACGCTCCTAATATAGGATAATACTAATATGAAACCCCCCCTTCAGCTAATGCGACCCCCTTAATCCCCAATAGGATAAGTTTATCTTGTTTGCACTTTCCACTAAAGTTTCTGCCACTTTTCTACTGGATATGTAAATCTCTCACCACTTTTCTTCCTTCCTCTACCCCTTTCAGACAATATGAATATCGTTCCAAAGTACCTATCTTGTCTTCGATTGAATTTACTACATCTATATTGTCTCTGCTCTTAATTAAAGTCTGGATATAGGTGGAGAAAGGACGATATCTCTATTAGAAAGGTAGGGAGTGGAAGGCGGTAGGAGGAACTTTATAAACAAGACAAACTTTACCTATTGGGAATGAAAGGGGGTCGCATTAGCTGAAGGGTCGCATTAGCACTACCCTTAATCAAATACTGCCCGAAATAGTAAAATACTGCGGCGATTGTAGCTCTACCTATTGCCAGGTTCCCCAACGTGGTATCTACACATGTGCAGCTTCATATAACAAGGTGGGGTTGCCAAAATACCCGAAGCAGCCAATCAAGGCAAGCCCCCACTATATGACGGCTCAGCCTTCATGGTTAGCTCAGTGCTGAAGCTACCGCTGGTTACCGTCAGCAGTCTTACTTCGCTATAAATTGAACATTTTCCCTCTTCTTTATTTCTGAGACTCATCATCTCAAAATTCTAAAAATATTCCAAGCAACATGTCTTTCATCACTTTGGACACGAAACCTACAGCGCAGATCTGCTATAACTTCTATGAAGCTACCCCACAAGCGCAATTGCTGGTGGTATGCCTAAACGGGCTGGGTCTCCCACAAGAGTTTTGGGTTCCTGCAATTACTAAGTTCAAGGAACTTCGTCAAGGAGCCACATTACCTGCCATCCTGACCTATGATCGCTTTGGTCAAGGCCAAACAGTTGATCGAGATCCTCATGATGCAAATTCTCCAGATCCTACCCACGGCCATGACGCTACTGTTGTCATACAAGATCTGCGCCAGCTCATTGTCCAAATTGCCAAAGATAAACTGGGAATATCAGACGTAGACACTCTACCTATTGTCTTCATGGCAAACTCCATCGGATGCGCGGTGGCTCGTCTCTACGCACAAGAATACTCGGGCACTGTCACGGGTCTTCTATTGTTAGATAGCATGCTGGCCAACACCGACTTCGTTTCAGTTTTCCCCGATCCGGATGACGAAAACTTCGACCCTAGTACACTCCCTCCTGGCGTTTCTGTAGAGGGCTTGCGCGGCACCCGGATGGGAACACAGAAGATATTTCATCCTGATGTTGGGAATAAGGAAGGCTTCAGCCGCAGAAACTTCCGTACTCTTCTACCTGCAAGTGATGGTCCTGTTCTCAAAGGACCTGGTGACAGGGGACCCTTTCTGACAGTTGTTGGTCATGATTTTGATACATTTGCGGCAGAGTCAGCCAAGATGGGCCCCCCAGAAGCTATCACCAATGCTTACCTCAACCCTTACTGGCATAAATACAATGAAGACTTAGCCAAGATAACTGAGGCGGCAAGAAGCAAGGGCCCACTATTTTCCCCTCATTCCGGCCACTTTGTTCAGCGGGACAACCCGGACTTTGTTGCCCAGGAACTGAACGAGTTGATCTCAAAGATTTTGGGGTAGGGTTTGCTAGTGAACGAAAAATGGAAATATTTATTGACATATCTCTAATTATCGAGTCCCAATAATGAGACTGATATCCCACTTTAAGTTTACTTCAGTTCCAGTAATCTACATTAATAGTATATTTAAGGTAGTGCTAAACCCTACCTATATGGATGCACTGGAGGTGCAATATCCACATGGAAATGAATTGACAATGTGGAGCTCTTATTTGGATTTACGATGTTGGAACCGTTGGCACTTGGCAATAGGTAGGTAGTGCTGACCTACAGGAATATGCACGTTGGAAAATATGATTCCTCGTAAATATCAGTACTTTCATACAGCTCATTCTAGGACCTCAAGGGCTTGAAAATCTCGCACAAAGATTGTGCATAATCGGGGCTTGTTTACCCATTGTCTGCCATTTGTTGACATACAAGAAATAACTCGCTTCGAATATTGCTATCTTATGATCTGACTTTGTCCTTGCCGCTGCGATCTTGAGACTTCGTGCTGTAGGCATTTTTGAATGAGTCCAAACCGAAGATAATGCGAGTTGCATACAAGCACTTTCCATCGTTATCGTTCTGCCAGAACGGTCTTGTGGCCCTATGAAGAAGACATATACAGCTATTTTGACTAGATTCTCGCAATTTCCCCCAATAATACGAAAATGTCTACCTGAAGAGATAGGAAAATGAGTGATTTTCTGTCTCAGCCGTTCACTGTGAAGGACCGCTAAACCTTGGAAGGGGCGGCAGCTCAAGTTTCCCATGAGGCGGTTATGCTAATACTAATAGAATATCCCAAGGTTAAGGACCAATACCACACCATTGCCTGTTCAAATAAGTGGTATGCCAACGATTGACAGAAACGAAAAGCTAAATATTGAACAATGATGGTCAGCTGTTACTACCTATAAAATATAGAAACCCTCGACCCCAAATAGGCCTTACCGAAGTCTATATAAGATAAGCTGCGATTAGGGGGAACCCAGGCAGACTAGTACGGTTATAACTATCCAGTAACAATAGTGATGGACAGCCTTGTACAAGCAGCATTACAATGGGATAACACCTAGCTGCCTCTCTGGGATTATTGAGTTTGTATGTCTGTACGTACAGTAAGTGCACGAGTCATGGAAAGCTGCCGTAAGATCCGACCTAGAACTTTGCCCGACGTCCCTCGCCACTTACCTTTCGTTTTGACCCCCATGAAGTGGCAGCCTTGAAAGTATTTTAACTCGTCTGACTCGATGAAATCCTTCAGTCAGGGATCCATTGGTGGGAAAGTGTCACTAGGTTTCAATACAAAAAATGGCAGCATGGGCAAAATCCAGGTAAAATGGGGGATAATACAACATAAGCGTGGCATTAACCTCTACGCCTTTTTTTTAGTTTCCACAAGCCGAGGCGATTCTGGAAAATTTAATAACAATTGAGATAGTTGGACCAATCAACTTCTGGTTGTAGATCTGCCGTTCGCCACGTTTAGATTATCAGATTGAATTGATCAGATAAATTTAATTGGTAACAACGAGGCCGCGGATGCGAAAATTTCTTGGGTGGAATTATTCATGGTGCGCAATTCTTCCAAGAAATCCTTTAGGTCGTAACGGTTGGATCGTGTCGGAGAGCACTGGACCCGGCCCCCTCAAACTTTGTCTACGAATACCGTCCAATCAGATAAAATCTCGCAGGGATAATCAATCAGATAACCTTGTATGGAAGTTGTAACCACGGGAGCGACCGACGAGTTCATCATGAACCTGGAGCTGAATAGGGGTGTCTATGTAGGAGACAGTATTGGCATGTAGATTAGAACATGACTCGATAATATTAAAATGATAGATGCAGCAGACAATACATCTCTAGTCTCTACAAAGCGATTTCTGTGATAGGAAGGTCTAGTGTTGAGCAACTCTTACTTTGATCGCGTTGCCCGAGATCGGCGGGCCAAAATCTTAGAGAAAATCTCGGAGACGCCGATGATTGGTAGCTAGAGACGGGTCTCACGACTCGAGAAAGACAATTTTTTAATTATCTGATCCCGCCACACCAAGACGAGGCTGCAAACCATCTTGATTAAGCGAATTAAAATGCAAGATGTGGGTACCGCCCCAGAACCCGAGCTAAGCGCGTCCCTGGGGCGTTTTTTCTCATGCCTCAGACCCTTTTTCTGAGGTAGAAAAAGCTGATCTCTCCCTCCTTGCGTCTGTTGCTTGTTTGCTTGGTTATTGCTTGATTTTACCTCGGTTTTTCGCCTGTGTGCTCCCTCTGATCATCCTGAGCTACTGGAGGCGACGGGCTCCAGATAATCGTCGCCATGGGTGCAATTGATGCTGTTTTTGGCCGAAATGAAAATGGCCGTATGTCCAAACCATTTGTTCCTTCCGCTGAGGGAACAGAGAAGCAGGAGCCGTCTACGGATGTGACCCCAAATACTCCACCAGGAGAGGACTCCTTGGAGTGGCGCGATGAAAAAGAAATCCAAGAAAATCCCGATCAAGTGAATACATCCGTCCAGCTCGGTGTGCAGAAGGCAGAGGCTGCTGCCCTTGTATGGGACAAGAAAGCTCTCTATATGATTTATGCCTGGTGAGCTACGATCAAATGGGCAAAGTTGTTATCATGCATCCGCGCTAATCCGAGACCGCTTTTGTTTAGCATTTGGCTTTGTTATTTCTCACTGGCCTTCAACCAGGCAATGCTATCGAATTTGGCGCTGATCATAGAAGGTACCTTTAGCACGGCCCCTCAGGTAACCACGGCCTATATTACTTCGACCATCGTCGGTGGTGTGTTGAAGTTGCCGCTGGGTAAGACCCTGAACTTGTGGGGTCGTGGCGAAGCTCTGCTTTTCTCCCTTTCGGTTTACGTGGTTGGTATGATCATTCTTGCTGCGTGCAAGGGACCAAGTGCCTTCGCAGCCGGATACACCTTGTATTGGATTGGATATTACTTTATCTATCTCATCTTGGAGGTCTTCATCGCTGATATCTCTGGGCTGCGCAACAGAGCCTTTGCCTTTGCCTTCTCCACTACTCCCTTCATTTGCACGGCCTTTACCGGGCCATTGGCAGCTACCGCATTCAAGAATGGACCTGGGTGGCGCTGGGCATTCGGCTCCTTCGCTATCATTCAACCCTTTGTCTTCACTCCCCTGGTCATTATTTTCAAGTACTATGAGAAGAAAGCCCAGAGATTGGGCGTCTACCGGAAGCAACCCAGTGGCCGGACCACGATGCAGTCTATCATTTATTACCTCCACGAATTTGACGGTACGTGGATGTATATAATTATTTTACCAGTTTGAGAAGCTAATTTTCAATTTTAGTCATCGGAGCGTGTATCATCATGGCTGCATTCCTTTTATTCTTACTTCCATTCAGTCTAACAAGTAATGGCGTCACAGGATATTCTAGCGCTAAATTCATTGCTATGGTCGTCGTTGGTGTTCTTCTTTTCCCAGCCTTTGCTGTCTGGGAGAAATGGTTCACTCGAAAGCACTTCATTAACTGGGATGTCTTCAAGAATCGCACTGTTTTTGGTGCCTGTATGTTGTCTCTGATCCTTTTTTTCAACTTTGATCTCTGGGACACCTATCTTCAAGGATTCATAATTGTGGTATACGATATTGGCTTGACCAAGACCGGGTATATTCTGCAAGTTTACAACGTCGGTTCCTGCTTCTGGTCTGTTGTCATGGGCTTGTATATCTACAAGACTAAGCATTTTAAGTGGGCCTGCCTGTGCTTTGGCGTGCCTCTTATGATGCTGGGCTCTGGACTCATGATTCACTTCCGTGGCTCCGAATATGCGATTGGTTACATTATCATGTGCCAAATCTTTATCGCTTTTGCTGGCGGTACTTTGGTGATCGGTAACGACATGGCTGCCATGGCAGGCGCTGACCGTGAAAGTGTCCCCATGACCCTCACCCTGATCAGTCTGTTCAATAACGTGGGCAGCGCCATTGGATATGCAGTCTGTGCTGCCATTTATAACAACACATTTTTGACGGCCCTTCGCCAGCGTCTACCTGCAGACCAACAATCCAATGCCGAGATGTTGATGACTTATGGCATGGAAACACAAATCACGTACCCGGTTGGGTCCCCAGTTCGCGAGGCTTGTGCTTATGCCTGGGGCTATTCCCAGAAGTACAACTGCATTGCCTCCACGTGTCTTATGATTTTGGCATTTCCTGCCATTCTGCTGTGGAAGAACTATAATGTTGACAAGAAGCAAGTCAAAGGCACTGTCTTCTAGGTCAATCCTATTCTTCTCCAAAAGATGCGTTAGGCTATTTGTACATCATGATATTGACCAACTGTGTCCATTTTTGTTTATATTCCATGACTGAAAATAGGTGCCAACGAGCGCACTACCACTGTATGATCGTTAAATAATTAATTTCCATGACCTTGTATCACCAATACAAAAAATATCACCTCGAACTTTAAGTTTATTGCAAGATAAAAAAGAACGTTGTTTAAGGATATTAACCAAGTCCAAGAGGCACCTTCTTTCAACTTGAGAGCAGTCGTGTTTTTTATGCGTGGTTTACGTCGGTGTATGGGACTTGAATCACTTCAATTTGGCCAGGAAGTTTCAAATTTTGGAAAAGGCTTTGAGGACTATGCTTGCTCTAAGATAGCTTACTTTTTACTGTATAAGCCTTATAGACCATCCATGAGACTATGTAGGTCTTCTGCACATTGATGCATTTCAAGTTGTGCCTGAGGCACTATAACCTAAATCCTCCATAACTTAGCTTAAGCTTCATCATCATCGCCTTAGTCTTTCCCTAATATATTCCTTCATTTTCTCGAGAACGCATAAGTATGATCTTCCTTGGGAAGCATTCATGAAGATCTCTTTAGCAACAGGAGCTCATCTATCTTCGAATGAACCCGTCCCAAATATGCAGGATGCAGGATGCATGCTGCACCGCTAAGCCACTTTCGATTGCTTCTCTCTCATCCGTCCCGGAATCGAGCCACTTTTACGCGGTATACGGGGCACCCCTGTCTAGACCATGACGTGTCGTATGTAGCGAACGAATCAAATGATATCTGTCTCCGCACCGGGGGCACACTGGGGGCCGATTGTCAACTCTCGGCGGCTTCAATCACAATTCCCCCTGTGGATGGTGACTGCCTGCGGCTGAGCGGGACGCCCTTCACAGTGATATAATAGCAATCGAGTTTTAAGAATGAAATTTTCGCCAAAAATTTATTTTTTTCATCCTTAAAACCAGGGACCCCCGCACTCCGCACTACTACAGCACAGTTCAATCGCTTGAGCTTGCTGCAGGACCCCTAAAGATGATACCGTCGCATGGCGACTTCACGGTCGGCTGGGTCACTGCTACCAGAAAGGAATACACTGCAGCTCGACAGGTCCTCGACGAAGAATACGAGACGACGAACTTCGTGCTTCCTAGAACCGACCGCAATACCTATACCTACGGTCGCATCGGGAAACACTACGTTCTGATTACATGCCTCCAGAATGCACAACAAGGAATCCAGTCTACCGCCGATGCAGCAGATGATATGAAAAGCAGTTTCCCCATGGTACGCGTGCTGCTTATTGTGGGGATTGCCAATGGACTACCGACAGTAACCAACGATGTTCGCCTGGGCGATGTTGTGGTGGGGACCGAGATCATTCGTTACAAAGTGGCGGATGCGACCGGGGACACATTTGAGTATACCAGCCATCTTGAGCCAGCTGGTCGAGCTCTGTTTACCGGGACACAAGGATTAGCCGTGCAGCTAGACGAAGGATTGGATTTACATCAACTACTCGAAGAGACATTTGTCAAAACCCAGAAAATTAAGGATGATTATCAGCAGCCCCATAGTCACCGCGACCAGCTGTTAAAGGCGGACTACGGACATGCCTTATCTTGCGAATGCCTTTCTTCGAGCCCGCTCGACGAAAATACAATCATCGTCCGACCCGATCGACCTGCATATGATCGAATCAAGGTCCACAATGGCAAAATCGGCTCCACCGACGAACCTTTGAACGATTCGACGATAAGGGACCAAGTTGCGAAGGACTTGGGTATTTTGTGCTCGAAGCAAGGACCGGCCAGTTCGATAAACATGTTCCCTTGTCTACATGTTCGAGGAATTTGCGATTATTCGGACTCACATGATTATGAGGTCTGGAATGGTTATGCTGCAGCTGCAGCTTCGGTCTATACAAAGAAGCTCTTGCAAACAATGGCAGCTGAAGAAGTCTGGCGAATGGGCATCTCAATCGACACGAAGAACCTGAAAAAGTTTATAGAGTATCTCACATACGAAGTGAACCAGGCCACGAATATTTCTGCCCGACTCGCAGAGCAGGAAACAAAATTCATGACTACCGCCCGTGCATTACGCGGAGTCAAAACCGGAGTTGAACTTCTAGTTCAACTAGCACAAGAGACGATGAGTGGTGGTCAACGACAATCTAGTGATCTGCAAGCAATGAGAGACCGTTGGGATGGCATCGCAGCCAGTCAAGCAGAGCTCAAAACGGCGCTTATTACTCTTGGTGCGCATATCAAATATCTTCAAAAATCTGGTTCATCTAAAGATACCCGCTCGGAATGTGACAAATTGAATATACGCGTCCAAACGAGCACGACTGCGCTTCAGGATCTCAGTACTCTCATAAAGCCAGTGTTAATGAGCTTGATTCAAATTCGTGAACAGGAGGACATGACGTTGAGTGATGTGGCATCCATTTCCCCCTCGGAAGGGACCAGAAAGACCAGCAAGCTCGGCGAATTAAGCACCAAAGCATTTACGAAGACAGAGCGTCATGTCTCGAGACAATCTATCAGTGACATAGCGGGATCAAAGGACGGTGATGATTTACCGGTGTCCCCAGATCTCCAGGGTCAGAACTGGCCGTCTAAGTTCTCGAATGTCTTTCGAAAAGAAGACAAGTATAAACAATACAATGGCCCATCTATCGAGTCATCGGCCTCTGAGAACGAAAAATCGAAAAGCATTGGGATGAGCTGGAGATCTTCTATACAGGCAATGAAGGGTAATAAGTCACGATTGGATATATCGTTTGCTCAGGAGAAGACGTCCCCTGGGACGAAGAAGCCGTCACAAGATGTCACACCAAAGAACATTACCCCAAGGCCCGATAGCCCACAAGAGCTACCAGTAAGTCTAAACCAAAGTTGGCATATAAAAGAATGATTGTGGCTAACCTGTCTCAAGGGTCGTACCAGCTTCGAAGAGTCATCAACTCCGACTCAGGCAAGATCGCCAGCACCCCTTCCTACCCGACCACCACTCGTTAGCCCAAGCTCTTCCACAAACTTTACATTCCCCTCCCTAGAAAATCTTGGAAAGCTTGGAAGCGACGGTGACATATCAGAGCTGGACTTTGATCCCCGGAAAGAAGTGCTCAAGAGTTTTGATGACCGGGCGGGCTCTCGTGCTTCATCCCCAAAGCCCACGTTAAGAGATAGATCCCAGTAGGCACTTGGCCTCTGCCATCGCTAGCTTTGGTTTGAATGGATAACTTACAGCAACCTTAATATGATAAAAAAGAGTTATTCTGTTTTGCAAAATCTCACCAGTGCACATGATAAAAGTCTAAATCAAACATGAGGCAATCATTAGCCCAGCATCCATGAAAGAACGCGGGGCACCGTATACTCCAAGTCACCTGATGAGGCTGAGGCTGACAGAAAGTATTTATTAAGACATTTAAAGCTTGTCTGCCCAAAGACATTCTTTTCAATCTTTCGTCCTTTCACTCTTTCACTGTCTGGCTTGTCAGTAAATGTGCCCCAGAGGCACCCAAGTACTGACAGTAGCGAAAATATACGACAACAGAAGTTCATATTATCTCCAATATATCACGTTTTATCCGGCAAACTTGAATCAGATACTGAAAGATAAGAACAAGTGATTCCAAAATGGATCAAGTTAAAACATCAGAGTCAATTTCTACGATCCCCTACCCACGCGATCCGGACTTATTCGACGCTGGAAATTGGATTCAAACAATCTACGAAAAATGCTCTTCGCGGCCAGCTAGTGCCATACTATTTGGTGATAGTGGTATCGGGTAAGCTGAAATCAATGCGATAAACGCAACATGAATCAAATATCTAACTTGATATAGAAAAACATCTCTTGCCATCGAATACACTCATCGCGTTCGCGAGACATTCCCAAAAAGATCGGTAATCTGGCTCCACGCAGGTAACGCTGCTCGCTTTGAGGAAAGTTGTTCTAGGACTGTCAGTCTCCTGGGGATTACCGATGACAATAATCCTACCGGTAACAAGTTCATCCAGCTTTGTAGCTGGCTCCAAGATGCGGGGAGAGAGGAATGGGTTCTCGTATTGGACGGAGCAGACGATGTCCATATTTTCAACAACACAAGCCTCTTAGGCCACTCTTCTGCAATCAATTATCTTCAAGGCTGCACTAACGGATCAATCGTCGTTACTACTACTTCCAAAGAGGTCGCGTTGGCATTTGTTCAGCCTGGGGATGTTATTCACGTTACTAATTCCCCAGAGACCAATGACTTTATGATGCTGGAAATGCTGAAAAGAAAGATGACCCGAGAACTTGATGACAGAGAACTCCACACAGTCATAGGTACTATGGATTCCTTGCCTCTCTCGATTATCCAGGCGGCTGCTTACCTTAACTATCGTGGAGCGGCTTACTCTCTGGAACAGTATTCGGAATGCCGTGCTTGTGACCTCGGTATGCTGGAACTCGATACGCGGGACACGAATGGAGATTATAAACATCGGGGTTCAACATTTGTGCCATGGCAATTATCCTTCGACTATATGTTTCAAACTAGACCGTCTGCAGCAGATCTTCTTTGTTTGGCAAGTTTCTTCGATAAACAAGCAATTCCAGAGTACATGCTACGAAGCCAATCTTCGGTTAAAGAAACCGAAAATGCTTTCGCGACAGATGAGAATTCAGACACATCGTCCTTTACCATTGTCGATGGATTTGAAGATGATCTCCAGATGCTGAAAGACCTCTGCTTAATCACAGCCGACTCAACAGGCAAGACGCTGGAAATGCACAGCCTCGTTCAATTTGCAACACAAGAATGGCTCAAGACAAATGGGCACTTCGAAAGATGGCAAAATGTGTTCCTTGCCAGGATCTCTGCACAGTTCCCGCCTCCCCAGCCTGAGAATTGGGAGAAATGCCAGTCACTCTTCCCACACATTTATGCCGCATTACGTAGATGTCCTTCAGAAGACTCATATACAATGACAGAAGAATGGATTCAACTCGGGCAGAATGCAACACTATTTATCTCCCAGACGGATGGGGTATGTGCCGCACCAAACATCGTACAGCTTTCGAAGGACATGCAGAGAGCTGCAAGAAATCGAGAGGATATGTCATACGTCTTGCTCAAAATGAAAGATCATATGGGAGAAATTTGCGCATCTATTGGCTTCTGGCAAGAAGCAGAGTTGCTCAGCAGTGAAGGGTTGCACCAGAGCAAAGACTTCCTTGGACAGGAGCACCCGGAGACACTGCGTCGAGAAACAAACTTAACCAAGTTGTACATACAACAAGGCCGATACCAAGATGCAGAAACGGGCTACAGAAAGCTTTCAGCAATAATGAAGAGAGTGTATGGCTCCGAGGATCCAGAAACACTTATTCATCTGAGTAATTTGTCCATGACGCTATCAATGCAGGAGAAATGGCGTGAAGCAGAAACGCCTCTTCGGCAAGCTGTTGATGGGAGTATCCTTGTTCTCGGCGAAGCAAATCCAGTCACACTGGAACGAATGAAAAGTTTAGTGAAAGTTTACCTTGCGCGGGGGAAAACTCGAGAAATGGAGGCAGAATCGTTGCAAAGTCACGTTGTTGATATTTCGAGAGCTGTCTCCGGGGCTGAGCACCCAAGTACGGTGGATAGTATGAATAGCCTCATAGATATGCATATTCGGTCGAAACGATGGCCGGAGGCTGAGGCGCTTCAGTTACATGTGCTCGAGGCACAGAAAAAGATACTTGGTCAGGCCCATCCTAGCACTTTGGCTAGTATGGAGAACTTGGTTTTTCTTTGTCTTGAGCAAGAGCAGTTGCATGATGCCGAGTTTGTGCAGCAGTCGATCATACGTATCTCTGTGGTAAAGCTGGGTCTAGATCATTATTTGACGCGACAGGCTATGAGCTCGTTAAGGAGTATACGAATGAAGATAGCATCGTCTCAGGTACCTGAAAACTGGGATGATCCATCGGATAGTTGTGATGAGCCCGTGAACTGGGATATGGTATAGAGAGATTGGGAGCAGGCGTTATGCTAGCACGATGGTAGATTTGTAGGATCATTTAACTTTCCACGTTGCTTCAAATTGACCTAAAAACAGCAACACAGATTCAAGTTGGGAGAAATGAGCGTCAAAAGCAAGAAAATTGAATTAATATTTTAAGCATCGGTAAATAAATAAATGTCTAACGTCTAGCAACAGGTTATGTAATATTCTAAGTATATGCGATAATTAGCTATGTGCCCTTGAGGCCAGCAACAAGGCTTTGCGCAAGCGCGCAAAGAAGAGTACAGCGTGGGAATAGATAGATCATTTAGCCTTCCAGACCAACCATCCAAGGGCAGCAATGAACTTCAATCCTGCCGTTAACCACAGTGCAGACTCCATACCACCACTGCTACGACTCAACCAGCCACCCACAATGGCACCCACGAGCAAAAACACCACACCTCCAATGCGGCGATTACGCTTCACATTGGCAGTGGGCTTGCCGACCAGCTTCGGATCAGAAGCGATATCGAAGTACACACTTGTCAGAACCACAGTGGGGATCTCATTGTATCCAAGTGCTCGACTGCAGGTCATACCACCGGCAGATTGGAAGGCTAACAGGCCAATAGGGATGAGCTCCAAAAACAGCGGGCCACCATCCAGGCTCTGATCACTGGTAGAATGGGGGATGAGATCGGCTTGAATGAGAGCGACGGCGATGATGATCAGGATGGTTTGCACGAGGAAGGAAATGAATAGGGTTCCGCGACGCAAGGAGCCGACCGTGCGCATGGAAATAGAGAAGATCATTGCGCCGATGAAGAATGAAGCGATCGAGACGAGGGACTTCAGCCAACCCCATGGTTTACTTGCGGGCTGATTTGAGGCACCGAGGCCAAGGAAAATGGTGTTACCTATTTGAAATTCAAATGTTAAAGACGGTCTGTCTAGTTATGGTGATATGAATCATACCCGTTTGCATTCCCAAGAAACAAGACCAGGCATTATAAGCACTGCTGTCGCAGAGACCTGTGAGGAAGCACAGAAGTAGACAGACAAGATCGGCGTGATTCACGCTCAATTCTTGTTTCCATCGTTGGGCGACTCCTAGCTGGTTGCGTTTTTCTGGAGGGGGAGGACTAGCCTCTAGGTCCGGTGTCGGGTTGATCTCCGCGGGTTTCTCCATTGTGTGTGTGTGTGTCTTCCGGGGCAATAGTGGAACAATAGTAATGATAATAAGACAGAATTGACCGGGCGGATTCACAGAAGAGAAGGGAAAGAACCCAATTTAACAGGAGGGGGGGGGGGGGGAAGAGGGAGAATAAGAGAGAGTCGGGGCCGGTTGTAGAGTCGGAGGAAGTGCGGTGGGAATGAAAATCGAGCGCATTCCGCGGCGAATCAGCCCGATTCCCGAGGCAGCGAGATTTTTATGTTTTTCACTTATCACGACATTGGTTCCTCCAGGTCTGACTTGCTCCACTGCTGCCGATAGGGCTGAGCCGTGCAATGTCTGGCTGGTGGAACTCCTCCTCTTTTCTTCTGTCCGAACAATTTCTGACTGTTTTCTCACCGTTTTCTCACTGTTTCCTACACATGTGAGTTGTTACGTGCTGTAGGCACGTCATCTCCAAGATCTCCAAGGACTTCCAAGAGCCCTTGGCAAAGGATCCCGCATCATGCAGTTTACCATCTGCTCCTCGTGCCGGCCCCTGTATCGGTCATTATGAGATAGTGGATTAGCGAGCTTGCGTTATTATTGGGCTTCTGGTGTATCCTCCCGTCAATGTTCAGTGAGATAGATGCGATTTTCGAACTTCGGTAAAAAGGAGTCGGTCTCATTCACGGTCGGGTAGATTGCCAAGGGGTTCCGAAACGACGATCAGGCTAGATGGCCTTGGTTTGCATATTGCAGACATTGGCAGTGCATGTATAGTTACACCCGTGGACCGGTGAACAGATAGAATCTCCCGCTTAAGTAGGCCAAGACCCAAAAGAAAGTGTCAGAGAGGGGAAAGATAAACAATTTGTCTCTGTAAGCTTAGATGGAAATTGATAATGGTCGCAGCCAAGTACTGCAAGTTCCATCTGGGCATCACATGTACTATAAGCAGATCTTAACCCCCACCCCTTATATGCAAGTAACCTAAGAGAACCTTCCAAGGCGTACAAAGTACCTACAACTAAATCGGACGAAGGGAAGTTCTTGGTCTTCTTGGTCTTGCAGAAAAAAAAAAAAAAAAGAAAGGTAGAGTTGACTTGTAATTAACTTATGTCTAGTACGACTGTAGCAACCCGGGGACCTTGTAACACTACGAGTACGTAGTGTTCCCAAGGTTTACTATCCGAGGTCCGGCGCAAGCTTGAAATAGATCTCGAGAAATATAATACTAGTAAGGGATTATATGAGAAATTATATAAGAAATGTCAATCTCCAGACGGGTCATTTTAAATTAAGATAGGCAGTATTTTTAGTTTAAATACTGATCATAGAATAACCCGTTCCTTGGAAATTGGCCATGACAGCAGGGACAAATTTCTATGACATGACCACGGTTTCCAAGAAATGTCGTGGATAAGGGTGGAGTCGCTCATTGGAGGCCCATAATTTTTCCGGAATAAGCCAGTCAAATATTAACAGTAGTTTAAAATACCCACAGCCAGGGATCAAGTTGAATTATGGTGGAGAGCTTCTTTTCTTTTCTCTCAACGGGATCCGCGAACGGACCCTAAATCCGGATGGTGATTTTTGGCTGCCCTGGCTCGCCATTTCATTGGAGAATATACAAAAGGATTCAAAAAAAAGGGGGGAAATGGGAAAAAATACCTCTTGAATTATCCTCTGCGTCCTTTCTCCTCTTTCTCTCTCTCTTCTTTCAACACCCCCATACATATCACCCCCTCATGGATAACCTTTCTTGGCCCTCTTGGCTTCCCGCTCCCTTCTAAGCTGTGTCCTGTCGATCGCCGTCATGAAATCCCCCACCTATCAAATCCATAAACCTCTATCGAGGATATTTGGGCTCAGCAAATTAAAATTGCTGTCGATATTTCTCATATTATCGACGATAATATTACTGACTTCTTACGCTTGGCATGATCTACGGGTCTTGACAGTGGGCGGGGAAGACCTAGCATCACCAGGATCAGACACAAACGAGCAATCAAACAAAACCAAAAACCCCAAAGACCCGGACTACTGGACCTGGAACACAATTACTCGCTTTCAAATATACAAATCCGCTTCGAAATCTACACCTCCACTCACCAAAACAAGCGACGACTTATGCCATGACTTCCCGACAGAATCCCTCTCCCGCGTCCAAATCGTCCTGAAGACAGGCATAACCGAAAGCTCGGAGCGCGTTGATGCGTCCATGAATGGGGTAACTCGATGTGTCACCAATCTTCTCGTTGTATCCGATCGTGCGACCGAGCTACACGGACACCGAGTCCACGATGTCCTTGCCGACCTGGCACCCTTCGCCGAACAGATAAACAGTACCGATTATAAGTTATATTTGGACATGCAGCGCGGTGATACGACCTTTGACGGAGCAAAAGGATGGATGCTGGATCGGTTTAAGTTCCTGCCTATGATCGAGCGCGCGAAGGCAGTGAATCCCACGGCAGAATGGTTCGTCTTCATAGAAACAGACACCTACTTCTTCTGGGATAACTTGTTCCGATTACTGGACCAGTTTGATCCCTCTGTTCCACTTTATTTTGGATCGCCATCGCCGGGTTTCGGGTTGGAAGATGGAAAGAGGGTATGGTTCGGATATGGAGGGTCGGGATTTGTGCTTTCGAAAGCAGCTGTGGACAAATTGACGGCGCGGAAGATTGGCTCGTACGGAGAATATCTCGACCCGTCTCTGAGTGAGCGTTACATGGAGGTGGTTGATCGCGACTGCTGTGGAGATTCCGTGCTTGGGTTTGCGCTGTATCAAAGCGGTGTGCGCTTATCGGGGATGTGGCCTATGTTTAATGCGCATCCCTTGCATGGCATTCCATTCGGTGGTGACCAGTGGTGTCAGCCTGTTATCAGTTTGCACAAGTCCCTTTTCTCTGACATGCTGGGATTGGCAAAGTGGGAGAGTCAACGGGATAAAACGGTACGTACTACTATATCATCTCGTGACAGAATCTATCTATGGTCAGGATTAGTGCTGATTGGATGTGTTGCCAGGACCCCGTTTTGTACTCGGACTTAAGCGACTATCTCCAATTAGGAGATCTGACGGAGAAAGAAGACTGGGATAATGGGGATTGGGGAGGCATTGAGCAACATGATACCCCGGCGCAGGAGTCGCTGGACGCCTGTCGTCAAGCCTGCCATGATGACGATTCATGCCTGTCTTATACCTGGGTTTCTGAAGGAAAGTGTATCTTTATGCACACTATCAGACTCGGTGGTAAAAAGATTATCTCGTCGAACAAGTTGACCGCTGGGTGGAACAATGCGGGAATTCTGAAATGGCGCGCAAGTCATCGGTGTGAAGCCCCGAAGTGGATGAAGCCAAGTATCACGAGAATATTTTGAAGCGTTTCGTTTATATCAATTTTGATATATACACCTACTTGATATTTACACTTACATGATACCCATACACGAACTTATTTTAATATGATTGTTATGAATGTTCAAAAACAACTTGAATATTGACATTGTAGACACACTCTTTCCACTCCATGGTATATACAAAGATACTGCTGACAAGTCCACTGCTGACAGGGACAAGTCATTCTATTACAAAAAGCCAAATGGGTATAATGAAAATCTTCATCTATACTGAAGAATCGCCTCGTTCGCTATCGCTATCGCTATCATCCTCTTTTGATCTGACCAGCTGATATAATGCGCCAATATGAGATCTCTGGCGAGTGACAGCATAATATAAACCACAAAGAAGACAAACGAGCAAGAATATCATAATTGCTGTAACACCCAATGGGGGACCGAAGGACGTATCTTCCGGAGGGGCCCCTCGAGGTGAATAGACCTCGGTCCTGCCGAGGACTTCACCCTTTGCATCGATTGCAGCAACCCGGTAGTAAGAGATAGCATCATCAGCTGGGAAAGGAATTCTGGTCTCAAACCCAGAACGTTCAACCTTATCAACAGCAACGAATGTCATCTTTTCAAGGTTATCACCGTCCCAAACTTCAAGTACCCACGAAACGACCTCGGTCGCACCGTTCCAGCTGACGAATATACCATCACCAACCATCGCAACATCGGGGAGAGTATCTGGGCTTCCAACCCAGCTGCCCTTCATAACACGATAAGATACGATTCGGCCAAAGTTGAACCATGCCGAGGCTCCAAAGTGCGTATCACAGATCATTTCGCCGTCATGAGAGAACTCTGTAAATGCGGAGCTGTGACCCCAGCCAACAAGGACATTGCCAGTATCAAGGACTTGAAGGTTGCCCTGCGACACGGCCATTATACCAAGTGGATGGTCATATCGCTGTGACACCTTGGCTTCGCGAGCTGGAATGTCCAATTCTAGCGAAAGACCATGGCTTGCCTCAGTATTGTAGGCGGCGTCGTTGACCACATTATCAAAAATGGTTATTTGGTTTTCTCCGTGCCAGCGAGCGTCATGCTGCCACTTGAATCCGGTAGCAGTTCCTTCTGAAAGATCGGTGAATTTATTTTGTTTCCCGCCTAGTGTCCAGAGGACATCACCACTGGAGTCGATGCAGGTGATCGTATGCGTGTGGCGTCCAGAGACGAGATAGCGTCCTTGGTCGTCCTTGTCTACGCTGTTCATGTGGAAATAGTCAAAGCCCAGGGTTCGTTCGTGACCTTTCCCTGCCAACTCTTGATAACTATCTTCCGGGTGGTATGTATGAGAAGACCGCCATTCGAACAGTAACTCTCCACTTTCAATATCGATTTCCTGAACGATGCCTTCGTAAATCCATCCTTGCTCGGGTCCACCAACGGATGTCAAATCGGCGGGAATAGGTTCATATATCGAAAGGATTGCGGTGTCGTTAACGGTGATTTGGATATCGTGTAGATCGCCTTCCAACTCACCCGCGGGAGTAATAATGTATTGAGGTGTGTAAGTTGAATCAAGCTATAACCCCAGTGGCGTCAGTTTCTCTTTCAATTGAGATAATTGTTACCAGAAGCTATCATTCAATCATACCATGTACCATGATCCACGTCCATGCCCATCCTCTTCATCCCCTTGCCAGTATGATAAGTAGTCTTGGCCTTTATAATGTTGGACTTTGAAGTCCTGTGTTGTACCCCGATTATATTTCATCCAGACCAATTCACCCTTTGCATCGATGATCATTGGTCCAGGGTGTTCGACAGAATCGCCTCGTGGGGCGAGGAAGGTATATCGTTGGTCGCATTTTGCGCCGGCTGGTGAAATTTGTACAATTGGCGACTGTTCATGAAAGGAGTGGTAACGTTGAGAAGGGGCAAAGCCATAGAATCCAAGATCATATCGACTTAATCCTAAGTGAAAGCGGAGCCTGAAGAGATGCGGAAGCGCATAGTTGTAGAACAAAGCTAAGGCTCCTATCCCAAGTATGAAGATGGGAAGTAGACGTCGCAAGCCTACTCTTTTACGAGGTTGGTCGTTGCGGCCGAATAAGGTGTTTAAGCGCATATTGTAGTAGCGGAGGAAGGCCGCATGGACATTAGATCATCGCGAGTCCTTAAAGAACTTGAATGTATCGGGTGGTTTCAACGTCGACTCGGAGAGGAAAAGTGATTCTACCAGGAATGGTACATAGAGGGGCTACTGGATTGATTATATCTGCGACACCCCTTCCCCTTCAGATCTTTCAAATACCAGACCCATTATCGAGCGGCCAATTCACCCTTACTGGAACCTCCGCAAGGGAATAATTGGGTCCGTAACATGGTTCATATCTCCAAATATGCAATCTGATTCGATGTCCAGATGAAGTCTCTCCTATCGCTAAGCTGGGGGTGGGTCTCCCACTCGACTTGGTTGCGTACTTGCGTGGATAAAGACGTAGTTTTGCCCGGCACAGACTGAGATGATTGACAATGAGCAGTCTTGGCTCTTTAAACCATGTATCCATTTGACCAGTCACAGTGGGGCATCCGGCGCTAAAAGTGGGTTTAATGTGAAGACCCCTTAAGCCCCAGGGGACTGAAGCGCTGTCGCCCACGCGTCCTCAAGATGTGGCGTCAGTGGGCCTAAGCCGAGAATCTATGGCCAATTGTATCGACAGATGCGTAGGTATAGGCGGTTCTGGCTTCAATTCAAGGATTGCCGGTATCCGGAAATAATTTTTTCAAACTACGTTTAGACGGTCTTAATTTCCCAAAAAAAAGGCAACGGTGAGATATTATTTGATGTGTGTAATAAGGAACAGGAGGTCTGTCTCCACGGGCCCGATCAGGGAAGCGGGAACGAGTACGAAATGCCAGTGGACAATCAACCTTTCCGCTGTAATTACTTTTACAGATCTTTCCACCCTTTCCTTCGAATTCCATCCCTGACCTGATAGTCATGCCGCCCCGCCCCACTGAGTACACATACTCACCTCGGGCGGGGAAACCTGATCTGGAAAAGATCAAGCCCCGAAGGATCAGGGAATATTCCTCTGGGGGCAGAGAGTCACTAACTTTGCACGAATCCACATCCTTACTGGGGTTGAAATAGCGGCATTCGTACACAAATTAATCTAGCATGAACTGGCCCCGATTTCGAGAAAACACCCGTGGACTGAGTTTCGGTATGTCGCGAATCTTTTCACCACCATAGGTATTGCTATTCGGCTCAGCCACGATTACCTCATAGGTAGCCGAGATCGCCTTCCGCGTAATTTCATTGACTTTTCCAAGCCAAGCCAGATTTTCTTCACGACGTTGTCAAGGTGGGCCCAATAGCGGGCCAGAGTGGGGGAATGTGGCCTTCCCCAAAAGAATACTGATTTGCGAGGTTCAGGGTGTTCTTGTGGAGTGGCGTAGCGCTGGGGGCGCGTCTTTGTGAGAAGACGAGATCAAGATCGATAAGCCATAAGTACATAAAAAAGTGTACGTACGTAACTTGTCTCTCGCTTGTTTTCTGAGAGTAAACGGTAAAGAGATATTGATTATTCGGGTATTATCATCTCCGTACCGTCCATGGGTGGCATAAGGAACACCTGAATGGCAGCCACAACAAGAACGCTATCAGTGGCAAGAAAAGCTCATCTGACTATGCCGCCCCGATAATCTGCACTGGATGTTCGAAACTGTGTGTTTCTGTTTCGCCCGCAATGTCCAAAAGAACCTTCCATTGCATGATATGAGCGTGTTGGATATTATGCGTCGTTAAGTCGAGGAAGATTACTGACCACGCACAATCGGACGGATTTGTCGTTTAGCAGATTGAAGACCCATTGAGCCAAGGGTGAGGCACCTTAGATGACCCGAAAAAAACTTCGTGCATGTTGCTTGAATGCTAAATTTGCTTTTTCCATTCCTGGCAGCAGTCTGTGGCTGGAGACACGACCTGGAGATATAAGCATTTGTGGAATGCTAAGTTGGTGGGGCTCTGGTATCGAGTGTCGTATAATTATAGGATGGACAGCTTCATGAGTCAGGTGCTTTTCTCCATGATGCTTATACCGGAGGTATGCCGTAAGAAAATATTCCACAAAATCTTTTGACTCAATTTTATGGATGATAGAGTTGTCTGTGCCATGAAATGTTCCCGGAAGAGTGTGATGAATTGGGTGGTCCATGTCATTTGGCAGGAAGCTCTGCCTTTAAAATTATACGATTGATTACATGATTGCATGGGCTCTAGCGGGATGTCCACGGAAATTGGCCAAGTCAGAGCTTCATCATTTCCTTCGGGTAAATGCAATGGTCCCTTGTAGATAACAGATGCCTTCACTTTAAGGATTTTCCATTCATCTCGATAATCGTGTTTTCCGGTCAGTTTGACCTTCGAACGTACTTCAAACGACACTGACACAGTCGCTTCTGGTGCGATGATTGACATTTTGCGTACGAGGTTTCCGATTATGGTGTCACCTGGCGTGTAGGACCATCTCCTCGGCGCAGCGAGGTCAAATTTGAATTCATCTCTGCCGCTATACGAGTGTCGAGGCATCTCGGTTTAAGTCATTCTTGGAAAATGTTTTCCTTGCTCCAGGCGCAAGCCTTCTACTTATAAGTGGCCATGTGTCATGGTCTGGTATTTGGGGGCTGAACGCCGTCGCTTGGCGGGGCATAACAGCCTCATTGCCGTGGTTGCCATTTTCAATTATGAATTGAGTTGGTCTAGCAAGAACAAGGCTGGTATTTGCGAGGAAAGTTAATGAAATTGTCAAGTAAACATGGGTTGCGTTCTTATATAACCAGGCTTGCATTCTGATGTTTAAGCTGTGATGTAGGAAGTGGTGTGAAGCGAGATGTAAAGGCTGTTCCAAAGCGATTATTGGAACTCTTGGCGATTTTATGGCCCGTGACTCTAGTTTTGCCGAATTGGCATGTTCATGAGGTTATCCAGATGTCAGTTTAATGTCAAGACCGGAAGAGAAGAATTGGCCAGATGATATAATCAAAGGGCTTCTAGCTGGAAGACCCAATTCTGGGCTATATATCTCAAACTGCATAAATCTGTACTACATAAACGAGGTAGTAAATGGCCATGGGTAAAGTGGCATTGAAAATTACCTTTCGACACGGAGTGATACAGTGCAGACATAAGAAACAAGTATACAGAAAAGATCAAGTAAACAATAGCTCTCTACTACCTGGGCAAACCTGAAGATTTTATCTCACGTTAGACTGGAATAAAAAAAAGTCAGACGGGTTGCTTACCCAGTTCTGAGTTTGCCATCATTGACTTGCAATGTAGTCACCCAACAGAACGATCCTTAACTTTGCTCGATCCAAGAACTTCAGCTCATCTTCCCCCAAAGCAGCCTTTACTTCAGGGGTGCCGGTATTATTTCGAAATCGCTCCATAGCTTCCTGATCATTGAAGACGAGTTCACAGATAGCATCATATTTGAAAGAGTCTTGACCACCAACGAAAACAGTAGCAGGGTATTCATTATTGCCATTTGAATCATTGCTTCGATGGAGATAGCGATGACTGTGCAAGAGAGGGAAGTCACTGCCTGCGAGAGACTTTATTAAAGGCACGTGTATGTCTTCATAGTGTGTTTTGAATTTTAGAGGACTAAGACCATGGTGGCTTGCGATAAGCAAATAGTAGAAGACGGATGGCCATTTTTGCAAGTTGAAACAAAGGTGAGAGATCAAAGTCGGTTTGGAATATGAATTGAACCTGGCGGATAAAAACGTATTCAAAGCTTTTATCAATGTCGGTGCTGATGATGGCGACGCCGTTGTATAATACTGATCTCGGCTCTAGTCGGAGGTCGGTTGGCCGTGATCCCGATTGGCTTCTCTGTTAAGCATACCTACGCAGTATGCACGTCAAATATACGCTTAATTAGCATGGTACATCTTTTGATTGAAGTAATCCAATGATGCCAATGCTTCTTTCCTCAAAGTCAGCATACCTGACAAGCCATTTTTTATATCAACGTTTTATTGTGGTACGGCCTTCGGTGCTGTAGGTGGCCTCGTCGCGCGTAACTCAGTATCACAAAATTGTGTCTAACAGGCGGGCTTAATCTATAAATTTATTGATAACCAAGAGGAATCCAAATTGGCCTATGTTATTACATATCTCGTTGATATTGGCCTTGTTCAATGGCAGTTGCAGATTAAGCAGGGATGATCAACATAGGCTTTGTTTAGTATACGGGTGGCGGTGCGACCCGACCGATCTAAGAATATTCCTAGAACAAAGGGCACGGTTCATTTGTTTTCAGATCTTCTTTGGAAGGATTTCTATATTCGCATGCTAGATATCACACAGCTCATCAAATGCCTAGGCATCTCAGAATTATTAATCTCAAAATCGCCGAGCACGCAAAGTGGAGCTGTCTCAACTCATTTTTGAGGACAAAGTACCATCAACATAAGTGCGATTTATGAATGGCATGCGGGGCTGTCGGGCTAATATTTATGTCGATTTCAAAATGCATTGAGGACTAAATTACTATCGTAATCCGTGTCCTGAATTTGAGTCAATTTTGAATGATTTGTGGTTATTCTTGGATAGCGCAGAAAGAAGGAGCACTGTGCATGGTTTTCTCTGTACAATTAATTGCCCTTGGGCGCGCTAACAGACGTGCTAATATTGCTCATCCACCGTCCAGCCAGTTCCAGTGGGTCTTGGATGCATGATATGGGATCAAAGTGACCGAAAATTCGTATCAAGTAGCAGATGTTTCGCGCATAAACATTCTGGAGTTGGGCGAGAATTCGCCAAGGACACGACGGCTCACTCGGATACGCACAGAGCTGTCACTAGCGTGTCGGGCGCGGGTTATTGACAGGGGTGCGACCGCAGTGCGACCGGGCTAATGCCAACATGAGGCCAAAGCCAGCACATTAGAAGGTATACTTTCCCCACCGTTATGCACGAAGATGAGGAGAGTGAGGAGAAGCTCTGGTAGTAAGTTGGCAATACTTTACACCCCTGTCGAGGCTAGGAAATAAGAGACCAATCGTGGGAACGCGACATGCGTCATGGCGCGCACTAATGGAAAAGTAGGTTTACGAGATGCGCTGATCAACTTGCTCGACTCCACTAGGGAGTCAAGGACCGGTTTATCCACTCTTGCTGATTGGTTCCCACTCAACGATTTCTCCATGAACCAACCCCTTTGACCCTCTTTCTCTCTGATCTCCAAATTTTCTTGGGTGACTTTCGCCATGAGATTTTGGTTTTCGAACCTGCATCCCTCAGTTCTCATGTAAAAATGTCAAGCACAAACAAGGAGTTCAGGAGCCACGCGGAGCCCGATCTCGACGTAAAAGATCAGGATGAGTGGGATATGCAACGCCTGGGCAAGGCGCAGCAGTTGAAGGTATGTCTAACGACTGTGGGGGGGATGTGCGTGGATCGTGAGATTGACTGGAGCACATAGAGAAACTTCCGATTTTACTCCATCCTGGGGTTTACCACCACTTTGATGGCTACATGGGAGTCAATTTTACTGTGAGAATGCCTGCGCCGCGTATTTCAATCTCGATTTCTTGTACTGATTTACTCATAATAGCACGAGTACGTATGGTCTGACCGATGGCGGCCGTGCAGGCATGGTGTATGTCTATATTGGCTCTTTCGTCGGCTTCTTCGCTGCTGTCATCTCCATGGCAGAGATTGCCTCAGTGTATGTGTGATGAAATTCAGGGCATCCCAAGTGCTCATCAACATCGTCTAACGATTTCCGCAGATCACCTACATCCGCTGGTCAATACCACTGGGTAAGTGAATTCGGTCCACCAAGGGCGCAGCGCTTCTTGAGCTATCTTACTGGTCAGTTAAAACCACCCGTAAAGCACAGGCGACATACTTATCATGAACAGGATGGTTATCGGTGTTGGGATGGCAAGCTGCGTTTGCTAGTATTTGCTTCCTCTGCGGTACCCTGATACAGGGACTATTGGTTTTCAACTACTCCGGCGACACCGGCTATGTATACGACTTCCATCGTTGGCATGGAACCCTCCTCACCATCGCAATCGCAGCAGTTGGAACCCTCGTAAATACCTACGGCGCAAAGTTTCTTCCTCCTCTGGAGGGGGTCATCCTGGGCCTCCATTTGGGTGGATTTGTCGCTGTCCTGGCCACGATATGGGGAATGTCGTCCGGAACTGTTCCAGATCACGCTGTTTGGAAAGAGTTTTCGAATTCAGGCGGATGGTCAAGCATGGGCTTGGCCTGTTTAGTGGGCCAATTGACTCCAATATTTTCATGGACTGGGCCTGATGCTGCTACTCATATGGGTAAGTTAATCTCACTTTCCGGTGGAACAAACTGAAACTAACTAGTCGCAGCCGAGGAAGTTCAAAATGCCTCCTTCGTCATCCCGTGGTGCATGGTTTCTACTGCTTTAATTAACGGTGGATTGGGCTTCATCATCCTTGTTACTCTCTTATACAACATGGGTCCCCTCACCGATGTCCTCGCGCCTGCAAGCGGATTCTCCTTCATCCCCGCTGTTCACTATGCTACTGGGTCTACAGCCGCAACGAATGGCGTGGCTGCAATCATTCTCGTTATGGAAGTTTGCAGCGCCATAAGTATTCTCGCCACTGCATCTAGACAGACGTTTGCTTTTGCCCGCGACAATGCGCTCCCCTTTTCAAATGCCTTGGCACACATCAACAAGCGTACTCAGATACCTGTTACATCCGTGTTGGTGTCCACTATTATCACTGTTCTATTGAGTTTAATCAATATTGGCTCAACTGCAGCATTCAATGCCATCGCATCAGTGATGATTGCCGCCCTATTTACGACCTACATTCTTTCAATCGCCGCTTTCATTCGAGCTCGACGACTTCCCGGTGGGATACCGCCCTCTCGATTCTCGCTTGGCTGGCTAGGAATGCCAATCAATTGTTTTGCTGTAGCTTGGCTCTGCTTTTCTATTATATTTACTTTCTTCCCAACAGCGAGCAACCCGACACCCGTCGATATGAACTGGTCGATTCTGGTGTTTGGCGTTGTCGTTATTTTCGCCATTATACAGTACCTTGTTCATGGTCGTCGTATTTATGAGGCACCTGTCACTCAAGTGCGCAAAACGAATTGAAGGGGTATCCGCAATCGGAGAATTCTTCCTGACTCTCTGACTTCTTTCTCGTGCGACTATCATTTCCATTTCCCTAGCAGGACCCGAGGCGTGTTATATGGGCAGGCCCATCATCCCTTTTGTACATACTTTCCATACTTAGCATCCCTGGACAATTGGCAGGCTCATACAATAGTATATAATGTGAAGAACAGTCGAGATAGTCATCAATGAAGAGTAGTATACTCAATTGAGGTAATTTGTTGCAAGATTCAAAATCTCATCCAAACCCTCAACACAGTCCACTCCAAATGAACCCACGATGTCAGCGCCTGGCATACCCCCATGTCCAAAATTTACAAGTTCAGACCAGTGACTATTCTCCGCCGGCCTAATATTGGATGATGCGCGTAGCACTGAATTTGATCGACGAGGCAAACTGGCATGGTCATCTTTGTAGAATGTGCAGATGATATCGGCAAGGTCAAGGCCATTTCTACGCAATGGACCAGCGGAAAGTATCGAAGGATGAGGCATGCGGCTTGAGAGGGATTGTCTGTTGCTAATATTTTCGGATCCAAGCATCGCGCGAAGTAAAGATACGCCGCGTTGTGCAATCATATCCAATTCGCAATGCGATAGAATTTCAATGCCGTCTTCGATTAGCTCTCGGTGTTCAGAGGATTGGCGATCTGCGCCTGATTGATGAAACATATCCAAGCATAATATAATCTTTTCGGATTAGCAGAATTATACCAAGTAGGATAGCTTTGCACTTACACTTGCTGTAACGCTGAATGCTTGGTGGATCCATAGTACAGGTCCACCATCACGAGTGGCTTCCTTCTGTTCCTTAATTATGGTTCTTGATGCAGCTACACACGTCTTTCGAGTGAATTCAAACATTGGGTTTGTAAAGCTGAGGCCCAAAAACTTTCTGTGGATCATGATAATTTTGTGAGATGAGCTAATGGCCAAGCATCTTCGAGCCCAGAGCACATATTCCGGCCAAGACGGATCCAAGGGAACATTTTGTAAGTACCGAGGTAAGCGTTGATTAATCAAACTGCGCAAAAGACGGTCGTATTTTATTACCTCCTCATACTTCGTATATAGAGTATGACAGGTGACGGAATCATCTTGAAGACCAGGCATAAGAGCAGCAATATCATAAAAAAGACGTGAGTAGCTTGTCACGGAAGGCTGGTCATTTGACAGATGCTGTAAATCGTCGTCACAATTTAATGGTTTCGGTGTACTGAAACTCAGCCTGTGGACTAAGTAACTTTCGGTGAAAGGAATAGAAAACCAGTCTTGGATACAAAGCTGACACCAGACGCGCCGGCCAATTTCTCTGGTTACGATATTGGAAGGCGAGAGTTGGTTTTTATCCTCCAACTGGTGTAAACCGAGACCTTGTGCGATTCGAACGGCTGAAGCGAGAAGCACTGAAAATCCATTTGAATGCCCCAGCATATGAACCGAAATCGTAAGTGTCGCAATAGTCTGAACAGAAAAGATAGAGTGACGGGCCATATAGTCCGCTTGATGTAAGCAAGTGAGTGTAGCCTTCATCCAGCGTCTAGACAATACTTTTCTTTCACGGTCGCGAAATCCCCAGGATTGAGAAACAGATCTAGGTGCGGTAGCCATTGAACCTGTAAGAATCGCGAAAAGAAGAGCAATCCATTGTAGGCTTGCATCTGCTTCTTCTATGCAACCCTCTTCTTGCTTTTCATAAAATCTGTCGAGTTGAGATAATAGTGTCTGTGCATGGAATGATCCGTGATACCAAAGCAGGCAATCGCAGTGGTACTGAACTAGTTGATAAACTTTTTCTTTGCTAGGAAGCAATGCCTCACATAGTGAGATAATGGATACTTCGGTTTTCAAGCCATCTTCCCAATCGTCCTCAATGGATATATCTCCCGGCGAATGGTCGATATTGCTCTCTCTTGTAATTTGATCCTGGTAAGTAGGGTCCTTGCGACGGCCCCATGCAAGGAACTCCAAGATAGTTGCGGCATCTTCCACTTCTCTAGGTGTATTCCTGCTATCCAAATTTGTCTGCGGCGAAGAGGGGATAGAAAACGGCGATTGCTGTGTTGACAGAGATTCAATTGGAGAGAAAGGGCTGGCAGTGATAGAAGGCTCCGGTCTGGGCAAAGACAGGCGGGATAAAGTTTGATTTGACTCTTTCAGAGCGATCTCTAGCTCAGTAATTCTTGAGCGAAGTTCAATAAGCGTTGTATCTTTGCTCGGCGGTACTATAGATCGCGACTCCACATAACGCTCGGGTTGAGCAGCATGTGGGCTCGGAGAGTTCCGCTCGCGCGGCCGAGTGCAGGTTGCCCCCTTCCTGGCACAGTTGCGACATGGTAGTATTTTGTCACACTTTACTTTGCGACGAGTGCACTCGACACATGCAAGGCGTTTTCGGTGAATTCCGGAGCTCATGCTGAGTATTGTGAGGGTGAAAGTATAAGGGAACGTGGCTTTATCTAAGGACGGAGAAAAGCGACGGTTCTGGGGTATTATGCAGGCTTATCGGCAGGCGGGGCGAGAACGGAGCCCGACGACGATTAGAATCCGGTTCAAAGGTCAGTGTCAAAAGCAAATTTGTCTTAATTTACAAGGTTGATAGCGTCCCTTCGTTATCTCTGGGGAGTATTGTCATGAATAACGTCGATCTCTATCTAGATGCTGCCAGTGCGAGTTCGGCCGACCCCCTCGGCCGAGGTTCAAGTTGCTGATAAGTACTGTGACCACCATTTGGGCGTGGTCGAGTATTAAGGATCGAATTGATTAATTATACTCTACTACCAGCCTATATATATTACTTATTATCTAATTTCAGCTATTCTTGTTGAAAAAGCCATAAAGTTCTGAGACACGTCAATAATCACGATCAAACAACGAAGAGAGATGGCGTCAACCAAATACATCAACCGTCCAGTCCCCCAAATATCACTCGCCGATTTTGAGAATCGGATAGATCAAATAACTGCGGAGTTAGTTGATGCGGCAGAGAACGTCGGGTTCTTTACGCTAGTTAACCATGGCCTCTCAAAGGAGGATATCGAATCCATGTTTACGACATCGAAGAGCTTCTTTGACCTCTCCTACGACATCAAGAAAACCGTGCCCTGGAATGCCAATAATGTGGGATGGGAAAAGAACTCACAAATTCGACCATCTACTGGAAAGCCCGACAGCAAGGAATCATATCAGTTGCAGTATGGGGAGAATATGAAGGGGCTTTGGGTTGCGGACGAGCACTTCGCAGGGTTTCAAGCTACTTCCCTGGAGTTTATGCATCGCGTGCAGAAAATTTCCGAAGATCTAATGCGATGTTTTGCCCGAGGCCTGGGATTCCCTGATGAATTCTTCATCAAATGTCACGATGTGGCTCGACCAGACTCTCAAACCACAATGCGATTACTTCATTATTTTGCGCTTCCGGAGGAGTCCGATGGCAAAGTTTATCATCGCGCAGGGGCACATGCTGATTGGGACTTTTTGACTCTACTCTTTCAGAAAGAGGGCCAGAGTGGGCTGGAAATTTGCCCGGGGCGCGAATCGGTCACCGAGTTCGGCATTGGGGATGGGTGGACCAAGGTGGAGGCGAAAACGGGAGAGATCGTTTGTAATATTGGGGACTTACTCATGTCTTGGTCGGATGATCGATTCAAGTCGACCTTTCATCGAGTCAAAGCACCATGCGAGCCAGGCGACTATTTTGGGGATCGGTACAGCATTGCATATTTCAACCAGCCTTGCAAGGATGCATTGATCCAAGGGCCGTTGAAGAAATACCCAATGGTGACCGGGGCTCAGTTTACCGATAGTGCGATGAAGAGGAACTTCTCTGCTTTGCAGGAGAAATTGAAAGAGGTCGCGGCGGCATAACTTAGGACTTTTGGATTTGGGTTTGTTCGCGTTGGGTCATCCGGTGTCACTATGTAGTCAGGGTAGAATTTGCCTTCAATGCGAAACTTCATGGCAATCCAAAAGCCCGGGAGAACCCTGGAAACATGAGTGATATAATTTGGGGATTTGAATCGTCATCATGCAGGAAGAGAAGATGAAATGAATATGATACTCTTTATAAGTTTCCAAAATCCCACCACGTCGAAAACCCTTCAATATTACCCAGGGTTGAATCCGACTCAGGATACCCAAGGGTTTCCATATCAACAAACTGTGAAGGGTCAGTCCATAACCAAGGAGTATTAGCCATGAGACTGTCAGCGGGTGCAACAAGCTTATCGCCAAATGCAGTATTAGGACTAGTTGGTGTAGAAGCAACACGAGGTATGCTAGGGGGCATATGAGCAGCTGAGCCACCATCAGCTGTATTTACTGTAATTTCTGGGGACATGGCGACAATGACCTCAAGTGTGGATGATGACGTATCTTTGTCATCTGTAAAATGGACTGGAGCAAGGGATGGATGAAGCAAGCCAGCATAAGGCGCTTCTTCCATGCTGGACGAACAATTGATTTGTAGAACATCCCACATCAAAGGGATGCTAAGATGAATCTTTGATGGTTCCCAGTCAAAGTCCACCTTTTCTGAGCCAGACGCAATGCGGGTCATTTTATCTAATGTTAGGTCCTGGATGTATTGCGTTAATGGTAACTGAAGACCTGTAACCGTGAGATAGTTTGCTTACCAGAGATTCACAGGCTGGAGAAAATGAAACAAAACTCTTCAAAAATCTCCTGCATTTTGCAAAGTCCGTCTTGGACTTATATTTTAATCGCGGATCAGCCGCACAGCAAAAGTAAAGATGTACCGTGGCGGCGATGGCAGCAGCATGTCCAAAGAAGGGGTCAATTAATCGCATTTTCTTTTCTGAAACCATATCAATCATGCGAACTATCCATGTCGCATGTAGCATGACCACTTCTGAGGACCGCCGCCAGAAGGTATTCGGAATTGTCAATTTGTGGTTGTATTGAGAAGCCACAATATAAAGGAAAGGGTGGTTCAACACCGTGAGAATAGTGTGGTAGGTGAACTGCAGTTTGAGCCAAGAGGCCCAGTAATCTCGATTACCACGCAATTCATCTGGTCGGCGTTCGTAAAACTTCACTGAATCATATCGATGGCACAATGATAACTTGTTCTCAAGTTCAGTCAAATCGGATAAAACCATCGCGTACATTGAGTCATGCCTCCATGGTTCTTTCAACTTGCTCTGGGCGCAATCAAACACGTAAGTTCGGACCCGACTCCATACCCAACCAAAATGCAACGCTAAATTCCAAATTCCAATATCACGCGAGCTATCACAGCCCAGTGAATCATTGGGTAAAGGTGGCGGTTGGTGTTCATTGTTTTCAAGAGCTTGGTCGCTTCCGGTGGACAAGTAAAAGGGCCGTAAGACTTCAGCAGGGACACTCAATATGCCACCTATTTGCCCATATGTTTGCTCTAATGACTGCAAACTCCAGAAAAGCCTTTTCTTTCTCTCGGCAGCCGGACATTCAATGCCGTATGTAGAGTTTAGATCTAGCATTGCAGATCGACAAAGTTGAAGAGCAAGGCCGAGATGAAATCTCCCCAAATGTCCGTTTCCATCTGAAAACTATTAGGTATCTTTCAATGGGTGTATATCTGCAGGAAAAGGAAATAGTCATACCTAAGAAAGCGGAATAGGAAAGGAGACACAGGCTTTCGATCGTTTCAAGTTCCACGGTTCCATTTGCTATACGAAGCATAACCAACGTTCGTGCTGTGTCCCCATATTGTTGTATCTCATCGCGATCCTGAGAGAATCGAGCGGTCAATGTAATAATACTACAGACAAGCTCCTCGGAGATGTAACTCGGATCCTTCACTTCCTCGCGATCAAAGCACCATATAGGCTGCCGATGACAGTATTGAAAATAAAGCTCCAGGGAATGGGAGACACGGGAGGGAGTATGGTTTTTGGAATCGTCATATCCAAATCCGAGTAAAAATGGCTCGTTCACATTGCCACTAAACTCATTGGATGGGGGATTCGAAGGAACGGAATAATTTGCGTCTGTGATTTCATGTGGTCTGTTGGTGACTTGGTCGTGAGGACTTGACCTATATTCAGTTAGAATTCAGTAGCGAAGACTCTCTCAGCAGCCTTCTCGTACCCTTTGCCGCTCAGAATTAAATTGACTTTCTCTTCAAGATACGCCAACCGATCGGCCTCAATTTAGTTAGTTTAGGGGGCTTCCAAGAATCCAGATGATCATTTCATACAGATGGGCCACTTCGCGAGCCTTTCGGAGTGGGTGTGTAGAGACAGGGTTGATTGAGGCGAACGCAGCTTGAACAGGCGGGCTTTTCGGCTGGACACCTCGTCTTCTTCCTCCTGGGCAAAAGTCAGGTTATTGGAACTTCATCAATAGATAATGCAATTTATCGTAGACTGGGAACATTACCTGCAATTTAGACAAGCCTCATGAGAACGCAATCTACCACGATTGGGGTCCCGCGGCATTGTATGACACGATTATCACAGGCGATTACGGGAAAATAGGTGGTAATTCGAGAATAGAGATGATTTTTGTGTTTCTAGGAGTTGAGCACTTTAGAATGTAATTAAAATAAAACCACAGTGCTGACGAATGGCGATATCGTCAAAATGAAGGATGTACTGAAGAGGGGAAGAAGAAGGATTATGACGGAGGGCGATCATCGGTGCGGGGGAGAGACCAGATATTCTCGGCAACAAAGCGATAGCGATGGAAAGTCTCCTGGAAGGCGGGAAAGTCCAACAATCTAGATTGTCCGTTGTCTCCGTAATGCCCCCTTAGTTCGGCACTAGTTTAGGCTCTGACCTGTTGTCACCCCGCAGGGATGGAGATAGGTCCGTGTGCACGTAGTGTGCATCCACTTAAAAGTTTACGCTGCAACTTGGACCCCCCAAAAATGGCAAACCTATCCCGTTCTAAAACAAGATAATACCGCGATACAGCGCTGATCCATACCAAAGGATCTCATTTGTACCAATAGGAGTTTCCCCGTATATCAGTAATCGATCCACGTTCGGGAGAATTGGGGGCCTTTATGTCAAACGTGGGGCGCTCTAACCATGAATTTGACTCGCGTTTCGGTATCCTGATAAAGAACCTTGGGATCTTCAAACTTTTTTTTGAGGTTTTTTTCTTTGAAGATAAGAATCCTGCAAAATAGTAGGAGCTTTTCGGATCATGAAATGCATACCAATTGCTACTTATATCATGAGCAGAGACTGATATAACCATCACATATCTCACCGTTAATTCAATGTCGCACCGCCATTGACCGTGATTCGCTGTGATGAGGAAGAAAAAGTGAATTCACATGAAGGATGCCCGGGTACCCAGATAACAGTCGCACTTGCGGTTGGCCTCCTCTGCGACACATGATTCCCTATACAGAGCAGCAGCGTAGATAATTGAATTAGTAGAGATATTCATTTGCCAAAGATGAGATGATCGTTTCATTTCTGATCGACTTTTACTCTATGTTCCGGGCGCATTGAAGTATGCTAAGATAACGCTTTTTTCTTCCTTGAAAAGCCAACAATGCCCTCTCTCTCAGCCTTATATTTGCGAAATCCATTGGACATGAATAATATCACCCTTGTAATATTTTTTGGGTTGTATTAGTTGAGGGACTTGTGCTAAAAACCTTGATGTCGTCGGAGTCTATCAATTCCAGACAGATTTGACAAAGATGACCTCCTATGCTCAAAAATAAATTGGATACTCCATTATAGCAATCACCATAACCCTTTTGATGACCAGAGAAGATCCATATATAGTTATCAATGACGCTGAGGTCCGTGATTGGCGTTGCTAGGCCGCGCGACTAACACCCGCTCCGACCATATGATCGGCATACATTATCTGGCCCGCCGAACTATCCTCGCATGGCTTACGACCTGGCCTATAATGAGTAGAGAAAGGGACACGGCGAACGGTACCCTCAGCCGGATCTCCGCATAATGCTCTCTATCTTGTCGGTCGGTATGCCGTTTTTTCTGATATAGAGACGGCTACCTTCAACTTATGAATTAGGGACTTATTTCAATTAAAATAAAACCCGGTTAGGTACTGCGGATTATGCGATTGTTGAAATATTTCGCTCGCGCATATACGAGACAAAAATACCCCTTCCATGGTCAGTTTCAATAATTATGCACTGCTAGTACTGCTAGTAGATTCTGAGCCTCCAATGGTAGTTGAAGCCACATAATTAATTTTTCTAAGGATCTTTCTTTAACATACTCATATCTTGTCACTTTGAAAATGCTATAAAACACCTAGAACGTACAAAATTGCGTGCAATAGGTTTGACCCAGCTCCCCCGAGTTTCGGAGCCGACGATTGGTGGCTGAAGTCCCAGATGTTAGAACCGCTTATCCAAAGCCTGGAGAACTTCGACATGCTTTATGTGGCGTCACGCATGACTCACCTCCGCACGGTTTTGAAAAATCATGTGCCATCAGTTTCGATCACATGAGCATATCGAGTTCTTTCGTCGGATCTGAGTCTCTCGATTTGGGACTAAATTCGAAACTAGACATTCTCCCGGCCGTGGACAAACCATCGCGCCGATAGTAAATCATACTAGGGGCTGCTATCATCTGATCGTAACCGACTATAGACAAGGTTTATTTGCGTTTATCTAATAATACAGCATCCTATCAGATGTCCTCGTTTGCATTCAACTGATTTAAAGTAAAATTTTAATTCGATCTACATTCTTTATCTCTAGGTGAAAGACAACCATCGTCTTAATCTCACATCCCCAGGATCAATGACTGACTTGGCACCAGTCATGAAACCCAAATTTCGCCACTCGTTGTGCCGAAATTCAAGACCAAGTCGCAGTTCGTACATGGCAAGTTCCCATTTGCTGGTGTGTTTGCTTCTAGCGGTGTACACGTATCACCCGCCTGCCACCACTTCGATGTAGATCGTATTAGATCGTATCTAGAGAGTGTCTAAAGATGCGAGGAGCGACTGCTGGTATATGATAACGAAATTTGGGGAAACGGCAAAAAGAGGGGAAGCATCCCTAGAGTGGGCATTCTATTTCATTGGACCCACTCGAGTAAGCCTTTCTGGCATTCCCAGGAACAGGAACTGACACACAATATAAGTCGGCTATTATTGGGAGAAAAGTAGCCCCCCCTCAAGCGTATGATCGAAGTTCAACATCAAACCGCTGGAATTTTAAGTTGCAGTAGCATAGACTGCCCCTCTACCACTTGAAACTTTGACTTTAAAATAAAACCTTACACTTATCCATAATATTGAGTGCACATGACCTCTTTCCCATTTAGGTTTCAATGAGATTGGGCTAAAGAGAGATATATGAGCTTCAAATCATTGCTGTTGAGAAATAGATGCAAATAGGGTCCCGGGCGATACACATGAAGACAGATCCAGCACCTTCAAAGGGTTCCAATTCTATTTGGTGTAGTAAATTTGACTGAAAAACATAGTTATATGGGCTATTAAATCTTGCTTTGTCGATATGAGGAAGCAAGAGCTGCGTCAAAGGTGTTTCGCTCGCTTTTGGTCAACTCTCTTCTCTCTGGCCCACCGCGGCTGCCATCTCCCCCAAATACATTTGGCTGAAAGGACTCACGGAAGCCGGTCGGGAAACTCCATTTTTTGAGCAAATCCCGAGAAAGTCTTCGCTGAAGGCTAGAGATGATATACTTACCAATGACAGGAAGGAATTTGAATGCACTAATGATTATGGTTATTGAAAGTTCTGAAGACATGTTAAATGATAGAACAACTTACTGTCCGCTACCACCAGTAGCGATGAACAGATTCTTGTGCTCCGGGTGAAAATCAAAGACAAAGTCCCCGGTAGGAGTGTCATTATACCAGCAAAGTCCCGTTCTCTCAAATCCCCTAGGGGCAAGGTGGGGGAAGAGGTCTTTCATGCCATCTAGAAGTCGATTCATTCCATCCTCAGGCACAAAATTGGCTCGCGAGGCAACTGCAGACGCACCAGGCGAAGAAACTTTAGCCTTATCGGACTGCTGGGTGTATCCAAAGCCATGAATTGCCGCTTTTAAGTACCCAGTACCGTCGTGGGGCGGGAAGCAGAAGAAACCGGTAGAGAAGTTGAAATAAATCGGGATATCTTTTAACTCAGCAACTTCCTCGGGTGTGAGCTTGAGGTACCCCACAACCTGTCCAGCAGCAAGCATTGAATTCCACGTAGGAATAAGGCTTGATGTCCAAGCCCCGGTCGCCATTATAAATTTATCACCTTCGACTCTGTTGCCATTTAGTGTTCGAACGGCTATAATGGTGCCATCTTGGTTCTTCTCGAATTCTTCCACTTGGCCGCTAGGTCCAGTGATAAAAGATACACCAGCAGCAGTGCAGCGGGACGACAGGCGACTGATCGCTTTACCAGCGTCAGCCCATCCGGCCGTATTGTTGTAAAACCCATCAAACCCCGACGTTGCAAGCTTGCCGTTCAACTTGGGAAACAATCGTTTTGTCTCCGCCACACTGTCAACGGCATGCCATGGCTGACCCATCTCAGTCAAAACACGTTTGGTCTTTTCACTGTACTCCCGGGCGCGAGGCTGAACTGGCCGCCCAGGGGTGCCATCTTGACATACCCAAAGACAAGGTGCTTGGTAGAAGGCATCAGAGAACTCAGGGGTCTGCCAGAGGTCGAATGCTTCCTTTGCAATACGAGCATACACTGCATCGCCGTAATCAAACCGAATTATGCGTGAAATGTCGTTGCTGGAGCCATCTGGAACGGGGGGCATTGACCGATCCAAAACAGACACTGAAGTATAGCCTTGTTGCTTCAGCTCAAGGGCGGCACCGAGGCCAAATACCCCGGCTCCCACAATGACAATTTGCTCGGATTTTTCCATTGTTCTAAATAATGAAAGGAATCTTGAATTTCCCTTCTGCGTAGGTAGAATATGCTACGAGCGGACGATCTTTCTTACATTTTTTTATTAAATTTGTATTGACAACTCATTGTGCCCGTGGACGGCCCGCCTTCTGGCTTCGCGCCTTAGAAGCAAGCGGGCCAATCCGGCTCACGGTCCGTATCCGTCCTTGCTCTTGGTGATGCTCACCAATAAAAATAGGTCGGTTACTGGAGTCCCACTGCATGGTGGACCAGCGGGGTATACGAGTTGATTGAAGTGTCCAAGTCAAACCTGTAGAATGAGTGTGAAGTAAAATTGATATAATATTTTAGGTATTTAGCTGGGCAGCGTTGATCGGTCAAGGGGATCTTGCTTTGGATTCTTCACATCGTACGGAAGAATTAAATTCAACAAAACGCCGACAATCGCAGCCACAATGAATGGTGTTTCCACAAGAAGATTAATGCCCTCCTCGAACCCTTTCAAGGAGACATTTGATTTGTTATAGGTGAGGATCTTATCGAACCAACTTGGGGATACGATGTCCATGAAGCCGATACCAAGTGCTCCTGTTAGAATAAATCGATTTCGCCTAGTAAACTCAACCAGACTCAATACTCTCACTCCAGCAACCGTGATCGTGCTGTAGAGAAACACTTGCATTCCACCAAGCACGGATGGAGGCATCGAGCCAAATACTGCACCGAATTTGCCAAATATACCCATTATTATGAGGAAGGCAGCGGCACACCACCCTGCTCTCCGACTCTGAACAAATTGACAATGTTAGATACAGAACATGATCTTAGGAAAGGAGCTAAATTACTCACAGCACAACTGGTCAAGGAGATGACACCATTGTTTCCTGCTTGGCTAACCATGGGCAAGCCTGTACCAAGCGCACTTATCAGGCTCCCAAGGCCATCACATAAGATGCCACCTTGAATCCGACTGTTGAATTCAACTCCATTAATGTCAACACCAGATATTTCAGCAGTGGCTAATATGTCTGGCATGCAGCTCACAGCTTCGCACACAAACATGATCAACAGCGGGAGAACCAGAGATCCATCTACAGACAACTTGAACGTGTGGACCCAAAGGAATGTAGCCACTGGAGCTGCGTCAATGTTATCGCGCGACCAATACCCCGTTGCACCTGATATTGCGCATCCAGCTGCCAGCCCGAAGACAACAGATGCGGAACGCATGAGTGGAGACCCAAAAAGTTCGACGATGATTATTGTAATAAAAACGCTAAACCCGAGACCTATGAGCTTCGCGTCTCCCCTAAACAGAAATTAGCACTCGAAAAATAAATTCGTGAACATAATAATTACCATGGAAGTGGTCTTGGAGCTGCAGTATTTGGACAGAGGCGATAATAGCCTGTTCCACCATCACAGTTTGAGCTTCCTCCCCAATTCTCCATGCCACTAGATATCAAGTAAACACCAACCAGCAAAAGAAGCGTGCCAGTCACGACCTTTGGGAATATTCGGTTCAAAGTCTTCGGTGGAACAAATGATAATAATATTTGAATCCAGACCGTACACAGCATCGTGCCTAGCATCGCGCCCCAAGCATCAGGACAGGGTAATTTTGACCCATCTGATGATGTCGGACAAGTACCATTTGAGTAGCGCATGTCAGCATAGCTAAAAGCAATGGCAAGGATGTCAAATGTGGGTCCTACTACAGAGAGTAGACCGGTTCCAATATAAAACGGCGTTCTGGTCAAATGAACCCTTGTGACTTGAAGAGCCGTTGCAATACCAGTGGTTATAAATGCCCCCGAGACAAGGTACTGGCTTTGTTCTGAGTTGAGATAGAAGCCACCACTTGCAATTGCCAGAGGTGGTGACACTATAGATCCTATCATCGTCAAGGCATGCTGCAGACCTAAGATAATTGTGAGAAAGATCGGCACTTCGTCATTTAACCCATAAAACGGTGCTTCATAGTCCTTGTAACGTTTGTTGAGGGGCCAGATATTTGGAGTGATGAGATAGACATAGTCCTTTGCATCGGGATGTCAGTTAATCTGAGACAATATGATGATTTGAACAACCTGCCATACATAGTTGCCGACCCATCCCTCCCAAGTGGTGAAGTATCGACGAAGATACTGCCATCGGGTTTCGGCGATCGGCGTGATTTCAATTATCTGTGATCTTGCATCACTCGCATCAAAAGAAGAAGTAGTTGGTACTTGCGAGTCGTCCTTCTCCGGCGACCTCCGGCTAGTATCCATGACTATCGCCATGATCGTCGTCAGGGTCAGATGAATATTGCAACGTGCTGCAGGTCACTTGTTGGCATATCTAGGATATTTGGTGTGGAGCCGGACGACGACAGCGTCCGATATTTATCATTTTGCGTCGAACAGTGAAGCGAGGCGATCTTTGATAGTCATTTCTCTTGCATCATCATATCTTCCGAGACGGACTTTATCATGAAGAACCTCCTCAAAACCTTATCGGGGCGTTTTCGTTGATAAGACTCCGATTGCTTAGCGTCGGCCGAGGTTTAGGGGACCCCAGATCCCCAGATGTCAGATAACACTAATCAAAACTGGGGAATTTTGCCTCAAATTCACTCCGCATCATAATCGCATTTACCTCTAAGTATCATTTCCCGTCATGACGGCAACCGAAAGTTCTTTTGTGTCGGACTGCAAATTGTTTCATGGCGCGACAATTATAACCGTCAACAAGAACCGCGAGGTGATCTACAACGGCTTTATCCGAGTCGATCATGACCGAATTACATCTGTCGGGAAATGTCCGTATCCTGATGTTTTGCCTCCAGTGGCGAATGAAATTGATTGCGAAGGAAAAATAATTATACCCGGGCTCGTTAACACACATGCCCATCTTGTTCAATCGCTTCTCCGGGGTCTAGCAGAGGATCTGCCTTTGCATAACTGGTTATGCGATGCTATATGGCCTTTGGAGGCAGTTTATGATAGCGATGATGGCTACAATGCTGCACGACTGACTATAGCGGAGATGTTGAAAACAGGAACAACATGTTTCCTGGATCCGATGTTGACATATCGCGCTGGGTTTGATCAGGTCTGCAAGGCCGTCGAAGAATTAGGAATTAGAGGCTGTCTGGTACATGACCCTAGCACTTTGATTGCCCCAGTGAATTATACTGAAATTTGACATAGGGCAAGCTGGTGAAGTTCACCGAGACCAATCGCCAATTATCAATCTCCGACCCCAGAGACCGGGATTTGCTTGAGATGTCTGTTCCAAAACTCATTGAAGCACATCAACGGCACAATGATAGCCATAACGGCAGAATCAAAGTATGGGCGGCTGCGGGTACTCCTCGCGGTGCGCCGATATCTCAGTATGCAGAGTTGGGGGAAACATGTGCCTCGCATGGTATATCGATTACAATGCATTGTGCTGAGGCTCCTAAAGACCGAGAGATTTACCACAACTCATATGGATGCAGCTCAATGGAGTTTATACAAAACGCAAAACTCTGCCCACGGCACAATACTGCATCGTCGAACCAGCATAAGACGCACAATCTCGTGCTGGCTCATATGGTGAATCTAGATAACGAAGTTGACATTCCACTACTCGCGCTCACGGAAACCTCAGTGGCACATAATCCAACTTCGAATCTCAAATTGGCCTCGGGTGTCGCGCCGGTTCCATATATGATTGCAGGAGAGTCTCCTGTTAACGTATCGTTGGGTACAGATGGCGCACCTTGTTCGAATCATTATGATATGTTCCAGGAAATGCACCTGGCTGCCATATTACACAAAGGAGTTAATCGCGATGCCAGCTTAGTCCCGGCAGAGGTGGCACTTGAGATGGCAACAATCAACGGCGCTAAGGCCCTGGGGTTAGAGGCTGATATTGGTAGCCTCGAGGAGCAAAAGAAGGCGGACTTTGTTGTACTCGATCCGTATGGTCATGGGGGACTCGGGGTCGCTCCTTGGACATCTAAACTATCTAATCACGGCGTCAACCCCGTCACCGCTGTTGTGCATGGGTGTACCGGACGTGACGTAGACATGACAGTGGTCAATGGTGAGATTCTCGTTGAAAACGGGCTGTTGACTCATGGTGGGAGAAAAGGAGAGATGGAAATTGTTCGCAAAGCTCAGGTGTCTGTTGAGGGTATATTGGAGCGATGTAATCGTGATCGAGAAGAAGGCGCGAATATTGGCGGGAAGGTTGCGAGCAATTGGTCGTATATTTAGTATGAGCTGGTACTGAAACATAAGAAATCAATCAATACTGAGTTTCTCCGATTTAGCCATAGGCCGATTTTCTGCCATAATTTGTCAAACATGCATGGAGCCTGAAGAAGCCTGAAGGAGTCTTGGAGTTGAAGCAGCTAACTAAGTCTCTTGGGCAGTGGGGCCACAAACAAAAAGAGACAAGATAAGCATCGAATCAGATCAATTGCCGAGGTGTCATCCCCGCATGAGTCTCACGTGATGGTGCTTATGCCTTCCTGTTTCGTCGAGCGTGCGTGCATGCATTCCACATCACCTTCACCATGCCAGAGAGCAAAAAAAGTGGGCGCCGGCTCACACGCTGCCGGACAGGGTGTATGCGCTGTCGCTTACGTCGAAGGAAATGTAGGTTATGGACGCAAATATCATATGCGGCGACAGGCTGATATGGCAAGAGTACAGGCGACGAAGGCAAACCCCGGTGCCAGAATTGTATTGACCGGAACTTCCAATGTCAATACGGCGCGCAATTGTCTTTTCTCACCAAAAATGCACATACTATCCAAGCATCGGAAGTGGAAGCTTCAGCAGGTCAATATGGTGCAATCCAGGTAAGTTGAAAGATATAACTATTGGATGATTATTGATGCCTATCTGGCGATAGTTTGTCAACGAGAAGCCGCAGAGGGAAAGTCTCCAGGAGGAACCCCCAACAAAGGAGCAATCATCTCCTGCAGATGACTCCCAAGAGCCAGAACAACCAAATCTAGAGTTAACGGTTCCGAGTTCCCCCAAGGAGGTACAGGATCCCAGTCCTGGGCTGCTGACATGGTCTCCGATTGAACACTGTGTCGTAAGGGGGTTTAGCGATAATGATGAATCCGCTGTTGCTGGGTTGCTGGCACTGGGGTCCGGTATAAATGAAATGCCTACTCTCGATTTAAACATGACAAATTTCACTGTTTCGCCGTCCAAGAGGGAGCCTCTCCTGGCCCCAATTATGACCCCTTTCAACTTGCCAGATAGCTCTGGTCGTATTTCGCCGAGTCAAATACACATTCAATCACATTCAAACCCCGACCTCTCTTCCACAGAAAGACTAGAGCTACTTCGGCACTATCGCTATAATGTAGCCTCGTGGGTAGGTTTACATGGCACCGAAAACGCAAACTATAGGCTGATGTGAGCTAGTTGGATATATGCGATCTAGGACAATTATTTGGGATTCAAGGGTTACAGTTAGCCATGGTTTCACAGGATGTCTACGATTCGTTATTGGATCTTTCCGATGTATCGATGCGCCGGCTACACTCAACGGGCAAAATGAATGGAGACTTACGACTGCATAGGGTAGAAGTGGACATGAGTATAAACGGATTTCTCTGCGCGATAGATGCGACAATGGATTTCGCTTTGGATGCATCGAAAGCTTGGTCCTCACGACAACCTTTTAATAATGAGCTTCTGCAAGCCCTTAGTCCACATACTGCTGGTCGAGATTTCAAATCCGCAATATACTGGTTGCTCGTTAGACTAGGTACGTCCGAGTATTATTGTGGCATGCGCTCGTGTGACTGGAAAATAGAATTGACAGTGCATCGTCGCAGATCTTGGAGCGGCTTTAGCTACCAATAGCAATCTTCAAATTGCTCTCCCAACGTCACCTCCATATATAGCTGACGCTGATATGGGGTTGGACCCTTACAGTTTTGTCTTCTGTTATGCATCTCGTCCCCTGTGGCTTTGCGGACGAGCTGTGGAATTCGCGCATAACGAAGACTCTATACCGCGGTATCCTCCACTTCAGACGTGGATGCAACTGGTGGAAGATTTGGAGAACTGGTATGATGAGCGACCGCAAGGATTCCAGGCGATGCTAGAGCTGGAGCTAGAAGACCAGGAAGGAACTGGACAAAATTTCCCGATCGTTCTTTTTGCGAACGGAGCTGGGGTTTTCAGTAATCAGCTGTATCACACAGCTATGCTTATTTTGTTGCATAATCGGCCACGGACCGCTCGAGTTGCGAACTTTTCCTCGACCACGATGTCTCCATTGTGGCATGCGCAGCGTATATGCAGCATTGTCTTGAACAATGAAAGACAGGAATGCTGGGACCCATGTCTGCTTGCATCATTTTTGTCCGCGGCTCGGCGCATGACACATGAAACTCAACAGCAAGAGATTCTTCACGCTTTTGATCGCATTAAGAATGTGACTGGCTGGGACTTGGGAGACCTACTGGACGGCCTGAAAGAAGATTGGGGTTTTCTTGAGACATAAGCTCCCAGTAGGGGCTCATCCTGGTTTTGATGACATTCGGTAAGAGGAAACACGAGGATGACGGGGCATTTGGTATCCCCAGGCAAGTTCAAGGTCGCGAATACGCCAACAAGCTCCCCAGCCGGTCTCTGCCTCGATCCTTTGGATGATATCGATGATAATTTTATGCTCAGAAACATGGCTGAAAAGTCGACCAGCAATCCACAGTGGTTGAATGGCATTGTTCAGGCAGCCATGATGAGGGTTGGCGAGAGATATCCCACATACACGCCGAGCATGCCACAGAGCCGAGACATTCGGTGAAGTTTGCAGTTTGACGCTCTTAGGCATTGTGTTAAGAAGTAAGATACAAGCAGTATGGTACAGTTGGTTTGAAGAGATTGCCGCCCAGTGTAGAAAGAGAATCTGGGGAAATGGCTTTGTGGAAGTTGTTTGGACAGGCAATAGCTCTGCAGGCCTATCCTCAACCCATTGTTGCAGGTCTTCCCACAGACGAAACCAGCGGTGATGGAACGTGTTGCCGGTACAGTCATTCTGAACGCCCAGTTCAATAAATTGTGTACGATCTGAAACGAGCTCGCACGTTCTTGCGCAGAGATAGACAGCATAGTTCGCATGCATGTCTGGAGATTGAGCTGCTTGGAATAACCTTGCAGCATCATCTTCGTGGCAGTCTGGCCCAAGCCATTTACTGGGGCGAAGAAGAGTGCTTTGAGTTCCATCAGAAATAAGCGCTCCACACAAATCTACACTTGTCAATATTAATCATAAACGTAGAAGGATCCTCCATTGCTCACCCATTCGAACATAACACCAGAATATTGCCTGCAATATCCCGTTACTGAAACCATGGATTTCAAAAGCCTCGAATAATGCAGTGCAACCTTCCAAATGCTTTCGCCAGTCTTGTGCGCGTGCGGACATCATCTCTAAGCAGCAAAGCAGGACACACGCTGCCACAATCTTTGGGTCCCTTACCTGTAGCAAAGGACTGAGTAAACGAATAGCTTCCTGGTACAATTCAAGGCTATCAAACGAATCCTGAATGCCCTCCTTCCGTTCCATTTGTCGTGCCGAGATTGCGAGGATCGCATTCAGCAGCGCCGGAAAATTTCGCGCGAGCGCCGGTATTTGGACGCGAAAGGTACATTGAGAATCAAACATGTCGAGCTGGATTCTAAACTCGTCAGCCATCTTTTCATATCTTCGTCTCAAGATGACAGGGAATATCCACGAACCCATGGCGCAACCTGGCCCACATAGTTCTTCAAGTACTGAACCCGCTTTGTCTTCGAAAGTGCCGGTCGCATTTGCCCGCGTTGCCAGCTCGGAACCGTCTTAGTGCCTAGCTCCTCTTTATCGGGAGTCGGCGCCCGCGTTGGCGCTGCAGACTGAGCAATGGTGAATAGCATGCATCGTAGCTCTTCTTGCGACGCAAGGAACCCCGGGTCATGCGAGAACCCGTCATGGCCCCAACTGGTGGCGTCAAGCGGAGAGGCGAATGCAGGGCCATCGGTGGAATCGGAGGGAGTATATGCGGGCGCGTGCGTCTGTGCTTGAGAGGACCAGTCGTTATTTATCGTGGCAGCATACTGTGGAGAGGAAAGATTGGATGGTCCATCGTCCATGTATGTCGAGAACTGGGCGTCGTTGTCGAGACGCCGTCGTTTGGAATGGGGATACATGGGAGTTTGAGTTGGAGAAGGAGAAAGTGAGAAACTGTGGGGAAGTTATAGGCGGAGGCAACTATCTCCCCACACCGTTCGTCCACGAAGTCCCTGCAAGTCACATTACCTTCCTTATAGTATTTTTGTTCTCTTTCTCACCCATTACTTTATGAATAATGAGAAATTTTCGTTGCCGGTCTACCCAGATTTTTCTCTCTCTACTTACATCTTTCGGTAAAGATCCAATATCTCATTTTCGTTCAGCTTCGCCCATTTGTGTTTACTAATAACTAATGGTGTTCATTTGATTATAACAAGGAAATTATTGATACCTATATGCTGTCTGCAAGCCAAAAATTTTAAGAAGTGGTAATTTAATATTCATTGAATCACCGTGGATTCATCGATAGTCTAGTGCATGTGCCCGGCTCTATAACGACGCTTCCTGCTCATCCACAACCAACACCTTAATGCTACCGTTTCTGGTATCGGTACAAATATGAAGAGCATCTTCTGCCCTCTCTAGAGGAAATTTATGAGAGACAAGCTTCTTCAAATCAAGAATTCCACCGCTGAGACATGCAATGGCAGGTGGCCAAGTATCACGATAGCGATTAATGAATCGTAGGTCGATCTAGGAAATATTAGAAAATATGGATATCAGCCGAGCCGTTCCGGCAATAGAAGGCATACCTCTGCAAGAGAAAGATGCATGAATGGAATATTGTTCATGATGGCCTTTCCCACGCCAATGACCATTAAAGTACCACCACGTCGTGCAGTGTACGCAGCTGTGCACACACTGCTTTCAACACCTGTACACTCAAGAACTGTTTCCGGTGCAACGTATTCCGAGTCTCCAAATAGAGCGCGGATGGCTTGCGCATTACCTTGTGCATCTTTACTGCGATCTACCTGGTACGTGATACAAGAAGGATCAAACTCTTTGGCAAAGGCCAGTCTTGCTGGCTCCAGGTCGGTTATGACAACAGGATATGCCCCCGAGGCGCGGGCCGCAGCCATTGCAATTAATCCAATTGGTCCAGCACCGCATACCACAACTCCACGACCTAGACTCAGTCCTGCTGTCTTGATGCCGTGCATAACGACAGAGAGCGGCTCAAGAAGAGCACCTTCGGCAAAGGTAACATTCTCGGGTAGCTTGTGAAGCCACTTGGCTGGATGTACCTTGTAGCGTTGAATGGTGCCGGCATAGGGGTAAACGCCAGCAAATTGGACATCTTCGCATAAATTGTATCGCCCTTCATCGCAAAGAAAACATTCTTCACAGGGAACGCCAGGTTCGACGGCTACTCGGTCGCCTAGAGTATACTTGTTAGTACGGATGAACTATGTGTAGGAAAGCTATTTAATAGAAGGCATTACCGGCTTTCAAATGATTAACTCCTTCTCCACACTGTAAAACAATACCCGAAGCCTCGTGCCCAATAATGCAATCTCCCTCAAACACAAGTGATCCGATTCGACCCGTCTTCCAGAAATGAATGTCTGACCCGCAGATACCAGTCGCTTTAATGTGAACCAAAACCTCACCCCGACCTGGTGCATACACGGGTGCTTCCACCAGTTTCAACTTGTGGTCTGAGGTGACTTGCAAGGAAGGATTGGGATGTGAGGCTTTAATCACTGCATTGTTGAGCGCCTTCTTCACGACAGGGACCGAATGATCGGTATGACCAGCTTGTTGATCGACCAGAACTGATGGAGCCATTGTTGAGTTATCGCGCAAATAGATGGAATGCGTTGATTTTGAAGGGCCTTGTTTTATGTAAACTGGTAAGATATTCTCGTTCTGCAACCAAACATTTGAATAGTCCCAATGTTTTAATCTTCTCTTGTTGGTGCGGCTCAACCTACCGTATTGGCGGTGCTTAGAATTTCCCCTTTGGGACTCAGTACGGGTTGGCTATGGGTGTCAATAATGTCGATAATGTCAGCCAATTTAGAAGGAAACGGTTCATAATAGGCGAGAAAGGTAAATTAATTAAGGAGCCTCACCCCCTTCCCAAGTCATTAATTCTTTCGATTGTTCGATGTTCAACCCCAGTTGCAATTATTTTTCGTCTCGGTCGAACAAGAGACGCTGAGAACTTTGTGGAGATGGCAATTACCCCGAACACGCCTACCCCACATGCCCAGAGCATCCACATTGTCTCCATCCACATACCCGCCTACGACTGTAAACTCCACGACGACATCGTATCTACCACGAACCACACCATTCACAGCCCCTGAGGGCATGCTCCAGCTATTTCATGGGCGTTGGTGGATATTTCCCCAAAAAATGACACCATTTCCTACCTTAGGGCTTTTGAGCCTGGGCTGCCGAATATCAACTCTATGTAAAACAAAGCGCCGCATGCTTTCCCGATGAAGCAATGACTGCAAGTAGCTTGACAGTGGCAATGACTGACGAAAGAAAAACTCTATTACAAAATTCCTTCCAAGTTTAATTATATTGAATACAGGGGTCGTGGCGTCACGATCTTTGTTTTACCTATTACCCTAAAACCCTTACAGTGGCGCCCGTTATCGCCTTCCATATCAGAGACATGAGAGATGCTCTTTCAAACCCTAGTCACGTGATATAACTCATTAGATGGTTAGCCCCGTATTTGAGAAAATGTCTACGTGTCGAATCGTATGAAACCAAACAAGTATGGAGCTGAATAAGCTGTAAGTCCATGTATCGTTACAGCCAAAAAGAATTCACACCTCTCCCTTCCTGACCGCCCGCCGCTCATTCGGGCCACTATGCTGTTCTGACTCAAGCGTCCCAACTCGAGTGCCAGCAACACCCCGACTTGTCACAAAATGCCCAGGGGTCTTGATTACCGGCAGAGTGAAGTCATTTTACCACATGATACGCAGTATGAGGAGACTCACATCTCAAATGGCCAAGGTAGCGAAGTGTAGTGAGCGTTCTGTCACTAACGTACGCAAGAACATGCGGTTGTTCGGCAGTGCCAATTCCCCTGCCGGTCGGCCATCAACCATCACCGAAGTGATGCTGGACGCTTTATGAGACCATCTTGCAAAGTATTTCTTCCACTTATAACGGGTGAAATTAAGCAATCAAAATTCCCTCTTGATGTGACACAAAGCCTGACGCCACATAGATAACCTTCGAAGACCTAGCTATTAATAGGTTAAAAGCAACATAAGCTTGGCATCCATGGCAAGGGCAAGCTAAGATCTGATAGAGGTAGGCAAGAAACAGTCCCATGCAGCCCTGAGAACTACCTAGGGAATATTTGATAAAAGAAATCGTGAAGTTGTTGTCAAAATTGGTGATAGTCGAGAGCAGCTCCGCCAGACAGCCTCGAGAAAGCCCGTGGATGTTGCCGAACGCAAGTGAGAGGGGCGCGAGGCAGACCTTTTGAAGGCCCTGACGGGCTGCGCCTACCTTACAAGAGATCAAAACCTACCCTCCGGTGATATCGCTTTGATAACTGATAAAGCTGCTGGGGTCATGGCATTGATTCCGGGCGCTATTCCATCAATTCTACCAACTCAAAAGTGTTTTATCATATCATGTTCATTACTTTTTTCAACCTTTGGAGGGAGACTGGTTTGATGAGGTAGTCATCTAAACCCACCATCTTCCCCTCCTGTTGCATTTCAGCAGAAGCGACACCTGTGACAGCCATAATGCAAGATGCCGGTGCACCGGTCTCCTTTTCAAACAATCGAATGCTTTTCGTAGAAACTAGCCCATCCATGACAGGCATAGAGAGGTCTGAGAAAATTAGGTCAGATAAGTATCTTTCGAAGATGATGTGAGAACGACCCACCCATCAAAATGTATGTGAAGGGTTTTTCGGACTCCTTGTACTTGTTCAAAGCAATCAACCCATTTGAAGCTGTTTCGTAGCTGCAGCCCATTTTACGCACGAAGGTAGACAATATCTGTATACGGAATAATCAGCATGTGAAGACAATGTGAAAACGGTAGACATACTTTGAGGTTGATGTTGTTGTCGTCTACAATCAAAACGTGTATTCCATCATCCTTTTCAACCAACGGCCGAGGCGCTTCAGTTGCAAGGATATGAGGAGCGGCAGCGGGGGCAGGTTTATGCTGCATCGGACTTTCAGGACCAGACGGCGCATCTTCAGTGGTATTGAGCGCTTGGTGTGACTGAGTCTCGGTCTCAGGAGGTGTGACTGAGAACCTAGGATTCTTCAAAATTGACTCGATGGCATTGAACAGCTTGCATGGGCCATATCTAGTAAAGATTAGCTGTGCAACCACACAAAGACGATCAGGACATACGCACGGATGAGATACGCGAACGAAATCAATTTTGGCATAATCCCCTGAAAATGACTTTTTCTCGCCCAGCACGATGAAACGCTGGATCTTGGACTGGGCCAGTGCCAAAGCATCAGCCTGCATCAATTGTTGCAGTCTTGTGTCTTCAATTATCGCGATATCGCCGTCTGCTTTCTCCAAAGTCTCTGCAAATGAAACGCTCCAATTAGGCTGGGTTAAGATGACGTTGCTAAGAGAACTTTGAATCGATAGCTTCCGTTTCGCTTCAGTGCTCAAGATCCCGGTAGGGACTTCAGTCAGGTCTGGAAAATCGTTGAAACCAACAAGACACGCTCTAATGGCGGGCCTTGAGTCCGGAATGTCGTTGCAGGCTTCTGTTTCCAAGCCATCCTCGTCGCAAGAATTGATAGGAATGTAGGCATCCACTTGTGTCCCTACGTTCAACTCACTTTTCACATCAATGTGACCCCCAAGAAAAGCGACAAGCTTGTGCACAAGACTCAGTCCAAGCCCGACGCCTTCCGAAAGGGGATTTTCCTGGGAGAACGGGGAAAAGACAGAATGCCTAAGATAGTCTTGAGATATGCCACTTCCTGTATCTGTCACTGACAGATGGGCAAGTACAGGACCAGAGCCATCGGTCTTGATCCTGGAAAGAGATACCTCAATGAGACCGTGTTGAGCCCATTTCATGGAGTTTCCTACAAGGCTCATGACAATTCTACGCCATGCTCCCGCAACTGAGCGCACCTTCCATACATTCTGGTCTTCTATTTGGACGACAACAGAGAGCGTTTCTCCGTCATTTGGAACCTGGAGTTCAGCCGAAACACCTAAGGGGCCCTGGGGTTCAGATGCGGAGCTTTTCTCCCCTCGTGGCAGCTGTGAAGTGAGCATGATCTCAGTCACTTCCTCTAGTAAATTCCCCAGGTCGAAATCGGTAATCAGCCCCTTCAGGTCGGTGTTGAAGTTGTCGCTGCCTTGAGAGACCGGCGTTGTCAAATGATTGACTTTGGTAAAATCCAGCCTGGTAGATTTAAACTTAGCAAGGGAGTCTAAGAAAGACGTAACAGATACTAACAGGTGGTTCAGAACATCTAAGAGAGTTAAGCCACAGGCTTCAATCATTTTGACCATGTCATTTTGACCTGGCTCAAGAGCGGTGGCCCTTAACAGCTCGGTGTTGCCAAGGATACCATGAAGTGGAGAACGGAGCTCGTGGCTGATGGATGAGATGAAGTGTGATTTGGTGTTCTCCGTATTATCCCAATCAACTCTGGCGACCTCTGAGATGATAGAGTTGCTGAAAGCCTTAAAAAATCCGAGCTCCTCCATGCCCAAGGCACGCTGCATCTTGCTCGTCCAAAGTAGGGTCCCGGCCAGCCAACGTGATTTATTCCAGTCCCATAGTGGGAAGAAAAGAACCGAGTCTGCCTCGGGGATTTGATTCGCTAGCTCACGGGAAATTTCACGGAAATTGTTGAGCTCGGTGATAGAGCCCTCCTCCCCACTGTGGTAAGAGAGGTAATAGCTATCAATAGCCCGATCACCCAGCGTGAAAATCTGACCGGAAGGAAAAGTGGCAATCATCTTCTGTAGCAGTTGCTCTGTCAAGACGATCTCATGACCATTCTCACCAGCTTTCAAGGAGCTTGTGAAAGCCTGACCCAAATTCTCGCACGGTTGGAGTTCTTGTGGTGGTGTTTCACCATGGTAAACGCCCATTTGAATTGAAGCTAGACCGGAATGAAAGCCGGAGTGTAATGGTCTAGGAGATGGCCCCGGTGGTTCTGCCGATTGACTATGGTTGTCAGTTAATGTCACCAGATAAGGGAAGAGAAGGAAAACCACTAACGTTCCTGAGTTGCTCTGATACGCATCCACAAACAGCACTCCGTCAAGGTCCATAGAGTCTCTTAATATACCACTGGCGCGTGAAAATATGGATGAAATAGACCGAGAAATGGTTTGGCTAGAACTTAGGTTCGTCCAAGAATTGGCATCCTTTCCATTTCGCCCAACCAGCTCGTCAGCATTCCAAACCTCGTCCCGCAAGAGGACTGAAGTATTTTCAGTATAATTGGACTCTTTTTTGTCCAATGATAACAAGGAAATTTTATCCGTTACTTGCTTTGAACTCTGATCTTCCGTCTGCACCGAAAATGTCCCAGCATGCTCATCCTTGCTGTCCTGGTCAGACTGAACCGCAAGGGTTGTGAAGGTATATGAATCTTTGAGCTCGGCTTCAGGGTCAGAAGGATTTGCGACAAGATCGGTAACTCCTTTCACAAGTTTCTCGGCCCGGCGGTGGAAATGCACAATACGAGCGTTTTCAAGGTGATGCGCCACGGCATCCGCAATTTCCTGCAGCAACGCAACTTCGGTATCTCCGAAAACCGATCGGGGTGAGTCGTCCACAACACAATAGGAACCCAATACGTGACCGGAAGGGCTGAACAGAGGCACCTCGGCATAAAAACGCATATGAGGCCAGTCGAGCACGTACGGGCGATACCTAAAACACTCTTCATCGGCAAAGTTGCGGATAATGTATCGAGTGCGGTTGGCGGTGATATTAGGGGTATCGAGTTCCAGCGAGGTGTCTTGGGCCGTGAATAACTTTATGGTATGAGGGCAAACCCCCCAGGCAAGGTCCAAGGTTCTGAAACCTAGATATATGCCGTCGTCTGGTAGGTGTTGCTCCTTGTGTCTCAAAGATATAGAAGCCGTCGTTTCGGCGACGATGTGTTGGTTTTGGCCATCGATGATAGAAATGAAAGAGCGATTACACCCAAATCGATAGACACCTAGCTGTGCTAGGGCATTGAGTGTGACATCGGGAGAAAGGTAAGCGGCTCCAGGCTGCTCATCTCCCGTCGGCGCAGCCTGGCTGCATGACTCGTCGGTGTCGGAATGACTGAAGGTGCAGTAGTACCTTTTCGCGGATAATGAGTCAGCATTTGTATTATGAATGGAAGCCTACAGCATATGAGGCCATACGCCCAAGTCATCAGACGCACTTGGACAATTCGCGGATGCGATCTCGCTCCGCCGCTGATGTTGGGGGGTGGTTCGGCCCAAGAGCCGCGTATAAAGCCATGCGTTACTGTAAGCCGTTTCTAAAGTGTATTTGTAAATAACAATGAGCACACGAAAGCATGATCAATGCGCCCATTTCGTAGAGCTTGTCAAGGTGCGAACTAAGAAATCGAGGAGAACGGAGCCAAACCGTTTTGCTGAGGGGTAGGCAAGCAAGGTCATTGGCTGGAGATCTGGACCGGATTAGTCAGTAGCGCATATATTTTCAACAACCAAACTTACTTTATTAAAAAGGGCGACGGGCAGACACGTCTACGTGGTGCTGGGGACTACTTTGGCAGATGTTTTGATGTCCATCTACCAGGGGAAGCCAAGTTCTGTCCAAGCAGAGGACTTGCGGCGAGAATGGTTGTGTTGTGGTTGAGTCGCGCCCCTTGAACCCGCCCCCTCTTTCTCTCCAACGGTCCTTAAAACTCGCAACAGTTGACGGATATCCAGGAATAGCTAAGGCCTCCTCCCACCTTACCGGGCTATGTCGCGATAGAAGCAACGTGTTTGTGAAAGGGGGTTGCGTGGCAGATGACTTTGCACCGACCTTTCCGGGTCCAGGTCTGGTCCAACCTCTGCCCAAGCAACCCCCGTTTCTTTCGAGCTGTCCGCACCCATCTCCTACTCTGTGGATGGGTGGTACTGTCGTTAGAGCACCACCGTCTGAGAGCACCATCGCCTACTGTCGTCTGGGGATACTATCGTCTTAGGTGATCTATCAATGCCGTGTACGTACTGAACGTTGCAGCGCACACAAGCTAGGGGGCTACATACGACCCAAGGTCGTGAAAAGCCTGAGGAATAAATCAAATCAATCACATCATTTATTAATAATACCCAGTGAGCCCTTCAATATCTCTTCATGATCTTACGCCTTTTCTGAGTCTCCCGACTTGCCTAATTGATCGCTATGACAGTTTAGCATAATACGTTGTAGCTCGGAGTTGCCACCAATGTGTCGCTGTTGGATAAAGATATTGGGCACAGTGGCCTGATACGTAATTTCTTGAAGCGCACTTTGCAAAGCGCGGCCGTCGTCTACATAGAAGTGTTAGTAACAAGATACATAATTGGTGTCATAGAAGTATCATTATAATGCAACCCCCACATTGCATGGATTTCAATCAGTTTCAGAACTCACCAATTTCATTCAATTCAAGTAAAACAAATTTGGCACCTAGCTTATTTAATGACCGTTTGGTAGCAGCGCAGTAAGGACAGTAGCTCTTGGAGAAAACAACGACGCCGTTCTCATTAATCAGCGATTGGACTTTCGTTTTAGCAGCGGCTACTTCTTCGGGTGTAGAACCGGACAAAAGGCCGGAGAGACGTTTAAAGAAGGACATGGTTCCGGCTGGTCACAGTGATGTGAATTTGAGAAAAAGTGGTCGAAGAGATGGGCAAAAGATGACGAGTGAGGCGCCGTCATATATGTAAACATTCTATCTATCGATCAACTTGGCACTCGTATCCAGTGTTATGTCATCACCTTCAGCGTCAAAGTGAGCGGCACATTTCACTCAAAATGGATATACACTAAACCCAAAATGGACAAATATTTCTTATCAATCTAGAGGTACGGAGTTGAGCTTAAATTACGTGAATAAAGCTTAGGAGAAAGAAAAATAATGGGACAAAAAAAGCAAACGAATTAAAAGTATTAAAGCTCGGCAAGATGCGCGCTTCAACAATGTGGAATATACCTAGTGTAGTCATCTCGAAGCTTGATCCACTGTCCCTTAGCATCGTGGAGTAAGCTGTTCACGAATAGGTACTTTTTTTGAGTGGGAGCTTTTTCGCATGGATATTCTTACAGGATATATTCCAAATCTCAGCCGTTGGCCCGAAAATGCAGACCCCGTCACTTTCTTAGTCACTTGCAGCTGCCTAGCGAGAGCTCCATTGGGTCGGGTTGTTCCTCTTGTGGTGCTAGAATTAGAGAGGCGAAAAATAGATTCTGCATCGCTCTTAGAATAGAAACTTTAAGTTTGCAGCAGAAAGGGCGTGTAATGAGGAAGGCATCAATCAAAATTAGAATTTTCAATCGATCTTCATTGCAAATAAACGTAAGCCGTAAACGAACGGACCAATGAAGCCAACCGCGGAATTAATGTCGTGGTAGGAAATGGAATTTTGGAGCGGGAATTTTTCGAGCTAAAATCCAAAATAGATGCGAAGGGGAATCTAGAAGGGTGATCCTGGCCTAGCTCGGATATGATTGGCGTGTTCGTTTATTCTGAGGCTATGCACATGTGCTTTCGGGGGCCAAAAAAGATTAACTTAATGCCAAGCTTCCTCCAATCTCACAGCTTTCCTCATACGGGGTCATGATAACAAGGCTGAGAAAAGCACGATCAATAGAATGCTAAAACAATTACTATATAATCCTCGTGGTTGGTGGTCAAAATGACTACTAGACAATTGGCTCTTCGCAAACTGCTATTCAACTATCTGCAGCCATGACTTCTTCAACTACTACTACTGCGTCGGCAGCGGCCACAGCTACGTGCTTGAACATTTCTCCTGGGAAAAATGGATACTTGCCCCCAGAATCATGCGACGTCATACTTTATTATGTTCCATCATTTGGCGCTGCTATCTTCTTTTGCGTCCTATTTGGCTTAACGACAATGGTTCATCTCGCACAAGCTATCATATATAAAAAGGTAGGGTCCTTTGACATCCAATACTATCAGACACTGAAAGCTAATCCGCTACAAGGGTTATGCATGGGTGATCATTGTTGGAAGCGCATGGGAGCTACTTGCGTTTATCTTTCGCGCACTTCAAACCCGACACCAGGCAAGCGACCTCTATGATACTATGTATACTCTATTCTTCTTACTGGCCCCTATATGTAAACGACAGATACGCCGAAACCTACCGCAACTCTTTTGCTAATACTTCTCAGGGATAAATGCCTTTCTCTATATGACGCTCGGGCGCATGATCAACTTTTTTATACCAGAAAAAAAATTATTCCATATCTCTGCGCGTCGTTTAGGAACACTCTTTGTCTTTCTGGATATCTTTGCGTTTCTTGTACAGGCTACCGGAGCAGTCTTGACTTCAAACCAGGGCGCATCAAATAAAACAGTCATGATGGGAGTCCACATTTATATGGGCGGCATCGGGCTTCAGGAAGTCTTTATCCTTTGCTTTGCAACATTAGCCGTTCAACTTCACCGAACTATAATTCAAATGGAGAATAGAGGAGATTCAATGGAAAAATTGAGCAGCTGTGCATTTTCATGGCGCTGGATGTTCTATTCCATTTACTTTGCATTAGGCATGATTACAGTGGGTCACCTAAAACAATTTCAACCGGGATTCGAGCTAACTGAAGAAGATTCGCATTATTTTTCGCATTGGCCAATATGCACAGGGAACATCAACTACAAACCCTGTTCTAACTCACGAAGCATATGAGTACATATTCGATGCTGCGCCAATGTTTCTCTGTCTTCTCTCGATCAATCTTTTCCACCCCGGTCGTAATCTCCAGGGAGAAGGCGCCAAATTTGAAAAGCTCAGCCGCGCTCAGAAGAAAGAAAAGAAGAGACTGGCTAAATTGGAGAAGGAGGGCCTGAAAGAAGAAGCTATCAGGACGAGCGATGATGCGGTTGATGTGCCCCTCCAGGCCTACGGAGACCGTGAACAGAGCCCACAGAGGCCTTATGGCGATCGCTATGACAGCTCCGCAGACACATATGACGAGGCTTATGAAAACTCAAGAAGATACTATCAGGTTGTATGATTAATATATTGGGGTCACGAGTTCTGTTTTAGCTGGATCATGATCATGATGGCGTAGAGGAATTATGTTTTGGAGTTCCGGAGGTTTCTAATGTACATGTGCAACTTGATTGAACTTCAGATTTGTTGAACATTTTTTGTCAAAATATTAATTATTATAGACTTTGAAGTACAAGTACTCAGATCCAAATATTCAAGTTTATAATCGTCGTGATATCCAAGTCGTCGACAGTTCCGTCATCGCTAATGACGCGTTTCAAGTCTCAGGTCTTTTATAAAAGCCCCCAGATTTGCGAAGAAAGATTCTGATCATATCGACTCTGAGTTGTTCCAAATAAAAAACCTGCGTGAATATACATATTTCGGTATGAAAGATCTTGACCCAGGACTTGGTAATTTTCTACGGTTGTCCCATACTGACTTTAGTATTCCTAGGAGGTACTGCAAATTCAAGTTTTCCAAGCAAGGGAAATGCTTCACGTCTAAGCCTGGTCACACCCCTTGTAAACCATGATTTGACCAATTAAGGAGTCAGTCCACGTATGTACGAGAAATATAAGCCTCTGATAGGACTGGACTTGTTGTGGGGTGACGCCAATTAGCATTCCACGGCCACTTTTTATCCCTCGACACTCTGAGCTGCGGGACATGCCTCAGTCCTGCCAGGGTACGCCCCTTTAGAAGGCCTGTACTAGTGTAAAAAAAGGGAAAAAGATATATATACAGGTATAGGTACTGCTTACGATGTCAAGAATTTCACGTCACTTGCCCTATTTTTTTTAACGAGTTTTATGTCCGCGATACATTCTTGCAAACATGGTTCGGAGAAAATCAATCCATATCTTATACAGCTATTAGGAAGAGGAATCTTTATCGAATCAGCCTTACTTGGCAGTATCATTAATTTGATCGTAATTGAGATGATTGAGGGACACACGTAGAATGGTCGATCTAGGGATTGGTTGTGGCATTGCTAAGATATCCACAACCTATCGGATCGGAAGTATGTGGTCCTACCATGTAAACATACATTAGCGGAAGCAGCCTTGTTAAAAGTTGCTTTGTTAAGTGTCTTCCGTCATTGAGTGCAGATGATACAATTAAGCTCTCCTTTTTGTGGGGAAATAATTTATAAATGATCATTGCTTTCCCCGACTTTAGTAGTCAGTTTGACAGGCTGCAACCAAGATGGCTTCAACGCGCGAACACGTTCCATGTTCGAGCTTTGTAAAGCTTGAGAATAATACAGCAAGAACGAATAGCGACAGTTCCAGGTCATCAACAACTTACAAATCATGCGAGGAAAATGAAGTTAAGGTCAATCATTGCGAGGAAGATTTGCCCCCAGCTGATGGCGGCATTCACGCATGGCTCTTTCTACTTGCTTCCACAATGCTAGAGGCACTTGTATGGGGTGCGTGTTTTACATTTTCTTTGAAATGGTAGAGCTGAACTGACTTTATGATCAGGATATGCTTTTGCTTTTGGGATCTTCCAGAACTATTACAGTGTGCATAAGCCCTTTAAAGGGTCTGAAAATATAGTCGTTATAGGAACCTGCGCCATGGTACTGTTCTCCCATTGCAAAACTCACAAACTTTGGAATCAAAATTAATTCATTCCAAGGGTTTGGCATACTTGGTTGCCCCGATGGCAATTATTATGATGATAATGCTTCCCCGTTTAGCGCCATGGGTTTCAACAATCGGGGTGGTGATGGTGTGTCTTTCACTTGCGCTCAGCTCATTTGCCACAAATGTGACGCACCTTATTATCTCACAAGGAATAGGATTCGGTATCGGCGGATGCTTTGCATACACCCCGTCTGTTTTATACATGTCTGAGTGGTTTTGTAGAAGAAAGGGACTGGCATTTGGAATTGTCTGGGTATGTATTTCTATATTTGCTTTGACAGGTCTCACTACCTCTTTCAGACAAGATTCTAACATTTTTCATTGGGTAAGGCGGGGTCAGGGATTTCTGGTGTCTTATTTCCTCTCGTTATCGAATGGCTGCTTGGTAAATATGGCATCGAAACGACCCTTCGAATCTCCGCTCTGGCTCTCTTTATTCTTGCAGCACCTTTCCTCTACTGGCACAGACCTAGACTGCCACCACTCAAGACTGTCAACCATGATCGACTAAACTTCTACTTTTTGGGTAGCAGAGTTTACAACATATATCAACTTGGCAACACGTTTCAAGCACTGGGATTCTTTCTACCAACCATATACCTTCCAACATATGCTCGCAGTATTGGCGCGAATGAGGTTCTGTCTTCGCTCACTGTCACGCTCTTTAACTTGACTTCGGTGCTCAGCTCCGTTCTTGTGGGCTTCCTTTCTGATCGATATCATGTCACAATCCCTATTCTTATTACAACGATCGGCTCCGCACTATCAATCCTTTTCCTTTGGGGATTTGCTACATCCATTCCGGCTTTATATATTTTTTGTATCGCATATGGGCTTCTGGCAGGCGGGTATTCGTCAACATGGTCAGGGGTAGCCCAACAGATTCAACGGGCGAACCCGATGGCAGACACGACCGTCATTTTTCCATTCATGGAGTTTGGCAGAGGAATCGGCAATGTGGTTAGCGGCCCCCTTAGTGAAGCGTTGCTCAGAGCGGATACTTGGCAAGGCCGCGCACAGGGCGCGTATGGAAGTGGCTACGGCTTGCTTATTATTTGCACAGGCGTCACTGCTTTGTTAGGTGGTGTTTCTGTCGTGGGACGAAAATTCAAATGGGTATAAGGCAATAAAACAACGAAGACAATAAGCCGGGCTTTGGACTTCAAACTACAAGGCAGAATATTGAACGCGGATTAGAAAATATGTGAATTTGGATCATGAGGCTAAAATATGCATTTTTATGCGCTGAGATGAGGTTCTATATCATATATAGCGATCGTACATTAGACAGAAATACTCGTTGCTAGTTTTACTTCGTGATCCATCCCCAGGTACGCCAGTACCATGGCTTTGGAATCTCCACTTCCTTTTGGTACTGGATTCGACCAGTGTCAAGATCAGCCTCGGCGGCAGGAATAAAAGGCGATCGAGTCCACACTTTGTGCCCAATATAAAGCACAGCAAATACAATGGGACAGATGTATGCGACGAAGAAGTCAGACACGTTGAAGGTAGGGATAAAGGAAGTGAATCCCTGAGTGAGGGCGATCAAAATGTTGAAGAATAGGCCATACCAGGCCAGATAAGGCTGGCCAATAGCCTTGTAGGGAAGGTCATCACGCGAGATTCCCTTGGCAGCACATGCACGCATGAAAGCGATGTGGCATGCATTGATAGAAGACCAGGTTACAAACCCAGCAACGCTGGAAAGATTGACGAGCCAGTTGAAAACTGTTCCTGCATCTTGTGAAACGTTCATGAAGCCTAGGAGACCGAAGGCTGCGGTGAACGCAACGCTGTAATATGGGACACCTTTCTTAGTGACCTTTGCGAAGAATTTGGGTGCAAATCCCTCAAGAGCCAGGCCAGTTAAGACACGGCTTCCGCTATAAACATTGGAGTTCGCTGCCGATAAAACGACAGTCAGAAGAACAGCATTTATCAGACTTGGAAGTACTTTCACACCGGCAAGATCAGCGGCGATAACCATTGGAGAAGATGACGCGTTGGTGTTGCCTGTTGCAAGACGTTTGTTGTCGGAGGGCACGACCAAGCCAATGAAGAACATAGTCAACACAAAGAAAAGACCAATGCGGACGAAAGTCTTCCGGATAGCTGATGGCACAGTTTTCTCTGGGTTCTCAGTCTCGCCAGCCGCGATACCCACCAGCTCGGTTCCTTGGTAAGAGAATCCTGCCTGAATCAAGACAGACCAAAAGCCAATGAATTTTCCAATCGACTCTGGCTGCTTGATAATGTGAGTTGCAAAAGCTCCAGGGTCCCGCCAATAACGAAAGCCCAAATAGCCCTGATCGCCAACACCACAATCTATACAGATCGCAAATATCATGAATCCGAGAACCGTGGCAACTTTGATTGTAGAAAACCAAAATTCCACTTCACCGTAAAACCCGACTGGCATGAAGTTCAGAGCCGAAATCAAGACCCAGAAAACACCGATGAAGATAGCGATATTCAGATCTTCACGCCAGTATTGTATAATCGTTCCGGAAGCCGTGAGCTCCACCGCGAAAGTCGAAGCCCAGTTAAACCAATATATCCAACCCATCGAAAATCCAAGACTGGGGTCGATCAAGCGCGCCGCGTATGATGTGAAAGCTCCGGTAATGGGGATAAACGTCGCAACCTCACCCAAAGATACCATGACAGAGAAGACGATCGATCCAACGAAGATGTAAGCGATAAGCGCACCCGCGGGTCCAGATTCGGCGATAGCAGTTCCACTAGTGATGAAGAGACCTGACTAAATAAGTAAAGACACAAATATCAGATTGTATTTTAGTTCTCACCTGTTCCGATGGTTCCACCTAAGATGAGGGGTTAGCTCAAGAAAATCCATCTCAAAATAGTCGTACGGAGAACGAACCGATTGCAATCATCTGCAAGTGACGACTCTTCAGTCGGCGCTTCAGCTGGCCCGGTTCAGACTCCTCGTTGTCATTTTGCTCGGAATCTGCTGGCTTGATGTCCTGGGGGACTCTCTTGTGATCCGTGCCAAAATCAATGCCGGACACATAAGACGAGTTCCTGCTCTCCTGCGCCACCGAGGCGACATTCCTGGGAGGCATTCTGGACCACGACGAACTGGTACTTGTCGTCGATAAGCTACCTCGCTTTAGTCCAGTTACAAAGGTAACTTATTGGAACCGCGAAATGATGTTTTCTTTTTGAAAAGAATCACAGCAAGAGTTTTTTTCTCATCGCATTTGGAGAATTTCCGTTTTCGCTTGCAATAGGAAAAAGGTGGATCTCGGAGACCCACACGTTTAACACGCGGAGACGTTTTTTCTTAGGTAAACTGGGACCGAAAAGGAAGGACAACACGGCCGTCTTCCGAGAGAACCCACTTGAGCTTTGAATGGATGCTACAATCTGTTACTGGATAAAACCTTAGATAAGTACTGCAAATATTGATTAACTATATAGCTATATGTTATCGCTACAACTTCAACATTAGCATATACAATGCAATGCAAACATGCCAAACACGATCGAGATCTTTGCAGTAATGAAGGTCACGTGCCCTCGGTTGGCGTCTTCCGACAACGCGTGATTGGACTATAAGGAATAGCGCCGCGCCGTGTATAATTAAGAGTGAAATGGTGGGGGGATACACGTTTGCTTCGTGGGTTCGCTTCAAGACCTTATCTTAACCCATTGCTAGCACAAACAAACGCGCTGCCCACATCACCTTCCCGATAGCTGTCAATCACAGCTTGAACTGAAGCCTGATTATGAAATTAAGCGATCATGGACAGATCAGGAGGTTCGAAATAAAGACTCACATATGTACCAGGGCCTAAAAAGAAAATTCCAGCAAGTATTAAGCCAATGTTGAAAATAACCTCAATCCATCCGAGAAAATCCTGCTTCCTGGGTATCATAGAGCCTGAGTCGGCGTGACGCATCCGCAGATTGGCAACACCCCAGAAAATAAAACCGAAGAAGGAGCCAAATACAGAACCCATGATCGATAATAGATTGGAGAAGAACGGGATGACTTCTGCAATAACCCATGCGAGAATCCAGAGAATTAATAAAATTGCCGCCCACGATCCCCAACCCACCACTGTATGGTTAGTAACATGACGTGTACCTTCAAATAGGCGAAAGAATATGAACCTGGCAGAGACGGATGCATACAAGACACCTAAAAATATAAGCGTGGGAACCATGAATGAAAATGAGATTTTCATGTAAAGTTCATTTCCTAGTGATTGGAAAGCCATCGAGTCAATATACTGCCCACCAATAAAGGCATAAACAAGACCCCCCACTAAACTGAACAGTATAATCTCCGCTACCGTGACTGCCGTGACAGATTTCCAGAAATCCCGAGGCTCTTCCATTTCTGCTATAAGACTTGGAAGAGTGATCTGGCCAATGAAGGTGAAGCTGATATTCAGGAACGCATTGAGGCCTGTGGTAAAACTTGTACCCGGGGCAGGAATAGTCAGCACAACAGGGTCTGGGGAGGTCTCATCCCAGTTGTATGGATGCTTCTCAATTGCGGAAAATATAACGACCAGTATGATTGAAATTAATGTGAACAGAGCCGAGAAGGCTCCCAGCTTCGACAGCGCACGAAATGTGCGAGGAAGAGAGCCCAGGAAGCATGCAATCGCGGTAATGAATGAAAATGCTATAGTGCAGATTGCATGGTTTGACATCGTATTGAGGTACTCCGCCCCAACTAAGCAATGCAGTCCCTATGTAAAACTTTCAGCTGCAAGTTTGAGATTAATTTATCAGGCTTCAGACCTCACCTGAATAAAAGTATTGTTCAAGAGAAACATAAATGCCGTAATATACCAAGCAATCTTCGAATCCCAAAATAAACACTGGCCAAGATCACATATATCTCGAAGCTCCGGATGGCGCAAGCAAAATTTCCTTCAAGTTCATATCGATCAGTTTAAAATATAAATCCAATAATCTTCAATCATTAAACAAACCATATAGTCAAAGAAGTATACAACACAATCATTGCAATTGTAGCAGTCAGAATTAGACCAGGGACAAGACCTAGAACGGAGTAGGACCAGGGAAATGACATTATTGCGATGCAGATGTACTCTGAGAACAAGAGCGCTGCCGTCTTTTGAGCAGGGTTAGTACAATTCAGACTCAAAAACAAAGAATGCGAAGCTTTACCTTTTGCCAACTACATGTGCGATAGTTGATGGCATTTGCTTCGATCTGGACCTCACCCCCAAGTCCGTTCTTTATGGAGAAACCAGAGTTGTTAGTAAGGACGCGTTGAGGAAGTCCATGGTTGCTTGGATTTTCCAAGCCGTAGCCTTTTTCAGCATGACCCTGGTCGGCATACGCATCGGTCTTTGAAGTCGGTTTCGGGGTAGATTCAGTGCTCATTGTTCAAAAGATATGTGTCATGGCTGAGAAGATTTGTTAGCTAGTGACTTCAGAGAAGAAATTTGATGAAGAAATCATTACTATTAAAAAATGAACTACTAGCAGTATGTATGTAGGATTGATGGATGGCAGAATTTGAAAATGCTCATATTCCTATCAGCCGCTCAGATAAGAAATGTGGATGGTGTGTGGCTTTATGTCTCAATATGAGCACCTCGAAATAAGCAGGTCAATTACCCCGCTCATATTCATCTTAGAATATTCATATGGACTTCGGAGAAAGAAATGTAAAGCGCAATCCCTTTTCTGTGGGCAGCAAGATAGGGGTCAGATTCTATTAGTTGCTGGAATAATCCCGCATCTATCTTGCCTGAAATGGAAAACGTTTCCCGTCAGATGTCTACTTATAAACCTAGATAAATACCGGTTAAATAGAATTTTTAGGCCTTGTATCATCCTCTGAAAATTCAAGGGCAAGGCTCTTTTGTCGAATTACTCTGATGTTCTTGTTCTCTTCGCTATGCGGAGACAAATTGTCTTGAATTAGTAGTGACCATAAAGTTTACTATTGGATGAATCGCTGTCAATAAAGTGTACATGACATCAACAGAGTCTTTCTCTTTGTGTCATTGGTGAAATAAATTCTGCTCTCGCCCAGTGAGAAGGGAGCTAGAATCCGAGTCTTGTCTGAAGGACGCTAGGGACGCACGGCGGTTAGGCGATATCTGATTTGGATACGATCGACTTCTGCAGCTGTCCTAGAATGGATGATTTAGAAAACGGCAATGGCTTCCACGTACTCACATCTAACAATCTTTCGTCGAATGATCAATTACCCCTCAGATTCATAATCAAGTGGGGACTGGGCTCGAGCGCCGGATACTATTTTCGATAGTGTAAACTTGAGAATATTTATTTGGAGGAGCTAGCTGATGGGTGAGGTGGATCCTTGCAAGCGTTTCTCACCTCGATTGATGTAATCCCTCGTGATATACTTTCTCGTTTGTGGGGTTTGTATATGGCCGAGTCAATCGAAAACAAACCTACATAGAGTGCCCACCTAGGCAGCAATACCCCGCATATATTCTTTCAAAATATACTGGGTGGGCTCTAAAAAGAAATGATGTAGTAATGCGCAGATATTTGCTTCACTCTCTCTGTTTCAAGGGCACGCCCCCGCTGCGAGTCAAAGCCTTCCGCTATAGGATGGACCCCCTGGCTGCAAGATCCGCCATAGAAAATCCACCCACCCGACAATTTAGAGAATGACTATGGTCATGAAGACAACGGCTAATTCATCTTATTCGTTGCGACCAAAAAGTTTCAGGTCGTGAGAATAGGCAATGAAACTTCCAAGGCTCTAGGATTTGACTGTATTGAACCTGGTGCGAAAGCTGCATTGAGAGAGCAAAAACAAAACAAAACCTGGCCTGGCTAGCTTCTGAATACGTCTGTTTTCCAAGATGTTCATGTTTTTTCTGCTCTTGACCCATGCCCACGCCTTGATTATTCGTCGATGCGACCGAAACCAAAAGTGGATAATTTTATTCGTGTATCGTCTTATCCTCTACGGCCCATATCCCTAGTGCTCGTGAAGAAAGGTTGAGCTATCTTAATCGAAACGAGGAAAGAAAATGTGAGGTATGTGAAGAAATTCGGAGTCAGGGCCAATTAATACTACGGCAAAAGTCGAGCCGGTGTGGGTCTGTCATAGAGACGTACAATACACGACTCAAATAAGCCGAGGTGTATTGTAAGGCTTGGACGGGAATCGCGATCGGTCGGCTTGCCGACACATCAACCGAGCCTTCTTATGCGCCCCCGAATCGGCCCAATAACTCCACTTAGCGGAGCGATACAAAGCACTAATCAATCAAAAAATTGATATGATATTTTCATTGCCACTAGCTCAGTCGGTGGGTCCATGGGCTGATTTGTATATCATTATTTTTATCGGTATTTTTATCATATTTTTGTCAATGAAAAAAAAATCATCTGTTCCTAACTTATCAAAAAGCCGTTCGAATCCTGATATTTGATTCAACGGATCATATTCAATATGTCTTTGGCAGAGAAAGGCTCCGTCGAAGCGCCGCGGCCACGTCGAATCCCATATTGGCGCATCCTAACTGATCAGGGGTTTTGTACACCCGAAGTTATCGAGTATCCCTACGCCGGAGCTGGAACCGACGATGACCCTTATGTCGTCGAATGGATCCCCAATGATCCTCGCAATCCGATGGAATTTGACGCCAGTCTGAAATGGACGTACACTATTATAGTCGCATTTGCGACCCTCGCAGTCTCGCTATCCTCTTCGGCATACGCAGGTGGCATCAACGAAGTACTTGTGGACCTACACGTCGGAGAAGAAGTGGCTACTCTGGGCGTAAGCTTGTTTGTTTTGGGCTTTGCTGTCGGTCCTTTACTTTGGGCTCCTCTTAGTGAGCTTATCGGGCGCCAGATTGTGTTTTTGGTCACATTCCTTGCACTCTCGGTGTTCTGTGCTGGAGCTGCGGGTTCTCAGCATGCTTACGTCCTTATAATTCTTCGTTTCCTTGCCGGATCCTTTGGATCATCGCCTTTTACAAACGCCGGCGGTGTTATTGCGGATATTTTTCCAGCTGAGAGCCGCGGCTTGGCAACTAGTCTTTTTGCTGGTGCACCTTTCCTCGGACCTACCCTTGGGCCTGTCATTGGAGGCTTTTTAGGTGAAAACGCCGGTTGGAAATGGGTGCAAGGCTTCTTGGCTGTCTTTACCGGACTTATCTGGATAGTGGGGAGCCTGATTGTTCCGGAAACATATGCTCCAGTCTTGTTGCGCAAGAGAGCAGAGCGCCTATCGAAAATAACAGGGAAGGTTTATCGCAGTAGACTGGATATTGATCGAGGAAAGGTCTCTGCGCGAACCGCGTTTGGGACTGCCCTCAAGCGTCCATGGATTCTATTATTTGCAGAACCCATCGTTCTCTTGCTTTCTATCTACATGGCAATTGTCTACGGCACACTATACATGCTTTTTGATGCCTTTCCTATCATCTTCCAGGAGATCAGAGGCTGGAGTGAAGGTATCGGCAGCTTACCGTTTCTTTCGGTGATGATCGGAATGATGATTGCAGTTGGGTTGAACATGTATGACAACAAACGCTATGTCCGTATCCACAAGGCACACAATGGCTTTGCGCCGCCCGAAGCACGTCTTCCCCCAACTATGCTGGGCGGACTGGCCATCCCTATCGGCCTCTTCTGGTTTGCGTGGACCAATTATCCGTCCATTCACTGGATTGTCTGTGTACTCGCGACTGCCCCGTTTGGCTTCGGCATGGTATTTGTCTTTCTGGGTATCATGAACTATCTCATCGATTCTTACACGATCTACGCTGCGTCTGTTTTGGCCGCCAACTCTATCATCCGATCATGCTTTGGTGCTGGCTTTCCACTTTTTACCACATACATGTACAACAACTTGGGCATACATTGGGCATCTTGCGTTCCAGCATTCCTCTCGCTCGCTTGTGTTCCGTTCCCTTTCATCTTCTATCGCTACGGACCTGCTATTCGTCGCAAATGCAAATATTCTGCAGAGGCCGATGACTTCATGCGTGCGTTGGCTCGAAAGGCCCCTGAGGCAAGCACCGTCAATACGGAAAAATCAAAAGTGAATGCGGAAGCAGAAGAGGCACAGGCCTCAGAGTCAAAACTTGTTGAGGAGGACTGCGAATCTGTTTCTTCTCGCTCGTCCTTGGAGCGGGTCGAGACAACGTACGAAGCCAATCCATTCGATATTGATCGTGTTAATACGCGTAACTCTGCTATTACACAGAAATCGAAATCGATCCATGAGAAGACTTCGAAGGTCTTTAGCTTCGGCCGAAAGTGATTGTTCGATTGATCCTTCTTTGGCGAAACACCAAACTAATATTCCTTATTCCCCCTTTACTGCCTATTCAATGCGTATTTCTGCAAGATGATGTATTTCCACAGAACTTAAAATAATGTATACATATTTTAATAAAGCATGAACACAATTCTGGTCATATCATTAAAAGTCCGCTGCACCAGGAAGGTAAGCGGGTGTGTCTTCTCGGAAGTCCTCTGTAATTAAATGTTTGAATGAGGGCGACCATTCCACCCGTGGAGTTAGGATGTCCAAATCCCAAAGCTCAGAAAGAGTCTTCAAGATTGAAGTGTGGGTGAAGTCGTTATCGCCATCCGGCTTATTCTGAATAAGACCCTTGCCAACCCATGGAGAAATGAGAACGGTAGGAACACGAACACCGAGACGATCAAAATGGAATGTATAATCGCTCCCATCTGCGGCCCTCTCAGTGTATGTCAGACTATCTCCCGGCGGAACTCCACTCGGTGGTGCGACATGATCCGCAAATCCACCATGCTCATCCCAAGTTAGGATAAATAATGTCTGATTCCATTGAGGAGAGTTTCGTACAGCCTCATAAATACTCTTTACCCAATTTTCACCCATATTGATTGGGGAAGGAGGGTGCATTGACATGTAGTGACAGCACTCGGGATTGATATACGTGAAGCTCGGTAACTCTCCATTAGCAGCGTCCTCATAGAACTGCTGAATGGGTCTTATGCTGGTCTTGCTTTCAGAAGACTGCTCGGTCCATCGATAAAACATCGCATCGGGCAAGAAATAAGGGGTAGCGCTCGTTGAATTCTCGTAGTTTACCCAACTAATGCCCTTCTCCGATAATTGCTGGAAAATTGACCTCTGCGGTAATGCCGAATGCAGAAAGCTCTGATCATTCATACCGTGGCCATATGATGTACCTGATGTCAAATAGGCTCTATTGGGGTTTGTTGGGCCGGGAACAGCAGCGAACCATCGGTCAAATAGAACATAGTTCTCTGCGATCGCGTTGAACACGGGGATATTTCCAGGTGCGAAATAATCGATAACTTCTGCCGCACGCTCTCGTTCCAGTGCTTCTATATCTTCTTCTTTGAGGCTTCTTCGTACTTCGTCATGTAGTATGAGAGGCCTGTGGGGTAACATCAACTCCTCCTGTTGTTTATGCAATCGGTCTAGTCTGTAGGACATTCGCTGTTCGGTGACAAATCCGTCCATCGAGGACTCGGAGTCTAGAAGGGGGTGGTAGGTGCCAAATATTTGCATGTTGATGCCCGAAATGCTGTGGTTGGGGTCGTCTGCTGCGACATTCTGAGCTGTACTTGCCGCACAAACTTGGCGGGAGGTATCGGGTATCGAGATGTTGGCTGGGTTGCAGTATTGCCGATTTGCTAAACCATCAATGCTGCTGTTATATGTGAGACCGCCGGCAAAATGGTCAAAGGACAGGTTTTCCTGAACCAGAACCACAACATTTTTGATCGCGCTGCGGAGTCTGTTTACCTGTTCCGCCTCCTCGAATGACAGATGTTTCTGGTATGCTGCAGAGGTGGAGCCGAGAGCCAGCACTAAAAGCAGCATTAATCGGGCCATCATGAGCTATATGAAGTGAAGTTCTGCTCAGAACAAAGACTTCATGGGGTGAGAGAAAGCTGCAGAAGAAGTTGCAAGTCACATCCCGAGTCGCGGTCGCTAGGGTCTCGGGCGTATCAGATGCGCCGATCCCTTGATTTCCCCTCATTTTCCAAGTTTGCTCCATTTGCTCCACTCGATCCACCGAATCCCGCCGCATGATCGCTATTCGCTCGATTATTCGTTCGATCGTTTCTTGGTATTTGTGCGAATATGCACATGTGCACACCCAGAATATTTGACAATACATACGCTACATTAGGCCTCGATTCTCATCCGCGGGAGGTGATCCTTCTTGAATCCTTTGCCTAAACAGGTTCACCCGTTCTCCAAGGTACTTCTGCCCAACCTGTATAAACAAACCCTCTGGTATATTCAGATTATGTAATTTATTTCAACATTATTTCAACATTATTAGTATTCATCCATTATTTTACATATTTGTTTGGTATGCGACGTGGTAGATGCGGGCGACTTAGATGATCTTGGTATACGCTAATGTATACACAAAGTTAGTGGATTAAAGATGATTCAAATATAGGCAAGGGATGTTTTAAGTGTAATCACCTCGGTTAGGGATCTTCTGATACTTGACTCTGCGGGTATACCAGCCAACTATGCCAAGTTGGGTGAAGGTAATCTCTGATAATACCTAGCAGGAAAATACCTGCGTCCTTGACTTGCCACATATGCCTACCATAGTGTAACAGCAGGGCATAGTAAGCCAACAGAACCAGGACTTCTGGCCTTTTCTCCGATAACATATCGATAAACTTTGGCGGTGCCAGCATCAGCCACGTATAAATCATATAGTGGTTATACCCGCTCTTTTTCTTCACCCTCGAGGACAGCGTCAAATCCAACCTGCAGGTGCTGAATTACTGAGTTGCATGCTTCCTTCTCGTCCACACTCAGCGCTTGAGAGCCTGTGATCAGTTCAGAGATTTTCCGGCATGTATTTCCCTTCGGTGTGCGTGAGGTAAATTGAGAACTGGCTGCAAGAATCGGCGCGAGCTCCGATTCCATCAACTGCGGCCAGTATTGCATCGCAATGACGTGAATCCCTCGATGTATTTCGACACAGTGTATATACTTCGACAGAAAAGCATCAAGACCGCCCGGGTGCCTTTCCGCCAATGTGTTCGTGAGAAAGTGCTGACCAAGTACGGAGGAGAAAAGGAGTATGGGCACACAGTTGGATTCGTTGACGTCAGCAAAGGAGGAATTGAATAGTGAAACAGCACGAGTTTGTAGGGCCATAGCCTGATGGAATTGAAATTGATTATTTTCACGACCCGTACATGCCAGATGAAGAGCCGAGAATGCCAGGAACTCATGAAGGAGAAATGGAAACATGAAACCTAGTTTGATTCCAAGTGAAATGAGAGAGGGGTTCGTGAAGGCGTCGTCTGCAAGGCTGAGGCAGGGTAGATTTTTCGTTTCAGTAAGATGGAAAAGGAGTTCCATATGATTGATGTTTATGCTCGGGATATCTTCGAAGGTGTCCTTTTCTGCAACACTGGGAGATCCATCATTTTGAACATCAGAGGATTCCAGCCGAGGATACGTCTGGCTTTGTTGCGTGTCATAAGTGCATGCACGATGCGAGATTTTGCATATTGTACATATTGGACGACGTTCGTCACACTGTCAAAATAGCCGGAGACCGGTTCGAGTTAGTCATTAGGGATATGCGGGGCGATTGACTTGAATTGAGTACGGTGGCATATCCAGCAATTTTGAACTTAACCGTACCTTAGCATGGCGCGCTTTACATGTTAGGCAACCGCCTCGAGACTTTTTGTGGCTGCGGCGGAGCATGCTCAGTCGTAATCTCTGAAAATCTAGCAATGAACGTCTGCTTTGGAAAGCCTGGTGGATAATGTATTAAAAGGCTCAGGATCTCTAAGCTGCTGAATTTTCCTGCTACAGACACTGCAACAAGCCAGAGAGAAATAACTGACAGTCAACTGGACCATTCAGGGACATCGGATGCGATAGTTAACTAACTGGGTTCCACTTTACTTACCTAATACGCGTGTTACATAATGTGGGTCTAGAGCTGAGCGTGCTTTCAACGAATAAGATCAGCTTCCAAGGTTGTATGAGACTAATGGATACAATGAAACATTGAGACTATACTGATGCGAATACATTAGTGTCATGGCTGACACGCGTATTTTGGTACTCGATCCTTCTTAGAAACAGCGTTGAAAAATTTATGGTATATAAGATCTGCGATCGCTCCGACCCTGCTTATACTGTCATCCAGCAGCCCGGACTTGAAACCATTTCAATCATCATTTCGTTCTTCCACTTCCAAATTTGTGTTAACTTCAGACTTAAATATGCCCACTCTCCAGACCTTTGGAGGAGCATATATTTGGAAATATGTTCCCCAATTATCTTTATCCCTTGCATTCCTTTGCCTCTTTACCATTGCAACCATTGTCCAATGTTGGAGGTCCTGGCGAGCCAAAGCATGGTTTACACTCCCATTTGCTATTGCAGGTATCTGTAAGTACCTCCTATTCAATCGCTGAAAATAATAAACAGGGGCTAACTGCCTGGCTTCGTCAGGTGAAATGATTGGATACGCCACCCGAGCCTTTTGCTTCGACAAAACCGGCAGCTTGATCCTATATCTATTCCAGGACATATTCCTCGTGCTTCCTCCGATAGGTTTCGCTGCCACTCTATATATGATTTATTCAAGAGCCGTCCGGGCTATTCATGGCGAGGCGCTGTCTCCAGTACCTATGCGTTGGGCAACTTGGATTTTTGTTGGTGGAGACTGGATTTGCCTCATGATCCAAGGCAACGCGGCGGGATTATTGGGGAACAGCAACCTTACTACCATTGCCGACTACATCATCATTGTAGGGCTCGCTTTACAAATCATGGTTACTATTTTCTTCGTCGGCTGTTGTGGGGTATTTGACAGAAGAATGAATATCCACTTGCGAGTAACTGGCGCAACGATCGATGTGCCCTGGCAGAGTTGCTTCAAAATGCTATACGCGACCTCAACGGCGATTCTCATACGAAATTTATATCGTATTGTAGAATTTGTGTCACAAACCGTGAACCAAAACGGGTATTTACAAATGAGAGAATGGCCGTTGTATGTTTTTGATGCTTCATTGATGTGGCTTCTGATGAGCGCGTTTTTCATATGGTATCCGTGTTGGCTTCCTCGAGATACGGCAAAATACTGCCCAGGCGGGCTTTAGATCCCCGTCAATACCTCCCCCGCATCTCGTCGCCGATGTGGCCGTTCCTTTTATTCACATACAGAAAGAAAAAAAGCCTCCTCTCTAGTCTATACGGGTACAAATAATCAATTCATCACAAGCTATATTAAGCCGAAGCTGGTTCACTTATCAGGTGATTATCAATACGGTGCTTTCTTCTCCATGCGGGATGAGCTACATGTAGCCAATCAGAATATGGTGATGAGGAGGCGTTTCGAGAGCGGCTTGACTAAAGACAACGTAGATTCCTACAGTGCCAACCTTAATTCCAATGCGTTCTATGCTCTACTCCAAGGCTATGTTCAAATAACTGAAATCTCACTGCATTCACCTTGTATCGAAATATTGCCAGAACGAACACTTCAGTGTCTCAGTGAACCTCACAGTCAACAAATAAAGGATGTCCCCAGGAAGTCGGAACTATAGTTCTGCCGTTCCACTAGGCGCGCTCAGGCCGCCGTCTTCTTCTTTCACCACCGCTGTTGCACTATGGATGATCACCTTCCGCTTTCGTGCCCATAGCTTGCATGCATCATGGACCAAAAGGCATCCTCGCTGCCCTCCACACAGTCAGAAAATGAAGTCCTCCATGCCATACGTCAAACAATCCTTTACTTCATCCAAATATGCAATGCATTACTCTTCTGTATAATCGCTGCTCACTGGTTGTGGAATCGTCGCTACAAGGGCCGTCAGAGCGAGGTCTTACCCTCAACAACGGTAGCCTGCTCACAAGAAGATGAACAGAATGCACAACTCAGTGCTGAAGACTATCACGTCTCTCGCATCTCCTACAGCGAGGATACTATTATCAATATAATCAGTGATATTTACCGTGTCTATTTGCAGCTAAACTATATTTCAGATTGGGAGATGTCCTGGGCCCCGAAAGAAGGCCATCCCATTAAACAGGCCATATGCGAGGAGCTTCATCTAGACCATGTCGTTGTTTCATTGATGAAGCGATTGCCGTACTTTCGATTTTCGGGGATATCAGACGATATTGAATTCATCCATCCTTACTCCAGAGCATTTGTGTATCTCGAAGAATCTGAACTTCGGGGTGGCCGTGATCCAGACCGATTCACTTTTGAGAAGCCGAGGCCAGATTTTCTCCTCCCCTGGGAGATAGCTCTAACTTGTTCCATGGATGAGGGCATTCATTTGATTTTGGATACAAAGGAAAGTGAGTAGACTTGTCCGTTATAATGCATGAAGTTAGTACACCTTTCTTGATATTTCTCATGTAGACGCCATTCGAGTCTGGAGCTTTAATGAAGCACCCCCTGGAGACGATGACAATTACCGGAATTATTATTCTCATCATGCTCCAACGTACCTTGCAAATTACCTTCAACAACTAAAATCTCTCGAGATCATCCCTGGTGCTTCAAGATATCCACGTTCACTGTACAATAAGCACTATACTGAAATAGTAGGTTGTTCCCTTGACCTAAAACTGAAAGAACATTTGGTTAGACACTAATATGTACAGTACCCCAAAATTAAAAAGATTCTTCAAGAGCAATACGGTTGGCCATATGAATTTAGAGAAGCGCAGTGGAAGACCGTTGCAAAGGTCACCTGGAAACGGATCGATCTTGATGATCCGGAGTACGACACAGATAATGAAGATGAGCTTGAGCCTGAGGTGCTGAAGAACGGTGGGGATCATTGGAGTTGCTACCTTCGCCCTCATATAGATTTCGGTGGTGATGACTATAGCCTTCCAAGAGTGATTTAGGACTCAATGGACTATGTTAGATACTTAAACATCATGGGAGATTTTAAGATGCTATTTCTTTTGTATTTTACTATGAACAGAAAGAAGAATCCGACTAGACAGTGCAGCTGCTATACAACAAGCAGGCCTATCTTATGAGCCTTAATGCCTGAAGGCATCCACAAATGCCATTTGTGGCCTCAGGCAGAAAAACTGACTAAGCGTAAATTGCCGACACCCGCTGGTTGACAGTATCCAATCACCTCCCCCAATTCTGCCCCACCACGACGAATCCTCGGGTGGTTCCCCCTTTCCCAGACTCCTCATCTGCGCCGATTTCTCCGATTTCCGGCAGATGTTCATCACAAGCAAATCTCGCACGTTAGATGGGGTTTTATATCGGGCGACCGCAGGCTGATCTTAATGGACTTGGAGTATCGGAATCTGTTGGCACCGAATGGGCCACATTTGATCCCCCACAGCGACTTTCGGTCCCCCAGACTCCCCCGGCCGCCTCCGGGCGTCGAGTTCATGCAAAGAAGCCCCGATTCAGGCGAGATGGAGAAGACCCCGCCCGTCACAGGCAAACGCCGAGGTGGCAGCCGAAAGGCCTGTAATGAGTGTAAGCAGCAGAAGGTGAGTTGTATACCCATACCATTAAGCCACATTCCTATCCTTCCATGTCCCAAATAGACGCGTACGCCCCAACGATACCCTGCGCGACCGCCAGACTAATATTTCCACGCCCAAAATTAGCTACGATGTGATATCGTACAAACCCCTGCAGCAGCATGCTCGCGCTGTCGTCGACTAGGGATTGATTGCAAAGTTGAACAATCATTTAAGCGTATTTCTAAAAGAAGGTAAACAAAGATCACCCCCTTCAAGGTACAAAGGTTTTTTTTTACTAAATGGATATACAGGCGAAATGCAGAAATGGAAAAGGAGATTGCAGATCTACGTCGCCGCCTGACAACTAATCCTGACCAAGAGCCAGAAGCCAAACACCATACAGGCGATGAAATGTCGCAATGCTCCGAGGATGTGTTTCACCGTAGAGAATCTTCTGCGGTAGACCGATCGCGCCCAGTATCGGTACCTGTGGAACCTCATCCTTCTATCTCAACACCCCTAACGATGCAACGATCTGGCTCCATTCACTCACAGGACGAAAACACACCATGGCGGCTAGAAGATGTTACGCTCTCACGCGCTCGTGTGGCTAGACTTTTTGAGCAGTACGTCTGTCTCCTTGGAATTCGACTAGTAGTCAAACTAACTTCTGTTAAAGATACTTCAACTACTACCACCCATTTCTTCCTCTTCTCAATCTACCAAAGCCACCTGAGGTTTACCTCAATCGGTGTCCTTTGTTAGCGTGGACTATTGTCTGCATTGCTAGTCGACGCTCCCCATCCGATCCTGGGTTATTAACTGCACTTTCGGGGCCATTCAGCCGGCTGCTATGGTCCACCATCACTAGCGTCCCGCAGGATTACCGAGTAGTCAAATCCTTGTGTCTCCTGTGTACATGGCCCTTGCCAACAACAAGTCAAAGAACAGATGCAACATTTATGCTCAGTGGTCTAATGATGCAGATCGCCATGCAGTTGGGTTTACATCGTCCGGTCCAACCTGAAGAGTTTACAACATTCCAAATGGAGGTTCAAGGAGAAGCACTCAAGGATCGCTTGCATACCTGGATTCTTTGCAACATAGTGGCTCAGAAGTAAGTAACACGTGCTTCATTTCAGGTGGAATCTTAACTAATTCTGTTTTAGTGTCGCTACTGGATATGGTCAACCAGCAAACACAATATACGATTGGGCCCTTGAACCGACTTCTTTGAAAGATGCCGATTACCGACTGCCTTCTGACTTGTCTATTCGGTTGCGTATCGAAAAGTTCTGTGACCGTGTTACCAAAGCTCTCTACAGTAGCAAGCCTGAACCTGGGGAGTTTATCAGCACAGAGAAGTTGGTCATAGTCCAGATTCTAGAGAGCGAGCTGAGAGAGATGGAGGTTGAGTTTGGTCAAGATATTTCTGGTATGCCTTACTACTACGATACATCTGGTATTTTGGTATTTTCACTGACAAGTTGTTGCAGCGATCAATTTGATCCATCTACGTGCAGCCGAGCTACATTTCAGATATTTTGTTTTTCTCGGATCTAACGCCCGAAGTGATGATCTTACCAAACTATTTATCGCTACCACTTCATTTTTGGAACGCGTACTAGATCTAGAAACTGCTCCGGGTGAACTCATCGGTCATTCGACTAATTATATACTCCAAATGATAGTGTCAGCCGCTTTCGCCCTTATGAAACTTTTGAAGAGCAACTTCAACCGGCATATTGACTTCAATCACGGCAAACTTCTGTTCAACGGCGCAATCTCAGCTATCCGCAGGATTAGCGTTATGGACCACGATCGCCCCATTCGTCTCGCTGATATCCTTGCACAGATGTGGAACGCAACTGGGGCAGAACCAGTCGGGGAGGATGATCTTCAGCTCAAGGTCCGCTGTCGTATGAGCATGAGTCACGTCTACGACACTGTATGGCGTTGGAGACAGCGTTTCCGCCCAGTCAAAAGTATCGAAGAAATGCAAGGTGGGTGTTACACAGTCAGCATCAACCATTATAGGAAATCCCTGCTAACAACATTCTATAGCTGCGGCGGCAGTGGCGAACCAAGACATTATGACAACATCGGGCAACATGGGTAGGCAGCAGGATAGCTCCATGGAAGACACCTCTTTGATGATGCCAGCCCAGTTTGATGAAGGCGGGGCGTTTTTCAGCGAGGCTGGCTTCTCTGAAGTGTTTGACTCACTCAACTGGGTGTTCGATGGCATCCCTGATTCTTTTGTTGCACCGCCTATCTTGTAACTCAGGTGTAACTAGTAGTTCGTCCGAGTCTGTCGGCTTCCCTTTCAGGAGCTTCAACACCGCCAGGCCCACTTTGTACAGATGGCGGCTCTTTAGCGATTTGTTTACCAGAGATACCATGCAACCAAAAGTGGTTTGTTCTTAATACTATCTTCTACATTTGACATATCAAATTTTGGCCTTAGCCATCTCTTCTTCTGCTTTTTTCTTCGGCCCTGCAAATCCAAATATGTACGCAGCAATCTTCCGCATCTGTATCTCCTCCGCTCCTTCAGTTATACGATATCGTCGGAAATGACGATAAATGTGCTCAAAGGGATAATGGCGTGAGTACCCGTCCCCGCCATGAATCTATTACCAGTCAGCTTGCATTAATTAACCACACATCCGTAGGACGTACTTGGATTGCTCGATCTGCAGCCTGGCAGCATAGCCGATTGGCCCAAAAATTACACATCGACACTTGATCGCTCAATTTCCGCTCAATCTCAACCCACGGCGGTACTTTACTTGATGATTCTCGAGATGCTGCAACAATACGATCCATCTCCCAGCTTGTTTTAAGAATGAACAGTCTCAACATTTTAACCTGTGTCATAAGCTCCACAACTGGAAATTGGATTGCCTGGTTATCCGCGAGTGACCTTCCTTCTCCCCAGATCTTTCGCTCTCGAGCACGCAGAATACTCTTTTCAAGGCAGAACCGTGCAGCACCGCATGCACTAGCAGCCTGTCTGACACGGTTCTCATGAACGAATGTCTGCGCAATAGCCAGTCCGTTATCAAGAGATCCCAAAACAGTAGTCTCCGGCACCCAGACACCATCCAACTCAACTGTTGCATGATCGGTCGGCATATTCATTGTCCATTCGTAGCTGAGGACTCGAATACCGGGAGTCTGACGTGGAATCAAAAAGGCAGTGATACCTTTCGCAGATCCCGACGTGCCTGATGTTCGAGCGAAAACAACCAGATGCGTGCAATGATGAGCACCAGTCTGCCACTTTTTCATGCCAGTGATTTCGAATCCACCACCCTCGCGACGGGCTGTAGTTGACATGAATGTCGCATCGCTTCCGTGATCTGGCTCTGTCAAGCCAAACGTCGTGCGAAATTCCCCACGAAGCCGAGCAGGAATCAGGGTACGGCGTTGCTCTTCAGAACCAAAATGGTGAATCATGTATACGTCGGGAAAATTACCCACGATACTATGCTCATTTTGAAGGTCATTTGCAAGGCCTAACCCTCCACCATACACAGGATGTGAGGAAAGATGATAGCGAATTGCCGACATCCAAACATTGCTGTCTGGGTGCTCGTTACCTCCGTACTCCTGGGGAAGCGCAAAACGATAAAAGCCTGCTTTGTCACTTAGTTTCCGAGCTTGGCTCAGCAAATTTTCCCACTCGGGGCGTGGGTTCCCATTATTCTCCCAGTCTGTTCGAGAATGCTCCCTTCTATGGTCGAAGAAGCGATTGTTGTCATCAGAGTGTTGCAGGGGAAGAATTGATGAATTGATGAAGGAGTCTATAGATTCGATATGTGCTTTTAAATCAGCTGGCAGATCGAAATTCATATTGCTGGTCGCAGACTCAAATGTTCATAGTCATTTCTTGCCAAAAATAACAGTCAGTTCAAATTATCTATGAAGCGTGTATCGGCTTCCCCGCATTCCACCGAGCGGACCTCGGCTTATCCAAATTTCTAGGTACAATACATCTTTGTGCAATTATTATTCTGAACGCTATCTTGGAATTATTGCCTGGGTAAATCTAGCAATGCTATGTCGAGTGTTTGCGAATGTCTCTCGGCTTCTGTTAGTGACTTCTGGGATTGCTCCTTACGCCCCAAGAAACGATCCTAGCTACGATCACTGCATTCTATCATGAACTGGCCCAGGGCTTCATAATGTCCTGCACATCATTTGAAATACTCTGCATTAAAACAATTTGCGGGTTTTTGCAATTCATTCCGGCTGGTTAGGTGGAACGGCGCCTCGAAACCTTTTCCATACATAGAATAACTGTTCATAATTTCGTCCCCCAAAGGTTTTCTTGCCCTTTAACTCACTTTCCTTCTCATTTGTTTGAGCGGTTCAGCGAGATCTTATCCTTTTGCTTACTTTATCTTGCTTTTTCTCTTTGTTTCTTGGTGCTGAAATGGACTTTTAGATCGTAGAGATTATTCGTTGTTGATTTCTTGTTGATTTGTCTGGATCCTTGTCAACGAGGAAGGATTTTGGTATCCCAAATAATCAGGGTAGCAAATACCAGCCCCATCTGCACATGGCGCTTGGCGTGTTTTAGATGCTCATGATATCGTGCCGTCTTTACAAACTATGGAATCTGTAATGATTACCTTAGCAGCATTTGCCATGGATGCAGATAGGTTCGCGACCCTGAGGCTTGGAAAGCCCCATGTTCGCACCCATTATAGACCCATGTTTGTGGTCTTGGGAATTCCTGTCCCACATAAATATGCTCTCAGAGCCACCAGGGGCCCAAGCACTAGGTACCACAGCATAGTATGTGCAGAAAGTGTTTCAACAAAGACAAGGTGTGAGATCTTATAGTCTGTTTCACGAAGGGCATCTCTTCCCAATCTGAGAAATGGCACGATACCAAGATGCTATCTGGCCCGCCCGAATATCTGGGCCATAAAATATATCTGATAGTCAGTGCACGCATGGTGCTGTTTGAACCGGGGCAGCAGGCGTCGTGCAACTCAAGCCTTTTAGTCAGTTGAAAATGAAATTGTCGGTGTAGGCTGACCAGCATGCTACCTAGGCTTCTGGAACAGGAAGCGAGCTTAGAACTCAGTAATATTCCGGCCTAGCTGTGATTTTAATTTTCCGGCTGCCTGAGGTATGTACGACGGAGCGGCTATTCCCAAGCCAAAGGCCTGGGAGTCCACAATGTGTTGTCAATACCTTCCTGTCATACATGAGCTCACATGGTATCCTTGATCAACGTGATAGTACAAGCAGAATTCTAACTACCTTGAAGGCGATCAAAGTGGCTAGCTTATATTGATTCTTGCATACTGGTTGATATTGTGCTTCGGGTTTTGGCCTTGAATCTTTGGCAAAATTGATCAATTTCTCATATTGAAGAAGTTTGGTATTGTCTTTTCAACCCCATGTCATCCTCATGCGTGCCAATTTGCGTAAAAATAGATGTCAGAATGAATGCCCCTTACATATTTGTCATGTTTGTGGCAAATCGAATCCACTATCCTTAGGATGCGACTTGACAACATGCATCTTAAGCTTCGAGGAATCAAACTATACCCAACGCATTGCGGTCTTGCATTTTTATCATTCTGCCTCCACTGATTGGAGTGTGAGATCAATTGAAAACCTTACTAACAAATCATCGTCGCGTGATGACCATGAGTTGAGTGGATTGTGGCTCCACTTTCGACACATGTTTGAAGATCCAGTACCGTGGCCATGTATTTCAAACTGGTCTAAACATCTCTTGGGCCTGCTTCATGGGCTATTATACGAGTAGCTAAGATTCAAATTGTCTAGACTCGAAGTATAGCCCTGTAGACTAATATACGCTTCACCTAGATATGAAAACACATGGTCAACCACATCTAATTTTTTTCCAAAGCGCAGCAGACACCAGGAACCTTGTGAATATCAACATACCACCTTATACTTTGTTTCTTCTTTACAGAATGCATCCTGCCTTAAATTATCGACAGTCTCGAAGGTCGGCCTGTGATCGTTGTCGCGGATTTAAGCTACGCTGTGAACGTGATCAAGTTGATGGCAGGTCTTGCGAAAGATGTCTCAAAGCTCAGGTTATCTGCACGACGAGTATAAATCATCCTTCCAACAGCTATGGCTCTTCAAAATCTGGGTCTCGGTCTCTTTCTGCCGATTTTGATCCCAGGTTTTTGACCTCAGATCGATGGTCAATGCCGATTCTCCACAAATCTTCCAACTTGAAAGTTAAGAAGCCTATGCCCACTGGAGGCTTTCGAAAACATGAGAATCAAAGATATAACAGCTGGCCGTGTTCGGACTCTTTATATTCCTGGACACCCGGGGCATTTCCCCCTTTGGAAGGGGATCTTGGCATTCAGATGGCCTCGTGTCCTGCTCCGTCGTTTTCATTCGATCGGTGGGGAGAGCAACAGTCGCAGTGGGCTGGAAATACCTATCCGGTTGTAAGTTATCTACTGAATTTCGCATATTAAACACTTACTTACTAACAATTTGAAAGGTTTCGACTGAAAACTTTTCTCTCAAACTCGATCATTGCCTTGATAATCAGCTGTCAGCTTCAGGCACACTCATGTCGCAACCATCCTATCTTCATGATGTTCCCCATATCAATACAGAAAGTGCTATACCTCCTCAGTCTCTCACTCTGTTGAGCTCAAATTCTCTTCCCGTCACAGACGACAGTTGGATGTCTTCATGGCCGCGAATAACCGAGATCACCGAGGAGGATAAAGAGCAAATAGAGTCCTTTATGGATTGGATGCCAACAACATGCTATGATTTGCGCAAGAAAATTCTCAAGCTAAATATGGAGCTCACGGACGATCTGGAGCGCTTGGAAATGGATAGTGGAATTTTCAGGTTCTCGCCTCTACTCGGTAGCGATATCGCGCCTTCAATTGAAAAACTGGATCTTCCGGTTTTTCGTACACTCAACTACTCTACTAAGTTTCTCGGGTTGCTCCGGTCATTGAAATCTACACCGCAAACCTCGACCCATATTGTGCCCAGCATAGAGCTACCTCAGACAGACCTAGGTGCTTTTGACGATACAAGGCTTCTTTCTTTGGACTCTCTGGATAACAATTTAGAGGATGGAGCTGCCACAGCCTCTTCTCATGATTCAGGGTATCATACAATGGCCACTTCTCCTTCAGACCAAGGAAGAAGTGTAGTCTTGCATAAATGCGATCTCTCGACATCTTTGAGCATGCTCACAGCATACCTTCAGCTCATCCGTCTCTACCAAATAATCTTCAATCGACTCTATCAGTTCTTTCTCATTACTCCACCCGATGCAATATTATTTTTGGCTCTTCCAAGTATACAATTTGGCCAATTTCATATGAACGGAAATTTGGCCATGCAAATGCAATCCTTAGTTGACTTCAGTTCTAATATATTGGCAAAACTTGAGCAAGCTCTAGGTTTGTCTTCTGGTTTGCCTCGAGGCATGGAAGGGAACGCGAACCCTATGGCCACCGTTCTAGGGAATGGGGTCTTGACCTCAGTCCAAGACCATATCATGGCGCAGGAGCATATGGAATGTGGTATGTCATTGAAGGAGACCATGAATTGTCTGCGAAAGTTTGCGATGGACTCAGTATGTGCATGATATCTTTTCAATGGAATGTTCTAACTCCACGTGTCTGCATTTTTGTACCGGTATCCAGTCAAGTAGATCTCAGCCAAATTTTGGCTCAAAACATTTTCTCGGCAAAGGGTCAGAAGTAAAATGAGCTCCAAGCATCCCCCCCCTCCCGGGAATACTATTGGAATTAGATTGTTCTTCTGTATTGTTGCCATTTATAGGAGACTCTGAGACACACAACTTTGTGGATATTTAGAATTATCATTGGAACCAAAAGCTTCTCACCGAGTCCGAAATGACAATCTCTATTCCGATACCGAATCCGATCTTTAGTCTCACCCCTATCCGTAAGATGAGACACTCGCAGCTTCATATATGAACGCAAGATTGTGCATTATACCTCAAAGCCGTGTGTTATCCGCTTCATCTCTTGTCTATCTGTACTCAAAAACACATTTCGACAAACCATGGCTGCTCCTCTTTCAAAGGATGTAACTAACCTGACTGGAACCTGGCGCTTGGTATGTCTCAAATTCTGGTAATCTGTAACAGAAATTTAACTGTCGTCTAAAGAACAGGAAGCTCTCTGATGATCCTGAAGGCTTACTTGCCCTGGTAATTGTCTCTTTGGAACATTTTCGGCTACATAATTACTAAGTCACAATAGCAAGGTGTCCCGTGGATTACCCGAAAGGCTCTTCGTCTAGCTAGTCTTTCTCTCCAAATGACCCAGTCAGTTTCAATGTCTGATGCTAGCAGCGATGGCACCAGTGATGGCACCAACACCTCATCTGATGATGATGGCTTCGTAACCATGCTTCATGTTAGACAGACGGTCAGTCCAGGTTCCTTCAACAGCGACTCGTCATGTCCCGTAAATGGTCAAGAGCAAAAGCTGTCTCTCCCCATATTCGGTGACATCAAAATGAGTCTACGATACATGAACACGTCCGGCATCAAAGATGAAGTTATTCGTCAACAGTATGAAGATGGATGTCCGACGAAGACGGTTATTGATGAAGATGCTGTTAATCTTAAGATGGGTTGGACTGCTCATGTGTTGTGGGGATTTGAGATTATCAACGGAAAAAGGTATTTGACTCGCAACGCAACGAGCTCGAGGAATGATGAGACGGTCGCTGCTCGAATGGTCTATGATTATCAGGAATAGGAATCATCGCCCCTATCCAGATCTCGTGTGCTGGCCTTTGAGTTGAAGATCTATGTCGATGAGGTTGAGTTGCCAATCTTATTGAGAAATAATTCTTTAATTGATTCTTTATAAGACAAACTCCTTTCAAGAACTACCAAGATGGTAACCAAAGTAGATACTATACTTTTCTCTGTAAATTAGTCGCTGGCTTCCATACTGACAACCAACTTCTTTCCGGAGACACTTCCGTGCTTGAGCATTTCTAAGCCATTCAAAATTCCATCAAAACGGCCTGGAATAATCTCAATGGGGGTAGGTCTAATTTTGGCTGTCATTATCAGTTCCTGAATGGACCGATACCATGGACGAGCCCATTCCCCAATCTCCGGGCGCGCTGGGCTACCATAAGGCTCCGGAAGCTCAACCCCGTTTCCCGAAATTGCTCCACCCATAACAAGTTCATGCTTGATGACCTTGCGGGTAAGGAGATCCTCTTGATACTCCTCAAGCGCACAGTATCGTCCACCCGTCCGACCAATTATTTCTTGGCATAGGCGCACTGCTTTCATGTCCGCAAAAGGATCCAGCACATAACGAAGATGATTCTTGGTTGCTGCTCGGATATCCTCGGCGCAGGTTGGAGACTTATAGTCAAACATAAGGTCGGCTCCGTATGACCGAACAAGATCAAAGTTCCGGGAGGAGCATGTTGTGATGACCCGGTAACCACACCTACAAAGTGTTAGGGTGTGCGGATGACCATTTTATAAAGTAGGGACTTACAGTTTCAAAATCTGAATCGCTATTAAGCCAATGGTACTGCTTCCACCGTATACAAATACATCTTCGGGTTTCGTAATTGGTTTGTCCAACGTTCCTTGCAGTTGTAGGGACCAAAATAACGCGACTCCGAGAGTTGCAATTCCCGTTCCAGATATAGCAGGTGCAGTGGTAAATGACATGTCGTCTGGGATGTGAAACGTAAAATCTGGAAAGACTCGTATATACTCGCAATACGCTCCTGATTGTGGGTCCGTTTGATTGGATCCTTGAACAGCGCCGAAGACACGATCTCCAAGACGAAATCGGCCGGCTTGAGCAGCTTGGCTTCCGAGCGCAACGACCGTGCCAGAAAAGTCGCACCCATCCCACAGTCCCTCTGTGGGAAATCTGAGGGGCATCTTCCAGTCGCAAGGGTTGAGAGCCACTGCATGGGTTTTGACGAGCATTTGACCGGGGTTGAACTCTGGGATAGGCTGGTTGGGTGTGGTCTTAAGAACCCCACCTTCTTGCTGGAGGATTGCCGTCTGGGCATTTGGGACAGTAAAAGTATCATCCATGATAGTCAGTTGGCTTTGTGAAATGTGGATATATTTTTGCTCCTATAAATCGACCCGTTCAAAGGTTTATCGTCAAGTTGCAAGTTTGGTATGAATTTATATAGGATTTGAGGAGACATTCTTGACATTACCAGGATTTATAGCCCCTCTTGCCAAGTCAGCCGTGGTATCGTTTCATAATATGCACGTTGCTAGCTCCCGGGCTTATTATCATGCGCGTAATATGTCTGGCCTAAATCAAAACTTGAACTTGATTCCAAATTTTCTCTAAAAATAGAATGAGGCCTTGAGTTATACTATCACTTTCTAAACCGTATTGTTGAAGATTAAACTGATAGTTTGAGAAGCGAACTAGATATTCGGAGATTTTGAGGCAGGTTGCTTTCAAGGGAAAAGCAGGCAAAGAAGAAAAAAGATGTTCACCCACAGCATTAAGCAGCACCCCAATAAAAAAAAGATTTCTGCTAAGGAATAGTGGTCGTCGACACCATCATGTCTCTGTTTCTTAATTGGCCCGCTATAGACTGGCATCCTGACAACTGGGTCGCCGAAGTTGAATCATTGTATTCTTGGTGTCATCGCGTGTTCTAACGCTGTTGTTGACTTCATGCTATACAATCCACGTCTGTTTTGTATCCGGGCTCTGCACATGTGGAAGGGCCCGCGAGTAGGCAGGGCCCACTGCTACCGTCCCCATAACCTCCATCTGCTGATGAGAAGAATGAAATATCACCATTCGTCCAAGTAGGAGAACATTGATCAGTCTCCATAGTCAGTAAGTCTGAGCACAGACGCGTTGATAGTCCACTTAGTGCTTAATTGGTCAGTACGCAAAGTAGCCCTGTGGCGTGCCTAGAAAAGCCAATCTCCACAGAGTACTTTAGTATTAGAATTATTCTTCCGTGTATATTTTACGCTCGATGTCACTAAACCCTATGACTAATTCAAGTTATTCGCCAATTAAATTCACCATTATTATGATGCCGTAAATGATGTTGTAGATCGACAAATGGATCACCCAGAACGGCTCTTGCCCCGCATTCTCCGCTTTTTAATCTCGTCATCCAACACATGGATTTCACCACACACTATGTCAGCCGACAGCCCGCGTCTTACCGATCGCCCGATATTTTTCCTATGCGATGCCTCCTTGTCACCAAATGATTGAATCCGACAGGAGCGTACGGTATCGCAGGATCAATAACAGGGATGGGCTCTACCAGTAACTCCAAGCCATCACGGTCACGATTCGGTAAATTCCCACTCAAAGCATGCAGCAATTTTTCAAAAGTTGACATAAACAAACAGGTTGTCGTACATGCCGAGCACGTAAAGTGAGAGCAAGTTGAAAAAACTGCATATTCCCAAGGATGATCTAATTCTTTAATCTGGTGATAGGTCAAATGTGACGAACGGCCCGGCGAGTGTGGTAATTGCGCCCGTCTGCGGCTGGTCTGCTCGGGCTATGGAAGTTCCTCCAACAATCAAATTCGTGAAAGTCCAAAGGAAAGAATAGAAAGCTCCAAGAAGAAACGAACCTATCGATCATGTGTGGCTTGTCGCGCCTCTAAGACTAAATGCTCGGGAGAGCGACCGATATGCCGAAGATGTGAAAATCGAGGTCATGTCTGTACTTATTCGGAAACTTCACAGCCTACCTGGATCCAACGCGTTGAAAGTGTCGCCAAAGATAGCCAGAAGTCGCTTCCCACCTCTTCGCTTGTTCCCGATCAGACACCGAGCCGTCATCTTGAGTATGATGCTATGCAAGTCGAGCGTCTTTCACCTGAATCTCCGAGTCCATCATTTCAACCGTCGTTCATAGGAGATACTCCTGAAACTACTAGTCCACCATTAAGCTGGTATATTTATCCTTAAAACTCCCGGCGCTTTTATTGCAGCACTAACTCCCTATATAGGTTGGATGCTTCACATTTACCCAGTCCCTGGAGGATTAGGCTTTTGGTCGAAGAGTTCTTTAATAATATTCACCCATTAAGATGCTTTGCCTTTATTCACAGACCTTCGTTCCTTCAAAATATGGACAAGGAATCTCTGAAAAAGAACCAACCCCATGCGCTTCTGCATATAATATGCGCATTAGGTGGCCAGTAAGCAATTTTTCTCCATAATTTGACGAAATCGCGTTAACATTGTCAGGTTTCATGCATTATCTTATAGCGAGACAGTCACCCCACTCCCATCGAAATTTGTGCTTATGGCTGGGAGCGAATGGGCAAAGAAAGCCCAAAGGCTCATACTCGAGGCACTTGATACGGTCACTATTGAAAAGTTAATGGTTAGATCTAAACCCCGATTGAGAATTATGCATGTGCGAAATTTCCTAACAATTCCAGGCTGCTGTTCTACTTCATGATTACGCGGTCCGGATGGCGAATTTTGCAAATGCCTTCATGTTAAGTGGGCTCATTACGCGAATGACTCAAGCACTCCAAATCAACCTGGAATATAATACCGATATACTCTGTCAAAACACTGACGTTGGGCCGTCAGTTACAGCAAGAGAATGCAGACGTCGCCTAATGTGGAGCTGTTATATTATGGATGCCCTTGTCGGGAGTGGAGTTGACCAACTCACACTAGTTGATGAGAAGGACATGAAAATACAACTACCTTGCAATGAACGAAATTTCATTCAACAAATTCCATGTCTGACCGAGACTTTGGAGCCTGGCAATTGGCTGAAATTTATCCCTGGTGAGCTTAACAGCGATGCTCTGATGCCCAACATGGGTATGATGGCCCATTTTATTCGACATATCTCAATTCGCAAAAGAGTCTTGAGGTGAGTCTTCTCCTTTGTCTTGTGGTGCTGCCTATAAATGGATATTGATACTATCTAGGTACATAAAACATCTTGATGAAGCAATGGTCCCCTGGGCCCCTGGGTCTGAGTTTGCCGCTCTAGATAGAGACTGCCGTGCCTGGTATGAAAATTTACCAGCAAGTCTACAATTCACTCCAAATGCGGTTTACATCCGCAAAGACTCATCCCAGCTCGGTGCTCTCTGTTTATTGCATTGCGCGCATTATCAAACAATCTGCGATCTGTACCGACTAGGGGCCCCGGCTCTTTACAAACTCCGAGCTGCATTTGATTTTCCTCCAGAGCAGCGTGCTTTTCTTCGGCATTTGCAAGAAGTTCTGTTTGATGCTGCGAGGGCCCTAGCCACAATAATTGGCGAAACAGCTCACCATGGAACCAAGATGCTGGCAGATTCATGGTTACCTACAATCACTTACGATAGTTGTCGAATCATGGTATATCACCTCACTCAAATCCTGGATCCTCGAGCGGAAGAAACAAAGATTATCACATCCGACAGTCTGCCGCTTTTGAAAAGCAATATAGATGCTTTGAAGGCGATGGGATCTCTCAATGTCATCGCAAACTCCTTGGTACGTCTTTTCCCGACATCCTTTATTTATAATTTTTGTTAACTAACTTTCGGCTCATAGTGCACTGCAGCGGAGACTATGTTTGATCGATCTGGTATCGGATCGGATGTAGTGGCCCATAACAGTATTCCCGATGATCCATACCAGACGGGCGATGAAGAACCAACGTAAGCATAGCTACAGCATCTATGCAGTGACTTTTACTGACTGATATCTTCTAGTGAAAGTCTCCCTGGCACACCAGTTCAAAGTGCGCCAGACTACGTCCTCAATCCACTCTCTATTTTCCGAATGGCCCGCAAATCGATTCCAGAAAGACACGCTCCAGAAAAAGCGGCCACCTCATCAGCACCTAATAGTGCAGTGCCCGAGTCGAATGCAGACCTTGATAGCTCAAATTGCGATGCTGTCACCCAGGGTCCAGGCACGTCGACCTCTATTAACGATGTCGAGTTTGGCCAGGCAAGCCTTGAGGAGCTTCAAGCGCTTTTCATGTCGGATCTCGGGTGGACTTGGCAACCGGCGGACACTGCTGTAGGCTCTGGGATCGAAAGGGCTGGTTTGTTGCCTTGGGCTGGAGGGTATCCTGCTACCCAGGCGGAGCCTTGGCTACCCGTTTTTCCATTTCCGCAACAACATTGATATAGAATACTCATCTACAGCTTGAAGTTGAATTTTCACACTTGATTTGACATTGTTTGGACACATGTTAATGAGTAGATGATTCGAGATCCAATCTTGTTCCTGCCATAACGTATTTGATTATACTAAATCTCTTCTCCTCTACTTGGTCATCTTGTTGAACGACGTTCAGTTAAGAAGAGAGCAATTTCAGTGAGTGGGGGCAAATGTAAATGAAAGAAAATCGGATTAAATTCGTAAATACATTATATCAAAGAAATGCCCGCATTTCCGTACTTGTATCTATTCCGCATCCAATGGACAGTAAGGAGCCTGGTCATTAACTTGAATACCACCACGCTTCTTCTCCAAGGTATCAGGGAAAGGCAGCTTCCAACCACCCTCAGACTCAGGTGCCGAAAGCCAAAGTCTCATCAAGTGGCGTGCACGAATAGGACGGCCATTGGCATCAACAGCACCAACTGGGTGATCCTCATAGGCAGTACGGGCGTGGAAGACATGAGAGTTGCTCACAAACTGGATATCTCCAGGTCCAAGAATCATATGAAGAGACAGCTCCGCACATGTCTCCTCCCACATCTTCAAAGCGTACTTCTGTTTCTCAGAAAGGGGAGGAATCTTTGCATCGGGTCCAGAGTTGAATCTTGCCAAGGAGGTTAGGTTGTTAGGGTCGAATTTAGCGTAGACCCGGGCATTTGCGCCTGCACGTTCGTTCTCCAGGTACAGAATTGCGCCTCGGATCCACTCCTCGTCACCTTCGGAGACTTCGCCCTTGCGGTCAAAATACCAGTTTGGTGTTGTCATTGTTTCGATCACGTCTGGATGTCTCTCTTGTAGAGTGTTAAAGACGTTGTGGGTGGATGCGATGTCGGATTCTCCACCGATCTTAGATTTGGCAATGCACAGCAGACCGACAATGTCAGATCCATCAGTGTGGAAATATTGACTAATTCTGGTGTTAGCTTTCTTGGGCATCCTGTCTTGAAACTTGAAGTTTGGGCACATACCGAGCATTAGTGCGGTAGATGCGAACTCGGTCAGTCTTGGTGGGGTCTTCGCCGAGATCCTTGACGTGTCCAAGGACATGACCACGTCCATTTTGGCTGGTGAAATATCCTAGGTACGTTCCCAGGCCCATGTATGCAGTAGCGCATTTTTGAAGATCCCATTCATCGACTGGAATTCCCCTAAACATCCAGAAGCCAGTTCCATCAATCAAGACTCTTCGGAGCTCCTCGAGACGCTTGGAGAGCTTAGGAAGAGGGAAGTTGCTCTACATTAATTGTGAGAAAATGTTACTTTTGGAAACAATGATTCCTTTTGGCTGAACTCACCTTGGAGATACCCTCGAGAGGTGTTTTGTCTTGGATATACTTATCGGATGCGTCGCCGATCTCCTTAATCTCTTCCTCTGTGAACTGGTGGGTCCACTTTGCCATATCTTGACTGTAATCTTCGGCTTTCCACACTGTAGGGCCCTCGATTTTCTTGGGGAAGTCCGAATAAGGACGGACTTTCTCGTAGACAGGAGGGTGTTGTCCTGTGGTCTTCAAACCGTCTGGGAACTTGGAAAGGTCAATTTCCCGAGTAGTAGACCCGGCCACAGGCGCTGTCTCTGTGATAGTTGCCATAACGAAGAGAGGCTCTCAAAATTATATTTTATGATTCAAGTTGCAGTTATATATTGAATGAGCTGCTCTCGATGGTAGTTGATATTTTCATAGGTTGCGATGTTAGAGATCGCGTGGTTATATACTTCATTCTATGCAGATCGGCGATATTATTCGGAGACTCTCCATCGGAATATCGAGTCGACAGCCCGTAGAATTTACTAATAATTACCGAAAGAAGGGGCCAAAGCTGTGTTGATGGCGGGTTGGAGAAATGCGGAGAACGTCGGCTGGTCGGCTAAGCCGATGATACCATACAATCCGACATGATCACACCATCTTGCGTGATAGACAAGCAGCATTGCCAAATTGCGGCTATTTCGACGGCTAAACAGCACATTTTTCTATTGGCTGGGTTCAATCTATGATCAGATACTCAAGTCTGGTCCCTGGATGTCATCATTTATTGACGCGGGTGAACTAGCCCGAAGGAGAAAACTTAACCTGAAGTAAACACACGGGAAATGAGAAGCCGAAATATCGGCAACTTGAACCCAACAAATCCTACTTTGCCAACGAATAATTAAGACATCCATTCAAAGAAGTCATATCAGCGGAAGTGGGTTTAACTGGCAATTGTTTGGTTTGTAAAATGCTGAAATGAGACGCGACAAGGAGATTGTCATATACTGTGATTTCTTGAAAAATAAACGTCTATCAACTCTATCAACTTGGTCAAATCTTCATTGCAAATCATTTCATTGACTGTCATAATACCCTATCATAAGAAAAAAGCCATTGATCGTTTTGAGCACCATGAAACCACAGTATAACTGGTGAGGATATCTATTTCATCAACACTCAGCGATATGAGATTGACTAAAAGCCACCATCGCTCCATGTCAACTGCTCATGCTCATATGCGCACAAAGGCGGTTATCAAGCCAGCAGCTCCAGTCATTTTATGTATGTTTTGTTGTCTGCTAAAGAAGGGCGACATCGTCACATTTCACCTTACAGGTTACCGCGACGAGGGAAAGCAACACCTTCGACGGCAGGGTGATCTGTGAACCAGCTGACCTTTTCGCCACCACCCTGGTTGACCAGGGCCGATGGAAGACTACGGCCCTCCTCGCTGTCAAAGATAGCCTTCATAATATCCTTCTTACCAGCACCGGTAGCGACGAAGGCGATCTGGATGGCAGATGTGACAACGGGAAGAGTCAGGGTAATACGCTTAGGAGGAGGCTTGGGCGAGTTGGTCTCAGGTGCCACCCACGCGTCCTTTTCGCGCAGCAAGTCATGGCCAGGGAATAGACTGCAGGTGTGGCCGTCGGGGCCACAACCCAGAAGAATGAGATCGAAGACGGGTAGCTTGACGCTATCCTTGGCGGCGAATACTCGCATCAAGTCTTCCTGGTAGAGATCGGCCAATTCTTGGGTGTCATCCTTCTCGACGGCTTCGGCATCAATGGGGTATACGACCGGAGCTCCGAGCTCCGCAGGGATCTTGTGAAGAAGCTCTTCCTGTAGCAGACGGTAGTTGCTGTCTTCGTGGTCGAGGGGCACAGCACGCTCATCGGCGAAGAAGATGTGCCATTTGGAGAATTGGGGGGTGTCTTCGGGGGTGCCGTCGCCTGGGGTGAGTAGGGCGCGAGCTAGAACGGTAGGCAAAGAGCCACCGGAGACGGCAATGCGAAAGCTATGGTGGCGGGCTAGCGCGGCATTCTGGCTTCGAAGGATGTAGGGGCGCAATTGCTCTGCGAGAGTAGCGGTGCTCGAGAAGCTGTAAAGGTTGGGCTGAGACGTAGCCATTTTTGATATAAAGGTTTGTGGTTTGAAGAGCAAGATTGAGAGTTTCGAGGATTCTCTATTTCGTTGTCTCGGCGGGGTGGTGGGGCGAGGGGCTGGCTACCTGTGGAATTTCCCACCAAAGACACGCCCAAACATGGTCACGGTCACGGTAGATGACGTCGTCCTTAGTCAACAGAAGGCTTCTAGGTCCATGGATGCATCTTATTAAGCTAATTCTTTCCTGCATGTTAATGACGCTACATGGCAATATTCAAAGATTTGATTTATGACTGAAGGCCTGAGGCTCAAAAGTACATTGATTATGGTTCGTGATTGGCCAATTGGTCCATTTTTGGCATACATATACTATTAATACTAAATTATCCATGAGTATGTCGTGGCGGGTTATAAAACATGTTCAATCAAGATATTTCAATCATCAAGCTCGAATTAAACTGGGCCTGAGCTCCCAGCATTCTTCTCAACATCTTCATGAGCGATAGACATTCCTTCTGGGGTGTTAACCTCAGTGCCGTCAGCACTCTTATTGCGGCCAACTAAAGGAAGCTGGTTAATATCGAGAAGATACATGTACCAGTAATAGGTTCCTGGGAATATTGTCAGCCTTGTCGCATTTAATAGCATAGCATGCGTTTCCCTCACTTACCGCAGAACAAACCACCTCCAAGAATGTTTCCAATCAAGGTAGGAATGATGCCCTTCCAGATATACAATCCCACGGAAATTCCAGGTGTGTCAACCCAGATAGCAAGGGGAATAAAAGTCATGTTGGCAACGACGTGATCAAATCCAAGTGAAACGAAGGCAAAGATTGGCCACCAAATACCCATTATCTTCGACCCAAGATCACGTCCTTGCGCCCCGAAAAAACATGCTAGACAAACCAGCCAGTTGCAGCCAATGCCCCGCAGAAAAATCATGCGAAAGTCTGGGGTAACCTGTTTCTTGGTCGCAAATGTACTGACGGTGGACTTGAAAGGGTCCGCATCAAAAACGCCACCATCTGGCTCAAATGTTAGCTCAATCTCCAGTACATGTATTGTCGACCGACCGCGAAGGAATTGACTGACAGCCGAAGATAATCCCAACCATGAACAAAGACCCAGCTAGGTTTCCAAGAAAGGTCACTACCCAGTGAACAATCATTTTCCACCATGGCAACTTTCGCTGTAGAGCTGCGATGGTAGTGTACTGTATACGCGTCAGTCACATGTCTTGAAACCATGGCATTTATAGAGAAGAGAGCACCACTTACCATGAAAGATCCAGTGCAAAGGTCTGCACCCGTCAGAATGATCATGCACAAGCCGTAAGGGAAAACCAAGGCACTAATAGTGCGGATCAACCCAGCAGCATTTTCTGCGTACCAGGGTGAGGCATTCGTGCTCAAGGCAGTACCGCAAGCAAAAGAAAGCAAGCAACCAGCTGAAACAGAGCTCAGGAAGACCTTATCCAGCCGCATATTTCCCTTGTGTACTCCAGTCTTTGCGAGGGATTCAACCACCTCTAGGGGTGACAATGCGTCGAACGACATCGCGACCAAAGTAATTGGAGATAATTCGGTAGAAATTGCTTGTCTAACAAAAGACCAAAGCTCCCGGTAGAAGTGACTGGCGAGTAGATTTTTTTTTTTTTTACCCAGGAGTTTTCAACGCGAAAGGCGATCCAGGTCTTCTTCTACACATATTTAACTATTTTTTCAGCTATAGACACTAAGATCGATCTTAGTAGCACTAAGGGATGCATCGCAGGATTATTGATAACAATTGGTTCAAGATAAGCGCAATTATGATCGTCACATCCCTACAGCTGCCGAAAAAAATGGGGAAAGATAAGAAGAGGAACGCATGTTCCCCATGGAGTTGTGGATTGGCGATCTGCGGCCTAAATTGCCATAACCACCAGTAAAAACGAAGCTCTTTATCAGACGATGTCTTGGCAAAATCAAGCCATAATAGACATGCAGTTGAGTATCTCCGCGGCGAACAGATGAGGGCCAAAGCTTGTATTTGAATTTGACTTTGACTTTTATTCTGAATTTTCAGAGTGTTTGCGGCAACAAGAAGCTATGGTAAATGTCACCATCATGATGTCAAAGCTGTACCCGTTGCCACCAGCTCTGGTGGGTATAATACGGACTGCCTAATATAAGGCTGAAGATAGAATCTACACGCATTCTTGAATATTAAAGTCAGAATAACTTTGTTCAAAACTTTGAGGATCGCAAATAACAATGGTCAAGCCTAAAGATACCGTGATTAGGTATGCTATCTCTCTTGCACTTCTGCTTTCGATTTTGAAGGTTAAATTCTCCCGAGATTGAGGCTAACGGGACGCTAGCGAGTTTAATGAGCTTGTTAACATGACCCCAAAGGAACTTCGCGATTGGCTGAAAGAGGAAAAATCAATTTCAGCTGGATGGGTTAATGAGACAGGAGAAACTACTGGCCATGAAAGGTGATTTGAGTTTGATCTTTGACAAAATTATTCAGGGCTGATAAGCAACATTATTTTAGTGGACGGAAGATTGTGAATATCTTAGAGCACAACCCTGATGGCAACGCTTCAGACTACACCGATTCCGATATTGACCACATGCGAAAGGTGGTGTCTTATTGCAAACGTCACTTGGCTCAAGAAGAGGCTGCGAAACGAGATACGACGAGCAAAAGCTATCGATCTTTAAAAAACTGGGGTCACGATGCTCTGAAGGAGTAGTTGTCTTTGGCCTGCTGAGGTCGGGGATAGGTATTTTGATTTATGCTCAGGCCTTTTGTATATGTTTATCTTGTATCTTTTCATAACGATGACATTATCATTTACATTATTCAAATTCCAATGAGATATCCTGATAACTTGAAATCATCAATATAGCAACCGCTTCTGTGGGATATCCCAGGGCAATTGGCACATGCATGTATAAATCCATCAGAAATCAAGGATCACTGCACCATCCACCATCAACAGTATACGTACTCCCCGTGACTCCACTCGCTTCATCACTTGCCAGAAAAACGATAACCTTAGCCACTTCCTCCGGCAACAAGTCACGCTGCAAGCTTTGTCCACGCATAACCTCCGCTCGATATTCAGGACTCAAAACAGTATCACGCTGTCTCTGAGTAGCAATCGCACCAGGCATCACACTATTAATGCGGATATCGGCTGCTCCAACCTCCTTGCTTTGTACCCGCGTAAGACCCATAATAGCAGCTTTACAAGCAGCATAAACAGGGCTATCAGGAGCAGGAATGCGCCAAGTAATCGAGCCCAGATTAACAATACTTCCATTTTCAGCAGCCTTCATTGCCGGTAAAACAGCCTGAGTGAGAAAGAACACATGTCTTAGGTTGGTATTGACAAGGAAATCCCAGGATTCAGAAGTGACGTCGTCCGTTTTTAGTCTTGCACCTTTTCCTGTTGCTGCGGCGTTGTTGACGAGGACATCGACTTTCTCCCACTCTGCTAGTATATTTGCGATGGTAGCTTTGACTTCATCTAGGTCTGAGAGGTCACAATAGTAGAATATTGGCTTTTTCACTTGAGCGTTGCTTCGTGCTCCGAATTCGCTGCATATAGAGTAGACATTGTCTATGGTGCTTTGCGCTGCATCTTTGTTTATATCCAGGAAAAGTACCTGGCTACCCTGATAAGTGAAGCGCTCAACTGCTGCAGCGCCAATACCTTCGGCTCCGCCTGTGATGAGCACGGTCTTGCCTGCTAGACTGGGATAGATGGCTGGTGCCGAGGTCATTTTCCTGGATGACTCGACCTCCGTCGGATTATGAACGGTTTGAAGAAGAATTGGTAGAGTCTGGCGGAATGACAAACTACTATATCAACTGATGTGGAGAGGGGAAGAAACATTGACTCCACTCAATGTAACCGCACTCTTTCCCCGCAGTTTCAACAGCACTTGAGCATCCCGGGGTCTTGAGTCTATATGACCTCGCTCAAATGTTTAGATCCTGATGCTTGGGCTTGGAAATTTAACCTAGTGCCAGGGTTCACATCCCTTGCGTTTGCCTTTATGGAGGTGGAGCTTGAAGCAGTATACTGCCACTTGAAATATGCATACTAGAGCATTCATTCGTCGAATTTCTGGCCTCTGGGTTATTCAGTGGCCGTTGGCACTAATTATGGCGCACAATTCTCAAGTTATAATCTATCATGACATTTGAACATATTTCAAAATTATGGGATCATAATAATACTCGTTTCGGACAAGTGAACTCCCCTTTCGCGATACGAACGAGACAAGGACCTTAGAGGACCTTGCTCCATGGAAGTTTTGTTGCTCAAAATGTAGGTAAAGCATGGATATATGATCTTCTCGCTCACCAAAACTATGCATAGAATTCATTGTGACAGGTCATAAAAAGCGGAGAAACAAATTCGTAAAGGGGGCGATTATGCTTGAATCTCCGCTCTGCGCTCCAGCACAGATCGAGCCTCCGCAGCTGTCAATGTATCAATGCTCAGCTCGGCAAGCACAGCGCGGGCACTTTCGTTATCCTTGAATAATCTCTGTTCCACATCCCATAGTCCTAGTGTAGATTCAGATTCATTCGAATCACCCACAGTCGGGCTTAAATTCAGAAGGCGCAGGCCTTCATTAAGCTTGTTCATGATAAGTAGCGAACCACCCGCATGGGCAGCCACTCCGAGTGTCGTATCAACCATGCTGCATAGCTGTTCAACATCGCCTACTAGCTGGGTCGCGCCGGCAGCGGAGAAGGTGTTTCTAGTTAGAACATGGTCCCAAATGTAAGTCTGGATAGATATGAGAAGTTGACGGGATACTCTGCGCAAAGGAGCTACACCCAAAGCCTTTGTGATAAAGGATAGTTGGGTGGATAATGTGCGCATCGCATGTGCCAGGTCGGATGAGAGAGAAAGAGGAGATGAGACTGAGCCAGCTGAGGGTACAGAGAGTGTTGCCCAAGTAGACACACGAGAGTATGGTTTTAAGGCTGAGTTGATGTTCGAGTTCAAGGTAGATGCGATGATAGACTCCGATCGTAATCGGAGACGGCGGTATGCCGATGCAGTTTCGTCAAACAAAGCACCATCGGAACTGACATCAGTGTTAGAAGTCCCATTATTATTGACGGCGGGCGACGTGCGAGATGCAACTTCAGCGATGGACATAGAGCCCGCCACATTCCGACCGCCCTGTCGAACTCGTTCTTGGAGCTCTGACCAGAGTTCCACGAAGAATATATCGTTGCTCCAATCTTCCATCTTCTTTTCCAGATATTCAGCACTGCCAAAAACTCTGCACAGTCTCTCTAAACCTGCAACGCCTTCTACACTGGCTTGTCCATCTGCACCTTGCACTGTTCGACCCAGTGTAGATGTCATGGCGAGGTAAGCTTCCAATGCCGAACCAAGGCGGTCGTGAAACTGGTCGAATATTGTGATTTGAATATCGATGAGAAACCTCAGTTTCTGGCTAAAGGAAGGCAGGGGCTGGTAGCGTTCCGTGATAGTTTCGAGGAGATCGTTGACTCGAATGGCCGCCTTGGTCGGTTTTGTCGCTGTAACCTCGACACCGTCATAGTCAATTTGCCCACTGTCTGCGGTGTCGATAATGTCCTTGTATCGAGCCAAAGCGAAATCTTTTTCAACTTGAAGCCAGCGATCGTACCACCCTTGTTTTGAGAGAACCTCCCAGGTCATTCCTTTCCAGTTTTCACTCGAGTAGGGGTCTGGCAGGTAATTCCACGTTTCTCTAAGCTCGTTATCAAAACTCATTAATTCGTGGATGAAGTGGCTCAATAGCTGAGGATAGTCGGCAACCTGAGGGAGGAATGTATCAATCTTTTGTCGCAACATGGGCAGAATGGCGTTTATGAATGCATGCAGAGCATTGTTGTAGTTCCATTCCAACCCAGGCTCGGCTGACTGGGCCTTTTCGTCAAGGATTGGCTGGAAGTATGAAGTGAAGAACCCTCCAAATTGATTGATGAGGTCCATAATATGCGAAAGGAAGTATTCCGGCTGAGAAAATATACGTTAGACCACATGCGATCGAACGGGCGAGTCTTTCTTACCTTATCCAACCTGTTCGTTGGCTTTTCGCCACTGAAGTGGTACTTGAATCGAAGATCCAAGGGGTGGACCATTGTCTCCAGAGTGAACAAGGCCGGGGGCTCGATGTTATTATTGCTTAACATATCCCGGCGAGGAAGTTCTCTGTAAACCATTGTTAAATTCGCAGTTTTCTTCAATGTGTCCAGTAGAAAATAAACGCACGGTGTCTGTAACTCATTCAGGAGCTCAACATCCTCCTTCCACTGGTCTAACAGTTTATCCGTGATATCCAGCTCTCGTGTCGGCCATTTCATAGATGTAAGCGTCTTTTGCAGTCGGTCGCCAAAGAACTTCTTCAATTGTTCCCTCAATGCTGCCGCGAGTTTCTCGGTATAGTCGATCAGGTGGGGCGCAGCGCCTTCGGCGGCCGGTTGAGCTTCTTTCAGCGATACCACGATGCTGCGTAATCGAACATAGGGCGATATAGAGGCGCGAGGGTCGGAGGAGATGCTGCTCAAAGCTTGCTTGCTGTGATTGGGATATTTAGCACTCGTCATCCTTGGAATCCATGTACTGTCGTATCAATACCTGAGCTCTTCAGCCTCTTTCAATAGTTCCACGTATCCTTTAGAGATTTCCAGTCGCTGAAGTCTTTCCATGCTGTTTTCTAGTCGTCGCACCGCCTCATCGCTTGATTCCGACTGTGTGATCGCCTTCAACCGTTGGTCGATGTCCGCCTGCTCGGCTTTGAATGCCTCGGCACGCTTTCTTGTAGCTTCGGCATGGTCATTGGATGTCTTCGTCGCATTCGAGAGTGCTGTATGTGCTTCTGCCAACTAAGAGAGACCGGTATTAGTCAAAAATGCGCATTCAGGGCGGGGTTGCAAGCGAAGAAGGGCGTGCTCGTACGTACCTGTTTTCGTTGGAGCTCCTGTTGCGCACGAAGACCTGTGAGGAGCGAGCTCAAACTCTCAAGATCAGCAGAGACCTGAATTTTATCATTTAGATAATCCTCCACTCGTGTCCGCTCGTGCGACGATAAAGATGTGGGCGGCGCCATTGTTGTGGAGGGAAAATCGCGGAACCGCAACGGTGGCCGCGATGTTAATCTCCGCCTTCTCGGACTGACGTCTGCTATCCGCAACTACCAAATGTTCTACAGCTGCTCCAGTGGCAACATGCACTTCAAGCTCTTACCCATTTCGAATATTTGTATAAAAAATGCCTAGTCCAGCGAAAAAGCGAAAGCAAAATGGTAATGATTCGTCACCGCAAAAAGTGCGCAGTATTTCTTCCTTTTTTCAAGGACAAACAGCTAGGCAGCCCCAGCTAGCGCCCGACGTCACAGAACAGACTCTCTCGGATGAAGCTTTGGCACGAAAACTTCAAGCCGAATGGGATCAAGAAGAGAATGGACAATCCTCTAATTCTACAGCCAACGAATCTGCAGCTACAGTAGCAGAGCCAGAGCAAAACGAAGCTCCGTTGGTCCCTTCGGTAGCTCCAGATACAGCACCTGTATCCTCTATCGCACCCAAAAAGAATACGCTATCATTACAGTCATCTTCCGGAACAGAAGACACAGTATCCTTTACTGTGCCATTTGATCAAAGCCCTCAAACTTTTGATGCGAGCAAATATGCAGCCGAATTGCGACCGCATTGGGCTTCAGAGGGCGGCGATGCTACCTACGCACTACTTACAAGAGCCTTCGTCCTAGCCAACTCAACAACAAGCCGAATTAAAATCGTCGACACACTAGTTAATTTTCTTCGGGTTTTGATAGTAGGCGACCCGACTAGTGTCCTTCCTGCTGTCTGGCTAGCTACAAATTCTATATCCCCACCATATGATGAGCTAGAGCTGGGACTCGGTGGCTCATCCATCTCGAAGGCTCTGAAGAAAATATACGGCTTAGACGGTCAAGGTCTCAAAACACTTTATGATCGCCACGGCGATGCAGGAGACGTCGCGTTCGAAGCTAAGAAGCGCCAGGCTTTTACGCTGATGAAACCCAAGCCCCTTAAAATCAAAGGTGTCTATCAATCTCTTCTCAAAATTGCCACGAGCAAAGGTACCGGAAGCCAAGAGACAAAACAGCGCATTGTCGAGAAATTGTTACAGGATACTCGTGGCGCAGAAGAGAGTAGATATATTGTCCGAACTCTAGTACAAAACCTACGCATCGGTGCCGTGAAGACGACCATGCTCATTGCTCTTGCGCGTGCATTTCTCTATTCAAAGCCCGCTGGAGCTGAATTTACGATTCGCCCTCAACATGAATTTGCGCGTCTGAAAAAAGACGAGCTTACAGAAATATACACAAGTGCCGAGGAAATCGTCAAAGCTTCCTATGCCAGACATCCAAGCTACAATGATCTCATCCCATGTCTTTTAGAGATCGGCGTAGCTGAAGAGCTCCTCATCAGATGTGGACTAATGTTACATATTCCACTCCGGCCAATGCTGGGTAGTATCACGCGCGACCTCTCAGATATGTTGACAAAACTACAAGGACGTGATTTCAGCTGCGAATACAAATACGACGGACAACGAGCACAAGTACATTGCGACGAAAAAGGCAAGGTGTCAATCTTCTCTCGACACCTCGAACTCATGACTGAAAAATATCCCGATCTTGTGTCTCTCGTCCCCCAGATTCGAGGCGAAGGCGTCTCAAGCTTTATTCTCGAGGGAGAAGTAGTCGCTGTAGACCGTGACACGGGCGACCTACAACCATTCCAAACTCTGACGAACAGGGCAAAGAAAAACGTCGAGATCGGAGCGATAAAAGTCACTGTTTGTCTTTTCTCATTCGATCTAATGTATCTCAACGGCGAGCCACTTTTAGATCGCCCCTTCCGTGAACGCAGAGAGCTTCTCCGAAGCCTATTCATCGAGATCCCAAACAAATTTACCTGGGTCAAGAGTTTAGACGCGACATCTGCCGATTCAGAAAGCGTTCTTGAATTCTTCAAAAGTGCCACCGACATAAAATGCGAAGGTATAATGGTTAAAGTTCTCGACAACACAAATAATAAAACCACAACCCAACCTGATTCCAATATCCTGAATGAAGACACCAACGCCGAAACAGAAATTACATCCACAAACTCCAAAGAGAAAGAAAAACCCACCCGCCGCAAACCCCTCCTATCAACCTATGAGCCTGACAAACGACTCGAATCCTGGCTAAAAGTCAAAAAAGACTACTCCACCACCTCCGACACCCTCGATCTAATCCCCATAGCAGCCTGGCACGGCCAAGGCCGAAAAGCAAAATGGTGGTCCCCCATTCTCCTCGCAGTTCGGAACCCGGAAACCGGCGCCCTAGAAGCCGTAACAAAATGCATGTCCGGGTTCACTGATAAATTCTACGCCTCCAATAAAGAGAAATACAGTGAGGGTAGTACGAATGTTATTTCGAGACCTGCTTATGTGGAGTATTTTGGAGAGCCGGATGTTTGGTTTGAGCCGTTGGAGGTGTGGGAGATGGCTTTTGCGGATATAACGCTTAGTCCTACTTATACTGCTGCTATTGGGCTTGTTAGTGAGGAGAGGGGTGTTAGTTTGAGGTTTCCGAGGTTTTTGAAGGTTAGGGAGGATAAGGGGATTGATGAGGCTAGTACTTCGGATTATTTGGCTTTTTTGTGGAGGAAGCAGGTTGAGAGGGCTAGGGTTGAGGGGGATGGGAAGGCAGAGAAAGAGGAAGAGGCGGAGTTGGGTTGGGCGGAGGATTGAGGTTATATGCTTGGGGTATACTACATATGTTTGGAGTATACATGTATCTAATGGGATGGCACCCAGGGCCCTTTTTACTACCAGTCTCTAGACATTAAAATGACCGGGTGGATAATGACAAACTAGTAGATAGAGCATACACGACTACAAGGGATATTGGTAATGAGTACAAGAGATGTATAATAGTCACTATTTCACTGATCTCCAAATGAGTTTTGGAGCCTCTTTTCTGCCTGATGAGAATGCTGGGGTAATATTAAAAAAAAACAATCATAAAAGCAATGAGGTCGGGATACAATGTATCATCACGAGACATATTGGATGCAAAACATGAAGTGAGTAGAACGATATTATAACAAAGCAAATAGGAGCTGTGGAAGTGGGTAGTAACCATGATTGATATGGAAGGGGCAATGAAAAACATATACCATGCAGAGAAAGGGAAACGCCGGGTATGCAGTGATGACTGATTGGCTTGATGGTTGGGATCCAAGATAGGGTCTCAAAATGGAGAATACCTCGATCATGCCTCAAGACAACCTTGAGATTAAAAAAGCATTGTGTAGGTGGTAGGTGTACATAGCAAAATCGTCAAGACGTAACGTAACAGAGAATGAAAAGGGTTACGGGTAATAGATGAACAGAGAATCGAAGAGAGGGAAAGAGAAGTGGGAGAAGGAAGGAACGAAGCGAGATATAGCGGCACGAGTGATCTAGCGATGCAGCTCGCCTCCAAGCTGCAGTGCTAGTCCACCCTCTTTGCTGCGCATCCTTGGTGAAGCGCTCGGAGGAACCAGTGCATCGAAGTTCAGCCGCTTGCGAGCATCTTTCGCAGTGAGAGGTGTTCGAGCCGGGTTCCCAGGAGTACGACCACCCCATGCAGGCTGTGCTGGGCTAGGAGTAACGTTCACAAAATCCGCAAAGTTGAATTGTTGACCTGGGGTTCCCATAAGATTGGGCAGGGATCCTAGACCCGCATGTTGGCTTGGAGGGGTCGAGGGAGGGAAAACATGAGACTGGGAGCCAGCAGCCACACGAGCCGGGGTCGGGGAATTGGCTAGGAAAAGCAGCAAGTCTGCGCCATCATCCCCTTGGCCTCGGTCTGTTCGTGGTAGGCGTGCATGCTTCGGAGGGGGTGTCCGAGGGGGTGAGGATCCCACCATAGAGCCCGCAACCTGGAAGCTATGCAAGGGTAGCTCCGGATCATTCTCTTCATCAGATGGGCCTTGATATACGGGAGATGACATCTCGGGGATGGGTGCTTCGGACATGAAAGGCATTTGGCTTCGTCGTGTCGTGTGATGAACTAGACCAGGTGAAGACTGGGGTAATTTGTATGAACTCTTCCATGATACCCGTGGGGCCTTTGCAGGGCGGCCCTCATTCGAGTCTGATCGAAGACGCTTGCGTCCTGCCGTTAACATGGGCTGCATGACATGGGAGTCAAAGGTGACAGCATGTTTGTTCCGAGCGGATCGAGGCAGCTCTTTCGAGTACGTGGCGGCTCGCAAGGGAGGAGAGGTAAACGGGGTTTCACAGCGGCTGCGTGAGAATTCGGAGGAGGAGTCTGAAGGTTTTTCATTGTCGGATAGACCCAACTTGGAGTCTTGAAGGGTCGAGTTCAGTCCATGAAGTCGGCCATGTTGGTATTTCAGTTTGGCCAGGCCGAGGCGGTCCTGTAAACTCAGGGAGACCTATGAAGGCAGGGGTTAGTGTATCTTTGAAATCCAGTATATCCTCTCAGCAACTGATTGATTCGCTTGCCTGGCAAACACTTCTTCTGTATAGGTTGCCTGGCTCATTCGAGGCCAGGTAAAACCCAGGCGGGTCCACCAGGTTTTCTGATATGTTTTTTTTTCTCTTGTTTCTCTCTTTTTTTTCTTTCTCATTTGCATTCGTCCCACCTTTCGGCACTGTACTTACCTGGGATATGTCTATTTTCCTGATTGTCTTCTCTGCAGAGCCAGGCTGTGGCAGGGTCATGGTGGGCAGGGCGATAGAATGAAGAGAGAGAGAAGCTGACGAAGGACCCAGTTTACGGGTTGGCAAGGCAAGGGCGGGCTGGGTCAAGGAACCAATTGGCGATCGAAATTTGGATCCGACCACACACTAAACCCAAATGGAGTTAAATTGATTCGGCGATTGGAGGGAAATGTAGAAATATCGAAATTTTTACACTGTCTATTATCCAAGAATAGTGTACTAATATGAAGAATTTGGCTTCCACGAGGAATTTGTGTTGGTTGGTGTAATGACTAAGTATTGCCAACGAAAAGCAGGGAAGACGCGTGCCGCGTGCTGATACGCGAGTTTCGCGTTTGGTCCATCCCATCAAATGAACAGGGAATATGGTTTGCTACTGCAGTTTGATAATTCGGACTATGGGAGTATATCTAAAGTGCTATATAGAAGTAGTAAAAAAACCCGTCTCTCTGTCAAGCAGACTAATATAAATAAATAAAAACTCGATCGGTTCAGCGTGGACCCAACCTCCCCACTTTAAAGCCCTGAACTTGCAGCTTCAAATCTCCGTGATAATTGCATTATTAGTCCTCAGTGACTTTCCCTGGATTTTTTTTTTTTTAAAAAATGAAACATTATTACGATCTTCCCTTTCTCTCCAAATCCTGTTTTTTATTCTCATAGACTTCTAGAGGGTATAACCTCCTAGAAAGACTTTTCCTCGATCGCACATGCCATCCAAGATTCCGCTCCACTTCTTCAGGATTGGCAAACCCTAGCAGCTTTTAGTCTTAGCTCATGCCATAGTGGAGAGAAGGAGGAGAAGGAGGGAGTAAAAGGGGGAAACCATATCTGGCATTCATTGGCATGCGGTCTATCTGGTATGCTAAGCTAGATATCTCCAGAACTTAATGCTGGTGGGATACTGTATTATGTACGGAGAACTATGTCTTGCTACACTTGGGGGAAATAGCATAGCAGATAGGTATTAGATCAAGTATTGTTTAGAATTCCCAGCATAACCCTAACCCAAATACGTTTATCTATCCTCATCAGACCCCTCAGATGAAGTTCACGATCGAGATCGAAGATTGCACCATTGGATGCAGACGTGGCCGGTGATCGGTATTTCCGAGCCCCAAAGTACGGAGTACGGAGAACGGATACTTATCGGCAATTTACTACTATACTCGGCCCCCAGACTCTCGGAATCCAGATCAATCAGATCAACCCCGTGCGGAATATTCAATCACCATGGATGACAAAGTCTCGTGGCTGTCAGGAACATCAAGGGGTTGGAACCCATCGTCGACTACAGGTACAGTACTGTAGTAAGCGGAGAAATCCCCCCAAACCCGGGATTGGGCGATAATCTTGCATATGCCGGCTTTGTCTCAGACCTGGCAAATGAGATTGATCATAGTAATATGGTGGGAGGAATGCGGCATAGCAACGGAGTGTATCAGACGTTGGAAAGGGGGGGAGTCAAGCCACAGACGCCATACATTTCAATTAGCCCCAAGGACCAGGGTTGTGCAATATCTTGAATATTTAGATTGATGATCTCCTTCTCTCGTCAAGAATAAGAACAAAGGAACTCTGATTAGGCCAGCCTTGTCTTCGTAGTCTAAGATTAGAGGAGAGAAGGATGCCGCAGTTACATGACGGGGTTAACGAACAGACCCTCCAACCAGCCCTGGTATGCGCTGCCTAGTTGGACGCTAGATCTAAGCTAAGAGCGTTGGGGCGATCATCTGCGATCCACCGGTGAAACACCGCGACTAACAGCGATAGCATTGCCTTGATTGTCTCGAGGGTACGTAAGACGTGGGATAGGTGCTTCGTATCAATTCTCCTCTCCTCATCCACTTGAATCCATTGGTACGAGCATCGCTACCGGTGGACTTACATATACAGCTATATTAGTATGTAGTAGTAGAACAAGTCTCATAATAAATAGTAGACTAGCTCAAGCTAAGTATAGATTTGCCGCTTAATCTGTCCTTTTTGCCTCTAAATGCCCCATAAGTGTCAATTATAGAGGGTTTTGTTACCAATGATCTCCATCCTCACTCGTTTGTAACTTGTCTGTGCCAATTTTCGATTTCTTGGTTTTTTCTTCTTTCCTATTCTCCCTTCTGTCTTCTCCTCTCCCTTGAATTATTCCCTTCTTTCTTACAATCAATGTCAATTCCCAACTTGTGATCTATCGCTTTGACTTGTTGTGTCTCCTTTGATTTTCTTATTTTTTTCTATTTTTTTTGCCATCTCCGGGCACTTGCGGGGCCTTACTCCACGGCGTCGTCACCCGCCGCAAACGGTCGCGCTCTCCTGTTCCTGTTCCTGAGACGGCAACTGCCTTCCTCCATTCAATTTGGGGTCCCTTTTCTCAATGAGAAGTCCTAGCCTTCTCTAATCCTTCCCTTTTGACCCCCTCTATTCCACCATGTCGTTTCTAAAACAATTGCGTCGCCGCTCAAAAGCGAGCTTTAATTCCGACACCAAAGGCGCCGCGACCAAGGTGGAAATGGTTGGCAAATCATCCTCCACGATCGACACATCCTCCCACAGCTCCATAACTCCGCCATCGTCGATCAAGCCAACTCTCTCTTCCCCAAATCTTCCTTCCTTGATCGAATCAGATGCCACCTCTTCACCTTTACCCCCGCCCCCGCAGCGGCCAGGACTCTTTGTGACCCGATCGCAACGAAATAGTGTGGTGGTATGTCAATTTGGGAGCGATGTCCTTGAAAATACAAGGCATGCTGAACGTCATGCGCTAATTGAGTATTCGGTGCATTAGGGAAGCTCCTCTTCGTCCATCAATGGAGTATATCGTTCAACTCCTGCCTCACCATATGCGCCCCGGATTGTGTCAATCACCGATAATTCCTGGGTACGTGTCCTTCCCTCCGCAATAGAAAGCACATTCGGAATTGCCTCCCAAAAAATATCTTCGTCGGCCGCGTGGCTAACGAAGTCTTTTTCTAGGTTCATCAAAAGGTTCTCCTCGTCTATGGTCAAATTGGAGACCCCAGGCACCATCCGCTGGACGGAGGTGTCACAGTCTTCCACCACCAAGACAATTTTCCGTCGACCGGCTGGCCCGTAACAGAATCTCATTTCAAAGCCTTGATTCATCTAGTACCCGGTCCTAATCGCCTCCGTCTCGATTTCATTTCTCCCAAGCTATCTTCAGGCAGCACACACCCCGCCGTCCATTCGACATGGATTAATATCAACTATCTTCCTCTGGTGAACAGTCCACCTTTGCAATTGGTTGTATTGCTCGGAAAGGATTCAGATGGGACATATGATGCCGTGCCGGAGAGGATGGAGCGAGAAGGCAATGGACTAGACACCGCGATTCGAAAATACCGAACAGCAGCATACCTTTGGCAAGCGTTCACCGGCGAGCAGATGTTCCGCAACAACTTTGGACGGCGCTGCTTCAGATTCGAGGAGGAATGGCAGTCTGGCACCCTCAGTCGACGGGATTCGGCGGTCGGACAAATGCGCAATGAAGCCAAAATCCACATCGTTCGCACTGAGAAAACAGTGGCGGAGCTGCGAGACCTCAACATTGCTCAACAAAACCAGAATGCTCAAAAGAAAGATGAGTTGTTTGCGATCGCCAAGGAGGCGGTACGGAAGCATTTCAACCCTCAACCTGGGCAGAAACAATATGTCTCTGTGCTGCTGTTAGACTCACACTGGGATACTGAGCAGCAAATGATCACAGGCCACGCGGCATTAGGGTCTGCCGGTGACGATATAAAAATGGCCATCTTTGGGTCCCACGCTCTACAGAGTTATCCATCTTGTTTAGAGGAGGTTGTGGACGCCTTCTCTGACTGTGTACGAACAGATACAAACTACGTGGCAAACGACAATGGTGAAGCCGGGTCGAATTGGGAATCCGCCAATATTGGCATTGGAGCTCACTTGCATGAAGTTGGACATCTCTTCGGATGCCCCCACCAGGAGTCAGGCATTATGCTTCGCGATTACGTCCAGTTGAATCGCTCATTCTTGACAAAAGAGCCATTCTCGACTCGCACAAAGGCTCAAGGGCTGAAGGTGTGTTTACCAAACGACGAGTGTAGCTGGCATCGCCTGGATGCTCTCCGTTTCCGATTCCACCCCTGCTTCAGACTCCCAAGTGACGCATCTGCGAGCTTGGATGATAGTGTGCAAGTATGGCCAGTGGAGAATGGCAAGATTCTCTTTACTGCTTCCTCGGGTATCGCCTTCATGGAGCTTTACAAAGAAGGCGATGAGTTCTGCCATACTTCGATTGAATATCTGAACACGGAGAATAGCAGCAATGGACTTCCCAAGCAAATCATGATTACCGAGAGTGAGCTTCGATTGAAGGTCTTTGGTACTGAAAAGGAGAAGAAAAAGAAGATCAAAGCTATTGTCTACTCCGGTGCTCTCGGTAGCTACACAGTTGAGGATGTTGGTCTCTTGAAGTCGAAGAGCTCTCTGGTCAAGCTGCCCAAGAGTCAGTCTGGCTACAAGAGTGGAATGCTTGGTTTCTCCTCAATGGAAGGCAGTGAACCCCAGCAATTACTTCTCGAGTGCGCCTTCATCGCAACCAAGCTCTTGACATCTGTAAAAGTCTACCATGGAAATGCCTTGGATGGCATCGAATTTTGCTATGAAGACATGACTAGCCAACTCTTTGGAAAACGAGGCGGCAAAGCTGGCGGTGATGAGTTTGTTCTCGGTGAGTCTCAACATGCTCTTATGCTGTCTATAATGAAACCTTTCTAATAATATCGCAGACACTCGGCGTGGAGAAATTCTGCTTGGATTTTACGTCCGAGCTGGACTTTGGATTGATGGAATTGAGATTCTTACTAGTCTTGGCCGAAAATCCGGCTTTTATGGAAATCGCCATGGTGGATCGGGGTAAGTTCTCAGACAGTTATCTTGGTATGACATGAAATTGAGACTGACTTTTGAACTAGCCATACCTTAATACCGCCTCTTGGATATAAGATCGCCGGCGTCGCGGGATCGTGTGCATCTTGGATTGATGGATTCTCTCTAATCATCCAGCATTGAAAAGGATATTACCGCATTGTTCTCACTTTATACCATACCTATTCATTCCTTCTATTTGTCTCTTGTTTTTCTCTCTTCGAGCAATGGGTCTCATCACTTGGGAAGTGGAAACTGATCAAGGACCGGTCAGCACATAAATGAGGTTCCGTTAGGCCATGCTGCCGTTTGTTTATACCATTTGCGTTTTCTTTCCTTCATATGCTTTGAGCGGCGCTGTCGGGGGTTTTTGCGGTCGCATTTACTCGTTGTATCCATTCTTTCCCATTCTTCCCTTTTGTTGATGCGCATTTCGGACATGATCCCGTCTGCGAAACGGTTCGTATGGCGGCTACACCAGGACATCTTGTACAAGGGACATTCATATTGGGCAGATTATAGATGGGTAATTTCATAGCATGATCACCAGCAATCAGCCTTTGCTTGCGAGTTCATACTACATAGCATTCTTTAAAACTTTCGCTCCATTAATCTCAACTTGCAGACTGCAGTAGATAATATGTAAACCTCGGAGATATTGTACATTGTCCATATCCGATCCATGCACTCATTTTTTTCCGATTCCCATCCCCCACACAATTCGATATCATTTCACAACCATGGCTTCGATATCATTCGTTATCATGAACATTCTTTGAAGAATTAACACAGCCACCACACCACACTCTAGATGGAATTAGGTTTGATCGCCACAATTGTCTTACAATTGCGTGTATCTACCAGCACACAAAGTCATCGTATTTTAGAGATCAAAGCGCAAATTAAGAACCCACCACCTTATGATTTGTTGATCTGGGGATCGAAAAAGTGTCTCACAATCCACGAGCCAATTGACAGACTACATTTAATAGCTCAAGGCTCTTTGTGGGGTTAGACAGGATCGCCATGGACCTCGAGTGGAGTACCTCAATAACCATCTCCACTTTGCAAGCTCCTAGGTACAGCTACACGGAGAACTGTGCATCAACTGACTATTGTGACTCAGAGACGATTGCTACTATATACGGAATGGAGCAAAATCACCTTATCTAGTGTCTGCGACCTTGGGCTCTTTTTTCTCAACCACTGAGCCATACTTTGGATAAACGTACTACAATACAGCACATTATACAGTACAAGTACACCCGACAGTATCCATATTAAAGTACTAACTCGGACTTCTGTGGCTGTACTAGCAAATTTTCACAATGGATTCAATCCACACTCTATCCACAAAACCCATCAAATTATAGTACAGTATTTACCAAATCCACAAAGTCATCCACAAAGCAATGAGCAATGGACACATCGTACTTCGGATGTACTGTATGCAGGATCACACTGACTGAAATTCGCCACACCTTCTTCCCCAACCCTTCCACTAATTTCTCATTGGTCAAACCTCCGACTTTGCCGTTCCGTCCGCCCCGCCAAAGTACATTATGTACATACATAGCCCTGTGTGTATCCATAGCGCTAGAACGCGAATAAGATTGCCTAGTATTTTTTCTCCTGTACATAGTATGTACCTACAGTACTTTCCCCTTCGAACACGGGACAACGTAACAAGTCTGTGTCGCTGTTGGTGTCGCGTTCGATCATCCCTGTGGCTGCGTCAGCTGCTCGAGAGGGGTTGGTGTGGCTAGTGGGTTCAATTGTTTTGGGTAGAGTCCACTGTGGCAAGGCGGTTGCTTGGCCTTACTGGCTGGTTTTGTTGATCCTGGTATGGTGCACATGTTTTTTTATCTTGGGCTGGGAGCCTTGTTACTTTAGGTATGCTGGTGGTAGTGGTTGATTGGGTTATTATTGGTGTTGGTTTTTACTTTTGCGCCCGTTGGCTTTTCTTTGATGCGATCATTATGCATATGTGTTGTGAATGTACTCAAAGGTTGCGGATAAGGCTGCCGCGTTTTTAGATGCTTGTTGCTTCTATGTACATATTCGCTTTGAAGTTGAAGGTGTATGCCAAGAGGAGTAGTGGATCTTTTCGATTTTCGTATATTTGTTTCCTCGTATACAGTAGTTATGCCAATGCTGCTTCTTTGCCAATTGGGAAATGTCCTTGCGTGGGCTACATTCTATGAAGGATCAACGCCTTCAGGATGATGGGTCGGTCTTACTATGGATAGTACTACAGTATGTGGTATGTAACACTTTGTGCATTTGCATAATGGGCCACTACATCATGATATATTTAATTCAAAGTCAATTGTTTCGCGAAATAGATATGGAAATGCCTAAATTAAATTGTTGCATTTAGTTTCGCTTACAGTCTACTGCGAGGATAACCGTCGTACCAACGTGTCCCACGAGCAACCATCAACATTGTGGCACTCACCGTACGACTTGATTGGTCTCTCGTCAAGCCATCAAAGCCGCCCAAGACCTGTGGGCAATCAATCACACTCCTCGTGGCTGAAGATCTGTTCCAACCTGGACGGATCGCAAAAACGAGCTATGGCTATCAAAGCACTGATCAACCAATCAAATCACGCAATCTAGCGGGGAAACAGTATCCGAGAAGCTTTATCATTGGTTTAACCTTTCGTACCACATACAAAATTCAATGCAATTTCTTTCAAATGCGTCGAGCTTCAAGTTATCCATGATATAAGCTACGCGCCGACCCGGTCCTCATTGAATCCCTGGCTAACCAGCTACATTTATTAAAAGCGAAGAAGGTAATCTGAAGCATATTAACGCTGTACTCCACTAATAGCTCAGGCGGTGACAGGAACATTCCCTTTCGCGCTGGTGGCGTATTCAACCCCTGTTCAGCCAAAACGCCCGGTGGGCGTGCCCATGACGGGGTGGCTTTATTCTGTACTAGGATGCATAGCCAAAATAAAGAAAAAATTCATATTCTGACGTCAGTGATTCCTTGTGGCAGTTGAATGTTCGAAATGTGGACGTGGGGAAACCCAAATGAGAGCCTTGCGTGCATATAGAACGTACAGAACGTAGAACAGTGTCAGGCACGCGTTGGGTAATGTTACCACGAGGATGAAAGAAAGCTTGCATGGTTGGATGGATGATTATATTGTTTCATAATTATGACTTAATCCGATACACCGGGTACGATAGACGCAGCCCTACTGTGTGTATAGTACATTACTCAGGAGATAGCTAGGTACGAAGCAGTAAAGAGTCATAGCGACAAAGCTAAAGATAGGAAAGATAGACTACAATTTTTCCAAGCTCGGTAGTGATTTTCAGTCAATTGATCCCTGAAAGTCTGAAAGTGGAATGGTGCTTGTAACAGGTGCCGCATGCTCTACCTAGTGTACCTAGGTACTTACAGCTGTATATTAATTTCTAGGTACATGCCAGGAGCTTCGTGGTTCAGCTGCTACTCTCACCTGGGCATTCTCTGGCACGTCCCAGAAGATTAAGATGCGCCCAATGCTTCCTGCGGGCTGGCGTGCTAAGTCTGTGCTGACGCGGTGGACCTCCACGAATACCGAGTATCCCTTCCGCGTTTGGAACACCTCTCCCCGTCGTGGATCTGATTCTCTCCAATGTGATTCTGTGCCCCCAGCCCGGCCCTTTTCCCCGACAAATCAGAAGCTCTATTTTGGATTTGAATTACTGAGGGGGTTGTGATTTCCGCTTTCGCGATCTGTGTATGCAACAATGGGAGAGAGGATCAACTAAAGTATAAGGGGGTATTAAGTATATCGGTAATGCCGGATGAGGACTGGAGACGAGATCCAAATGTAGAATAGATGAAATGGACCGGGTAAAAGCCGAGCTCCGTTAGAGAATAAAGCTACGGGGGGTAAGTTCTTACTGTGCTCCGTACCTACTGTGCCTACATAAGAGAAGAGCCGGCCACTGTAGATAGCATACTAGGCGGCGCCCGGGGGTAAGAATGTACCGTGTTTGTAATTTTCGTATGTGTATTATATTAAGCACGTGCCTATGGTGCTTTGCCTGATTTGATTGGCGGGTTGAGATGCCAGCAATGAACAGCACGGATCAAACCGGCAATTGTATTGTCAGGGATATGTATCCTGAAATCAGAAGATATGGACCTCCTAGCGTACGCCTCCCCCCACTGTCTTCTCCGCCCATATTACGGTATACAGTACAGTGCGGTGCGGTGCATCTGGCACAGTTAGGAAACCCCCGAGGTGCCAGTGCAGATCGCAAACCCCGAACCAATTATTGCTATTTTGTATGTACACACGATTTCCTTGTTGCAACAGATCTGCTTTGCATCATTACCACATCATATCTATTTTTGTGCGATACATTGTAAACGTCAACGATGACATTCTGCAAAACCTCAAAGACGTGTGAGCTCCGATTCATAGATCATATCCGGCTGCAAGAAGACCCTGGGCCAACCCAATCCTAACGCATAGAGTAAGTACCGAGACCCTCACGCAACAGCCAAGCCCGCGGTGATCCATGGCTATCTTCCCGACGATCGCATCATCAATGTCGGTTCGAAAGTGGCCAAAAGTGAAAAGACAAAGAAAAAGATCGATCGTAGATCGGAGATTGAATGCTGACAATGACCTACTTATGCAATTTCAAAATTGAAAATCCAATGTTGAGAATTCTTTGTTCGTGGTGTGACTATAAACCGTGGGTGTTGATAGGTGAATATGCCCACATACTTAATCTGCTTGTAGCAGCCGGTTCTTGAGCCGCCAATAAGGGAGAGCAGCGGAATATGCACGGCCACAACAATGCTCCAATCCATGGATAGAAACACACCTTTCGAGCCACGAATTACATGTCACTCGGAAGGTGACAAATATTGTTGCCTGTGGATTTTATTTTATTTTTTATTTTCACTGATTGCTCCATTCAGTATGCGCGTGCTGTGACTTTTTATGGGTATGAAGTGGAACGACACATTGAGTGTGCCATATACTCGTAGAAAGTTTCCGGGGCAAGCCACGGTGGCTAATGACTGCAATTTCTATTTTCAACTTCCGAGTTTTCCAAATTTCCAGTCTTAAATCTCGGGTGTGGGTTGAGTGTGGGTTCTAATTTTTTTTTCTGCGGGGATGATGTTGATTCAGCTTGACACGAACTGTTGATTTATTCAACTGCCTAAACTATGAAAATTCTCCGCATGTATACTCTACGGTAGGGCTGTAGGTACATAGTTCCCCAAGCTGTGTCAACCCGTTTTTACCATTCAAAGTGTGGCGTGTGGGGGAAACCCGAACCCGAAGACTCGGTAACACCGTCGTTATCGATAGGCGGAAGCACTCCGGCTGGTCCAGTGGGTTTATTTTTGAAGATCATCGAGTTTCCTCATGGTTGGATGGAGAAATCGAGTCGATATTGTTTAATATTTTCGTGGGAATGATGAAACTTTTTTTTTGAGAGAAGATTGTGTGGCCCTTGTCCGATATGGTGCTAATCGAATTGAATCGAAGATCGAAGGATAATTTCTGTATACTAATTTTACTAAGAGTTTCCGGAGAAATGATTCAGTCCAATGATCGACGCCATAGCGGAAGGCGAATTCTTACTGTCATGTTACATGGTAAGTTACGGAGAGGTCATGATTTTCTCTGTAATTGGTTTAGATTGGTACGCTAGAGGGAGTGGGAGAGAGGAGATGTATGGAGAACGTAATCCATTATTCATTATTCAAATTTATTCAATTTTGTATGTGTATTACACTTATTATTATTATTATTTCTTTTTCCATTCCCCTTCCAGTCTCCATAATAATTCGTTCTCCCGCGTTCCTCCCCCTGGTACCAATCATTTCCATTCCATAACTGAGAGAAAAAGCGATAAAAAAGCGAAAATTAATTCTAATGGAGAAAACGAGAGCGAGAAATTCCATTTTTGAATTTTTGAATTTTTGAATTTTTAAAAAATAATAATCATAAATAAAATTAAATTAAAATAAAATAAAAATAAAAAATAAGAAATAAGAAATAAGAAATAAAATAAAAATTACTCGAACGAGCTAAAGCTCTTCCCCTGCACTGAGAGTCTCCTCTTATCACCGTGTGGCAATACAGTCTTTCTCATCTTTACTTTGTACTTCCGAAAGCTTCACCCCTCCATCCCCTCGTGTGAACGGTGTGGCTCAGTTGAAACCCTCTCGCTCTGTTGTTCATTATTGGAGGCTCCATGGACCGTACCGTTTTTCTTTCCTTCTCCTAGTCCGATCTTAATACACCCACACCCCTCCTTCTCACCCCTCGCCTTCAAGTCGGTTTTCCCTTTCGCAACTTTCCTGAATAAATAAGGGGCCTACTCGCAACTCACCATTTCGACTTGATTCCTTTCTTCCCCTTTGGCTTCGCGCTTATCCAGTTCTACCATAACTGGTACCATTAAACAATTTTTTACTAAACGAATCACAACATCGAACACTTGATCGAGAGACCCGCAGTCCCGTCTGTCCCAAAACTCCGCCTTTTTTTTCCCGGAGTCTCGCATAGACCTAAATATCTGGCGCATCCCCTCTCAACAACTTCGCACACTCTCCTTTTCCGATCCTACTCGCCCACTGTGCAAAGCTCCCCTGTTTGATTCCCCTCGACTCGACACCTTTCTCAAATTCGACCTCATTGAGTCTTCCGTCGATTCCGATTTCTGGGAGATCGTCCCGCTGGTCGAACCATATCGATTGAGCACCCGACTTGCCTGTATTCCCATTGGACTCCACCATACTTCAAAAGGAGTCACGACAACGCACCATTTTTTTCTCTCTCTTTCCCCTCTGGGAGGATCCGATTGAAATTTACGTGTGATTCAGATGTCGCATAACGGTCTACGACTCTTCCTTTTCTCTTTTTAAACCTACTATCTGGTGTCAAAAACTGCCAGCGAATTTACCCCCAATGTTTCGAAACCGGTGAGTATCTCCATATCTGATATACTCCTTTAGCTTCTCGTTTCAGCGGAGAGAGAGAAGCGAATGTTGAAAAATACAAAACTAGCCAGAAAATAAGAGGCACATCTATGCACTGAACAGCAGCTAATCAATTCTACATTTTAACAGAAACAATACTCAGAAGCCTGATGATGACTTCATCAGTCGCTTCCAGCAAACTTTCTCCCAGGTTGTTCCCCGACGTGATAGTGAAGATTCAGGCCACGACGAGCATTTCAACGCAGGTTCAGGCGATCCTATGATGACGGGAAGGTATGCAGATTCAGGTCCAGGAGAATGGAGATCGGAGACTGATTTGGTGGATGGTGATTTTAGGCAAACAATGCAAAGCCACGACATAAAATTGGAAGACCACAACCTGAAATTTCCCAATGAACGAACACCTCGCAATCTCCATGACCTCAACTTCTCGCCCTCGTGGATGGACCCAGGCTCTATACAGATGATGGCCCTTGGCCCTCAACATCCCGGTTTCTATACCCCAAACTCCGGCGGAATGGGCGCCGTATTTCACAACCAGGCAGGCGATCTGCATACACCAACTATCGGTTTACACAACATGACTCCGCTCTCTCTCACGAATTCAATCTCAGTACCTCCACAGCAACACCCCGGAATGGAACATTTCAACCCGCATTATCTCGGCCAGCAGATGCCCGATATGAACTCCTACATGCAACAGCCCTCGTTCGCGCCTAGCGAATTCATGCAGCGTGATGCGCGCTATGACGTGATGGATGAATCGGTTGATGATGCGTCTGTCAATAGCATGCCATTGGATCAAGTATCAAATATATCCGCTATGACATCCTCAACGGACTTTTCTGCTCCTGCTGCCCCTGCTCCGGTGGGGGTGTCATATGCCGGTGAAAAGTGAGTGAAATCGCCTTTTGCCCTCGCGGCAGGGCTTCCCCTCCCCCTTTTCATATTCCGTGCTTTCTACTAGGTCAGTTTGCTAACTGTGATCTTAGCTTTCGTTATAATATTTCTTTGCGTGCTCCGACTGCTATGGTCAAGCACAACAGAGAAGTCCCTGTGTCTTATCTCAATAAGGGCCAAGCGTATAATTTAACGGTTTTGGATTCGAGTCCGCCAATTACTAGCACCGAGCCATTACGATACCGAACTTTCATCCGTGTTTCTTTTGAAGAAGAAGAGCAACGATTGAAGCCAGCCGCCTGCTGGCAATTATGGAAGGAAGGTCGAGGCACATCAGAAGCGCATCAGCGTGGTGGCAAACTGCTTGCTGTTGAGTATGCCAATTCCCAGCAAGGAGGCGAGGACGACAAACATCGCCAAATTCAAATCGAACAAATGTCTTTTGATGGATTCTGTGTTACATGGACTGCCAATCCGGCCACTGGAAACTCTGACTGCAGCATCCCCGTGAGGTTCAACTTTTTGTCTACCGATTTCAGCCACTCTAAAGGAGTCAAGGGTATTCCTGTACGGCTTTGTGCGAAGACCGAGCTTCTCTCCCCAGGGGAGGAATCCGGTGCATCTCGCGACTCAGAGGTCTGCTACTGCAAGGTCAAGCTTTTCCGAGACCACGGTGCGGAGCGTAAACTATCCAACGATGTGGCGCACGTTAAAAAGACGATTGATAAACTCAAGCAGCAGATTGCGCAAGCTGAGATGGGTGGTGGATTTGGTAAACGCAAGCGCGGCAGTACTGCCGCGACAAACGTGAAATCCGATCGATCTAAGCCGAAGCATAAGCGCAGCTGGTCAATAGGGTCACAGGATGGTTCAGACAAGCTGTCATTAGAGGACGATTTGCAAGCGAAGCTGGCTATGATGCAAGACATGTTCTCATCGACTCGATCTCTTAGCATCCTTGCCCTCCGTGGTGAAGACCGAGATGATCCCGACCTGTACCCCGTGAGGCTTCCAGCTGAAGGCGAATCGGCCAAATCGGATACCTTGAATCGTCAAAACCCAAGTGCCTCCCAGGCTATGGAATCCTTGATCTTATCGCCTACAAGTAGCAACGCTTCCTTGAATTCGCCACGAATTAGTTCCGCTCAGTTCATGAAGGAGCGAAACTCCACTGCCATTCCACGGGTGGAATCTACAGACCGAGTTTCGCAGGGGTTCATCGAAGCCGTTGATATCGACCCAACGTACCGCCCCCCTGCGGAGCGACCTCCTAAGCCGAGTAAGTTCCCTCTCTCCTATTAAATGCTCCACTTCATTATCAGTTGCTAATTTCCTTTTACAGTTGCATGCTTTTATGTACGCTTCCATGGAGCTGAGCCACATTCACAAGACTACTACCGCGCTATCTACTTGACGGAGCGAACGGTTCGAGACTTGATGAAAAAGATCTCCGAGAAACAACAAATCGACCCATCACGGATTGTTCGCATTCTACATGTCAACGAGGCCGGATTGCGCATCATGGTTGACGATGATGTTGTTCGTGAATTACCCGAAGGCCAAGACATGATCGTTGACATCTATGAATCTGATGATGCCCAATCGCCTAGCCCACCGGTGGAAATTAAATTAACATATTAATACCGCACTTTATTGACGATTCGCTGCGATGAATTCAAGCGCCCTATACCCTTCCAGCTCCGTGCTCGATAGATTGCTCCACATCCACTTCCCATTCTCCGAATGACCGTGCTTTTGGCATCTCCGGTTAATATCATCTCCGACCTCTCTTTCATTTCTATGCTCAAAAATACATGAAGCATATAATGCCTCAGAGTTATCAGCTGCACCTGGCGTGCAAACAGGCTTTCTTTTGCCCATTCCTTCGTTTTTATTTCAACATCCCACGGTCCTCTCTGATCACCGTCATACTATATCAAATCACATCATATCTACTCGATCTTCCTTTCTCACCGTCTGCTTTTCTGCATTGCGTTGGCGGTCACCAATCATTTCACAGGCGTTATTGATTACGGGGATAATACACGAGTCTCCGAGCAATGATACCCTGTTCCACTATGTTTTGACGATTTTTTGTTGTTGTTGTTGTTGTTGTTGTTTTTCATTTATTTTATCACTATGTGATTGATTCTGAGACCGTTGATCCTTTTCCCTACGACGGTATATGAGTCTACGGGCAGATTTGGAGTGAAGTTGTGGAGATATACACATTCTTGCGGTTTTTTTTTACTATTTAGCTGTGCTGGATATTTCTTTTTATTATTTATCTTTTGTTCCTATGATGTTTCTCGTTCACCTGGTCCAGGGACGAAGCACACGAACTTAATACCCCGTTCCATTTTCCGAGGCCTGCGCTTGTTGACTATGATGTGCTCTGCTCTGCTTTGCATTTTTTGGCTCGTTGAGCGTTCGGTTTCCTGAGTTACATCTCTTTTTTTGGGCGCATGTATACGGACGTTGGATCTGTTGGTACAGAACAGATAGTCACTAGGGGACGGGGTATAAATCAACATATTCGATTTATAGGTAAAGAATACGATTACCTAGTTCATCTATTATAAGTTCATCTATAAGTTCATCTATAAGTTCATCTATAAGTTCATCCTTTACATGCATAAAACAATATTCACTACCTACTCGGCCTATGAATGTACCTCAAACTCCGAATGTTTTCATATCCTCGCATACAAGATCCGAAAAAGGGGGATACGATAATGAGCACCCTGGCACTGGGCAGAGAATCAAATACGTAACATCGAAAATAAAATTCTTTCCAGTGGATACAACACGCACTCCTCAATGATCCTACACTTTACAGGTCTAATAGGAAATACCCCCGTTTGGCCACACGATCCCCATCCACGGACCAAAACGCCTCAACAACACACCAAACGCCAGAAGGGAAGAACTTTTAATTTTAACCTCCCGCCTCCCCCACCCTCGGGGCCGGTCCCAGCAACCAGGTAGCACCATCAGGGAGGTTCCATGTCTAACCATGGGCTTCATTTCACCCGCCCATGGACTTTATCTGGTCGAACCTATGAAGTGAACGTTCAAAGTGGATGAAATGAATAGAGGATGAAAAGATATCGTGATTTAATTGGCGGGCTAAACAGCCATTGTCTCTCAGCCAACAAATCCAAACCCCGGCTTCGCTCGGGGATAAGCAGTCCATTCCGTCTTCATCGGGTAGAAATGTTTGACCCGTGGAATGCTGAACTTCCATTTTGGGCTTTGGGCTTTGAGGCGTTTGGGATGTCGCGACGAACCGCAAAATTCTAATTTGATTTGCGTACTTTTGTAACTCATGACGTGGGTGGTCTTCTTTTCTACTTTTTATTCGCCTTATAGAATATCGATGACTATATCTTCATTCTGAAATATTTCATGATCTCCGCGGGAAAACTTTTCCATCTGCATCCCATTTGGTTCATTGCAACCGTTGGTTTTTCATAGATGTCATGTTGTCTCCTGATCTCTTCGTATGTAGTATGAAATCATGAGATCCCTTCTCTTTTTTTTGGTTGGCTCTCCGGCATCTTTTACCGCGAGAGTACTACATCGTAAGGCTTTGCTCGCCAATGAATGTGGCGTCCTGGCGTTCTGAGATGGCTGGGCTGGATCTGAATTATGACGCATCTATTTTCTGTGATAGTTGAACGGCGTCGTCGGCAAACATTAAAATGTGGTGGCTAGAGGCGACGCAACTGACTAGACCCTAATAGCAATTATTGATAGAGTTCTAACGCAATTAAGCTTGATGGTATGATTGTATATGGCATGAGAGTTATTACCGTATATATTCAAAATTTCCATACAAACTAATCTTGTCAAGACCCAAATTGTCGGTAGCTAGACGGCGCCCGTTATTTTCGCTACCTAAGCCTCATGAATATCGTATCGCGTATATACCCGATACTGAATGTGAATGTGAAACCATCTAACGAACTAGTCTCTTCTCAAATATCCACTAATAATGCCAGGAAGGCTTCTCAAGAATAAAGAAAACTCTGCGCGTGGATGACCCCTATTCTCAATCTCCACAATGTGTAGCGCAATATTGAATATACACTCACACTGGCGGAAGAGATACCGAACCGTTCATGACGTCAGGTCTCTAGCTAAATACAGTACACAGTAGGGTACAGTACTGTAGCCATCCGGAGCGCAAACTCCAGGGCTAAGCAATCTACACTTGTCCCCGCCATTTCATCCCGCTTCAGCTAGGTCCGGAGCACCGATTGGTTCCTGTCGATCTCCCCCTGTCAGTTATATTAATTAATGTTTATATTAATATTGGACTTTTGCAAACCCTTCCCTCTAGCTTATTCCACTCGTGGATCAATCAGATCTGTCAGGATCCATAACCATGCACACTCGTGCATCTAGTACATGAACGCTTAGAACACGCTTGGACCTCAACTAAAAATTCTACATCTTCATCTCATAATATCAAAACAGATAATAAGTATATACCATTTCCCAACATGATTGACTATAAGCACTAGCACACCGACAAATTCCCTTCCACAGAAAAGAAGCGCCATGTAAACGCGAGGTAAACGCCATGACATCACTTCTTCCCGTGCCTTGGAAGCGGAGCCCTAACGCTGCCAGCACACCCCACTTAATTCTTGTCGTATACGATTCCCTCGCGCCGGCGGCTCCTCCCGGTACATAAAGCGACTCGCCCAATAAGGAAGACTAAGGCTATCGGTTTCTGTCACGTTCGTAACTCAATACTTACCGTACGGCTTTCTTAGCCGTCTTTTTGGGCCAATCCTGCCAAGCTAGGGCCCCGTTGAGGCTTTTAGGCGTACACTATTGTGGGATTGTTGTGCTACGCGTGGCTTTTTTTTTCTTTCCTTCTCTCTCTTTTTTTTTTTTTTTTTTGTCCGCTTTAACCGTTTCTCCCGGTGATTGGCGTTTGGATCTGTAGTTTTATTGGCTATATTCTGTGAATGCAATCTTCGCGAGTCTATTTTGCTTTTTAAGGCTTTTCTTAAGGTTCCGAGGCTTGGGTTATGTATTTTGGTTCTTTGGCGTATGATGTATCCACTATGCGGATGGGAATTATAGTTCATTGTTGAATGAATCATTTACGCTTATTTCTTTGTGGATTTGTTTAGGTACATTATTCATGCGAGTTAGGGCATTGAGGTACTTGTGTAGAGGTTTGAGTAGACGCGTGCTTTACTGCTAGCTTCACGAGTTCGGGTTGATGTTTGAGTTGGGAAAGTTCAATTTAGAGCAAGCTTGGGTAGAATATTATTTCGAAAACAAACTCTAGCTGCGTAGTAGCTCTTCGCTTAAGAATAGCTCTACGGAGTACATACAAGCATTTTGTCTCTAGTCGGTGGGTCGCACTGATGTCTATCGATAATGAGCTGGCCAATAGAATGGCACTTTTTCAACGACATTCTATATTTTCATTCCTTGTCCTCAGGTTAAGTAGATATAAAAGCTTGCGGTATGCACAAAAGATCTAGTATCAGATTCTTCAGTGCGAGTTCCAGTGCTTGTTACATGTTGGCTAGATGAAGTTTTGCAGTTCTAAATTTCCTTCTGGCAGTTTGTTTATCCCTCATGCATTTGTAAGGCAAGGGATTGTATATCTGATCTACGAGAATAGAAAACTACAAGTTAAATCAACGAAATACTGTTTAATGAGAAAATCGGTTCCTCTCATGGTAGTAAATAGTACTGTCATATCGTACTGCAATCCTGTAATACAAGTCTAGACACCAGGTAGCCCAAAAAGTAAATATTGTTGCCCAGGTGTCTGTATATCATTTGCACGAAATATATTTGACTTTAATGAACTTGAATTGCATTCATCTATCAGAACCAACACAATACTCCTGGTAATCTTCCCACTAAGCCTTTGTCCGCTGAGTTTTGCCAAACTTCCAATTGAATCACCGTTCAATATGTTCTGTCAATGATGTGGGCTCCTCGAGGGCATACACAGGGACCAACCTGGAGATTCTGTACAATCGGGTTTAGCTTCATTCCCTATAGTTTGAGTGACAAGACATGACCAGTCTGAGGCTCTCTGCACGTGGTCGTGCCTTCCTTATTTTCTCATTGTGCGTTTGGGCAGGTGAATTCCTAAATGGGTAGGCGACGCTGTTGCCCCCCTTCTCTCACTTACCCTCTGCCCCTCTTTCTTCTTCTTCTTCTTCTTCTTCTTCTTCTTCTTCTTCTTCTTCTTCCTCTTGTCCCTATTCTTCTTCACTCCCCATCTTCGCTCTCCCACTTCCATCCACCTCCTTTCGTTCGTTTCCAACGCTCGTTTCAACCTTTTCTCTTCCAGTCTTTCGTTAAGCAGCTTTTTCTTTCTCAAGATGTCTACCCTCATGATGAATATGGTCTTGCTGATCACTTGGCTCATGGCGATGATCACTCAGGGCATCGCAACCAGTACGTACCGCCTCACTTCACATCTTGTGACGCGTCTTTACGTGTCTTCCACCATGAACCTCCTCAACTTACGTGTATAAACAGACCTGGATGCCTTTGAAGGGCGTCACTATCGGGTCGGCTCTGTCAATGACCACTTTATTCTCAATCGTCGTGCCCGTAAGACTTTTCTGCTGATCTGATCTCACTTTGTCTATCGTGACTCACAACTTCTTACAGTCGCTCATGTTGTCGACACCACTACCCCCGTTCCCACTGCGACTGACTCTACCAGCGGTAAGTTTTCACATCATATGCTTCGGGTTGGGTTTCATTTAGCATACTGACTTTTTTTCAGCTGAGGTTGGTGCTTCGGCTACTTTTGGCGCTGTTCGATCATTTGTTGGTATTTGTGCTAACTCCTCTCAGTCTGGCGTAGCTGCCACTGCTTCTACCAGTGAGACTTTAGGAACCTCCACTGTTGTAGTTAACATTTCAACTATCGAGGCTACACCCACTTCCGCCGGTGAAACCGCTGTTACCTCTCCCAAGGATTCTGCAGTCACCCCCAAGACTACTGTGGCTACTCGAACTGTGACTGTTCCATGTGGACAGACCATGTGCACTGAAGTGACCACTGTTACCGAGGCCTGTTCTTCAACCACTAGAGTTAACCCCACTAGTAATGTCGTTGTTACCCCCAGCGCACCCGCAGCTACTCCCGAGACCACCGTTGTAACTCGAACTGTTCCATGTGGACATAGCACCTGCACTGAAGTGGCTACTGTTACCAATCCCCTTGCTCCAGTCGTGACTGCTTCAACCGAGCCCGTGGGCACCCCTCAAACTGCCGTCGTCACTCGAACCTTCTCATGTGGACAAAGCACCTGCACCGAGCTGACCACTGTCACCAAGCCCGCTTATCCGGCTACCCAGTCTCCTAATGGTGGTTCAACTACCCAGGGTGCTCCTGCACCAGGTTTTCAGACCACTCTGTCTACCGTTGGCACTAACGGCCAACCTGGACATCCTGCGACAAACTCTGGTACGACTCGTGGTCCCAAAGCCAGCACCACCCCGGTTGCCCATTTCAACGATGCTACCAAGTACTCGGTTGGGGCTTTGCACGGTGCTGCTGCTGCCTTCGTGGCCATGATCTTGGCAGACGCTCTGTGAGCTCGATAATTCTTCTTCCCGTGGATGAACTCCATGGTGTCCAGTCACGCATTGTGGGATTTGATTTTATGATTATGAAAGTTATGCGTGAGGATTGATTTTTATGGGTTTCATCTCGGTGTTAGCCCTTGCTACTTTTAATATGTTCATGTATCCATGACTACTTATGACCTTACGTCCAGATAGCGTATGAGCACACCCAATTGAATTGATGAAATTAATACCAGAACCACATTTCTTTAGAGTAGAATACGTAACTAGCCATACTGCAATGTTCTTATCTACAAAAAGGAGGTTTCCTGATCTGCTGGTGCCTTGTCACATTACCCATTGCTCCAGGCCATTTCTAACGGCTTTTAATTGGAGCATATCACCACTGGCACGGTTTGCGACAGTCCAAATTCCGAATTGATGACTTCCTCAAAATCAGGAATTGCCCGAGGACTCATCAAGCTCCGTGTACTGATACTCGTACTCGCAACTAAAGCTTCCTCCTCCCCTTTCCAACTCCTCTCCAGCACAAGTGACATCTTCCATACCTGAAAAATGCCTCCAAGCTGCACTCTTGAAGCGGAGACAGAAGTGGAATAGGGGAAGGACTCGAAGGAGACCGTAAAAATCGGGACTTAGATCGCAGGTCAACCCGTGGCAAGCCTTGACTGCATAAACACGTTTGTCTGGACTTAAAATCAATGTTCTGCGCAAGCTTCGAGCATATTCCCTTCGTTCCTCCTCCAGAAAACTCCAAACAGCGCTGACTAATAACGGCAAATGTCGCGGTTCTGGTCGTGTCATGGATTATATCGAACCGTCGGTTGTACTTCGCCGATAGTATGTGGTGGTTTGTTGGCACGTCAACAAATGGCCAGTATGCCTCGAGGTTTCCTGTCTGGTTGATCCCAGTATGTCGAAGGGCGAGAATAGATTCAACTAGCATTTGAGGTGCTTCATCTTCGGTCATCTGTTGGTCGATTGACGGCTTGGAATTCAGAAATCTGGGCTTCGCAAGTTGAGTCCAGCATGATTGAATGCAAACCAGATCGCCGACTGCATGTTTACATTTGAGATTTGGTGGGAGCCCCCTATCTGTACGTGATAAACGCAGGGCATCCCAAAGAGTGATTTTCTGGGCATTGCCTGTACACGCACTGATTTCCAGTCCGATGCGGAGCTTGAGAATCCCTAGGAACTTCCTATAATCGATAGTCTTGCTCGTGGATCCTGATCTGATTGTTTCTTTCATTGACTTCATCGGATATCGCTTGTGTAGCCATGTCACATTGGCTACTGGGCCATGTTGACTCTGGAACCCGACTTGGAATTCTCGGTCCTCAAATGAAAAGAATTCTTCGCATGCTCCTGGTATCGTATGGTCGTTCGCGACTTGTTTCTGGAATCTCTGGATTGATGATTGACACCTTGAATTGAAGACAAGACCGGCCACACAATCAGTATTTGTGCTAATCAAGATTCGAGATGTGTTACTGAGAAGAACAGGTTCCTCAATTTGGCACGGGGCTTCCAGAATATTACTCCAATGACATTCGACATCAATAGGAAGAGAATATGCTTTTTCTTTACCCTTGCCTTTCTTCTCGGACTGAAGAGGAACAATGTATCCTCTTTCCGTGCGTATAACTTTCCCTTCTTTGGGTGGTTGGCCCACCAGCCATGCTGGACCCCAGATCTCTTGAATATCCTGTACCAGCATAGAAAGTTTCAGCCGCTTTTGCTCAAGACGAGCTCCAGAGACTCCAAGAACCCAGACCGGACCTCAGATAAAGCCTTTCAAGCATGCTATTTCAAGAGGTCGAAACGAAAGTCCAGAGCCAACAAGGATCTCGTCCATCTCCTTACCCCACAGGTTTAGATCGGATCGGCATACATGAGAACCGGAGAAAGACAAAAGCCCAATCTTCACAATGGCTGTCAGCTGCTGCTGCATTGAAAATAGAATCAGTTCATTGGCATTGCTTGCCAAGTCTGACTGAAAGCAGCTCTCTTTCAAAAGTGCAGCTGCTGGTGATGGTGAAAAATGCCCTGATGTCCAATCAATATCTTCCAGTGACAGGCGAATAACATGGGCAACATCTGGTACACGTTTGTCTTCCATCACGATTGCTAGAAAAAATGGATGGTTCAAAGTTCGATGGTGTATCATACGCAAGTGAATGCGTTGGTACAGAATACGACGCCCATTCAAGTGATGTAGACATGGGCTGTGGCAAATCTAGAGAGGAAGTATCATGATACGGGGAGGTTTCATCAAGTGGCTCCAACTGCGCATCAAACCCTGAAAACTGCGTGGGAATTTCCGAGTCGTTGGATGAAACTTTCGGCATTAAAGAATACTCCATGAGGAAATCCTCGATTTCAAAAGCTGCGGACTGTGATGCCATTTTGGAAAGTGAGGTTTGAAATGGGTAATATAATAAAGAACACTCATGATCAAAAAATAAGAAGAACCGATGCTGTTATATTATCAGCAGGGCCGTATACGCCAGAAGGGAAACATTCGAGTCTGATAGACTGCCCATGTGGTTTGTTGCCCGGCGGTGCACACAGCCCGGGTAATAGGACGGGACAAGGGTGTAAATTTAATGTACGTGCGCGACTCAGATTGGTTGATGACATGTGATATCAGCACCTCCTATGCATATCCGTCGCTCTTTTGTTATTAGGCTGTGTTGATAGCCACTCATATCACTTAATGGGCAAAAATCCTGGCTGAGAAGGAAAGGCAAACCAGTGTGGCTGAGACCCGATGAGCCTCCTACTCGAGCCTGCAGAAAATCCATGGCAATCGCTAAGGGTCCAGCTGACCGCATGAAGCACTTCTTTTTATATATATAAATAAGGGAAATATTGTCTTGTTAACGATGCCGCTCTGCGCTGATGATTTATCTATCTGGAATTATTATATGGTAATGGCCGTTCTCTTTCCCATATATTCAGTTGTAAGGAGCACAACAGTGGTTTTGCATACTCAAAAATCCAAGACATGCATTATTCTAACACTAAGTAACAGTTCGTAATGCACAGACACAGTCATCTGAAAAATATGGATGGGTATCTCAAAGAAAACAATGGATATACATGGGGACTTGAGGTGGAGGCATAGAAGCGTATGGACAAGTGAAGTGGATAGATAGGTGAACAACTTTACCAAATGAGTGCCTTCAGGAATCAGTATGTCACAATTCCCCTTCGTTACCCATAGACTCGATTTTTCTTGTTAATGCGCAAATACGGCATCCATCTCCAACCTTGTCCCGTAATAGGCGGGCCGTTGTAACCTTTGGACCCACAGTTCTAGAAGCCGTTGATGAGAAAGGCTCATCTGCTGGAGACGAGGGGCGGGGTGTACGATCCACTGGAGTGACTGTACTAGATTCCTGTCGTGACCCTTCCTCGTGCAAGTGGGATAGGTGGAAAACATGCCCACATGCAAAACCAACAAGAATTTCTCGTTCGTTCGGCTTGAAAAGAGCGTGACACCCACCGCATCTACCTGGTCCAACACCAGCACGTTTGGTAGAGTTACTGGATATCGATTCAGTATCCGGGTTGGGGCTCTTCAATGTCGGTGTCAAGTCTGGATCCTTCTCCTTTGTACTGTCCTCAGATATGTTGAATTTGATACCACGACGTTGACCCTTGCGTAATGCATCCATCCCCAGTGAAACCTCACCCTGCATGACACGTGCAGCTCCTTTGCTTATGCTTGCTTGAAGATCATGCTCGCGGATCAATCGGGTAAGACCATCTCGTAGACCTTCAATCTCGAGGCCGCTCGGGATCCGACGCACGAGTTTGATTGGATCGATTGATGTTCCAGCCTCAACAAGAAGTCCGTGGATAAACTTGGGTTTGTCCATGGAGTAGTCGAGAAGGTCCTCCCAAAGGTCGGGGTCATCTTGCGACTTCGCAAAAGAGATAGCTTGAGAGACGTCCTTCAGATCTGACAATATCAGATTCAGGGCTCGTTTGGTCTGGCCCATCTTGGATAACAAGAAAATCAATTCCGGGATAAAGTGACGTTGTTCACATATTGTCGTTGCCGTTTCAAATGTATACGAAATACTCGTTTGAAGAAATTCCATCAACAATGGTCGATCGTAGTCAGCAAATACCTCAACGGCAGTGTCAGCAAACCTATCGATCAGCGCTTTGCCTTCATCTGCAGCTAACTTGCTAGCTGCATCTCGAGCATGAGCTCCGCGGCCCCTTTGAGGTTTCGAAGTGTCCTGTGGAAGAAACTCGCCGCGCCATAGCGCCCGAAGGTAGAAATAGACGAAAAGAATACGGTTTGCGGTATTCAGTTGCTGGACCACGGTTTCGGGGAGTACAATACCCGTATAGGCTTCCCTCGCAAGCAGCTGAATAGGTTCCGCGGCCAGTTCTTCCAATTCTGATTTCGGGGCTGATTTCATTTGTTTTTTGGAGATGCGAATCATGATAAATGCCGGAATGTTATCAGACACTGCGTCGACCAAGTGATGTTCTTTAATCAGCGACATGGCTGCATCAGCATCTTGTAATTGAATATAGCGATGCAAGGCCTCGCGATAATGGCCTCCGACAAGAAATAGTTTCGCAAGAGATTCTGTCAGAATTTTCCACTCCTCAGAGTCTGAGTCGCCATTTGAGTTGGACTTGAGCTGGTCTTCGATAGCCAATGTCATAGTGTTTGTATCAAATAGGTCAGATGGCCATCTCTCAATTAGAGTTTTGAATTGTGTTAGATCTCGAGAGATGTAGTAGCAGAGAATCGCTTCAAATATCTCAGCAGGTAGAGCTGGATGTAGATCCGTAGGGACGTTGGGCGTGATTTCGTCCACTTTCTCTTTTTTAATGAACTGCCACGCCCAGTGCTCCCATCTGGATCCAGTGTCGAGAACCTTGCTACAAACCGCAGCGGCCTCGTTCCACCGTTCCTCCTGGATAAGCTGCTCAATCCAAAGTTCGCCAAGCCGAACCTTTTCTTGATCCACAGCAGAGACCTGATCCCGACCAGCAGTCATGGCCGAGGATCGGTCATCCGCAAAAAAATCTCCTAGGCTTGACTGGGACCCGAGAGACCCTGAGATAACCTCTTTCAAGTCCAGAGCCGAGCCTGCAGCCTCGGGATTTTCGTTAAGCAGATTCCATGCTTGTTCATATTCACCACGGGAGTCTAGCCAAGTCAATCGGTCAGAGAGATCCCTCTTGACAGCAACGACTGAGTCGTATGGGCTGTGGATGAATATTTTTGCGCCTGGAGCTGTAGCGACATCTTGTATCTCCTTGGGAAGCGGTTCATCGGCGGAGACTTGTCGAGAGCTAAAAGATGGCGGAACTCTTGCAGAAATCCTATCTCCACTGCCTGTGCTTGTGGTGCTACGAATGCTAGCACCAGAGCTAAATAACCGCGCAGAGTACATCGTAGCATCCAGAAGGCCATGACCTAGAGTACCCAAAGCGCCACGCTGGACTATCTGCCCCTCTGGAGTTTTCCATGGGGGTAAAACACTGAGGTGATAGTCCATGGAAGTCAGCCCCTCAAAACGATTGACGGTCAGCGTGTCCGCACTAAGCTCTTCCTTGGTTTCTATGTCGATAAGACGCAATTCAGGCTCTTGGCCTCGTTGGCGATGCCGATGGTCTGTATTCTCTTGATCGTTCTCTGCCTCGATATATGCGAGAACAACAAGAAGACGAGGGGTATATAAGGAAATACCGGATATTACACAATCGGTCCGTAGGCTATTTTGACCCTATTAGTATTCAAGCCCGTGACGAGTCACCTTTGCAACTTACATCGTCGAGACCTCTGCAGAGCCATATTTCTCCCCTTTAGAGTGTTTGCTTGCTCGGTTTGGGTACACATCAATGACCCAAACCGTGCCTCCCCATCCCACAACAAGCTTCTCGATATTCTGGGGGGTTCCTGGAGACACCCTCTTTGATTGTCCCGTATCCGTGTGTGAATCAGGGTTGTCATGGTCATCTAACGCTGACTGGTCAATCCATTCAGCGCGCGCCTTCCATACGCTTGCCATTTCCTCCCAGCCCGGTCCATTTGGCCGATCAATGTGGCTGATTCGCTTCCAGGCAAACTCCAACTCGGACGATTCCAGGTGTAGATTAGAACGCATGATTTTAATGCCTTCTTCATTAACCCAGACCACATATTTTCCTGTCAGGGACCACCTAACCGTACTGATAGTGCCTTCTCCACTGTGCAATATTGTGTCTTTTCCACCGTTGCCGCCTATTCCCATCGTGCCTAGCCAGCTTGATGCCGCTGCAGTGGCTCCGCCCATTGTAGTAGCATTAGAGCTGACTCCAATACGACCTCCCGTAGTTAGGATCAGCTCCCCAGCACGTCCACCGGAAATAAAGGTCCTATCATTCTTATAGTCTGGGGAAAGTGCGACTGCTTGTATAGGCCGACCAAAGTTGCGCTTGAGGATGTCCTTCGGGTCCACCAACGAGCTGATACATACATTTCCATCGATCGATGCTGATGCAATATAGATTGAATTTGAAGGTATGGCTGGGATAGGTGGTTGACCTCCCCTGGGCAGGCCTCGAATGCTGCCCGAGCTGGTGGAAGTGCGGGTAGGAGGACGGGAATCCTCTGCCGCCTGTTTGGCAGCAGCATCGAATTTTGCATTTTGCAGTGGAGGTGGGAATGGTGATATAGATATAGAAGTCACGCTTGCTGAATGGGCATTGTATGTACGGAGAGGTTGCAGAAGGGGTAACGAGAGAACATGCTGCTAGATATTAGCCGTATATTCAAAGCTATGATGCATTCGACCGATCACCTACAATAGAGCCGTTATGCGTTCCCATAATCTAATTCAAATAGTTAGTATTGCCTCTTTCGAAAGAACAGCAACAAGAACCACCTACCATTTTGTCCCCCGCAACAAGGAATGTGCTGGTCGCGTCTCCCTTACGATATACTGATCCGAGCTGTTTGGTGAGATATGCGTATTTGAGGCGTGGCTCTTCATCTTCCTCGTCCTCATCGAATTCTTCCTCGTTTTCATCGTCTTCCTCCTCTCCACTAATGCTGTCTTGGGAATCATCATCGCTGCCCTGATGACGTCGATTGTGCTCGTCTGTATTCGTATCGGAAGGCGACCGACTGCGCGTAGGTGTTTCACTGCTCGAGAGGCCCTTATCGGTGCCCTCATTTGCCTTTGTTGGGCCAGGCGCTTCCATGGCTCGTCCCTCGTAGCGCCTGGAGCTCCCAAGCGGGTTTAAATTGAGATGCGACAAGCAACGGTACCTGGGTTGTTGCAGCTTGGGAGCTGGGGTCGGGCTTGCTCCACATCATGACTAAGCGGAGGGGAGGTCGGCCCTGCAGACATGATGTCGTTCCTGAACATTTTCGTTTGACTGCATTTACTACTCCCCTGTAAGTTGGGGCTGCCAAAGATGTTTGCGAGGGCCTCAATTTGCTCGACATGCAAGCGGCCAATGCCATTGCGATTATGGAGACAGCCACAAAATCAATATTTACACGCATCGCCAGCATTGCAGCTTCCACGACGAAAGGATTTCTTCTCGTCCAATGCACACCTAGCGCAAAAGCTGTCCAGCAAAGATGATGGAAACGAAAATGCAGAGTCTCAAAAACAACGCAGACGTGGTGTACGATTGCCAGCGGTATCAACGTCTCTACGGCGAGTGGCAGTAGAGGCCCAGAGATCCAGAGATGGATTTCTCTCGAAAAGCCAACTCAAGGAGCAGGGGATTTACCAAACGAAGGTAATTTGATTTCCTTGGTATTTTATGTCACTGCTAACTTACAACGTGTATAGACGATCACTGCTTACGCTGTTGCCGAGACGTTCGACATTCGCAAAGTTAGAGACATTTTACAAGAAAAAGGATATGAGCCGGATCCATTAAACACAGGACTCTTCCCACAAGTCGTTCACGTTCAAATTCCCATCGATTCAATACGCCGCGTTTCAAACCCATCCACAACAGATCTATCCTCTAGTGAAGTTGGCGATATATTCGTTTTTCCTTCCGGTACAGTGGTGGCTTGGGCACTTCCGGATGGATTTACATCATTTTTGGCGACAAGGAGCCTATTACCCGCAGCTCAAGGGGCTCACGTAGATGAGCTAGAGACAGAAGATCTTGAATTTGTCGAAGATCCGATGCGAGAGAATAGCAGCATCAAAGGCGATACCATTATTCTGGGGACAAAATCTGGGAATGAAGGAGCGGAAGTAACGATGGCTCAACAGCAATCTATTGATACTGTCTTGACTAAAGTTGCATTCTCATCCGGCTTGGCTCGGAGTACAAAGCTTGCTGTCCTTGAGAGTCTTCTGTCGAACTATTTTGAATCTACCCGGACTATCCCCACCCTCCTGTCGAAAGGCTCTCGTTTGCCATATACACGAGACTTCATGCTCCGGAAGACCGGACAATTATTGAGCGTTCGCGCGCAGCTTAACCTCTATTCAGAACTCACCGATTCATTGCCGGACATTTTCTGGGATAGTCGGCACGAGCTTGGATTGGAAGGATACTATGAACAAGTCGGTCGAGCCCTCGATGTGGGGATCCGTATCAAACTTTTGAATGAGAAAATGGACTACGCGCAAGAAATTGCCAGTGTCCTGCGGGAGCGACTTAGTGAAACCCACGGTTTACGGCTTGAGTGGATCATCATCCTCCTGATTGCCGTTGAGGTGGGCTTTGAAGTCCTCCGACTATATGGAGAGAGAATGCCTTCCGAGGAACAGGATAAACCGCGCAAACACGCGGACTCGATCACCTGAGGTTAAGAAATACCCAACAATGTAACATAGATCTCTATTCCAAGCCACTACTATCTAGCCATACATAAATAAGATACCCCTTCACTCTGTCTACCTTTATCGATGACTCGTGATAGCTGACAGCTGATCGGGATCCACTCTTTGATACCTAACATCAGATGATCGACTTAGTCATCCCTGGAGGCGATAAGAACCCCAACCTTTCAGCTCGTAACTCTATTCGTTAACTGTAATCTAGTCAGGTACCTGCATTTATCTGGGTACATATACTTGGTCTTCTTTTCCATCAATCTTTCTAACCTTCGCTGGTCGAGGTTCTTACATCCAAAATCCCTACAATCATGTGGGGTTCATCGCAACAGGTCCTCGGGATCCCGGGGCCCCAGAAGATCCTCAAAACGATAGGCTCTCTCTGGCTGTCCTCGACAATCGATGAACAACGTGCTCCAGGAATTTCTAGCTCTTGTCCTCTATCAGAGGTTAGCTGTCACGCCAAATTTCATGGCCAAGATACGTGTTGTTTCAATTACCCGGGTGGCCAGATGTTGCAAACGCAGTTCTGGGACGCTGACCCCGCCGTTGGACCTGATGACTCCTGGACCATCCACGGTCTATGGTAAGCAAAAGTCTTTATCTGCTGGAGTTCAACACAAGGACTTAATCTTCAATGAATATACATATTAAGTTCTCATAGGCCTGATCATTGCGATGGCGGTTTTGACCAATTCTGTGATTACAAACGGAAATACAGCAACATCTCGCTGATTCTGATCGACGCCGGTCGCGGCGATCTGATTGAATACATGAGCGAATATTGGAAGGACTACAAAGGTGATGACGCTAACCTCTGGGAACATGAGTGGAATAAGCATGGTACTTGTGTCAGCACCCTTGAGCCGCACTGCTACGAGGACTATCTCCCCCAGCAGGATGTGGTTGATTATTTTGATAAAGCCGTTGAGATTTATAAAGAAAGAAACACATATCAGGTTCGTGTTTGTCTTTGTTTGTGTTTTTTGTTTTTGTTTTTGTTTTTTTCAGATCATAGATCCCTATCTTGACTAGACGAGTCTGACTTGAATCAATTTCCTGACTCATTTCTTAGTTCCTGGCCGATGCTGGCATTGTACCATCAAACAGCAAAACATATGCTCGTGCAGATATTGAGGCCGCCTTGACCAAAGGACATGGTGCCCCCGTCACTATCCGCTGCCGCAGAGGCGTTTTCAACGAAATTTGGTACCACTTCAACATTGCCGGAAGCTTGCAGACTGGCAAATTCATCGTGTCTGAGCCAGGTATGCTCATATTTGGTCCAACATTTTCTTTCTCCATTGTTTAGACAATAACCATAATTTTGTTTTAGATGGTCCGAAATCGAACTGTCCTGCCAATGGTCTCCACTACCCGCTCAAGCGGTCCCATAATGACCCACCATCTAGAACCACAACTACACAGGGATCAGAGCCTACGGCGCCAGGAACTCCATTTTCTGGCCGGGGAAATCTGATGGTTTCAACGTTGAACCAAAGACGAGGCTGTATCATTAGTTATGGTACCTGGTTTGCATCTGGAACTTGTGCTACCTTCCGAACGAAAAAGAAATCAGGTTCGTTGGGGAACTCGGGCGATTCAATAAATTAACAGCTTTTCTGACATTCTTCTTAGATGATACGTTTACCCTCAAGTCGAGCAAGGGCCTATGTGGCTTTGAGGAGGGAGCCTTCACCTGCGGCGATGAAGTTGCTACACCAGCCGAATTCAAGGTATGTATTTTTCTTATTCAATTACGTGGATTCGCTTTGATGGAGATCACTTTTTGTTAAAATAATTTTTTCAGGCCAAGGATGATAAGCTCTCGTACAATGATAACACAACTTTCTATGCAGCAAGTGCTCCAAAAGGTCGGACGCAGAGTACTGTTTATTCCGACGAGGATGATCATCCAATTGAAATTGAAATCATCTGGAACGCTTGATTTGCGGTTGATTAACTCATTCGATTGAGTTTTGAGACTGCCAATTACAGAAGTGGCTATGTTTGATTGTTGAAGTTCATAGACAAATCCATATTATATACCAAGACCGCAGCTGCTCTTTCAAGTTTGACTACAACTAACTAGTTACCCGTATTATATTACTACTCTGACCTCTGAGGATTTCTCTATTCCAACCAGAAGAAGCAGTGCCTAGATGTTCATTCCAGGCTCACTGGCCTTTGAAAATTGCTACAAATATATATTGGAAAATATTACAACATGAAGTCGTAGTTTCATATGGAGAAGACACTAATAAACCTAAAGCACAGGCCATCTTCATCAAAGTCCTCACGATATATCCCGAGATGAAAAGATTGGATAGGTAGAGGTAGAGGTAGCTAGCTACAAAATCCCATTTGGAAACTGATCAGGTACATATCAAAAAGGGGGGTGGGGGGTGAATTAAGGGGAATTCGCCAAAGAAATGGAAGCTGAGGGACGCCTGTGGCATCCTGAGGATGGCATAAAAAGCAAACGGAAAACATCAAAACATATCCCATGAAGTTCAATCGAGAGTTTCACCCGTATTGAATAAACCAATTGCAAATATTTGAAGACAAAGAAAGAAAAAGTCATGGAAAACAAGAACATAGGGCACAAAAGCAAATGGCCAAAACACCATTTGTAAATCCCAGAGCCCCCGCAAGAAGCCAAGTCATGTGCGCTAAGAAAGAAGTGAAAACAGATGTCCAGTGAAAAGTGCCAGGTCGATCACGCCGAAATGAAGAAGAAATAGTGAACGCCCGTGTATTTAGTGTCGTGAGAGTATAAAAGATCGTCTCATATCGTTGTCGTGGTGTCATGCCGTGAAAATAAAAGACAGTCTACGCCGTCTATGTCATGCTTTTTGTAGAAGGTACAAGAAAACGCCAGGTGAAAAGTGAAGATATAATCGTGTGTTGGTGGTACAATCAGGTGCTGATGGTCGGTGCTCAAGGGTCAACCAGAAATTCGCTGGAAAGCGAGTCGATTTGGTCACCGTAAGGATCCATTTCAAGAGCGCTCAACCCAGAGATGGTCTTCCCAGGCATGTCGGAGTATAATGAAGACGGGATGCCAAAGTCAGCGGAATCCATATAGGCATAGCTGCTTGGGAGGTTGGAGCTTTGAGATGAAATGAATTCAAATTCCTTGATCTGACCAAATTCTTCTTGTAGGTTGTCGGTAGCATCTTGAGAGATAAACACATCGATTTCAGAGCCAACTGTAGACTCAGCCAAAGTTGGGGCAGTGTGAGGCGAAGACATGTCATAAGGAGAAAGAGCAGGATCACTGTAGAGGCAATCCTGAGAAGACTCAGCAGAGTTGTGGCCCTCGAACTGTTCCATAGCACGAGCATATCGGTTGTGAGCCATTTGAGGTGGTGACAGTGGGAGAGGTAACATATCGTCTTCGAACTGCTGGGATGAGATTGAGGGATCGGACTGCACGGGAGACTTGTGATCATATCCACCTCCTGGGGAAGTAGGCGGCGTGAAGGATGACATAGAAGTAGATGGGGCGTAATCTGGCGAGTTGAACATAGGGCCTTCTAAACTTTCAACTTTCACGGACGTTGAAAAAGATTTTTCAGCAATGCGCTGACGAGTACGAGTAGACTTCATTTGACGAGATTCGATATCGGGACGACTCTTCTTTGGCGGGCGGCCACGTTTAGTTGTTTTTGGGACGAAGCCAGTGAAACCTCCAACACACATATCACGTTGGCGGTGGCGGGTGAGGGCATCTTGACGGGCAAAGCTAGCGCCACAGGCACAGGCAAAAGGCTTCTTTCCGGAGTGAGTCTTTAGGTGGCGCTTGAGATCGTGTCCGCGAACAAAATCTTTTCCACATCGGTCGCAGACATATTGACGGTCATTCAAGTGGGTCTGAACATGAGACTTGATGTTCTCTTTGCGACCAAAGCGGCAACGGCAGTCTTTGAAAAGGCATACCCATTTGTTGTCTTTGGCATCAGGGCCAGATATAAATCGAGCAATTTCATCACTAGAAACGGAACTCTCCTTTAGAGAGGCTTTGACTCGTGCATCAAGGTCGAACTCATTCACTGTTTCGGCGTGCATATCATGCATAGAGTGACCACTTGACGATGCGGGAGAATCTTCACGCTCCTGGTATCTGCTAGAGGATGGAGAAGACGGTAGGCTGGACAAATGGGGTGACACTCCACAGGAACCAGGTGATGGCATAGCAGCTAGTTCGGCGAAGTCCGTAACTGAAGTGGCGGGCGATGGCATCTGGTGGGCGATTGACACTGGGGTGGAATCTGGAATTCCTTGAAGGGAATGGGCTCTTTGCATCTCAGCGGTGGCAGGTGTGCGGGGGACAGAAAAACTTTGGGATTTAGTAGGGGTGTGGTCATTGGTGTACATAGATAAATCAAATGAACTCTTCATAGGGGTAACATCTGGGGTAAGAGGGGAAGTATCTAGTAATACCGTTAGCTTACTGGCTGCGAATATCTATAGATATATCAGATCATACAGGAAAGGTAGGGGTTAATTTTAGGACTGTAGCCTTCTGGTTGAACAGAGAGCTGTTGCATCGACTGGGCATAGCCATTGGCCTGCTGTCGGGATTGAAGATGGTGCTGACGCTCGGCTTGCATCTGATGGAGGGCACTTGTCGAGACAGAATTGGAGTTCGGATTGTCGCTTGCAGATCTTGCAAGAGCGGGAGCAATTGGGGCAGGGAAAGCAGCACTGCTACCATCCATGGTATACATAGCCTGTAGCTCCTCTGGGTTCCACATATATGCGCTCTGATATTGCTCAGGTTGCGACATTGGGAGATGCGAGTGCATAAACTGGGCTTGCCCATGTTGTGATGAGTGCATAAACTGTTGTGCAGCTAAAGCCTGCTGTGAGAAACCTGATTTTTCGTTAAAGAAGTCTCGAAGCTGATGGACCTTGTTTGTCGCACTTCGTCGGTCGAGAGCTTGTTGTGGACCAAAGGAGCCGTAGTCCACTGTCTGACCACGACGATGTGTTCGGCGGGGCGGCATATTGGCCATTGAAGGTCGATTGGCTTCGAAACCGGGGGTTGATATTTGACGACGGTGACCGCGGGATAGTGTCGATGAGGGGGAGTTCATAGCTGCCCGGCCGCTCGAATTTCACGGTTCCCTGTCACAGTGTTAGTCTGTGAACACGACCAGCAAACGCAAACAAAAACGCAAAAAACGAGAAGTAGGTTAGAGCTTCAGTAAGCTAGTAGATGTTTGGGAATATCCTCTGTGCTAGATGGAAGATTTAGATAGAGAGATGGAGTTGTTTTCAAGAAATCACTGTTCCACCGCGGATGTGTGTAGATAAAAGTGACACAGAAGAAGATAAAATTTGAAAACTGGAGCTCTTCAAGGTAGAAATGAAACTCAATAAAGGATCTTTGAAGCGGGCCAGCAGAGCTGACGATCTATCAATCCAGCCCATGGTTCCGCATCAACAAGCGGCGAGTTGGCATGGCAACGCGCCGTGCCGGGAGTCTGGGAAACCACCACAAAACCAGCTCTGACGAGCATGGGCCCACTCCCCGCGCTGCGGATCCTGTATCGTCCCTTTAGTATTCTTTAGTTTTATCGAGATCGAGGCCTTGAATCCATACAATAGCCATCTCTAATTGCTATCCACCCTGACTTCCTCTCTTTTCCCCTGCAAGGGCTGGTGATTTCCCCTGCGAGGAGTATGGGCATCCGTTGGTTCCTAGAGAAGGGGTTGGCCCTCCTGTGGCCGTCGCTATGGAAATGTCCCTGATCGGGTAATTATGGCCGGTGATCACCGTGATCTTGGTCTTCATGGTCCACTGGGGCTGATGTTATGAACCGATGCGACACGATGTCATTGCGAGCCTTAGAGCCTGAGGCATAAACATACATGCCCTGCTGCGTGTAATCATGTGATCTGTCCCTTATCGATAAGGCACTTCGGCTCTTACGTTCTTCCGCAAAATAATACGCTATCCCCTAAATAGAAGCGGATCCAAATCATGTGACCACACAACGATTTTAATCACCAACCGAGTCCCGCCCACATCGAATTTCTTCTCTTGTCAAGGTTAAGGAAGACAACTTGTCGAGGTAAGTTTATATCCCCTGCAGAATCAGAAATATAGCCTCAAAACCATGATGTAGCCCTTGCGCACATTGGCTTCGATGCGCTACTGTTCCTGCAAATAATCTGCGCCCAGAAAAAAAATCTTATCTGAGCCTCCGACTAACCGCCACCGCAGGCCTTCATCAAGATGCAGATCTTCGTCAAGACCCTTACGGGTAAGACTATCACCCTCGAGGTTGAGTCCTCGGACACCATCGACAATGTCAAGTCCAAGATCCAGGGTAAGCGAAAATCCCCAAACCTTCAATATCAACCGATCGCCGAAACAGAATTCTAACACCCCACTTCCATAGACAAGGAGGGTATCCCCCCTGACCAGCAGCGTCTGATCTTCGCTGGTAAGCAGCTGGAGGACGGCCGCACTCTTTCGGACTACAACATCCAGAAGGAGTCGACCCTTCATCTGGTGCTCCGCCTGCGTGGTGGTGGTAAGAAGCGCAAGAAGAAGGTGTACACCACCCCCAAGAAGATCAAGCACAAGCACAAGAAGACCAAGCTGGCCATCCTTAAGTACTACAAGGTTGACGGTGACGGAAAGATCGAGCGTCTTCGCCGCGAGTGCCCCGCCCCTGAGGTATGTCTAAACCCCCGCTCTTGCACAAACAATATCGAATGTCCATGACTAACTTTGACTCTTTTAGTGTGGTGCCGGTGTCTTCATGGCCGCTATGCACAACCGCCAGTACTGCGGAAAGTGCCACCTTACCTACGTCTTCGACGAGTCCAAATAGATGGATCTCGTCTAACCGCGGGATTTCCTTGTCGAGTCCGGGCATAGCTGGGCGAGATTATTGTGGTCTCGGGGAGATGATGGTTGATGGTTACTTCTGTCAATACATAAAAAAATGACAAAAACTAGGCTACGCCAATTTTGATCCCTGACTTGTAAAGAGTAGACGTAAAATGATTCGCAATTTTGCGTAATAATAATGTATGAAACGAATGGCTAGCTGATGTTGAAGCTACTAGTCCGTGTTCATAGTGCAGCACGTAACTAAGACTATCACAACCTTCGAGCCATGCAAGAATGTAATGACCGTATGATCCCCTCCACGGCGATGTATCTACATCCCCTTCCTGATGTTGTCATACTTGCTCTCCGGGAAATTAATAGCATTGGACGCTTGATCCAGTGCCCCAACCCCACCAACAGCATTCACAAATGTGCTGATCAAGCTCCCGCCATCTCCCTTATCACCGCTAGCTTCCCACCACATTCCACCTCCAAGCCCACGCTGCCTCACATAATCGGCCTTCTGTCGACTAACCGCTTGATTGTCATAAGAAACCATTGTGCGTCGTCCACTATCATAGCACCATGAAGCCCCAATACTCTGATCCGTCTGTTCTGATGCCCCAGGCCGCGGCAGCGCCTTGTAGTCCCATACGCCATTCTCCCAACTACCTTCTCCAACTCCGGAGAATTGTGATCCAGGGCCGTCGGTGTTAGTGAACGCACGGCCATACAGTGGCATTCCTACAACGATCTTGTTAGGCGGCACCCCAGAATGGACATAATGGTCTATAGCAGTGTTGGTGGAGAAGGGCGTAGATCCGGGAATGTTTCCAGATGGGTAAATATTTGCTTGGTGGCCAGCTAGTGAATCCCAGCTACCTGCGTAGTCGTAGGCCATCAAATTGTAGAAATCAAGGTAGCGGGTCATCTCAGCCAACTTGAGGCGATTGTAGTTGGCTGGTCCAGCAGGTGAAGCAATTGTCAGCTGGAACTTGCGGTTTGGGCCCGCAGCACGGTCGAGATGCTGGTTGATGTGTCAGTCATATGGCTGGATTGGTTTGTCCATGAATGATATGGAACTCACCTCGCGACAAGTTCGAAGCAAGTCAACCAGGTCCTGGGCCTGACCCTCGTCTGTACATCATATTAGGTTGACATCGCGATACGGAAAGTAGCAAAACACAACTTACTTTGAGGGTATTCCCAATCGATATCAAGTCCTATGAAAAGTGATCAGCGTGTGAGCTTTATTTTCTATCTGGTTATGTGGCTTTCTCTTCTCAACATACCATCAAATCCCAGATCAAGAACCAGTCGCGTCGCAGTCTCGGCAAATCTGTTACGCCCTTGGTCGGTGCTGGCGGGCTGGGCAAAATTGGATGAGTAAGTCCAGCCACCAATGGACAGAAGGACCTTCAGCTTGCGATTCCGTTTTTTAAGAAGGAATAGCTGCTTGACGCATCCATATACATTGCTGCCTGTGTCGTTCCATGAGTCGTCGGCGTAGTGTTTCTCGATGTCAGACCAACTATCGGTCAGGTATCTATATAATATGTTCAGCATCTTTCTCCAACTAACGAACTTCTGGAACGACCAAGAACTTACACCTCACCACTTTCTGGTCGAACATTGGCAAATGCATACAACACATGGGTCAATTTTTCGGCAGGCAAGTCTTGTGGGTTGTAGTTGCGACCATAAATGGCCTGGAGTGGGGTTTGTCAGTTATATATTCATCTAAGGACCATGAACAACTCAATAAAAAATGGACCAGGCGGGAGTAGTGCAGCCGCAGTAGAATTAAGAATATAAAATGAGATCGTGCAACATACCCAGTTGACAAAGTAGGCAACGGATTTCATTTCGGACATGCTCACTGCAGGTGGGGTCGTACTGAAGTACCCTGAATATTGCACAAGAGCAGCCACAAGCACCACGAACGCAGTAAAATATGTAAAAAGGGAGAATCGAAAAGCCACGTTTTCCCACTGATGATAGAAAAATTCAATGTTGAAATGAAAAAAACTGTCTATCAAAGAAAGCACCGCCCTGATCTTTGAGTGAGATGATATAAGAACGGAGGGGGTACCTAACGTCGCAGCCTAAATGTTAGCGGACCTTTGTACCTTGGCGGGCAGGATATAAATAACAACGCCACACGGTCATTGACGGCAGGGTACTGTGGCTGTGCGCGGTGTGGGGCTTTCCATACCTGTGGCTGGGGAGTATGTATACTAGATCTCACGCAAAACAAGTTTGATAATATCACGAAATGAGTATCGAGGCTGTGTAAAGCTGGTTAATTTGATTCTATATCGCGGGCTGGACTCGAGACGAAAATTACTACTGTGGAATTGGATTGTCCTTTTTATAAGGAGATCATACAAACTCGAGAACCGTGCAGCGTGACTACTTGGACTGCACATGGTCCTTGTACAACCTGAAATATCAGTCATGCTGTCATTGAACATTTTTTTATCTCGACTAGACCTGGCTATATCGGTGGATAAAGTAGTGTTTGATCATCTTGAAGGTAAATGGTTGGGTGCTATTCAAGCCTCGTGATGAGTATGAAGTGATCGGATGGAAGACCAGTCATTAGCTCTCCTTCTGTATGGGGTAACTTAGAAGAAAAATGTGTAGTAAATATGATCATGAGTGTTAAAATCGGGCGGTATCTCACATACTGAAACTTTGAGACAATCAGCATTTCAACTTTGGGACTGTCGAAGGAATAACAAATCCAAGAAGGTTTAAAAACCGCTTGGCAAAAGTTTTGATCAGAGACAATGGCGCTGAGTCAAAAGTAGATACATGTATTACATATTCATTCAATGGTAACTTCAGAACAGCCGTCCAATTCAAAGTGACCCCGCGCCAGAGACGGGTATTTATACATACCAAATCCCCCTTCTTTTATAACACAAGCAGAAACTTGAACGCAAGCACCCGAATCATAATGTAGTCATGGGAAGAAACTCCACCAAATTGAATGATAAACACCTTAATATTGATCTTGACACTCGTTGAAGGTAATCAAAGTAAACACAATGGGGATATAGAATGTAAAGAACAGTAAACAAAAGAAATCAGGCCGAAAGAATCCTTATATAGTTACATATAGGTATGACCCTCGCGCCTTTGTCTAATAAACCATAAGTGAAACCTGAATTCCAGTAGAAAGATCGAGATCCAAATCCTCTTGAAACTTTGTTCCAGTCGCAAGTTTTATCCAACCATTTTGTATTGAGTTTGTGCTGGCAGCAGCAATAAGCAAGTTTGGTTCGCCAGACACTACTGTTTCAACCGTCAGTGCGGCATCTCCGACGATTATATTGCCCCCCAGTCGAAGCTCGCTCATGGATTCAATGATGATAGATGATGCATAGCGACGATGGTCATATTCTGGATCCAAGCAGGCCGATCGGAGAGAAGGTGTGAGTGCCAGACGAGTGGAAAAGGCTGTACATGAACCCAATTTATTTTCTCTCGAAGAACATGGTCTTGTATACCAATGATCTTGCTGGTCTCCATATTCCAGGCAACGTTGGCTGATGACGGGAAAAGTAGCCACACTGTGCGTATCTTTGATAATCCGAAACCAATTATTGCTTGTACCGACTCCAAGTATACTTGGTGTAGCTTTTATCGATCGCGTCCGTGGTTGATCACAGAATGGCCAATAAGCTTGGAGATTATTCTCGTGGTCAATTCCAGTATGTTCAAGTGCTATTATCGAATCAAATATAAGACTTCGGATCTTTTCTGTACTGATGGGTCCAATTGTTGGAATGCTGACAGATGAGTCAATGTCATCGTCAGAGTGGCAGCGAGTCCAACATTTTTTAATACATTCTGGGTCAGCAACTCGATGTCTACACAGTGAAGTGCCGTGATTAGGCCTGGCTTTTGTGTGCGATAATCGAAGAGCGTCCCAAAGCGTCACTCTTTGGGCATTTCCAGTGCATGCGCTCACCTCCAGGCCAACGTATAAGTTGAGAAGTGGCTTCAGTTTGATTTTCTGGGATTTGCACTCATAGATGATGGTTGTCTTCCACTTCCGCATTGGATTTCGTTTAAATTTTATAACAGGTCCAAAGCTGAAGTTGAATCCTCCGGTCGCTTGAAGATCAATACCATCAAAGGTGTTATGAGCCTTGTGTGTATCATAATACTTCAGCTGCGAGATAATTCTCGATTGGAGTTTCTTGATTTCCAAGGAACAGTTCAGGTTGAGTGTCAATCCAGTTGGATTGAGGCTGTCTGTTCCAATCAAGATTTGAGAGGAGCTATTCAAAAGAATAGGACGTTCCTGTAGGTTTATGATATAGTCTGGGATGTGCTTCTGCCAGTGGCATTCTATCTCCCTCAATGACGGATCAGACTGGTCTTGACGACGAAGAGGGATTATGTATCCTGTTTCTGTTCTGAGGATTGGACTCAGTCCAGGCGCCCCTCCAACTATCTCTATCGGACCCCAAAGCTCCTGAAGGTCTTCGACAGTCAGTGATATTTTCATTTCCCTGGAGTCGGCATTTGGCTCGTCTGCCCCCAAAATCCAAATTGGACCACCAATGAAATTCTTCAAACATGCTAGCGGTCGAGGAGTAAATGAATATCCGTAGCCGACTGAAATCTTATCCATCTTTGAATTCCAAAGGTTCTCATCAAAGCGGCATACATGGGAGCCGGAAAATGAGACCAAACCGATCGAAAGAATTGTAGTCATAAATTGCCAGTAAGCAAGCCACTCCGGATCTAGCCCATGAGATACACCCAGCGATAAGTTGCCAACGAGATCTTGGACAATCTGTAACGCTGTCCCATGGGTTCTATAGGGGGAAAACTGAGGAGAACTTACTATCTCCTCTGACAGAATGCAATTACTTATCTGGTCCAATGATATGTGCACCGAACGTGCAACATCGGTTCTGGATGGATCCTGAACCAGAATGGACAGTGCATTGCCACAGAAACCTGCTCCGTGCAACATGCTAAGGGCTTCTTTCACTCCAGTCAAGGATTCCAAACACTCAACTGCTGACTTCTTATGCACTTGCGGGTTCTCGAGGACACCGCAGAGCTTAGCGGTTCTGATTTCAAGCATATCCAATTTTCTATAATGGGCAGTGGGATTCAAAAGATGGCCCATATCATCACCATCGGGGATTCCCGCGTCAATGTCAAACTCGTCTGCTTCAGGACATGTGATGTCAGTGTGCATCGAGCATGACGGTGACACAAAGTCTGTGTTGGAGAAATGAGATTCTCCAGCGGTGCTTTGGGAGGCAGTGAGGTTCGAGGGCGAAGTTACAGCACCGATGGGCTGCTGCAACATGCCCCGGGCGCTCCTCCAATCCATTGGCTTGAGACGCTTAGCTTCAAAATACTCATTGTCCCCGTCAATGTCCTGGATAGTTTTCATGGGTGCATTTGCTTTCTCTGATGCTTGCAGCAAGCCTCTAAACCCTGGGGCCTCAGATCGACTAAACATTATATTGTGGGAGCTAGCTTGACCCCATGATAGAGCTGATGGGGTGGTTTTATCCTGTGATAGGTCGGGGAGCAACCTTGTCGTGCCGTGGTGAGCTTTGGACCGTGAAATTCTCACTGGGCATGAAGAACGCGCTCTGGTCGAAAATGATGAGTTACTCGCTGATCGAGAAGCTGGGTTGTCGGGTAGATTCTCTGGTGCCGTTCGTTCTTCTCTGATACTAATACTAGTACAATGACTTATCACGCATTTGTAAAAATCGTTCCAACTTTTGACGGTTGTACTGCAAATCGCGCACGATGGAGGACATGGAAGCGCAGTTTTGGCCTTGTTTATTTGCTCCAAGCTTGGTGATGTGAGGTGTACCGATCGGCAATGGTTGCGAACCTTGTCGATTCGGTGATGGGTAATGTGTGAACATTTGGGCACAGGGCAGCGGTATATATACTGAGGGAAATGTTGATCGCTGATATGGCGCTTGCAGGAAGCCAAGCTTTGGAACTCGATCACCTTTGAATTGCAAAAAGCAACAACACATCGATACTTTGTTGTTTCGTTATTCTCTGATTGTGCAGCTCGTGGACGTTGTTTTGACGGCATCCGCCGGCCTGGCAAGGTGGGAATGGTATACCCTTCCGAGTCGAACGAGATCGGGTTAGGGGAGACATCTGTGTTTTTTAAGGTTATTGAATCTTTGTGTGGAGGAGGACTAATCGAACCTGTGAAATTATAATGATCGGAAGGTTCCACTGTGTTCAAACAGCCATAGCTATCTGTTGTGTTTTCCGTGGAAAGGGAGGAATATGAGGTTGGCAAGCTCGAAACACCAGATGAAGAAATCTCCGACCCATGCAAAGCCGATGAAGGTATGGTCGAAGAGGAAGGTAGGGCGAAACCTGACTCTTCGGTCAGTAGATGGTGAACTCCCACGTAATTATAATCCTGCCAACTCGAGGAGACAATATCCCCAAAAGGGGATTCTGGATGATGTAAATCCAGAGAATAGTCATAGAATTCCTCCATGACAATGGAATGGTATCCCAGGTTTCAGAAGGAATAAGACTGGCATTAAGAACGAGCGCCTTCTGCCTGGGGTTGATAATGGGAAGATCGCCTCGTAAGAACAAGAAGGAGTTAGGCATGCATGGAATGCGCACAGTTCTCTTTCTCACCCGGGTGAATTAGCGCGTGCGGCTGATAGGATTGATGCATCTCTATCACTAGTATGTATCCTCTGCCAACCATAAGGCAGGATTATGCGCCCAAGTGATGTTTGTACCGAATTAGATTCGAGTCTGAGCGAGGCGGAGTGGACCCTCAGCACAGCCGGATGGCTGAGTTTCGCTAAGCCTTGCCCATTCGATGCTCTTCAGGATATCAAGAGTCCCATAATCAGCTTTATGAGTTCATATCATTTCAGAAAACTCGAGAAGCCATGAGTAATATCTGCTGCGGTTAATTATCAGGGAGCGCGCGACTGACTCGTAGCAGGTGGAGATGAAGAAAGTACCAACCGGCCCGTCCCGCCCGATTCTTCAAATGTATCCAAGTCCAGACAGTCACTTTAACATCATTCAACTCTACAACAGCTCTCCGATGGGCTATTTTTAAAGCGAAAGAAATTGCTGTTCTTGAGATGCTTTTCCCGATCAAAGAAGGCTGGTTCCAATATGGAGCAATTTCTGCCCCCAGCCGCACAGGGATATGGATATGGATGATTACTGGTCATCGCTTGCCATGTCCGGGCCAGTCCTGGATTTGCAAATTGGGGACCAGGTCAGTATCTCATGGAATCCAAAATTCTACCACATACACAACCCTGAAACATGCTGTCTGGTGGTATGTACAGTGGACAATTGGTTAGGCGCGACCCCACGGAATCCATTCCGCTTGATCGGCAATTAAGCTTGCTGAATGCGGGGGACTCCATCAATATCCGCACGTTGCACAACATTCCCTTTTCTACTTAACCATTGCCGCGGCTATAAGAGGGGGCATTGCGTTTTGGAGGTTCAATTCGGTGGTCACGGCAGCACCATATAATCACGTACCGCGCAACAGCAATTCCAATTGTAATCGGCCTTCAAAATGAGCATCGACCAGCCAAAGTCACCTTCTCATCTAGAAGATGAGAACATGTGTTCTCCAGAGTCCCTGCCGAGCGACTCCCCCATGGTATGTTCAGCTCCAAGGTTTATATGCATGTCAATTGTTGGTGGATACTGATTCATTGTAACTCTCAGAATTGGTCATGGTTCAGGAAGCATATTATATTATTCCAATGTGCTTTCTATGCTCTTGGCCCAGGCTTCACCAGTTCTATCTTGATCCCGGGATCCAATGATGTCGCGCAGCAATTCGGCATATCCTCACAAAAAGCGATTTATTTAATCGCAGTCCATGTCCTTTTCTTGGGGCTGGCCCCTTTTTTCTGGATCCCTTGCATAAAGGCATTTGGGCGACGCCCGGTGTTAATCGCCAGTGTTTCTTTGTCTTGTGTTGCTGCTCTGGGCGGCGGGTTTGCAAATACCTATGGGACTCTCATGACTGCACGTGTCTTTCAGTCATTTGGTGTGTCGACTGGCTTCATTCTGCCAGGTGTAATTACAGTGGATCTATTCAAAGCCGAGGAGCGCGGGCGCAAGAATGGTATATGGACGCAAATGATATCAATTGGTGCACCTCTGGGCGGTGTAATAGGAGGACCCGTCGTATATTATGTTGGTTGGAAATGGGTGTTGTGGCTCACTGCAATCATGAATGCGGTCCAGACCATAGGGTTTGTTCTAACCTGCCCCGAGACTTCGCATTTGCATCGACAGAATGGGCGTGGCCATTTCCGTCTGTGGGATGTCTTAGAGCCATTCTTAGTCCTTCAAGCGCCGCATATCGTCTTGATCGCTTTCGCGTATGGTGTTTCTTTTGCCATCGTTTCGGTCGGTCTTGCGACCATCGTGCCTATTGCCCTGGGAGAAATCTATGAGTTCAGTGCAGTCTCCCAAGGGCTTTTCTTCTTGGGGCCTTTGATTGGTGCACTGATTGGTGAGCAATTGGCAGGTCCAGCAAGTGACTGGATCATGAATCGCGGACGTCAAAATTTTGAGTCAGGGGCATCGAAACCGACGGGCTTGGAGCGTCGGCTTCTGGTCGGAATGCCAGGGTTTGTGTTCGCAGTCGCAGGCATATTGATATTTGGTCTTACGCTGCAAAACAAAACACATTGGATGGGACCTTGCATGGGATTTGCCATCGCAACCTTTGGGTTGCAGGTGATCACGACTCCCTTGAAAACATACTGTGTTGACTGTCTCCCGGCGCAGTCAGGGTCAGTTCTTCAACTTATAAACGCCGTTCGCCAAATTGTCTCATTTACTGTCCCATTCTGGAGCCCTAATTTGACTGCCAAACTTGGTAATGGTCTGGGTTATGGTGTTGAAGCTATTATCTTGGCCTTCTTCTCCATGGGCTTCTTGATGGTGCTATGGAGAGGTGCCAGTTGGAGAAACAGCATACCAGTTAAGGGGTTGAGAGATTGAGCTGCGGACTCTGCAACTAATCAATTATTGGGTCATGGATATTTGTTTCAAAACGTTGCCAACTTGAAACACTTAGAGTACCAATTGCTCCACATGCCTAAGCAGTGAATTGCTTGCCAGTCATCTACTGTGAGTGGCTATGTATAAATCTTGTTAGTTTTTAACGGTGGGAAATAACACGGTTAGTTCGCACTGATAGCCGTGTTGCGGCTTGGCTTATCAGAAAATACAATATCATCATTATCTCGAGAATATATGATCATGCACATGTGATGCCCAAGTGCTGCTGACTAGGTAGACAATGGAATATGGAACTAGACCTAATTGGGATGAGATGACACAACCAATCAAAGGCGGTGGCAGAATGAGGGGGCGATTTTCTGGGGCCGATAACAAAGTGGAGCTCACCACGAGTCCAGCAATGACTTCAATACAAGCTCGTGCTGGATGGTGGTGATTACAGTCCATAATGGCGTTCAGGCGCCTTTCCTCCTTCTGGGTAAGAAACTCCGTCAAGATTTAGAAGACCACGCTAATCACTATGCTTTATGACATCTGCAGTCGCGGCAGACCTCTCCGATATCGAGCCGCCAATACCCGCAAGGCACCAGGATGCCACCCACTACCAACACGCAATATGAGGAATTTGAGCCGTTCTTATTATCAGATGGACCTGTCGAAGAAGAAAGATTTAGGACGCGATTTATTCGAAGGATTATTCGAACATGGAGCGAGGTGCCCGACCTGATAACCTCAGAACAAGCAGTTGGGATATTCAAGTGCAGCCTCGCATATCTGCTAGCATCGCTAGCAGTTTTCATACCGTTTATTGGGAGTGTTTTGGGCAACCAAAATGGAAAACATTTGGTTGCTACCATCACGGTATACTTCCATCCAGCGAGATCGCAAGGCAGCATGTATAAGGCCCTGATTTATGCCTTTGTTGCTTTTCTTTTCGCTGCCTTTCTCTCATTATCGAGTATGTGGGTTACCATCGTATTTCACAGAAAACACGACTTGATCGAACTGGGCCATGCAGTGGTATTGATATTTTTTGTCGGTGGTGGGTTCGGATTTATTGGATGGTTCAAACAAAGATTAAACGATCCACTCGTCAATGTTGCATGCTCGTTGGCTTCCGTAGCCTCCGTCCTCGTCATTACCCGAGAAGGCGCTGTGCAAACAGGCGAACTTTCCTTCACGAAGATCTCTCAAGTACTAAGGATGGTTCTTTTCGGCATCGGGATTTCAACAGCTGTGTCATTTTGGATACTGCCTGTTTCTGCCCGTAAGAAGTTTCGCGGAGACCTCTCCACTCTAACAGGAACAGCAACAGTGTTGCTTATGAGTATCACCGAAAGCTTCTTACAAGGTGCGGACCATGGCCTCCAAACACCTGAGTTTACCAAACTGTCTCAAAGTCACGATAGAATCTTCGGTCGGTGGTCAAAGTTACTGGGGGAGACGAAGCTTGAGCACTATATGGCCGGTACAACTCGAGAGCATCGTCTCGAAAAACGCTTAGTGTGTTTCATGCAAGATATCACCCATATAATAGGAGGTCTGCGCGGGGTGGTTACCTTACAATCCAAATTACTTGCACCGACCAAATACACAAGACGAACACAGCATTCGCACATGGGAACCGACGTTTCCAACTCCAATGGACCAGAAAATCCCACACTAATCGATCCACCACAATCTACTCCACGAGGAAACAATCAAGTCCATGCGAATGAACCAGAGGCCTCTTCAACCCACTCTGTAACCCACTCCCCAGCTGAGATTTTCGAGACATTGACATCTAGACTCGAGGTTTCTATTGTAAGTGCGACATATTAAATGCGATATGCACCCAGTACTAATTCACCCTCCATAGGTCTCACTTGCTTCTACTCTAAACGAAATTTTCACGGAGGTGTCCTTTGGACCCGCTCTTGATGAAAACAATGGTCTTAATTTCGACGAGGCAAGAATCCGAATCGATTTGGCTATTGACACATATCGAGAGGCTCGAAATTCTGCTTTTGCTTCGCTTTACCGTGAATGGGGGATAGTATCTCTCTCCCCGGTAGATAAGACCGGTCTTGAAGAAATTCTCGCCAATTGCGAGTATTTTTCTGTTTCTTTTCTCGAATTAAGCGAGCAGCTGAAACAAATGTTATCAGTCTTGGCAGAGCTACAGGCTGAAGTCAATGAAAGACCCAATGGGAAATCCTGGGACTGGCTGCATCCCTCACGGTGGTGGGCCAACCGGCAAAACATGGGCCTTGATTTAGACTCAGGTAATGTATCATCATGGAACGGTTCCCCAAGGCACACATTACTAAACTATACTTTTTTGTAGCGCCTTTGTCAAGCGAATACAGGGTCGCATTCGATAGCAGAAACCCAGCCCAAAGTTCAAGTACTCTTGACCAGTCTGAGGATCATCTACGAGGGTGGCCAAGAAACCAGAGTGCCAAGGATAATGTCGTCAGGCCCTTTTCTTTCATCCGAAAGGACGAGATTAAGTTCGCCCTCAAAGTAGGAATTGGAGCAGCACTTTTTGCCTTGCCTTCCTTCATATCCTTTACAAGACCTTTTTACCTATTCTGGAGAGGCGAGTGGGGTCTTATTTCATACATGTTGGTTTGCTCGATGACCATCGGTGCATCGAATACTACAGGCTTCGCTCGTTTCCTCGGTACATGTATTGGTGGTCTTTGCTCAATCGCTGCTTGGTACATCGCAGGAGAGAGGGCTTTCTCACTCGCCTTGGTGGGCTTCCTCATGGCCCTTGGGCCTTTCTACATGACAATTGTCAAAGGTCAAGGCCCAATGGCCCGGTTCATCCTACTAACCTACAACCTTTCTGTACTTTATACTTTTTCCTACTCTCAACTCGAGTTAAAAGACCCAGAAAATGGAGAACATCGCAATGTCACAGAGATCGTTCTGCATAGAGTGATCTCAGTCATATCGGGTAATATATGGGGTATTATCGTCACACGAGGCATTTGGCCTATTCGCGCGAGAACGAAATTGAACGAAACTCTTCTATCCTTGTGGCACAAGCTCGTTCTAATTTGGGAATCTGAGCCGCTAAACACATTGTCCAATCCGGGCGCAATAACACCCGTCCTCTATATGAGCTCTCGTGATAAAGCAGAGATCGAACGCCTCCTTTCACAGCTTGAACCTATTCAAGTTTCGGCCCGCTCCGAGATTGAACTGAAGGCCCCATTCCCAGATGCTGCATACTGTAACGTTATTCGCCGCACGAAGGACATCGTGGACCATTTCCATTCCATGGATCTTATTCTTTCTGCTATTCCTACACCTTTCGAGGGTCAAATATCCCTGTTACGATATACTGCAACTACCAGGCAGCAGCTGTCTGGTTGTATCAGGAATTTGCTAGCCGGTAAGTCTGAACTGGGACAGGGAACACGAATGATATGAGGCAATACAGTGGATATGCCTTGTTAACTCAGATAAATAGCTATTGCCTCGTCGATGGAGCTTGAGCATACTAGCGACCTCCCAACCGGTGTAAACGACTCGCGGTATCAACTCCTATCGCAAATATCTCTGTATCGTCAAGACAAGAAGGCATCACACGCGACTAACGACGAAGACTATATCCTACTCTATTCCTATGGTAAGACTCTTCTCAAGCATTGCATAGTGAATTTCTAAGTCGCTAACAAATAACCAACAGCTCTTGTAACCCGCCAATTGTCGAATGAGATCGTTCAAATCATGGGTGAACTGGACCATATTCTCCCATCTTCAGTGAACCATCTAGTTGGTGACGTTAGAGTTTAACTTAAGCAGCCGGCCTGCATGAATACATGGATATGTACATTTACGAAGTTATTATGTCAACCATAGGAGTAATTAGTCTGCCACGGATCCCCGAGGTTTAACCATACCCATGATATACTACGGCAACCCTAATATCAACCTGAGGCACCAAGTCCCTTACTCCTTAGAAACAAGGCATCAAACCCGTTAGTTAAGTTAACTAATCTGGTTCCGTATCCACTGTTTGACCAAGTATAAGGTTAATTGAGACAGTCAGAAGACAAAACCTGAGTCAAAAAATAAAATTAAATAATCAATCATTGAATTTTCTAGGCAAACAGAGATTTCTTCCTGAGGTGACGCACCCACAACCAACCTCAGCTGAACTCGAGCCGACAGCCACCAGATGCGTCCCCCGATTGGCAAAGGGCTGACCGGGCTAACGGCTTAGCCCCGACCCACCAAGATCTAAGCCGTTTATGGAGTATGTGCCCCCCAAACGAAGGATCCCAATCGGCCTGCTTCCTATAATCTTAACAAAATAAACTTGGTGTCTCTCGAGTTCCGACATGTGCAAACGCCGAATCAGATTCTCGAACCGCAACATAGAAAAAGGAGACGGCAGAGGGTATCTTCGTCATAAACGGTTGTGCCCATTGATATTATGCACGGTGTACCCCCACAGCGGTTAATGGTCCATGGATTTATTGGTTTATCGATTTCTTCGATTATGTATTATCTTTAATTTATTTATTTATTTATTATTCTATTCTATTTAAATTTAGATTTTTTTCCCCTTCCCAATTACCTGATGTGTACTTGTGCAGGTGTAGGCTCCATACTTACCCCAACGATTTCCAAGGCTATAGTCTCGCATAAGCTACTCCGCGGATATAGCTACAGATACAGCTACAGCTACTTTTTTAGTATCTATAGTCTAGTTTAGACTTTGGTGAACTGTGAGGAAAGGGTGGGGGTGCAGAGAGGAATGAACTGCCGCAATGATGATGCATGGCGCTAAGTGATGTAGTCCCTGAATGTTTTGACTTTTTTCTTGATTTTGAATTTTTCCAATTTCCTTCGATCTATTATCATTAGCGTAGTTTAATTATTATTTTCAGCTGGCATCTCTGCCTCGGGGCCCAGGTGTCTGGTTCCCCGTCTGTGCGGTAGACCCAATCGCAGTGACGGGAGTGGATTGAAGCGTCAAGAAAAATCCTGGTGGGCTACCCTACCGTCCATATGGGCCCCTAGCTTCAGTGGGGTGTAAGATGTATCTTCGACGTTCGGTTCCAGATCTGCATTCACCATTTCCTAAACCTGGTAGCTTGGGTACTTTTTGCATTTTTAGACCTGCGGCTTTGGGTCCTTGATTCGTGCCTGGGAAAGCTGTATAGATTGTACACGTACTCCGGTCGATACCTTCGAGCCCAACGGATCTGGCTCTTAATAGTGGATACTAATCAATGGAACCAGACTTACAAGAATAACGGCATGATGTCTAAATGGGTTTCTGCACGCTTTTTTTCTAGATTTTCCCCACGTGAGGAGTCATGCGGACTTGCCCGTCGGCAGTTCCGCGGTATTATATAGGGCAAGCCATAAAGATATACACAGAAATTGAAAGTTGAAATAGACCATGGTATTGTATTTCCTCGCCAGGAGGCTTTTCTGATGTTCTGATGCAAGAATCTCGTTTGCTCCCACATGTAATAAATCGTTGGTATACATAAACGCCGTAGCAGAGACAAACATGGATCCACAAAATAATCATAATCACTCGATAGACCCAAGAAAAATAGACCCAAAAAATAACAATAGGGGATATCTTCGCCAACAATGCTTCGTAAGAGGAAAAAAACATTGATCTGCTCGTAAATCTTTTTTTCTCTTTTTTTGTTCCCGTCTCTGTTTCATAGTTCCCACAGCAAAGGCGTCACGACCCGCATTATACCCGCCAGAAATAGGGGAGCCAGAGAGGGAAAGCCCCCGCATGCACATCCCACATGGCCCATTAGTACCTCTTGCCCCTCAGGCAAGAAAAAAAAAGCCGATAACGTCATTATTGGCCCCCGATCCAGCGTCGAATTGCTTCTAAAGAGGGATCATCGTCAAGCCAATGACCTGCCCGCTGGTCAGCGGCCCGAAGATCAGCAACTACATGCGAATCGGTAATGCGAGCCAATTCCTGTTGCAGTGAAGCATGGACTGTTTTCAAAGACGCGGCGTGGGCTGCTGTTGGTCGTTGGCCGCGGAGGGCAGTAGACCGAGCCATAGCCCATCGTCGAGCGGCTGCAGCTCGAAGGTAGATCTTGTGTGCTTGGAATCGACGAGCACTGCTATCGATGATAACTCTAGAAAAGAAGAAACCAATAAATTAGAAACAATGGGTCTTTCTAATTTCTCGGCCGGGTTAGAGAGTATGGGTATCCAATTACCGTTGTAGTTCTGCTTTTTCTGTGTCGGCACTACCCTGGCCGGTTACCGGACACGGCTGGTAGTTCGCAGACACTAAGCGTTGTGCAGCGGTATGACATTCTCGAAGCACGGTATAGCCTTCTTCGTAGACGTCTTCTGGGTGTACTTCCACATTTTGCTGAGAAATGTGTAGCAATAGAGTGCGGTAATCGTTGATGAGCTCGGCCACTCGCACTGCGCGAGCCTGATTGACTGTTCCTCCCGTGAATATCAGTATCTCGGCGACGATGAGGTTATTCGATCCAATTGAGCGCTCGCTGCTTACGTCCGTCCGCCATTGAGATTGGTGAGTGTCGGTATTAGATAATAATAATAATATGGTAGATTGATATTTAGAAGAGTGAAGGTTGAAGGTTGTAGGGAGAGGCGTGAATAGAAAGGTCATAAACAAGATGACATCGAATAATAGTAGGGATGGACCAATCAGAGGAAGAAGAATGGAAAAAAGAACGTATATCAAGCTTGAGAAAGGAACGGTCCCGACAGTTAACGGTCTGGGGGGAACGAGACGAGGATCCGAGTCTTTATAAGAAACAGAGTCCGAAACTAGAACAAGTGTCATGTCCTGTCCGTCCCCAGGGCTTGGGAACTAGGACCCAGTGTACCCCATACCTTCAGCAAACGATCTCGAATGGCATAGACCACCTGGAATAGAAAGACCTTGGAGACTGATTTGATTGGCAGACCAAATTCGAACCTCATTAAAGGCCCCGAAAAAGAAAATAAATAGATAAAGTAATTTTAAAGGATAAGGAATAAAAGAAATCAAATTGGGATTATCAAGCCGTGACAGCGGAGACGAACGACAGGAGGATCATCAATGAACAGGCGCATCTGCACCAATAGACGGTGAAGAAAGCAAAATCAGGAACATCCGGGAACCCAGTACAGCTGGGATGGACGCCAGGGTGGATCGGGCCATACGATAGCTCCCGAGAAACCGTCAACGGCAGGACAAGGTCTAAGGTCAGAGCACACATCCTTGCCGGGAGTAAGTACAGGACCACGAAGAAGCCAACCTACTGTTGTGGGCTGTGTTTCATTTTATTTTAGCGCGCCAGTTCTGAAAAATGGGGCAACTCACCAGGCATTATGGGTGGAGTTTGAACCCAGAGATTAGGTTCCTGTGCGGCCGATGTGGTTCTCATCGGCGAGGGGAGAGATGGCGCTTGGACAGGATGATTGGCAGATATCGGGCGAACTACTTTTTCGTAGTGGGGTCAAAGGGTAAAATCAAGAATAAAAAAAGTTCACTGTACTGGCTCGTGGGACCCCTGTCACCACTCCACTAGTGACCTGCATAGGCGAGAGTCGAGATCGGCCCTCTTCTGTTGGTGCATTTCCCCTAGTGCGGTGGCGGATTTCTGTCGCCGGCCGAAGACGAAGACATCATTTCGGAGAGAGCGAACGCAAGATCTCGGTGCACGATTTGAGATCTTAGAAAGTGGACATCGAACTGAAAAACAGACTTCAGCTATCATTTTCAGCTTATTCCCGTATGCCCCAGCCACATTTGCATTTTGAGGTGGTGGCCGAGCCACATGTGGCGTTCGGACACACAGCTGAAGCTGAATGGTTTCCAAGTTGATGTGTATGTACCTCAAGTATACTCAGATACCTCATAGGTGTAGAAAAACGCACGGTCAATGCCCTCCTTACGTGCATTCCATGTATAAGACCCAAGCTATACGTAGTAGATGTTTCCAATCAAGAAAATGTACAAACCCCATTGCAATTGGAAGAATGACCTTCCAATAGGGTGTGATACATCTAGTCTTCCCCCTAAAAAGGATGGTGGCAAGTTTTCCCCTTCTCCCCATGTCTTATTTTCCAGCTATGCTAACGACCCACTTGCTGCTGAATAAATGCTTCTAGTTTTCAGCGTAACCTAAGCCTATCCTGGCCACGGCGTCAGCCAAGCGCATATCTAACATCACAACTTGCAGTCTGCACCGCCAAAAAAAGATCAGTATCCTAATCCTAGTAATGTAAGGTATGAAACATAGCCAAAACGCAGGAACCTTGCAGAATATTCCCAAAAGAAAAAATTATTCAGTCCAATGGAGTTGATCATTCATCGTTCTTCTTTCTAAAATAAAGCAAAAAAAATAATAAAATGAATACTGTATATCACAGTATCACCGATAATCAAAGACCAAGATTAGCCTCGGACCTCCTCGGTCAAGCATAATCCGCTTCCACGATTTCTGCATTTCAACGTTTCTGTCAGCTCGCTTAGTCCTTCTCTGCGATGGCCTGCAACCGTTCGTCGATCTCCTCCTCGGTCAGAGCACGGAACCCTGTAGTCGTACCCTCACCATCTGCCTTTGGACCACCCACAATACCGATTTCCAGCTCATGTTTCTTGAAATCGACACTCAGCACATTGCTGAGAGCAGTAATTCCCAGCTCCACAACTTCTTCCCAGTTACCCGATGCAGCATCCTTGTTCTTCAGCTTCTTCTCCAGATAGTTCAACGCCTCCTGTTGCTTAGGGCCTGATGCTGTCGCCTTGTACCCAACATAATAACCGGCCGGGTCACACTTGTAGAGTAATGGGCCATTCTCATCATCGACGGAGACCAGGGTCGTCGCCACACCAAGTGGCCGCATGTAGGCCTATCGGGTGAACACAAATGTCAGATATGAAAGAGAACACTAATGGGGAGCCAAAAAAGGGTGAGAAATCAACATACTCGTTGTGTGTAGACTTGGTTGATATTCGCCAATCTCTTGGCCAGGACGTCACAGGGCATCTCATATCCGAACTTGTAACGGAATTCAGCTGCCTCGCCACGAGCTCGATCCACAGAGGCACGAGCATCTGCTATGGAACCGGTCATGACACAACCGACGGAGGGGGAGATCTTGAAGACATGTGAAACAGAGGATGGGTCGATGAGTTTATCCTAATACATTGGATGAGTTCGGCGCTTATGTTAACAAGATCATGAGCAAAGCTTACAGCAACTTTCTTCTGGGACAACACAACAGCACAGTCCTTTCCCCTCACACCGATGGAGGTGATGTTCGCAGAGGTGATGGCCTTGAATGCATATTCTAAACCGCAGATCGATTGTCAGTTGGTTCCCGTGGTAATGATGACAAGGCATCGCCGTAGTCTGTGGGAGAGCGGGTCTCCAGAAGGAGGGAGCGGTTTGTAGATGGGACTTGTAACATACCGACTTGGTAGAGACGACCCTGGTCGGAGAAAATGGTAATATGTCTGTCGTAACCTGCGCTTCCTGATGCGGAGAAGATGGGGGTCAGTCGGGGTTGAAGTCATGGCCCATGTTGAGCCAGCATTCCCGGATAAAGGGTAACATACCGGACATTATGGCGGATGATAATTTCGTTTATACGGGGAGAAGAGTAGGAGGAGAATCAATAATGGATAAAGAGCAGGGAGGTTGGAAGTGAGGGAATTGGCATGACGCGTGCCAGCGGTGCCTAAGCTTGAGAGAGCTTGAGCTTGAGCCTCACCGCCTTTGGCCATCCTCATACTGCAGTACAGAATCAGCGATCAATATGATAGATCGATGGATGTCTTCGATTGAATGCTTTTTTTGGAAAGAAAAAAAACAAGAAGTGTGCATCCTTCTAGTATCATATTTATTACTATCTGACTTAGTATTACCAGGTTTAGGTGCGGTTCTATAAAAGTTCATAATTGTAGTAAAGGGTATATACACAAATACAGGATTTCCAGAGTCAAAGCCCTAGAGATACCATCACGACAATAAAACCATGATAAATTCAAAAAAAAACGTCCAGTTGGTTGTTCACTCAGGCTTTTGCAGATTGAATACCTCTATTTTCAGTATTCATATATTGATTGATCGCTGTACAAATGACGATACATCTTCCTCATACAACCCTTTCCCTCAATCACTATCACTCTCACTGCTTGAGATCTCAAGATCAACAATTCTGGACTTGCGCTTCTGCTTCTTCTTGTTTTTGCTAGGGGCAGCCTCTTCAGTTTGTGCTCCGAGCTTCTTTTTCTCCATCTTCTCAGCCCTCTTCTCAGCAGCAGTTTTCTTGACAACAACAGGTTTCTTGACAACAGCAGCAGGCTTCTTCACAATGGCAGGCTTAGCCTTGGGAGCAGGTGCCTCATCCTCACCGTCGCTGCTGCTATCAGATGCCGGAGCTGTCTTTCTAGCCACAAGAACAGGAGTAGACTTGCCCTTCCCGCTGTCGCTGTCGCTGTCACTGTCGGAGCTATCACTGCCAGAGCTGGAAGTCTCATCATCGCTGCTGCTAATATCGACCACAGCAGTACGGTTCTTCCTCTTCTTGGGAACAAGCGGCTCCTTCACAAACTGTTTCTTCGGAATAGCATCCATACTAAACAGTTTCCCAGTAATAGCGAAAAACACAAGCTCCGCGCGGAGTCTCTTTTGGAACCGCGCCTTGGCATTAATCCCATCCGCTGGTCCAGCGGCATTAAGCTCCGTCTTAGCTTCGGAGTCAGTCAACAAGTCTCTGAAAGCATCCACGCCTTTCTGGAACTCAGCATCAACCTCCTTCCCATCCTTCTCCCAAACATCGATATCCCCCTTCGCAACCTCAACGGCACCATCGCTCAACCGGCCCTTCGCCGCATCACCCCTCAATCCCTGAAGATACGTCAAAAGCGCAACATTGTACCGAGACGGAACGTGCTCTTCGGAATAAAGATGCTTGAGCAGGTTCGTCTCTCTGTTCTTCTGGAACTTCCAAGTCGTCTTATCATGATAGTAATGGCTCAAATAAGACATAACAGGTGTCTCATGGAAATGTTTCGAATCCGCAGTTGCAGAGGAAGAAGACGCAGACGCAGAGTCCTTGTTCTTTCGCTCTTTCTTCTTCTCGCGCTTCCTCTTCTTCATCTCCTCTAACGCCTTTTCGTTTTCAGATTGTGACTGCTGCGCTGAGTCTTCAGTATTCGTCACAGTATCACTGCTATCAGAGCTGTCGGCGTCCGCATCGCTCTCGTTCTCGCTCTCGCTATCAGACCCATCCGCCATCTTGGTATCAGGACCAAACGAGACTCTCTTCTTCTTCTTAGATTTCAAGTCGTCACCCTTCTTGCTTTTCTTTGTAGATTTCTCATTCACTTCCTCATCGTCGTTGGCCTTCTCGCTGTGTCGACGCTTCTTGGTATCTTTTTTCGTCACTTCAGACTCATCAGAGGACTTCTTGCGCTTCTTCTTCTCCTTGTCGTCGCTCTTCATGGGTGTAGATTGTTCGGATACTTCGGTCAAATTGTTGGCAAGCTCTTTCTCCTCGCTGCGAGGGTGTTTTCGAGACTCCGCGATTGTGTCTTTGGTTTTGGCCATTATGGTTGGCTCGGGGTAGGCTCTGCTGGTGCAGGCCTGGAAAGGTATGGCGTTTGGTATATTTAGTACTCTTGGAATAGTACAATTGGAGATTGGGACAATATCAATTGTAAATTTCTGCAAGAATCCCGGAATATGGGAGGAACAGGATAATGTTGAAAGTTGCTTCTTCAGATGGCTCGAGGCGGAGTTGAACTATTTTTTTCTGCCGCGGCTGATTAGGCGGTCTCTGATAAGATTGTATAGGGCATGATATCGGTCGGAGATGTATAACCATGGGCCTGCCATTCAACTAGATCACATATTATTATTTATCTAGATGTTCCTTTGCCGTCTATTATCCAAATTATCCCGATATAAGATATCATAGTGTCATCTCACATTAAAAAGTTGTCTCACCTACTATACTTTAAGGTACAATGTGCTCTTACAATGCAGCAGGGCGAGCATCAATCTCAAGACGCAACTCAATTAGCCATCTGTTCCGGGACATCCTTTCTTTCTCTTCTAGGCTCTCTCGGTATACTTCCACTCCCTTCCGTTCCTGACCCGGTAGCTTGAGCAGCAGCCGCCGCCCTACGCTTCGCTCGTTCTCTCTCCCTTTCTTTCTCCTTGTCCCTTGAGCTGGGACCAGCAGCCCGACGCCGTTTCACAGGCTCATAAACATCATTGAAATTCATAACGACGCCCAAAAACCGCATATCCACATCAGGCTGATAGGCAAGATCACCTAGTAGAATGTTCAGACGAGAACGGAAGTCCGCAGAGAGATCGCGAAGTCGGACACGAAGAGAAGCAAGCATGTGATCATCGGCTGCGAGATCTTGTGCTGAAAGTGTGACTGGAGTATCGACTCCATCAAGACCAGCACTGGCGGGTCGAATATCTGGCGTTGAGCCTATAGATGTGCCGCCGCGACTATTTGTTCGGCGGGGTTTGAGGTCACGATCTGTCACGCCCCAGCGGCCTTGAGCAGTGCGGGTCTCTATTTTGGCGCTTAGTTCCTGGCGACGGGTAAATTCTGCTACGGAGAAAGAGTATAGACCATCGACGGCATCCTTGTAGGAAAGCATGATCTTGAGGATTTGGTGAAGTTGGGAGAGAAAGCTTTCTTCGGGTTGTTTTGCGGAGGTGGAGGTTGATGAGCCGTAGCGTGGGGAGGCGGAGCCGAGAAGACCCTTGTGTGTGATGGAATTTAGATATTCTTTGTGTGCCATGATGAGATCATCGAGCGTGCAGTCTGGTTTAGATATGGCTGCCTGCAGTGTATCCCAGCTTGACTCGATGACCTCGAAAACGATATAGTGCTGAAGTTGGCAAACGAAGTGAATCATTTCTGCAATGACACATCGTGCGCGCTTCCAGTCTGGTCCGACTTTGTCGTCTACGTGTGCAAGGACACCTCTTGCTCCGGTCATGCAACGACGCCAGGTACTGCTTAGCACAAACTCGACTCGCTTCACGCGCCAGAGGAAATTGAAAACTTTCAGGTATTGTGTTGACCCGTACGGGGTGATGACCACATCAACAGGGGCGTCAATCTTGTACTCCAGTGTAAAGCAGTCCCAACCGATCTCACCGTGGCTGAGCTCGAGCATGCGGGCATCTAGTCGACGAAGAACATCTGGAGGGTCATATTGCGCATTTGAGGCACGGATGGCATGTTCCAACTGTGCGGTAAGAGTATGCCGATACTGCGAGTTTGCGGGTCGGTCGAGATTTGATGCTAGGGATTCCATCAATAAGGCGATGAAGTCACCTTGTCCGAGAAGCAAATATTTCTTCAGTGCTTGCAAATGATCAAAGAGCTTAAATTTGTTGTCCATGAGATGGATGAGACGTGCCATGGTGGTTTTGTAAGCTTCATCGATTGAAATCTCCAGGGTCGCCGTGTCGCCATACTTGAGCTCTTTTGAGGCTTCTTTGGAATAAGCTTCTACCCAGGCGGAATCACCACAAGCATAGCGGATAAAATTCAACGACTTTCCAATGAGAAAGACCTTATTCGCAAATTCTTCGGTGATGATTGAGGGCAGCATCTTTTCGTCCAGAACGTATTTGGTATCCCAAACACTTGTTGCAATACGACGTGGGTCCTCGTCAGATGTGCCTTTCCCTTCTGCAACAAAGAACTCCTCATATGGGTCAGAGAGTTCACCGTCGTAGATCCAAGACCGAAGCATATCATAGAATGGTTGTGTTACATGGGCCAACAGTTTCTCTGCAAAGGCACACACAAAGGGGTCACCGTGGGATGAGGAGAATCCATGGATTAAGGATATCAATTGGCCTCCCTTCTTATCTGTTACTGGTCTTAGCAAATATAACAAGAAAGAAAAATCATCACTTGATCGTCTGGGAAATTTTTACCTTTAGATTCTTCAACAATGAGACTCATCAACCGGAGCGCCATTGTAGCATCCCTTGTCCATACAACACACCGTTTCAAGGTAACACCACCCTTTCGAACTCCCTTGAGTTCATTAGCATCGCCAATGGCAGCAAGTGCTTGCCGAATCTCCGCCTCCAATGTAGCGACTAAGCTGAGATATGACCGCAACTCGTTAGCAATAGCAGCCCGTAAGCTTTGGTTCACCAGTCCACCTTCCGTAGTTTCCACAAAAGCCGATAGCCCTCTATAGAGAAGACAAGGCTCAGCTAACGAGTTGAGCAAAGAGATTATGGGCGCTGGTAAATTAGACGGCAGCTTTAACGAGGAGGCTGATTGAAACTGCAAATTCGTCGAAGACAGCCCCTGTAGATTAAATGGCAAGTCTCTTAGAAGCCCATTCTCAAATGACTCCGCGCGAGACGGAGAAAAAGTAGCAGCCGCAGAGGGCAAGGGAGACGTCACATCCGCGCGCCCATCACTCTCGCGATCAGCGAACACAGCCTCATAATTTCCCGCACGACTAGCACGCTCTTCGCGCATTCGCTCTCCAGATCTCCGCGCAGTAAGCTGCTCCATCCCATCCTGACGTAGTGAACTCTGCCGTTCCGGCTTAGACGACAGCGGTATCCTCTGCGACGCAGAAGAACTAGCAGCAGGCCCCTCATCATCCTCCGAGTCAAAGGGCCTCGACCCAGTACCACGTCTAGACCTCGGAGCACGTCCACCAAGCATATTCTGCAAATTCCCATCATCCATCAACGGGCTCCGACTGCGCTCGCCCTGCTCCAGCGCGAACTCATTCTCCTCGGACAACTTATACAGTAAGTACAGAATGCCCCATTTCTGTGAGAGAACAGGCTGAGTTAAGAGCTTGGAATACATGTTCGAGAACTTGACTGCTAGCTCGGGACTTGCATTCTCCCGTCGCAGCTTGCGCTTTATCAGGTCCGCCGCATTGTTGACGTTATCTGTTCCGGCGAAGCTACCGCGGCGGCCGGAGGGGGAGCCCGGGTCCGCTGTGTTAGAGGGGACATGTGTGTCGATTATGCGCCAGGCGCGCTCGAGGCACGTGTTGTGGCGCCTTTCTTCTGTAGCTGCGAGGGCTTCTCCTGGGTCGGAGTGATCCTCATCTTGGAGGGCGGATATGGGGAGCGCGGGGGTCAGGGAGTCGACTAGTTGTGAGAGGGCGTCGTCTATGCGGCGCGGTCGGGTGGTTTGGCGCGTTGAGATCGACATTTTTTCCTCCCCTTTCCCCCGGTTGTGGGGAGTGAATTGTCACCGGGTTATTATTTTGGGGTTGTGTTTCGAGGTTGGGGTTCGTTCTTGTTCTTGGGGTGTGGTAGATTTCGGGATTGGGTTGACAAGGTTGGGTGGCCGAGTAAAGGTCAGGCTGTGGGTTTTGAGCAATTGTAATACTCTCAAGTCCACTTCGCCAGAAGTCTGAGGAGCAGTCTATGCCAATTGATTTGGGGAAGCGCGCACGCATGAAATATAGGATTGATGTATTGGAGTGGGTTCGCGTTTGCGGTGTTTGGATTGTTTGGTAAGCGCGCGCCTTATCTCACTTATCAAAACATGTACTCCGGGCATTATCCGTGGATATTAACTTCGTACTGATTATTACTACAGTTTCAATCTTCTAGACGATCAGTATAAAGGAATTTTTCAAGCAAAACGGCAGAGCGATATTCGTTTCAATTGCTCAGTCATCTCATGGAATGAAACTAGTAAAACAAAAAGGGACTACCAAGCCACCTGAACGCCACCCAGAAATCATGTATTTCGACAAGCAACCCGGATAAGAAAGAAAACATGCACCCGCGGGTCCTCCAAGTATTAAACACGCGAATGGAAAGGTAGAGAATCTCCCAGGACCCATCAAGAAGGTAGATATTAAAAAGTGGGAGAAATGAGGGGGTGTCAGAAGAAGAAGAAGAAGAAGAAGAAGAAGAAGAAGAAGAAGAAGAAGAAGAAGAAGAAGAAGAAGAAGAAGAAGAAGAAAAATACAACAGGGAAACCAGTGGGGAAGTAACATAAAGCCATCAAAAAGAAAACAGTAAACCTTGAAGTAGCCATAAAAATATCAAGACGCCGAACGGACGCGCCGTTCAAACACTAAACGGAATTCATTGCTTCCAGACCACCGGAATCAGCCCGTCCAATTTTTGAATCGTGTGCATCATTAACACCTGCCAATGCCAAAAGAGTTCGGCAGAGCCACTGCCGAAATAAAAATAAAAAGAGATAAATATTCGAGGAAGGGAGATGTCTCCTATCCCAGGGAATAAAAGCGAGCCGCCGTATCTAAGCAAGTGACTTATATCTGGCATTGCATGCGACCAACCAACGTAATAGGAAGGAAGGTTGAGCGATTTGAGTAGCATAGCGAAATTCTCTCAAACTTAACCTCGGCGCATGCCCTGGGTAGGAATTGGGCCGCCAGGCTGCATGCCCATCTGGCTAGCCATGCCATAACCATGTGGGTCAAACCCTGTTGACATGCCGTTCATCATCAATGGGCCAAGACCCTGCGCCTGGGAGACAGGGCAGTCCTTGTGTGCTAGTAGAAGAGTCTTAAGGTTGACTATCTCCTCGCGTAGTTGTGTAACAGTAGCAGTCAATGCATCGTTCTCGGTAGTGAAGAGCTCAACCTTGGCCTGCAAGTTGGCTAGCCACTGCTTCTTGCGTTGACGACACTTCAATGCAGCAACACTATAAATGAAGTTAGTATTGATGATAGATGTTCTCTATTCAAAAAAGACATACCGATTGCGCTCTAAGAAGTTGCGTCGCTTTTCCTCGTCCGTCATTTTCTTAGGATCAGCCGATGTTAATCTCTTCATCTCTTCGTCTTCAGAGTCCATGTCGGATGGCGGCTCCATACTGCTGGCCTTCATCTTCTTATTAGGACCTTTAGGAATATCGTCTGCCTTGCGTCGGTTATTAACAGCGGGGTGAGGCTTAGGAGCATTCTTCTTGCCCTTGCCCTTGCCAGCGGGCTTGGTAGGCTCCTGCTCAGAACCCTCTCCACTCATCTCACGACCGCTTGTTCCGTTGGTGTTCTGCGATACGCGGCGTGCGGCGGCGGCATTTTGCATGTTTTGGCTCATTTGCATGTTGTTAGGTTGACCACCCTTAGCGAGCATAAAGAGGCCATTCGCAGCATCGGCAGCATCGTGTTGAGTAAACTGGTCTGCAGGCGCAGATTGAGGAGGTTTAACATCCATGTTCGCGTTCTGGGCCTGGTCCTGTTCGTTCGCTTGACCATTCGCGCTGTTCTTCTTGGCGTTCAAGGCGGTGCGGTGGAACTCAATCGTAGAGGGGGTGGCACCGCCGTTTTGAAGTTGTTGTAACAAAGCTTGGGAGTTAGGGCTTGGTGCTGGGAACATCGACCCACCACCCCCCGGGGTCAATCCAGTGCGGAGAGATGATTCGTTGGGAGTTGGGAAACCTCTGCCAATTTGGTCGAAGTAATCATTAGATCCAGTTGGGCCGGGAAGCATGGCGGGGCTCAGGGGCCCTGATCGAAGAGAGTTGGACCAGTTGTAGCCGCCAGCAGAGCTTGCACCAGGAATTGCCGGCGAGGTGAGCGATGCGACGGGCGGCAGTAGCGACTTGCCGGGTGTGTCACCGGGGTTGCCGCTGAAGGACTGTTCAAATGGATTGGGCTCCAGCGAGAAGGGATTGTGGACAGAGTTGAAGTAATCGGGGGTATCACTAGCGGTAGCTCCGGTTGGGCGTCGCGGTGGCGCCAGCGAGGTTTGACCACCAGGTTTTTGGCCCTGTTCTGAAGACTGCGAGTCTGGCAGGCGAGTCAGCATGTATGATGGGGGCACAGTATGACGCGCGCGAAAAAGGTACCAGGAGGATGTCGAAGACGAGGGCCCTTCATTGTGGAGGAAAGGCGGCAGATCGATGACGCCAGGTGTGAGATCATCCAAACGGCAGAGGGGGGAAGGTTGAGTTAAAGTAACTCCAGGTGGCGGATTACCAAGCAAAAAAAGAGGAATAATTATTATATTCGAGTATAATCAATTCTCTCTCTTTTTGCATTCATTCTTTTGTTTTGGTTTGCCCGGCCATCCTTTTTTTCATTGGGGAAGGGGGAAAGAGTGTAGAGACGGCAATATCATAGCATATATGAACAACAAGGGGAAAAGATATGTGCCAGGAGAACAGAACAACAAACGCGCACTTTTTTTTCTTCTTCTCAAAACGAACACGAACCTTCTTTGCTATGTTTTTTGGAGTCCATGGAGGACAGATTATTGGAAATCGTAGACACACTGGGCGCGACAGCAGCAGACATATTCGCACGAGGAACACGAAAAATATGAGGTTCAACACCGTGGCTTGCAGATTGACCGAAGAAGGTGAGAAGAAGGGAAAGTGACGTAGAGGGGAGGGGAATGACGACAATTTTAGGGAGAAGAAAACACCCATGTATTAAGTAACCACCACACGCGGAAATTACGGTATCACACCATAAACTGGCATCTGCGGGCAGGTTACTTGGGGGCCGGGGCCGGTGTATCGTGGTATTCCTCAATACCCCTTCAAAATTACACACCACGCGACATCCCAAAACCAGCACTACAGAAGGCTCGCGCGATCAGGACTTGTACAAAATAAATTGGAATCCACAGAACTCGTAAGGTAAAGTCCGCGTAACCGATACAATGATTTCTAACCGAAGGTCAGAAAAACAAGTTGAAAAAAAAATTCTAATTTGGAAAAAAAAAAAAAAAAAACCAACTTGGGGTTGGGTAATGAATGGCCTTAACCCCGTTGTTCTGGACTGTTCGCGCATGCACTTCTTTTTTTTTCTCTCTCTCTCTCAAGAATTTCTCCCCATACTAACGTCTATTAGATTCCGCATTTGTCTACGATCTCATAGAAAGAACAAAAAAATCTCTGTTCATACTAAAACGAACCCATGGGCCGTGGGAATGAACAAGGAGGAGGGGAAGTAACCCTTGACACGCCCGAATGTCGAGGATTGTCGAACATGGAGACATGCAGTGGGTCCTGTAACTGAGTCTTGACCAATGATAGTCAACATAACTAGCGGAAAACACTGTCTTCTCGTTGCCAACAGGAGAAAATTCAGTCTAATCTAGTTCCCTCTTGATCCATTCCGATTCCGAGTCCACTGCAGGGTCCAGGGTATTGTAGATATCCTCTCCTTTAAAATGTGATATCGGCTCTTCGCATATATATTTTTATCTGCTTGAGCAGCTCGCATACTGGTAAATTGATGGGATCGCGGAATCCTTCAAAGATAAATTACCGTACATCTTGGGGTGGTAAAACCAGATGTAATGATTTCACGATGACGACGACAGGAATGTGTCCCGGCTGTTGGGCCAGCAGAGTGGGGTCCGAACTTGGGGGGATTTCAACCAGTCATATCGAAGGAGTATCGTGAGGTGGGAGTGGGGGGAAAAGCGTAACGATGAGTGGTCAAGAAGGAGACTTGAATGGGGATGAAGCGGGATGAAAGAAAAGAATCAATATCACACTATCCTGTTTTCGGCCAATGACGCAATCCACGTGAGAGTCCCGGTCCACAAAGTACGGGATGACGTGCGTGGCCTGTGAACCGGGTCTAGATCGGTGGTTCGGGTTGGCAGATATACTTTGGAGGAACTATACATATCATAGTGTTGGTATACAACCACTCACTATATCGACCCATATTGAACACTGGAGATCTGGTAGAACTTCGATTGAGTATTATGCATTTTGAAGATTGGTGGGATAGAATCCACTCTGGTCTCGATTTCTCTTCTGTTTGCCACTGTTTGGGGGCGACCGTAAGGCTCACTCCACTACTCACCGTATCCTGCATGAGATATACACAGCACATGTAGTGACATAAAAGACGCATCGCACATTAGACACTAGAGCCTCCGCATAAGCAGATATAACTCCAGAATGTTTCATATCCCACAACTGGAAGCTGACATCCCTATACAGAAGACTCGTCGTACATGATGCATCTGATGCATATACAGTAGAACATTGAATCGCCAAGACACAGACAAGAAACAGTACCTTGCCATTGGTCCCTGTCCGGAAAATTCCATCCATCATTGAAGACAAACTTGTTGAGTAATCAGTTCGGTCGCACCTCGACCGCCTTAATACTAGCAATCAGAGACAATGCGCCCCCACGTCGTTGCAGCTAAGACGTCCAAGGTTGGTCCTCGGTTATCTAGGTATTATCGATAAGGGAGCTATGGCACAATATCATTTATCATTGCTATCTCAGAAACTAAGTTCGAATGTTCCATTGCGGGGAACCCCTGACTTTCCCGTGAGCTGATCAGCATAATGTTCCATTTAAGCTCAAAAATGTCACCGGCATTGCAAAACATCACACTACGCAAGTGGCTCCGACGAACCACTAGTGGGTCCTCACTCCGTTATCAAACCTTCGGCATGACCCCTTAGCGCTGCTCCATGCAGAACTTGACCCCAAAAACTGGTAAAGGTTTGATTTGTGGCTGCACACTATGAACAGGGGTTGCGTTAAATCATGGGCTAGAAATAGTACACATTTCACCGTGCTATCCAGATCTCTTTCTTGTCTTGGCATGGTTCACCCCCTATCGTCCATTGAACTGGGAGTCTTTTGCATATCGTGATTCAATATCCAGAGTGTCCATTTGCTACGTACAGAATGCCCTAGCTAAATAATATACGTGGTCTCTCGGGCTCGGGGTAGTAGATAGTCTTTTATGGTGATTTGAGATGTCTAAATCCACATGTGAATGTACAGAGATCCCTAGTACTTTCTGCTTGTCGATTTGAATCGTCTATTTGTATGGTTCATGATACTAATTTAGATCTATATATCTACGATCGGGGCTTTGAATCAATGGCAACGCTCTCTTTGCAAGGTTGGTGTTTATCGTTGCCGTGAAACGGGGTTTGTACGCGGTTGGATTTTTGTAGTATGTGCCCCTCAACAGTGTCGTTAAATAATTAGCCCCTATTAATTCCAATACGACTGCACGGTGAAGCATATATTTATTCGGGAAGCCCAACCTGGGAAGCCCTACTAGGTAGTAGTACCTACAGGGGGTTCCAAAACCATAGCCCGGGCTTCTGGTCGACTTTTTTTGGGAGATATCAATTTTTGTTCCTTCATCGATATATATTCTGGGTGTCGATGTACCACATGCATACTATGAAGAAGCACTGGCAGTCACTACTCAAAATATTTGAATACGGACCTGGTATATAGATGCTTCAAGTTTTGATGGGTCAGTTCTTGAAGAGATCATGGACAGAAATTAGAGAAAAATCCAATGAGCTTATAACTAATCGCCAGATAACCACTTGCATATCTCATCTTTCTAGATCGACTCAATAAACATTGATTGCGGGGCCCGTTATCTTTGGTCCATGATGTCAAAGTGTGAAATTTCTCGAATATGACTGGCAAGATGGCCGAGCGGTCCAAGGCGCACGGTTCAGGTATACCTGATCCATACATCCGTGTCTCGATTTCGGGGCGGGGGTTCGAATCCCCCTCTTGTCACTTTTTTGCACTCTCTTCCTTGAGCTTGGTTAATGTTTTTGCTGGTGGCCCAAGGTGGGCTGGATGTAGATGGCGGTGAGAAGTAAGCCAGCCCATGGAATGTGGCGTTGGTAGGTTAAATGTTACCTTCAACCAAGAAACAAGTCAATTTGCTCGAGATCTTTGAGCCCTTTATCGACTCTGTGAATGAAGAGTGAGAACGAAACCCATTCCTTTCAACATGCGTTTAGAAGCGAATCTGTGAAGATTTGAGACATATAAGAGTCTTGATAGTATAGACACATGGGTAACTAGTATATCTGGTAGCCTGGGTTGTACTTCATCTCGGCTTGATTGATGTCTGCCTTGAGGAAAGGAAAATCAAAATCAAATAAAGAGAAACATCGCTTGTACTATCAGTTAGTATCTTCCGACAACACTTCAAATCCCAAGGAAATTGATTTAATTTTTCATTCCAAGGTTGGATTTAGTGGTACCTGATCGACACCAGCTTCCGCTTTGTTTTGTTGCCGTTTCACTGATTGACCGCCTGCCGTGCCTAACCCGCCGCGTGTACATTTTCCCTCTTAACCCTTCTCTTCAAGCATCGCCCCGCCTGTCCAATTCCTCTCAAGTCTCCTCGGTCTGCGTGAACTGTTGTTATACCCCTGCCCATCATGTCGCTGGGAGAAGAATTCCGTTTACGCAACTTCAGTATGTTTTGCCTTGTGCTCGTGCGGCAGCTCTGTCGATCAACTGCCGGTGGATTCCCTTTCTCCGCTAACATTGCGATTATCTAGGCATCTACGGTCAATGGTCAGTAACCTCATCTTCTGTCATACTTGAGAGAACCCCCCGATCGATGTCACTTTGGACTCTGGATCAAAAAGAAGGGATGCGCCAGCGCCGTAACACTGGTGGCGCTCATTCGACATCCCGCGCCTCCCGCTTCATAATTCAACAACCTCTGTTCAAGAAAGCTTTGGCTGACCATTTACTGATAGGACCGGTGTACTTGCACTCATCCTCTGCTTGGCGCTCGGTATTGCCAACATCTTCTCTTTCCACGTTGTGCGGATCATCTTCTCCGTCCTCTGCCTGTAAGCTTGTTTGTCTTCTTTCACAAACGCCACATATTCTAATAATGCGATAGCGTCTCCGCTTTTGTTATTCTCTTCATTGAAGTGCCCTTTCTCCTCCGCATCTGTCCCACATCTTCCACTTTCGATGTTTTCATCCGCCGCTTCACGACCAATTGGATGCGCGCCGGAATGTACACCGTCCTCAGCGCTATCCAATGGGCTAGTCTCTGCTCTGGAGCCTCTAGTCTGATCGCCGCCGCTGTTGTACTCATCATCGCCGCAATTTTCTACGCCTTAGCTGGTCTGAAGAGTCAGGAGTTTGTCGGTAGCAAGACCTTGGGTGGCCAGGGTGTTGTACAGATGATCGTTTAATCGCGCTTGACTTCTGGAACTGGTCTCCTGTTACTATATTTGACTCCTTGGGTATATGCGACAGTCTTATACTTTGGGTGTCGATTGTATGGGGGAAATGATGAGATGCTCGATGCGAAATTTTCGAAAATGCCTTTTGGGCAACTTGCATTGGAACGCGCTACGATCTTACTGTTTATTCGTCCTGTACTTGTATTTCTTTGATTGGACTGTGGTGATCCCTTTGGCATATCGTTATTCTAACAAGGGACATATTTAAAGTGTTTTCTTTATGTTTAGGTCTGCCTTAGCTCTTACGACTCGATTTTATTGTTGGAAGTTTAAATCGATACAGCCTACTGGCTCTTTGGTCTAAAGTAATGTACTACTCCTTTTGCATTTGTCTGAATATCGACATAGACCTTGTAGTGTACATATTCTATTGTTTATTTGCAAAGCTAGACCAAGTCATGAGATTAGCAGGTAGGTAGCTGGACCGGCACTCTAAACGTGACTTATGGTCATGGATATTTAATAGGTTAATTTAAGATCTGGTCTATAATGTCAGACTAGTGGACCCACCTCATACCAAGGCAAGATGGCCGAGTTGGTCTAAGGCGTCAGGTTAAGGCCCACCTTGACTATTGTATCATACAATTTCCTGATCTACGTTTGTAGGCGTGGGTTCAAATCCCACTCTTGTCAATTTTCTTTTTTTTGTGATTTTTTTTTCCGGCCATTGATTTTTTTTCGTCTCATGAATCACCACCATCCATGTATAATGGTAATTGTAGAAACGCAGCAGTTGAGTGGAGCGCATTGCAGCCTCATGCGTAATAATATTCGTGCTGCAGGTGGAAATAGTTCCGAAGTGCCCCTTCCCACCAATTCCTGGAAAAGAAGAAGAAAAAGAAAAGAGGAATTGAATTATACCTTTCTTGTCTAAATCTCATAATCTCCACCCACCAACGTTCAGTTTTGAAGTCTGAAAACAAGCTTGAGAATCTTGCAAGGGATGTTTTATTCCTCAGGCGTGGAAATCTATAGTTCCTTGCCTTGGAAGTACGTAGTACGTAGTCAGTTTGTTTATTATAATTGATTTTCTCCCGTCCCCCATGGATCGCAATAAAGGATATCCTGTCTTTCTCACAATTACAATGCCGTCTCATGGCCCACAGGACGATGGAAGTCAAGTGAAAGACATCCAAGAGTTACTATCAACAAATGAGGTTGATGTGAGACAAGATCCCATCAAATGGTCAACCGCAAGGAAAGTGGCCATTCTGGGCCTTATAATATTCGCCAACTTCAATGAGTAAGTGCCACTCAAAAGCTGTTACTTCATTTTCATTAACTTAAAATGAACAGGTCCCTAGGTTCATCCATCATTACTCCAGCTGTGCCTCAAATTGTCCATGAGTTCCATGAGGCCAGCCCATCTATTGCGTCTTTTTTGATATCAATACATGTGATTGGATTTGCAATAGGGCCTCTTATACTATCTCCACTAGGAGAGGTATATGGGATAAGTCCACTGATGCATGGGTCAAATGTCTTGTTTGTGATATCTTCAATTTTGAGCGCACTAAGCCCTAACATGAGATTGCTACTATTCTCACGCGTGCTTACTGGGCTGGCCGCTTATGTGCCTAATATAATCGGAGCTGGCTATACAGCAGACCTTATTCCAGTCGAAAAGCGTGGAAGAATATTTGCACTCTTAAGCTTCGGCACTTTATTGATATGTTGATTGAAAGAAGCAAACTTGAAAAGAAAATAGAAATGCAAGATATGAATTGCTGACCTGCATTCAGAGATCGATAATGGGTAAGATGCAAGAGCAATTTGAACCACCCTCTTCCAAATATTGGTCTTTAAAATCTAATTTCTTTTTAGGTCCCGTAATAGGCGGATATATAACAGTTGCTGCGTGGTGGCGGTGGTCATTATACACAGAGACAATTGTGGTAAGGAAAGGGGTCTCATTATATCGACCAATCAACTAATACTTGGATCTAGTCCGGTGCGACAGCGTTTGCAGCAATATTCGCCTTGAAAGAGACATTTGCTCCTGTCATCAGAAAGCGAGTTGCTTCCAAAGAATCCATGAACCGGTCTGATGTGAAGGCAACAATCCGAGAAGCTATCGTTCGCATCCTAAAATTAATGATTCGATCTCCAACTGTTATTCTCGCAACAACACAGGTATCCATTGAATATGTATACAATTATCTCCTAATGACTTCTTTCCTTTCTATTTTTGGGGATCGATATGACTTCAATGCCGGTCAACTGGTCTCGCTTTTATTGGACTTGTAGTGGGAAATTCCATAGGGCTGATCACCTCTGGTCCTTTCTCAGACTGGTATCTTAACCGACAAAGACACCATAATGGGAAGAACACCCCCGAGGATAGGCTGGTCGCTAGCTTCGCTGGCAATGTCGTGATTGCTGCTGAACTTTTCTGGTACGGATGGTCTGCCCAAGTTCGCCTCCATTGGATGATGCCTCTGGTAGGCGCTTCAATTACTTCTATAGGAGGCGGAGTGGTCTTCATAGCTATCCAGACATACTTGACGGATTCTTTCGGTGTGTATGCCCCCGGTGCTATTGCCGTCAACACAGTGATCCGATCGATTCTTGCTGCAGTCTTGCCTCTTGTCATCCCTTCATTATATCACCGCTTGGAATATGGCTGGGGAAGCAGGTTGTTAGGGTTCCTGGCCCTGGCTTTTTTGCCAATAAAACTCATACTCTCCAAGTATGGTGCGCAGCTTCGCACCCACCCCAAATTTCAAGTCATATGAGGATTCCCGGAGAATCTGCTCTATCAACATTAATACAGCATCTTGTTCCATGGGCATCAACCCTCATGAGCTTCTGCGGCAAGGAGGATATTTTGAGAGAAGCACCAAAGCATAGATATATGCAGGAAAAAAAATAAGCATCTGATTCTGCCAAATCAAATCTCCCGGGTAGCATATATTTAAGGCTTCCAAAGTCAGCCTCATAAGCCATCGAGTTTAGGGTGCCCGGGTGGGAACAAAAGCCAAACGTATAGGCCGTGTGTAAGAGATTCACCAGATGTCCAAAATATTACATTCTGCACATTATTAGGATAATTTTGAATCATTCGGACTAGTTCTGTTTAGTTCAAACATGCATCGGATTTGCCAAGGTTTTTTGCGGGGCATCATCCATCCCCTCTGCATAGTACGAGGGACTAGAGCGTCCGGCGGGAAAACCACTCCCCCTATTTCACTTATTTCAGACCAGCAGAAACCACAACATCTGTAATACAGAATACGTCGAAGCTTACGACCTTGGAGGATTAAGAATTTTACTTCAAGTTCGCCAAATTGAGCTTTATCATGGTACTATCCTAAGATATAACTGCAGATTGTTTACAACAGATAGTCTTCTACTCCTCCTTTGACTCGTCTTTCTACCTAATGTTCTACTATTATCTATTCAGAGTTTGTATTGCAGATTGCAGAGTATTAAGCGGCAAAGGTTAATAAATGACCAGTGATGTTTTTTTCACTGCTGGACGATATATCCGTATACATAGACAAGATTGCAGCGCAGGCCGTGTGCAGGTTCTGATCAGCAAAGTTGCGGTGAAGAATGATTTACATACCATGAACAGCTACATAATCTCAGAGTTATCATTCACTTCCAAAGTTTCAACAAAAAAAGCATAATAATATAGCCTTTGAAGGGAACCGAATACATCAAACTATGTATAGCAGATTAAGCACAATGGGAAACTCCAAAGACACTTATAAGATAGTATTCAAATCCTGGTTTATGGTGGAGTCAGTCTACACGTGCATGTGCATGTGCATATGTAATCAATCAAAACTTGAAGTAGCAAAGTCGTCCCAATCACGACAACGGCACATCTCTGGACGAATAACCCAGATACACCTAATAACCTAGCCATAAGGTAAACGAAGGGAAATATAAGCGAGGGGACTGGGAATGAAAATTAGGGTTGAGTGTAGAGCTTTCAAATGCTTCATTCGTAGCATCGCATGTATCTAGTGGTTTTGGGCTTTCCTTCCATTGGATAGACCATTTCGAAGATGCAAACGACTTTCAATTATTCTTTAACATCGGAAAACAACTTCAAACGCGTCCCCTCCAAGGTGAGATGGGAAGATGTCTGTATAAGACGAAATACAGTTTGAAAATCCTCAAAGGACCGTTGCCAATCGATCTTCGGGTCAGGCGTGGCTTCGCTCAAGTCAGGTAACATGCGCACGCCGTCACTAGACATGACACCAATCAGTACCAGATTCTAAGGAGCTTAACCAGACTCATCTGGCATCTTCCAGCGCCCAAAAATACTGTCCACGGGAATGGACTTCGTGCCCTGAACAGACAGCAGTGTTTTAAACTTCCAGGCTCATGAAGCTTCTGGGCCCAGCTTTGCAATATCTTTCGCATCAATTCCTAAGCTGGTGCTGCCTTTGTGGCTATTGATTCCAAAACACCGGAGTCTCGTCTCGGCAACATCGTGTCACAAGTTGATGCCGAAGTAATCCTCACCTCTCTTGCGAACAAGACCTTGGGAGCCCGATTGGTGAACACCGTTGTCACTGTCTCATCCGGAGCCTTCTCTACAACAGACTCTACAATAAACTTCACTTCTACGATTTTGCCGCATACAGCTATGATGTATCAGTCAGTAATGTTCTCGCAGTTCTCGTAACAGGCGGTTGTATCTGCACACCGAGCGAATCAGACCGACTGGACAATATGCAGGTAGTATAACACCACTCAAACAAATACAACCGCTCTCACCCCATCAGTCGCACGATTTCTTGCCTCAAATACTGTCCCTAGATTCCTCTCTTTTATTCTGGTCGGAGAAGCGATACGGAAATGGATGTCACCCAATCAGCCTGGCCGACATGGTCGGCTATATAAGACGGGTGACCCTGTTCGGTATTAAAAGGATGGCACATTGGCATATTTGGGACGAAAAGATGCACAAGTCAAAATTCGCTGGAATCGTGTGGATTTGGGTGGGATTGAGCATCATGTTCGAAAATGCTTGAGGGATATGGCTCAGCAAGTGGTGGCTGAGTTGGTAATGTTACCAGGGCCAACTCCAAAGCCGACACTGGTGCTTTTTATAAAGGAAGAGACAAGGTCCCAACCCACGAACGACGGCAAATGCGAGGAATACAGCATCTGGTAAACGGATATTGTTGCTCTGCTTTCGTTAGTAGCCAATTATGGTCTGATGGCTTGGTGTATTGCATGGCATCTTCAGACGATAAGTATGCAGACATATGTGACGAGATACCTAACATTGAAATTTCTCTCCTCGGAAGTAGATATGGTGCATAGACGCTGATGACTATACATCGCCTATTATACAACCTTGGAGTAGTGAACAGTACAATTTTGTTCTGCACAAGAATTTCCTTGTACTCTCGTGTAGATCCCACCCTCAGTCTGTAATATGACGTAGGGGGGGCTAGTAAAGATCTAAGGTGTGGAAGGCAGATCAAGTTAATTAAACCTGGGGAAGGAATATCGAAAATCCAGTGAACATATAAAAATATTGCAACCTGCGTCCTGGGGTTAGTGACCAAAGCACTGTACAGTATCTTGCTTATCTAGACTCAATTAATTGGGCGACCATAATCCATTTTTGAGGCTTTGTGAGTGGGCCTCTGGGCTGTAAGATAAGTGAGTGTACATGAACTGAGTATTAAATACCTCGGGCGATATCAGTTGATCCATCTTTAAATCAGTCAATAGCCAATTATAACCAAGAAGTACCAAAGCATTGAATATTTTCTGAATACTGATTGGATACATTGAAATTATCACATGATCCCCGCGGGATCTTAGTGAGTCTAGATACGCATATCACGCACCTAGTCACCCTCAATGTTAGAAGCTCGGACTGGAGTTTATTCAGCCAACTTGAATCTCAGTTCCCTGATAAGAGCGATCAATGTCCTGGCACCGTATATGAGATACGGGCTATTAATAGGTGCTTGGGCCCATGGTCTAGCCCGAAGAGAGGGGTGAAAGAGAAACAGGAAAAGGAGCCATTCACAGTGCCCGCCCACTGCGGAGTAGAGATAATTTGCCCCAAACCCAAATGTCTCGACCACTCTCCACTCCCCTAAGAAAATTTGCCCCAAAAATGCCTCAAATCATGAATGGCTGATAAGTACGAAGTAAAAAATCAGAAACAAAATTAAACCGCTCAAGTTTGATTGCGAGGTATGTTGCACTAGTAGAATATCTGGAGCTTGAGCCCTGGAGTACCTGGAGGCCTGTAATAAGACCGTAAAATAACCTGTAATCTATGGACCTGGGGCCTATGGATGCGGTCAGAGCACGTCACGCGCCCGGTGGGTCCTGGCAGAAAGTGACATACATCATCCTGCTTTCCCTTCAATCTCTGAAGTCATTTCGTTCTCCTCAGTTGATCGTTCTTGTTTTGAATTACTTTGATTTCCTTCAATTAGCCTTTGGGCATTCAGGATAATATACTTCCACCATTCTGGGTAAGTAATAATTCCAATACCTGTCTTATCAGTCTGCTGCACCCTTTCCCCTCCATCGATATAGACCTTAATGCAATGGTCTGGACCTATCTTGCATCTCTGCATGTCATCTCTCTTGGGGGCTTGACCCCCACATTATAGATTCTGCCCAGGCTTGGCCTACAAGGATCAGAAGACGACTGCAAGAGGTCCAAGCTGGGTTCAACACGTGTCCCTCGGGCAGAGCAAGATCCAGCCTAAGCTGATATTGACATACCCCAGCTTTAAAACGACCTTCATTATGTCTACTCAAACTGCTCCGGCCATCCCCCCTCGACCGGCTCGATCTCCAAAGCCGCCTTCTTCTATAGACATGCCTAATATCCCTCCGCGTCCGACCAACCGTCGTATCGACCGATCAGTGTCTCCAATGAGGAACAGCTATGCGCCTTCCCCTTTCAACGAGTGGAGTGGCCCGAGCTTGAGCCGAACAGTCTCAAATGATATCCCTCAACGCCCTCCCAGCGTAACAATACCGTCCCTTGGCGAGGAAGGCATTGAATATGCCGATCTAGATGTAGCGAATGTGCCCGAGGGTCATAGTAATCAGGCTCCGGTGGAAACCCGCAACGTTAGCAGTGATCTCAAGATTCATGCACCAAGACCCTCCTTACCGACGTCAAGTGCTAAGGCCCAAGTGCAGGCGGTTACTCGCACAGACTCCCGCCAGGCTGCCGCCGCAGGACTGGGCCGAGACAGTGAAAACTCCCCCGCAATCGAAGAGCCGGAACGGGCTAGTCGTTCTCTACACTCCCGAGCAAGCCACTCGCGGGCCGAGTCCTCCACAGCTTCTTCTGATCGTCGTCTGTCCACCCAGCTTGGGGAAGAACATGGATTCCGAGTTCCAATGTACCCCAATGCGGGTGATGTCCAGGCACCGTCCCCTAGTCCTTACCTAGAGCAACCTTCTCCACGCACAGGTCGCAACCATCACCGTTCCCGTAGTGCCCGAGATTCTTCTTTACCTCCCGGCAGCTATGGTCTGCATGGACACGGAGTCCAACACAACGACAAGTTCGAGAAGGCGTGGTACGAGAAACACCCCGATAAATACGTCAAGGAAGAAGGGCAGTATGGCCCAGGCGTGGGAACTCCTCGTCCTGATTGGGCACTGAGCAGCGACGACTTGAACAAGATTGTCCGAGGCCCTGGTCCGGTTGGCTCCCCTGCTGGTAAGCTGCGTAATTATTGTAGAATCTCACCCCATCATAAGCTGACTCAAAAGCATCAGGTGCTTCTCCCGTCGTTCAAGGAACACCAGAGGAAGAGGTTGGGTACATTGCATCTGATGAATACACTCACCGTATGTCATCCCCTCCGCCTGACTCTCGTCTTGAGTCTCAGCCCACTGTGGAATCTCCCCTTCGCCAAATGAGTTTTCCAGCCTCTGTAACCGAGCCAAACGAAGCTCCCGTCTCAAAGCTTCGCCATGTCCGATCGAGCTCGCATGGCCATCATGCCGACGAGGATATAATTCACATTGATGACCCCAAGCATCATCTTCACCATCCAGATGGATTTGCTCCCACTCCAGCTCAAGATGAGCCTACACCTGAGGTAGAGGAGCTGAGTGAAGATGAGCCAATTTTAGCTGCCGACGAAGTGCGCCCTGGCTCGGCATACCTGCATCCTGCAGTTTCTCCAACCCGTGGGAGCTTCGATGATGAATACCGGAGCCGCACTCCATCCCACAGCCGCTCTAACAGCAGGTCAACCAGTGCTCAAGGTGCACCTATGTTAAGTCGCTTCGACTCACGCGAAATGCACGAGGACAACTATACGCCCCTCGAAGATGTTGCCGAATACGAACCGCTGTTCCCAGAAGATGAGAACAAGAAGGAGCAACCTATCTCAACTACAGACCGCTTTAAGAACCGCCCAGACTTTGCCAAACATAGATTCCCAAGCCAGGATATCTGGGAGGATACGCCAAACAGTCTCCAGCTCCACGCTACTGTTTCAACTCCAGACATCGTCGAGCGTGAATCAAAATCCTTCGAGTCACCAAAGCAAGAGGCCACACGAAGAATGCAAACAGCCAAAGTCGATTCACATCAGGTAGCCAGCCATATCTTAGAAGGTGAGGGTGCTCGTGACAAAGAAAAGGTCACCAAGCGACCAGACACCATCAAGCAGCGCTTTCCTAGTCAAGATATCTGGGAGGACGCCCCTGATAGCCAGCAACTTGTAACCACCGTACAACCCGCTGAAGATGAAGTGAAGAGCCCGGAAGTACCCACGAAACCTTCAATCCCTGTTCGCCCCCAAAAGCAAACTCAGCCTACCTCGCCAACAGAGAAGCGGCAACCACCCATTATACCCGGTCGCCCTAAACCTCAGATTCCATCTCGTCCTGCCAGGCCTAGCGCACAGACATCACCCGAAGCTGCACCGACCAGCTCAGGTACTACGGAAGCTGAAGGTGAAGCACCTGCTGTGCCTAAAGCAAAACCAGCAGTTCCAGCTCGTCCCGGGGGTAGCAAAATTGCAGCTCTAAAGGCCGGATTCCTAACAGATTTGAACTCACGACTCCAGCTGGGTCCTCAACAACCAAAGCCCCAGGAAAAGGAGCCTGAACCGGCGGCAGAGAAACAGCCCCTCAGTGATGCTCGCAAGGGAAGAGCTCGTGGTCCTGCTCGACGAAAGCCCGCCGTAGAGAAAGCCAGCGCTCCTCTACCCACTGTTCCAGAAATCAAGATAACAGAAACCTGGAATGTATGGCACATTGGCCAAGATGGCTCCTTGAAGGTCGGTAATGAGGATAGTGCTGCAAAATCGCACGAACCATCTGAGACTCCCATGGCACCGGAGCTTGCAAAGAACACAGCTGGCGAATCTGTCGATCCATCCCCAGAAGCCTCTGTTGTAGTACAGCCTGTGGAAGAGCCGGTGGAAAAGTCTGCGGAAGAGCCTGCGGTAAATCCTGTTGAAGATTCCCCTGCAGATGCCGATTTGATCTCGGAGAGCGAGACAAAACCAGTTGAAACTTCAACTGAAGAAGAGATCTTCCACTCAGTAGCCAAGCCAGAGGTCCCGAAGGATGAACCACAGCCAGAGATTAAACCCGAAGAGCCACTCACGGAAACCAAGGACACCGTATATGATGAAGAAGTTGCCTCCGAACAGCTGGATACCGCTTTAGAAGATATGGCTGCCTCAGCGGACGGCAAGAGGGCATCTGACGGGGACGTCCACGACCTACCTTCGTCGTCTTAATATCTGATTTTTGTTTCTCGTGCTTCATTTCATTTCTTGTTATTCTAATGTCCTGTCTTCTTGTTCATTTATCCCCTTTTTCTTCCTCCCTCTCCTTTACCACTGACGAGTTGAAAATCGAAATTATGAGTGGAGTTTCATTTTTATAATGGGCCCTTACACATCTCATGCCACCCTCTCGATACTACTAACATTATTTATGCTCGTGCTACTTTCATTCAGCCCGTTGTGTTGTTTACTGAATGCTTGATCGAATTATCAAGCTTTAAATCCCATCCACTGGGGCATATTAGTAGAATGCCAAATCATCTGGGAGTCTTTTTTTGTCTTCGTTTGGCATTTGGCATTTCTGTAAAATGGCCCAAGGCCTCGTTAAGTATAATAGGTTGCTTTCTGGTATATAGTTGTGTAATAGTAAACGGTTAGATTTGGTAACAACCTCTAGTGCTTAGAACTCGTTGAACGCGTGCTACTTGATGGTCAATCCACACTTGATATTCCTATTTTTCTACACCGATACGCAAGGCATCTAATTAAGTACTACGTGTGAGGACCAGTGCGCGAGAGTAAAAAGTAAAGGATTGTAATTTACGTGCCTTGAGGCATACGGGCGACAAATATCCATGGATGTATGTATTGTAGACCATGTTCCTATCAACTGCGATGTACGCAAAACTGTCTGGTGCAGGCGAGAAAGGAAGCCATGTTCTCAAAAAAAAAATTTAAAAATAATAATAATCAAAGTGAGCATTTTGGACTGGGAAGGAGCCCAGTGTGGGGTATTGCATTCAATGAGCAGGAACTGGAACCGAAACGCAAGATACATGGAGTTCCACGAAAGGGGAGTCAGTATCAATCAATGTGCATATGCCAAATCCATCAATGAACAGGGGATGGAGGGCCTTTTTTTGCTTTTCCAAATTTTCCTTTCTTGGGTTGAGGTGAATTTTGGGGCAAACCAATAGACGATCGGCAGATTGCAATTCGCAATTCGCAATCCAGAAGCTGCAAGTGCAAACAAAGTGATTCGAAATGATGAAAAGCCGATGGCATAGAGTTGGGCTATGTAGATAGGACGCCAGCTGGGGGTTTAGCTGACGGGCAGATTGGCCAGGTCACCCTTGCCATCCTTGACCCATTCTGGGTTAATCAGACGCTCACGCTCGGCATAAAGTTGCTTGTAAGCGCCACGGATTGTTCCATCAGAGACGTGAGCGACTGCTGAAACCTCCTTCGCTGACTTGCCATGGCCCATCAAGTATGATGCCATGTAGATGCAGGCAGCCACGATAGACAGTGGTGAACGTCCAGCAAGGTCACCGTCGGATGTAACGCGGTCAGACAGCGAAGAGGACACGCTGGTAACCTGGTATGGGAGATCGAGCAAGTTGCAGAAACGACTGCAGAGATCGCTGGGCTTCGTCGAGGTGGTAGCGGTGTAGTTATCACTTTGGTCGACAACACCGCCGTTGGACACAACGGCGGCATTTCGCTCGACGTTCTGAGCAGTAAAGAACTTCTCGAGAGCCTTGTAGATTCTGCCAATTTCCTTGCGACTAACCTTGGTCACAGCGAAGATCTCGGTGAAGGTACGAGGAACTTTGCACTGGCGGCAAGCAATGAAAATACAACCAGCGATAATCACATCCTGGGATTTTCCCTTGAACGCCTTAGCATCGTCCACGATCTTGAAGAGATACTTGGCAGTATCGGCAACATTCTTCTGGATACCGAAACCATCACACAGACTACCAATCTCTTTGTAAGCCGCTAACAAAGCCTTGTTGGACTTTTCGTTGGACTGCTTGTTCTGGGCCCGGTAGAGATCGCGAGCTCGACCAGAAGCTCCACTAGCAATTGAAGTTTCGAGCGGCTGGCCGTGCAGCTCACTGGGGGCTTCTCCAACACGGGACGGGTCGCCGTTGTTCTGGTCATCGTTCGAAAAGGTTCTCCACTCAGAGTGCATATCGATTTCGCGGTCTGCAAGGACCAAGCCACAGGTTCCACATACGGTCTCGTGGGAATCCGGAAACTCCAGGTTGGGGGGATTATCCTGGCATTCGGGACAAATCAGAGTCGCAGACAGATTTTTTTTCCATGCAGCTCCTGCCATTTCGGCGCTTGCTGGACCCGACATGGCCGCCATTTTCTTTGCTTGCCGAACTTCTTCAAAGCGAGCTTCTCGTCTCTTGGCGAGTCGTTTGGCGGTGACGGGGATGTTAAATTTGCGGTTGTAGTAACGAAGGAACAGTGGCGAATACAACTTGGCGGTTGGACCACGGGCAGGAAGAAAGAGCAGCTACCTCTTCAAAATGCGCGCACCACTACTCACGTAGTCAATGTTAGCCCACTTTGTCCAACTTTGAAGAACACAGCAAGTCAGTGTAGAGTCATCTCTCAGATGATAATCCATCTCAGGTGGCAATACCAGATTTGACTGGTCTTCCTCAAGTCTGTCATTACCTTCAAGTATGGCCACGCGCGACACAAAAGATCACCCCCCGAAAGTGAAGATCCAAACTTCACTAGTCTGCGCTTTCTGTGAAGAAGAAAGTAGATTGCAGAGCCTCGATGTGCCTCGGCTTGTCCGACCGTAATGAACCAGTCAAGGTCTCCGTAAGAGCGAACTCACGAAACGGGTCTTGAACGCGACGGCTGCAGAAATGCGATGAGCAGGGGAGTCTAGTTCCAGAGACAAGTTGAGGATGTGGGAGAGGGGGGTGGATCGAGAGAGTTGGCGAGAGGTGAGAGAGAGAGCGCAAAGTGAGTGGTGCGAGTGAATGAAGTCCGGCTGAAAGAAACCCGGGGTGTCACGTGTGGGTGACTAAGTGCCAAGCGTTTCTTTCCGAACAGAAGTCGTTTTGAACTTCACTGCACGGAACGACGGCTCAGATCTCCTCCCTGTCGAGCATCCCCTCATCTTACCTCTACCGACTCACCCCCGTCGTCAGAATGATGTCTCAGTCTCTCCGGGCTTCGGTGAGTAGAACTACACGGTTGCAATCTAGGCAAAAGACTAACGTTACAACCACCAGCGCTCCCTCTTCACCCGTGCCTCTCGGCAACAGGTCCCGGTCGCTCGCCGCACCTTCCTGACCTCCGCTGTCCGTCGCGGTATGTATCGATCTCGGAATTCTTGAAGGCACGGTATTCAAGGACTGCTACTATGCCCTCAATTCCGTCGGCTGTGTACTGACATAACCCCTCCAGCCGACCCCGTCCAGGACCTTTACCTCCGTGAGCTCAAGGCCTACAAGCCCACCCCCATCAAGGCTGGCGACGCCGACGCCCACGTCCAGAAGTTCGCTCTGCCTAGCGCTCCCGCTTCCCCCGAGGAGGCCAACCTTGCTGGCGAGCTGTCCTCTTACGAGAGCCAGGTCGTTGAGGTTGAGGGTCAGGCCGCCGCTGGTGAGGCCGCCCCCGTTGAGGAGAGCTGGTTCGAAGAGGATGAGGAAGAGACCCCTGCTGCTCACTAAATTTCCCTTTCTTTCATATGGCAAGGTCTCGGGAAATATGAGGGGACGGCCGTGCATGCCTGTGGCGTGCTTAGATTAGCCGCCTCTCGGGTCCTAAAGCTTGTAAATTAGACCACCTTGAAATGTTCAACCTCTTTTTACTTTGTTTCCAACACCGTTTCCCATCCATTGTGTCGAGCGTAGTGATCTATAGGGATAGAGCTGGTGGATATTGGAGTCCGGGTGAAGCTGGATGTATGCTATGCTGATGGGTCAACAAGCAGCCAGTCTGATTCGCATTTTATTATATCCATATCTGGGTGTATAGTAATGACCAGCTTGAGTACCATGCGTGGCAGCTTTAGAGCATTGCTGTGATACGAACGACTGGTATCAATCTATACGTGTGCATCGTTATGTTTATACCAATGATCCCACCTGGCAAACTGCGCGTGTTCGTATGCACTAAGATCATTCACTCCTATGTCATGGACCTAATCATTCAATCATTCAGTCTGTGCAATTAGTGCGTACCAGGTCCCTGTGGAATAACATGTGGAATAAAATATGAAACGCTATAATGGGGGAAGGCTGGCAGATACGAATATGCAGGTTAGGATTCGAATGCTTACAGAACTATTCCTTGCTAGTTTAACTCTTCATTCTATCCCTAACCTCACAAAAATCACTAGCAGTGTCCTAAATTGGCATTATAGGCCAGTGAGACCAGTGGTGAAACGTACTACTATAGTATACTCCATGGTGTAGCCTATATGCTCGGTTGAAGATTGAGAGGAGTTTATCGACTCGACATTGAAAATATGCAGCGCTCGTTTAATATTGATTAAGTATTGGATTAAGAAAACAAAACAAACAAAACATAATATCAAGGGCAGGCCAAAAAATTTACAAGCAAAAAAGAAATGACAAGAGTGGGATTTGAACCCACGCCTACAAACGTAGATCAGGAAATTGTATGATACAATAGTCAAGGTGGGCCTTAACCTGACGCCTTAGACCAACTCGGCCATCTTGCCTTGGATGAAAATTATCGGCAAGACTTGGCTACATGAGCAATTGTTAACTCGTGAAGGAATACATTGTCGAGAGTCTGGGGCTGAACACCCTGCATAATTCTTGAAGCTAATGACGTGGATAATCTGACCGAGTTCATTTTCTATGTTGTACCCGTCTTTCAAATCTTCCGTGATTCATGCGAAGTCCAGCCCTGCCTTGGTTTCCTTTTTGGTATCCATACTTGTTCATTTCGTGGGTTATATCTATGTCCAGGTGGCATTATGTCTTTACATCGAATGGCGGGAAATGTAGGGACAATACATTTGATATTGCATTGGTTGATTGATTGACTGCAGTAACGGGTCTCAACACGTCCTCTCTCAAACTTTCTGGCAGATCTGAATTCTGTAAGTGGCTTACAAAGACCAGTACGTTGACAGAGGGGCAACTGATGAAACCATCGTCAAAAGCTTGCGCAATGCCCTGGATACACCAGCGGAACAGCGCCAAACCCAAATCCCCAACCTTTCCCAGGTCTATCCATGGCGCACCACGGTCTCTTAATGGCGAGAATCCCTGTAAAGTGGGGAGAGAATGATGACGAGGTTCCTCAAGACGGTCTAGATTAATATGCTTGCCCCACGACTATAAGTCTATTTAATCCTGATGCTGGTCTGATGTGGTAGTCAACAGCTAGGAAATATTTTCCATCCCCTCCCATTACTTCCATGTAGCTCTGGCGGAATGTGGGGCATCGAACATGTCATTTGCGTGTTGTCAATTGTAGTGGCGGTGGGCATTCCGGGGTATGAATGGAATGTATCTCTACATAAGAATGAGATATCTGATGATGTATATCAACATGATAGTCTGTCCCGAGTCGTCATTGGCAATATGATATAGGATGTACGATGTACATAGCCGGGTACAGAAGGTTTCTTGTGCCAAGATTGTACCTCGTATATCCATGTTGGCAGGGGAATTGTAGATTCAGATACATTGTCTCTTATTGTCCCATGTACTGTAGCACTTCGCAGTACCTTTTGTCCGTACCCAGTGAAATACGGCGGAAGTGGGCGGATCGGGTAACTTGTCAACAACAACATAGTTACGGCCTTGTCAGTCGATTCTAATGAGACCGAAGCCTCCTATGCTTTCGATGATTGCATCCCAAAGCCATAAATATGAACACCCGTTCGTTCCCCTTTGTTCGAATGCAAATTGGATCCAAATCCCCGGAACTCGTACGATTGGCGCCGAGGTTACAATTCAGCCTACGACGTAGGGACTTCATTTGTTAGTAGAGCAGGTTTCAAAATTTTATTCTTTTTCCTTTTTCTTTCCGCTTTGCCTCGTTCATGACCCTGGGTTATGCAGTGGGACCCTCAGCCTCTCTCACGGATTACGCGAGAATGATGGGTAGTTACTACAGTAGTGAGCCGTGGGTTGGGGCTTTCTATGGAGTGGAGTAACGGACAGCGTGTCTCACATTAGCATAGGGAGATTGGGTCAAGGGGAGAGAGGATCTGAATCAGATAGAACACGAGGAAGTTTTTATGATTTTTTAATTAAATTTTTATTCTATTTTATTCGTTATTTCTATTCTATGACATCTGTGAATCCCTCCCCAAATTTCGTGACTTCAATCTCTCTTCCTCTCTCTTGCTCTCTTCTCCTCTTTCCTCTCTCTCTTTTCCCTCCTAATTCCCCTTCTCTACCTCGACTTGCCAACACATCTACAGAAGAAAAAAAGAAAATAAATTATCAGAAAAGCTAAAAAGGAGGCAAAACAAAAACAAATCAAAACAAAGACAACCAAAAAAACAAGATCAATCAATAACACCATCTGAACGAGACTCATCATCGTCTCTATCCCTTCCATCAATTAATTATTCATCTTCTCCCTCACTTCCGCTTCCCCGCCACTATACGCGACCGGACCCTTGTTCTACTCCCGAACCGCCCGTTGGAGGACTCCCGACGCCGATCACTCTGTGTTGGCCCGCTGGGGGTTCCCTTGACTGTAGCTGCAGTGACGATCGATCTAATCCACAGGTCACCGACTTCTCCTACCGCCTCTACGCGCTGAGCCTTTTTTCAATTTTACAACCAAAAAAATTGATTTTGGTCCCCGCGTGTGATCGATCCCAAGGAATTATTCTACTTGCATCTCCCACCGACAATTATTGCTTTTCGATAGCCTTCCCCTGCTCGGTCATTGATCTTTTTTCCCTTCTTGGTGAGGGGCCAGCTGCTGTGTTTGCCTAGCTTCTCTCCATTGGCCTGGCAATGCTGCGTGCCTAACCAACGACTAACGGACGGGTTCTCTCCTGGTGTATGGAGAAGCTGGTCTTCTTCAACACCCTTCTCACGCCTGCGGTACTCCTCCAGGGAAATGTCAACTCGTCGACAGTTACTCTCCTGACCGCTCTCCCCCTAAGACCATGTCTTCGCCCTCCCCCGAGGAGACTACGAGTGTCTATACAAACGATGAAGGCAGTGATTCGATTCAGCGAGCCGCCAGCTTCACAGATCTCCCAAGTCAGACCGAAACACCCACAGAACCCGAGTCCCCGAGCTTAAGAAGAACCTTCTCTGATCATGCCGTCCCTACCTTGTCCGATTCCCCCAGCAAAGAAAGCGTAGCAGCGGGGAAGGATATCCTGCGCCGTACATCCCTACGATCGAAGAAAAAATCTCTAGCTGGAGTCTCCAATTTTACACTGTCGTCGACGGAGGATTTGAAGGATACCGATCCTCAGCATGTGCGGACAAAATTATCGGAACATCGAGCTCCAGAACCCGCAGCTCGGCCGTCCAAGAGTCGTTCCATGTCAGGCAGGATAGTTAGCCTTGCACGAAAACCATGGGGCTCTTCTTCACGATCACCGTCTCCTTCGACGGCGAAAAGAGTAAAACAGAGAATAGAGGAAGAATCACCAACTAGGTCCGCAGAGCGAAACAAAGGGTCGGATTCGGACTCGGCGCAACCTGCGCGCAAGAGGACAATATTGTATAAACGGCCGCGGCGTCCTATGCTTGCTGTGGTAGCCAAGGGAAATGAAGAATCTCCGGGATCACCCATCAGCCCTTCTGGCAATTCGTTACGACATCGGTCCTCATTCGAGAAGTTCACAGCATCTCTATCTGTATCGACGCCAGTGCTTCCTCCAATGCCCAAGGGGGCAGCGGCTACAGCTGCTTCCTACCAAAATAGTGCACCTGAACATTCGCGCAAGAAAGACGAACTCTGGGGTGTCTTTCGCGGTCTTGAAGCAGACTATCAGAAGTGAGTACATAATGGTTTTTTTGCATGCTTTTCTAGAAAATTTGCTCTGATACTGACATGGATGCAAGGTTTCAATCTAAAACTAGCTCTCTGAAAGCCAATGTCATCCGTACTTCACTCCTCCCCTTTCTCAGTCGCCATCATTTACACGCCTCCTGCAAGAATCTCAGACCGGAAGATCTGGACCGACGGATAAATATTCTCAACAAGTGGTGGATTGGTATGCTGGAGATGCTCAACGGCAAGCACAACCAATCGATAACGGGCACCGACAGGCCGGTATTTTTAGAGGCGGTCGTCGGCATTATGACTAGGCCGGAGTGGCGCATGCCATTTCCCACGGCCCAGCAAAGTAGTGGACTTACGGATTCTTTGCAATATGCGTCCACTTCTGTGTCAGAAACATCTGAAGGTTCGGGATCATCGGGATCGGATTTCTTGGTTGAGTCAATTCACCATAATATTCGAAACATCTTCGTCCAGAATCTTCTTTCTCAAATGGCGTTTGTTGTGGAACGCATGTCTATGAGGCATGCGCCTGCCAGCCTGGTGGCGTTCTGTGGGAAGGCTTGTGCGTATGCCTTCTTTTTTTGTCCTGGAGTAGCGGATATTTTAGTCCGTCTGTGGAACACGTCTCCTGCGATGTTCCGCCGTGTATTTGCCGAGTCGGCTGACTCTCGAGCCGGGAACATGCGTGCATACACCCAAGAGCTTGCGCTGAGCTTTCCTCCTGCTTTGCGCCCTCTCGCGTTTCACTCCCATGCGCCTCTCTTACGATACCTGCGTAGGAAGCCTGAAGCCCCTTTGAACACCACTAATATATCTTGGCATGGTCCGTGGATTGCACGATGGTGCGGCCGTGATACCGATTTGTTTTTCGTCTTCGTCAAATACATCCATATTCTTTATGCAGAATATTTGCCGCCGGAGACTGAGAAAGCCAAGCGAATTCTGGCTCCTGGTTTGCTTCTCGTCCATGCACAGATTCTAGTCACCTTTGAGGACACAATATATAAACAATCGGCGCACCAAGCGCCTGAGAATCCTCACATAGCAGCAGCAATCACGTTTGATGACTATCTGGAATCACCAGATGCATCGGCATCTCCCCACCAGATCGGAGGCCCAAGGAATAGCCATCGCTCAATGGCCGAGAATCGGTTGATTATGCTCTTGCGAGACTTTTTGTCTGACTCTTCCGCAGAACCGAATCGGGCACGTCTGCTCTATGCTGAGACCTTCTGTAGCCTTCTGAAGACAGTTGCCCAGAAAATTTCTCTATTTGACCATAATGCGTGTTTCCTGCTGTGCGACTTTACGGAGGAAGTAATCCCAATCATCACACGGTATGCACAGTCGATTGAAACGGAGCTTTTTGACTGGGCTTTCTGGCTAGACGTCTGTCGGCAAATGAACCAAAGTCATAATTCGTTGACTGAAGTTCGTGTGTTTGCATTTATTTACTGCATCTGGGGGACATGGACCGCCACAGAGGAGAGAAAAGCCAATCTCTGTTTGGACTTCCTACTGCATGAGCCTGTCTTCTTCTACTATTTTACTCACTGGAGCCCGATGGTTCGTGCCTACTTCCACCGCCTCCTCTGTTGGAGAGTAGCAAGGTTCAACCCTGATCCGTCATTACTCGACTCGTGAGTTCTACCTCCTATTTGTTTTGTCACTTTCATTTGCCCATTGCTAAATTCATGCCCTAGCACAATATATGAGACCCTTTCTGATCGTCTGCTACGAGTTTGGGAGTATTATATTGGATTCCAATCAAAGGCAGAAGAAGGGATTGTTACGCCATTGTCATCTGCGCCTTGTACACCTGCTCCGGGACGAAGGATAATTATTATTCGATGCGATAATCAGCTGTCTCCAGTGAATCTTTTCGTCTCATTTGATCGTGTTATTCCACCTATGCCGCCGGACCAGGTCAAGAATCACCGAAGATCAAGTTCCTCGGATTCAACGGGCTCAGATGGCCAGCCTTCCAAGCGTCGATGGGGTCTTCTTCGATCCATGTTCGGCAGCTCATCAAGCAGCCGGCCTACAGACGATCTCAGTGGCAGCGCCTTAGATGATCCTGAAACTCAAGTAACTGATCTGACCATGTCACCCGACAGTAGGTGTATGGATGATCATGAGCCGATTCCAAACAACAGCACAGATGATCCTGTACGACCGAAAACCCCGCACCACCCGTTCTTCTTCAAGTTCTCCCTGGAGTGGATGGATCGCCCCCAGTGGCCAACAAAGAACAAGCGCCTCTTCACACCTTGCCTGCCCGTTGCGTCTCAAATCCATGTGCAGCACAGACGTTCTCCCGCAAAATCTGGCGAGCTGAATGACGATATCCAGTCAGAGGCTTCAACCACCTCTGAGACCTTACCCGATGAGCCTTTAACTCAGTCTTCTTCCGATTCTAAGCCACTCCCAGAAGAACCTACTTCTGAACTACTATCCAGGACGCAAACTACCAAGGACTCGCCATTGCCTGAACTACCTTTTCAACCCGCCTACGACCATCTTGTACCCAGCAAATACGCTGGCCGTGCCCTTGCAGAATGGGCGCATATAGTCTCAGAATGCGACAGCTTCTTTGCCCGGCGCCGCGATGAAGGTGTGCCAACCGAGCGTGCCGTGGAGACCCCGATGCTGGGAGTTGAAAGCTTCCGCAAATAACAAGATATCCATCATCTTTCTTTTTTCTTCTCTCCCTCACCCGCTTCCTCCCTTGATTCAACTCAACTCCGCAATTCCCCTTTTACAACCCCTCAAACCCCTCAAACCCTACCTGATACCTCCATTACGCCCGACATAACACCATCCCTCTATCTTCTCTTCTTCCCTTCCTTCCTATTCCTTGACTCCAATATAGACAGCCCGTGCTCATTACAAGACCCCGGGAAAGCGATGTGTTATAATCGTTTCTTACTTTTCGTTTCTTTGTTACCGATTCTACTTATTCACTGCGGCCGTGCGAACCACGGGTTTGGAGCATAGGGATTTGGCGTTTACGAGCCCCGATAACAAGGGTGTCTTTTTTATTATCTCTTTTTCTCTCTCTTTTGTATTCCAGCGAGACGCACACCCCATTAGGGTTAATCATAGTGTGAGACCAAATCAATTGAAGAAATTCACCTTCCAAGCTCTGTCTCAAGCAGAATCTAATATGCTCTAGTAAACACAAAATGGATATGGCAAAGCATATTAGAGAATCATTTAAACAGAGTTGCGCTCCTCCTCTTCCTCGGCCAGCTGCTTATGCAAAACCGACATTAAAGGTCCTTCCTGTACATCCTCTCTCTCCATGAAGACCTCCACAATCCGCAGTCCCTTCCCATCTGTTACCCTCTCATCCTTTAAAACATCCTGCAACTCACCCACCGTCCTCGCCTCGAACGTATTATTCTTAACATGTTCCGCGTCAGCCCCAAAGTAGCTAAGAGCCTCTCTATGCCTCCAGAAGGGTACATCATTGTACTCCTGTTTCCGGCCATGAATCACCCGCTCAATCGTGTAGCCCTCATTATTAATGATTATGATCAGAATATCAAGCTTCTTCTTGATCATCACACTCATCTCCTGTGCTGTCATCTGCAGACTCCCATCTCCGATAATAAGAATTGCCTGGTTCCGAGTTCCAGAGCTTGCGTTCTGATCTCGCTTGGCGAGCGATGTACCCAGTGTAGCGGGAAGCATGAAACCAATAGAGAGCCAGGTAACAGCACTGAAGAGCCGGGTATTAGGAGGTAATTTGAATCCACGACCACCGTACGCTGCTGTACCCGTTTCTGTGAGGACGACGTCTCCCTCCCGGAAGATTGAGTTAACCAGTCTGAAGAAGTTCTTCTGTGCAACGAGATCTGTGGGCTTGATATCGTCTGTTGTGATGATTGTTTTAGGTGGGCCCGTGGCCTTGGTTGTGCGTGTGGAATCAAGTGTAGAGAGGATTTGTGATAGGACTTTGGAAGGTGAGACATCGCGGTATATATCAGATTCGATTTGAATGGTTGTATCCCTAAAGGTAATGGCTGCCTTTGGATTAGGAATTCCTTGCGAGAAATAGCTGTTTGTGTCACTATATTGTGGGCCGAAAGTGAGAATTAAGTCTGCAGATTCGAAGTATTCCTGCGCGGGCTTGTCGCCGAATGTGGCGGCGTAGACACCGTAGACGTTGGGGTAGGACTCGTTCACGAGACCCTTGCCCCAGCAGGAGGTCCAGGTGGGCCAATTGGTAGATTTGATGAGCGTGTCGAGCTGATCCACGATTCGGAGCGCTTGGCTTTCGCCATCGACGAGAATAACGGGCTGCTTGGCACTGTAGATACGTTCTAGGATGCGACCGACGACAGCCGATTCGTAGGTAGGGCTTGGGACCTCGGGAAGCTTGATTGGGTTCTTGAGATTTGCAGCTGATACCAGCACTTTGGGCATGTCGTCGGGGAATTCTAGGTAGACGGGTCGGCTGTGAATGAGAGCTTGCTGAAGGATCCAATCGATTCTCTCTGGTGCCGTTGCGGCATCTGTAATCTCGGTTTGGGCGATAGTAATATGCTTAGCCATGGCGGCGAAGCGCTTGTATTCCCCATCTGCGAATGTATGGTGCATCAGCGCACGGGAATCCTGCTGGTGTCGCGGTGGAGTGCCGACGATGTGGATGATAGGTGATCTCTCTCCGTATGCGCCCGCAATACCGTTGGCAGCAGACAATTCTCCCACGCCGAAGGTGGTAACCAGTGCCGAGGCGCCAGTAATACGGGCATACCCATCAGCTGCATATGCGGCATTCAGCTCATTACAGTTTCCAACCCAGTGCAGACCAGAGGGGACGACATAATCCAGCAAGCGCAAGTTATAGTCGCCGGGAACACCAAAGATAGATTGGACACCCAGCTGGCGCAATCGGGTGAACAGATATTCTGCGAGTTTAATATTCTCCGAGTCAGACATAGCTTTGCGTAAAGTTATGAAACACCAGTCGAGGTAGATATGAGGAAGATGCAAGATGCAAGATACGCAGATCTAGCACATCTTTTATAATATCAGTCCCCCCGCACCCCCACCATCTTATCGCCGACTGGGCCGATACCTACTAGGCAAGCTCCGTTACTACGGACAGACTCCGCTCTTAACCGAAAAGTCTTTTTTTTTTTGCGCCTTACGCCCTACGGACTACTCTCCGCTACACCCTTTACCCACCTTTTTATTATTATTATCATTTACACATGGCTTCCAGACAAGCTGCCTGTGAAGCTTGTCGGAAGGCAAAACAAGCATGCGATCACGAACAACCTGTATGTTCGCGATGTAGGTCCAGCAAAGGTATATGTATTTATCGCACTGCGCCGTTTAAGCGGAGGCGCGTCGAGAAACCGAGGTAAGTGGGGACCTCTAGGGATCAAAGAATAGATGCGACAACCTTCAAATCGACTCTTTGAGACTACAAGACTAATCTTTGAGATTTTATTCAAAGTGATTTATCCTCACCAGACCCTTCTTCGCCCACGTTCACTCCCCGGCGCAACCCATATCCGAATCCAGGTTACCTAGGTTCATCCAGTCACGCGGCTATATTCAAGCATATCACGACCGACGGAGAACCGAACGCCGGAGCTCATACGGGCGTCTCCGAATCTCCAACACCGCAATGGATCGGCGACAACTACTTGCTGCTACAGGGCGCTGATGTCCTCCGACACCTGCTAAAGGCATATCCACTATCTGCTATGAAAGAGCTAGTTATGTTTTGGTTGTCCAAAGGCGCAAACCTAGCTCTTGCAGAACCTTTTGTCGCACAGTGTGCCGAGAGCGTGAGCAAGCTATTTGCATCAAATGACGAGAATTGGCATTTAGTATATGCGAGACGTTTACTCCACAACTCAGCGCAACCGTTGAAGTTTCACCAGTCTATGGATCTATCCGAGTTCTCGACGCAATTTATGGAGCAGAATTGTCGCTGGGAAACAATTGGGATATTCTTTGCGGCTGTTAGTCGGGCGACTATTGATATTCCTTTCTTTCCATCTCTTTATACATCAGATGAAGACCAGTATAATTTGCGCCGACTTGCTACTAAACTTTGTGATTTTGCGCTGGAGATCTCACTCTCACTTGACTGCCTGAATGATCTACAACTAATAATTCAGTATGAGAACTTTATTGTTCATTCTTACGTGGACGGTGACGAGAGTGAGCCTTTCTTTCATTCTTTTCTTCCCGACTTCTACATTCCCCCGCTAATATCCGAAAGGTTATCATTCATGGCGCAAACTTGGCGATGTCATCTCCTCAACCTTCGCTATGGGATATCACGAGAACCTCGAGGCAAAACCCGGTATTCCGCGGTTTCTCATGGAGTTGCGGAAGTCCGCATTTGCGCGCATATACTCAGCAGACAAGAATATTGCTATCTTCCTAGGTCGCCCACCTAGAATGAATAAACGCTTCTGTCACTTTCAGATTCCATCCTGCCAGACAAATTCACAACCAGACAGCGATATCATATTAAATAACCATCTTAATCAACATGTCTGGCATCCTGATTCTAAACCCGGATACCGGGCGGATTCGCGCTGGTCCGCACTCTGCGCATTTCTAAAAGAGGAGGTATGGGAACTATTGCAGGATAAGCAAGATAAAAAATGCGTCGAGAAAGCAAGGTACTTGATCTATACACCAACCACCCATTTGAGTGATACACAGCTAATAATGACCGAACAATAGCAAAATCCAATTAAGTGCCGAAGAACAGTGGCGTGCACTCCCGGCCCATTTCCGCCTGGAAAGCAGTCTTAAGCAGTGTGCTCGTACACCCTTTGGTAGAGATTTTCTCGCTCACGTTCGACTTCAGCATTTGCATGTGCTATTCTTACTTCGCCTCTTATTATTGAATACGCTTACTGAACCTGATATCCCCATCATCGAAACAGCGGGACAAATGCTTTCTATCGTTGTGGAGGTAATTCTCCTCCGCGATCAAATAATCAATTCAGGCACTGGCCTTGTATGGAAGGTATGTAGCCAATGGACAAAAAACAGAATGAAGATGTTCAATACCCTTTCTATTCTTGAATGGATAATGTAGTACCCGCTGACTCTCTGTCGCAATTATAGGTCGCATATTACGGTCTCCCAGCCGCGGGAATAATTCTTCTAGCCCTCCTAAAACAGCATACAACTACGGCGACGAGTATTTCCCGTACAAAGCTTCTGCGGGATCTCAGTGTATTTGTGGCAGAAGTGCAGATGGGAACTATTGTTCGTCTGGGTGACCCTAACTATGCGCTTTTGTCCAGGGCGACGCAGACAATTCAGCGGTTCCTGGACTCATTTAATTCTGATGTTGTTCCGACGATAGGGTCGGAGCTTCAGGGACATCATGAAGAGGGAAGTGATGATTGGGCTGCATTGTTGAGTCAGGACCTGTGGGATTTCGAGGCTGGCTTTTGGCAGTCTCTTGCTGACCATCCTGCTTTATTAGCGGTTGATCCGCCCTTGCCTGGTGTCTAGGGGTTGGGACCCGGCCATAAATATTAAATACCTACTTTTGCTATATTTTGACTATAAATTGGTCTGGTTACTGATTTTACTGATACCCAATCTCAATGATATTTGTTCGAATGCGCGGGAGTTGAAACGTATTTATTCACAGCGACGAGATAAATCAGATAGATCTAAATAAAGTACTTGCCAGTAAAATCACAGCAAGAAGTATGATTGGTATATGTATGAGAACAAACGATGCAGAGACAAGGCACCTGTCGATGTGAAAAATCCCAACATAGACAGACTGTACAATGTCTAGGTTGGATAGCAGTGAAAATGCCCATGGAGAAACGTGCAGGGCGTATGCGAGAGAGATAATAGACAGACGGAGAGGGAGCAAGAGTGAGGCAAAGGAAAAGGAAGAGGAATTATTATACATTTAGTGCAGGAGATTCGTACTGGCAGTGTGGATCACGTTGGCAACACGGTCGATCCAGTGTTGAGCAAGGGTCCAGTTGCCTGTGTTAATCGTATCACGGATGGCTGGGAAGATAGAAGCATCGTAACCGGACCATAGTTCAGGCCCGAAGATGACATGTCGGAATTGAGTGCGGTTGGGAATCTGGAGAACATGAGGAATTAGTCAAGAAGTTGAGGAATACGTAAGAGTGAAGGGTAAAGAGCTTACACCGCCGCCCTTTTCCAGATCCAATAGATGAGTATCGAAACTGGCCATCCGGAGATTATGGTTGAGACGTTGAATTGCCATGACATTGGTTTCGTATCCTCCAGAGCCCCAGACAGTATCATGCCAGACCTGGTTCCAAGATTCAAACTGTGCAGTGTTACTTTCCAGATCTGAAGCAGCATTGAACATAGCCTCCAGATTGACGTCGGCCTTGTTATCCTTCGTGAATTTATCCAAGTCTTCGACCCAGCCTGTAACGGATCTAGAATATGCTTGCATGTCGAACGGAAGCATAGGGTTTTCGGAAAGATCCAGTAAGAGAAGACTCCAGAACTCAGCGAGGAGCTTGTGGTATTGGAAGCCGGGATCGCCAAAGTGCTCCATCCACTCATAGGACTCGTAGCAGCTGTGGTAGGGATACGCGTCTCCTTCAAATCCAAAATCAATGCTCGAGGTTCCTGCAATATCTTGGAACGCAACATAATCGCTGCCAGCACCAAGTGGTTCGAATTTGGTTCCTTTCTCCTCCCAAAGCTCCTTCAATGTTTTATTGGCACTAGGGTCGTTGAGACGTCCTAGAATTTGCATCACAGTACGCTCGAAAACGGGTGATCCTGAGACGCGGAACTCAGAGCCAGAGACACCGACATCAACGTTTAAGTACGCATAAGCGTTGCTTCTAAGGTTCTCAATCTCTTTTTCAACGTGTTCCGTGGAACCGATGAGGTTGTATTCCTCAGCGTCCCAACTCACAAATTCAATAGTGCGAAGTGGCCGCCATCCATAGTTGAGAAGCTCGCCGAAGGCTCGCACGACCTCCAGAAAGACGGCAGTGCCACTGCCAGGATCTACACTTCCCATACACCACGAGTCGCGGTGATTGCCCACAATAATTTTCTTATCACGCTCTTCCAACCCGAGAATTGTTCCGTGAACGTTGTAGATCGGCATTCTTTTAATCTCATCCTGCAGGTTCATCAAGTTCACAATAGGCGAATCCTGATCACCGGTCCACCAGCCCTGGATCTTTGGTACTCCACCGACCCAGTCTTTGGGAACCTTGGAGCCATGGCCCTCCAGCGCTTGTAGCAACCGCTGTGCATCGCGCCAGGCGATCGGAAGACTGGGAATATGGTGTAGGCCAGGACTGTCTTCCAGAGATAACCTGTGCTTCTCGTCTGGGGTAGATGCCCACCCGGGACTTAAAACGTCTCCGACAACATAAGACATAAGGCTAACACCGCCCCGTTGAACGCCGTCAGCTGGCATATACCGTCCCTTTGGAAAAGCGGGACCTTTAATAAATCCATCTTGAGATGGGTCTGAATAAATAATACAGCCCGCCGCTCCAGCGAGTTCGGCTGCCTTGATTTTGAGAGCGCGATCTGACTCGGTCCCGTAGTATCGGACAAGGGCGATTGTGCCGTTGAGAGAGATACCCTGGTCGGCGAGCAGTTGGAAATCTTCCCGAGAACCAAAATTGGCGTATACTAAAGGACCGGTAACATTGCCGGACTTGGAGTGGCCATGAAATGTTGGAGTTTTGGAATCATTCTCTTCGAGAGTCGCTTCCCATACCAAATGTGGGGGATCGATGATAGCCACTTTGCGACCATCATCCTTCGGATAATTCAAATATACTTGGAATTCCTCTCGCTCGACCGCATCGAATCCCGCTCGGTGGAACGCCTCTTCCACCCACTCCGCTAGATAAAAGCTACCTTCGGTTCCGGCGATATGGGGAAATGAGGTAATGTGTCTGAGAGTTTCGGCGATATGTGTATCGTTGATGTTGCCCTGGACAAAGTTTTCGACCGACGACGAACTATATGTTTGGCCCATGATCATGCGATTGTTCAAATTGAAGATGTCCCCAATAAAAAACACATAGACCAGAGTCACGACTAACATCAGGGCGAAAAGCCGCAACAGCATGAGACATCCTTGATCCCTCAGGCGCTGACGTATATTGTTGGCACTGAAATCAAAGCGGAAGGACGGAAGGCTGGGGAGATATCGTTGTAACGGCCGGTGAATCGCGGACAGGGTACGGGTAAGAGTGGGAAACCGTTTAGAGAACCGGTATCGTAATCGAGGGCGTGAGCTGGAGGATGTTGCAGAGTCATCGACGTCCATTTGGTCCAGTTCTCTGCGCAACTCCTCCGCCGAGCCTCGGGATGACCCCGATATCGACGAGGCAAGGTCATCTAGACTACCGCGGACGGATTCGACGGTTGGGGGCTGATAATGGGAGTTCTGGCGACCGAGGAGCCCCTGACGTTCGGCATCGGTGCCATCGCCAAGGTTATCGCGGGAGGAGGAGGGTTGAGCGGTGGCTTCCTCATAGGAGGGGATCGGGAGAGCTTCGTACTCGAATTTATCGTCGCCCATGGTGGCACGGGGTAGGCTGCCAGGAGCCGTAGCAGGTGGAGGGCGCGGATGCGGAGAACCAGAAGATCATGATCTGCTTATCAGAGCCAGGAAACGAGTCTCTAACATCCCGATGAATAGGGATGAGGCTATATGATGCAAATGCCCGAACGAGTGAGAGGGGCGTTGGTTCAGCTTTCCAAGGTTGGGGGTATTAGATGAAGGTGAGATGGAAGCCTGCGCCTCTTTCCACGCCTCCGAGTCGCTCACTATCTAATCGCCGTTGGATCGGGACATTGGCAGACCCGCGATTGGCCGTTCAGGGAACCTTTAAACGCGCGTCTTTCTCTGCATGTATTCCTATATGTTAATTATTTCACGATCTATGATATATATATATATATATATGTAATATTTACTGAATATACTGAAATTATGGAAAGAAACCATGGGTTCAGCCAGTTTTCACTACAAATCCCTTCCGAGGGTGGGATCGGCGTGTTCAGTACTTAGTACTTCATGTGGACCCACAGCTGCAAGTGTTGAAAATTAGTAATGGAAATGTATTAACACAAATTCATATGCAGGTATGTAAGTAAATTAACAGGCTTATCTTGCTCCCATAAATATGCACAGCCTTAGCAGACCCTTTTTTTTATGCTTCCACTACATGTCCCGTATAGTGCTTTCTTGCCCAGCCGAAGTAGTATCCAGTACACAGAAGAGTCACTCCAACAAAGATAGCAACACTATAGTTCACCTCTTCAGGCTTAGGGTGTTTGGTAGTTGACCAGGAACCAAAGAACATCATAACCGTGGAGAAAATAATAGCGAAAATGTTGTTCATGATTCCAAGCCAGCCTTTTAGTCGGAAAGGGCCCCAAACCATAGCATCATTGGTGGTATTTTGAGTAGAATCCGCAATATCTCCCTTCCATCTCCGATATAAGATCAAAGAGAGGGAAAGAATATATGAGGAGAAAAATGCCTGAAGTACCAAAGATATAATGATGTTGAGTACCGCTGAAGATCCAATGTTGATCAGACTAAGTAGACCAGCTGCAACCACAATCACACATGTGCTGTGGAATGGGATTCCAACTCGTTTTTGAACCTATGCAGAATCAATAGTTAGTCTGGAAAATCACCTCAAATATTGGTAGTTGTGATAAATACCTGGCTGATCCATTCCCAACCTGGGATAGCTCGCTCACGCGAGAAGGCCCATAGCATACGGCCACCTGATGAGATACCAGCGAGTCCAGCACAAATCTGCAATGCGGAAACCATACTTGAGAGTACAACCGCACAGCTCTTGCTACCGGTGGCATTTTCCAGAATACCGATAAATGGGTATGAAGAACTGGATTGAAGAATTCCCTGGATGTCGCCAGCAGTGAATAGGAAAGCAAGCAAAACCCCGAAGCCCAGCCCTCCATTGATGATAATGGCAGCAAGCATAGACTGAGGTACGGCTGTGCTACTATTTGCAACTTCCTCGGCCATCTAATCCGCATGTTAGCAATGAAACTTGTAGGTAGAGGGTAAGCTGCTCACATGAACAGCGCCATCGGTTCCTAGAAAAGCTGCAACGGCGCCCTTCATTCCGATAAATGTGGCCAATGTAACATCGTCCCATCCACCCATCTCCCATGATGTCGAGAAGACAGACGATGCCGAGGAGCGGGGCCCGAGGTATAAGAGAGGAATCAAGACTGCGAAGAAGCCAAAGATGTGAACTATAAGAATGAAAACTTCAACGACTGGCAACACCATCCCCAGACACGTATTCATAACTGTGCAGACGGCCAAGATTGCCCACATTATAAGTGTGACATGCCATCCCTTGGGGTCATATTGGGGGTTGTTTGTTGCTATAGTGCTTTGAAGAACACTACCAGCAAGGTAGATTGCCGCTGTTGGGGCACATGTCCATGCGAAGATACAAACGCAACCTATACCGGCAGTGTCAGTCCAGGTCAAGTCAATCTCGACAGATCCTCATATACCGGTGATGTAGCTCAGGAATTTCTTCGTGGACTTTGGAGCAAGAATACTCGTCCAGTGGTATTGTCCGCCGGCCTAGTTGATGAGCACCATGTTAGACCATGTTAGACGAAATTTAACCTTTCTTGATCACAAAATAGGAAACTAATTCTAGTTGCGAAGGAAAAAACTTACTGATGGCATCATGCTTGCCAATTCCCCCATGACAATGGCAACACTGATGAACCCAAGCCATACCCCGATATATCCATAGACAAGACCCGCAGGTCCTCCACTGTAAAGCGGTTAGTCAATAGTATACTCAGGCGCGAGGTATAGCAAAATGGAACCTTACTCCATAAGTCCCAGACTTAGGTTCCTATATCACATCATATTTAGGTTAGAAATGCCAATGAAACAGAGAGAAACATTGAACATGATCACAAACATCATAATTGCCTCCCATGTCAGCATCAAACTACAAGTAAACCCAATGATACTCGTTAAACCAAATCGTCGCTATACAGAAATTGAGTTAGCTAACCGATATAAAAGTCTAGCAGTATAGCACATGGCAAGTATAGGGTAGGGAAAAAAGCAATATCCTACCTTCAAGACATCTTTTTTCCCAACCCGAGCAAGGTCTTGAGCATCGCGACTGAGCGAACTACCACTCTTCTTACTTGTTGCCATACTCCGCCCAGTCTCCGCCCAAGCAAACTCACTTTGACTCTTCGTAGCATGCACAGTTCCCAATTCCATATCCATGACTGCTATTACCAAGCCTTTGTAAATGGCAGATGGAAAATGGAAAGAAAGAAAGAAAGTAGAAAGAAAGAAAGAAAGAGGTCACCGAGAAAAATCCACGTGGAAATATGCTCAGCTTAGGGAGAATAAAAAGTATGCAGAACCCCCTGCTCAGTGGAGACCTTCATGCGACTTTCTACTTCCCCCCTGTCTAATCTTCTCTATTGTAGTGGGGTATAAGAAAAGGAATAGAACAAAGAAAGGATTGCGTTTAAAGCTTATTTCAAGTCTACGCAGATCTCTCGCATAATCTGACCAAGTTTGCTTCTTTCACGGGCGGCCAGTCCGGGCTCGAAATGCCGGAAAGGCTTTGGGAGAGTGCGAAGAGCTGTACGATTGTAACCCCATGCAGGTTGCGGCAGCTGGACAGGGATGCTGGAACCAGTACATTCCTTCTTGGCACTTATCTAGACGGGTGGGGATTAGCTTGATGATGGGGGGCGAGAAATGTAGAGAGGTCGTAATTGTTCAGTCTGGCCAATGGATCATGGATTTGATACGGTCTGGGGTTCTACAGCATGGTCTTCAGCATATTTGATATTTTGTATCTTACTTCCCCCATGGGTAGCCCCATATTGAATCCTGCCGTCCAGGGGTACCCGTGCATACTATTAATTGATCAGTTTGATCCTGCAGACATATGAAGGGAGGGCTGGGGAGAAAATACTACGTGCTATTATAGCGGTGTCTTTTTTATTCGAACATTATTTGATTTTACCTAAGACACTGGATGGCTGAGTTACATTTAACTAAAGTCTGGATCCCTTTGTTAGTATCAAGCTTTGGAGTGCAAGTTTCTGGTTCTCTTTGTTTGGTAAGATTCCATGGCGCATCCCTCCCCATCCCCGCCTAGACTGCTCGTCTCTTCCCCAGTCACTATTAGAACCCCTGTCAGCTTTGTTAAAAGAATGCTGGCAGGATCTCACCGATCCTCTTCCTTCGATCTCCCCATGCTGACTCAACACTAGCACATTCTTTTTTATTCTGCTTCTTTGTTCGAGCTCTGAAACGAAGGGATGCAAGATCATACAGCTGCTCTCAAAATCGTCAGCTGGTTCCTTGCGATTGTATCCGGGGGAGCCCTGGCTGGATGTATATTGGCAAGTTGGTCACTTTTGAGAAGGAAATTTTTGAGCTTCACTCTGCTTTCGGCGACTTTGGTATGTTGTTCCTTTCCCTTGGATCTGTATCACCTTTTTCATCCACAGGATACTAATTATAATAATGCCCCAGCTATGTAATATAGGCGCATGTGTTGCTGTATCTATCGCTGCTACTCACGGTCTGGGCAAATCCGATGAGACCTGCACAGATGATAGCCTCAAAAAGGTGCAACTAGGCCTTTACGGCATGGAGATATGCCATACATTGACCATTGGATTTGCAAAGATGTCGCTCATTGCACTCTTTTCATTGCTTTTGTCACCCACCCAAGTGAGAAAGATGATAATAGCGACCGCAACTTTTATCGTCTTATGGACTCTGAGTATGTTGGTTGCGACCACAGTCCAGTGCTCGCCCCTAGATGTATGGGATTTAGCACACGGATCCTGCATCAACACTGTAAGTCAGAAAGTATCGAATCGGTCACGATACGATCTAACAGCGCTCATAGGTTGCCTTGTGGAGGTACTTTGGTGCGACAAATATTACTATTGAAACTTTAATATTCGCCACAATTATCGTATTCGTCTCGCGCCTTCACATGAAGAAGTGGACTCGAGTAATGGTGATTAGTTGCTTTAGCGTCAGGATAATGTGAGTTTACAAGGCTGTGAAACCACGTATTCGAATGCGCTTACGTCTAACGTGATATCTTTTAACTAGGGATATTGCCGTAACCGGCGTCCAGCTCAGTTACACCGAAGCTTTTAGTTCTCGCGGCTGTGCTCTGCAGCTTGATATCTGGCCGTGGGTTATGTGCAGCCAAGTTCTTCAGACCGTGACCATTGTTTCGGCTTGTATGCCTCATCTTCGCGATTTCTTAGAATCGTTCCCAAGTGGAATGTTTCGTTTGACCGAGATGGAGTCAGCAACAATGGGGTCACGAAGTACACTCAGACAATCTGAGAAATAAACTAGTAATGATTGGAACCTTAATATATGGGGTCTACATAATATAGTTAATTTGCAAACAATTTATTTAGTAATAAACGGATTTCACAGAACAATTCGTGTAAATTGATGATAAATCATTGACCTTTATTGATTTCCAAGTACACAGAACTAGTGATCACATTCCACGTCTTAACATAAAAAGCTAATATAACTGGATTCAAGCTCTCTAATTGATTGCGGCAATCTCAATCTCAGGACTTCCAAGATCGCGAGCGTCCTTCTCTTCGGGGGAGGAAATTGGCTGGGCAGCGACGACAGTGGCCAGAGCCAAGCCGAGGAAAGCGAAGAAACGCATTTTGTTCGACTAAAATAAAAAACCAAACAGGTTAAGTAATGAATTTCAAGAGAAATAGAAAAAAGGGGCAACCTGTTGTGGCGGACCTTTTATTGAAGGTGGGGGGGGGAAGGTATTATTGAATCCTGCAACTAACATTAGTACCAACTTGGCAAAAGAGGAGACATTTTGTGTACGGACAGAAGCTTGAAGGGACCTGAAAATGATCAATTGTAATTTTGGCTATGATAGATGATAGTCGAGGTATCGAGGATCTACTTATATAAGGCGCAATGCCAATTGACCACGCGACAGCAAGACGAAGTGTGATGTGATGATGGATTGTGACCCGTGAGAGAAGAAAACATACTAGATAAGATCTAGACAAGGGCAGGATTTCGAAGGATGAAAAGATGCAGATCTGTAGCTCACTTTCAACGTTTGTCTTTTCATAGACCTAAATATTCGCGCCCATGGCCCTAATTTATTTCGCTTAAGCTGCATCATCAGCACCTCGGGAGCCAATCAGTAACCGCTGCTAAACCAACAGTCTTGCACTTGGTGCAACATCGGACGCCTTACAAGGCTTACAAGGAGGGAATTTTGCAGATGCCAACGTATTGATTTGGGGGGCCAAGGTGTATGTATGTATGCAGACCTCGTAGTTTACTCATTATCGAAAGGATCTACGGTAGATCCACGGGCGCTCTTGGCAAACGACGTGACATGAAAATGGACTATTGCATGGGCGGTTGAGAAAGACATCCGCTTATTCGCTCGTGACCGACTTTCCTTGATAGCATTCATAACCCCAAAACAAAAAGTAGGTAGGCAACGGTAATCATGTTCGAATCGAGCCTGAAATCCTGATGATGACCACTTCCCCTCGCATAAGAGGGCTTGGCTAAAACGCAATTCCTGCAAGTCTGCGTCGCCGACCATTGATTACCTGGTAGTTGCCTTTTCCAAATTACTGGACGGTCAATGTTTTGTTAAAATTCCAATCTGCTTCTTTATTCATATACGGTGTTCATTGTGAGCCATTATGTATCCTTATCAGAAAGTCGAGACGGTCGACGACGACGAGGTTCCACTATCTCGTCCCCTTCGGCGGCAGCTTTCAAGAATACAAAGCTGGACAACATGCACTTTATCTATTCTTGTTGTTTTATTATCTTTGACCCTTGCGTGGGGATGGCATCGCTATCAAGAGCTATATAAAAGTGTCGCAGGCCATCAACTTGAGCCATCGAAGGCGATTGCGGCCCAGAGATCTCCATACTGTAAGACAGACACCACTTATTATCGTGGTCAACAAGACCGGTTCAGGTTAGAGATATCTGACTGTATTTGGTTACTAGCGGGGCTCGCATACGATGTTCAGATTTCTTATAGCCATCATACTGAATATACCAGCCACAACGAGACCGAAGCTAATGAGATGTGGGAGAATCTAAGCATAGATCCGATGGTGATCGCACCTACACGAGAATGGGCTCAAGAGAAGGGTCTTGAAGAGTCCTGGGACTTTCCTTGGGACAATAATCGACAAATCTATTTCGTTAAAGTGTTTCACCAGATGCACTGCCTGGTAAGATTCTATCTGTTTCACCTAGGGAGTATACTTCCGAAGTTTTTACACGCCGCTCATCTAATTCTCCGAGTAGAAAATAATGCGCCGTACATACCATGACCTTTGGGCTGGAGAAGAAGGTCGAATTCCCGCAGCTCACATTGAACACTGCTTAGATTCCTTACGGCAAGATATTATGTGCAAGGCCGACGATACTCCTATGCCCTCTCGGAAGCTTTACAATGGTGGCGGTGAGGGACAAATGATGCAGTGCAAGGATTTCGATAAGCTGGTCGCTTGGACACAAGCACCAGAGCGCAATGCCTGCTATAAGCGATTGACGGACTATCAGAAAATTGTGCACAGTGTTGAGCGATATGCATTCTGTCCTCGAGATAGTGAACATTATGACGCGATGGACCAGTACTTTCAGGAACATGGTCACTATGCCGATCCATTTAGTCAGTAAATTGTGTGACTACATATGAGATGCACATGTGGAGGGGTGTTGGTTCTGGTGTCTACATAATGTATTTATGATTATAGTTTTGTTGTCTTGATCTAGTGGCTTAGGTGGCTCAAGTGCTGTCGATCATCCGAATGAACCAATCAAAATGGGCTCAACAAGGAATGGATCAACCGTTCCTTTTTGGTGTTTAAATGTAACACAATACCACATTGTAATCACCCTCCCGTTGATCCAAGTCCAATTTTATTCTTCCTGCACTTGAAATTCGCACTGGAACTGCCATTTCCGGTGGGGGAAAACTACAGAGCTTTTTATGAGCTGCGGCTTTCCCCTCTTCCCGTCAGTATCCAGTGACCAACTACATACTCTACCCGTTCATAGATACAGGGTACAGACAAAACCTTGAGAATAGGGAGATAATTTCCAGATCATTGTACCGAGACATCTTCGGATATCAGATATCTCACCTACCTGATTTTAGTCGACATTCTCCGCCCCGCTGAAACCGAGGTGGTCCTGGCCCCAGATGAAACAGAAGACTGCGCCCTCAGGCGATGTGATGATCACCATTGGCCAAACTCAGGAACAGACTTCCACCCCTGACCTGGTCGATTTTACCGAGGATGACCCTTCAAATCCCTTGAACTGGTCGACAACATATAAATGGTTCATAGTGGTATTGACCGCTTGTCTATCCACAATTGTGTACGTGATGCATGAGTCCATGACTTCCTGACCTATTAAGATATGCCAGGCAACAACATTGAATCACGCAAGTACTGACAATACTCATATCAAAACAGCCAACTGTGTACCATCATAGCAGCGCCCGTGTCACCATCCATATTGGCTCATTTCAACTCCGATAACACCCTCTATCGCACCCTCATCGTTTCAATCTGGGAGCTCGGCGAGATCATAGCTCCTTTGATATGGGGTCCACTGTCCGAACAATATGGCCGCCAATGGGTTCTCCACGTCGCCAATTTCCTTTTCGTTGCCTTTCTCGTAGGCACATCCCTAAGTACCAACATCCAAATGATCATCGCCTTCCGCTTCCTTAGCGGAGCAGCAACCGCCGCATCACCCGTCGGACCTGGGATCGTCAAGGACTTATTTGCCGAAGAGCATCGTGGACGTGCAATGTCCATCATGTCTCTTACCGGTGCACTGGGTCCAGTCATTGGCCCGATCATTGGGTCTTACCTGGGTGAACGAGCCGGGTGGCGATGGGCTTTTTGGCTGCCGACCATTGTATCCGGAACTCTGTCATTGCTTCTTTTCGCTTTCTATCGGGAGACATATAAGGTCACAATTCTTCAGCGTAGAGCTAAGCAGCTTGTGCGAGAGACAGGAAACACTGCTCTCCGATCGAAATATGACAATTCCAATGAGACGACAACCCAGAGATTACTCCGGACAGCTATCCGGCCTCTCCGTTTACTGTTCCGATTCCCTGTGCTCGCTTTGATCACGATTTACATCAGCGCCGTATATGGATTCACGTACCTGATCATGACGACAATCGCTCCGGTATTCCAAGAAAATTATCACTTCTCCGAAGGTGCATCTGGGCTCAGCTTCCTAGGTCTTTGTCTGGGACTGGTCTTCGGGGCACTCTTATGCAGCTGGGCTCTCGATCGCTACCTTCGCATGGTCCGAGATCGACATAATGGACAAGAGCCTTCACCAGAACAGCGCTTGCCGCCCGTTTTCCTTGCATGTTTTCTAATGTGTGGTGGGTTTCTACTCTTCGGGTGGACAGTCCGTTACCATATCCAATATGTTGTACCCATTATCGGAACCGGAATGATTGGGTTCGCGCTCGCTGTTACGACAATTTCCGTGCAAACCTATATCATTGATTCATTTGGAATCTATGCTACCAGTGCGATCAGCGCAATGCTGATGCCTCGAAATGCAACAGCGGCGTTTTTGCCCCTAGTTGGTCCGCCCATGTTTTCTGCGCTGGGGCATGGTTGGGGTGGAACACTAGTTGGGTTTTTAGTGTTGATGTTTGCGCCGATGCCGCTTCTGCTGATGCGGTATAGCAAAAAGTTGAAGGCGATCGGTGATCAGACCATTGTGGACTAGTCTGTTAGAGGCTAGAACCGGATCAAGAAATATCCATTTGCACTGCACGAGGGGCTTTTATGTGTTTGGTATGTACTTTGTATAGACATTTCTTTCAAGATTGATTTTTTTTTCCAATATTGTCGGCTACTCAAACTAGGTATCTACTAGGTACATGCCTTGTCTCTCAAACATCCTGGTCCTTTGATGTCATATTCGAAATCTCTATAGTTTCCCCCACAGTAAATTTGACACATGTCAACATTCGCCACCCGGACAACGGATTGTATCTTCCAAGGCTTCTTGGCCATGGCTACAGAGTCCATGTACAGCCTGAGATCAGTATTCCTGGAGCGGTTTAATCCGGCGTCATACCACTATACAGGTTTATTGAACCGATTGTACCGAAGGAAATGATCCACCCTGGATGGATATTACATGAATATTGTGTTAGTGAAACCTCCGTGAACTCCGTGATGTGGGAATGATTCCAAGGATTTTGAAGACAAGTGGATCCAGTGATCCGAGATAAGATGGACTGAATTGTACACGGTAGTCAACAGCGCGGAAATCTCAATTGTGGGTTGACCAGTTGACAGTCAATAACAGTAGGACTCAGATCTACAGTGGAACATTATGGTACAACAGGTACCATCGGAGCTTGTATAGCTAACACTGCTACACTGAATCTCTCCCACATGGAAGAAACTTCAAACTCAAATTGGTTAGTTAGATATTTAATTCAATTTAGCCAGATCAGAATTGAATCTAAACCCCCAAATTTCGGCTTAAAGGAAGGCCAACACACATCTCCACTGCAAAGAAAAAAAAAGTAGACGGTGACTGATCGTACACGGTAGATCCGAGTACACAACAACCTCCTTTTCTTCTTTTAAGATCGCCCACTGGAGATCTTTCTGGTCTTTAAGAGTTTCCTGTTTCCCTCTTTCTTTTCTACTTCTCCTTCATCTCTTGTTTCATTCTCACTGCGTGGTGTGTCTTTAACATTGCTACTTTCTCCTTTAAAAATAATCACCACATTACCCCTCCCCCACCATGGCCGCTCGTCCTCAGAACATCGGTATCAAGGCCATTGAGGTCTACTTCCCTTCCCAGGTTGGTAGCCCCTGAAAATTCTGGATCAATCTTATAATAATGGAATAAACTAACAATTCTTTCTAGTGTGTCGACCAGACTGAGCTCGAGAAGCACGATGGCGTCAGCGAGGGAAAATACACTATTGGTCTCGGCCAGAAGAAGATGAGCTTTTGTGATGACCGTGAGGGTACGAAAACACTTTCTCCAGGGGGAATTGAATCCCGTATACAAATTCAAATACTGACCAAAGCTAACATGATCGTTCTCCAGACATCTACTCCATGTCCCTCACCACCCTCGCCTCCCTTATGAAGAAGTACAACATCGACCCCAAGTCCGTCGGTCGTCTCGAGGTTGGCACAGAGACCCTTCTGGACAAGTCCAAGTCCGTCAAGTCTGTCCTGATGCAGCTGTTCGCTCCTTACGGCAACACCAACATTGAGGGTATTGACACCGTCAACGCCTGCTACGGTGGTACCAACGCTGTCTTCAACAGCATCAACTGGCTCGAGTCCTCCGCCTGGGACGGCCGCAACGCCATTGTTGTCTGCGGTGATATTGCTCTGTACGCCGCTGGCGCTGCCCGCCCCACTGGTGGTGCTGGCTGTGTTGCCATGCTCATTGGTCCCGATGCCCCTATTGTCTTCGAGCCCGGTCTCCGTGCCTCTTACCTCACCCACGCCTACGACTTCTACAAGCCCGACCTCACCAGCGAGTACCCCGTTGTTGACGGCCACTTCTCCCTGAAGTGCTACACCGAGGCTGTTGATGCTTGCTACAAGGCCTTCGACGCCCGCGAGAAGTTCCTCAAGGGCGACACCAACGGCAACAACGGTGCCACCGACGAGTCTCAGACCCCTCTGGACCGTTTCGACTACATCCTTTTCCACGCCCCTACCTGCAAGCTGGTCCAGAAGTCCTTCGCTCGCATGCTCTACAACGACTACCTTGCCAACCCCTCCCACCCCGCCTTCGCTGAGGTTGCCCCTGAGCTCCGTGACCTCGACTACGCTGCCTCTCTGACCGACAAGGCTGTCGAGAAGACCTTCATGGCTCTGACCAAGAAGCGCTTCGCTGACCGTGTCCAGCCCGGTCTTCACGTTGCCGGTCTCTGCGGTAACATGTACACCGCTACCGTCTACGCCGGTATTGCCAGTTTGCTCAGCCACATCACTTTCTCCCCCAGCGATCCCAAGCGTATCGGTCTCTTCAGCTACGGCAGTGGTCTCGCCTCTTCTCTGTTCAGCGCCAAGATTGTCGGCGATGTCTCTGAGATGGTTGAGAAGCTGGACCTCAAGAACCGTCTTGAGTCCCGCACAGTCCTCGCCCCCGCTGCCTACGATGAGATGTGCAAGCTGCGTGAACACGCTCACCTGAAGAAGAACTTCAAGCCTTCCGGTAACGTCGAGACTATCCAGTCTGGTGTCTACTACTTGACCGAGGTGGATGACATGTTCCGCCGCAAGTACGAGATCAAGGCATAAGCGATTGACTTGTCGTTGTCCGTTTTTCATTTGCCGTGGATATGACCACTTGTTTAGACGGCTCAAAACGATTCCCCTCAGCGTTTTCTTTTCTTTGTTGAATTTGTGTCGCAATAGACCGTGCAAGGTGCATCCTTGCTGATTTTGTGTCTTTTTTTAATCTTTTGCTTTCCCGATTTATTTTTCGGATGATTGATGAGACAAGCTAGAACCTCCCTAGATCTGTATTGGCTAGGATGCAAATAATGATATGACATGCTACATTCCGGCATATACCAAAATTTATTCATCTTCCACAAATAAGTTTGGAATAATCCTTTCTCTGTGTGCCAGTAATAGCTTGCTTGGGAGCATTCGGTGCAAAGTAGACTGGGTGGTATAGAGACATTCGTATAGTTTGGATAGTACACTGTAGAGGACTCGTAGGAATGTCTTGGGCGGGGGTGGGAAGATGTAGGATGCCGAGTACCATTGGGGCCAATAAGAAGGGTCCTGTAAAGGGTATCTTGAAGATCTGTGAATGGGATTCGCTTTGGAATATGTTCAGCAGAGAAATGGAGCCAGTCTTTTGGGGGGTTGTCGATATTAATATGGGCTCAGAAATCGTTATAGTTCACCCCAAGGTTGACTTAGAAGAGAAGAGGGTGATGAAGACTCCAGAAATTTCGATAAGCAATGTCAGAGAAATAAAATAATGCATTGCAGCACTATAAAAGAGAATAAAATCATGTTTCCAACTGTCCCTCGGAGGTTAAGCCGACTAGTTCGCGGAGAGTGATACGTTAAAAATATCATGATCGATAACATGCGACGAACCTATGATGGAACAAATGCACGAAGATCTGACGCAGGGAGAGAATCCCCCGTGGAAAGAAAGATAAAAAAAGCACAGACAGTTTCAAATCAGGAACTTGAGACGCGTCAATAATCTCTATGGTCTCAAACAGCGGGGGGAAGATAATTAGTGCACAATCCAAGAAAATGATGCTTCATCCCACTTACCCCATACAATCAGACATAATGATAGTTAATTGCTAATTTAGAACATGTAGCAGGAGACGCTCTGCTAATTATGGGACATTTCTCGTTAATCGGTTGGCTCTAAGAATCTGAAAAGTGGACAAGAAGTGTGTGACGATGATCGCCCGGCGCGTACTCGAGACTCCCACCTACATTCTGTAGCCGCCGACCTCAACTGATCACACATCTCCGTACGTCACAATGGAAGGACCTGTTCTCCCACCTACCCCGGCCATGCGACCTCAGGCTAGCTAGAGCTACCTCCTGCATTATCACAGCACCCGCTGAAGCTATTTTTATCCCTCCCCTCCTACTTAGCACCCATTACCAGTGAGGAGACCCTTAACCGCCCATCTATCACCTCAACCCATCTGGAGGCCTGGCGCTTCCATCCCTTATGCGGTGATCACTCCCGATGAGACCGCTAATTACCTGACAATATGTGACTTAATTGTTGCTGAATTTAGAAGTGTTCGATCACTCTGCAGCAAACTAACCGGATTAGGCCATTTGATGGACAATTTCGAGACTGATGCAAAATATAGTAACATCTTAACGCGCGACAGTCTGCTGAAACGGCACTATACCCAGATGGATGGCCTTGATGGGGTTCGAGGTCCCCTGTCGCGCGACCTCAGGCACAATAGTCGGCAGTTTCGCGTTTCATGCATGGCGGACGTGGCCCTGGATCGGAGACTAGGATCCCAAAAAAAGATTTGGAGCCTCTGTTGGCGTCAAGATGGAGCATTTCTCCATGTTTCATGTTATTCAAGATCCGCTAGTGGCTTTTTATTTGATATCTGCATGTTTGAAGCAAGCATTTAATATCCAGTCCTTTTCTCCTTCATGATCGTGTTTCTACTTCATCACGGAAAGGTGATCTGATCCAACCAAGCTTGCTTCGACTAGCATTCGTTTCTTCTTTGCAGAAGTTAACCTTGATTGATCCTTACCTTTCCTCTTTCCTCTTTACTTTATTATCTTATTATCTTTTTTTCTTTCCTTAAAAAGAAATATTCTCTATTACATCTTCCCTTTATGATATAGCGGGTCCACTCAAGTCGAACTACTCGCCCTTATCTTACATCATGTCTATGGATCATGTTTACTACCAGCAGCCAACCACTCCACCAGGCATTCCCTATGAGGATTACCACCTTGGCTCCGCTAATAGTCGCAACGCCTCTACTTCCTCCCTTTATTCGGGTGAATCTTCCCCTTGGTCCACTATGACGGGGAACACTAGCCCAGGTACTTCGCCGACTCGGCATCACCATGGCCCGGCCCTTTTGCCTAAGATCCGCCCTCAGGATGTGGTCATTGAGCCCATTTCTGCTGGTGGCCCTCTTAGAAGCCGTCGCATTTTGTCCAACACCCGGAACCCCCCAGGTTTTGTTCCTTACGCCTCTAGTAGACCTTCTATACAGCGAAACCACCGAGTTGAAGCATTGGAGCGCTTGCCGTTGGCATTGCCAGGCTCCCCAATTGTCACCAATGGTCCTCATAGTGCAACTATTCCGCTTGGTCCCTCTGCATTGGCGTCGCCTGTGGCTATTACTTCTTCCCACAGACGTAGAGCTTCCATGGGACATGCTCGCTCCGCTTCAACCTCTAACATTGATGAAGCTACTTTGAACCGATATGGATATCCGACCTATCGATCACTCCCAAAGTATGTGCCGCATATGCAAGCACAGATGCAAGCTCATTCTCAGGCTCAAGCCCAAGTTCATGCGCAGACTACTCCGAACACGCCGGTCACGCCCGTGACTCCAAACATCGTGGTCTACCCATCTCACCCACAGCAAGCCAGAGTAGAAACACCACAGCTTACCCCAGTTCGTACGCAATGCCACCCATTGACTGTACCTACTTCCCAATTCTGCTACAGTCCAGTGCATGGACCTCAGAGATCACCGGTCCACATGATGAGTCCTCGGGAAGATCTCAACCCCCCATCTACCACCCTGCTTTCGTACTTGACGGCGCCAACCCAGGCGATCAACCTAGTCCGCAACGTTAGCGTGATCCCTACTCGTGGCATGCATGACTATTTCTGGTGGGACATCCGCAATCTTCGCAACTGGACTTCATTCTCCTTCGCCACTTTTGACACGTTCAGTGGACTCACCAAGCTGCTAACCACTGAGCTACCTGGAATCCTTACCCCTCCAGTGATGGTGGCTCCTTCGCGTCTAGCACCAGAATCCGAGTCCAGTCTTGTCTCTCTAATTCGGGATCTCTACGCACCTCGCGTCAACGCAGCACTAGCTGTTTCCCAAGGCCCAGACCATATCCAACTTTACGCTGCCCCAGACATCCGCCACACAGGTCACAAAAACCACGGCCACCCACACTTCCTAGCCAACTACACCACGGACACAGAATGCACCAGTGCCGGTCTCACTCGAGGACGCATGGTGGGAATCGTCAAGAGCTTCGATCGCTGGAACTCCGGAATGCGCAACGAAGCACCCCACCGCCGCGTCGAATACCTAAACGGTCTAGCCCATCTCCAGCGCTGCATGCGCGAGCACTCCTGCCGCTACGGCTTCATCATAACGGAGATAGAGCTCGTCTGTGTCCGAGCAGGCTGCGACAGTGGCTGCGACATCCCATACTTTGGATACCTTGAAGTCGCAGCACCAATCCCACTCAAAACATCCATGCCATCTTCACAGCCGTCTGCACTCGCAACACCCATCTCTGCACGATCATTCTCATCATCTTCCCACAGCTCGTCTTCTCACTCTGAAAACTCGACTCCGATATTCGACCCAGAATCAAAGGAAGATCTACTATCTACCCCCATGACAGCAAGCATGGCACTCTACTTCGTGCTTATGCTAGCAAAATCCGTCCCATTGCCTAATCAGCCACCCGCCCACCTCAACGTCGGCGGGCCAGGAGCCCTAACACGACAGCGTATTCTTCAACAGCCGAAAGATAAATGGATTCCCGAACCACAGATTGGCGAACGTCGCGATGCGAAGCGCGTTCGTGGTTGGGTCTGGCCGCAGGATGCTTGGCATCGTCGGGAAGGAGGAGGCCGAGTGGCAGGTTCAACAAAAAATGCCGATATCAAAGCAAAGAAGCAGCGTCATTGATCGTCGCTGTCCCAGCCCGAGTTGGGCGTAGGGTATAGGAGGTTTTAAAGCTATATGCTTATATTTCCCTCACTTTTGAAAGTTCTTCTATTTTTTGCTTTTTCTTTTCCCCCTTTCGGAGTTATTTTATCCAATTTTGTTATTTTGATTTCATCTGCTTTATGATTTTATGCTTTTGGTGGCCATGATTGCTTGTTAATTCCCCCGTGGTATTTTGATTGTTGATATTAATGTAATTTCTTTATTTTATTTCATTCTATCTTATCTTCTTTTACTCTCATTCATTAATTATTTAAATTTCGACTTATTTATTTTTCTTAAAAGCTTTTCTCGCTACTACCAAGTTCTTTTCTTAATGGGGCTGCTCATGCTGGTATCCCACAAGGTCCCCATGCCTAACAACCTCTAACCGCCGATCCGACCCGCAATTATGAGTGATAGGTTCCACTCTTTCTCTTTGCGTGTTGATATTATAGAGACCCAGGGACCTTGGGAGAAGAAGAGTACCTCGATAGCCAAATGGTACAATGGGGACATTGCAAGACAGCCACAAACCCCAGTGCTACATATAAGGGATACTCCTCCCAGTCCCTATGTACGTATGTGCTGATCTTTTTTACACATTCTACTTATACAACAAGACCTCGGGATTCATCAATTTATCTAAGCCTCTTTGAATATTGAATGATCTAGTCATTTCAAAGATGAACACACCAGACGCCTACCCCGAAATCCAGGATGTCATCATCATCGGCGCGGGACCCTGTGGTCTAGGCGTCGCCGCCCGTATCCACGAAGAAACCCCCTCCGCAATGTTCACAGACGAGGAGCACCAACGGTACCACTGGATTAAAAAACATACCGGAAAAATGAATCTAGTACAAGCGGGCCGGAGCAAGAAAAAGGGCGTTCGGGCTGAGAAATGGAATCGCGGACTGAAGAATCTTTCTCCAGAGAAGAACCAAAGCGACGCGGGAGAGAAACAGCGCAGAGAATCATCGGACTCCGGATCCTCTGTTCCATCGCTTGCATCATCAGCAGAGAGCGTGGATTCATCTTCTTCATCTTCATCTCCTACGTCGATATCAACACTGGTATTAGATGGATCGGGAGAACAGTGGTTGCAGAGGTGGAATAATGCATTTCGCACATTGGAAATTAAGCAGTTGAGGAGTCCGATGTTCTTCCACGTTGACCCTGGTGATCGAGATGGAATGCTTGCTTATACGCAGGAGATGGGAAGAGAAGTTGATCTATGGGAGATTTCAGGGTGTGTAGGGAAAGAAACGAGCAAGCATAAGAAGAAGAAGAGACGACAGGGAGGAAAATCGCAGTAAGTGAACCTTATGGTATAATGTTTCAGGGTTACAACGGACAGAAGCTTACATTAACTACTTAGAACTATTGGCGGAGTTGAGATTGATGAACGAGATCGGAAGGATTACTTTTCGCCATCGACTGGTCTCTTCAATGATTACTGCAATTCTATCATTGAGCGATATGGTTTAGATGAACCAGGCAAAATATTGAAGCAGGAAGTTGCTGATATGACGTATGGTTATTTACCCGAGAGAGGAGATGTACCAGTGTCAAACTCGAAGATATTTGCTTTGACCACAGCTTCGGGCTTGAAATTTTATGCCCGGGCTGTTGTTCTCGCTATGGGTGCTGGTGGTGCTGGAATTTCTAAGATCTTCCCGTGGAAGCCTACTAGCAAAGAAGAGGGTGCTGAAGCATGCTGCCACAGCATGGAAATCAAGTCTTTTCCAAGTCCGAATGTTCGAAATAAGATTCAGTGTCGACAGGAAACGAACGTTGTGGTTGTTGGAGGAGGACTTTCATCTGCACAGATTGTAGACATGGCTATCCGGAAAGGTGTTACTAAAGTGTGGTTTTTGATGCGCTCAGGTTTGAAAAGTGAGTATAATATTTGGCTTTTATAAGTTTACTTGTAAGAAGCTTCACTAATACAATTCATCTGAGCAGTTAAGCATTTTGATCTCAGTCTGCCATGGCTGGGTAAATATAAAAATTGGGAGAAAGCAGCTTTTTTCTCTGCAGATACAGATGAAGGTTCGATATTCACTACCCTTCACACTGTCTATGAGCTTGGGCATGATGTCACTTGTCTCCAAGAGAACCAACTAACAACTATCTTTAGAACGCCTCGACATGATTAAAGCTGCCCGGAACGGCGGGAGCATCACACCTCGTTACGTCAAAATCGTCAAGCAGCATGCCGCAAGCCACCGGGTATCGATCCATCCATACACTATGATCAAATCGCACGAATATAATCCAGAAGCTCAGACTTGGAATCTGACCACGGACCCGCCGATCCCCAACCTACCTCCAATCGACTATATCTACTTCGCGACCGGGGCTCGGGCGAACGTACGCGAAATGTCTCTACTTAAGAACATGAATGAACAATACCCTGTAGAAGTGATAGAGGGTCTACCATGTCTAACAGAAGATCTAATGTGGAGGGAAGATGTACCTCTATACATGACGGGTCGAATGGCAAGTCTACGACTTGGTCCCGGAGCACCCAATCTTGAGGGCGCAAGAACAGGCGCCGAGCGAATAGCATGGAGCCTGGAAGAGCTCCTAGAGAAGGGGAGGGAGGTTGGGGATCGGTGCGAGGGATTCTGTGGGCTGGGAAATCGGTATGCTTCGCTGCTCGGTGATGCAGATGAGTAAAGATAGGGCTGGATATACCGGATCATCTTCAAGTTTTCATCCAGATCGGATTTCCTTGCTACGGAAAACTTTAACCACTCTTTATCTGCCTATGACACTCATGGATTATGACCTTCGATGTCTACTCCTTGAATGTATACACCCCATGTGCCCAGTTTCTGAACAAGGTCATGGTTATCCATTCCATTTACCCCCTTCATTCTCCGTTTCTCCCTGATAAGCACCGGACCACGATGATGAGCGGCTTCATAGGAAGATTAGCAGGAATGTTAATCCCTTGTTCAGTAGAATTTCATGGAGCTTAAATCCTTGACTGCATATCTATAAAGCTTAATGGAGTAGATATCCGGCATTGATGGCTTGGGGACTTTATCCTGTTCTTCTTTTGTGTGTACGACGGCCCGTGAAGGCCAATTCGTGACTTTATACGACAACATGGAGTCAAATTCTGAGCCGGATACGCCAGTCGAGGCTATGAAGATACTTCCGAACAAGACTAATGACAACTGGCTCAAAGATCGAGGGTTACTGAAGTTGAATCTGGGCATTATGTTTATGTTCGCTTCGTCGGCTGGAACAGGATATAACGGGAGTTTGATCAATGGCTTGCTTGTACTGCCTCAATGTAAGCCATTCAAGTTTTGCTCGTTTCAATGAACCTGGAGAATATTTTGGAAGATGCTAAATCTTAATTATCAACAGTTCGTATGATTACCGGTGGTCTCCAGCCCAGCATACTCGGTCTTCTCATCGCCGCAACGTCGCTAGGAGCATTTATGTCATTTTTCCCGGCATCGTATTTCGCAGATATATTTGGACGAAAGAAATGTGTTGCTATTGGATCTACACTGGTAATCATTGGCTCGGTTATTCAAGTCGCGGTGAAAAGTCACTGGGCATTCTTTGGCTGTCGAGTGTTGGCTGGTTTTGGAACTGGTACTGCTCAAGCCGCGGCTCCATTGTTAGCGACTGAGATCGCTCATCCACGACAGCGACAAACTGCAACAGCACTATATAATGCGACTTGGTGCGTGGGATCTATTGCCTCAGCTGGGGTAACCTTGGCTACATTGTCTGTGCATAATGTGTGGTCATGGAAAATCCCGTGCATTCTACAAGCCTGCTTTCCTCTGATGCAGCTTATTGGGCTTTTGATCGTTCCAGAAAGCCCTCGATGGCTCGTTTCGAAAAACAGAACAGACGAGGCTTATGCAGTTTTGGAAAAGTACCATGCTAATGGTAACTCCGATGACGTGTTGGTCCAACATGAGTTCCAGCAGATTTGCATTACTATCAATGCGCAGAATCAACAGCCTGGACATTGGAGCACCTTCTTTTCGTCCAGAGGAAACTTTCATCGCTTTTCGATCTGTGTCATTTGTGGATTTATGCAAGAGTGGGCTGGTAATGGTAAGAAGCTACCCATCCTATTTTGAAATTATTATCTTCTAACCTGTTAACAGGTATTATCAACTACTTTCTCCCTCCTATTCTCAAATCCGTTGGAATTACCCACCCAACTTCCCAAGGTGCCGTTAATGTCGGTCTTCAAGTTTGGAATCTTATTCTGTCTTCTGCAGGCGCAGTCGCATCTGAGCGTTACGGTCGACGAATTCTTTGGCTGTTGTCGACAGCTACTATGCTTTTCTTCTTGTCAATCACAACCATCGCAGCTGGTATCTTCCAAGAGAAGCATGTAACTGCTGCGGGACTAGCTGTGGTACCAATGCTATTTCTCTTCTTTGCAGGATTCGATCTCGCATATTCACCGCTATTTATTGCGTATCCTGCAGAGATTCTTCCTTTCCAGTTGCGAGCAAAGGGTTTGGCGGTTACGTTGACTACAGATGCTATCGCGTGCTTTTTCAATCAGTACGTCAACCCGGTAGCATTCTCGTTTATGCGTTGGAAATATTATTTTGTTTACGTGGGCTGTTTGATATTGTTTTTTATACTGGCTTATTTCCTTTTCCCGGAGACAAAGGGAAGGTCTCTTGAAGAAGTGTCGAAGATTTTTGATTACAAGAAACGCCGGACTGGAGATGATATCAAAGAACATGATGATGAGGGGAAGGAAATTAATTGAGATTGAACAGAGGACTGCACATAGCTGCTTTACTTTTGAGACATTTGGCTAGAAATAGCATCTTTATGTGTAACTAAGTTATGATAGAGGTTTGAGTTTCAATGATCTTGAAATTTCGTGCTTCATTGGGAGATCCAGTCTCCAGAATTAGTTAGAGTATATTCAAATTCTATGACCAAGGACCGACAAGATCCCTTCTTTCTTAAGAGTTACAATCCCATGCTGTACAAGCTGCTTTATAAGTTCAACATGTCTCTCAGCAGCCGCAGAAATCAGGTTATATTCCGAATACCCAAAGTAACCTCTCATTTGCATCCAAAAAGTGCGGCTACCTCCTGCACGTTTCGGGTTCCGCGTGATAGAATATTCACCTTGCTCAATAGCATGCTTGAGTGATAGAAACCAATCTCTCTCCGAAAATTTCCGATAAATTCCGTATTCCATTGGTACGCCAATCCATACAAAGTCCACCTTGACCTGAGGGTTCTGACGTAGGTAGGCTTGTGATGGAATGTATTGTCGACGTAGATAGGGGTGGTCGTTGCATGAAAGCATGATGCAGTTATCACTATTCATAGGTCCTTTAGGGGGTAGTACTTCCAGTGAAATTGCGGCATAGCAATCGTCGGTGATTAATGTGCCTTTGTAAGGGTCTGTTAGATAGACAACTGTTTGATTAGAGACAGGCTCGTCCATATTGTATATAACGATGTTATAAATTATTGTATGTAAAATGGTTGGCCAATCATATAATGGTAGTTTCTCAAAGTGCTGTTATACAGATTTGAGTAATGCAGGATGCATTCCAAGCTTATCTAGGGAATCTCGGGATTTTATACTTGGCTATGGAGGGATCGTCTTGAAATAGTGAACTGCCCCTCTCGGAATTCTTTGATGATTGAAATAAATCCATAACAAAGACATTTAGACAGCCTAAATGCTAGGAGGTGCTTGTGATCTAAGCCTTGAAAGAACCCGTTGTTAATTGTAGCCACCCATTTGTAACAAGGACTGTGTCTAGGGACTTTCAATGTGAATATAAGATTGGAACAAAGAACAATCCTCGGAAAATTGGCATAAGGATCATGAGTATTTTTAAAGAAATCAAGACAATAGGAGAAATTAAATCAAAGAAAAGAAATTTTCGGTATGGTAGTATTAACAAATCATATTTTTATATCGCTCATCTCAAGAATCGGCCGCGGCGGCTTTTCTAGCGTCTTCTTCGTTTTGTTTCGCAGCGAATCGCTCTCTTGCTAATTCGAGCTTCGACTTTGGTCTTTCACTTGGTGGTCCCTGAATACCTGCAACGGGTTGTTGTTGTTCAATGCCCTTTGCCCGAGCAACCCATTCACCTCGGCGACGCTTGTAAAGGTCCATTGACCAATTTCTCCACACTGCTCGGCCAATGAACGAGTCGCGAAGTAACATTTCATTTGAAACAAGCTCCTGCGCCATTCTTTCCTTAACAAAGAAAATGTCCTTTGTTGCTTCCCAGAGGGCATCCACCACATGGGACCCACTGTTGTCCTGACAGAGCTCTACTATATGGCCTTGGAATCGAGTAGTGAACTGACGACGGAATTGTGTTGTGGAGGTCTTCGATGTCAATGCCTGTTGCAGGACTCGTGAAGAGGTTGCTTCTTTGGCGAGCCGCATAATCGACTCGGGGGATTGAGCTAATAGACTGCTGTACACAAGTTCACTCAGTGGTCCTGGAACAGAAAGCATAGATTGCGCAAGCAAAGAGCCGTGTAGTTTCTCCGCGGCGGGGGTAATCGAGACCGGCTTCTTACGATCCCTCCTCTCACGTTGATCCTCGCCATCAGCGTCTTCCATTTCTTGATCTTCATTATCTTGTGTAGTCTCCTCGGCATATGCGTCAAGCCGAAGCATCTCCTGAAGTCGGGTTGCGGGATCTTCGCTGAAGGCCTCCTTGATTGCCTTGGCAAAAGGCTTTGTATCAACATTTCGAATAACACATCTCTCAATCAATACACGTGGAACGATGAGTCTGAATCGCTCGATTAAGCCTGGTACCTCGGGGATAATGAGGTCCATTGCATCCTTCAAGTCATCCTTTCCAAGTCGTTCCAGTGTCCGTAGAACAACGTAGCCGGCTGTTTGGTTTCGAGAAAGAGACCCAATGCGTTCGCGGAGGTTGTTTTTATAAAGGTTCTTGAAAACCTTTCCAGGCATGTGGCGCACCATAGTCTCCACGAGACGGGAGCCAACGGGGTCGTAGAGGAGACCGCGAATAAATGTTGCAGTTTCGGTCCCTTCCTCGAAAGACTCATCGGGGAGAAGCCGTCGCAGAATCGACTTTGGATCTTTGGCACTGGATTTACCAAAGTGAGAGAGTTCCAAGAATAGCATCACCTGGAGAAGAGGATTTCCAACGGGGTGAGTAGCCAAAGCTCGCAAGTAGGTATCGTCAAGACCAGAAACCATATCAGCCATGATCTTCTTCAGTGCAGGCTCGAAAGATTCTGGAACACTTCGTTTCTGAGTAACGGTCTTATCCTCTTCAGGGTTGGCTGCTGAAAGGCCTAATCTTTCCTTCTTGCGGCTGGCAACTACCGAGTCGGTGGATGAAACATCCACAGGTTCTCCAGCAAGGACCAACAGCAATACTCGAATAGTATGTGATGCAAATCGCTCTGTCAATAAGAAACCCCAGTTTCCTTCTAATTCGTTGATCACACTCATGAACATTTCCGCGAGCGACAGCTCCGGTTCTTCCTCTCCATTGTGCTCCTCCTGTTCCTTTTTCGCTTGCGCCTTCGGGGTTTTTTGCATAACAGCCGGGGCCGCATTGATGAATAAAGTCTCACAACAATGGCTTGCGAATCGATGTTGTACAAGATGGAGGAAATTGCCAAGGAACTTGCTGAAGATCCGTCGAAGTTGGCGGGCGTCCGACATGGAGATCAATTTTTCCATTAATCTTGAACAGCCTTGACTACAAGCAACCTTCAATTCCTTTCCATTAGCTTCCCGGTATACACTCTCAATGAACAAATTCTTCTCCTCCGCGTCGCCAAATTGGTTGGATTCGAGCATCTCATTCGCGCGAGAAAAGTATTCTGCCTCGTCGGCGTCGAGAAGACCATAGAAAGGCATATCACCGTCGGCACCATGGCCACCTCCTTCTTCTTGGTCATGTTGCTGGTCATCGTCCGCAAGTGGGATGTAGTCTGGAGCTTGGTCGACAGTAATGTCGTAGATGACCTCGGCGTCGGGGTCGGCGTCGGCATCCTCGGAGGGTTTCATGCGCTTTGCAACGGGTTCTTCAATCGAATCTTCGAATGCGCGGTTTGATTCATCTTTCTGGGCTTTTTGCTCGGCCCTGCGGCCTCTTTTTTGCTTTTCGCGAGGCATTGTGACGGTTGTTTCTGAGATTTAAAGATAACGCAGGAAATTTTTTGGGATTTTGCCGGATAAGCAATGGCCCAAGCGTCTCCGCGGTGATGTTTGTCATGTTTGCACTCGATAAGAAAAATATAGTAAATAACTGTAGGAAGGCAGGTATAACTCATGGCAACCGTTAATAACGAGTTTCTTTTTAGTGAAGAGGTTTAATAAATCGTTGAGTAGAATGGAGTGAGGTGGGAATAATTCGGGAGCGCTTTTTTATTATCTAATTTTCAATCAGGATGACGCCAAGGCTCGAAGATGGGAGGCTTTAATTACATTTGATATAGTACATGATATTGTGACAATTTTAGACAGCTGAATAAATTGCAGAGACATTCCGTCCGCATTCAACACGTTGCTCCATCTTCACGTTGCGCTTGCCAACGGGACCTTTGTGCCGGGGCATTAGTTGGAGTCGTGCTTCCGGTTCTGGCTTCTTCGAAGACTCTTGGGGTGCCTTGATATAAGTTGGTCGGGACTGGTTACTACGTTTGCCGGTTCCGAGTTGGAAGTGCTCGTTGCCTCCCCACCAGAAGACCTCATAACCAAAGTCGTTCGACTTGTCCAGCGAGTCCGTCTTCTTGGTACTGATGCTCGTCTTATTATCCAAGACGGCGGCGACATGAGTGGTACCGACGGAAATGTTGCGCAAATGGATGGGGGTCATTTTTTCGGTCTTCTCATCATATTCGCCCAATCCACTAAGGTCTTTCACCTGGACAGGCGAGTCTTGGATGTGGATCCATTTGCCGCTTCCCAATGTGCCCCAGATGCCCCGACCACAGGACCAGGTATCGGCAGTCACGTTGCCCAAATCACGGACATTGGCCGCCTCTTCATCGCGGCCCAAAATTCGCTTGGAGTCAACGGTGAAGAAGGTGTTGGCTCCACCTGCAGCAACGCCAGTGATGGTTGGCGCATAAAACTCCTTTCGGTAATACTTCTCCACGGGCAGTGCGAATGGTGTATCCATAGAAGGCTCAACCGGAATAAATTGGACGCCCAGCTGGCCAAAAGAGTTATCTCCCCAGCCAAATAAACGACCATCCTTGGTCAATGCCAGAGCATGATAGTCACCAGAAGCGATTTCCTTCACTTTCATTCCCTTTAGTGTTGCAACCTCATGACAAGAATCTGCGGGGCCGCTGGGGCGAGTGTTCCAAGTCAGCCCAGGCACACCTAGCTGACCGAGGGATGGGTAATTCTCCGTGGACGAAGCGGCTGTGAATACACGTCCTGAGCTTGTGAGCATTACAACATGCTCCTGACCACCCCGAATGGTTGTAACCTTTTCACCAAGCCCCAAGGCCGGCTTCAAGATGCGATAGCTCAATTTGGAATTGCCTCCCCAGAATGGCACCCAAGAGCCTTCCCGGGCCTTGGGTCCAGACTGCTGAACCGCCTTTGAGAGGGGCAACGAGTAGATATTGCCGTCGGATGACAGAGCTATAATTCGGCTCTCAGAGAGAGCAATCGACACCAAATTTTTGCCTTTCAGAGTCTTCCTGGGCTTAAAATCGGTATCCGAAAATCCCTTACCCCACTGCACAAGGTCACCATCCTCTGTAATCGCGGCGCCGGACTTCTCATCAACCTTGAAGTCTCGGAGCACCTGCCCATTGAAATATTTGAATCGCCGAGGCGTTTTGATGTCGGAGTCTTTCGATCCTGGATCGGCCACTTTGTACTCGTTTGAACCCCATGTGAAGACCCCAGGAGACTTCAAGCTTCTCTTCTCTTGGATGAACTGGGCGCGAAGATCGTTGACATCGATTATTTCCTTCTTGGGCAGCTGACTATCAATCCATGCTTCTTTCCAATCGCCTGTGAGGTATGAATAGCCGAGGAATCCAACACCACCCGCTATTGATACACCGAGCAGCCTGAGGATCCACCCCGAAGATGAGGTCGATGTTTGTGCTTTGCCGCTTGCCAATCGTCGCGGTGGCGCATTATTTAGAGAGCGACGGGTCGCTAAGGTGGAGGGGCGGAGATGGCGGATCGCTTGCATCGCGGGGTGTCGTGCTCGAGATGCCAGCATGATGAAAGTTGAGTATATTAACCTATTGATACATATCCAAAAGGGCTGGTCTTAAGGTGGAACAAAGTGTCACTCCGAAGCACAAACCGGGGAAGCTTGACACAGCTTGAATAAAATCAGGCGGACTAGCGTGGCAGAACTTCCCCGGTTCAAGACACTGAACCAACCAACCCTCACATTGTCATTCACGATTGTTAACACTGGTTCTTGGCTTTGTTTGTGCAGTTGTTGGAGGAATAGCTATGTTTGAGCATACGTTCTCTCATTGATAAATTTGAGTTTGATTGCATCATGCCGTCCACGAAACAACAACGTGCTCGTCGCCAGACTGCGCCATCGGGCCCGCCGCGGAAGCCAACTGCCAGCGAAACACAGTCGCGCCTCGAGCCAACAGAGGAGCAGTCACCAGGGCTTCTACATTGGAGCATACCTGCCTGGAACAATGAATTGGAGTTTTCGCAGTGGCTTAATGAGGTCAAAGATGATTTGGTTGAGGAGAGCTATGACCAGTACCAGTAAGTGCAGTTCAACGTGGGGCCAATACTATTAAGGCTAATCTGGACTTTTCCTCGCTACTAGAACCTACCTCGACGAACTACAACAATCGAAGGAGCACATTGATGAGATCTTGATGAACACATTAACCCTACTTGACGACTTATCTAGCATATCCGAGTCCTTCAAATCCGTGGAGTCGCAGACGTCCAACTTCGAGAAACAATGTGAGGGGCTACTCACTGCCCAGAGGCGAGACACGAAGCTTGCAAACGGAATTCAGAATAACTTGCATTACTATGACTTCTTGGACCCTGCATCACGGCGCCTGAATGCGCCAGGTGCTGGTAATACTGTGCGAGACAGGGAGTTCTCTGATATGCTTCGGCGCCTGGATGTGTGTTTGGATTACATGGAAACTCACGTATGTAACATGTGGCGATCTGAATATGGGACGGGCCCTGCTAATACAATCTTTAGTCCGAACAAAAAGAGGCAGAGGTCTATCGTTCTAGATATCGGCTTCTGCTAACCCGTGCACTGACTCTCATCCGCGGCAACTTCGTGGCTTCACTTAAAGATATCTATCAGAATGTCTCGAAGAAAGTTTCAGACCAAAGCCTAAATGACACTGCTTTATCAGCACTTCTGTATGCCAAATTTAGGATTGGCGCACCCGAATTGAAGCAAATCGGAGTGGAGATCCAGAAAAGAGCCGTGCCACCGCTGAATCCAGACCAGAACAATGAAGCCGAATACCAGAGTTTGATGAACGAATTACACAGCAACTATGCAGCAACTAGAGCCCGTCTAATTGTCCCGCTTGTTCGCAAGAAGCTCGGGGAGATCACGCAAACACCCAGTTCATCGAAAGACTTGGTTTCCTTTGCCCGTGCTAGCATAAGCTACATTCGTGGCGTCTGTTTAGATGAATACGATCTATGGGGAGAATGGTTCCATGGTCAGGGAGGTCTATATGACTTCCTTGAGACTATCTGCGAGCCTCTCTATGACCACCTTCGCCCCCGTATCATCCACGAGACTGACATTGTCAACCTCTGCCAACTTTGCACTCTTCTACAGACTCGATATTTCATGGACCCAGAAGAAGAGCCAGAGCCAAATGATACAAACCAGCTTGACTTTGCCACTTTGATCCAGCCCGCTCTTCAGGATGTTCAAACTCGATTGGTTTTCCGTGCTCAGGCAGTTCTACGTGATGAGATCGAACGATACAAGCCTCGCCCAGAAGATATCGATTACCCAATACACAGCCGACAAGTATCATTGACGGTGACCGATACCCAAATTTCAGGGAGGAAAGACACGACCGCCGATAATATGATCGATATGACAAAAGATGAGACTACAACTGAGAAGGACGGAAAGTGGGACTTTGAGACCCAAACCGCGCTTAAGGGATGGTATCCCACCTTGCGAAAGGCAATTTGGCTTCTTAGCCGAATCTATCGTCTTGTTAATGTGAGCTATTTATATCACTTATAATTCACATTCCAACTAACAAAACTACCCAGTCAACCGTTTTCGATGACCTGGCACATAACATCGTCCACCAAACTACCATCTCCCTTCAAAATGCCAGCACGCTCATTTCCAGCAAAGCCAACGCAGCAGACGGTCAACTTTTCTTAATGGGTCACCTTTTAATCCTAAAACAACAAATCGTCGCATTCGACATTGAATACGTTGCCCCAGAAGTCTCCTTCGACTTCTCTGGCGTCACAAGCACATTCTGGGAACTCCGCGAAAGAGGCGGTCTCTTCAACCCGCGCAACCTCATGCGTCTCGTAGGACACGGCCTAATTCCCCGCGTCGTGGAGAACATGCTCGACGCAAAGGTTGAATTGGACGGCCGGCTTCGCACAGTCATCAATGACTTTATCAACGCATTTGCGGCGCGGATGACCGCTTCTCTACCGGCGAAGTTTGTCGATACAAGAAATCTAGTAACGGGGGAACTTACTCTACCCTCTTGCCGGACTATTGAAAAGGAGGTTCCTGCTCTCAGGAAGATTTTGAATGAGTACATTGATGACACTAGGATGAAGGAGACGCTTGTTGGGGCGGTGCAGGATCGCACGATCCAGATTTACGAGGACTTTATAGAGAAGTATGCTGCTTCTGAGAAAGGGAAGGGAGTTGCGTTTAATAAGAAGGGCAAGGATCGTGATGATGCCGTTTGGGATCTTGAGACTTTTGCGGAGTGGTGTGAGGGTATTTTCCGTGTTGGGGTTGCGGGTCTACAAGCTGGACAGGTCGATGATGAAGATGACAATCTTTCGAGCTCGACTTCTTAGATCTTCTCTTCTGTCTCCTTGCCCTCTTCTTTGTTGATTTTTTGGGACCTTTCCTTCCCATCTCCCATTGTGAGCGTAGATACCATATGAAACAGCGCAATGTACATCTACTATTACTAATTTTGAATATTGTTTGAATTGCAAAAAAATAATCAAATAAAAAAGGCAATAAAGTGTGCTTCATCCATGTATAATCAGTAAACACTGGGGTCAAATATGTACAAGAAAAAGAAAACGCCATTTCCATAAACGCCTAGGGCCTGAGCCTAATCCACCACGGCTAATCCAGATCCTGATTCCTATTTTCGCTCAAACGAGACAAGAAACTCTTCAGAGTATGTATATGATTCAAGCATAAAAAGAATATAAAGTACGAAAGCGGTTCAAACACATTATCGAGCTCGTGTCATTCAGAGTAAAAAAGATATGCAAAGTCATTCGTTGAGAACCGGCTCTACGATGTGGGCAACCCAATCTTCTTGAACAAGTCCGTGTCGAGGAAGTTATACGTCGGATCCGACTCACAGAAGGGGTGACGAGTGAGTAAAGTAACGGCAGTAGGACGTTCAGCCGAATCACTGTCAGAATGTTAGAATCTGATGCTAAAGTGGAGAGAAAGGGGTGAAAGAGATAGAACATACACAGTGAAACAGTCATACATGAAGCTAAGAGCCGCAATTGAAGCTGTTTTACTAACATCATCCGGAATAGGAGGAGCCTGGCCAAGACTACCAAGTTTGAAGATGGCACCAATGGCCTCTTCTTTGCTCCAAGGACGACGACCAGCAAACATTTCCAATACCACACAGCCAAGGGACCAGATATCGACCTTGGCACTGTAGCCCTGGCCTTGGGATTGGATAACTTCAGGAGCCATCCAGAAGACCGAGCCTTGCATGGAGTTACTTGAATCATTGCCGTAGATATCATCTGTTTTCTTGGAGATACCGAAATCTGAAATCTTGCAAGTTCCATCCAGATCCAAGAGAATGTTGTCTGCTTTCAAGTCTCGGTGGAGAATGCCCTTGTCGTGCAAGTAGGCTAGACCACCGAGTGTCTGTCTGGTAAGAGATTTCACAACACATTCCTCGAATTTTCCATGCTTCCGAAGACAACTGCCAACGGAACCACCAGAAATATATTCGAGATAGATAGAGATTGAAGTTTCGCCTCGCTCGCAACCCAGGTACTGCACGATATTAGGGTGTTCAAGATGCTGCATAGTGTCGATTTCTTGATCGAGAGCGCCAACCATCTCTTTGATACGGTCACGGTCTGACCCTGCAATACGGGCATTGATCTCAACTTGCTTCACTGCCAAAACCTCACCATTGTCTGCGTTCATGCCGAGGTAAACCCGACCATAAGTACCTTTACCAATAAGCTGACCACGGATGATACGGAAGGTAGGCTGGCGCTGAGGGACAGTGCCACTTGGTTCGGGCTGGGGAGTACTTTGCTGCGGGATGGGGTCCAATCGGCTGATACGACTTCCAGGCTTAGGGCTGATTTGCATAATTTTGGCGCCGAACATCTTGGTACTCTTGCGGCGTAGCATGCCCGATTTCTGGGGCCCCCCAGCACTCACGCTCTTGGTTCGATGAGAATCACGCGCCACCTGTCGAATCGATTTGGTCCTTCCAAGACCACCGCCACCATTACCACCTGCACCTCCACTTTGATTAATAAATCTAGTAGCGACCGCCTTGGATCCAGCCTGTGGTCGCATTGTTGAGGTATCATCCCCATAGAGAGCAGTTGGATCATTCCTGGATGAAGGTATAGGAGGTGGGTGCTCTGATCTGCCTTTCGCAGTTGAGTCATCCACATGATTTGGCTTGGAGCTTGGAGACGCTGGTTCATCTAGATAAGGAGCATCCAGATCAACACCTGGGAAGAAGCTGTCCAGATTGTCAATGACGCCCTCGACAGCAGGTCTGCTAGCCCAAACGTCGTCATTGACAAATGATTTTCTTTTCTCGGCCTTCTCATCAATAGGTGAGACGTCATTATAGAATGTTCTAGGGTCTTTGCTGCCGGATGCCTCCCCGCCAGAACTCTCAGGATTGACCGAAGCTGCGAAGCTAACCCTAGGTCCTTTTTGGTTCGCACGAACAGTATCATTCGGCGCCTCGACCTCGGGTTCATCTTCTTGGTTCTTGTTTGTTAGAGGAACCATAAAGAGACCATCATCAGATTCATCATCGGAACCGGAATCCTCCGCTGGTTGTGGAGTGCGTTGAAAGGAAACTTCTTTCTCTTCAAACACAAACTCCGGCCCGAATGACTTGCGAGATTGCAAAGATGGCCTCCGAGATGGCTCAGAAGGTGATTCTTCTGAAAATTTGGGCCCATTCTGAGAAGATTCTGCTGGGGAAGTTTGGTCAGCGTGTACACTTGACATAAAAAAAAATCTCTTTTAAGAGCACCGGAAGCTTTATGTAACTGGAACTTACCCCATGTCGTTCTGCTAGAAGCTGTGTCCGCCGAGCCCAATGTTGGTGGCCTGTCAGACTCTGAGCTAGCACTGTCACGGTTGGCGGAGGATGGAGTAGAAGAAGCGTTGACGGAAGTGGCTGGTGTACCAATGGCACTTGTTATGCGGCCAATGCTAGTAAGCGCGGCCCCCAGGCCATGGGTTTGGGGAGGCTTTCGAAGAGAATTGACTTTAGTAAGAGTGTTCGATTCATTCGGAGCAACGGGTGGTTTTCGGAAAGGCACCAGGCTTTCCGGCTTTTTGTCATCATAGGGAGATGTCTTCTTTTCTTCAAACGGCGAAACGCGACGTTTGTCGAAGTCAATGACCTTCGTACTTCTGTATCCATTTTCTCCATATGAACCCTCCAGGGGCATTTGAGGAGAAGGAGGGGGAGGAAGTCTCGAAATATGGTTCTCCTCTTGTTTACGTTCCACCTCGCGTTTGTATGCCTCATGGCGAGCGAACAAATCATCCTTAAGGGGGTCCACTTGAGCCCCATTTGAAGTGCCGGAAGCTTTAAGAGTCGGTTGCCGGGAGGTGGAGAAAGGCGAAGTAGGTATATTCTGAGTCTGCGGGGAGATTCTCGCGTCATCAGCCAGAGGCTTCCGAATTATCGGGCTGTGTAGGGCCGTAGGTGACAGAGCCGGCTTGTCATGTTGGCCTGTGGAGATCGAAACCCCAAGACCATCCATAGGGGATGGGCGAGTTTTCTGGGTTCCCTTCACAAATAATAGTTTCAGAGCACGTTGCGCATCGGACTTGCCTTGGCGAAAACGCAACAGAGAGTCATCATTCAAAGGCTCATCGTGATCGGTCTGGCCGGGCTCAGTAAGATACATCTGAGCATTGCCCAAATCCAAGAGTCCGAGCTTTTTACATATGCTCGTGCGTAAATTGCCCGGTGTTTCCATTTCTGTGGCATCAATCAAACGGAAGTTCTCGTTATCCACCGTGACCATTATCCATTTTTTGGCTTTGGTTGGTGAGCGCTCGCTCAGGGACAAGTCACTAGTATTGAAATTGGGCGTGGAATATGGGATATAATGATGTTCTCCAGGGCTTGGTGGTTCCAGGTCAGACTCCCTAGGCGATGGGTGACTAGAGTCGGTTCCTTTGGTCCTCTTTCTGAGCCGATCAAACCGATCAAAGAATCCTTTACTATGTTCCCTGGCAGATATATTTTCCGCGGTGTATGGTCGTTGGGAATCCTGAGGCGAGGAGCGAGGACCATCGCCCTGTTTGCGATGCTCGTAGTATCGGCCTGCAATTGCGGAGGAGGGTCCTCGAGTCCCAGGTATGGAATCGGTGCTGTTTCCACGAGAATGCTCATATCTGAGTGGCAAGTCCCCAGAAGACGACGGCGCCGGACCACTATAGGGTGAAGCGAACTGTGCTGCGGGACTGCCGCTCTTGGGACTATTTCCAGCCCGAAGATTGGAACCTCCAAGGGTAGTAGAGCTTGGGAAGGTGCCTTCTTCATTAGAGATTGAGGGACTCTGCCGACGATGATCGTTAAGAGCGCTGCTTAATGTGTTGCGTGAGAATTCTGACCGTCCGGAAGTCTCTCGCAGAGGAGACTCGTAGGGCGAGCCATGACCAGTGGGGTTCGGCTGGGTGAAGGAGCGTGTCCCGGAGTTCTGTTTAGAGCTTTGAGCGGGAGCTAGCTGCTCTGAAGTAATGTCGTTTGTCCCCTCTATAGCCGAGCGGGGTTCACGAATAAAAGTGCCAGATCCAGTATCGAGGATTGGGGGCTCCTGACGTAGAGGAGTGGATATCGATGAATCCGGGGCTCCATCATGAAGAAGACGAATGAGTCTTCGAATTCGTAGACCTTCATCACGTTCAATGCGTTCGCGCTTCGGATCCCACCCAGTACCATTTCGGACACACTCCTTCGCTAATTGAGGGTATACAACCTGATGAATTTTGCCAAGATTTCCGCGTCCACCAGAGGCGAGACCCAGTTCTAGAAATTCCGCGCCCTGGAGCTCAAGTGTTCTGAAGGTATCCTGCCAGTCTTTTGAGAATTGGTTTTTAGCCAGCCAGAGAAGAACCTTCTCCAAGGGCCATTGAGCTGCAGCCTCACTCGGTGATAGCCCACCTAGTGACGCGCCGCTAGTGTTATGACGGTGGCTTGGTGACTTGTTGAGATCAGGTCCCTGGTTGTTTGGCTGCGGCGATGGATTCACATGCTCATTGGACAGTTCGTGGAAATTGCCATGAACGGAAAAAGGCTGTGCAGGCCGCCCGGACGGAGTTTGTGGATTATAGGCCGCTGCTTCAGCGTATACCGGTGCGCCATTAGGCCGCTGTGTATACGGGTCATAGACAGCCCGCCCGTGCGAAGGCTCATACAATGGAGGGAAACCGCCGAGCGTTTCATTTCCAGGAACGTAAGTTGCCGATGTTAGGGGCAGTTCTCCAGGCATATAAGGTGCTGAGGGGTTGTAAGAGGTGTCCACGCCTGTGAAGCTGGCTGGCTTATACGGAAGATGCTGTGGGTGAGCTTGCGGGTGGGCTTGAGGATGAGCCGGTGGTGACATTGTATAGCCTGAGGTCATAACCTGGCGCGCATAGGCCGGCTGCTGCCATTGCTGGGTATATCCCGTTTGAACCAGCGGAGGGCGTGGAGGGGGCGGAGGAAATCCAACATTAACATGCTGGACTTGCGCCGGGACTCGAGGAGGAGGAGGGGGTGGGATCGGTTGGAAATACTGCTGTCGCTGGCCGTCCATTGTGAACAGTGCCTTTACTCAAAGCTGGGTCGAGTTCAGTGCACAGTCAGCGTCGCGGACGGTGGACCGCTGAAGGAAAGTAAACAAATTTGAGTATTTCGTCGCTAATATAATCCACATCACAACTGTTATAATGATCTTCCGGCTTTGCAGTGAGAGATTCTGTGAAACGTCGGTCGGCGCCCAATATGTTATTGCCAGCTGGGTGGAGATAAATATTCCGATCGTAGGGCTGATGATGCTGAGAACAAATGGCGCTGTCGAATTTCGGAATCCTTGTCCCAATAATTGATTAGGGTTTCGAGAAGGATAAAACATCAATCGAGTAGTGCGCAGGAAAGGAATACTTCGATGCGTCCGGTCGGAAAACAGCCAACCATGAGAGGTTGGACTCGATCCTGGGGGCAAGGACAACATGGTTAGCCAACTGGGGGCAAAAGGAAGAGGTGTGAGAGGGCGATCCCCCTCCGATCGTAACATCGGAAGCAAGTGGGAGCGACAGTAAACGCCAGCCACCCGGGACTCGAGAAGAATTTTGATTAATTCCATGCAACCGCGAGGCCAGACTTACCGAGACGAGATCGCAGGGATGACAAACGAGAGTCGTATACGAAACGAAGGGAGATTGATATCTTCACAGCCTTGATGCTCTCTTTTTCGGGCCCCAAGGCGCTTGAGATCGTCACGTGGGCCCGCTCTGGAGTGGAGATCCGTTAAGTAGTGGCACACGGGTACGGAGTGGACTACTAGTTACTAGCCCTGGAGTAAGTACTACGGAGTACGGAGTAAAATAATTACATCTGCTAGATTGTAAAACAACAGAGGCTTGGTTTCTATCACTATCAATTTCCAGTAAAGTATCCGCTCAATAGGATATGGTATTCTCCATATCTAGCCTTATCTTATGCACCTCAAAACCCACCCAGGAATTCTATACGGAGTGGATAAACCCTTACTACACACCTCCAGGGCTCCCCACGCCGATTTTGGCCCCCAACTTACCCGGGTAAATGCCCCGTCTTGCCATAGGTGGGCCTAGATTGGAGCATTTCGTAACATGACCCCTCCCATAGATTAATATCTCGGTCTCAATAACAGCTGAAACATCATAGCGCCCGGTCTACCCTAAGCTGGTAAGGGCTCAGCGCTTAATACATGCAGCCAAGACAACCCTTTATCTGATGACTTTTTGAAGGAAGAGAAAGAGGGAAGAAAAAAATTAGTTCGAATCTCATTGCTTGTAGTAAGTGGAGTTTTCATGCTGGAATTAAAATAGCTATCACATAGGATAATCTCGGAATGCGAGAACAGAAGATATCCCGATTTAGACCGTTGCGCGCGGGATTGCAGATTTTAGCTTTGGTCGGGAATATCTGCTGGCAAAGAAGACATATGATTGCTACAGGTGGCCTACTCATTGCGCTTGGCCGCAGCTTCGGCGGTCGATTTCAATGCAGCAGGGGCATCGTCGCGAGGCATGTATACCTCAACCAACTAGACGTTGCATTAGTCAAATTCCAAAAACTTCTTCCTTCTGCTTCTCTCCCCTCTTTGCTCTCATAGACTTACCTGAAGATCGTCAGAAACACAAAAGCTTTGGTCAGCAAACAGTTTCAGGAGTTCGTCTCTAGTTTTGATGCGATATCCCTTGTATCCACTCTGGGCCCCGAAGACCTTCGGAATGCCGACGTGGTCCCAAGTCTGGATGTCGTTGTAACTTGCATCCCATCCGTGGATGTATCGTTCGATGGTGTAACCCTCATTGCAAATGACGAAGCTATAGTTGTCCCACAGTTAGATCACGTCTACCTTGAAATGAACACACATATTAGGTTGTGTTTGAGAACTTACATGATAGGATTGAGCTTATTGCGCAACATAGTGCTGATCTCCTGAACAGTCAACTGCAAGCTACCATCTCCAATGAAGAGGATGGTCCGACGGTTCTGCAATTCCTTCGAGGCCAAGGCCGCACCTTGACAGGATCCAAGGGCATACCCGATGCTGCCCCAAAGCACTTGGCTTATTGCTGTAACATTTGCGGGGAATCGTGTGTCCCAGATTCCAAAGTTCGCGGTACCGGTTTCAGTGAGAACCACATCGTTTTCGTTCAACCACTGACCGACTGTTGGCCAAAGCCAGGCGTGTGTGATTGTCTGGCTATTTGAAGTCTGCTCACTCTTGGGAAGCGTATTATTGATCGATGGAGCAGGCGCAGCGTTGAGCTTACCCATCTGCTTGACGACTTTTCGAATGACGCCTTTCATGTTGATATCAGGATACTCTGAATACCGCACTCGAACATAGTTACTATGGAAGTCAATGGTGTTCAGCTGTCCGATACGATAAGTGAATCCCGCTGTATTGAAATCGGATTTTATGGCACCAATGCTGAGAATAAGATCTGACGACTCAACGACCTCTCTCACTCCAGCGTTGGATCCATTGCCTGCGTACACTCCACCGAAGTTCTCGTTTGTCTCGTTCACTGCTCCCTTGCCCATAGGAGTAACGAATGTCGGCAGGCCTGAAGCCTCTACAAGTTCATGAACTTCATCCAAGGCGCGATGTCGAATAGCACAAGCGTCGACCAAGATAATGGGGTTCTTGGCAGCACGGAGGTATTTCAAAACAACATCGACCACATAGTCCTCCTTCTCCGGGTCGTTTGCAGGTGATGATAGGTCAATTGGTGTCTTCAAGCGATCCCCGTTAACCTTGGCGTAAATAATATCTGTAGGAAGGGTCACATAAACGGGACGACTACGAATCCAGCATTCGCGAATCGCACTGTCGATCAGAGTCGCGGCATCTTGGGGGTCATTCAAGCGGGCGACGTAGCAAGAGATTGCGCTGCTCATTTTGGTGAATACATCGAAATCACCGTTTCCGAGGGTGTGGTGGAGCAGCATTCCATCCTTCTGGGATTTGGTTGTTGGTTGACCGACAATATGAACAATCGGGACGAACTCGGAGTAGGCGCCTGCAATAGCATTGACAGCTGATAGCTCGCCCACGCCGAAGGTGGTGATCAAAGCACTAATTCCCTTCACACGCGCATAGCCATCGGCCGCATAACCTAGAAATTAGGTGTTAGAAGCCACTGTGTAATCAATTGAGTTTCTATGCTAGACTCACCTGCGTTGAGCTCATTGCAGTTCCCTACCCAGTCAAGACCGCACTTGGGCAGGTAATCCAATGCAGAGAGATTGTAGTCGCCTGGAACGCCGTGAACTGCACGAATGCCGACCTCATGAAGACGTCGAAAGAGATACTCCGCGACATCCATTGGGTTCTGGAGCTCTTTAGTAGCAATATCGGTGGATGCCATGGTGGAAGAAAGTGTCAGAGTTTAAAAAGAGTGAAGTGGAAAGAACCTTACGCAAATGTATCACGGTGTGAAATCACCCCACCTTGTATGCAAAACAAGGCAACCCGGGAAGTTCGTAGCCGGATATGTCAGCTTGATAGGTACTGATAAAAATAACTTGGAGGTGAGACCTTGAATGAACGACGTCATGCACGTCACGATTAGCCCATTGATGTCACGCCAGAACGTCTAATGCTTTGTTAGTGGTAGAACCACGACCGTACCATCAAACGACCCGAGACACTTATCAAGGCAATTATTGATTCTATCAAAAATCCCTTTGTTTTCATGTCCTCTTACAAAAACTATACACAAAACATGGTACGATAAGCTTTGTGTTGCCGTGAAGCTCGGGGTGGTTGATTGATCCACATGGGATTTGCGCCCGCTAAACCCAATCCAACCACACAAATCTCGTCCGTCTCCCCACTCGTCAGACGCTGGTGCTTTTGGAATGGTGAGACCTTGCCTACATCCTTAGTTTCGATGGCCAGCTCCAACAAAAGAACTATGCCGGGTAACTCAGATAGATCAAACAAACGCAGTAAGGTAGGTTGGGGTGGGAAATTTTCTCATGCTAAGAGACCCAGGTGCATTAGATGCTCGCATCAAATCAAATAAATTCTAACATGTCAGTAGGGCGGCTGGGTCCAGAAGAAGAGTCGAAATGACATTGAAGCTGGAGAAGTCGGCGTTTTCGTGACCTGCGATATTGGTAGAGAGGGTAAATGTGTCGCTGAGGTCACCGATGTCTTCTCACAGGTAAGGCATACAGCTTTGTGATGCGATGCGATGCATGCATCATTTATCCCCGTTTCGCTACAGTTTGCTTATTCAGGCTCTAGATTATTGAGAACTCTGCCAAACCTGCCGCAGAAGAAGATTCGGACTCAGACGATGGTGACATCGAAGCCCAAATTCAAAGAGAGCTTGAGGGTCTAAACCCAACCAAGAAAAAGTCCCGTCCCGTCCAAGCCATGCAGCTTGAGATGCCCTGTGGTATGGCCTTCTCCTCCTTAACTGACGCGGCTAGTGCGCGTCACTCTCGAAAAGCAATACCCCAGTATTAATTCCTATCAGTGATCTTTGCACGACTTAATGATAAGTCAATAGATCCGGTTCAGTTGGTTCACCAGCTATGTCTGGACGCACAGGCCAACCCAGATACAAAAAAGAGTCGATATATCAAGCGCTTGACTCCGGTCACGATGATTAGGAAGACTTTGAGCGTGGATCTAGAAGCCTTCGCGAAGGAAGTTCTCAAGCCACATTTCCATTCCGGTGGCCCTCCGAGAAAGGTAACTTTCGTAACTGCAGCCACCCCATTTTCACGGCTTTCCAGGGTTTCGGGATAGGCCACGCCCATTTCTCAAATCTCTCATTCTATTCGCTACGTGCAGAAGCTAATGTACATGACATCGGAACTAGTATGCCATTCGGCCTTCTGTCCGAGGTAACAACAAATTCAAACGGGATACCATCATCAAGACAGTTGCCGATGTTGTTGGCCCCGAACATCCTGTCGACCTTAAAAACTATGATGTGACAATTCTTGTTGATGTTGTTCAGGTATGATTATTTGATACCTAATCTCAACAATTACTCGTTGACTAACCTTGGATTGCAGAATGTCATTGGAATGAGTGTTGTTGGGAGTGATTATGACCAGTTAAAACGGTACAATATCGCGGAAATTTATGACCCCTCACCAAAAGGAGAAGCTACACCGGCACCACCGAAAGATACCAAGCCTGAGGACCCAGAAAATAAATGAAAGGCCAATAATGCATGAAATTTTTTCATCCTTCACTATTTACCGAATTTGCCGAAGTTCAAGTTGTCAAAGAGTAGTAATCTGGTAGCCTTGCAGGTCCAAATTTGAAGACCAACTAACCATTGCATTGCTATTTGGGTTCGGATCCTGCGCATTCATCAACGTGTGTCTGCTTGGGCCCACTATGTCATCTCAGGCGTTCCAGCGTGAGTGATTTTCTTTTTCTTATGAACTCCACAATACGGGCAGTGTCCAACAGAGTTTAATTTTATTTTATCTTCCTGTTCGGATATCAAATCAAAGCCGAGCACCAACTGTCGATCAATGGGCTAAGGTTCTATTCATACATAGCACGGATACTCGGCAATCGGCATATATCATAGGTTGTCCCACTCACACGAAGCCATCAACCCTTTTTCTCTCCCTCTTTCTTGTAAATCTAATTGTTTGTCTGGACAAGGATTAGGCGAAGTGGGTTTTTGTTTGCTTGATACAACTACGGAGAAGCGAGCCTCTGTAGAGCCTTGTACAGTTAAACAATCGAGGCTACGCCATATGGACCTAGACTTGAAGTATCATCGAGGTTACCATGCACCTATTTAGTCTCCAGGCCCACCACGGCCCCACCTGGAAATTCGGCAAGATGCAGTCGTGATTGGCGGACGCCGCGGTGCACGGGTGCACGGTATCGCTGAGAGCGGGATCCTTAGGCGAGAGTCTCGGTCTTATTCCTTCTTTTATTCCTTTCTTCCATTCTTTTAATTTTAATTTAATTTTATGGCTCATGCTTTCTAAGCTCTGGATCCCATAAGCCATTAATTCTGACATACAGCGATATACCTATTGTTTTCGCCTTTTTGGGAATATTGTCATAGTTAAGATGTCGGCTTGTGGAGACTCGCAGTGGCGCACCCGTCGCTTGTTTACTGAATGAACGAGTCCGGTCCCAGGCATTTTGATCATTAAATGCCAAGTGCATCCACAGTCCCGTATCTCGCGTAGCTTAACCTACTGGAGCGGTATGCTGGAGAAAGGGCCCGTGGCCACTTTCCCTGAAAATCCCAGCGTTACGTGGGCATTCCATGATGGCGGTCTGGTGGCTGCCCCTGTTCTCTAGGCCCACTGGACATTACTGTGGATTTCGACCTGCTTAAAGGTTACGTAGCGAGATCCTGAGAGTCATGGGTTGTTTCGTCTATCTTCTCGGAGCATGGGTCTGATTGTTTATGGACTGTCTAGAGTCGCCTTTCTCTTTCTCTGACATATCTCTCCATAAAACTACATATTATGGGACTCGGAATGCACTCGCTCAATGTGGCTCCAAGATCATCACTCGACTTATTCTCTAAGAGACCTGGTATGGATATCCCCCAAAAATCTAGGAAGGTGGTCTATGCGGACGAATACCAGAGATTCAATGCTGTCATTTCGTTGCTCTTCCCTTCCACAGTTCATGTGCAACAATCGCAGAATATCATCGGTCGAATACACTTCCTGCGTCTTCTTACCCTCTCAAACGGGGTTCGGTTACTTTTAAAAGGCTCACCCTTGCCTGGAACCCCCCTTCTACGACATGAACGTTATTTTCTTGAGACCGAAGCCCGTTTTCTAGCTCTCCTAGGGCAAAGTGCCAACCCATGCATTCCCCAACTCTATCATTATGACTCCCGTGGAAGTGTTCTTGGCTGTGCATACTCAATACGACAGTACATGAAAGGAAGCAGTTTATCAGAAATACAGGATCAAATCACTTCTCAGGAACGCGAAGATGTTGATCGGCACTTAGGGTTTCTGGCAAGCATCATCGGCCAAAACGTTGCCCCGGGATTTGGCTCATTGCAACAAGTAGCCATGGGCACAGGCAAGCGCTCTTGGAGAGAAGTGTTCATCGCCCTTTTTGAAAGTGTTCTTCGTGACGCAGAGGATATGTTCATTCACCTACCTTATGCCGATATCCGCCATGAAGTGAGTCGCCTGTCAAGTGTACTTAGCGAGGTAACTTTGCCCCGTCTTGTGGTTTTGAGATTTGGCCGGCCCTCTCACGTCTTGCTGGACGAGACATCCCACCAACTATCTGGAGTTGTGGACTTTGGAAGTGCCTTTTGGGGTGATATTTTAATGGCTGAGATATTTGAGAATCCCACCCCAGCTGTGCTAGAAGGGGCAGGTCTGCCGTTGAACAGAACTCATGGAGAAGATATTCGTTTGTTGATGTAAGTTTTGATACCAACGCTAACTTTTTTTCATGTTTCTAAATAACTGGATACGGATACTAACGCAAACATCTCAACAGGTATTCATGTTATCGTCTTGTGACAGAAATCACCATACAATATTATCGAAACCGGGAAGAAGAGATAGAATATGATGCTCGTCGGAGACTGTTAGCCAATATTGCGAACATGGTTGTTCTTGAGCCGGTTTAGAAGGGAAAGGAAAAATTATACATACAGATGGATAGCCTTGCATTCTTCAGCGATTATGGTGTTCAAGGTTTTTATTTCAAGTACAGACAACCTATATATCAACCTTGAAACGTCTAGCATGATGGTCACGGTGTTCAAGACAGCATTTGAGGCATTCGGCTGTGGGCCCGTTGTATAGTTCGGCATGCGATTTTGACGTATTTCAAGATTAAATTGACTTTGGCAATTGTCTACAATTTTTTAATTGCTATACAAATAATGTCTTCTTTTAGGGTCAACTAGACAATTCACTAATTTGTGTAATTGGCTATCTATAATTAGAAAATCAATAGATTTAAGTCTTGGTATTCTGCAACACTTCCTCTCCCCGGGCTGCCTTATGGGCGTTCCGGAAAGCGGGGCAGATCCGTTAGTCTCTCCGCCATGTCGTCAGCTGCAAACATTCCGCAACAAAGCTCTCCGACCTGTTCTTCCTTTCCTCTTGTACATTAGCCTGCCACAACCCCCCAGGCTCAACATGTCGCAATTTCTGCGAGGCAAGCAGGCTGGAATCCAAAGGGATCTTTCCGAGGGCTTGTCCCCAGAGCTTTTCGGGCTCGACGACGTTCGTCTTGGCATCCCAGGCAACTTTTTTTTTGAACGGTGTAGCTAACTTCTGGCCATCTAGTTTGCGCGATGCGGTGTGAATTCACAGATTAGTGTGGTGGCATACGACCCCGTCCAGTCCCTTCTCGCCGTCGGCACCAGTGATACCCAGTTTGGCAGCGGCCAGATCTATGTGTTTGGACAGCGACGGGTGTTGATGGTCTTTCAGTTCCCGCGCAAGGCCTCAGCAAAGTTTCTCCGGTTTTGCGCCGGCAAGCTCGTTAGCATTGATTCGAAAAATGAAATTAGCATCTACTCCTTGGAAGCGCGACGCTTGATGACATCCTATGCACCACCGGGCCAAGCTACCTGTCTTGAGACGGACCCGAGTCTTGATTACGCCTTGATCGGTCTTTCGAATGGTTTGTGGATGGACCTTGTTCGATAAAAAAAAAGAAACTATCTAATTAATGTATTTGATAGGTGATGTTATTGCATACGACCTCGACCGAGAGTCCTTGACTCCTTTCAAGATCCCCAACCTATGGCAGTCACAAAACCCACGGTCCCGGCTCTGTCCTGTTGTATCAATCGCATTTTCCACTCGAGATATTGGCAAAATCCTAGTTGGATATCCGGAAGGCGCGGTGACTTTTACATTCAAGCAAAATATTGCACAGAAATACTTCCTCTATGAGATACCCCCCGGCGCCCCAGGTGGCGATCCCGAAAAGCCTGCCAACAGTTCGCGCAGACCTAGGCTGGTTGATGCTGTTTGGCATCCTAATGGAATATTCATTTTGACTGTACACGAAGATACTAGTCTTGTTCTTTGGGACTCGAAGGACGGCCGCAAACTTCACGCCAGAACACTTCAGGCTACCAATATCGACCAGCCGGGAGGTGGTCGACCAGATCCCTCAGAGGCAACTGGGCCAAAGGAGCCAATCACTAAGGTAACCTGGTGTGCTAAAGACAACCCTGATGATACGGGACTTCTAGTTGCTGGTGGAAAGCCCATTCAAGATGTGAACAAGGGGCTCACTTTCTTGGACATGGGACCAACCCCTAATTACCAAACATCATCATGGCAAGTTCTCTCTAGCTACTTCGAAAGAACTAGACGCCATATCAGTCTTCCGATTCCTCCTGGTGCCTTGACGATGACTTATTGCTTGATCCCTCGGTTTTCGCCCTACTTCGCTGGAGCTCACGACCCTATTGCCATTCTTGCTGTACTATCATCGGGCGAGTTGCTCACTATGAGCTTTCCCAGTGGCCATGCAATCACACCTACTAACATGCTGCATCCATATCTCACGTTCGTTCATCCATTCGTGAACAAGGCCACCCTTACACCTGTTTCTCGCGATGTTTGGCTAGGTTTGAGAGAGCGGCGATTGCAGGGGCCCAAGTTCGTGGTTGGTGGTGCTGAATCCAAGAACCCCCTCAAACGTTATGAGAACCGAAATATTATAGCCACCTCACATGCGGACGGTACCATTCGTATCTGGGATGGTGGTCACGACGACGAGATTGAGAATGGCGAAACAGTTCAGGTTGATTTGGCTCGAGCTGTCGGTAGAGTCCGCAATGTTGAAGTCAGCGAGATGTCACTTGCAAGCGGGACAGGTGAGCTGTCTGTCGGGCTTGCAAGCGGCGAGTTGATCGTTTTCAGATGGGGCAACAACGCCTCCTACGGCCAGGAGGAGACACCCGGAGCCAACCAGGGCCCTGGACGCTTAACTCAAATCACCAATCGAACAGACCCTGGATTGAAGACGGGTATGCTACCTTTGACCCTCTTGGACATGCAGCAGGGACCTGTAACGGCATTGAAACACAGCCCAGTGGGCTTTGTGGCCGCTGGTTATGAGGGAGGAGGCTTGGTCATTCTTGACTTGCGAGGCCCGGCAATAATTCATACAACCCATCTCTCAGAGTTCCTCAAGGGTAACAAGCGAAGCAGCTTCCGAAAAACCAGCCGCTCAGACAGCATACCGGCTGAATGGGCTACTCACATCGAATTTGGCGTAATGACTTTAGAAGGCGAAGGTAAGAATTTCCGAAACCCCGGCATATTTGACCATATACCTAATATTGTGGATTCTAGACTACTCCAGTATCTGCTGCTTTGTAGGCACAAACAGAGGAAACCTGGCTACCTTCAAGATTCTTCCGGGCGCCAATGGCACATATTCCGCCGCCTACGTTGGGATCTCTAATGTTGAAGACAAGGTTATTAAAATCATTCCCATTGATGCAGACTCTGGTGGTCAAGCTCTTGCTACGCCCGCTGCCGTCGGTGGTTTAAGAAATGGCGAGAAGATCAATGGTGTGGTCATTGCTGTCACCGTCTCAGGATGCCGTATCTTCAAGCCGCCAACTGCCAAAGGCGCTCACAAGACATGGGATAACTTCCTTTGTGATTCAGCCCAAGTTGTCAAAACTGAAGGACAGGGCTACAGCTTAGTTGGACTTTTCGGCGATGGCAATGCTCGCGCATTCTCTATTCCCGCCCTCAAAGAGGTCGGATGCCATCAGATCAACCAAATTGCTGATATGCGCCGTCTCTCAGATGCATGCATCACTCCCACTGGCACTGTGATGACATGGGCCGGACCCTCAGAGGTTGGCATGTTCAATGTCTGGAGTAAAAACACTAATCTGTATGCTACGTCCCTACTGATCCCTGCACATGTGAAAATACTAGATTCAATGCTAATAATTATTTAGGGGCATTTCACAAGATCGTCTATACGACCCTGAGAAAGTGATACCCCCTCGACCTACGATCACTAACATCCAGTGGATCTCTGGCACACAATACGTCTCACCGGCTGATATGGATATATTGAGTAAGTTATATCACCAATTACTCAGCGAAACTCATCGAATTATCTAACGAAACGGTTCATAGTCGGCGGCCCAGATCGCCCTCCGTCGAAGCGAATGGTTGAGCAGATGAGGTTGACAGAAGAGCAAGAACGCAAAGAAATTCGAGAAGGCCGGGCCCCCGCACCTTCACAGGGAGGAAGCCAGGAAGGTTGGGGATCATACATGTCACGCCAAGTCCAGGAGCGCACGGAGCGTCTCGGGGTAGCGGGCGACACAATGGATCGGCTAGAAGAGAACAGCAGTAACTTCGCCTCGGACGTGGGCAAGTATGTGAACAACCAAAAGAAGAAGGCTATATTTGGCGGTAAGTGATCTTCATCTCCTGTTTCAATTCTCGCATTGATGAATTTATCATCCGTCATGTTTCCCTGTCTTCGCTCTCCACGCTCCACTCTCCAATCCCCACTTCATCCCTTGCATTCCATAGTCGATGGTACTGACCGGTCTTTTGTAGCCCTCGGATCCAAATTTGGATTATAGGTTTTCTTGTCGAAGGATTAGCAGAACAATTTTTGTACAGGAACATAACCCAGATGAGCCCTTTTGAATTAAGGCGTTCGGATTTTACTATAGTGCAAGGACTATAAAAGACCTCATAGTATTTTAGTTTAGTGTTTACATAAATGGATTGGATAACTATTAACTATAACAAGGTCCTTTTACATGATAAATGGTGTCTTGCTTATCAGAACTGGACTTGGGTTTACTTATCTAAAAATTGAAACATATGACCTGTAAGATTAGCCCGTACCTCCCAGAGTGTTGGAGTACTGGTACTTCCGACGGGAAGAATTGGCCCTATATACGTTGCTATGTATCCCATGGCCCAAGGGATTTAGTTGAGACAATTGAAAGGAATTGCGTTGGTGTAAGAACTCTATTGAAGCCTAAGCTATAAAACATGACCATTCATTCATTCGCATCTTGGACGCAAATTTGCTTCGGGGACGGTCCGGACATTCCCTGTTTGTTGATCCGTGTTAGGGAGGCAAATCCCCTTTCAGATCTAGCTATGTTGGGCTACTGAGCACGAGCTTAGGGGTACAAATTCCGCTACGTATGACTACGTAGCCCTGGGCATATTTGGAACTGACATGTGTACTTAGAGCTCCTGCATACCCTAGTTCACGATCAATACCACAACCACGACGTCAACTCGAATGGATCAGCACAATTTTGGACATAATCAGAAAGTAAATTCTATTTCGAATACTCCTATCAACGCCCAAGTTGGAAAAGAATTTTGTTCACGTAGTTTGAGGTCATAAACATAGCATATTGTTTGTCATGAAAGTGCATAGAGGTAGAGAAATAATAAAAAAAGGCAGGGCAGGGTGGTAAGATGCAAAGAAACACAAGCAAAGTAGGATGACTTAATCTTTGCCCGGGTAATGCTTTAGTTCACAATTAGTGGACCATAACCTCAGGCTGAGCCGGGTGGGCAGGCTTGGACTCGTCCTTCTGTTCGGAGTCGTCGCCCATCTCCACATCATCGTCACCCTCACCGCCCTCTTCCTCATCCAGCTCATCATCATCGTCTTCGCTTTCATCGCCAAGATCCTCACTGCCAGCATCGGAGACCTCATCTTCGTCCTCCTCTTCCTTGGCGGCTGGGCCTTCAGCACCTTCCATCTCGTGATCCTCGCCCTGAGCAGGCTTGTTGGAGTCTTCGAGTTCCTTTAGAAGGGCAGCTTCCAGCTCGGTTTCTTCTTGGCCGTAGGCATTGCTGTCATCGTCCAGGGTATCCGCCTCGGGCTGGTCAGGTGGGTACTCTGCAGGGGCAGACTCTTCGGAATCCCTAAAGTAGTATAACTATTAGCATCGTATACCATGATTTTGGGCATAGTATGAAAGGACTTACCACTTAATACCAAAGCGAGTGACACGGGGCTTCTCCGCAAGCACATTGCGGCGGATACGCTCAATGACAGGCTTAGCTGGGGGGTCGGCGATCAACTCCTCGGAGTCGTACTCGTTGTTAACGTAGTAGCCGACCCGCACGAACTCGCGGTTATCATAACTGCAAGTAAGGAGGATCACAGTGACACCAAGGATCTCAGAAGGGGGGATGCGCTTCAGGTCAGGCGCGTCGGCCTCGAAGATGAACTTGTTTGTTCCAACGGGGATAGGGCCAACGAGGAGGGAGTCGAGCTCTTGATCATACTCAGAACTAATGAAGAATTGTTAGTAAAGTGGATCATTGGGAGTTTGTATGGTCGCTAGGTGCTCAGAGCGAGGGGCGGTGGGCAAAACATACGAAGTGGCGGATCCCACATAGGTGAGCTTCCACTCCAAATCTAGGGATTGCAAGTTAGTTAGGGCATCATTGTGGATTTGAGGAGAGGGAATTACCTTTTTGGAGCTGTTCAAGACATTCAAAAGTAATTTCGAATTGATAAGATGCCGTGAAGGTGGCAGGGTTGTTCAAGATTTTGACGCCGAGAAGTGAGACGACCGACATTGTGAGGGAGGGGTGTTGTTATGTACGGAAGGGAAGTGTAGAAGGTTGGAATAGTGGGACGAATGAAAAGGAGGATGTGGGCAGCTTTATAGGGCGGTGGAATGGAAATTCTGGGGGGAAAGGGACAATCAACAAGGGAAGAAAAAAAACAATAAATAAGGGAGCAAGAGGTAAAGTTGTCTCTGCTCTGGCTTTAATCTTTTCACCGCAAGGAATGCAGCCCTGGAGCGATCGAGTCTAACTGATGCGAGGAGAAGGAGCCCGCGCAAACTCACCAAACACGCGCGCGTGTCCCTTGCGCGCTGACCGCCCACGTGACAGCTTTGCAGATTCAGCTTCAGCTTTGTTTCGCGGATCCTCGAGTCTAGGTTACCTTCACTTTGGCTGAAGTCTTGCAGCTGCCTGGTTGTTTGAAAGACGCTAGATGGTGGAAATTGAATGAGAAGCTTCAGTTACTAGTCGCAAAAATATTCTTTGCTTTGACCTTTTTTATTCGTCCATCTCCCCCACATCAATATCTCATCTGTACACTGCTCCGATTCTGTCATCTTTTGTCCCCTTCTAACACAGGTTCTCGTCACTTATCATTGGGCGCATCGACAGACACCCCGTATTCACAATGGCAGATGACGAGGCTGAGCAGGCCTTTTTCCAGGCCCAAGCCCTAGAAGCTCAATCGGACAATGTGGTCGCAATTGAAGACCAAACTGCAGACAACGAAGACGAAGATGAAGATGAGTACGACCCCTCGACAACCCTGGACGACCAATACGACCTCAATCCAGGTAATGAAGATCTCAGTGATGCTGAAGAAGATGCGACGGCTGCTGCTCCCGATCCGACCGCTACCCCAGAGGTTGATGCCAGCGCTACCGGTGATGCCCCAGATCCCTCCCAAGAGCCCCCGAATGCTGAGTCTCAATCGTCCACGCCAATTCCAACTGCCGGCACGTCAGCGCAACCCCAGGCCAGAACGATTGGTGGATTTGTGGACGAGGATGATGACGAGGATGATGACGAGGACGAGGAAAATGAAGAAGATGAGGAGGCGGACTATGAGCCGCCTGCGGCACTGGAGGTGGATGATACAAATTCCATGCCTATGACCATGTCTGGAGATCCAAGTTCAGGAAATGCAAATCAAAACACTTCTCCTGATGTATCATTGCACCTGGCCGTGCAAGACGCTGCCTCTGTGCCTGCCGTTGCCAATAGTCTTTATTCTCCTGTTCCTGTTTCTAATATTGATCCCGCGGCTTCAGCCCAAGGACCGTGGACTGGGGCCGCTCTCGACGCGAGCCACCAGACCAGTACTGCTCCTACCCCTATACCTGACGAGTCTGCAGCTTCCAAAGGCCGCTTGCCCCATGATACAGTGGGCATCCTACAAGATCGAGTTGATGAGGACCCTAGAGGTGATCTAAAGGCATGGCTGGAATTAATTGCTGAACACCAGAAACGTAACAGACTGGATAGTGCGCGCGAGGTCTTTGAGCGGTTCTTGAAGCTGTTCCCTATGGCGGTAAGCTTTCTCAAGACACATTCCACTTTGCCTCGTTTTTGGACCAAACAAAGAAAACTTAAATGATGCTAATTGTTGTACAATAGGCCGATCAATGGGTGGATTACGCAAAGATGGAATCCGACCTGAATGAGCTTTTCCGCTTAGAGCAGATTTTCAGCCGAACCCTTCTGACGATCCCCAGTGTGAAGCTCTGGTCTGTGTACTTAGATTACGTCCGTCGCCGAAACCCTTTAACAACAGATACTACTGGACAAGCAAGGCGAGTAATTTCTTCAGCATATGATCTGGCTCTTCAGTACGTGGGTATGGACAAGGAGGCTGGGGATATCTGGACAAACTACGTCGAGTTCATTCGCTCTAGCCCCGGCACTGTGGGAGGCACAGGATGGCAAGACCAGCAAAAGATGGACTTGCTGCGTAAGGCTTACCAAAAAGCGATCTGCGTTCCGACACAAGCTGTCAACGCTCTGTGGAAGGAATATGATCAGTTTGAAATGGGACTCAACAAGATGACCGTAAGTTGTAATGTTTGTACCAAACCTAAGCTCCACCTAACATTCATGTATAGGGACGAAAATTCCTGCAAGAATATTCACCGTCGTTTGTGACAGCACGGAGCTCTTACACGGAGTTGCAGAACTTGACTCGCGAATTAAAGAGAACCTCTTTCTGCAGATTGCCGCCTATTCTCGGCTCCGATGGTGATGAAGAATATGCCAAGCAGGTTGATATTTGGAAGCGCTGGATCGCTTGGGAGAAGGAAGACCCTCTCGTATTGAAAGAGGATGACCCCGCTGCATTCAAAGCGCGCGTGGTATACGTCTACAAGCAGGCCTTGATGACACTTCGCTTCTTGCCTGAGATATGGTTTGATGCCTCTGAATTTTGCTTTCTGAACGACATGGAAAATGAGGGCAACGAGCTTCTCAAGCAAGGCATTGAGGCCAACCCCGAAAGTTGCTTGTTATCTTTCAAGCGGGCCGATCGCTTAGAGGCTACGTCAGACTCGGAGCAGGATTCTACTAAGCGGGCAGCCAAGGTCAGAGAGCCGTACGATTCGCTTCTTGAAGCGCTTTATCAGTTGATCACCAAGGCCAAGGCCCAGGAGTCTCAAGAGATTGCGCGTATTGAGGAGAGCTTTGCGGCCTTAAACCCCGAAGGCCAAGGCGCGTTCAATGAAGATGACGACGACGTTCCCAACGAGGTTAAAGAAAGGGCAGCTGCAAAGTCTGCACAAATAGAAGCTGCTCAGAAATCCCACGGCTCTCAAATCAACCTACTTTCGAAAACTGTTTCTTTTGCTTGGATCGCTCTCATGCGTTCTATGCGCCGCATCCAAGGCAAGGGCAAACCAGGCGAACTGGCGGGATCCCGGCAGATCTTCGCAGAAGCTCGAAAGAGAGGGCGTATCACTAGTGATGTCTATATTGCCAGTGCCCTGATGGAGCACCATTGCTACAAAGATCCTGCAGCAACCAAGATCTTTGAGCGAGGTGCCAAGCTGTTCCCGGAAGATGGTGAATTCGCTCTTGAATACCTGAAACATCTCATTGACATTAATGATATTATCAGTAAGTTTATATCTCTGCCTAGATTGAATCACAGTATTTCTCACCTGTTTGAATAGATGCCAGAGCGGTATTTGAGACAACAGTTCGGCGGTTGACTTCCAACCCTGAAAATGCTCATAAAGCCAAGCCTATTTTTGCTTTCTTCCATGAGTACGAGTCACGCTACGGTGACCTGGGCCAGATCAACCACCTGGAAACCCGGATGCGTGAGCTCTTTCCTGAAGAATCTGCTTTGTATCAGTTCTCCCACCGTTATGCTGTCCCCTCATTCGACCCCACGGCCGTCCAGCTCATTCTGTCTTCCACACAAATTAAACCAAAGTCAGCGCAACCTGACATGCTGCCAGAGTCTCGCCTTGACTTGCAAGATACATCCTTGAGCTCACCAAAACGACCTTATCCTGTCGACGATGATTATGATTCAGATCGTCCTCGCAAGTTCGTTCGTGCCGAATCCCCACTCAAGGCCGTTCAAGGTCGCCGCCCCGACCAACAGAAGCGTGTTCAACAATTGAACGGACAAATGACTTCCTCATACAAGCCGCAAGGATCCCCTGCTCCTCTGCCCCGGGACGTGGTTCATCTTTTAAGCATCATGCCATCGGCCTCCGCTTACAACATTGCCCGTCTTTCCCCCGAGAAGATGGTTGACCTTCTTCGTCGAACCGACATCCCAGGATCTACCTCTCAAATTCCTTTGCCAGCGCATGCTCGTGGCCTTGGAGGCGCTCAAAACTCATACACCGGTAAGTCCGCTCTACCATTGCCATCTTAATTCTTCGTGGTTCTTTTCATTGACATTCCTTGCCAGGCTCCTATCGTTGAAAAAATTCCCCATCCCCCATCAGCGCCCTTTCCCGCTCTTAGTCCCTTTCTGTGTATAACCTCACCACTATGCCCTTTTATGTCCCCTAATCGTCAAGGCGCAAACTCGGCGGCTCTCCCGTCAAAATCCTGAAAATCTAGATTGAAGTGCATTGATACCCCCCTCATTCTCTTCGGGGAGTGGTGGGATCCGCTCCGCACTTCTAGAAACTCGTTGCATTGTCGGCGTCTGTTTGATTGGCATTTTCTGCTTTCTTTCTTTCATTTTCTATTCCGTGAGGTCTCGGGAGCCCTGCGATTATGTGGTCATGTTCTTTGCTCGCTAGCCTCATACTTTCTATTGGCGGAGGATTTCCTTGTGGTTGTACAGCCCACAGATAGTGCAGATACCTTGATGAATCAATAACACACCGACTATTACAGGGGTGGATTCATTATATCTTCTTTTCTTTGTTTAAAATGAATGAAGCTCGGGTTTCGTACATTAGATCCATAATGACGCGTATATGTCCGGCTTCTTGGGTGAAATATAGTCCAAAGGTTAGGCAATGTTAAGTGCGTAGTATCACGGGTGTATAATAATGTGATGGTGTTCAACTTGAAGAAGGCACCTAGCCATAAATTAATTCACTGCCCAAGTACACTAGTAACCGTCTTGATGCAAATTCTAAATTTCTAGCTGTTAGCTCCGAGAATAGCATAGGGCTGGTTTCTGAGTGTCCGCCGCAATGAATTGTATCTCTACTCTTATCAAAGCTGTTGGTTTTGCTTGATCAGCCTCAAGGCTTCCTATTTATAAACATGAATTATACTGTCAATAATACAACCTTGGCTATTTTTTCTTATAATCAGAGCCAAATGTAGTCGTAAGTCTCCTTTTCTCTTTTTGGCCATAATCTAAGAGGTCGAGTTCATATTTCACCCGGGGCCCTTGATTGAATTGGAGGAGCTGCCTCATAGGCATCCACCTTGATGTTGATCGTACCTGCCTTCATCTCATTACTTTCACTCTATTCTTCGATACTAACAGCCACCTACTAAGGTACCTGGTAAGTTGTTGCTCATTCACACATCCAGGCAACCACCTTCCTTTCTCGGCAGTATAAAGCCTCACTCCTCTCCTTCTATTCTTCTTCCTCCTTTCTCTTCTCTTCATCAACCTTGACTTTCTTCTGTATCTGTCTACAGTCTTGCATATTTTGCTTCGTCGATTCCCTCCATTAGATTTATAGTCCGCTGCCAAAGCAATTAGAGCTGGATTGCTGACTCTGGAACATCAATTTGGATTCTCTCTCTCTTTCCTCCTTCCTCAATTTGTCCTCCTTTCCTATCCCCTTTCCTTTCTTTTCTTTCTCCTCCTCGGAATTCGCGCCCACGCGTTTTCACGGATCTCAAATAAGGTAAGTCACTTTTCTTTATTCTTTTTGGGTTTCACAAGTTACTCTGGTTGTGCCGTTTGTCAAGTAGCATTTGTGACAGTTTGTTAGCTACTATCTTCTTGTTCCTCATCGCTGCCTTCCCAGCTGTCTTTCCTCACTTCTCGTGTCCAAAGTTTCGATTTGGGTCTCTGGGTTACATCAAAGACAGTGAACACAACTTACCACTATCGTGCCAGACGCTCTCTTTCCTTACACATCCAAAGAACACATTCTCACTAACTTCTTTCTTTTACCAGAGATCAATTAAAGATGGCTCCCACCACGAGCAAAACCAGCGACTCTCACGTGAAGGGCAATTTGAGCCAGGCCAACACTCGCGCCAGCGGTAGTGCCCGTGGAAATACCCAGGGATCCGTAAAAGGAGGGTCTTCCTCCGGATCCAATATTCGTCCATCCAAGAACGATGACGACTATCTCCCTCCACTTAAAGCACCGAAGGAAATGCACGAGTCGCTTGTCCGTGCCGCAGAATCACTTCCAAAGGACTATGTCAATGTCGATTTTGAGGTTCCTGGCGTAGGCCAGTTCTCGGCCCCCTTCATCCCATATTATTGTTTCATGCGAGACCGTGAGCCGGTAAGTACTCTCAATTAACTCCAAGAACCTCATCGTTCTTGTTGTCTCTTTCGTGGGTTTTTCGCCCAAGTTGCTATGAACCCAGCCAACCCCATCTACATGGGCTAACATGAAGCAGCGCAAGGAGATTATCCCAATGGAACGCGTGGGATACAACAAATCTGGCAAAGAGATCGAGGTGGTCATGAATACCTTTCCCGTTCTCAGTATCCCAACCAAGCCTGTGTACCAATATGAGGTAGGAAAACGTTTTCCCCAATGGTGTCCAGAATATACCAGCTCACACTTTACAGGTCAATGTTATTTCTGGTCCAGGTGTTGAGGAGGACCGTCGAGTCCTCCGTCGCAGTTTCAATTGCGAGGAACGCAAGAAACTGCTCCCTGATGCCATTTATGATGGAGCTAAATCTGCTTGGTAAGTTTGGTGTCGTGTTCGTCTGATAAATACATACTTATGATAACAGGTCTTTGAAGTACATCGAAAAAGGCGTCCATGAAAAATTCCAATACCAGCATGGTAGAACCCGTGCATCTGGTAGCCAAGGCAATGTTTACAAAGAGGTCTTGGTCTTTTCCATGCTGCCGCGCCGCAAGATCTACCTGGGCGTTATTCATCAGTGGCTTCAAAAGCAACGCCCGATGGACGAATATATCATTGAGGCATTGAGTAAGTTCTCTATGCTCTCACGATGCCTAATGAGATATTGACCAATATTCAGACTTTCTTGATCACTTGCTTCGCGATTGGCCGACCAGAGAATTTGTCGCACACAAGCGGGCTTTCTTCTTTCAAGGTCTTTTTGAGAAAGAAAAGACCAGAGACTTGCATTATGAGTTCCATTACTCCCTTGGGCCCTACTCGGGTGCCACCTGCTATCGTGGAATCTTTCAAATGCTACGTCCTTGTGTCTCCGGCTTGTTGCTGAACTTAGATGCCGCCCATGCTGTTTTTTACTCGCGCATTAGCCTTCTCGGTACCATGAAAGGCGTTCTCGGAGTTGGTAACGATATGGAACTTTCTGCTAAGCTTCGTCCCATAATCAGACCTGATGGTTCCAAGGGACCATCTAAGGAATTTGAAAGGGTGAAGGCCATGGTGAAAAGTGTAATAGTCTACCCAGACTACGAACAATGCCCTTTCAAAGACAAGAGTTTCAAGATTCAAGATCTCATCCTTGGGGGTGCTAGAGAGTTCATGATCACCATCAATGATCCAGCCGCGGGAGAAGAAAAGAGGATGAGCGTTGAAGAGTATTTCAAATGGAAATACAATATTACTCTCACACTTCCCAACCTGGCACTGGTCAGAATGACTGTCAAGAACGTTATCTACCCTGCCGAGTTTCTTTGCATCAAGAAACTTCAGCGATGGCCTCACAAGCTCACGGATGAGCAAACGGCGGACATGATCAAATACACGGCAAAGAAGCCTGCTGAGCGCTTGAGCCATATCATCAAATGTAAAAATCTCCTGCAGCATGATGCCGATCCAAACCTGATGCATTATGGCCTGAAGATCTCACATCAAATGATGAAGGTGAAAGCTCGACTCCTGCCTAACCCAGAGCTCGAGTTTGGTAACGCCACCAAGCATAACCCCGGCACTACCGCTCGCTGGGACCTTCGTGGAAGAAAATTCTACAAACCCAATACGGTGCCTCTTATTTCATGGGGGGTTGGCTACTACACTGGTCGCCGCAATGACATCAGTTTTGATCAAGTTCAGAACTGGCTAGATCAATTTATGAAGATTTACAAGCAACACGGCGGTAGCATCAACAACCGTGCCATCACCGTTCAGATGAAGGAAAATGTTGCTGAAGGGATGAAGGAGCTCTACGAACAGACAGGAAATGCATGGCGCAAGGAGCCTCAGCTTTTAATCATCATAGTCCAAAACAAAGACGCTTTTACGTATCTTCGTATCAAAAAAAACGCCGATTGCCGATTTGGGGTTCCTTCTCAAGTGTTGCAAGGTCTCCGTTGCCAGGATAACCGCCCACAGTACCATTCAAATGTTCTTATGAAGGTCAATGCTAAGCTTGGTGGTATAACTAACCGCGCCATCCCAAGAACCCCTAAAACAAATCTCCGCCCACACTCCGTCATCATCGGTGCTGACGTGACCCATCCTTCGCTAGGAGTTTGGACACCATCTCTGGCAGCATTGTGCATTTCAAATGATACAAATGGGATCAGTTACATGGGCGGAGCTCAGTGCAATGGCGACAGGATTGAAATCATTCGCGAGTCAAACTTTCGAGAGATCCTGAAGCCCCTTCTCCGAGAATGGATTAACACCGTCGGTAAAAAGAAATTCCCTCCAAAAAACATATACTATTTCCGGGATGGTGTTTCTGAGTCAGAGTTCAAGGGTGTGCTCAATCGGGAGGTCCCTGCCATTCGCCGTGTTGCAGCTGAAGCATGTGGCTTGGTAGAATATCCGGGCAAGATATGTGTGGTGATTGCCAATAAGCGCCATCACCTTCGAGCATTCCCCAAGCCCAGCGATCTAAAAACTGGTGATAAGAACGGAAATCCCTTGCCTGGAACACTCGTCGATCGCGATGTGACTAGCCCACACGGCAGCGACTTCTTGCTCTATGCTCACGCTGCGCTGCAAGGAACTGCACGTCCTGTTCATTACAAGGTTATTTTGGATGAGATTGGACATGAGCCTATGGAGATACAGAACATGATCTATGAACAGAGTTATCAATATGTCCGGTCGACGACCCCTGTGTCCATTCACCCGGCAATCTACTACTCACACTTGATCACCGCTCGCGCTCGTCACCATGAAGATGTGACTGTTGATTCTGGTCCCCAGAGTGGTGCTACGATCCCACACGAGAGATCCATGCACAAGCCCAGGAATACTGATGACAACTATGTTAGAGATCGGTTAATGGATATCAAGGGCACTGTTAACAAGCTTCCCTTGACTATGTGGTGGATGTAACCATTCTATCGAATGTTGTTTGTAAAGCTATGCTAGCTTTACTTCGGTGAGATTTCTGAGCTGATGCCTTTATTTGTCACGCAATTCTTGGTTGATGAAGAATATCTTCACGCGCTGAATTTTACTCAACACCACAAATCATTGACAGCTCGTTGTCCTTTCTTTTTCGATTCTATGGCTTCTATTGTTCACGTTTGTTCTCTCAGAGAACTGTTACCTCAGTATGAAAATGCGCCGACTACATGTGTTATGCCATTCTTGCTCTTTGATGACAGAGGCTTTGAGATCAAGACTGCAGGTGTGAGTGCTGTCGTTCTAAATTCGTTGCAATGTTCATTGATAATTCGACATGTTAGGATCTTGATGATGGCGCAGGTGTGCGGTCAAGATTCCTTTCATCTACTTCGGTAGTGATGAGCGTCGAAGGGACAATGTTAACCAGCCTCTCTTGTAAAAAAGAAAATCCCAAAAAGAAATTTACATTTTTTTATATAGAAAGACCTGTTCCTGCTCCACGATTCTTTTGTAGTTGATGTTTCTTAAGCCCACTAGGAAACCCGTACATATTTAAGCTTAAGCATAGTGATCCTCTCTGCTTAGATGCTTTCCTCAACTTAAAGTCTCGAAATATCTACAAAGGGAAAGTGAACACACAAGTTTCTCTATAAATACTCAACCGCAAAAAAAGTCTTCGGGAATCAAAAACAATGAATTCTCAATACGGAACAAATAGCCTCAAAACTATTCAATTAAGCCGATAGTATGGTATGGTACATGCAGGGAATGGTAACATAATAAATCCAAAGTTCCATGGGGGATGAAAATGTTCAATACAATATCGGGATGCAAAGAACCCAGAAATAAAAAGGCATAATACATAACTCGAACGGGATCGGGAACGGGAAATGGGAAAGAGAGAAAGAAGCTAGGCTGTAGGATCGATCCAGTATCCTGTGTACAGTGAATCTGAATCAAATTAACCCATTAAGTTCTTCCCTCAAACTTGGGATTCTTCTTTTTTTTTCTGGGATTGCCTGTGGTATCATCGTTCATCGGGAGCATATAATCAAACATGGGAGAGAAATGTGAAACAGAGGGAGAGGAATGTGAAGGGTATGAGATGTAATAAAAACAATGAGGTTAATATGGTGAATTTTGAGTGATTTGATCAAGCCGTGGTGCCATTTGTCAAGGGCGGGTTGGCATTTTCTAGCTGAGTGGTAGAATCGCCAGTGCCATCTTGTAGATCGGTGCCATCAATGGGCTTGACATCGGCTCCATCAAAGGAGGTGCCTTGGTCTGCATCCCCGTCGAAGTTGAAATTAGGCATATCCATGGAGGCGCCGCTGTTCTTCTTTGCTTTCTTTTTGCTTGGCTCCCCGATTCCTGGCTTGGCAGCCGCATTAGGGGGCGCAGGGCGCTTGTGAGGGCTCGTTGTAGGCGCCGAAACACCGGGCATGGGTGGGATCTTGCCAGATGCTGGTAAGCGGGGTTTGGCGGCCATTGGCCTCTGTTTGGGTGGTAGTTCAAGGTCTTCCACTAGGGGCTCTTCCCTATTTGTATCAAGTTTGTTCTTGAAGAATGCCTGGACCAGACCAATTTGGTCCGAAAGACTGTCCACCGTAACACGTGAGTATGATGGGGGTGTTGGGAAAACGATGGCAGCTTGAATGGTGTTGGTGTTTTGTGACTGGGCGGCATTGTACATGCGGTTCTGGAGGAGATGCAGCGGCACGCTGAGATTGGACAGACCAAATTCGCGATCCAATCCCAATTCCTTGAATCCAAAGAAATCTTCGTCGATATCTTCTGCAAAATCACCACCAACGAATTGCTCGCTTCCATCCGCAAACGCATTTGAGCCATCTTCTCCGGCATCTGCAAGAGCAGGACGAAGCAAGTCAGTCAGCAGTGACTTCAGTCGATCATGGGCCGTGAAAAGCTTGGCTCCAAGACGGTCAATGTCGTCCTTGATGTATAATTCCAGCTCTTCAATGTTGATGCCAACCGCAGAGAGTGTGTGGAGTACAACCTCTGGTTCAGTATAAGCTGGTTTCCACTCAGTGACAGGTGCTGATGCATCCTGAGACTCCGTGGCAGGAACCATTGGAGTTTCCATATATGACTTGACCGTCTCTCCGATCTTTTGAAAGAAGTCAGACGCGATGTCAGTCACCACCTCCATCGCAGATGGCTGATACTCCTCAAAGCCAGTGTGATAGAATATCTTGGCAACAGAGCGTTGCAGCGCTGCCCGACAGGTTCCAGGCGCAATGACCGGGCCATTGTCGTTCAGTACATGTGGTGGGACGTCTTGTTCAGCAAATGGCTCTGGGTTGTATTTCTGAAATTGATTCTGGTACATCTAGGCAAGTTGTTAGATTTCAAAGTCGGTGTGATGAAAGTACAGCTCCTGTTAGACATACCTGTGATTGTAGCTGCATTTGTTTCACGATGCCAACCTTCGAGCATATTTTGCGGGTCTCCTGCATCTGCCGCATGTTTGCATCCACTTTTCGGGACAGTACGCTGTCAGGCTGAGTGAAAGAACCCTTGGGCAAAACCCTCAGATATTCCTCCGTTGCGTCTACAATGTTTCCCTGAGCGTCTTCCTTCCAGACAAGGCGTTCTGGAAGGTCGGGTACACCAGACATGACATCGTAGTAGTAAGGAATCATTTTCTCTTCCTCTCCTTCGATGCCTTCTGCTAGTGTCTCCCCAGCGGCCTCGGGCTCCATTGCTTCAAATCCAGCATCGGCACCCTTCTCACCTTCAATAGCGGCTTGCTTTTCATGGCGAAGCCATCTTCGCATGCCAGCCTTAGTCCTAAGCAGAGCTTGCTCCTCGGCATTTAGTTTGTCACCCTTCAACAGGCGGTGTCTCTCCGAGGCAATAAGAGCACGATCCTTCTTCGTCACTTGCTTCCAAACTTTGTATTCGGGATCTTCTAGCTCAGCTCCGGGGCCCGACAGAGCACTAAGCGTGATAGTAGACGTAATTGGTCCATCAAGCTCCATTGAGTCATCTAGCTGGCTGGCCGTAGCACCGGCTCCGGGACCAGAAGGATCAGAAGGAGTATGAGACCCGGGAGGGGGTGTTCCAAAGCCATTCTGGCTTGTTTCCATAGCAGTATCTGAATCTGCTCGAACGGGTGCCGCTGGTTGGCTGGAGGGGCCTCCTGGGGGGCCTTCGGAGCCACTTGGGGTGTTTCGAGATGGCGCAGTGCCTTTCTTAGATGATTTTCCAGGGGCCTTTCTTCCACGTGAAGACATAATGGGCTCGTCATCGCTCTCATCGGCACCATCAAGCTCTGCCATCTGGAGGCGGCGCTCCTCGGCTTCAACTTCAGCTCGGTCTCTGATGACGATTTCCGGGATGAGAGGAACAAGCTTTTCCGTTTCTTTGCGCATGTAAAGAGCATGTTTGCGTAAGAAGTGCTCGGGGTTTGTATTGTACTTAAGACAATTCGCCCAGATGAGATTGAGATCATCTACAAAGTCTTGCTTGGACCGATATTGTATGCCCTTAAGCTTTTTGGTCATCGATCCAAGATCCATGGGATGTTTGATTACTGGGACGAATGTCAGTATATTTCATTTGCGCAAAGACTTGACACGACGCTAGGGTGGAGAAATATCGGAAGGAGAAAGAATGTGAATGAGTGATAGCTTACTTGTGTAGTAGTCGGGCGCATCACGCTTGTTGACGCGGGTTAGGAAAGCAGTAGAGTGTTCTGTCATAGCTTTGAGTTCGCTGAGAACCTTCTCCGCAGCCTCGTAGAGTTCTTCTTGGCCAATCTTATCCTCGCTTGCCCATTTGCTTCGATTCTTACGAACTTCACTTAAAAGACTTCGAAGCTCAGCATCAGAGGCCTGGACCATGTCACGTTTCTTATCAATTCGGGCGATGAGGTTCTTCAGGGTCAAGCTGGAAGCTCCGAGGTTTGTGTTACTCAATGAACTGTATCCATTTGGGCCACCAGCAGCATTGTTTCCACCAGCATTAGCTTGGCCAGAGATCTCTGCCTCGACTTGTCTTTCAGACTCCTCCAGGCGTTGCTGATCCAGCATAGCATCGCGGTCATTTTCAAGGGTATAGAAAAGGGTATGGAAGCTCCGCTTAGCGGCCTCCTCGGTTGCTTTCTTGTCTTCCTCGAGTTGTTTCCGAATATCCTCTAACGTCTCCTTCTTGTTTTCCTTAGAGATATCGGCATTGGTTGACAAAGCGGTACCCGGACGTTGCTGGGTAGACGCGATGGTAGAACTGGGGTCCTGCGATGGGGGTACGGACTTGGCTTTCAAGGGTGACTCGTCCGCATCTTGCATATCCGCATCATCGTCCTCGTCGTAATCATCGTAATCGTCGTCGAGTTTACGGGCGGGCTTGGCGGGCGCAGGGGCAGGGGCAGCCGGCGCATCGACGCGTTCAGATTTGGTCTCGGGAGGCTCAATCTCCGCGATCGCGGGACGAGCCGAATCGAGGGGGGGATATCGACCAGAGAATAGATTATTGATGCTTGCTTCAGTTCCCCGGTAAGAATCGCGGAATTGGGAAATACGCGGATCTTCGTCCACCGCGAGATCGGGTTCGGATGTCATACTACCGGCATTCGGCCCGTCGGCGCTGACAGAACCGCGTATCTGGGGGGTGCGCGAGCCGGACAAAGTCTTTACCAAGCCATTGATAGGGCGCGGAGAGTCTAGCTGCTCATCCGGAGGGCGAATATTACCTGGTGGCCAGGCGTTGTGACCGGGCGACATGCTCGCTCCAAAACCCCGGTTCTGGGGGCGGGCGAGACTCGATTCTCCAGGGTATGGATCACGAGGGCCAAGAAGTAACAATTAGGGGGTTTAGAGAGGAGAAAAAGACATCAAGATAAACCGCGCGTTTAGCCAAAGTGTCTGGCGATGTCAAAAAGGCCAAAAACGATGGCACGGCGGCGAGGCTTGATGAACAAGACAGGAGCTATGGAATACCTTCGTTTCCTTGCGGCGGGTTGAAGTACGGGAAGGCGCGAAGGCGGAAAGTCGCGGCAGATGCTACATTGTTCAGTCAACTTCACTCATTCGATTGAGATGCGGCTGTATACGACTTACTGACTTCACTTCTTGGATCTGGGATCTGGTTGACTTCTTTGTGAATTACTCAAATTCAATGGTTCTCGAATCTACGTCTCTCATAACAATTCACCCTATATAGCAAATCCTCAGGAGATCTCTCCCTAGGCAGAGCGAGCCTGTTGCCTATATTCACGTCCAACCTTGGAAGTTCCCAAGAAACCCTTCCAGCACATACATATGATTTATTTAGTACATTAACATTTTGTTGTACAATATTTTTTTCGATTAGATGAACTTGTACTTGTTTATGGTATATACTTGCTAATGTGGAGAGTGTGGCCCATGTCCATTATTTGACCAACCGGAAGTTGCCAGCAGCACCTACCACGTAATACTAATTCCTTTACTATTTATTGGGCTTCAATCTTTTATAAGTATTCCAAGCCCTGGTTTGGTTTTATTTGAGTAGTAGTATGTCAATTTCCTCCAGGGCTGTGAATGTCTCCGTTTGCAGAAGTATATCTCAATATGCATCATCATTATTTCTTGACATTTGCCAACATGTTTTTTGCGATTTTCTACCACACGTTGATATTCGCGGATATAGACAATGACCATAGATAGAGATATAGCAGAAAATATATCTGAAATACTCCATTCAACTGTCATCCCATCAAAATGTCCCTAGAAAATGAATCTGCAAGCTCTCAAGACAACCTGGAGTAAGTGGGGGCGGCTGAAAGCATTCTAACCCAACCACATCGCTCTAATCGATAACAGCCTACGACGCTTCCCCAACCTCCCAGTACTTACGACATAGCTTCCATCAGCCCTATAATCCAACCTTGGAAACCTCTCAAAAACCCCCTGACCAACCACATAATATCCAAATTGAAGAAACAAAAAACCTATCCGCTCTCCACCCCGCAATTACGCCCACCATGCGGATCCGTTACCCGTTCGCAGGTCCGTAATCTGATCCGATGCTTCCCCGATCGCACCGCACGATCTCACGATCACCATTGAAACAAAAGCTAACAAAACCACCAGGTGCCTTCACCTTCCTGATGATCCTAGCCGGATACATCGGCCTCCTTCCACACAGCACAACATCTACAATCCCATCAAATCTCCAACCAAACGATAAATTCCTCCACCTATTCACCTTCTTCCTACTATCCTTAACCTTCTACTGGATCATCGACACAACTCGTCGCCGCACTTTACATCTCACCCTCCTCATCTGTACACTGGGTCTCGGTGTCGGATCCGAAGTCATCCAGGGATTTCTCCCTAACGACCGTCCTTTCGACCCATTCGATATCGTCGCTAATGTCGTCGGGAGCCTCGGCGCAGTAGGTCTGTGCGGTTGGTACCACCGTCGCATGTTGGATCGTCGTCGGAAGACCCGTTTCGGTGTTAATGATGGAGGAGCCGATGATGTTGAGCTCGGCGTTGGTGTTGGTCATTCGCGCGAAGAAGAGGAAGGTCTCGGGCCGCAGGAATCCGGGGTTATGTCCCTTGAGCAGCAGGTCGATAATTGGGACGAGAATGCGGTTGATAATTGGGATACTGAGGATGGTCCTGGGCCATCTACAAGGAATAGTTCTCCGCCTGGCTACGAGGATCGGAAGAGTAGTGCGGCTGAGTTGATGGACCCTGCGGTTAAGCGGAATGATTAGTGTAGCGTTGTTTTTGGGGTTGTGTGAATCGAACTAAATCGAGTCCGAGGGACGGGGATATATCTTCTACTGGATGAACATCCAGTTCAAGGTCAAGTTTGATGTTGAGTTGTTGAGCCTTTGCCTATTTATCACGATTGATGCGTTGATGAATGGATCTCATGTTGGTATGATACCAGTCACTTTGTTGCAGTTCGACTTCAAGCGATTTCTTTTTGTTACTTTACCCCATTTTGGGACATCTGTTTCCTCGATCTATCTGTCCTTTCTGTCCGATGTTTCTGTCGGTGTCTGGGATCTTTTCGATCGGAATGAAGAGAGTTGAATTTATGGCTCGAACCCAGCTCGATCTATGTCTGCCTGTTCGGCGATATAAGGATCTACAATGTGTATAGTTACTACACCCTTCTAATGAAAAGTGCAGTTATGACCAATGTCTAGACGTGCTTCAGTTTGCCTATTCTATAGTTCAGAGAACTCGCTAGTACCTGCATATGCCTTGCTTGTTCCTATTCTTGAACTTTCACACCAGCGGGCAGATTGCCGGGTTGCTATATCCACATTCTCTTATGTTCCATAGACGATACTTGAACGGACGCCTGATGATTTAGAAGTGTGCATGTTGAACCATGAAAATAATATGTTGCAGTGGGACTTGTAGGACATTGCGATCGAATCAGAAAAAGATATTGACACAGTTTGGATCGAGCTAATATACAGCAATTCTAAAAGGAGACTAGACGGCCAGCCAGTGAACATAGAACTACATATGGCGCAAAGGGCTTCGAGGGGCGAACTGCGAACCAGGGGGGTATTTGATGGCGTAAAAAAAGAGGTCAAAGGATGTGAGAAAGGTGTTTGAAACAGAAAGAAAACCAGGGGAAGAGAAGGAAGAGACAAGGTGACTAGGTAGCCTGAGGGGGAAATGAATAGAATAAACCAAACCAAAACAATCTAACACCGAATGCCATGTTATGATGCAGAAGGAGGAATTAAAATCCAAATGGGGTCATGAGCACATCGCGAAGGGGAGGAAAAAATGAATAAATGGGGTAAAGCGGGGATAATATAACAGAGGCGAAGCAAAACCAAAACGCGCGAATGTCCAGGCTATGTCTCTTCGTTGTCGGAGATTTCGGGTGTTCCAGACCAACTTCGCATCGGAGTTTCAACTCGGTCCGGGACAGGCTCTAATTCCGGCTTTGACGGGGGCACATAGATGCCCTGGTCATCTAGCTTGGGTACCTTCGCGGACCGGGGCTCACTGTGTCCAGAGGACTCGGTCGTATCCTTCCCCAATTTGACATCGGTCTGTTCGCGGAGGACTTCATAGATGAATTGCATCTGCAACTCATTGTATACCATCATCATCCGCTGCTCACGCATCAGGTTGACGACGTCAAAGACTGGGTCGGCTTCGGTCTCGGTTACGTGCAGCAACTGCCCCGATTCAAGTTCACGCAAGAGATGGTCAAGAGCAATGAATGTTCCTGTCCGACCAACGCCGGCACTGCAATGCACGAACCGCGGATTGTCCGCGTCGCACTTGGAGGCCGATAATTTGATAAGCTCTAGAAGACCCTGGCGGTCGTTACCCTCGGGCTTGCAATGATCCGCCCAGCCCGCGAACAAGAAATGCCAAATGATCTTGGACTCTGAACCAATAGTCAGCTCCAGTTTGCGAACCTCGGAGCGAGCCGTATCATCCAAAAACGATTCTAGGAGCGTCACGTTGCCCAAAACACCAGCCGATTCATCGGGATGAGATTCGTCGCTAACAAAAGGGTCTGATAGTTCTTCGGATATAAGGTCCATTGAGGGCTGATCCAGGTTCAAAGGGAAATACTGGGCACATTTCTCCCGACCTGCTTCAAAGGTCTGGGTGAGCATTATAACCACCCCCACATCCTTGCTTTCCTGAAAAACCATCTGCCAAAAGTGGGAGAGTAAACCAAGTTTGGGTCCCTGGTACAACAATTAGCTTTGTTCGAGTGTGCATGGAATGTGATCAATCACATACCTGAGTCGCAATGTACTTATGCTCCTCCTGCGTCACCGAATCTCTTAGTGTGATCGGTGAGGCATTAATGAAATCGCACTCGCCCTCGGGAACCTGCAGGTGGACGCGACAGTTTGCCCACGCCTGCACGTTCAGATATCGATTTCTCGCCTGCACTCTCGGGTCCTTGTCGATCGCAAAAGGATGAGCGGGATCATCGGAATTCAAGCCGTCGGAAATTCGAGATCTCTGTATCCATTCCAAGTCCTCAAACTTCTCATGAATCTCTATATATGGGCGCGCAAAACAGTCAGTTTCTCCGTGTTCTTTTTCTTGAGGTTGTGTCTGAGACAAGACATCAAAAATAAAAATAAAAATAAAGTCAAATCCCCACGTGCAGTTGGAATCCTCCTATAGGCGGCATGCAATCTCGGAGTTGACTCACCTGTCACTGATTGGCACAGGAACGGCGGTACATCCTCAGTATTCCCTGTCTCCAAGCGGGGGTTTTCCTGCTCGCCCAGTACCTCGAAGCCCGGATCATTATCCGGCAAGCCGCGTTTCGTGCTCTGAACACTGGTATCGATCTTGATTGAGGGATGCGCCATTTTGGCAGCGGCTATCCGCTGGAATGCGCGAACTTTTCCAATAACCCCGCGTGCTTTTCTGGAGACGTTTTGTCGACCGGACCGTTTTTTCAGGTTGCGCGGGGCAAGCGGGTCGGGCGAAGGTGAGCGAGAGGGCTCGGTGTTAACGTCGGGATCAAAACCGTCTGCAGAAATCGCGGGCGCAGAAATCTGCAGAGTGGTCAGATCGGGACAGCTATGAAAGCTGCCCCGAGAAGTAGTGTTCAAGGCCAGATTTGTATATTTCCCCTTCGTATTCTATTTTGAGAAGGAGGCGGGAGGCGGAGGGTCTCGAGACAGGGTAAGAGGGGATCAGGGCGTTTTTCGTAGAGGGAAATCGTGTGATCTTTTTGGTGTGAGTCGAAACTGCCGTTAGAATGAGGTGAAGACGAAGGATTGAATCAGATCGGGGTTCAAATAGAATATAACAGTAGGTAGAAGGAAAACAAAAACAAAATAAAATCGCCGGAAGAAATATAAATTAAGAGAAAAGAAGAAGAAGATCAAGAAGAACAAGAGGGGCGAATAGTATAAGGCTAAACTTCCGCCCACTCCGATCTTCCCTGATATAGACGGTGCTAGAGTATTAATTATGCCCTAATAATAACTATTATTATAGTAAATCTATGATGATCACTAGAATATTTAGATCTACTACATAAAGTTTAAAAAACTGTAGTTATTTCTTGATTCCAACTACATTTTCGCCACCTGGGGGGAATAGTTCAGCTGCTTGCGGAACCCAAGTACAATCAATCCAATATATGTCGGTTGCTTGCTGCTTCGAATTCAGGTACCCGAATCTCTCTTCCCCCTGAAACATCGCGGAAATCCCTCGACTTTGGAACATTCCACCGAATCCAGCCTAATCCCGGTTTACTGGAACATTCCCGCAACCGCAATCTATCTATAACCCGTTAATCCTGGGACCCGGGGAAAAACAAGAAAAGAACAAAGGGGAATCCACCGTCGCGACATCCACTTCATCCTCCGCGCTTCACAGATCCCACCTTGATCGACTCCCTCCCCCCTCCACCCCCACATCCGCCTCATTTCCCACGTTTTAAACCGTTTCAAATGACGGCATTATTCGGCGCAACTAGGTGTTGATCACCCGCGCACTTCGTCGTCGCTACCCGGAGTGCTTCCTGTTTTCGCGACCCGCACGAAGAGCAAACAAACATCCCCACGCGCGCAATGGTTTCCCAAGCTCAAATCGTCGATCGCGCGACGCCAAACCAAAGCGCTCCCTCCGTTGTATCGCGTCCCTCGCATTCCGGTCGCCGCCATCGATCCGGTCGTTCCCATCATGGGGGTGGCTCATTGTCTATGTCCTCCTCCAACGACTTCCCGATCTTCACATATACCGGCGACACGGAGATCGCGATCCGTACGGGTTCGCAAGAAAGACGATATCTAGTGCACCGCTTGATCTTAGCGCAATGTTCGGGTTTCTTCGAGGCAAGCACAAATGAGGAATGGACGGGTCAGAATACACCGGGTCCCGCGAAACCAGATGGGACATTGTCTCGGGTGAGTGAGGAGGACTCATTCTCGAACGGGTCAACACTGGCGCAGTCCGATCATAGTGGAATTCCTACACGCTCTGGCGAAAAGCAACAACGCTGGAGATATGAATTGGATTGGGAGAATCGGTTAGAGGAAGAGGAGCCTATTCTCGTTCAAAAGGTTGGTCTGGTCCTGGTCCCACACCTACCTCCCTTCACTCCCAAGTCGCAAGGGGGGAGGGAATGTCGAATGTCGCACACATAGCTAATCCCTGACAAACTTATGAACAGCAACCTACCTATGCCCCCATGTTGAGCAGCGGTGACCAAACCGCGTTTCCTCCTACGAGATCCAAGCCATCTAACGCTCAGGCGGGCTACTTCCGCTCCATGGCGAACTTGGTCGGAATGCAGTCGGTGGCTCACCTTCCTCTTCCTGAAAATGGAGATCGCAGTAAAGTCGATCCCCTGATTCGCGACTACGACAACCTCTTCCGCTTGTTCTACAACCATGCGCCAGTACTGAATAGCGTCAATATCGCTACCGCCTATACAGAATGCAAGTCTCTCCTCGCCTTAGCGGATATGTACGATGCACTGCCAGTGACTGGACCCCGCGTGGACCATCATCTTCTCGGATTTGGCTCGCGGCTCTTCAAGCAGATTGCCAAGTATCCTCCAAGTTATCTCAAACTGGGTTACCTTGCCCGCAGCCGGGTGATATTCTCCGAAGCCCTGATCCATGTCGTCGGCCAATGGCCCGCCGCCCTGCCGAATCTACGAAATGGTACATACGCCGCTCTACCAGATTCTGTGTTCGATCTGATTGAAGATAAATACGAAGATCTAGAAGACCTGAAAGCCCGTGTGGAATCTAAACTCTTCCGTCTTTCTCTGACCACCTCTCGTGGTGAGCGTGTCGGCCCCAACAACGCATATCTAGACTGGTTAGCCGTCTCTTTATTCCGTCAATGGCTCATTGAAAGCACTACACCTCCACCTGCACCCATTCTAAAGAACTCTTCTACCCCCGCACCACAGACAGGCGGGCCAGGATCCCAGACTAGCTCCTCAAGGCCCGCTGTCCAGCCTGATCCTGCTGCCCGTGTATACAAATTGATTGGATCCTCCTCTTCCCAGTCATATCTGCCTCATGATGAATTGAAACGGTTTCTCAAGATCCACCCGACGCAATCTGCAGATGTCTTATATACCCGGGAGACGTTCAAACGATTTGAGCGCAAAATGGACGAGATTAAGCGGCTGGCCCGTGAAATCGTCAAGCCACTCATGCGAAACTTCCTTGAGCTGGAACTTAAAAGTGGCGCTGAGCAGACAAGCATCACACTGCCCTCACCTGAAAGTGCTTCTAGCGCGGGTCTTCCCTATCTAACCTGCACTCGAGTTGAAGAGGCCGATTTGCCATGGAGTTAGTCTTTATCTAAGTAAAGCTACTTATCACCATGGCGATCTTCTGTTTTTACGCTTTTTGTATTGGTGGTTTTCTTATCTACACTTGGGTTAACCTGTGGATTTTTTTGGACTTTGGAGTCATAATACTGGCGTTTATGAGATATCCCTTGATCTACCGACCTTTTTTTATGACAGCTGCTGGCTTGCTTTTAAGCAAAAGACCGCTCCTACTCTTATACGCGTTGATTGACTATCCCGATGAAATGATGTACTTGATCTATACCTTTGTTTGTTTTTGATTGCGCCTTAGTTAATGTGTCATGATACTATGAATGTTCTCAACTTGTTTGATTTCTGATCTATTTGATGTTTATTACCTCATCCTACTTGTGTCCATTGAGCGGGCTTTTAAAAGATTTGTCTTGGAAATCTTCACGATGTCGATGGATGTAGATGCCTCTAGAGTTCACTACAGCAAATGACAATGTAATAACTCCATAATGCATGTTATTTTTAATTTATTATAGTATTCACATATAGTACATATCCACCAAAAACTGTTTTACTGTACAAAAGAAGAGAGTACAGGGAGAAAGTCACCCTCATGACTTGCCTCCAATGGTTTCCATGTCATCCATCCATGGCCTCAAAACCTCCGGCACAACAACCACGCCTCGTTCCGGATCAAACCCATTCTCCAAAATAGCAGCCAAGACACGCGGCACAGCCATAGCCGTCCCATTAACAGTATGCGGGAAACGTGACTCCTTCGCAGAACCACCCCGAACCCTGGTCGCAAGTCTCCGACTCTGATAATCAGTACAAATAGAGGCAGAAGTAACCTCACCCCACGCCGACTCCAACTCCTTCGCCTCAACATCAACAACCTCAACACCCTCATTCACAGCTCCAGGTCGGAACCGCGACGGGAACAAAGCCTCAATATCCCGCTTGCGAGTAGCGCTCGCACCAAGATCGCCAGTCGGCATCTCCAAAATCCGACAAGGAAGACCCAACGAAGTCAAAATCTCCGTCTGAATCTCCAACAGCTCAGCGAAAAGATCATCCGAGTTCTTACTTGATGATGACTCTTCAAGGTTATCCGCCCATGCGAAAAGCTCTACTTTCGTAAACTCATGAACCCGGTATAATCCCTTTGTATCGACGCCTCGCGATCCCGCCTCAGCACGATAACACCGGCTCGCACCAACGAGTTTAACGGGTAAGTCGGCCGCATTTATATCTTTACCCGCATACATAGCTGCTAACGGGATCTCGGCGGTACCCGTCAACGAACGTTGAGGCTTTGTATCCCTATCTCGCTCGCTCTGCTCAATGCTCCAGATTTGCTGCTCGTTGTGCTGGTCTCGTGGTTGGAAGCCGCACGCTTCAGCGATATACGAGTATACGATTGAGGGTGGAGAAACGGGCTTCCAAGCTCGGCGACGCGCAACGCTAAGCGCGTACTGGACTAGAGCTTGTTCGAGCATTGCGCCTTCATTTATGAGGAAGTACCAGCCCCATCCTGTTGTTGTGGCCGAGCTGGTGAAATCAAGTAGGCCGAGGGATGTGCCGATTGAGACGTGCGAACGGGATTGGAGAGACTCTTTGCTTTGACTAGCCCACAATGGCGGCCTTGAAGGGTTAAAGTTGATATACCCGATTAGATTTGGGGTATTTCCGATAGGTGTTTCGGAGGAAGAAAGATTCGGTAAGGAGAGAGCTAGACGGCTCAGTTCTTCGGTGCATGTTGCTTTGCGAGCTGTCATATTCGCAGAGTCATCTTTTAAACGTTGGGCTTCTGCTTTTAGAGCCGTAAGATCGGATTGTTGTTCGGACGGCGCATCAGTCTTTGTGCGAGCAGCAATAGACAGCTTCGCGATCGTTTTCTCTAGTTGTTTTATGCGGGATCTGGGCGCTTTGAGATCATGATCTAATTGTCGGGTTTCTTCTGCGAGAGCTTGAATCTTCGATGGATATTCTGCGTGCGCGGCATAGTTTCTTTCAATGCAGTTCTGGGCATAGCGCTCGACATTCTGGCGGATGTGCTTGGTGTCTGGGGTTGGTTTTGGAGCTGTTGCTGGTCGGAGGATTTGGTGGTTGTGTAGGGTGAAGGAGAAGTTTCGACGTAGTTTTAGGTGGTAGAGGTTGGATGGAGATGCCCTTCTGCAATTGAGGCAGATGTAGGGGCTTGGTGAGGGTGCCATGGGTGAATTGGGGAGGTTCGGGGAGAACTTGAAGAAGTCGGAGGAATAAATTGGTGATGTGGATCGGGTGATTTGCGCGGAACGCCAAGTGTGGTTGCTCCACACTTCATTCTGTGGTTATTGGTTCTTGGGGGAAGTATGGCTTTTCTCTATAAATGTTATGGGATTTATTGATTTATTGATTTATTGATAATGGATAATGGATAATTGATGAGATCTTGGATATGGATTATTCTGACTCGTAAATCATGATGCAGTCAACGCGTAATCCACTTCATTTCACATCGTCATCGTCCATAAATAAAAAGCATTCCCCAGAACAAACTGCCAGAAACAAAATAATAACTAGACTCGTACCCAGATTTTAATCATTCCCAAGTCCCAGCTTGTAGGTCTTCACCCGAGCGCCCACTCCAAGAACCACAGCTAAGCCGGGCAAGACAACAGCCCACAGCGGAATATGCAATGAAGCTATGCTGTACCCCGTCTGCGTCGCCCCCCAGATCGCAGTCGGAATCTCCAACACCAACAGCGCCACATATCCGCTCCAACGGTGGTATTTATAAAGTCTCTTTCCGTTCTCGACGCTACCAAGCAGCGATCTGGGTAGGAAGTACTGGACGACTCCGACGAGGGACTGAGAGACGATAAAGATGATAGTAAGGAGACCGAGGACTCCGTGTGCGGAGTCGAAATGCGGATGAGTGCCTTTATTGACCTCGATGACTATGAAGGCGGAGAGAAAAAGGAGAGCACTGAGTAGTTGGATGATATAGTGAAAGCGTGTGCCTTTTCGTTTTTCGGATGCGGTTGTGGTTGGTTGTAGGATTAGGATGCCTTGGATTTGTAGGAGGAGACCTGATATGGCGAGGAGCTGCGGGGAAGTTAGTTCTAAGTTTGGATTGTTTATTCCAAGCAGCTTGCAGGAAAGATGAAAAATGGTTGCCTGGTTGGACTTACTGGGTGCGCAGTGAAGAGAATAATTGGTTGAGATAGAATTTTGAACCAGATGAGAATAGCAAACTAGACGAGTGAATTAATATCAAATGGATGCTTCCTGGTTTCTTCGTGGTACATGAGGATGTTAACGGATACCACTTACGATCCAAATTCCAAGTTGGGCAATACTAGCTGTCCCTATTAAGCCCAGTCTTGTTAGTTATGACCAAATAGGTCCAAGCATTCAATATGATCCCACCTGTGACGAGATTTAAAAGCACCGGCTTCTCCTGCTGAATGACTTCACTGGATCGGCCTAACAAAGGCTGAGTCTCTGGAGAATCAATAGCCACAGGTGCCTCTTCGAATAAACCAGCGGTAGAAGCCATGATACCTGCTAAAAAACGCGTCTAACCGGGCCTGGAAAGTTATAAAAATTGTGAACTTCAATTGTGTGAGGGACAGGGCGGATCCCACTTTAATAGAAAGTAATGGACTGCCCAGTAAGGCTATTGATGATTACGAATATCAATGCTACTTATAGCGCGCTCGCATTCCGCAGGATTCCCTCATAATTAATCAAGTGGAATTATGCATATCCCTTTCATGCATCCATATCACCTGCGCACATCTACTAGTTTTTACTTGGCGTGATCGACGCGATAAATGGCGACTCCACCTCCAAATGCAAGATTGCCTCGGTCGCACCAGTTAGGTATTAGTGATTTCTACTAAAGACGATATAACCTTGGAATGAGCACACCGTGCAGTTGCCCCGCATGATTTGTAATTATTTGGCTGAAATCATCCCCGTCGTACGAGGTTTTGTTTCTTGCGTCTAGATGTTACGTCCACCAATTGACGGAATAAATGTTTCATATACATCATGATGTTGATGATAATATTCCCCCAGGCTTTCCCCCAGATCACCATTGGAGTTTAAGTATTCTTGATCATTGTTTCATCTGTCCAATCAAAGCTGTGAGATAATGTCGTTCGTCTTCAATCGATAGACATTCGGTATTCGGCGTCGCCCGGGTCCAAAACAGGCTTCATCGGAGAAATTATACATCTTCGGGTGTCGAGTTCATAGCCTCAGCACTTAGAGGCCTACGCAAAACATCTACGGCAGTTTTCGTTTGAAATAAGGGCCTTGGGGCTACCGCATGGGGGTTCGCTCTTCGTTGTTTGAGAGCTATCCGGAGAGTCTCGCCACAAATTTCTAGGTTTAATTGAGCAACGACCTGATCGCAAGAAAGATTCCTTCTCGCGGCAGATGCACTCATCCACACAATAACTTCGTCGAGGCGCTGGCGAGAGATCTTTGGTGGGCGACCGCATTTATGTTTTTGAGGTATAAGAGCGATGTTATTTTGGCACGTATAACGGACTTGACGTTCAGAGAAACCCGTGCGGCGGCTAATATCACGGACAGAAAAATTTGCATCATCTCTGAGAATCTTTATTCTCATCCGTAGATCACGGTTCAGCTGACCCATGGTAGAGAGCTTTGGGTGGATATGCGTGTTGTGGAGGAATGTAGATTTGGGCGTGTTGATATGGTACGAAAGGGAAACTTGAAGGGGCAAGGGTGAGGGCTCTTGTGACGTCATTTATTACTGTTTTTTACAATACTATGTAATATAAAGGTACTACTTCATGTGGACTGGACCTACTAGTATACAGATGTAAGGAAAATCATGCAAGTAGATCGTCGATTGGCCAGTAGCAAAATCACATTAACCTTGGAAATGAGTCTCAATTTTTAATAAGCGGCATGCAGTGCGGGACACACTTTCCAGCCGCTGCGATATAGCTCGAACAGATGTTAATATACACAAAAATCTAAGCAGCGGAAAACTGTAGTATCGTTTTCTGCGCTTAGTTCACGGTCGATCCGAGTGTGCGCATAAAATCTTTCAATATTTCAATATTTGTCCAGACTGTCGGAAAGCTTCCATGATACCTGTAGAGACGATCATACTTTGTCCTCAGAACAAGCTACACGCCATCTAGACAGGCATGTGTAGCTTCGTCGTTAAAATTGGTTAATAAAAATAATGCCTGAACTTTGAATATAATAGATTTAATGAGCTCTAACGGGTTACTGGTGACTGTTTGTCCTTGTTGATCTTTGAGTATGGTGAGAAGGGCGTTAGTGAGGTATAAACACTCTTCCCACTGAACGGCAGAGGTAAATAATATTTCAAGCATATAGAAACCCCTAGTGTAGGGTAAGTCTAGGATTCCAGGCTCAAGCAAATAGTGAGGAGGTGAGGGAAACATTTTGTATATAGCACGTATTAAAAAATAAAAACTGTCAATTACAAGTCATGACTATTACCAAATGATGTCGTTGAATTCACAAAGAAACCCTAGAGATCAACGACAGGATATCATAGAGCAGGATATGCTGTATTTGTATTGGATTTATATTAAGTCAAGGAGGATAACTTCCGCGTAGAGAATTTGTCAACAAAGCTTTAAAGTGTTCGCACATTGTCATTATGCACAAGAAAAAAAAGGCAACCAAACAAAGACATTCCATCAGATGCTAAAGGTAGAAGATAAGAAACCAGTTCCATTTAGTTTTTGGTAATAATAGAAAAGAAAATCAAAGACCTTCCGATAGCTACACTCATTATGATGGACCCGATGGGAGTTTGTTGAATCTATTTCAATATTTAGACTCTAACATAGCGACCACGAAAGTGCCCAATTACTCTTTCACCAAGGCATCTTCAACACTGAGCCTTCTTGCCCAGACCCTGGCTTCCCAAAGACAACTTCAGCACTCAAGTTCTTCGGGTCTAAATTCATTACAATATTAAATAAAGTGCTGCTGCGCGTGGAAATATGACGACTTTCATCTTCCTGGCAGCATATAGCTTGCGGAGCGTTGAAGAGATCGGAAAATATACGCTCTCGCAAAACTGAAGGCGCAATGGCATCGCCCGACACGCCGTTTGAAATTAATTCCTTAGTCAAATCTCCCAGACGCTTCAAACGGATTGGAGATCCCGCCAACCACGGTGGCTCATTCACATATCGGTTCTCAATGAAGTGGTTGGTGTGCCCAATGAGACCGGACCCGTCTTCAGGAATATACTTATTTCCAACAGGTGAGAGCTCAAGTGCCAAAGCCTTCGTACTGTCAGCAACAAGTATATGTTGAGCAGATGCAACACCTCCCAAAGACTCGAGCTTCCTCACAGCATCATCAACGGATGTGCTTTCAAGGCATAGTCGGAGAGCCACATGAATCGGCAGTTTGCTGCTGATCATCGGTTTTGCGCGGATAGCGTTGAGGCAGGTACCGACTCCCGCGGAATTCAAGCCTATTTTACCAACAATTCCTGCCTGTACGCGTTGTCAGTTAGTCAGGACCGGAAATCATATAAGATCTAGTTCACCGCTCACCTCAGTGACCATGTAAATCGTGGGCTTCCCAGCCTGTTCAATAGAGACCATCGCCAGGTTTCCCGATACTCTCGCGGTCCAATCCCAGTTTTGAGATAGCACCCGCGCGTTATCGTTCTTCTTCCAGGAAAGAGTCGTGCAACCGTCGGAAAACTTCCCCAGGGCGATCTCACTGCGACAGTTGAGAGCGACTATATCGAGGAGATCAACTTCTGCACCTTCAGCGATTCCCTCCATCTCTTCATAGAGATGTGGTACCAGGTTCGTGAGTGCTGGTTGGAACTCTTTCGAGATCTCGCGTACTTCTGGCCAGGATAGCTTTGAAGTGTACTCAAACATCGATTCATAGATATTGATCTGGTTGCGTATTTGGTCGCGTAACGCTCTTCCATGCTCTATACCTATCTTCACGGGTTTTCTTGTAAGTATCCGTTACATTGAGATTCAGTGGGGTATGTACCTCTCGAGGACTTCCCCTCAACTGGAGCTTTATCGGATCGGCCGCAGGCATGGCTTTGATGTCTATATGATTAGCATATAATTGACAAGTATTTGACCAGCACGATGATGGAAATGGGTCTGTGTTTCTTTATAAATCAAGACGTGTCGTTTATTGGGGTCGATAGGAACAGCCGAGGATAGTTGGAGTCGTGCGGGGGAGCCGATAAGGCGACATCGCAATGTCTTACCCCAACGGGTCTAACTTCATATTCTCCCTCGGAAAGGAAGGTCTATGCTACATATGCTTGCGTTTAACTGTTTTCGATTATCTCATGGATTTTATAGATCATGCCCTTTGGATTAATCTAGCAACGTCGCGAAAGTTCTATCGTTTCGAAGTGAAGTTCAATATCAAGCCATGCGGTCTTAGCCTTCGTTAACAAAACAACCCAAAGGACCGATGAACGCGACATTCTAGAAGAATAATTGGGCGACATATACTGCGTCTATTTCTCTGAGATCAAATGTTTGAATAATTTATCCAGGTAGTAAGCGGACTGCTTGGGATACCGAGTCTTTTCCTCGGACTCAAAGTCGATAAATGTGCATCCGAATCGATCAGCATATCCAGCAGCCCATTCTAAACCCCAGCCAGTCAGTTTATCACCCGGCAATAATTTGTGTTTCAGTTCGAAATGACTTACCCCAGTTATCAGTGAAGGTCCACGCAAAGTAAGAGCGAATATCAACACCATCCTCCTTCACAGCTCGAGCCAACGCATTACCCACATAGCCCTCAAAGAACTTGATTCGGAACTTGTCATCCAAGACTTCTAGAGAAGGCGCCACTTCTCCCTTTGCAGTGGTTCCGCTCTCAGTTACGTATATGGGTGTCTGATACCGCGCATAAATCCAATTTATCAGCTTTCGAAATCCCTCAGGCGAAGCACGAAGCCATTCAGTATCACTCTCTTCGCCCCGAGGTACACCCTGCTTATTCTCATCATGAACCTCCACATTTCCCTTGTGATCATTGATATCTGGTGGCGTGTCCGTATGCTTCATGAAGAATGTTGTATAGCTATTCATTCCATAAAACTCCGAGCTACCAAGAACAAGCTTGGTCTCCTCAGCTGTGAAACGGGGAAGTCGATCTCCAAGCTGCGCACGCATAGAAGCCGGATAATCGCCTGTCTTGTAGATAGGATCAGCGAACCATGAGATCTCAAACTCACGCGCCCTTTGTGCAGCCTCTTGATCTCGAGGGTCCTCCTCATCCCACGCCTCAGACCAGTTACCGTGAAGTGTGATTCCAATAGTTCCTTTCTGCCGTGGCTGGAATTTCTCACGGTAAAGACGCGAAACATAGGCATGAGAAATAATCTCCGTATGCGCTACGATAAAAGGCTCTGTAGACGAATCACCTTCCGCATTGCGCTCTCGGAAAGAGGATCGTGCAGGTGCATGTACGCCTGCCGCATATCCAGCCAGAGTGTAGACACCAGGCTCGTTATATGTTATCCAATGTTTGACGCGGTCGCCGAATCTCTCAAAGCAAACTCGCGCATATCGGACAAAGTCCGGCGTATAGAATTCCTGGTTCAACATCCCGCCGTATCGATCTTCCAACGCCTGCGGGGTATCCCAATGGAAGAGTGTAACAAATGGGGTGATTCCATTTTGAAGGAGCTCGTCAATCAAATCTGAGTAGTATTGGATACCCGCTTCGTTGACAGGGTCGTCCTTTCCTCCTAATGGGATAATGCGTGACCAGGCAAGTGAGAATCGGTAAGCATTGACGCCATACGTTTTCATTAACGCTACATCTTCGCGGTAGAAATCGTAGGCTCTCACTGCATCATCTGCATTGCTCCCATCCGCGACTTTACCGGGCGTGTGTCCGAATGTGTCCCAAATCGAGACGCCTTTGCCGTCCTTGTTCCATGCGCCTTCTATCTGTGCAGCAGCCGTAGCATAGCCATGATAAAAGTCGGAACGGAGAACGTCTTTGAGATCTTGTACTTCGGCTAGGTCCATTTTTAGATTGCTTCTTTGGATTCGTTGGATCTTGGGATAGTGTATAGGTGGCGCATTTATCTTTAAGCTATGAAACTTTTGAACAGCTTTGTCGAGGACAATTTCCTGCGGGGTCAAACCGACCGGTTAAGTTCTTCTCATTTATTTCTATGCATCTCCAGTTTAGCCAGCACTCGGGATATGCGGGGTTTTGCTCCGTGGCCGTTTAGGGAAAGCCGAACTAGCAAGACAAGGATTAAGTGGAGATGATAGTCTAAATTGCAACAACATTGTCAAAAATACAAACAAAAGCACCTCTGAGTTGGTTACCTTCTATGTAATACCTACCTTGAATGATCTATTTAAAATACTCCTCCGGTTGGATTCTATAAGAGCGACACTGCTCAATAGACTTTCGAAACCCGTTTTCACCTGGAAAAACAACCGTCGCTTTCTCGCCCCGCAAAGAACAAATGACCACCTCACCCACGATGCACCCATTTTCAAACTCGAATGCTAATTCAAAGCCTCCGCGTGCTCGTACCCCGTGAATCTTACCAGTCCAATCGCTCGGACAAGCTGGAAGCAGTCGGATCACTCCGGGCTCATGAGATTGGACCAACATTTCCACAATTCCTGCAGCCCCACCAAAGTTGCCATCGATTTGAAATGGAGGATGGCTATCGAATAGATTTGGTAAAGTGGATTTCTCGAGTAATAAATCCAGGTGCTTTTGACATGCCCCCGCATCTTGAAGGCGCGCGAACAGGTTTAGGAGCCACGCTCGACTCCACCCTGTGTGTCCCCCTCCATGCTCTGCACGTCTGCGAAGTGTTTCTCTACATGCAGCTGCAAGTTCAGGTGTTTTTTCCAGTGTTATGACATTGCCGGGGTATAGACCCCAAAGGTGGGAGGTGTGACGATGCCCAGGCTCAACCTCTTCGTGGTCTTCGGCCCATTCCTGAAGATATCCATTTTGACTGATTATCAATGGTGGAAGGCGAGCTCGGGCCTCCCGGACTTGGAGGAGAAGGCTATCCTCGATGCTCAATTGTGCGGTCGTTGACTCAAAGTCTCTCAGTACAGCATTGATAATTTGAATGTCAATGGTGGATCCCTCGCAAAAAACGCCCTTTTGACCTTTTTTGTCGCGATATGAATTCTCAGGCGACAATGAGGGACAAGTTATAAGGTACTTTCCTTGAGAGTCCACGATGAGAAAGTCCAAGAGAAATTCCACGCAACCTCGCAGAATCCAAAAATACTTTCGCAGGATATTTTGCTCTCCGGTGAATTGGAAATGCTCCCATATGTGACAACACAGCCATGCACCTCCCAGCGGCCAGAGTGTTCCTGGCATCCATCGATCTACTGGATCGGTGTCGGCCCAAATATCTGTGTTGGAATGTGCAGTCCAGCCACGACATCCATACATATTTCGTGCGGTGTTCTTGCCATTGGATGCCAAGCGTGAAAGGTGAGTAAATAGAGGCATTTCGCACTCCGATAAGTTGCAAACATTAGCAGACCAATAATTCATCTGCAGATTGATGTTTATTGTGAATCTAGAGCCCCAGGCCGGATGAAATGAGGGATTCCAAATCCCTTGTAGATTAGCCGGTAGAGGGTAGGCCGAGTTCCCTTCATAGCTGCATGACATGAGCAGATATCGACTGTAATTGTGATAGAGTGCTACTAAACCCGGATCCCTAGCTATTAATCGTTTATCTGTCGGAATTTCTGGCGAGTCTGGTTTGAGCTCTAGATGCATTCGATTCCATATTTCTTGATTACGTTGAACTCGTCGATCCCAAACAAGATCTGGAGTCTCATCAAGCATTGAAAGATCCGACTCAGCTCTGGATTCATAATTCTCATTCGCAATGCTAGTTCGTGCGACGATATAGATTATGGCGTCGTCGGAGTTCACAATAAGGTTTTTGCCAGCCTTGGTCACCTTGCCCTTCCTGTCTCGATCGATAGATTGAACATGGACGATGCAACAGGCGCGGTTACTTCCTTTACCGCCTGGTGTGACGTGCATTGTGATTGTATTCTCCTTCCGGCCTAGAGCACGAGATAGTGGATTGTCACTAATCGTCTGAACCCAGTCGTGGTACTCCTGAGACTCGTATTCCACATCGCTCATTCGAGTCAATCGTAAGATAAACCGAATTTTGGCGGATGATCGCATTCGCACGATAAGTGCTGATGGTTCATCTGTGGCGATCATTTGACGATCGTAATGAACGCTCGCATAATCATAATTCACATGCAAAACTCCTTTGGTCAAGTCTAGGGAGCGTCGGTAGTTTGTAACCTGCTCAGGCTTGTGCTCAAATTTCAAAAAGAGGTTTCCAAGAGGCTCATAGTGCCGTTGACTTGCTGGGTTTGAGAAGAAGTACGTGGTTACCAACCTTTCGGCTTCAGTATGATTACCTTGGCGGATAGCTTCTCGTAAGGCAGGTAGATTGCTCAGTGCATCTTCAGGTGTTCGTTGTTGCGGCCCACCAAACCATACAGTCGATTCGTTGAGTTGGATCATCTCCGTGTCAGTGCGACCGTGTACCATAGCCCCTAACCGGCCATTGCCAAGGGGAAGCGCCTCGTTCCAGGTTGTCGCGGGTTGTTGGTACCACAGCTCACTCATGGTGAATGTGAAGGATGGGTTAAGTATGTCAGGCGGGCGGTAGAAAGATGAAATGGCATTTGAGGCTGACTTTTTGATTCTTGTATGAGTAAATCACACAGCAAGGAATGAGGAAAAAAAGACAACTTCTATTATTAAACCAGTAAGATTATAGACAAGGTGGAACCGTGGCTTTCCCGGTCTTGTTCACGATGTAGCTAGTAAGTACCGGCTAAATTGATGACTCCCCGGATCTCATCCTCCACCCCCAGGATTGACTTTAACCCGGTGGATTCGTGCGTAGCGTGACAAGAAAGTTTGAACAAGGAAGCTCAATCTAAATTAGTACACGAAATATGCTTCTCTTGCCCCGCACTTGCTTCTCACTGGTGGAGAAACTACAGCATGACTGCTTCCAAACGCTAAAGAACTTTAGCGAGGATTTTCCTGGTAAAAGATAATCTTGCCACTCAAATCAATCTCGCCATTGGTACTTTTTAGATGGTCTAGGGTATTGTGACTCGCGCCAAATTCCAGCCATGCCAGTCTCATGCCAATCATGATTCAAAAATTGCTTTTCCCAGCCGCGTCACGCTATTCCACAGCAATGGAGACCAGAATATGGATCTCCAGATATTTCTTTTTATTCCCTTTTTGTCTCGGAATCCTTAGTAGTCTCCGTGGCGGGATGGGAGATCTGTACCGATAATTCTAGTTTCCTGATATTGCATTTGTTTATAGATGTTGCTGCTCCCATTTTTCATTGAGCCTCCTCCAGCTTCTCACGACAGCGCCCACAAGAGGACGTTTAATTTTAAATCCATGCCCATATACTGTGCACCTAATTAACTTTTCTTTGATTACCTGCACCGCCATGGCGAAAGTCTCTGTGGCAGAGGCGGAGGAAATTATGGACACTAAGGGCGAGGAGCACATTGAGGAAATCGCACTTGCAAGATTGACTGAAGAGGATGTATGGAAAATTTCTCAGGAGTCACTTACAGTGTGGTCATGGACTGGTGTTCGTCTTGGTCTTATCATGTTCGTACAAGGATGTAACCAGGCTGGGTTCGGGGTCGATTGGGGAGTGATCAGCGGGATCGACGCAATGACTGCATGGCACGATTACTTTGACTTCGGCACAGCCGGATCTACATATGGTCTTATCAATGCCCTAATGAGCATTGGAACAGTCTGCGGAGCTCCATTCATGTCCTTGGCAGATGTCTTCGGACGTCGCGGTATCAACTTCGCTGGTAACGCCATCGTGATTGTTGCGGCTATCTTGCAGGGCTGTGCGATCAACCTACATATGTTCATGGCCGGTCGCTTCTTCATGGGATTCGGTACTGCTTTGATGTCAAGTTCGCAGTATATTGGCGAGGTTGCTCCACTTCACCTTCGTGGTCGCATGGTCGGATTCTTTGGTGCTTGTTTCCAGGTCGGAAGTCTCGTCATGCTGGGTGCTATGATTGGATTGGAGAGCTTGCCAGGCAACAACTGCTGGCGAATCCCTCTCATATTGGAGGCCATTTTCCCTGTTATTGTCTGTCTGACTATTTTCGTGTTGACCCCCGAGTCTCCTCGATGGTATATCATGAAGGGTAATCGGGAAAAGGCCAAGGAGGTTATTGCCAAGTACCACACTACTAGCGGCGACATCAATGAGCCGATCGTTGAGATATCGGTCAGGCAGATGGAGGAATCTCTGGAGAATGATAGAGCTGGCTACCAGGCCTTTTGGGACTACAGGGTATTCTTCGCCAAGACTGGTCGCTTCCGACTTTTAGTTCTAGTGCTGTATTCCATTTTCCAGCAATGGAATGGCGGCAGCATTATAACTTACTACGTAAGTCGAAGGCTTTTAATGAATGCGCGTTTCAAACATAGAGCTTTTCTGACTGTCTTGTCCTTATGTAGATGACACCCGCACTCGAAACTATCGGCGTTACCGGCACACGCCAGCAACTCGGAATCACCATTGGAACTACCGCGACGTATTTTGTTTTCACTACATTTGGATCTTTCCTCGTTGATATATTCCGCAGACGAACATTGATCTTTGCGGGCTTAGCTTCAATGATTCTGTTTCAAACGGCTACAACCATTACGTCCTGGCAATACAGTCTTACGGCCGACCATGCGGCAGCGTCCCTTACTATCCTGTGGATATTCCTCTATCAGGCATTTTCTGCCTCGCTCATTGCAACAATGCATAATCTATATCCCGTTGAAGTGCTTTCTTTGCCACTACGTGCAAAGGGAATGGGGTTGTACAGTTTGATCCAAGGAGGTGCAAGTGCTGCACAGACATATGGAATTAGCGTGGGTATCGCCAAGATTGGGTACAAGATTTGGGTGGTGTACATCGCATACAACTCGATTCAGCTTGTATTATCCTATTTTTTCTTTCCTGAGACAAGTGGATTGAGTCTGGAAGAGATCGATACGGTCTTTGAAACTCCTGGTGTGGCGCCGGTGAAGATGTCTCTAGATATAGAGAAGGCGAAGAAGGAAAGACTTGCTGCAGCACGGGACGAAGAGGCTAGAGCTTGAAATTTATGTGCGAAGGTAAAGACATGAGTGAATGATCTTTTATCTTCCATAGTTCTTCTTATGTAAGCTATTTTTCACCTACCTTGAGGCCTTTGCTGGCTAATGATTCCTAAAAGTGATCAAGACAATAATAGCTGTATTTCCTTTTATTTGTATTTTTTTTTTCAAACTCCATGGCCCCAGATCCATGATTTTCAAGATCGTTGAGCTCCATAGAAACACAATCTGCTCACCTGAAATCAACAACATGCATCTATCCGGCTCTTGTTGGCGATCGATCTGAGTGTGACTCGTAGAGCATTCTCTTACCAAAAGCATATGATCTGCCCTACAGCTTTCCTCTCATGAATACACTTCGAATAAAACTAAGAATTCAACCGCTCATTTAAGTACATGCATCATATTTGATGAATTGTCCATGCTCAATAGATGAAACGGCGTCAGTTCCGACACCGCTGTGTCTACCCGACGGAGGGATGCTTGTTCTGTTGCACCGTTTCCGTCTTCCATCGTCTGCACATGATTTTTCAGAGTACTCAATAATCCCATAAACCATAAATCTGCAATTATTCATACGATAGAGAGCGTTTATGGGGTATAGTCTGACCTCGGTACCACCTATAAGGCCGGTATGTATAGTCGGGCAATTCATCCAAATCAGATGATAATCCCAGCCCTAAAATGGTTCGAAGCTGGATGTTTTAGTCTCAAAATCGCTGACCTCAGAACTGTATTCATATTAGATAAATAATTTAATAAGTCCACTATTTCATAATCTAATTCGCTTTTTTTTACTCTCCGCATACCATTGCCACCAGTCTGAGTTCCAATCAAATCTTAGCCCCCGACATATCGGCTTGCAGCGTCACACAAACAGTTAAGGTACCGAGTTAAGTGACTTCCCTCTAAACACTTCCACTTTCGGTCTCAAGCCTGCTTTTGTACTAACTTGTTATTCTAGTTCGTTGAATTGGGCGTTTTTTGTTTGCGATGATGCCTTAGATTTGGTTTGATCATGTGTCCTTGGAAAAGCGAAACGGTCAACAGACTCAATGCATCCGACGTGTTACATGTGGTCTGAGTCCTTGTAGTATTGCTCGGGAACCGACGAAAGTATCCCAGTATACCGGATGGGTAACATAGGTAAAGGTCCTCCGAGAGGAGCCGATTATTCATCGAATATTGACCCACGCCCCGTTTTCACGTCAATGAAACGGTTCTTAGTGCTTCCTAAACTCTCGAGAAGCTTAATAGAACGTCGCATGGGGTATTCACTGTATATTAGAAGCTTCATACAAAGTAGCCTTGAATCTATTGTTTTGGGGAACACAGCGTCCGTCGTATGTACTTCGATGAGAATAGGATAGTCACCCGGAAATTTAACAACGCTCGACCGGTGACATTCACTTTCCATGCATATAGATCTTAGATTCCATGATACAACATGGCTCGGCCATGTACCGATGTTCACCATGGTAAAAGGACATGGAGGAGGGAGAAAAGGACAGTGAGACGACGGGAAGGCTGAATGACTGGCAGGCTACATCAACTCTATTCTCGTGCAATTTCCTTTTTACTCACCTATCAACATCAAGACCCCCATAATAGTCGCTGCAGCTTGTATCATTTTTTAATTTCCGCGTGGCGAGCAATACGAGGGGCAGCATCATTCCGAGCGCAGCATTTGCCCCTGTTTCTAAACACGAGGGTGAGCCCCGTTCGTCGGCCGAGAGGACAGTATCTTAGTCCCCCAATTTCCAAAAAAAAAAAAGTGAAAGTGGTATGAGAGTAGTTCTAGAATAGTAAGATCAAAATTTTTATCTCCACGTAGGTACTCAAAATACATTCGACCCTGACGCACAGACAGGCCCAAACCTGCGTGCACAACCATACGGACCGAGACGGGACTGCTGCATCTCCCGACCATGCTTCTTGTTCTAGCAGATTCCCCCTGTCATGCATGCCCGGTTGTGCGGGCAGTAGAAGAAAAAAAAATCGTGTTACCATCGACTCTGCCAATAGTAGCCTGGCCTGTACTGTGGTCAAGGGGATTGGCTCGGTTGCCATTGTCATGAGACTGTTAACACTCTTTTTCTCTCTCAATATCTTTCTCTAGGCTTTTCTAGTCAAGGCGAAAGGAAAATACTTCCTCTCCAGCGGTACATGCCACCCATCTCAGTTGTATACTTCGAGTCGCCGTTACAGCCTGAGATCTCCGAGAAGAAGACAATCAGGCAATTTGAAATTGAGATGTCATTTTGGATCATGTTCCCCCCTACCAAGTATTTTATTTGGATTTTCCATTCGTGCTTTTTGATCATCCTTTCTTTCCGGGATGGCTTGGTCCTGCACCCAGGTGCCGTTGGGGGTGTTTCGTAGCCCCCTTTCGTTCCCTCCCCCTCCCTCTTAGTATCACCCTGAAGAAGGTGGCTGTCGGGTACTGAATGACCGGGCCCTCCATAGCAAGCATGCAAACTTGCTCTTAATATAACTAGGGATTCTCAGCCGCCCTGCCCGGGCATAAGCTATGCATCCATCAACGTCGGTCTTTATTTCCAAGCCAGCAATTCGTCTTCCCTTCTTTTTTACGGCGCTCAATCTGGTCGGGCTTCTCCTTCGCCTAAATCGCGTCCGGATTTATTCCTTCTTTTCCTCCATGGCTCGCTGCCTCCCGGCCTCCTCATATATACTTGCATCGTGAACATATGCCCCGCCCACCCTATACTCATTTTGCAATACGTCGTCTAGAGGGCCTCGAGCCTGTTCTATATTACCAGCCCGCACACATATCGAGTATTTTTAATTATCTTCTCTGCCACGGTCGCCATGCCCCCCAAGGACGCCCAGGATACCTCCACAATGCCTGAAGCTCAAGGTCTGAAATACGATGAGTCGGAGATGGCTCTCTTTCACGCCAAACTCTCGTATCACGCTACAATCGACGAGCGGGTGGCTTCGCAAAATAATAATTTGGCATCCATCACAGAAGCACAAGGCAAACTGTTGAAAAGATGGGAGTTGTTAAAACAGACTGAACAGGAGCTCGCTGAACAGGGAAGGACCCTTCCACCCGCTGATAAGACCTTGTTGGCACAGTTGCAATGGCGATATAAAGAACTGGAGAAAGCAGCAACAAAATCTTGATAGCGGTAAATGACCAAAAGTGTTGTTTATTTTTATTTTGTCCCATTTTCCGACCTTTGCGCTCTATCATGGAAACTATACACTTGAATGTTGATGACACGAAAGGCATTTCTGGCGTTGTTCTAGAATTGAAAGTCTGGAGAAGTAGGATGAAAACTATTCTATTCTCGTGAGGCTTTTAGACCATTTACTGTTTCATTGGAGGTACATTTCATGTTTTTGATCTATAAAGTCTAAATAGCATTCCTCTTTCTCCCTCTCATGATACACACTCTCTCATATGTTTCAAGGAAGTTTCAAAATAACGACAAAAACTTGGATTGCGTCATCGTCAATTCAAGTCTGCATCCTCTACTATAACAAACATTTATCCATCTCCAAACTGATCTGTATTCGTCATAGGTACGTGCAGGTACATTCTCAGCAGGGCTCGAGAAGAATTCAGCTGACGGAAGCACAAGCAGCAAAGCAATCATGGTCAATATAACAACAAGAAACAGCAAATCACCTATCAAGGCCCCAAAGATGCCAGCCCGATCCCCGAAAAGGCAGCCCTATAGCAAGATTGCTACATGAGCCCCAGCTCCAACTGATACAAGCTCGCTGGTCCGATAATTTGTGGCAGGCAGGAAATTGATTGCTTCGGGAGAATTGGGTCGAGTTGCAGCATTCTGTACGACTTGAAGCTGTGTCGTGTGCTTGCATGATGGGAAATCAAGAACGACGACTAAGAAAGGAGCAAGATTGAAGAACTTCCTCTTTTATAGAGCGAATTGCAAATTTTTCACTCGCATGACTTGATGTGGTTCACCGTTTCTGTGATTCCGATCAAGCACCGACACTTGTCATGCATATTGTGTATTGGGCACCGATGGCGCTGGACGTCTTGGGTTGGAGATTGATATTCCGTTACTTTTTCAATTTTCAATGGCGGCGATCTCAGGTAGAAATGTTGTTTCTGCCATGACATGTATATTGATGGATTTGTGGCCAGTATCGGTTCAATGACTTCAAAGCTTAGTATACCGGAAGTCAAAATTATTCAACGGTGTTGGAGTAGTATAGTATAGACGGGTATAGTTTATTTTAAAGATAGAAAATTTCAAAAAAAAAGTTTGATTCATTCGAGTGGAAATTGTACAGACCCAGTCTGAAGATTCATAACACCATGCATGAAAGTCGTGACAGATGAGATATTGACCGGCATGATCATAAAACACAGAAAGCTTGAGTTCGCCAATCCAATCATCAAAATAAATCCAATAACCAAGCAAAAAAAGTAAGTCGCAAATGGAACTTAAGAAAAAGATGGTGGGAAAGAAATGGATCAACCCCAGCACCAAAACGCAGATAAAAGCATAAGTGGCGAAAGCTTGAAGGGAAAGTTGAAAAAAAGAAAAAAGAAGAAAGAAAACCAAGAAGGGAAATGGGAAAAAAAACAATGAAATATCAACATCCAAAATCTTCGTCCATGCTGCATAATAACCATTCCATGACGCCTTTTCCTTCTATTGAGTGCAATTGTGCGGGTATAATTTTCGTTCTCTCGCGCTCTCTCTCTCACATTCCCCGCTGTCCGTCTGACCTTCTGTACACAAATTTTATTTGTTACCTGATATACGAAGTGGCAGTTGTTTAGTTGTATCTTCGGAGCCCGACGAGGAAATACTAGTTGGCGTGCTAGCATCTCGGCCAATACTTCCTCTGGACCCCTTTTCTCGAAGTGCCAAGCGAGTGCGAGGATGAGACGGCACAGGAGAGAGATACCTATCAAGCAGCTCGCTAAGAATTGGTGAACGGACTGGCTTAGGAAGATAGTTGTTCATTCCGGCATCCAAGCATTTTTCTCGATCGCCTTCGATAGCACTGGCAGTCATAGCAATCACCAGAACCTCATTCACATTGGGGTCGGGATCCCGACGCAATTCCCGAGTCGCGTTGTATCCATCCAGAGTGGGCATCATAACATCCATGAGTACGATATGGAACGGATTGCCTTCACTAGACCTAGCACGTAAGGCATCCACGGCTTGTCTTCCATCGCTGTAAGCTTCGCACTGGAGACCGAGCCCAGTTACGAATTTGACTGCGATTTTCTGGTTGATCGGGTTATCTTCTGCGATGCAGACTCGGATCTGATCACGAGCAATGTTGGTGAGGTCACGAACAGTGGGTCGGGGAGCCTGCTTGCTTTCTGCTTGACTCAGCTCTTGTGACCACGCAGTCTTCACGGCCGTTTTCTTGGGAGCTTTGTTGAAGACTAAATGGAATGTAACAGTGGTTCCAACTCCGGATTCGGATTCTAGCCAGATAGCGCCGCCAAGGACATCTTCAATAATCGCCTTGCAGATACTCAGACCAAGCCCACTGCCACCATATGATCTTTCGGTGGATGGATCGGCCTGGGAGAAAGGTCGGAACAGACGAGCCTTCTGTTCATCTGGAATTCCAATTCCAGTGTCGGTAACAGAGCATTCCAAACGCACGCGACCTTTTGATTCGCGCCCAACCCTTGCTTTCACGGTGATCGAGCCCTTAGGTGTGAATTTGTAGCTGTTGCTTAGGAGGTTCATGAAGATTTGATGTAGGCGAACTGGGTCACCCAAAACAACGAGTTCTGAAGGAACCCGATCCAACTCCTCGATCGTTTGCAAGCCTCTCTCGCGATGAGTATAACGAAGTGCACGGATGACCTCCGAGATGGTTTCCTTGAGATTGAGAGGTACAATGGAAATCTTCATCTTGCCAGCTTCTAATTTAGAGAAGTCGAGTATATCATTGATAAGAGTTAACAATGTATCGGCACAAACACGAATGGACTCCACATAGTCATCTTGCTCTTTATCCAGCTTAGTGCCCTTGAGCAGCTCGGAAAGACCAATCACGCCGTTCATTGGAGTTCGTAAGTCGTGAGAGATATTCGCCAAGAAAATCGATTTAGCTCGTGCGGCATCCTCTTTGAGCTTCACATTATGTTTGGCTTCTGCTTCGGCTACCTTAGCCTTCTGCTCAGACTCGCGGGCTTGAGCAAGAGCACGCTTTTGCGATTCGATCATGGATGCATTCTTGGCGCTGACCTTGCGTATCTCCCGGAAAAGCAAAGCATTCGACAGCGAAATTCCAATTTGATTGCAAAGTAAATGAAGAACCACCACATTACGCTGCGTAAACCAATTTGGCTTTCCTTCTAAGTGAATTACTCCAAGTAGGCTGTCTCCCTGGACAATTGGCAAGGCGATCACAGATCGTCCTTGAGGGTAGTTTGCCAGATAAGCCTCGTTGACGTTGGAAAATCGCTCGTCTTCGAGAACGTTATGAACCAGAACTTCTTCTTGTGTACGCATGACGTAGTATGTGATATGCTGCGCCATCCGAGATTCTGTTTCCGCAAATGGAAGACCTTCAGGATATGACTTCTGACCTTTATCGGCATCTGCAGCGGCAGCAATGGCGAATCCTTGATCATCAAAGTTTGTCGCAATGACCGCAAAGTCGGAACCATTGCAAGACTCCAAAAGAATCTCAAGCATTTTCGTGAAAAGCTTTTCAATCTGAAGTTCAGACGACATCACTTGACTCGATTCGAGTATACTGGAAAGATCTATAATGTCAAGTCCAACACTCGATATATCCATTGGAGCTTCCTCTGCGGCAACACTATTTTGTTCAATCCACCGCTGTCTTCTTTCATTTTCCTCAATCTGTGAAGGTATCACAGTCTCGTCTTGCACAGCATCCCTAGTGATATCAAGGAGCGAATCGAGTGTTTGACAACCAACATCTACTGCCCTGACGGAAGTTGCGGTCTTCAGCAGCCACTCGTGCTTTTCTGTAAGCATTGCTGCTTTACCAGTGGCTCCTATAGAGCTCCATGCAGCAATTGATTCTTGCACAAGAGCGCGTGCCGCCCGTTTCGCGCCACGACGGATGAGAAACTCGCCTTGGAGCTCGAGCGCAAGAGCTTCCTCAAGCGGCCATCCATGAATTTGACAATGATCAATAGCAGCCTCGAAATTCTGAATAGTAGCGCTGTGATCATCTCGAACTTCGGCAACCAACGCATCAAGAATAAACGACCACATCCCATAATTCGCATCGGAACAGTTTCGGGCAAATTCAATCTCCGCCTTGTACTTCAGCACCATGTCCATTTTTCCGTCAAGGTATCCCTGGGCAGGGTATTCATTATGCAGAGTGAGAAGAGAGGCTGAGAGATAGAAATAAATGCTGTAGCTCACACGAATAGACCAAAGCTTGTGTGATGTGTCCAGGAGTTCGCTGCCAACTTGGACTGCCTTGTGATAGTGACCGTACAAGAATAAAGGAATCAAAGAGAGGCCATGATACAGATCTCTAGGTCTGTCAACGTTACTAGCATGGGTATCTAAAAATGTCATGTATGCGCTGGTCTGGTGCTCCTCATCAGACAGGACGCGGTCGGGGAATCGGAAGTCCGTTTTGCCTTGAAGTGCGCGTGCAACTTGGCTATAGCGGTATTAGCACTCAAATCATATTCATCAATTATGTCTCTAGTAAATACGTACCGAACAGCGATAATGCTGGCACCGCCGCGAGTGTCCCGAGACCATTGAGGAATATCCTCTGGGGTATCAACACAAAATGTCTCCAATTGACCCATGTCTTGCCCCAGGTAAAGCCTTGTCATGGCCATGGACGAAACACTAACCAAGGTGATGTACGGATCGCCCATTGTAAACGATGCTTCAAGCGAAGCCTCCAGTGCAGGTAATGTCGTCGCAAGAGGAACACGGAGGTGACTGACATAAAGATTATGGACGACAGAGCCCCTACTCTGGGTCCAAAACTCCGGGCAACGTTCAAGTAGGGAAAGAGAGAGGTCACTGAGCTTGGTTCCAAATTCAATGTCCTTGAAGCGGCTCAAGGTGATCATAGCAAGATGAGAGCATCCAATTGAAATTTGAGTGAATCCACCTCTGGAAATGTGAATATGCATCATCTCAATTGCCATGCGGTAGAATGTCAACGCATCGTCCCAATATGTAACAGCCATTGCTTCTGCCATGACAGCCCCTATCGTGATTACGTTGGGATCCTTGCTGATAGGTTTCTCTATGATAGAATCTAGATTCGCGGACTCGAGGTAGTGCTTGAGCTTGAAGAAAGCAGTATCGCATTCCTCGTATGTTGTCGGTGCCCGGAGATGAACACCAAGTTCGTCGAGACATGACAGCAATGCCTCCATTGAGCGAGGATGATCACCTAATTGAGCGAATATCTTGGCTTTGATAACCCAAGCTCTTGATTTGCTGACCGCATCCTTGCCGTGAGCAAAAACAGAATCAATTAGCTTGAGAGCATCGTCACTCTTGGCCTGAGACCATGACATCTCAGCTGTTGCAATGTACAAACGCATGGTCTCGTCGTAGTAAACATCAGCGTGGGTATCATCCCAAGGGTTGTCCTGGAGAAGAGCAATGCAGTGTCGGAAGTACCAGAGAGCACTAGGCCTGGCGCCAGACTGCGCAGCCATTTGGCCAGCTTCCCATAAGATCCGTCGGTAGTCAATTCTGCGACTCACCCGAGCTTTGATTCTAGGCGATGCAAGTGCCACATGGTGGGCCATGGAGTATCGACTGCGATGATCATGGTAATATTTCATCAACACCTGTGAAACAACAAAATGCATCTTCTCGATATTGCGGCCTTCGCCCAAAGAAAGTGCAGCCTGTGCAAGCCGGTCATTGGCAAACCTATCATTGGTGTTAGTCAAATTACTAAAACGAAAACAGGAAAAATAGGATGAACGAACTTGAATTCATCGTCAGTCTTTCCAGTGTTCAAGAGGTTGGCTTGAACAAGATATTGTAACCCAACCACCATATCACCCTCGGATTGTCTGACTAAAGTAATATTTCCAGGAGACGTGAGATCCACCTCTTCTTCGTCGTCGGTGGCAAGAAGGAACTCGCTGGACAGTATATGTTGAACCAAAGAAAAGGAGAACGGGCTTCCAAGGAGAGACCCCCAGACCATAATGGCTCGCGCAGCCGGTGGGATCTCCTGAAGTCTTTTGGTAAGAAACCCTAAACCAAGTCCCTCTCCATAGACGGGCGCCACAAATTCGGTGAAGATGCGATCCAAATCAAATTGCCACTTCGAATCTTTCCACGAATACCAAATACAGTTCTTCCTGTAGCAAGTTTCAAGCATGACGCGAACATAAAATGGGTTCCCCTGGCTCTTCTCCTGGACAACAGCGGCGAGAGGAGTGAGCGTCGAGTTAGCTTCTTGATGCATTGTTGCAGCCACAAACTCCATAACATCATCCTCGGAAAGCGACTCAAGAACAATCCGTGTGATATTCGGCGTTTCAACCTCAAACAAAGGCCGGACCTGGTCAGGGAGGGCATTATTATCGCGAGTCGTCAACACAAGTACGCAAGGTAACTTTGCTCGAATTATATTCAAGACCAATTCCAAAGTTTCGTCATCTGCGTACTCAAGGTCATCCAGGCATACTGTGATGAGCTTAAATTGGCACAGCGTTCTCAAAATTTCCATAAAAATGTCCATCAGGCGCATATTATTAGAGGCCGCATTTGAAAGGAAAAAGTCTGCAGATGTCTGGCCTTGGTCCATCCATGGAATGTGAAGACGTTTGGCTTGATGAACCTCCCCAACCTCCTGATTCGGAGCTGGTGTGGGAATGGGAGCCCTTTGAGACGGTTTATACTTAGCACCTGGTGCCATGAGCTGCTCTGGAAGATCCAACACCTTATAGAGCGTAGGCCACATGGATCGCAGCGCCGATCGAATGCTGTTATGGTAATTTGTATTGACATCTTGCTCGGAGAATATTTGACGTAACAAACTAGCCAAGATCTTGGCAAACGGTTCAAATGGTACCCGCTTAGCACGGTCCAGGCGCGTAATCGCAATATAACCCGACTTTCGAATAACGGGCTGCACGCGGTTCAACAGATCGGTCTTGCCGATCCCGGGAGTACCGCTGATTGTTATTACCTCGCATCGTCCGTTGCGGCGGTATTTTGCGCCTGTTTTCTGTTTTGTGAGGGAATTCAATGATTCTGATTGACTGAAATTATGGGTAGATAGCTGGCTAGGTGTGTTGGTGCCGGCAGAAGGATGACTATCTCTGTCAGTAGTATGGGAGGATCGAGAATGCGATGGGCTCTTCATTGGCACAGGTGTCTGTTGCCCAAAGTCTGGGCCCGCTGAAGTTTGGCTGAGTCTCGCGGGTGGAGGAGTCGAATCATTGCTACCGACGGAGTCATGGGTGTTGAAATGCGCAATATGGTATTGGGTAGCATTGGACCCAGTTCGTGGTGGTAACTGAAAAGAACATGCTGAGTCACTGGAAATAGAAGCGATATCAAAGCTATCCACGCGGCCCTCGGAGATTGAAGAATTAGAAGCAATGGCGTGAGCCGTTGCGGGACTCTGGGAGGAGGCCTTTGCAGATGCAGTCACCTGGCGTTTGTTGACTTTCTCAACTGTATTGATGATGGTGTCGTATTCCTTTTGTCTGCCGATCATTCTAGAGGGAAGAGTAAAGAATGATGACACGTCTCGCTGGGCAATCTTGAACTTATTAAGGGCTTCGCTGTCCCCATCGCCCAGTAATTTGGCTACCTCGAGCAAGTCCCGCTTGACGGAGGAAATCGTATGATACCGGTCATGCACCACCTTCTGCGTCATCTTCTGGACTACGGCTGAAAGTGCATCCGGAACGTCCATCCTCTTTGCAGAGACCGGTGTCAACTTTCTACTCAACACGTTCTGTACAACTTCAACGGGGTCGCTTCCCTCAAAAGGGAGCTTCCCCACGAGCATGGACCAGAAGAAAAGACCAAGGGCGTAGATGTCCGTACGGCTGTCCGGTTCTGTCGGCATCCTCCCAGTTTGTTCGGGTGCAATAAATTGCAGCTTGTACTTAGCACCAAGCTCCCGAGAGACAGAGGACCAACCTTCACTAAGCACATTATCGAATGAACGCGCCCCATTCCCCATGTTTGCCAGCTTGACTGTGCCCATTTCGCGACTTAAATGAAATGCATCCCCTCGGATTTCTCCGTGGACTGTCTTCATGCCATAATGCAATATTTCCAGGCAATCGCACGCGCCAATCGCGAAATCGAAAAATGCAGGTAGGTCTACCTGTTCATTTGGCGTCATGTTTTGATCACCTTTGCTTCCTGCGACAAAAGATGCAGGGCCAAACGTAACTAGATCGCGTAGTCTGTCGTGACCAGGGGACTCGAAGATGGCCACTAGCAGGTTTCCTCCATCCACAGGATCGGCTGGTAGTCGTATCAAATCAATTGGACGGATGGTGTGGTTGCAGTCGGGATCAGACGATTGCACAATCGACCTGAGCATATGAAACTCGCGCTCAAGGCGAATGAAGTTTGTTGAAACACGGGCAATAACCGGAATCCATACTGGGTCTTGATCGCCACCGCGTGAGAGTGAAAACTCACTACTTGTCTCACTCACACTGAACCTCCGGTTTGAACCTCGAGCAGACGGCCGCGTCTCGGTGCGGGGGGAAAATCGAGTAAAGCTAGAAGGACCGGAAGATGCGGGACCGGAGGATGTCGCGATGGGGGTGGATAGATCCGACTCGGCATGATGGCGGAATCCTGAAATGTGCCAATGGTTGTAAGTGGAATGGAAGGGCTCAACGGACTGGTCCCAAGTATAACCCGGCAAGTGGCCCAGGCGCTCAAGTAAACGGGTGGGAGGGAGCGGCAGGTCGTCGCTCAGGAAGTGGCTTTCCTCCATCGCAAAGATAAGCAAAGGGAGTTGTATATGTTTTCTGCCTTAGGTCCATTCAAACGAGGACAAGCGCTTGTTTGCGGTCCAACTCCGTGAGTTAAGTGAAACGGAATCGCGGGACAGACATGGAGGACAAAAGCGGAGCTAATAATAAAACGGAGAAAAAAATAGCCCCCAACGTGAACTCGCACGCAGCGTCCAGGGGGGTCGTGTAAAGTGGAGAGAGGTCACAGGCCCCGGCACACCTGCAGAAAAAGGATCACAAGAAAACCCTGGGGTCGAAATTAGATGAGGATATAAAATGACCAGCACTTCAAATGTTCATGATCCACGGGATAAGTGGGACAACCTCGGATAATCTATTTTACGGTATCTGGACAAAGGACGGGAAAAGGAGCATTGGAGTGACTTTAAATATACTACATCTGATGGTATATGGGGTGATTTTCGAGGCTGAGAATGATAGAAAGGGGATTACTGGTCTACTGAATTAGTATTGTCTATTTCAATGCGAACGGTTTGCATTATATCGAAACAACGAACTTTTTGTGATGGAGCACAAGACCCTAGTAGAAAAAGAAAAGAAAAGAAACACCCATATATAGCCACCTGCCATGTACTATGATCCACATTAAGGCCAAATTCAAATGCACAAGTTCTGGCGTGGACCAGTACCATGTAAGTCTGACAAACTCCACCCGCCAAAGATGGATGGACATCGAGGACGCATATCTAGCCTTATATCAGACCTCTATATATACACATCGATCCCAAACAGCCCCCACGGTTGCCCGTTGCACCTGGCATGAAAACCCCATAGTTACCTAGGTATGCTTACCTACAAGATACGTATATTAATTTGAAGAGAAACGGACTCCTACTAAGTCTTGGCTATAACCTCGATGTACCTCCGTGCCAACAATGGATATACTCCAGTAACCTGACAGTGGTGCATTGAACTTGAAGACTCCCGTCTTTCACAAAATATATACATAGTGCATGTGTCCGAGTCTTTATCATTGTCAATTAATTCGACGCCATCTCGATTTTGAAACCCTTTCGAATCCATCAGTCGCTTAATTACCCCCCTTTAATATACAAAGAACAAGTGTTCTAAGCTTGCGAAAGGTTAGTTAGTGTATCGGCTGACACCACATGTGCGCCCACACGGCTTAGTCGAAGGGATTCGGGCCAAAATCGTCTGACTGAACTTAGCGTAGCCCCTAGTTGTGCTGACTCTAGCTGGGTGGACCAATCACCGCTAAGCTGACAAGCCTTAATGCCCTTTAAGTACACCTAAGCTTGTCGCAGATTTGCTTCTCCCGGTTCAGCCACTAAACACACTAAAACGCTGGATAGGATTCCGAGATTCAGCGAATGACGTAGTGTGCATACGGTCGGGGTTTGCAGGGCATTTGGCGTTTGTTTTCAATGATTATGTTATTTTATCCTATTTGTAAATTTGCTAGGTATCTCCGTTGATTTTTCTTACCTCCACTCCCCATTATCATCTCAGGAGACTTGATAGAAAATCACCAGACTATCTCAGGCTTCCCTCAAGCCGCGAGAATCGTGCCGACTCACGGCTCACAACGGCCCACATATATGTACGATGTACATACCCAGTGACGAAGCAAAGTACATCTCTAGTGATCAAGTGACGCTGCACAACTGACAGATCGTCGTCGTGTCAACGAAAAGAGGGGATTGGGCGCTTCCAAGAGAGGGGGGCTCTTGTCCACTCCATTCCGAAAGGGGCAAAGAAGAAGCGGGTTTATAGTGGTCCCCAGTGCGCCACATTAGGTTGATCGCCTTGTTTTAAACAGAATAGGACGGGGCTTTTCGACACGGCTATTGATTGGGTTTAACCCTTTGGAATGATTTTTTTCTTTCTTTTTTCTTTCTTTTTTCTTTCTCTCTATTTTTTTCCCCCAGAGTTTAGACCGTTATTCTAGTTTTCTAGAAACCCGAACTAATGCGCCAGGGGTGGCTTGCATCACCCATGCGGGAAGTGGGAAGCTGGCAGTGATCGACCATATTCCCCCTTACTAGCCTTGGAAGTGAGTACCTGTAAGTCTTGTCGCAGCAGTGTTATAGACGGTCTAGACCAGGACTCAGAGGGATCCTCACATTCCCAAATCGTAGATGCCTTGAAAGCTAGTAACCACGGAGATAGTTTCCATATGGTGGTTCACTAACGGGTGGGCTTCAGGGGTATCTATAGTACACTGATCGGCAGGCTGCCATTGATTACACTATATATCGACTATGGGATACAGAAAGGACTCCGGTCACAGTCTAAATTAATAGTCCTCATCTATTCCTGGAGGTTTATCAGCCAGGCTCTTACTCTCGGGGAAAGATACAATACCATGGGTTTAACAACCTATAGTACACCCGTATATCCACAGTCCTACGGAGTATAGTATAGTTAGTCGGAGATAAAACTCTTCTGTTCTCCCGTATCGTATGGTTCCGTATGCTTTGTACGTCTTCGGGACATCTCCAGTGCACAGACATAGTAGTTTTCACCTGTAAGATGACGTCTAGAGACATTGGTCATCCGCTCGTGGGTAAACTTCACCGATGTGGCTTGTTGATTAGCCAGTATGGTTGTAAGGTTTAGATATACATCAGATGAATTGTTTCTATTCCCATAAAGATGCTCATTTTAAACCGGTGCAAATGTCCTAAATCTTTTATATTGTGATGTTTCTCCATTTCCATTTTGTAGCCCTGGAGGTGTTATTGTAGTACTATTCATTCACCTTATACCCAGGGTCAGGGCCATCTCTACGTCATAACCAACCACCCCCCCAGAGAAAACCATTCAATGTGCAAAATCCACTTTTTTGCTTCCTTCTAATCCACTCCTAGGTCGATCCAAGCAATGGGCTGGCGGGTACTGACGCCAGTTTCCAAGAGTCACTCCTGTTCTGGTTCCCTCGATCCCGATCATCTCCCCCTCAAACCACACACACAACACACCTTGACTCAACCTCTAACCTCATCCCACGAATTTCTCGTTGGCCCTAAGGGCCTATACACCGCCTGAAGGTTTATTCATCTCACCTTTTTTTACATTTTTTTTTTTCTCTTCGGAAGTTGGAAATCGGCCTAGCTATTGTTCTTTTTCTTCTTTATTTTTTTTTCCCGTGTCCGTTTCCTTTTTCACCTCTCTGGTAGTCCGTTTTCCCAGCGATCGTGCGAAACCCGACTGCGCCTAGCCACAAATCTACCACGACTCGCCCCCGACCGTTGTGGCCGAGAAATGATCGCCTTACCCTGTCCCTGCGCTATCGTCCTCGCCTAGGAGTATTGAATTGCCTCGGTGTGAGGAAAATGGGTGACGTACATAGCAGGAGAAGCCCTCCATTCCCATCACCCACAGAGACCGTGTCCACCGTTGCTATACCGCAGCCGCCACATATCCAACACCCCCGGTCGCCGAATTATTCTCCTCTGGATCACGATCTTACAGGAAAACCGAAAGATCCCATATTGGGGGTAGATGGTACAACAAAAACACAGGCCCGCAAACCCCGATTCTCGCGCGGAGATTCAGCGGAGCAGACTGCCAGTTTGACACCGATCACGGAGGATACACGATCGGCAACAGAGCGACATGAGGACCAAGGTCGGAGCTCACAAACATTAAAGGAACTGCGGAGACAGATGGAGGAATTGTTGGTATATCAACAAATGCAACAACAACAGGCCCCACCACCCCAAGTCCCTGGGAATCCGAATGAGACGCCGAGGAAACGACGCCTATCAACTACAACTACGGCAGACATTCCCACCGCAAACTCTCAACTCTCCTCCGGCTCACTCGGCTCTGGAGGAACTGTCAAAGCAATCGAAAACGCTTCCCCGAACCCACCGACAGGTCAAACACCTTCCTATCCTTTCCCCAGAATCCAGAATCCCGCAAATACACACCTCGAGCCAACAGGACACCAGGGTCAATTCCGACTAAAACTTCCTGAGAAGACACGCTCGAGATCTCAATCGCCGGAGGGAAACCTCATTCCTACACAGCAAAAGACCTGTCTTCCAGATCTCTTCGCGCCCTATAATAACGCCACGGATGACAACCCAGAATTTCCTAGTCCCAATCTGTATAATCTGACGCTGAAACTGAATGCGGATGCGGGACTGGATGGATGGTGGACGAACCTTATTGATATACTACAAAAGGATTATGGCGCCGAACGTATATCACTTGCGATTCCTGGTGATGCGACAGATCTGGAGAATGTACCATGGGGCCAGAAAGCAGTTTTCAATCAACACGGCAGTACATCAGCGCAGGATTCTCGAAAACCTTCTTTCCAGCAAACTAATGATAATGATGATGCGCCCCCGGAAACTCCGGTGGCACGAAACTTTAACAACGAGGCATTTCAAAAAGTAACCGAATCATCGGTCTCCAGCTCGAAACCTCTGGGGAACGCCTCAATTCGTCCTCCATTGTCATCACGCCACTCCTTTGCAGGGTTCGGCCATGGCAAAAAGCAGACCGGTGACGTGGATCGAGCTCAGCTATCAAAGTCAAACAGCATTAAATTAGAGAAAAAGCATGCTCGTATAGCTGGAAAGTCAGGACCTACTGAGGTCAAATCCTCCTCTACTAGCCAGCGACCACAGCAACCTCAAATCGCGCCCAATGAAACTGCCTTTGGTACGACGGACTCCATACGACAAGCAGTATTCCCATTGACCCGGCCGCTGGAGGTTGAGACAGATCCTCTCATCAAGCGAACCGGCGTAGTAAAGCTGTTTGGCCGGACTAGCCCTGTGATACTCACCCGCGAATATTCCGAAAACTCTAACCAAACGTTCAAGAAGCCAGCCCAGAGCCCGCTAGAGACAGTTCAGGTTACACCAGGTAGTGAAGCACCCAACGCGACCATCGCAACCCAAGGAGATGCTTCACACCAAGGCGCTAGCTCCTATCTTCCCCTCGGGCTGCAATTTTATGACGAATATGAGCAAACCCCTCAATCACCTTGGTCCCAGTCCCCAGCTCCATCTCCAGCTCCCAGGACACATGCGGACCAAGATCCCTTTTTCACGAACCACACTGTGGATGAAGGTGCCTTTGAAAAGCATCCACCTGCCCATGACTATTCCACCACAAATCCTCCGGAGGCCATTGGCATTGACGAGTCTAAAACAATTATCCACATTCCGCTCCTACACCAAGGCCGCTCTACAAACGCCTCACCAGTAACACTGAGATTCCCTGTCGCCATTATTTCACTTCTGTCGACAATTGTACCTTACCCGCCAAACCTTCGCAGATCTCTTGCGGATCTCATGCCTCATTTGACAACTTCATTTTGCCTGGCCCAGCAATACAGTCAGCTGGAGCGACAATTAACTTCAAAGGTTGAAACGCCACGGTATGGCCATTTGCTGGGACTCGGAGGCACTTTCTCTGATGCGAGCAGCGAGCTGGAACTTGTTGCCGGACTCAGTAGTCATACAAGCTATTTTGTGGGTGATGACAGTTCAGTATCAGCCCGAGCTAGCGTGACCAGTCCAAGTGATCGCTCATCAACCAAGTTCAGCCCCGCTATTTCAAGTTTTGGGACCCCTGGGTTCGAGATTGGTCATACAGGCCTTGGATCCGCAACTATCTCCCCTGCTGTGCATGCCCGCGATACCACGGACAGTTATTTTACCGTTCAGCATCCAAAGCATCCCCGAGACAATGGATCGCAATATAGACAACGGCTTCCCAAGTCCAAGTCCAAGGCCAAGATTGTAGCATCAAACCCTCCTTCTCCCGGTAACGTTGGTGGAAATGGGCCCAAATTCGAAGAGATGGGCGCCAACGACCCAGTCCTTGTTGTTGCATCTCCATTGCAGGAGATGAAACCACCATCTGCTGTGTCCCCGACACAGCCCTCGTCACGTCAGGCGTCAACAAACTCGTTTTACAACCAGCTTCAAAGAGAATCGCGCCCATTTTCTGACACTATCGCACAACTGATGCTTCATTCTATTCCTCTACATCTATTCTTGGCTAAACCCCAGAGTGGTGAGGTAATATGGACCAACGCCAAGTTTGATGCGTATAGGAGAAGTAAGCCCCAAGAACATAGAATGCGAGATCCGTGGCAGAACATCCACAACAGTGAACGGGATCATGTCTCTAGCGAATGGGAAAATGCTTTACGAACAGGCTCGCAGTTTACTGAAAGAGTTCGCGTGAAAAGATTCAATGATGAGACAGCCTACCGCTGGTTCATCTTTCGCGCCAACCCGCTGCTGTCTGCCACTGGCGAGGTGTTGTATTGGATTGGATCATTCCTTGATATCCATGAACAGCATATTGCTGAGCTGAAGGCAACACAGGAGAGGGAGAAATTTGCGACTGATGCAAAATATCGCGCATTCTCGAATTCGATCCCTCAAGTTGTGTTCGAGGCAACTGAGAACCGAGGTCTGATTTTTGTCAATGAACAATGGAACTTGTATACAGGGCAAGAGCTCCAAGAAGCGTTAGACCTCGGGTTTGCTAAGCATGTCCATCCAGACGATCTAGAGAAATGCGGTGGACTCTCTTCAACCAGAAGCCAAGATTTGAATGAAATTGCTGCCACGGAGGGAGGTCATAATCGAAACCCTTCGGAAGTACATGGTGTCTCATCTGCGCTAGACGACCTTGTCAGTCGTGGCGTTGCATCACTCCAAAAGGACGAGAATGGTCGCGTCTTTTACTCTACTGAAATTCGTCTCCGTTCCCGGGGAGGAGATTTCCGATGGCATTTGGTTCGTTTAGTTCGTGTGGAAACGAGTAGCTTTGGCAGTGAAGAAGCATCCTGGTACGGTACCTGTACCGACATCAACGACCGGAAGAATCTCGAGCGGGAGCTCAACAAAGCAATGAGCCAGCTCAATCACCAGATGGAATCCAAGACCAAATTTTTCAGCAACATGTCTCACGAGATCAGAACACCACTGAATGGAATACTTGGCACCATTCCATTCATTCTGGACACACAAGTGGACAGTGATCAAAGGAGAATGCTTGATACTATTCAGAACAGCTCCACCAACCTCAGAGAACTAGTCGACAACATTCTAGATGTTTCCCGTGTCGAGGCTGGCAAGATGTCGTTGGTCAATTCCTGGTTCCATGTTCGGTCCATGATCGAAGATGTGATTGATACCATTGCCTCCCGAGCGATTGACAAGAACCTTGAGCTCAATTATCTTATGGACGCAGATGTACCCTCAATGGTTATTGGAGACCGTTTCCGAATTCGTCAAATTCTCATCAATCTGGTTGGAAATGCCGTCAAATTCACACCACAGGGCGAAATTTACATTTGTTGCAACCTATTCCGCAACGATGCAGCAAACATTAAGCCTACCGAAGTTTTCCTAAACTTTGATGTTGTGGATACTGGTAAGGGGTTCAGCGCGGCAGATGCAGAACGGCTCATGCAACGGTTCAGTCAAATTGGTGAGAATGGATCCCAGCAAAACGCGGGCAGCGGTCTCGGGTTATTCTTATCGAAGCAACTTGTTGAAATGCATGGAGGCAAACTTACCCCCAGCAGTATGGAAGGTAAAGGAGCCAAGTTTTCCTTTAATGTGAAAGTTGATGCCCCACCTCCTCCATCGCCAAATGAGAGGTCAACGTTACTCCGCCAGGCCTCAAGTGCCTCCAGACGGCCAGCAACGTCCAGAACAACATCTTACGACCAGTATTCACTGGCACCCTTGCGACCATTTGATCCCAAACTGCAAGATCCCGCAATCCTGTCGCCTGGATTGGACTCCCCAGCCTCGTCAGCCCTTCCAACACCAGATATTGCTACTGCACAGCTTCCGTCATTAGGTCTTGGCAACACAGACAGCGCCACAAATATAACACCTCGGCAACCTAGTCCTGCTCGGATGCCTCCACCACAGCTCAATACAACCGATGTCCCCAGCAATGTGCCTTCAGCATCAGGTGGAATTGTTCCCCCACAAGGTCCCTTCCACATTTCCATATTGTGCCCGCTTGACAATACTCGGAGGGCCACAAAGCAACACATCAGACAAGTTGTGCCACATGAGATTGCGTACACTATCACGGCTTTGTCTGATGTCGATGAATGGAAGGACACAATGCAGTCTGGCACGGATAAACAGTGCACGCATCTGGTACTCAATTTGCCTGCGACTGATGACATTTTAGATGTCATTCAGCACGTGTCGGCGTTAGACTCGAGCTCCGCACCTGTGGTTGTGATAATATCAGATTTGTACCAGAAGCGTCAAATCAGCACCCGCGTCAAAGAGATGGCTGCTTCGGGGAAGAAAGTCTTCATTGTGCCTAAGCCTGTCAAGCCGTCTGCTTTCTCTACCATCTTTGATCCTGAGAGCAAACGTGAGCTTAGCAAAGACCGCAATCAGGATATGGCCCGAGAGATCAACAACAACTTCAAGACTGTTTCCAAAATGGTCAAAGAACGTCTCGGTAATAAAGGGTACCGCATCTTGCTTGTGGAAGATGACGAGACCAATCGCGATGTAAGTTATTTTTTGGCCCTCCTTTTCTAGTTCACGACATCTCCTAATCGGTATCTTCAGGTTATGTTGAAATATCTTGATAAGATCAAGTTGATGTCAGAAACTGCGTCCAATGGACAAGAGGCGGTTGACATGGTCTTTTCCAAAGAGCCTGGTTACTTTTCTATTATTATTGTAAGACTGATCGTATCTTCCCATGCTAGACTTGAATGTGACTAATCCCAAACACAGTGTGATATCCAAATGCCCATAAAGAACGGATACGACACTTGTCGAGAAATTCGTGGCTGGGAGCAGAAGAACCATTACCCGCAAATTCCTATCATGGCTCTGTCGGCCAATGCGATGACAGATCAAATTGAAAACGCTGCACAGGCAGGCTTCAATGACTATGTCACGAAACCTATCAAGCATAACGAATTAGGGAAGATGATGATGGGCCTTCTCGATACCCATCAGCCTTTGCTTCTTCTTCGAGATCGGTTGCATCCTGCTAATCCCCAAATTACTAGTCGCCGCTAGTTTTGGGACTATCCTACGCTTTGATATCCAACGTGATGTCCTAATTCCCCAGTATACGAGTTCTCTCGATGGGCAATCATCCTGCTGTTACTCCACTTGAGATTCGCCCTCTTGAGTCTTTTCCTTCTTCTCCTTCGTTCCGCCTTTCGTCTTATAAATTCACTTCGCAATCGAGCGGCTTCACGGTTCACGGTTCACGGTTCACGGTCTCTGGCTTTTTTACGGTCTACGGTGCAAGCGGTGTATTTTTCTCTTCCACTCCTCCCGGTTTTTTGGGGGGGGGGGGGGGGTTTTCTCGTTACATGGGAACAAGGAAGGGGTTTGTGAGAATATGGGATCTCATAAAGACACATATCTTTTTACGGCGCTACTGAATTTGGGGCAATTCCCGCTCCTCGTCGCATTGCAAAATCTCTTAAGATCTCACCTGAGACTAGCATTGCATCTATCTGCGTTGGGCATTGAGCCACCACTGCATGTATCCAGCATTCTTTTATGTTGGACTTTTGTATTATTGATTTTCTTTTCTTTTCCTCCCTTACCTCAACTATACCCTCTGCGCACGATCGCATTGGTTGGGGTTCATGGTTTGCGTTTCCTTTTATGGCAACAGATTAAGGAACACGGGGTCATTGCTTGCCTGTTGCTGGGAGTTTCTTATTGTTTACTTTCCCTTCTCTTCTTGTCTTTTCAACTTTGATACCAGATTACGAGCGCTTAACGACACCTGTGGACTTCTCTATCTTCTGAATCTGTATCTGTCAACATAATAACTGTCGCCCCCTTTCCTCTCGAGGAGAGGGTTCTTATCGTGCGGCATCAAGAAGCTATAATTACAACATATTCTATATTATTAATCTACATATTTGACATTCTGTGTAGTGACACGTAGCGACTGTATTTCAAGTCATGCCTTCTTCCCCCTACGCCTTCAAGTTGTCAACTTCGACGCAGCTTCTTCGAGTCACACTCCGCAGACTTGGGGGATTTCCGTCTCGTGGAACTGCGCTAAGCCTATTTAATCGAGAAATCCACTTAAATAGGCAGAGATCATCCTCTTCGCACTATATGATCAAGACCGATCACTTCAGTAATCAATCTATCTATATTGTTTCAATACCCTTTAGGTAGAAAATCATGTCTCAAGAAGGCCACAACCTTTGGTCTATACCCACCTAAATAGTATTTAAGAAGTATACTCCGCTCCTCTCCTTTCATCTTTCACATCTGTTCTCATCAAAATCGCTCTTCAAACCTATTCTACTATTTTCAATTCTTTACTCAAATCATGTCTGCTCCAAAGCCCGAGATCGTCTTCATCGGGGGTGCCTGGCACTACCCAGAATCATACGCCAAATTCTGCACCATTCTGGAATCTCAACAAGACCTCACCGTCCACCTCCCCCAACTCACAACCATGAACGGAGCACGACCCCCAACAGCAGATCTATACACAGATACAGCTCTCATCCGCCAACTAGTCACCGAACTAGCCGATAAAGGCCGGTACCTGGTTATCCTCATGCATTCATTTGGAGGCCAAGTCGGTACCAATGCCCTCGCAGGCCTAGGTGTTGAAACTCGTAAAAATCAAGGCCTACCCGGAGGTGTGATTGAACTAGTCTATATCTGTGCACATGTACTGCAAGAAGGTCAATCGGTGACTGGGACAATGGAGCAAAAGGGACATGCAGGGTATGTTCCTATTCTGTTTGACTTTGCTGAAGATGGTACATGTATTCCTGGAGATTCGAAAGGCATGGTTGGCACTGGACTTTCAGAGGAAGATCTGGACATCTATCTACAGGGACTAGGGCGTTGGAGCGGAAAATCCTTTCACCAGCCTTTGGAGTACTGTGCCTGGCGGGATATTCCAGTGTCTTATATTCAGACTCCACCTGATGCTTTGATGCCTATGGCGTATCAGAAAGCGTTTGTGGAGGATATGGAGGCTGCTGGGCGTAAGGTTAGGACTTTTGAGCTTGATACTGGTCACTGTCCCACGATTACGAAACCGGAAGAGCTTGCCAACATTATTCAACAGATTGTTGTGGATGTTGTGGCCGGGGGCTTGAGTTTATAAGTGCTAGATTAGTCGGACGGGTATACCTCCAGAACTACATGTAGTCTCAAGGTTATAGACCAAAATTTAAAATGGTAAAGTACAGTGCTAAAATTGTCAATTGCTGAAATCTATTCACTAGATCTGATAATTTGTATCTGTCTTAAATTTACAGAAAATCTAGAGAGACTTGTAAGAGGTATGTATTTTTGATCTATTGCAAGGTTCCAAGTTATGACCTCGGGAGGTGACTTCATGTATCGATATCTCGTCTTGTTGATGAGGATAGGCACTTTGGAAATAGAAAATAATGCGGTTACTATCGGAGTAGGTCAAAGATCAAGAAAAAAATCAAGGTTTCCAGGATGTAATTGAAGGGGCTGGTCAAGGGGTAGGAGTTCATAGTTCAGAGTATCCGTACTCTAGGAAGTACTTCAGGCAGCTTAGGGCAGTGGGGCAACAAACACAGCGTTCGGGGGCCGATCATTTCCCGAGACAGTAACCATACCGTCACCAAAATTACGGTAGATAAGACATCATTTGAACATGGACAGACAAGAAACAGGAATGATTCATGGAAATTTGTATTTCTATATTCTGTCTTCTGCATTAGTATATCAATTAGTAGGAACTACCGTGAGTACCCGAAAATAACTAGATCAGAAGGATGCCAATGGTATATCCCCTGCTTGCCAAACTAGACCTTCTGACACGCAGCAGGACGTAGCATAGATAGTAGATCTCCAAGGGAAAGGGGGAGAAAAGGCCCTCCCAAAAACCAGCAAAAACCAGCAAAAAATTAAAATAAATAAAAAATTAGCAGACTAGACAAGAAAGGATCCCCGAAACGGCAAAGTAGGATGAGTTGGCCATGACGGCCGTCCACTCATGGCGCTGCATGTGGCGGTGAAGGAAGCGTAGACAGAGAAAAAATAAATTCCCCGCCTCAACCCCACTCCTGCCTACCCTTTCTAGTCGAATGAGACGGTGATCGACTCCGTAAAATTGGGGGTTAAGGTATTTTGATCGAAGGTTAATAGGGTGGCCGAGGCATTGGGTTAGAGGAAGAAGCATGGCATAAAACGATGCAACAGATGCAACAGACGTGGTCGCGGGTGATGGGCTGAGAAACTGGAGGGGAATGAGTAACTAGGGACCAAGTCAGTGTATGTGAGTGGAGAACAAGTTGGCTGGAATCCCTCGGACCAAAACTACGGGCTCGTGTAACGCATGCAACTCTGTTGTCAACATTGACAGGGTGCAGGGTGCAGGAGAGTGCAGCTATACAACCAGACAATCATAATTGGGCATATTGCGAAGACAATGAGAACCTATGGTCACTCTGATGTACTAGTTTCAAGCCTCATAATTGGAGGGTCTAGAAGATCAGTCAGCCTGATCTTAGAGATTTCCGGGAACCGGAGTAGCGAGGCGAGGCTCACGGAGGGGCGGATCACTTCCGGTGACTGAATCAAAGGTTGGGGCTATGACGATGCGAGAAATGGTAGTGTTAACGTTTTGCTCTTGTATTTGATTCGGATTGGCGTTCACTGTGCACAGTATACTGCACGTCATGGCTGTGATGCCCGATGTCTGATCTAGACAAAAGGCAGAGATCGGGCGTGGGGGATGTACTAGATTGGCGTATCCCTGCGAGGCGTTTTTTCTGGATTTTCCGACGTGGGTAATTATAATAGGAATAGAATGAAAAGAATCGGAGGGTGGTGGTAAGGTATAATTCGGTGGAATGCGTGTCAACGGGGCATATTGGTATTCGTTAGGCTGCAAGGCATGCAGAGAAAACCACGACTAGGCGGAGTAACATGCAGTGTACGCATTACCATGAGGCATTGTCAATAATTGTAGACGATTGTGGACCAAGGATATCAGCGTTTTCAAATGGGTGCCTTGTGGAAAAGCCCTTTAGGCCTGGGGCGAAGGTTTTCGAGTTTTTTTTGCCCAAGAAAAAAATTAATTTCTTTTTTGACTCTTGGGCTTTGCCATTTTTCCTTGTCAGCAAATTCACTGGAACCAATGATATCGAAGTATCAAGTGGTTCCTCGAATTGTGTTGCCGACGGCCTGCAGAGGCGGTCTCTTTCGCATGGCCCGAGACGAAGCAAGTCATCGAACATTGCGCATGGAGGGTGGGGAGTTGCTTCCTCTCCCACGGCGTCTAGTGCGCTTGTCCGTGCTGCATTGTTTGCTCTTCCCTGTTCTCCTAGCCACTTGTGGGCTGGTGCGGAGGCTTTTCGTGCCTTCATGAGCCAGCAATAGCCGCATCAAGGTGGGCAAGCGACCACGCAGGGATCAGCCTGTTGCGACAACATTTATTTTCTTTTTCCTTTTCTTTTGTTCTTTTTTGTGCGCGGATTTCCGTGACCCGAGCTGAATACATTCGTCACACGGTTGCTTCTTTGCACTTGGCTTCAAGGATGATTCTGGTTCCCAGCTTTTGCGCCTGAAGACATGGGGGCGATGGTCTCGGCGGGTTGGGAGCCATTGCCGGTTTCTCCACGGTTCATCGGGCCATGCAGTGATGTCCAAAATCTTATGGATCTCCATTCCGTGTGACCTTGCCATGTCCTTGATGCCTGGAGTGGCCTGTTTTTGAGTTTTTGGGTGCTTGAATTTGAGATGATGTCAGGCAGTAAGACATTTCCTTTTTCTTTCCTTTCTCACTGTCTGACGGGTTATTTGGGTCCAAGGGAAAGTTCGCGGCTCTTGAATCTCCTGCAAGGACTGATGTGCAGCAAAAGAAACCCATTTCTCAACACGGTCTATTATGAGGAGGTAGAAGGACAAATATAACGAACCTAACACATAGTCAGTATCCAAAATCGGACCAAGGGTAACATCAGGTAAGTTTGGGGCAGATTGGTATGTCATACCGGTTCATCGTGTAGTTCACAGCTCATTTCGGTAGCTCAACCGGCAGGCGAATCAACGATCCCCGAATCGACTATCCACCTTCCCAGCCACCGAATTTCAAAAGTTAGAACCATGGAGGAGGGGTATGATAAAAGAAAAAAGATAAAAGAGAATAAATGGAGGGAAAAGGAAGGTGGGGGAAATGTTGAAAAGGGGCAAAAAAGCAAAAGAGATGGAAAATTGTGAGGGAGCCAGGTCCCATCTTTATACTTCCTTCCTCCCCTCCACTCCACTACACCTTATGGCCCAAAACCCTCATTGCACCCCCACCTCATAGCCAATTTTTCTCTTTCCTTGGATAAGATATTTTAGAGGTCTCCGCTCGGACCCAGAGAAAACAATCACACCATTCCGGGGGACTACGTAGACTAAGGGCGATGATCCTGGGAGGGAGGGCCGCCACGGGAGAGCGGAAACCTTGAACGGGAATGGCATCCTGGCCCAGACACGCTCGATTTCCACCCGGAGCGGGGTCAGGGCGGTCCAAGAGACGAATCGGCGGGCAGATACGGAGAAGGAGGTGCAGCCGAAGGCCGGGGATTGGGAGATACACAGGAGGGGTGCGAGTCCAAGTCTCTCGTTTGGTCCAATGGCTTTCGTCCGGGTCCATCTTATCCTTGCCCCTTCCTCGCCTCCCTCGTCACGACGAGGGACCCCCGCCGGAGGGAAGACTCTCCGTCAAAGTCTATAAATTCCCTCGTTTGGTCGGGTGGTCCTGATTCCTCTTCCTCTTCCTTTCTCATCTCTTCAAGCTGCCTCGATTGCAACAGCCCTAAGTCCATTGATCATCTTTTGATATTGCTTCATCACACTTCAACTAGAAGTATAACATCCACTTACACTTTCATCACTTCACCACTTGGATTATTCCCATCGTCCACTTAACCTTCAACTCTCACAATCTTCTCAAAAATCACCATGGCCGCCCACCACCGTCACCAGTACTACCAGCCATCCGCTGTGCCAATGAGCATGCCCTCCAAGGCACCGGCACCAGCCAACATGTATCCAATCTCCAGAGTTCCCGGTTCGCCAACAGACTACTCTGATGCAAGTACCACTGCGGGTAGCCGCACATCTGGTGGAATGACGTTCAGCTCTGCCGGCGGCGATTACGACTCCAGCTCAGCATCATACTCGGGCGTGGATGTCGTTGACGTCCTAAGCGATCGCATGCAAGATGCATTTGACCCAACGCCACTCGACAGGAGCCTGGCAAGTCAAGCGCAAACGTGAGTAATTTTCCACAAGAACACAAAAACACAAGAACACAAATGCCGCGAAACAGCCGTCGCTCACTGCGCAAACGCGCAAGACGAGCGATGGCTCAAATCGCAACCGCTATATATACAAATATCAAAAGAAAGCAATTTGGGCTAACAAGCCACAATTTAGCTCCGGCCAACTGCATGCCAAGCAACAGGAACTCATGGAACTGCAAGCAATGGCTGAGCGCCGCATGAGAGGCCTGCGAGCGAACTTCAACGAAGGGCTCAAAACCGCCCGGGAGACCAAGCGAGATCTCGAGTGGACCCAGAAGCGCGTCAGGTAAGCTTAAATTCCAAAACTTAATCTCTGGGGAAACGCCAGTACACAAAATGCCCACCACCCCCTGGAATGGACGTTGTTGAGATTCCGCCCCGCTCCGCGACAGGGGGTAGATCATGACAACCTCCGCTCCGCCGGAACGGTTCTTGGCACGTGCGCCAGGGATCGACGGGGAGGGCGATCAGGCTAGCGCCGAAAGTGGTTCCTGCAGAGACGAGTGTTCTAGAAATGCTGACGAAGATCCGAATAGCTCCCTCAAATCTAAGGCCGAGAAGGCCCACCCGGAGGAATACCGCCGGGCCTCGAAGAAGTACACCTACGACTACTGATTCGGTACTGGTCAGGACTAGCTCCGGCTCGGGGGGTAGTTTGTTTCTATTGCTTATTATGACGACTGCTATGATACATTCGGACAAAATCGGGGGCATGGGATTCTTGGGATGGGATTTATTTGGCTTGGGCTGGGTTAATTTGCTTTTTTGGGACGATTGGCGTGTATTCAAGTGTTATGGGCCTGGTTTCTTTCTGTTCTGTGTGTGTATAGTCTCTACGTATTTTTTTCTCTGTCTATACTCCGTAACAGGTGTTGGTGTCTTCATTTATACGCAGATTTACCTGTTTTTCGTACAGATGGGGCCTTCTAGCCACTCAATGACCGTACATGTAGGGCTTCTGTGTATTAGGGCTGCTAAGAATGTCTCTGTACTTTAGCTGGAGCGAGCCCTAGAGAATGACATTGAAGCGAAGGCTGCTTATAGGCTGCATAATGTAGTTCGGTATCCACCTGATTGGACAGAATTGACGTATTGGGTGCATGATCGGATCTTTCCAAACCTCATGTCATTCTACTTACCTACCTGCATTGCATGGTCATGGTTAAGGTCAAGAGAATGAGGCGGTATATCTATAGGTATGATAATGCTACGGGAAAGCTATGGGAAGAAGGTCAATATGGATGATGATATGTGTGATGAAGAAGCTGAGCGAAATGGCTCTAAAGTATCTAGGAATAAAACTAACAAACCCATCTGAGGGCCACGGTTGCCGATCCAAAGGTAACGAACATTAGAGGTGTGCGAATTATAAGAGAGAAATGTACATTGGGGTGCCACAAACGGAGGGAAAAAGCAGGCCAAGAGGGAGACAGAAGGAGCGTAAGAATAGTATCGTCTAAAAGTTCAAGTGGCAGTGAGACAGTCGTAAGGAAAATGAGCCCGTACAGGGGATGAAAACAGAAGGAAATTTAAACAAGGATAGTGGCTGAAGACAGACAGTCAATAGTCTGTGCAGGTAAAGGGAGAACGGGACGGGTAGAAGATTAGGGTGCCATATTGGGCAATAGTCCAATGATCCATATCATAGAGAAGTGCAAGACAAAGGTGTTGGGGTATAATGAGAAATTAGACATCAACAGTGACTCTCGGGGTTTGGCCCGACCATTAGGTATAGAGACGGCCGTCATATAGTGATTAGGGGGGGAGGACAGGCAAGTAAATCAACGTCAAAAGCAAAAATGAAACAAATAATGGTCTTTAAAAAGGAACGTTGAGCGGCTAAAGCTCAGTGGGGTTTCTTGCGTCGGTGGACCTTGTATTCGGCTTTGGCGACACGCATGAACATTTCGATATCTTTGATTGGAACCCAACTGGTAAGTACTTTCATGATGTTTTCGAAATCAGACTCCAAAATGATATCTCGCATGCCATCGATTAAGGCGGCAGATGTGGCGTGGAGCACGTCAAGGCCTTGTCCAAATGTGCCGAGGTTTAGTGATGGAGGCTGCTCCTTCTTGGACCCTCTACCTGATGAAGTGTTCGGTCGGGAGGGTCCTGGAGGTTCTTCGGCATCCCCAAGGAGCATGAAGACATCCCACACTCTAAGCTGAGCAGGGAATGGAATAGAGTAATTAAAAAGTGTCAGGTACCAGCGGGTACCATAGGCTGTTGGGGGAATCCCGACCTCATTCTGTGATAGGAAATTAGTATATGCTCACGGTAACGACGCCTCGGGGGCAATTCTGTTCTTACCAATTGTGTGGCCACCTCACCGCCGGCCAGCCACTCTCGTTCAAAGTCTTCCAAGGCTTCCATGAGACCTGCAAATCCGGATTTGTACAATTGTTCTAGGCCACGAAGTTGCCATAAGCGAGCCAACATCACAAACGCATGTTCTTCGTCGTAGTAGGCCAATAATGTAGCTGCCAAAGCGGCCATACCTTGTACATAGCCGGTGTCAGGGTAATAAAGTGACATAGCATGGAGAACGCGGAACAATAAACGTTGTCCACCGCGATACCGTCGACGGAACATAATGTGACTCGTGATAGTACGCGGCACATCAATGTCAATCTGCACATCATCCGGTGACGAGACGTACTGGCTTTCGTGGAAAGCTTCCACAAGCTCTTCTTCGGTTGGACTATTTGGGTGACGCTTTGCACTAGCTTCAAGGAAAGAGGACCAGGCTGATGCACGCCAACGGTCTGGGATACCCTTCCAAGTCCGCTCAATAAGCTTGGAGCTGTGTGTGTCAAACTCAAATTTCATGCCACCACCATCCCGGCTCTTTTTACTTGGTTTGGCCATCTTGGTCCACTTATCCTCGCGTTCCCACTCTTTCTTCCGCATCGCACGTGATGCTGCCGTATCATTCCCTTCCCCAGATTCCTCTGTTGGGAGAGTCAACATATCGGCTGCCTCATCAGTGAACTTCCGGTCTCTGTTGTGCGGAAGACGATTGGTTGCAGAACGTAGACGAGACGTCGACCGCCGTATCGGTGCACTGTTCGTGCTTGCCGATGACGACGGACGCGCTGCTGTAGAGCTCTGGGACATATTACGGGTTGGAGAACGGCCATTGAATGAACGGTTGCTAGCTCGAGCAGTTGGCGGGCGAATAGAGCGTTTGCGACGGGGTGTTTCAGAAGCGAGCAAGAGACTTGTAGTCACCCGTTGAATAGGGTGAGGCTCGCCATCTTCGGTTGCATGGATGAAACCATATCGATCCACTTGACCTGCACCCACATTTTGCCAATACTCGATTCCGCCTGCAAGCTCCTGGGTTTCCCGCTTCATTCGCTTGCGCTCCACTTCGGCAGAGGCCCGTGCTGCGGCATTCGGTGGCGGCGTCTCAAGATGATGAGCTGGCGTTGAGGCAGTCTCAACATCTGGGGTTGTTGGCTCTTCCCACAAAACGCCATTCTCAGAAGCCATGGCCTTGGCTACGTCCGTGTCGGTCACGTTATCTTCGCCCCTCTCATACATCAGCCGCACTCGACGAGATAGCATATCCTCGTCCGCCGAAATGGCTCGGCATTGCAGACTGGTTTGTCGCGGTCGAAGAGTTCCTTCTGGATTGGTGGGCCGCGGTGTCGCTTTTGGGATCTCGTCACTCGCCCCATCGATCCCTGCTGAAAGAGGCGGGGCCGTAGTAGTTGATTCGGGCTCTGGTTGTATAGATTGTTGGATTGAGGTCTGATCTGATGGTATATCTGAGTCTTGCTCGGAGTGATGCTCGGCATGTTGGTCCATCTGTTGCAAGATTGGCCGCTTCGTGCGATCCCTGATCAGACTGCCCCGAGTGGAGAACTTCATTGTTTGCCCGAGTCCCTCCAGAGACCCTGTTGGAATATCCGTACTGATCGGGTTGAAGGCCGAGTCAATCCGAGGCACTGGCGGCAGCTCTTCCATGCTCATCTTGTGTTCCAAATCCGACGACCTCTTCTTCAGCCCACCCCACTTCCGCTCCGACCACCTTGACCCCGGTCGAGACCCCGGTCGCGAGCTAGGACGAGCCGATGCATCATTGATCACAATGCTAGGAACACTGCGCAATGAAGGAGCCTTAGAGCTAGGGCGTTCATCAATTGATCTTCGGGTTCGCGCGTCCCCGCCTGGCGATAGTGTCTCTATTGTATTCTTCCGAGCGCTGCGCGCGGAGGCAGGGCGGTTGTCAACGCCATACGAGGCGGCGCTGGCGCTGAGGGATCGGCCATTGGGGTCCGGTGGCGCATCGTCTGGGGTTGGCAGTGAAACGGACCTAATAGCAACTGGGCGTTCAACGGCGACGGTATTTTCGTAGGGCACAGCTCGTAATGTCGGTCGCGACTCCGATGACACGGGCGATAACGATGTTGAAGACTGATCCACCATTATCCCGGCATGGCCCTCACAGCTATATAACAGGAAAGGGAAGAGATAAAGGAATGTACTGGGCGCAAACAAGAACAAAAAAAAACTTGAATACCAAAGGAGCGATTCACATCACCGTTTCGTCAGGGTCTGGAAATTAAAATTATCCAGGAGAAAAAGACGGAGAGGGGTGTGGAGTCGGCCTTGTTTCTTGGCGCGATTGTCTACCTTAAAAAACGGCGGATTACAATGTTTCTTGTTCTTTGTCCAATATTCCAGTCCTCCCGATATGTCTATGCCTTCAAATTATAACAATGCGACCAATTTGCCAGGGGAAGTAACCGATTGGGAACTTTAAGGGGGAATTGCAGTCTTTCATCCCACTAAGGCTGCTGGGCCGCGCAGCTGTGGGCCACGACAAGGAGACTTTCAAGTGGAGCGCGCTAGTGGTGCTTAGATTAGAACACAACCATGTCATGAAGAGTCTGGACTGGGATTCTTTTGTCTCAGAAGCGGATAAGAAGTGCTCCGGAGTGTTAAAAATGATCATCAATCGCAAGAAAAAAAAATAAAAGAGCGGCGGGAGATCCTCTATATGATCTCGTGCTGGTCCCCCTTGGTGAGCTTATATCGATATAGGGCCGTGCAGGCTAAGGACGAACGAAGCCTAAAATGCAGGTCCCATGCAAGGGGAAAAAGGGAAGAGTATCAAAAATAAAATAAATGATTTGCAATTTTTGTTTGATGGATTTCTTCAAAGCCCATGTACACAACGAATGCGTGGAACTCCCGTAAGCCGAGGCAGTTAAAGTTTTTTTCCAGCAGACCATCAGCCTGTCAATGCACTAAGATAAAAAAAGAAAAGGGGGCAATGTTGACGACCCCAGTTATACCAAATAAGATCATCACAGTGTAGAAAATGAAGAGGGAAAACAAAAAGACATCATTGAACTGCCCGCCCAGCGGTAGATCGAGGTTTAAGCCACAGCAGTCGTGTTGGCTCCGGATTGTGCATCTCGGGTTGGTCTCCGGTCAACAGGTTCTTTAGGTAAAAGCTCAATCTGTCGAACAAGGAAACTCTTTTCATCCGTAAATTGGTCATCATCAGTGCGATCCTCCAAGAATTTAGGGAGAAAACGCAATAGCCGGTCCCGGTTATTAATGAGAATACGTTGCACGGCCACCGATTTGTTCGGGTTAGCTACAAACACCTGTGGGGAGAATTGTCAGTGCACGCGTCTCCTGAAGATCAGCCAAGCTATCATACCTTGAAAACGTGGAACCCCTCATATTGCACCATCTTGCGATCGTCCCGCAGGAGCTTCATACATAGCTTCAAGTTATCTCCACTTTCCACATAAGCCATCATGACATTGTAGTTCGCACGGTCCAACAGGATTTCGCCGAGGAGCTTAATGCTTTGACGCTTTGTCACATAAGAGTCCGACTGCACAAGTATATCGTTGAATCGCCCAAAAAACAATTCAAAATTGGTGGCCAGATAGGCCGTCACAAGATTTTTATGTCGGGTAAGAATCTCCTTTCATGGGATTAGTATGCATGTGTCGACAGGGATTTCCTGCTGTTCAATGATCTAACTTACTCGGAATGTCGTGAATGCGTCTGCGCTGACTTCAAAGTTGCTCTTATCAATCCAATCAAAGAAATTCCAAAAAATGCCGTCGCCTTTCTGGGGAAGGTTTGGCTTCAAATCGGAGAGTCGTACTGCCGGTTCCCCATCATGAGACTGATCATATAACACCACTGCAGCAACGACATCGAACTTGAGTGCCTCTCGCAATATTACCCCACAGGGCATTGCACTCTGGCTTTGATGATAACCCCGACATAGCTCAACCAGGACCTCGGGTCGATGGTGGACGATGTATGAAATAACAGGCGGGTCTTTGTCCGGCGCATAATTAAGAGGTCGGAAACGAAGAATGTGGGAAAAAATGGTCTGGGTATCTTTTCTAGCTTCAAAGGGAAGCAAGTGGATCATGCGCGATAAATCGTAGAGAAGGTCTTCTTGGAGGGTTGCTTGTACGAGGGCGTGGACCTGGTCCGGTGATGTGTTGACCTCTGTGAGCAAAGAAATGAGTTAGCCAAGCAGTCGAATTGAATATGCCATGGATACCTGATGAACAATTGCGTTTACCTTGTGTTCCCTGGACTACCACTTTCATATGGTTAAGTTGTTTTGCTAGCTCCTCTTCGGCCTGGGCTTGCGTCAGCGGGTACATTAGCGGACGGCCTGGGGGAAATTGACCTTGGGCATGTTGGGAGTCTCTTGAATTCTCAAAAGCAATTCTTTGGTAGAGCGAGCAACATCTGCTGGTTGCCGTGACCGGCCTCGATTAAAAAAGAAAGCCATGATCCCTAGTAGTTGGAAGAGTGTGAACGAAAGGAGGCCGAGATTCGATGCGCCAGACTGATCACATCTCTGGTTCCGCAATAAACAAACGGAGGCGGGGCAACCGTCTTGGCCTCAGGCAGCAATCACTGATAACGATTTTTTTTTTATCAGTCCGATCTCTGCCCCTCCATTCTACGTCTGTGTTATTGATCGTGGTTTGGATTTTGTGACACAATTGCATTTTAATCAAAACCGCGAAAATGGCATCTCAGAGTCAAAATACCCAGCGTCTCCCAGAGGATGCTCATGCCGATTCATGCTCGGTATCGGACGAGTCGGATTCTAGCAACGAAGAAGGCTGGGAGGATGTCGAGGCCGATGATGAGTCGCAGCCTGTTGTAGACTTGTTCTCTGATCAGCTCTTTCCTGATGTGCGCTCTTTATTGAAGGAATGCAAGGAGAAGCACCAGTTTGACTTGTTGAAGATCCAGAAGGATCTGGGTATGTCATGAAATTTCCTAAAAAGAAAAAGAATTTAGTGGAAGGCGCATCGAACTAATTTGAATTTATTATGGCAGATCTGGATTTTTTGGATACCATCAAGCTTGTCAACTACGTGCGATCAGAAGTCAAGGCTGGAAACAAAATCCCCGATGTCAGCTCCAAGTCAAAGTTCGCCGACGACGCCTACATGAAGCCAGTACTGGAGGACGATGCTCTTTTGTACAGCCTGGACGATATCACCGAAGAACAGGGCGAGGAAGCGGTCCCAGGAAGTGAGGCAGAGCGCCGAGTTCAGGAGCTTCAAGAAGATCTTGAAAGACTCCAGACTCAGTTCTCTGAGTATAGACTTGCTGTCCAGCAGTCAATGGAAGACCAATTGACCAAAGAGGACGACAAACTTGATGCGAGCGCACCTGCGGGGAATCCCAACGGTGCTACCAAGGCGCAGGAGATTGATGAAGACTATTTCGCATCTTACGCCTACAATGGTAAAGCGCTAGAGTCCCCCACCCTCGAGAAACTTTCACTGATATGTGTTGAACTTAAGGAATTCACGAGTCTATGCTGAAAGATGCCATTCGCACCGACGCCTACCGCGACTTTGTATATGAGAACAAGAACCTCTTCAAGGACAAGGTTGTCCTCGATGTTGGCTGTGGAACTGGCATCTTGTCCATGTTCTGTGCCAAGGCTGGTGCTAAAAAGGTTATCTCTGTTGACAACTCCAACATCATTGACCGCGCAAAGGAGATCGTCTTCGACAATGAACTTGGTGATGTCATCACGTATGAAATTCCCCATTTTACAAGTTTCAAAGTTGGGGATGTAACTAACGGTTGAACAACAGCTTGGTCCGTGGAAAGATTGAAGAGGTCACCCTGCCTGTTGACAAGGTCGACATCATCATCTCCGAGTGGATGGGCTATGCCCTTCTTTTCGAAGCCATGTTTGACTCTGTCATCTATGCACGAGACCGCTATCTTGCTCCTGACGGCCTGATGGTTCCGTCTCACGCGACCCTACGAATTGCTCCTTACTCAGACCCGGACTTCATTGATTCGCACATCAATTTCTGGCAAAATGTATACGGTTTCAAGATGAACAGTATGCTGTTGAAGATCTACGATGAAGCTGTTGTTCGCGGGATTTCCTCCTCGACCCTCGCTGCGGACTCGACCATTTTCTTGCCGCTGCCTCTGCACACCATCACCGTTGAGGAGTTGAGCTTCTTAAAGGAGTTCCAGGTCACCCTTAACCAAGATATTGATGCTCTTGATGGCTGGGCAATCTGGTTCGATATGTTTTTTATGCCCTCGAGAGACTCGCCCATCCCCGAAAACGCTGTGCCCTCCGACATGCAGAAGAAGGGATATGTGGCATTCACCACAGGGCCTGATGGAACCGAGACTCACTGGCAACAAACTGTTGCTCTGATTGACCATGGAAAGCACAAGCCAAAGCCTCTGAAGAAGGGACAAGTTATTACCGGTAAAGTCGGCTACCAAAAGAGAGATATGGAGGGTTCTCGTGGTCTGCGCATTGGAATCCAGTGGCAAGGCGGCGATCACACCAAAGGCGAGCAAAAATGGGGCCTCCAGTAAAAACACCTAGACCTTATACACCACAACTTTTGGAAGTTTTTTGCGGTCTCGAGGAATCCGCGATCACTCGTTGAATGACATGACACCTTAAATCCATATAGATCAATCATCTCAGGCCCAGGCTGTTGGGTCTGGTCTGGTTCATGTGTCCGCATATTCTGGCCTGGTCTTGTTTCGAACGTCTTAAAAGTTTTCTACGACTCAAATTACATATTTACTCAGTGCATATATATATCCAACAGTTTACACACCGTCATCATGATATTTCAAAATCTGATTACTGGGTTTTAATAGCCTCGGTCATCAATCAAGTTCGTATGTATATATTCATTAAGTCAGGTATTCGTAATCGTAATCGTAACCACCAATGTTGGAAGTATACAAAAAGTTCAATACTTCTCGGGTTTCAGTGAATGTCTGCTTCCACGACTCTCATCGCGTCGGTGACGGTGAGAACGATCTGACGACTGATGTGATCGCCGAGATGACCTATCGCCATGCCTATCGCGACTCCGGTCTCGATGATGTCGGTGGTGATGATGATGATGATGATGATGCTGATGAGAGGCTTGGTGACGATCTCGTCCGTGACTTTTATCGCCAGATGAATCAAGTTTGAAGTCTTCAAGAGTATCAATAGACTTTGATGTCCTTCGACGATGACGGCTGGAACTATCTCGTTGCTCTGATTTTAGGGCCTCCAGCTCTTTCTTTCGCTGGTCATTCCATCGTTTCCGCTCTTGCTCCGTCGCCTTGAGTTGACGCACGCCGCGTTTTATTGCCGCAAGAGGATCATTCGAGTCCATTCGGGCTTGTTCACGTTCTCTGCGCATCGGATCCTCGTTTCCCCATACATTTTTCTCTGGCATTGAGTCCGGTGCTTCCACGGCTTGGGCCGAGGATGAGTACCATGGCTTGTTCCCTATCGACTGCTTGAATCCAGCGGCATTAGAGAAGCGCATAGTATATTGATCTTCATAGCTTCGCTTGTTTTTCTCGGCATCAGCCTCAGCCTCTTTGTTTTTCTCCGCTTTTCTGTCTTTCCCTCCATCCTGGAAGAGATTGATGTGACCAGCACCGTCGACGAGCGGGACTTCAGAGGCTTTGTCCTTTTGATAAGGTGCGACTGTTAGTTTTTCGCGTGTAGATTTGGCGTATGCTGCGTCCTCTCGAGCATATCTGATATCTCTGTCGGTGTCATCCTCCCCCGCGATGCGTCGCCGTTTGCGTAACCTCCCAGCATCGTCTGTGAGTTTTCTTTCAGGTCGGCTAAGCGGTTCCGAGGAAGGATGTGAGGCTGGTGGGGGAGGAGGAGTAGATGGTAGCTCTCCTCGTAATATCTGAATCCTCCGCTCTGCATCCACCTCTTGCATGCGGCGCTCATCTTCCTCCTCGAGGGCTTTCGCTTGGGCCTGGTCGCGCTTGACGCGGGAGATATTCTCTTGGTTGTAGACGTTCCATGACTTTTTGCCTAATAGGTGACTATGATATATTAGCGATATTTAATATGAGCTTTCGACCTTCAAAGACATCTTACAGTGGCATCTTGATGGTTTAATGAGGCCCATAGCGATCATCGGGAAATAACCTTTTGCCAGTTTCCGGCCGGCAGAAAATTAGGATACCTGTAATACAATAACGTCTACCTAGGCCTATGGTCCTGGGGATATCGCCAAGTTGAACTTCAATCCTGTTATTTTAAGATATATCTTTGTGATGTGATCTTTCTTTCTTTTGAAATGATATTACTAGAATAGTCTAAAACACTTGGAAGAACGACATTTCTTGACTTGTCTTTCCACTTGTCTTTCAGCTTGGTTTTCTATCAAGGCAGAGTCTACAGTACAGGTAGCGGTGTGATAGGCGGTAAAGGTTATATATGGCCAGGGGGAAGTAGCTCTGGAGCTGGCTTATCGATAAGACCCCCACCGCCTGGTGCTATTGCGGTCGTTGGGGTGATCCCCCAGCTTGTAGTCCTGCGGAGTTCAACTCTTCAACATTATTAAAGAATTCATTCAACTAAGCTGTGAATTCTTGAGTTTTATCTCACCCCTGGATCTGGTGGTCTTCCTTTTTTGTCACAAAAGTCTCACATACGTTGTTGCCTGTTATCAAGGCAGAGTGGCGTCACCGCCGAACTCCCCCCATCACTTTTAACACTTACATCTTCCCAATCGCCACCCACTATTCAATCGAAGATGTTCAATCGGAAAGATCTTCCGTCTGTCCCTAATCCCTTTGGATCTCGACAGGACTCAGGACGTTCAGCGCCACAAGGCTACGGGAGTCCAGGTCAAGCTCCACGGTATGATTACAACCACGCCCCCATACCTGCGAGGCCTACCCCCGATGGCGATGTGCCCATGACTGATGCATATACACATTCAAGAGGATACGGAGCTCCTTCACCACAGAATATTGGCAGATCACCGCAACCACCGTCTGGTCGCATGCCATCTGCGGGCGGACAGACGTGGACGCTTCACCCTAGCAAGAGTCCTAACGATAATTTCACCTTTGGTAACCTGTATGTGACTTCGGAATTTGAGACCTTGAGACTTCGAGATTTCGAGGTTATGACTTGGTCATTTGAAGGTAGCTAACAGAAAAAAACAGTGTCGCTGTCTCGCCGCAAGACATTCCACCAAGCCGCGATGGCAACGATGTACTCCTCCTCATCAATGACCTTTTCGTTTTCTCCGCCCGCCCCCTGGAAGGCTTCCCCCGAGGATCCATGAGCATGTCGGACCCCCAGCGGACATGGGCTAACATCGGGTTGAGAGATGCTATCAAAGTACAGCTGTACGACCCTTTCAGCCAGGGTGGACAAGCTTACCTGGGATCCGCGGATATTGAAGTCAGCTTTGCTTCAATAAAGAAACGCGTGGAGGCTCCATATGATCAAGATGAGCTATCAAATGCTGTCATTAAAGTATGTTGTCTTTGAAACACTCTATTTCTCTATGGATCACCGTGACTGACCGCAGCAGAATTTCGAGAACCAACTCTTTGCTCCGGGTCAAAGAATTTTGATGGATCACAAGAGCATTCCACTCCTTTTGCAGGTGAAGACTGTTCAGCGAGTTGACCTGACAGCAGAGAAAGCCGATCCGAACTCTGGCGAAACCGAGACTGCTCCCAACGCCAGAGGTATTATCACACGGCACACGCAGCTCAACTTTTTCAAGGATTCTTCGACCGGTATAAATGTCAAGGCATCCAACCGTCGCCCGGCTGCCAACTCAATCATTCAGCCTGGTTTTAAGTTCTCGGATATGGGAATTGGTGGTCTCGACTCCGAGTTCAGTACTATTTTCCGTCGTGCTTTTGCATCTCGTATCTTTCCTCCCGGCTTGGTCGAGAAACTTGGCATTCAGCACGTTAAAGGTCTCTTACTGTATGGACCACCAGGTACTGGTAAAACCCTGATTGCTCGGCAGATCGGAAAAATGCTCAATGCTCGAGAGCCGAAGATTATCAATGGTCCTGAAGTTTTGAACAAATATGTCGGTCAATCCGAGGAAAATATTCGAAAGATGTTCGCAGATGCCGAAAAGGAATACAAAGAGAAGGGTGATGAAAGTGGTCTCCATATTATCATTTTTGATGAGCTGGATGCTGTTTGCAAGCAACGTGGTAGCGGGGCAGGCGGCGGCGGTACTGGCGTCGGTGATAGTGTTGTCAACCAACTGTTGTCTAAACTCGATGGTGTTGACCAGCTCAACAACATTCTGTTGATCGGTATGACCAACCGAATGGATATGATTGATGAGGCTCTTTTGCGTCCGGGTCGTCTGGAGGTCCACATCGAAATTTCCCTCCCCGATGAGCAGGGCCGAAGCCAGATTCTCAAGATTCATACCGAGAAGATGCGTAACAACAATGTTTTGGACTCAGATGTCGATCTGCCAGAGCTTGCACTCATGACCAAGAACTTCTCTGGTGCTGAAATTGCTGGTCTGGTGAAATCGGCCTCCTCTTTTGCTTTCTCTCGCCATGTTAAGGTTGGAACCATGGCAAGCATCAACGATGACGTTGTGAACATGAAGGTTAACCGAGGCGATTTCCACCACGCTCTCGACGAAGTCAAACCTGCATTCGGTGTCTCCGAGGAAGAATTGTCCAGTCGTATCCAATACGGTGTTATTCACTACTCCCAGGCCATCAACGATATTCTCCAAGAAGGTGAATTATTCGTCAAGCAGGTTGGTCAAGCCGAGTCTACTCCTCTGTTTTCTGTCCTACTACACGGACCCACAGCCAGCGGCAAGACAGCTCTCGCAGCGCGCATTGCCATCGACTCTGGTTTCCCATTCATCAAGCTCATCAGCCCCGAGGACATGGTAGGCTTCAGCGAGCCCGCAAAGGTTCAGCACATCAGCCGAATCTTCGACAGTGCCTATAAGTCCACCACTAGTATTGTTGTCGTTGATAACATCGAGCGTATCATTGACTGGGTGCCCATCGGCCCTCGTTTCAGCAATACAGTCCTCCAGGCCCTTATGGTCTTCCTCCGAAAGCCTCCTACTAATGGACGTCGTCTGTTGATCTTGGCTACAACTACCGAGCGTGCTTTGATGAAACAGTTGGATATCTATAATTCATTTAACTCTGATATCATGGTTCCTAATGTCCAATCATTCGAGGAGCTACGCCACGTTATGGAACAGTCTGGTGCTTTTGATGCCCAAGAAATTGCTCGTGCCCTTGAAGATATCGGTGGCTTGGCTGATGATGGTCGTGTTAGCGTTGGTATCAAGAAGGTTCTGCTGGGAATTGAAACTGCCAAACAAGACGAGGACAAGGTTGGCCGCTTTGTCCGTGTCATCAACCGAGCTATTCAGGAGGAACAGTCATTTTCTTAAAATGGTATGTAGATAGAAGGCTGGCTTCCATAGCTATATAATGATGACTACCAATTCTTTGTCTTTGTATCTGTCTGCTTCACAGTGCACGTGTCGGATATTGCCAAGTCAAACTTCAAACCTACTTCCTAGGTATCTTAAAATATCCAAATCTTGGAATTATAGTAACCTTTCTTTCTTTTTGAATGAACTTACTAGTATCAACCAAAGTATCCATAAAAGATAGTCTCTACTTGTCTTTCTACTTTAAGTTGTCTTTCCATCTATGTAGAGCTTACAATACAGACAGCAGTGTAGTACTAGTACTACCAGACGGTAATGGTTAAGATTAATGGATAGTCAGGCCAAGGATTTTCCCCCACGGGACGCTACATATAGTCCCCCGTAATCAGTAATAGTAAGTCCTACTAGTAGAGCCCCCCAGTCAGATACCCAGCCATAACTGGCTCATATGTCAGAAAACAAACGAGTCCCCGATGCTGCCTCTGGCAATGTTGAATGTTGTCATTCGAGGTTCTGCAGCTTGAACCCCAGCAAATTGATTCCATGCAATTCCTGAATTCCTGAAGTGGAATCCATGTCGACGCTTCCCTTATCACTTTCCGTTGTGTCATTTATGTCTATTAAACTGGCTTTTGGGATGCTTTCCTACTTTCTAATTACCTTCCTCGTCCGTCTTCCTCATTTCCTTTGCGAACCTCCATATTTTCGTTTGGCCATATATATGACGCATGTTTTATCGAAGACTTTTGTATACTGCATCTCTGAACTTTCTCTACTGCAGTGACTTTTCAAATGTATGATTCTCCATCCATAGAGAAAACAACCCAAATTGAATCTTTCAAACGGAAGACCAGCACCAAATATCCAATACATTTACTCTTAATAGAAACTGCAGCCATTATCCCAACAACCCCACACCAGCCTTCGCTCCCAAATTCCCTTTATCAATATAGTTACTCTTCAGCCAATCCATCGCCCTGCGGTCATTAAGCTTAAGCTGCTGCTGATAAACAACCTCAATATCGTAAACAGTGTCCAATCCAACGGTATCCATCATCTGACAAGGCCCCTTACCAGCCTGAAACCAAGACTTAAACATCTCATCAATGGTAGTTCCATCACTAACCCCATCTGCCATAACAAGCAAGCACTCCCGCTTAATCGCCGCCCAGATTCGATTGAACACTAATCCCGTGGACTCCTTGCGTGCATGAACAGGCCGAAATCCTGCCGACTGCGCCTTCTCTATTAAAAACGGCGGGATCGCTTCATCCGTCTCTCCACAAGACATAACCTCATAGTAAGTCTGCTCGGGCGGCATATAGTAGTGCCCGTTACAGATGCGGTAGTTATGCTTTGTCTTTACAAGCATCTGGCTTGAGCGTAGAGAAGATGAGTTGGTGGTTACCACGCAGTCGGGCGGTGCTACCTCATCAATGGCGCCTAGGATGTCGACTTTCATTTCTGTTTTCTCTGGAACAGCTTCGATGACCATCCAGGCTTGGCTGCATGCTTCGGGAAGAGATGCGGTTATTTGTACAGGTGCGGGCTTTGTGCCCATTTGCTCGGCTTGCTTGTCTTGATTGCTCTTAATGTAGTCCAGGGCACCGTCGTAGTTGGTGGATCTCTCACAGAGTATCACGGAGTATCCCGCTGCTACCCACATCATGGCGATGCGGCGGCCCATTACTCCGGCGCCGATTATGGCGATGGGTCGGGTGCTGGTGTCGGGTGTGGTCCATGGGGTAGGCATGCTGGTTGTTTTGATGAATGGCGAGGAGGATGGAACGAAATTGAGTTGAATGCAAGGAAACTGAAACGAAGGGGATGAGGGTGCTTTGGGTGCTGGGATCATGGTGGTTAAGGGCTTCTTTCTCCGCGTTGATGATGGTATGATGACTGTATGGTGTCAGAGGGGTGTGGAATATGACATAGCTCTTATAAAACATGTGGCTATGTGGCTGTGAGTTGAAAAGTTGTAGCTATCAACTTGAAATCGCTGTCTGACTGACCTAGCGAACTGTTTAATTAAATTGGATTTGTTGATGATAGAGAGAGAAATCGGGTCGAGGTCTATAAACAACCTCTCTTTGACATCAAACTTTAGTTATGTACCTATATAATAAGGATACACGGCGATCATGATACTGGTTCCTGAAATAAACTAATTTTATCAAGCATTTATTGTGAAAATTAAATAAATTGAGAAAATTTGAAGGGGAACAAAAGTGATATTAGATCGTGTTATCGTCGTGTGCTCATGCATTTGCGATTGGAGAAACCTTGGAACGCATCAACATCATTCAATGACGGTCGATTGAATAAAAGCCCGAACAGGGAATAATTATTGGCGAGCTTTCATATGACCTTTTGATGTGACAAATCGGGGTATTGGAAAGAACAGAAAAACAAAACAAAATCGTTGTCACTCAGATAAAGACACCAACAACGGCGGCCGCGGCGGCAGCGACCAAAGGCGCAGCAGTCATAACAGGCTGACCAGCATCCTTGTAGCTGACAGTAACGGGAGCAGTAGCAGTAGCATCGGCGCTGAACGCCTTCAGACCACCAGTAACCTTGAGGTGTGTGTAGCTAACCGCTTCGGCGTCAATAGTATAGCTGGGGATAACACCGCTTGTCGAAGTACTCTGCCCAGCAGCGGAGGCATAGATACCCACTGATTCAGAGCAGGAGATAGACTCGGTAGAGTGAGTGAATGAGCATGCCATGTCCACTGTAACGGCGCCCGTTCCACCAGCGGTTTTGATATGCGCAGTAGCGGAAAGGGCGTAGGTCGCTGGGCCCTGAACGAGGATCCAAGGGGTCTTGCTGTCAATGATGCAGTCGGAGGATGGCACACCATCCTCGCAACGGACCTTATAGGTGGTGGCGGTTCTGTCGATGGCGTAGACGTCGCCAACAAAGCTGGTGTACTGCGCAAGGTTGACTCCACCACCGTCGGCTGAGATATCGAGGTACTTAATGGTTGTTGAGCTGGGCTCGGCAGTGGAGTCGGCGACGGCCAAGGACGCGAAAGTGGAGGCAATAAGCAATGTAGCGCGCATATTGTTTGTATGTAACGGATAGCTGAAGAGGTTGTAAACAAAGTGGGAGTCTCAGGAGCTGCCGCCTGCGGACCCTTTATTTTAAACCCATGGGTTACTTTTCAGCCGCGGGCTACACGCTAGTCTGATCACGGTATCGCGAGGAATTTCTCGCGAATTTTGAGCTAGATGGACCCTGACCATTTATCTGTGGCCCCGATCTAGTCGTTTTGGGGCTAGCCGACGCACTAAAATATGCAGGGTGGCCTAACTCGTGCAGTAGTAGGCACGTTTTCTCGCTCAAGTTCGCCTGAGGGGTTGAATAAGACGGTAATTTCCGACACCTCTTCGTTTTCACTGATTAGACTTCAAGGCTGTCAAGCCCTTATTCCTTGGGGTGAGAATTGGACACTGCGACGACTATGTACCTCGCCCATGGACCCTCCACATGTGGCGATCGCTTTTTGAGCCTCAATCCAAATTTGCATTCGCTACTTTTCATTAGTGGCTATATGGGGGTTTTTTGGGTTCTTTAGTTGAATTTGCAAGGCTTTTTGGCCCCAACTCCACTTTGGCCAAGGAAAATTTCAAGATGCATACCACCTCGTGCATAGCACGGATAAAGCGTGCCGAGTACGTTCTCCGTTCAGTGCCAAGAAGAGTACGGGCGCTGATGGGTTGGATCGGTCTTGGGGGGAGGGGAAAGGCTTGGACCCTCTACATCCGTCTGGGGACAGAACTCGTATCATTTTTACATGTTGTGAGATGTGGTGCCAGTGTGGGAGGCCTTGGCTCCGTATTCATCTTTGTCTACGGGGCCGATCGTCGGATACGTGAAGACATCCATTGGACTGTATGGCGATCGAACATGAACATCTATCTCACATACCTGTAGTTGTGACAAGCAGTCTTGTCATTGAACTCCCATAGGTGGTAGGTCGAAAGTCAGCCTTTAATTAATTAAATCTCGGAAATACCCAATTTTAGATTTGAGATAGCACAGGGTCCAGATGGTTAATTGGAGAGAACTGGAGCGACCCTCCAAGCCCCAAAACAGGTTAAAAAAAAGCGAAGTGTAACACAAGTTATTATAGCTCTTACATTGTCTGTAGAATACTACGAGCCATCATCAAATATTCACATAAAATCCTGCAAAGATGTTCATGAATTTGACACTAAATAAATACAGCCGCATGATATTAAATCTCAAGGTTCATTAATTAAGTCAACAACTACCATCTTGCTCTAGATTAATACAAGGTTCGCATTCAATCTTGAGCAGCAAGGACCGGTTGAGTCGCGCAGTGAATAACACCACCTGCTAATGGAAGTCCAGTCACATAAACTGGCTGAATTACCCGGTCGGGGCATAGCTTTTGAAAGATCTCCAAAGCGTTTTTATCACTGTCTTTGTCCCCGAAATGGGGAATAACCAGTCCTCCATTGACAAAATAACAATTGACATAGTTGGTCGCCGGTTCATCGTATGATAAAGGTCCAAGAGCCTTAGGGTCCGGCTCGTCGATAATATGAACTTCAAACTTGCGGCCCTTCGCATCGGTCGATTGACTTAAAATCTCTCTGATCTCTCCAAAAACTTCTAGCCATGGTTTAGGCACAGAAGAATGAGGCCGGGACAGAACAATAACTCCGGGTTGAATGAAGTTCACCTCAGCGTCAGCATGGACATCGGTAACATCAAGATCCTTTCTGCCGGGGAACCATATAATCTTTTCAACTCCGAGTATACGACGTAGCTCTGTCTCAATATCGTCCTGTGAAAGCCCAGGGTTGCGATTTTCGTTGATGATACTGCTTTTGGTGGCCAAAAGTGTGCCTTCTCCGTCCACGACTAATGCACCACCTTCCAAGCGAATACTTGATTCAACTAGACTGACCGGCGATGGAGAGATGTCAGATTCAATAACCCGGCGGGCGAAAGTTGCATTTTCCTCCAATTGTTCATTTGTCATGACAGGCCAGTCGAGTCCATCCGAAGCTCGGTCATGGTCGCCAATGTCGTCCTTCTTGCCCCATTCAGCAAACCGGAAATTGACTGCATAACGTTTTTTATGGTCATTTTCGTCCGCCGCGTGTACGTAGATTGGACCTGTATCTCGTACCCAGAGGTGATTTGTAGGGAAAGGGATGATGGATATATTCTGGATGTCACCCCGATATTCTGATATTCTATCCAAAAGCATTGGATTTGCTTTGGAGACATCTTCTGGTCGAGTATATAGTCGGACCGGCTCGAAGGCTGAAATTGCACAAGCCAAACTAGCAATATCGGCACATGCGCTTTCGTGGTAGACCGCAGCGATAGAGAATTTTGAAGGGAAGCCAAGAATCGTCGCCTCATGACGAGTTGTTTCTCGGGGATAAACGAATTTCTCAGCGTTCTGTGCTGAAGTGGAGGCCATTTTGGTGTTGGCTCACGATATCACAAGATAATTGTTTATTGTTTCTAGGGTAGGGAGGAGGGAGGAAACAAGAGGATGCCCAATGGATTGTATGAGAAATCAATCCAAAAACCATATCAAGTATGATGGTTCAATTACTAGGTGTGAATCAGGAAGTTTGGGGTTTGTTTAAAGACGGGTTTGTAAAAGAGGAGTATCAAATATGGCCATATATAGTGTGCGCCAAGCTAGCGGACAATTCTCCGCTGGACCTAAACCTTAGGCATCCAGGCGTGCTTGTTGCTTATCTCGCCCCATGGGAAACCTTAATCCGGAGTATGGATGGTTATGTGATTTTCCAATAGATTCGACAAATCCATTTCCTTGCCCCGCTACATTGGCCAAGAAACAAGTTGAATCCGAAGACAAAATCACGAGGATTCCATTTACGTCCCGTTGATGACGGAACCACGGATTTGTAGAGATGGAGTGGAATGGAAGATAACTGAGTTGATCTATGAGGAAGAGAGAGAGAGAGAGAGTCGGAGAAGATACTCTATCTCACCACCCGCTATTAAGCTCGCTCATTTTGATGCTTTTATAATCGTATCCAGCACCAAAACACTGATAAAGTTCCAAGGTTGTGTTTGTACAAGGGTCAGGTTAGCGTGGCTAGGTAGATCTGGCAATCAAAATGAGTGTTTCAGAAATTTACTATCACCATTGCACTTGCTGCGTAAGGGGCCCTTTCAAAAGACCACGAATTTGGTATTGCTTAAACAATGAGGAATGCTGTTGCTTAGATGTCGTTTGATACAAGATATTGACAGTAGTTCCATTTCGTTTCTCGAGCGTAATGGTTTGTCGGCCAAGTTGTCGTCACATTGTAGGGCGTCGCGGTTCTTAAAATGTCCCAGCCAAATGTCTAAACCATGCGCCATATCAAACCTTAATCGCGCATTCACGGCCATTTTTGGAATTAGCATGGTAACTACCACAATCGTTCTTAACTCGGAGAGATAGATAGTATTCATGATGTAAGTTCTGCCCAACTTCTTCTTATCCCTTCCAAGGTTCCCCTCCCATTTGATCAAGTTATCTTGCAACTAAGTTATCTTTCAACTCAATAGTAATATCTCTCTCTGTTTCCAACTTATTTCAATATTTTCTTTTCGTCTCTCAGTTATCTTCAACGATCTTATCAAGTTGGACTGTCGGTTATAGCGACTGATATGGAGCAAACCTGCGTCTTGAGCCATACGACTTGGAGCGTTGACACGGTCCTTTTTGTACTCTGCTTCGCCTTGTTCGCTAGCTTGGTGATCGGTCATCGCAAGGACTAGTACGTATTAACACTACTTCAGTGTCCCTTAAGCCTTTGAGCACATGCTAATAAACTATAAAATCCTGAAGTCAAGAGTTGAAAAAATTATTGTCGCCGGTAACAACGGGTCATGATAACAGCGTACTCCTACACTAGGAGAAAATTTGTTCATTCAGACCGAAGCAGTGGCCCAACTACGCGACACTCTCAATTCACTTCCGAAGCCGAAATTTCCTCGTTCAAAGTCAGCCATCGATGAACCGCATCCAATCTCGATAGTCAATATTACCGCTTATGATCCCTGTAGAGGAAATGTTTCTAAGCGCCTTGTTTTGGAACCTTACCATTCCATGATTGGTGCTCATTTGGTTGCAGGGGGGTATGAGGCTTACTGGGAACCATTATACGGAGCTGAGAATGTGTCGTATACAATTCCAGCGCGGAGAAACAACACAGACGGGACTCACTAAGGGGGGTTTTTAGCATCAAGTACTTCTATGGAAGTGTATTGCTGAAATGGCCCACCAACACCTACCAAGTACTAGTGTATCTAGTTTAGGTGTTGAAGATGTCGGGTAGGTGGTCGGAAATGCATTAGCTAAAAGCCCTCTAGTTGCTTGAGCGGTCCACAACTTGAATACTACTATACGTGGGTTGTTTTTGAAAGCCTTCCCTCCCCCTGGGCACGCTCGTTCTAAGTACGTATAATTACTAGTCCACGGGTGTACACCGAACAACCCACGATCATAGCCGCTCTAGAAACATAGGTACACCGTCGCATTTATTATCCATGGGAGGCTAGCTCTTTACAGGTTTCCAGTGGGACAAGAGCCCAATTTTGAGTTTCCTGCGAATATCATGATGTATGCAGGGCTGGCTTCTCCGTAGTAGTTTCCCAGTCGGGTATATAGTCCATTGATCGACATGAATTAGAACTTTGGTCAGTATTTCCATATTTTCATAAGTGCGCGTGTCTCACCCAAAGATAAAATACTTTCCATTTTCCAAACAGTAGTGTGTCAAAAATGAGGCAATTAATTACTTTGAAGGTTTAATCGATCTTTCAGCTGCATAGAAAGTATGATCCGGTGGACTTCGGGACTATTGATAGAAACATGAAAATCAACCTCCATCCTGGGTAAAATTGGGTCTCATGTGAGTTTCATCTGATTGGCCCTTAATCTTGATATTGCCACCGTTTACCAGGCCAAGTGCGTGGGGGCCATTTCAGCCCGGTGTCTTTTCTGGTGTTTATTCTTAGAAAGTGGAAACCGGGATCCCAAAAACTCCGCGGTTTCTATACGGTGGCAGATGTCCTGATCGTGGTTAATTAGTTATATAAATTCGAACTTGTGTTTTAAGTTGGTGTTATTATCTTTGCCTTTCTATCTGTCCTTGCCCTTCTCTTTCCACTTGATTTTTTCTTACCTATGTAGAGCTGAAAGTGCAGATAACGGTACTATATAGCCAAGGGGGGGGTTTTTTCCCGATGATCGCTATTGTCCCCTATACATGAGGCTGCGATTAAGGTTAAGAAATTTGCTGGGGTAAGGTTTCCAGGGAATTTTGATTGGCCTAGTATTTTTATATGTGTTGAATGTACTTCGTAGACTTCGGGTTGAATTCGAGCATGTGTCAGTGTCAGGTTAACTGCAAGATGCCCAAAAAAAACCCACCACCTGGGTACGGCAGAGGGGAGAATTTCCCGATTTACCCGCTCTGTTCCTTCTCCACGCCCCGAGATCCCTGTGATGGCCAATCAACTAGTCAGTTTTGCTAACCCCAACAATCCCTCCCAATCTTCATTTTCCAAACTCGGTCGAGGGAGGGGAAAAGACAAGGATGGGAAATGGAAAAATCAAATCAAATCAGCAACCCCAAATAACCCCCATAAATACCAACAACTGGGTCCGGCCCCCGAGGCCAGCCCGGGGGTCCTTCGCAGTTATTTGCAACCATCCAGACTGGTGGAACTGCCGAAACGCGCAAGCCATTATTCCCATGGGGGCCTTTTGAGATCGGCGCCAGCACCAAGTGGACAAGTGAGTGGACCAGGCGCTTGCGCGGAATCCCGTAGCCCGCCCATTCACCCAACACTCAACGAAGCTCATTATTGGCTCGGGATCATTGATTTGCCCGCATCTAGGCGGCTCCCGCGAGGCTAACTGGAATGTCGATTCACCTCATTTGTGTGTCGTGGTCCACTATTTCCCCTCGTGTCAGTGAATCGATCTATCCTGGCTAATGTAGGTCTCCATGTCTTGCGTGGCGCGATTTGAGTCTTGCGTTTCGTCCCTTTTCGTCCATCCCTTTTCTGATTTTTTCGGTTTTTTTCCTCCTTTTCTCTATATTTTTTCTCCTTCTTCTGTGATCTTATTTGCGTACTCCATCCAGCCTTGTCTAGGTGATCGGGATCGGACTTTCTTTGAATCGCGTGCTGCTTTCTTGCTCCTTATACCCAAATCCACGGCCCCGGCCCCGTTCCTGGCCCTTGTAGGAGCCTGTTTCACATTTGCGCCCAGAAAGAGAGCTTTGCTACCCCCCCTCATCTTGCACTGATACTACACTTCCGAGTATCACCCGGCACCCGTAGTTATTTTCCTATTACATCGCCTTTCCTGATTACGCAGGCCTGGGGGGCCTGGGGGTTTAGCTGAGATCGCCTACATGATTAGATACTGTTGCCTGACTGACCCGGGAGTATCGCTTATCAGTTAATCCAAACTTAGCGTTAGTAAATGCATGATGCCTTAGTGCGTCGGCTCAGCTGTTTTAGTGGGCGAGTGCCTTTCCTATTCGGGCCACATCGGGGCCGTTCCTTCCTCTTCCCTTCAAATTGTTCGATCCTTCCTCTTTTGCTTGTTTTCTTGCTTGTTTCGATTGTTTACGACTTCGACGAGTCTCTATTCTTTCCCCTTTGCAATCTTAGAATCATGTCTCACTCACAAGCCTGAAAGAATGTTGCTCACGCTCCAACCACAGTACACCGGCCGTGAATTCAATGATTACACGGCTATTCGCACAAACAACCCGACTCCACGGTCTTCGTGGTCTGACTCCTCTGGACCGGACACTGCGTGTATGGAGTCGGTCGCTGGAAAAGAGCTTCCCCCGCCTTCTACTCTAGTTCAGCCACAACCTGCGATGCCCGCGCCTTTACCTCCGGTACCGCAGCTTTGGCAAGGTACCGAAGCTATGCAACAGTGGCTGGTGGCCAAAGCTGAGGACGATCGCCGGAGCCAAGAGGAAGAAAAGACGCGTCAAGAATCATTGCGACTGGAACAGCGCAAAGTTGAACATACGATCTTGCTTGAATCGTTGCGCGCAGGTGTGCCGCCACCTCTGGTTCCATTCATCTTCACGGGAATGAATAAAACCAATCCAGCATGTACCCAGTCGCTCATCGATGCAGCCCAACAATTGGTATCGCAGTCTTCTCGCAGTGTGCCAGCCTCTTCTTCTCAACCCCAACAAGCATTTGGTGAACATACAGCTTCTACTAGTACACTCCCACCTCTTAATGTCCAATCTCCACCAACTCAACCATCCGTGGGAGTTCACCAGAGAGATATGCGCACCCTCGCAACTAGTATGTATACCACTCAGCTGCCCTTGATGAGGGCTGTAGACCCAACAGCCCACCAGCCTGAAAATAGAAGCTCGGTTTCCTCCTTAGCAGCTGGTCTGCCTACTCAGGCTCCAAGGCCCATGGACATGCAGCAGCCACAAAATGGTCAACGTACTAGCATTGGCTCAGCGCAGCATCTCGTTGCTCCCCCTAATGCTCAAGGCGCTCCAATTCAACAAGAGTTACGACAATCACGCCGATCTTCACCTTCCATATCATTTCACCACTGGGTGCCTCCAGGATCACATCTGCAAACACCGACATCCACCAAAGACCAGCCGGAAGTAAATCCGGTATCTAACCAACCGCACCCCCCTGCCCGAACTGATGTTTCCTCTTTCTACTCCCCCGCTCGCAAGAGAAAGTCCCAGACAGCTCACACCTCAAATGCCCCTCCCGCAACTCGCTCATCGGAATATGTTCCAAGAGAGAGCCGATCTTCTCGAAATAGTCCAATAATGAGCCAGTCGCATCATCAACAGCCACCCCAGGGTGCTATGCCGACTCCGCACGAGACTACAACCGTTCAGGATCGACCTGTTATCCACCGATTGGACTCGACGGAAAAACTAAGTCCCAGAATGCGTCGAAGAAGGTCAACTAGGAGTTTCAAGTTTGAACGTGACTCTCAGAGCCCAGAGGGATATCGACCTGTTCAAGAAAAACCATCATTCCCAGGCCAAGCTCCCACGTCGGATCCGGAGAATATCTCAGACCCTTTTCAGGACACTGGCGATACCGCCATGCCTAGCAAGGCAGATGGAAAAGCCGAACACCCTTAGTCTATCCTCTGATCCCATTTCCGGATCTCCCATGCTCTTCAGTTCAGTGCTCGTCTTTCAAGATACCCCCAGCCAGGAATTTAGAAGGTTGTCTTTGTAAACCCGGGACCTGTGAATTACCACATGCGGTTACTGTTCGCTCCACTTTGGAGTGCCATTACTCGATACTCTTTCTACCTTTTATAGACGCTGACGGTCGCATGCGCTCGTCTTTCGAAAGGTCTTTTCAAATGTCCTTACACTTAGTTTTCTATTCATGTAGACCTTACAGTATAAGTAGCGGTGTACTAGGCGGTCAAGATCTATACCAAGGAGAGTTTTTTCTCGATGATCGCTATCGGCCGCCGTAAGTCCTACTGTACAGGAAAAGAGAAAACAGCGTGTTTTTGGAGCTTCAAGCTACAGATGATACCTAAAAATAGAAGGGACTGTATTCAATTTATCAAAAACTGCATGCTATCAACTCATAGGCTGTATTGGACCTGAAAGCCTTGATTCAAGATCGTCATCATCATCAAACAACAGGCCAAGATCCGCACCTGGGATGAGAATATTATCAAATTCATCTTTTATTCTCTGCGCAGTCTCAGTTGACAGCCACATGTATCTCTCCACCCTTCCCGCTTGCCCAAGCCAACCTCCATATGTCCCGGGAGTTGGATCCAGACCACCATCGCAAGGATATTGTCCATATCTGATTCCCATGTCGAGAAAGCCTACACTAGCGGTAGTGTAACCATCTCTAGGCTCTAGATCTGTCTGTAAGCCTGGCGCAACACGATCAAAGTTCCTGAAGTCGCGAAAGTCCGGGGTCTCTATGTCCTTGCCCCTCTCCTTCATTCTTTCCTCAAGGTATTGTAGATAGAATGGATTTTCACTTCGCCTAGCAGCCACATATAAGGGCTCGGTATAGGGAGGCTTCAACGATCGGAATATCGACTTGTAGTCACATATCACACACGTAATCGCAATTTGGTGCCCCATGGACGGACACTTTCGAGCCAGATCAAGCAAAGTTGCCTCAGAGGGCTTCACGGGCAGCCATATAAGCCATGGGAGACAGTCGGAATCATTCTCAATGCCAGAAATATCATTGTTCATGATCATACGTGCATTGATTGCGGTGCGAATCTCTTTGCACTCGCGTGTATTGCCTTCAATCAAGGTTTTACCTGGGAGGATAGCGCGTCCAGGGTTTGTTTCCAGCTGATAGGCCCACCATCTAGCAAAGGCTGTACTGTGGTAAATGCCACGAAGAATACAATTGTATTCAATTTCGGTTCTTAGCCTACGAGGGTGCATCAATCGACTGTATCGATCAATATTGCCATCCCACGCAGCCATTTGTGTCTGAAGGCGCTTTTCGAGAACTGGGAGATCAGGTGGAAGAGGCATCCACAATTGATCAGACTGGCCTGGGCCCAGTTTACTATAGTCCTCCACTGTCTTGATTTCTTTCAAACCGATGAATCCATCTTCTTCAATATCAATATCGTCTGCAGTCGTCTCTGGTAAGTTTTTACCTGGGAGAACTCGTTGTTCCAAAGCCCATCGGGGCTTCATATCGCCATTCAGAAACGCGGGCGTTCGTGGGTTTTCAAGATGAATAGATCGAGAGAAATCTTCCATAACAACATATCGCTGGGGGGAAGACATAATATTCTTGTAGATTTCAGAGTCTTTATCAACTTCTCGGGCTTCTTCCGCAATAGACACGTCAGGTAGAAGATCCAATTCTTTATAAAGATCTGTATATGACGCTGCAGCACATGCTCGGCCTACTTGGTACCGCATAGTAGATGGATACTGACGGGCAACTTCACGATATGTTTCTTCAGCTGCAATGTCAGGATACCATATACAATACGGTTGAGTAGCAGGATTTTGCATATCGGGAATTTTATCACTCATAATCAGGCGAGCATTGCGGGCACGGGAAAATTGGTGAGCCTGATCATCGTCGCCGGAGCATAGCTGATCAATTGCTGGACTTGTTGCAAATTCAAGCGAATCACGAATGCCACGAATGACTGCTCTGCGATGCCAAAACGAGTTGAGATCGACGGGTATCCCTTCCCCTTTTATTGCCAAAGCACATTGATCGAGGTCGCACTCCGGTAGTATAGGCTTGCCAGAAGAGTCAGTTGTCTGCTTCTTGGGTAAGACGACATTGTACTGGCTCATAAGGCTTTGCCCAGAAGGTTCGGTAGCCTCCGCCATTAGGAAATAGTGTGGGCAGTGGTGCCGGTAGTGCTGTGTGCAGTGGCAAGTGAGGGAATGAAGTTCAAGAGGGAAAGGAACTTTGGAAGGGAAGGGGGGAAGGTCACTTCTGGAAGGACAGGGTTATGCTACGACTCGGACCAGCCGGGACTTATAAGCGAAGCAGATCACCCTACAGTCCAGTATTTGAATTGCATCGGTTTATTTCTTTCCTTTTTTCTTTTCTTACTCACATCCATTCATTTATTATTATTTGCCTCACTAACCGGCCCCACTATGAATATGTGACGGGAACTGTACTGTAAATTTACAAACCCGTACACGGTACATGTGGGCTAGAATCTAGTAGATGATGAAAAAATTCTAGCTCGATCCCAATGATATACTAAGTTCTCCGAAATAAATTCTTGCGAGTTTCGGTGAATAAAGAGGGGCGTGGACATGGATACATACTCGGGCTCACTCCAATTCCATAGTACTATCCTGTCTCTCGGAACTTGAAACGTAGACAGTACACCAGCCAGCATTACGGGATTGGGATATTATGTAGTGGAATATTCGAAATGGAGTCAGTATTACACCCATTTATACCTCTTGGGTCTCCTATAAAATGAGTACTTTACATAGGGTGACATTCGCATTGTTTTGGTGTGGGTTTGGCTAGTAAGTCCGACTAGCACCGGTTGCATGTGTGCACAGCCAGGAGTCATATCCCCCAAATTAAAGACAGTCGATCCAAGGACTACGCTCCCAAGTATCAATCTCTTGCCAATGGGTGACACTCGATTCGCCCGCTGAAGGACCTTTGGTACTTGGGGCAGGCTCCCCGAGCTCCTTGCCCTATGTATCGACATGCAATTAGTATCTCTAGTGCTTTAAATGATACTAGTACATTGGAGGAAGGAAACTTACCCAAGTCTCAAAATCTTCTCCACTGTTAAGCTTCTTGTCTTGAATCTTTGCCTTGTTGCCTGACTTTTCAAACGTTGCTGGAAAATTGATACCTTGGTATTTGGATATACTGTCCTCGCCTGGAACTCCGGTATCCGCATTGTCCACGGTCACAACAGTGGTACGGTGTACCGTTTGTTTGCCGCCAGTCCCATCGTCGACTTCCTCACTCTCTTGGAGGTTCCAACGGTCGTCTCTGGATAGCTCTCCGATTAGCCAGTTTTCTGTCTGGGCTTTCCGGAGGGATATTGTTCGTTGGCGAATTGTCTCGATGCGCGCAAGACGATCGGAATTATCCCCAAGACTAGCTTTGTCCGAATCCGCCTTGATTGCGTCCATTTTTGCCACGACTTTTTGAACAAATCGAATATGTAATTTGTCACCGTCGCTTTCGCCGGACCTTTTTCGTTTATACAGTGACTTCATTTTTCGTCTACATGTACCTGGACTTAACCGGCTAAGTCCATCAAGACTACTAGGTCCAACTAGACTATTGAGTCCAGCAAGACTACTGGGTGCAGCAAGACTTCTGGGTCCAGCTAGACTTCTGGGTCCAGCTAGACTACTAGGTCCAGCAAGACCGTTAGGTCTGGGAAGGCTACTGGGTCCAGCAAGACTTCTGGGTCCATCAAGACTGTTAGGTCTGGGAAGACTACTAGGTCCGGCAAGACTACGGGGTTCGGGAAGGCTCCTGGCGGAAGGCCATGACGTATTTAGACCTAGAGCTGTTTTACTTTGGTGGGGCACCACATGTACCTGAAGCTGTTTTCCTTCGGTGGGGCATCATACAGTCATAGCCTCTTAGACCTCCGCAGTTTCATTAATGATGAACCCGCGTGATCTGAACCAGCAGTGGGCAGTAGTTCGTTCTTGAAACGGCTTCGTCGTCGCTTCCCATCGATCTGAAACAGCACTGGGCAGCAGTTCAAAGGTCAGTTCGTAATGAGAATCATGTCAATCTCGGTGCCACCCTCGCGAAATACGCATTCTTATTGTTACCTTCGGCTTACCTTCTGGCTCATGCGTTCAAACACTCTGATTATCCAGATCTGCTTAGTTAGCTTTTTCTGTCTAGCGGGATAAACCACTTGTATCGGTGCCCGCTCGTAACTCGCTTATTCAACTTCGGCTCACATTGTAGTTGACGATATACCGAAAGTATTGATACTATGTGTGTGCAGTATCTCCAATGAAGCATCTACATAGGCTCTTGTGCTATGTAGAAGCTTTGATGTAGACCGCCTCCCTATGTTAAACGCCATTATTGCAAAGGAGTAAAGGCAACAAAGCACCAATGGAAAGAAGCTCGGTTTCATGTGATTATAAAATGGTCAATATTTAAAATGTACAAAGGTGGGAATAGTCCTTTTGAATATCCCTCCCCTCTTCAGATCTAATTGGCTAGTTTATTCTGTATGGGGGCAAAACATTCGGAGCTGTTCAAATGTTCATTATCCTCGAAATTTGCAGTGTTCATTTATTCTCACCTTCGGCTCACCCTCTGGTCTACAGCGCATCGAAAAATTCCGTTTAAATTTTTTTTTTGAAAAATTTAACCTATAGGGGAAATGGGAGAATCATTTGCGAGATCCAAAACCGTGGTCTTTCGACATTCAAAAGGACCATTCCCTCCTTTGTAAATCTTAGACGTAATGTTGATCATTTTACGATCATATTTAACCGAACTTGTTTCCATTCACTTCATTCAGCCAGGAATACCCACCTAAGCAGGACAATAGCGAGAATTTCAAAACAAACAAAGAACTCCAGCGCGGAGAAGAAATCACTGCGACAGAAGAGAGACCAGCGCAAATCATACTTAGAAAAGAAGGCGCGGAAGTATAGCAAAATGTACGGGGCAGATATCTGCTTAGGTATACGCATTCAACAGTCAGGGAAAGTTTTCATATACTCCGCAGACGCCTCCGAATTCTAGTCGTTCCTGAGCTCTCAATTAGTAAGTCCAGGTAAAAATAGGAGATCAGAAGTTTTCTGACTCTTTCAGGGATCCTACTATCCAAGGCCAGTTGAAAGGCATGAAAAGAGCCTCTAGAAGCAACTCTTTGATAAACCATTTTGAGCGGTTTTGGAAGTCGGGTAAGGGTGGGCTAGCAGCGATTTAGAAAGCCGCAAAGGCAATACGGTTCCTAGAGGCAGCCGTTGGCTTTCCGCTCAATATTTTAAGAGCAGATAGAGATCAGTAAAGCCTGGTGAAGATCTGGCGGTTAAGGCACAAATACCACACCCTCGAAATTAAAAGGGTATTAGAAGGAACAATAACCAACTTTTTCTGCACTCAAAAGAGTATAAAGCAAAGAAGCTTAAATTAATTCAATTGTTTTTCTACTTTCCACTTAAATCTTACTTAAGTCGCAAGATATGAAAAGCTGGACTTGAATTAATGGGATTATATTCGTTTATATAGATAGGGTTTTCACTTGTTTAGCTATATCTATAATACAACAATATTTATTAAGAAATACCTATAAATTTTGAATCATACAAAAACAAATATGAAGATTTCCTATATATATAGATTTACTTAAGTTCATTCAACACATAGATAGATTAATATGGTATGCAATATGATCTATATAGAATTGCCATATATGTTCCGCCTCATTTACCTGGAAAAATGAAGGCATTCCCCGATCGACGTGAAATTTGTTTAACTCTATCGGATATAACAGTGGTCAAAGCTTATATTAGGACTATCGATAGACGCTCAAGTAGATAAGATTCCCCCTCTTGATGATCAAGACTTATACACAAGCTCCGACCAGTCATTAGTCTTCTCTATGCGCGCGCGAATAATGATGTGGGCCAACTGCTACTACAACAATACGCCTTAGTTATATTGCGCTACTGCTCCTAACGCCAATCGAGACTAAGGCTATGCAAAATGAGTATTTACGCTGTTAAATTGTATGAATGCTCTCAGGCGCTTAGGTGCCTTAGCTCTTTAGTCCATCGCGCCAATTTAAATAATTCTACCAATCAATAGGTCAAAATGTTTGAATTAGATTCACCAACGAAGATTTCCGACAGTGGACCCACATCTACAGGCTTCGAGCCCGCCATGACTTGCATCCCTTGTTTCACATTGCGATTGGCTCCACGGAATTCAGCGCCTGTCTAGCATGGTCAGCCGGCTATACGAGTCGGTAAACATCTTCTCTCAATCTACCAAGACCCTAAGGCGCCATGCCATACTTAATAACGTATTATTGATGTCTTCTAGAACACCTTTCATTCGTCCATACATTCTATCACCAGCGTTTCCACGTTCCCTTTGCTACGCTTCATGGCCGAAGTGGCTGAAACGCTCACTACGGATCAGGATTATAATGATGAAATTCCCCTGGTATCAATCTCTCTATTGTAACTGTATATTAGGGTATAATATGGAAACTAGAGCTTGAAACACTATTGTACTAGGAATCGTCAATGATATAAGTTAGTAGTCCGTTGGTCGGCCAGGTCCTAAGACTACGGTCTCCGGACCTGGTCTGTCTTCGGTACTGTACCCTAGAACTTCGGGCTAAAATCGCTATACGTAGACCTAGTGTCTTAGACTATATGTCGTTAGTATATATTCCAATACTACCGTCCTTTGGTTATTATTCCAGTTACCTCCATCAACCAGAGAGTATGGTCACATTTCCTAAACAACTATTTGACAATAGACATATAACCAATTGGGACTGGAATCCCCTGTAGCCACGTAAGTAACTACTAAAGACTACTTTTGTTGTTCATCTCGCTATATAATTTCATGAAAGTGATTTGCTCGCGTGAAGAAAGGCACGAAAAGTAAATAGGTATATTGAGATGAGTAAAAGAGGAACGCAGCCGATTTTGTTATGACCTATTAATCAAAGGATCAAAATAACTACGATGGAATTCTATTCCGGTAGCTAAATGATCGCGACAAATAAGGTACGCTTTAATAAAATAGTCACTAACCATAGCCCCGCCAAATGTGTCCAAACAGAGAAACAAAAAAAGAGAAAAAGAAAAAAGGCGCAAGGGCCTCTAAGGTCGGAAAAAAAAGAATCTGACGCTCATGTTCGCCTTCGGCATGCCTCTGTAAGTGTATCTTGTGCAGAATGGACAAATCGGAGGTAATGTGTGTGAAGAATCATAGAGCATCTATCTCATATGCAAGACTCCGTATACTAATTCATGAGTATTACTGTATGGGAATGATTGCAATACTCTCTACACCAAATAAGGTAGATCTTAGAACTGTAAACTCTAATTATGTCAAAAGGTTATAATGATAAATTGATTAAGCTCGCAATCGTTTTGATTGATGTAGTGGAGGCCCTTTGGAAGCTTTTATGCTGTTCAGTCCCTTGTTCTCTTCTTTTTCTCTATATTGTGGCTTTTCTGTATTACGGGTTTTCCGAGATGAGTGCTTTATATGCTGAGGTTGGGACTCCGATTCTGGTGCGGGTGTGTGTTCTGTTACCTTTGCTGTGCTCCTCGTCGATTGTGTAAGAACCAGAAAACAGAAGAACTTTTGTATGATTTAACTAAAGTATTAAAGATGAGGAAAAAGGAAAGAGGGGAGTTAGGCTCCCATACATTATTATATAGGAGAATCAGACGGGTGTAGGATTATATGATCCGTCATATAATCCCGCAACCTTATAACCTTAATATTAGTATCAACTCGGTATTAGTTCGTTATATTACCCTCCCCTCCGAAAAAAGCCTAGCCTCTAGGCTTTAGCTATTAGAATATTATCGCTTTCATTATTATTAATAAATTTATCCTCCTCTGTTGTCTTAAGCTATATAGGTAGGTGTATGGAAGGCCCCGGCTTATCAGGGTATCAAGTATAGAATTCTTTCAATTTCTCTAGTATATTCTTAAAGTTATCTGTAGGATACTATTTAGTATTCTTATTTCTAATCTAAGATACTTAATATTATAGATATTGATAGTATATATAAGAATCTTTAATCTTATTAATCTTATAAGCCTTCTTCTTATTAATAATAATTAGTAGTATTATATCTAGGATCTGTCTAATAAGAGGCTCTATATATACTATAGGGTGTAGCTTATCTAGTAAGAAGATAGGATATATCTTTATAGAGTCTAGTAGCTTCAAATACTATAAATTACCTTCTTTTTTTATGATTTCAAATAGTCTATATTACTAATTAGATAACTTCCTACTCTATCTTCCTATCTTCTAGATATATATAATAATAAAGACTAGCTGATTAACTCTAAATTTATCCTTATAATATTATATATCTATATATCTTTTCTAGCTTACTTATATAACTTCTATTACTTCCTAAGTATTATCCTATATGTTCTTTATATTATTAGCGATATCTCTTATCTATTATATATTCTTAAAGAAGATAGCTAGGGTATTTAATACCTAATTAAAGGTTATCCTAGGATTAAATCTATATTCTATAAAGAAAGATAATTGTTTTATATTAGCTTAGGGGAGTATAGTAATAGTATAGTCTATTAGTAGGAGATATTTAGACTAATTATCTTAATAGAAGTTTATATAGGCCTATAACTATTAAGCTATCTATTTATTTATAATTTTACTTTAACTATTTATCTAAGTATAGTAAGCTATTAATAGCTTCCTTTTAATATTTAGAATATATATTAATTCTATCTAGAATTTAGATATAAACTAAGGTCCCTAATCTAATATAATTGTATCCAGAATACTTAACTAAGGGAGAATCTCTCGGATAAATAGATATATTATCTTTTTTGTGTTAGTAGTTTTGTAGTATAGAATTAATACTTATTACTTTAATAGATAATTAATAAATACTAAAACTATATTATATCTATATTTATTTTTAGGGAAGGATTAGAAATCTATTAAGAGATATTTATCTAGATAAAGAGGGATTAGGAGTAGTTATAATAGTCTAGGGGCTTTATTTTACTAATATTTTATATACTTGTATATTAGGTAGTTATTAATATATTACTTTATATTAACTATATATCTAGCCTAGTAATAACAATTCTTAATTAATCTTAGTATTTAGCTATATCTAGGATATATTATATATAGTTACTAGTGGATTTCATCTAAGAGCCTTGCTTATAGATCTCTATTATTAGGGACTACTAGATATTCTTTAAAAAGTAATAGATTATTCTTAATTATCTATTAGGATTCTTCCTTATTTAAAGTCTTTATCCTATAATTATTAAGAGAAGTGTATACTTAATTAGCTAAGAGAATATATTCTACTATAGTTAATAAGATATTAAGATCTATTAATATAAGAGATAACTTTATTAAGATATATAACTCTATTATTTTGGCTAAGAAGATCAAGGGCTATTTGTCTTTTTACTTAAGCTTCTCCTTATAAGATAGAGTATTAGTAATAATATTTGTTTTACTAGGTTGATATTTAATAATAAAATAGAATTAAGAAAGGAGTTTACTCTAGTATATTTATCTAGGGCTAAGTATCTTCTTTATTATAAAATATTGTAAGATATAGTAATCTATATAGATACTAAACTTATTATCCTATTGTAACCCTTTTAATTCTAGATACTATTTATTTAATATATATATAATAGTAAGTAACTTTTAATCTAGGGTATTATAATTCTACTCTACTAAGTCTATTAATTTTAAGAAGAAGACTATAAGCCTCTATAGGTTATCTTTATTTACTTATTAAAAAAGAATTATACCTATATATCTTTCCGATATATTAGTCTTAATCTTTGTTTTTAGATCTAGTTTATAATATTAAAGGACTAGAGTTTCTATTAGTCTTCTCTTAATCTTTTTAAATACTATCTAATAATTGGTATTCTATTAAAAAGTAATATCTTTTTGTGTTAGGAGGTATAAAGACTATATAATATAGTTATAATCCTTAATAAATCTCTAATAGAAATTATTAAATCCTAAGAATAATTATATATCCTTAACTATCCTTAGTATTGTCTGACACGGTGAGCGGGCCGCCGGAAACGGCGCCCATTGCACCGCCGCTCTGCCGCCCCCCACCGCCTGCTGCCTTCCGCCATGGCCCTGCCCCTTCGGGTATGGCGTCCCACCTCCGACCCCGCTTCGGGCTTAGTGCCCATGCTGGCCGCTTTTACCGCCCCCCGTCATCTGCCATCCATCTATAAAGGACCGCTTGCCCTCCCATCGACTCGTCGACGCACTTCGTCCTCTTCGACACCCTGCCTGGCTTCCGCATCCCTTTCTTCGCCGGCCCCGCCGCTTCCTGCGCATGGACCTTCAGCCTGATGCACTGCCCCTTTCATTACGTCGGCGACGCCGTGTTGTCCGGCCGCCCCAGGAGAAGAAACACCGACGTGATTCCTGATCCAGTCTTCTACCGCATTGGGTGTGCTTGACGTCGCATGCTTGCCATCATGTGGCTGCGTGTCCTGCTCTTCTCCAAACGATTCACCATGGATCTGGCTACGAAGCTATCTCAGTTGCCTGTCGCCAGCAAGGCCTTCCCATGAAAACGTCTCTCTTCCTCTGCTTCCTTCGCTTGTCGCAAAATTTCCCGGGTTTCCCTCGTACCCTGTTCGGCGTTTCGTACTCCACCTCGTCCGCCCGAAACCCCATCCGACATCAGAGGTTACATTGCATAGCCCTTGGCGTCGCAAATTTCATCTCGGCCGCTTGCTCCCAACCGTCTCGACCACGTCGTCGTCGTCATCGTCGGCCTCTCCGGCCCATCCTCGCCCAATCGGTTAGACCTGACAGCTTGCAACCATAATACGAGCCAATAGCGAAAATGCCGCGCCATTAGTGAGGCAAATACCTGTTCAAGCTAGGGTAAGACCCCACAACCACGCAGTCTGGTGATTGGAGGACAGAGCAAGCGACGACCGTGGAAGAGATCATTGGTTGGGGGCTATTGGTGAGATTGATGGGGCTTCTAACTTCGCGGATGCGAGAATATCGTGATATCGTGGTCTCGCAAATTGTGGACGGAGTGGCATGGGTTGCAGCAGCCGATCCGTATCATCTAAGCAGGGAAGAAAGCAGATCAGACCGCGCCTCGCGTTCTATAAAGAGGCTACAAGTCCGCCAGAATGAGACTGCAGCGCAGCAATCCCAAGTTCTCCCATCCTGCCCCTTCCCACTGCCCACTTCCTTCTGCCCCTGCCCAAAGTCCCTGTTTGGGTTTCTCTATCTACGAGTGGCCTCATTCATCATATGCCGTGAACTCGATCAGCTGCTTTTTTTTTTCTTTCTCGAACAACATGTCTGTCGATAGCTTTCGATTGGATTCTTTCCGCCCGTGGAACCCTTTTCAAGACAAAGTGCAGATTTTGCGAGATTCGCTCGATATCTGTCGATACCCAAGTCCTGTCTCGGTCACTGCCACCTCGCCTCTCTCCGATTCCAGCAACTCGGCTCCAGAGAGTACAAATGTTCACTCTTGTGAATCTGTGCGACACCCCCTTCCTTCCCGACCGCCGTCGGAGGTTTGCCTGAAAGACAGCCTACCACAGGTGATAAACACTCAGCACCAATCTGCTGTGGAGGATCAGATACCATGCGTTAACCCTGGAGTTGAGGCGTTCGACTTCGACGATATCTTGCAACTGCCTGATTTGCCAAGCTCTGGAGATCAGGACTATCCCATGATATGTCATGATCTAGGCTCGGAGCTCGCTTGCATTACCAGTCAGCGCTCAAATGTTGGAAATGCTGGAAGTCCCGGTGTGACCCGCGAGTGTTCCGACGCAACAATTGACCCGGCAATCCTGGACGACGATCATATCCAAGATATTGAGCAGACCCCGGCAAGAAATGAGACCTCGGACGTTGTGTCCCCTTATTCTCTGCCAGATAAAAGGGTTCGTGGTCCCAGCATGCGACCACATTCGCATAGGACAACGAGCCCTAGGCGGCAGCGGTCCAAAGTCAGCAAAGTTGCCGTCGTCGTGAACAATCGCCACATGGATAAGACTGGCCGAAGTACTCGAGCAAACAGGCCCGTTGCAACCTCGTTTTCTGCTCTTCGTGATCAATTTTCTTCTCTACCGGTCGAAGAGCGACTCCGGTTTTTATCCTGGCTGTTTGAGGGTGCTTTGTCGCAATGCCTTCATTTGCCCTCTGATCCGAAATCTGCATCAGTATCGAAGAGCATCGAGAGAGAAGAAGTCACGGCTTCATTGGCTGACCAATCAAGCGTAGGCGATGAAAATGTCTACGGAAAGCCTACTTGCTCTTCAAGAAAAGGGTTGCGCTGGTCACTAGAAGAGAAACGCCTTTTGGTGCAGCTGAGAGAGGAAGAATCTCTCCCCTGGTCGGAAGTGGTTGCGCGATTTCTTCAAAGGTTTCCTGGGAGGAGTGAAGGTTCCATACAGGTCTATTGGAGCACGACGATGAAAAAAGAGCGATCATCTTAGCGGGAACCAAGGGAAATGCCATCTTCTTCAATTCTGCGTTGCCATGTACAGAGTAAACTCTTTCGAGAGAATATATCTCTTGTGAGACTACAACGCCGTTTTTCATATCGTCAGTTCACAGAGGCGGAGCGTCTGTGTGATTTTCATGAACCGTCGATTTGCCAAGTATGCCCCAGGCCACAGAAGGAGTCTGAGCGACGAAAGCTGAATCTCCACTACATACTCAAGATAGTCGTTTCAATAAGTAGATACATTTGTCAACCTTCCACCACATGACACCCGACACCACTAGTACATTGTCAACTCAGATCAGACTCATATCCAGTCATCATAGAACCGACCATGGACGAGATCAACAGAGAATGAAAAAAGATGGTATGAGGATCGAGAACGATGCTTGCAAATCTGTCGAAGGATCGGGTATAAACAGAGTCTGAACATTCTAATTTGGCATAAATATCTAACCTTTAAACCTCTGTCTGTTTATCAGGACATCCATTTTGACTTGAATGCTCTACCATTCTCCCGTCTAAAGTCCGCTTTTTCTCCTGGGCCTTCTCTATCACATCACCGTTGAGCACTGTATCGACGAGAAAGAAATTACCGGCAAAGCAGAGACACATTAGAGGAATGAATATATCAAGGACAACGCGAAACCCTTTCATTTCCGCATCGAGAATTTGAGAGCGGTACTCCTCGGTACTAACGTCGCTGCTATCTATAAGAGAGAACAAAAATCTGCCCGGACGAAGAATTTGCAATCACACTCCCCTGAATCCTTCCATTCCCCATTCCCCGTCCCCCATCCGCTCACTGTGTCCCATTTACTGCCCGTTCCGCCGCCCTGCCTAAACTTTCAAGCAGACTTCTAATAGTAGAATTGGGTGGCTCCAAACCCCTTGTTCCGTGATATGTCAAGCGACAGTTTTCGATTGGAGTATTTCCAGGTCGTGGAATCCTTTGATTCCTTTCCAAGATCAATCGCAATCTCGGCGGGATTCTCAAAACATTTCCCGCTACCCAACCGGTCTCGATCACCCCGACTCCACCTCCTTCCAACCTCAGCAAAGCAGCTGCAGTAAACGCCAATGTTCATTCTCACAAATTTGAGCGACATCTTCTCTTTCCCGACCGCTAGTGCAGGCTTGCTTCAACGATCATCTATCACGGGAGATGAGCACTCAGCGCCAAGATGCTACGGAGCTTCAGCAATTATGCGTTGATCGCGGAATTGAATCATTCGAATCCGAGCATATTCTGCAACCACAGGTTTTGCTGAGCTTCGCAGACGAGGACCGTCCGACGATCTGCGATCACACTGCTCCAGCGTTCCAGCAACCACTTGGTTTTGACAGCGGCCTCCTGGGACTTGACTGTACTGCAAGTCAGCATTTTGGTCTTGATGACATTGAAAACTCTGCTCTGGCCAGCGTGTGTTGCGATACAACAATTGATCCCGCAATTGTGGAAAGTCCTATTTTCCGAGACCTGGAGCTGGCCCCGGCAAGTGAAGAGAGTTTTAACGATGAGGCGAACTCTCGTTCGTCGTATAAAGCTATGACCGTGACAAGCGATTAAATTCGCAAACCACAATGAAAGCACGGCAGAGTTCCAAAGTTGATCGTCGTACTCGAGCGAAAGATTCCGCCAGAATGTCGTTTTCTATTCTTCGAGGTTATTTCTGTTCTCTACCAGTTGAAGAGCGACTGCAGTTCTTATCCTGGCTGTTTCAGGGTGCTTTGTCCCAATGCCTCCATCGTTCAACCAACTCACATGACGCATCGTCGTTAGGGTTTGTCGCAGGCGATGCAGATTTTTCGACTCCCTCTGTGCAATCATCACCGGATGCCAACGCGGTCGACGCAGAGCCTTCTCGCACTTCGAGAAAAGGACTTCCTTTTTCTGCGGAAGAGGATCGCCTTCTGGTAAAGCTTAGGAAGGAGGAAAATCTGGCCTGGTCGGAAGTGGTCACGCGATTTAGCCAGAGATTCCCTGGGAGAAGTAAAGGCTCCATACAAGTGCACTGGAGCACGAGGCTTAAAAACCCAACCGCCGTCTTGAACTAGCACGCAAGATAAAGAAAGAGAGAGTATATTGGTTTGCTGATACACAACCATTCTTTCCCTGTAAATAATTACTTCACAAACTATGAACTACTGTCCGCTTGAATTCAATGGCTACTTGTACAAGAGCTGCCAGAAAGATGTAAAGGTAGGCCGTATGATGATAAAACTAAGCTTTGGCACAAACTTGTCAGCAAGGCCAGTGGTATCCGGACAATGGAAATGCTGGTGATCGAGGGTACGGATGAAGGAAAAGCGTACTATAAGACATCCATGACATGTTATCAGGTATGCTATGGGGTCTTGGGGCCTTCGCAGGTTTGAAGAAGTTGTCTAGCGACTCGTAGGCCGGCCGTCCATACAATGAGGTTGCAAAAGCAAGTTTTGCAGCTGATTCCACCGAGAGCGGCTCCCATAGGCGAAAAGTACTTACTTAGGCCGACGCTGACCCTCGTTCCTGCCTTTTTAGCCCTTTAGAGCCTAGTCCGGCATGGCTGATTGCACGCATATTCTTATTAAATTCATCCTGTCTTTTCTAAGTATGATATATCTACTCTATACACTTTCTTATACGCTGTGCGAAATAAGATCGGGACAAGTTTTGACCGACGGCACTTTCCAAAATATAATCCAACTAGTGATGGGCCACATGATCAAAGCTTCAAGAGCACAAATAGTATCTTACAGATTTGAACTGCCGCAACGTAACGATGGTCCCACTAGGTAGCTGTCGGTGTGCACTGCTTCCGCTCTGGTACACCGCCATGGCATGCCGCCTAAGATTGAAGTCCAAGTTGCCGCCTTGAGCACCGCCTTGAGCACCGCCTTGGGTCCTTTGCCAGGTTCATCCTGCCGCTCGACAGACCGCCTGCTGAAAATTGTTCACAGCCTCACCGCTGAGAGCCACGGTTGCACGACCGCAACGCCGACCGCTTCCTGCATCTAGCCCTGACCGGTCTTGTTCTACACCGCCGGACGAAGACACAGGTTATTCCCTTCTCACCGCCAAGGGCACCGATCAGCGCACCGCCTTTTGGCGTCTCTCCTTTCACCGCTGCGAAGACCGCTAAATGAACCGCCTTCTGCATCCGTTTGATCATCACCCCTCGTAACGTAATTCCCGGGCGGGTCGTACACCCAACCGAGCCGTACACCCCATCAAAAATCACGTCTTCCTACCGATATACCAACTTTAACCAACCACCATGCCACCAATTCGCGCCCAATCGTCTCGGAATTCTACCGAAAAAGAGGGTAGGATCTTATTAGCCATCAAAGATATCAAAAATGGCCGTATCAGCTCTGTCCGCGCAGCAGCAACTCTATACGGAATCCCCTACACAACGCTGGCTGATCGCGTTAATGGTGTACAATCACGCGTCGATATACGCCCAAATAGCCATAAATTGACAAAATTAGAAGAGGATTCACTTGTTGAATGGATACTTTCTATGGATACGCGTGGAGCAGCGCCTAGACCAGCTACTGTACGAGAGATGGCTAATATACTACTAGCTGCGCGTGGTAGCCACTCTCCACCTACAGTTGGTAAAAATTGGCCATCAAATTTTATAAATCGACGTGAAGAGATTCGATCACGCTTCTCTAGGCGCTACGACTATTAACGTGTATTAAACGAAGATCCTAAATCGCTACGAGAGTGGTTTGCGACTGTACAACGTGTTATTGACGATAACGATATACAGATGGAGGATATCTATAACTTTGATGAGATTGGATTTGCAATGGGTCTTATTTCAGCGCAGAAAGTGGTTATACGGGCTGGATACTACGGTCGGAGAGCTATATTACAGCTAAGAAACTGCGAATGGGTCACTGCTATTGAAACTATTTGCGCAGATGGTTATTCGCTACCGCTATATGTGATTTTTAAAGGCAAAGTTGCTATCGCTGGTTGGTTTGATAATCTACTAAAAGACTGGCGATTTGAGGTCTCAAATAATGGCTGGACTACCGATGAAATTGGCCTACGTTGGCTACAGAATCTATTTATCCTATGTACAAATTCGCGCGCACACGGCCGGTTTCGGCTGTTAATTCTTGATGGCTATGGTAGCTATCTTACGGCTAAATTTGACCAGATCTGCGCAGAAAACAACATTATATTGCTTTGTATGCCTGCGCATTCTTCACATTTATTACAACCGCTTGATGTTGGATGTTTCGCAGTGCTTAAACGTGTATACGGTCGCTTTATAAGTGATCTTGCGTGTGTAGGCTATAACTATATTGATAAGTTTGATTTTCTGGATGACTACCAACGTGTAAGACTGGAAGTGTTCAAAAAGCCAATTATTATTCAAAATAGCTTTATAGCTGCTGGTCTAGTGCCTATTGATCCAGAAAGAGTGCTTTCGAAGCTTAATATCTCTCTACGAACACCAATACCCCTAGGAAGCCGACCAAGCAGCAGATCTAGCCAATTTACACCAAAAACGCCGAGAACTGTTATTCAGTTACAAAAATAAGCTTCTATGATGAAAGATCTATTAAAACAACGGTCAAATAGCCCACCAAGCCCATCGAAGACTATGTTAGATCAAATTATCAAAGGCCACTATATATCACTACACAACACAGCGTTACTAGCACAGGAAAACGCAAATTTACGTACAGCCAATGAGAAAAAACGCCAAAAACGCAATCGATCAAATAGGCAGATACCCTGTGATACTGGCCTAACGGTCGAAGAGGGCCTACAGCTAGCTACGCAGCTAAATTTGCTAGATGAAGCCACCCCAGTGGATTCGAATACACAGGGCGAAACGCCTATTCAGCCAGGTCAGCCAGCCAAAAGGGCTCCGCCTCGGTGCAGTGGATGTGGGAATATTGGCCATAAGATCAATCGATGTATAAATCGCGTTATTTAGCTAAATTAATATGTGTTGGCTAATATATATCGATTTAAATTTTTCTAATGGGTTGGGGTGTACGGCTCGGTTGGGTGTACGACCCGCCCGGGAATTACGTTATTTAGATTCCGTTCTCTCAGTGACTCACAACGCCTACTCAGCCCTATCTGGGTCGACGTCTTAACCCAACCGATGTAACATGTCTGAAAAGCCTAGATGTCGAGACTCCATACTTGAATCTACAATTGTCTCTATATATGAACACTTCCAAAGCTTGAATACTTCACTGACGGGCTCGATTCTGACTTTTTAGCACAATCAATCTTGTGGCCGAGTCAAAAAACAGGCCGCGCAGGAACCTCGTTTGGGTCCAAAATCCGTCACCCCATCCTAAAGCTTGCGAGGCCCCATGTGCATCACCCTTTAAACCCTCATGGAACGTCACTCATTTGTACGTTATTCGCCCTTTCTTTTAGGTGGGTATAAATGATGATTCCTTCCCATGGAAAATTCTTAATTATAGCTGTTCAGTAAGTATACAGTATACCAATCTATCCCACATCCCATTAGTTCACGCTTGAGATTTAATGGAATGTCGCTGTTTCAAAATATATACATACTATAAACAGATGCTGTAAAATTGAAATTTCGTTGAAAAAAGGGGTTTTAAGGTTTTCAGATTACAGTGTTTGGGTCCAGAAAAAAATCCAGGGTTCTAAAGGTCGGGATGTAACCTCGATGAGAATATCATGAATTGAATTGCTAAATTTACTAGTAAAATATTGAGATTATCAGCACTGCTCAAGCCTCTTTATCTCTTTTTTTTTTAACCGGCGCAAGGGACAAAAGAGCCTACGCATGCTTGCTCTGTTTGAGGACAGTCAGGTAACAAAATTCAAACCATTGAAGGTCCCTAGAATAGGTGAAGTCTTATGAGACTCTGTAATGTTCCCGCGTCAGCCTAGCAATGAGCACGCGGGGACAGTGAGATCTTATCCATTCTTCATAATCAACATAGACCTGAACGAATTACTATCTCTCTGTATAATACACGTCTACTTCATACATGTAGGGCATTGTGACCTAATATTCTGATGCTTGGGCCGACGAGACTTTTTATAAATTTCAAAATACTTTTGCAATGTCACATGAGCCTAATGACAGTGTGACAAAATCAAAGTACTGAATTTGATTCTGACAACCATCACCTTCATCCTGAATCTTCTATCACGCATGCGTGATTGTTGTGCTTTTATTGCCCCTCTCGAAATTCTGATCGGTTACCACAGTCGGTGTGGGGTAGTGCGAGCTCTGAAATACTACCTTAGCTTTATCCTTTTGCTTCAATGTTAGATTGCAACATACCAAGTTTGAAGTAAGAGAAGCCCAAAACCCAGATGAATCGGCCGACAGAATATGTACTCGACCTGTATCTCGCATGCGAATCCCTACGCATACATCTGCGTTACACATCTTGCTATACTCGAAGGCTTTTTTCATGAGGTTTGTTTTGCGGCGACATTGTTTTTGGCGCATTGATTTTCTGACTGGAGGACGTTTGAACAGCCTGGTTGTCATTGAAGTCATCGCCGGTGATTGAGTGTATCTGCAAGATTTTTCTGTAAAATTCGTGAGCCGGATATACCAAAAGACGCTCTTTATAGGGGAATTATCTATTAAGGTTTATGTTTATACTACGTACGGCCAGTGTGAAGATAGGAAAACCAACACTTGATCACCGGACTCTCCACATCTCACGATGTCGATATCAGCGACGGCCTCAACGTTGAATTTTGACTGTGTTATGAGGAAGTGAACCAACATGGAATTTTATGAACTCAAAAATTGATGCTTCGATAGATCGAAGGTTTATTGGCTTCATGTTGAAGAGTGTTGAAGAGTGTTGAAGAGTGTTGAAGAGTGTTGAAGAGTGTTGAAGAGTGTTGAAGAGTGTTGAAGAGTGTTGAAGAGTGTTGAAGAGTGTTGAAGAGTGTTGAAGAGTGTTGAAGAGTGTTGTGTTATTTAGATGCAGGTAGGCTCATGTACAAGTAAAATAAAACATTGCCAATCGTGGGTTTGTGTTGGGTGAAAGGCCCAAACGATAGAGCTTGCTATCTTTGCAACGCTGGA